AAAGCATATAAAAGTTTATTATATTTATAATATAATAAAGGTAAGAAATTTATTTTAACTTTAATATTTAAAAAAGCAAGTTATAAAAAATAATTATTTACTTTTATATAAATTATTAAATAAGCTAAATTAAAATATTCTTAATTAATTATATTTATAATAAATATAATAATAAAATTAACTTAATATTAAATAATTTATAATAAATTAATTAAAATATTAATTTTAATATTATTTTTTAAAAAAGTAATTATATTAACTTTAAGAAATAAGTTTTTAATATAATTCTTAAAATATATTAACTTAAAAGGTACCTTTAATAAAATATATATCTTAAATTATATTATTAATAAATACTTAATTAAAATTAAATTAATATTATTAAGCATTAAAATATTTATAATATTTATTTTAATAATTATAATTAAAATTACTTAAGCTACTTTTTCCTTAAATAATAAGAATTATTAAATATATTTCTTTAATTTTAAGTTTATTGCACTTATTAAGCTTATTTTTATTATAAAAAACTTAATATTTTCCTTTTAAGTTTAATTTTAATTAATAAATAAATTTTTTCTTTTCTTTACCTTTTTTTTATTTCTTAGCTATAATTTATTATTAATAATTTAAGATTAATTATTTTTTATCTTTTTAAAGTTTTTAAATTAAATATAATTAATCTTTATAATTTTTATAACTTTATTTTAATTTTTAATATTCTTAGCTATATACTTTCTTTTAATTATAATAATATTTATTTAAAAAAGCTTATTATTACTTATAATTATAAGCTTTTTCTTAATATAAATTATATAATTTATAAAATTTATAAATATTAAAATTAAGCTAATTTTCTTTTAATTATTAAGCTTTTAAATTATTTTTAAAATTTTTAATAAGGCCTTTTTTTTAAATAAAGAATTTACCTTAATAAACTTATAATATTTAATTATATAAAATAAATTAAATCTTTCTTTTTTAAATAAAAACTTTAATTAACTATAAATATATCTTTTTAAATTATAATTACTTTAATTATAATATAATTAAATATAAATAAAATTTAAATACTTTAAAAGGTTAGCTTAAATATTTTTAAATAAGCTAAAGAATATTAATAATTCCTTTAATTTAAAAGTTATTAATAAGCTATTTAAAGAAAATTACTTAAGCTTATTATATTAATATATATTATAATCTTAAAAAGTATAATTATAATAAACTTTAAGTAATTTATTTTTTTTTAAAAAAAATATTAAAATTATAGTTTATGCCTTATTATTATTAAAGTTATTTTAATTAAATTTTATTAAAGGTTATTAAATAAAATTTATAGCTTTTAGCTTAATTATTTTAAAATTACTTTATTATTTATTATAAAAAAAAGCTTTAATATTTTATTAAAATAATTTAAATTTATCTTTAAACTTAATTAAATTAAGTTTTAACTTTATAAATCTTTTAATAAATTTATTTATATTTTATAAGTCTTAATTATATCTTTTAATAATATTAATATAATTAAATTTAAATAAAAATTATTAAGCTTATAAGTTTTTATTTTAAAAATAATTTAAAAAATTAAAATTATTTTAACTTTTTTAAAGAAAATTTAACTTTTTTAAATTAAATAAATTTTAATTAAAATTATTTTATATAAATAAATATTTATTTTATTTAAAATACTTAAGTTTTTAATTAATAATTTTTAGTAAAATATATTTAAAGTTTAGCTAAAAAATATTTTTTATTAATTTATAAATAATCTCTTTCTTTATTAATTATTTTTTTAAATATAATAAAAGCGCTTTATAAAAAAGCTAAATTATAATAAAAAAAATATTATTTATATTATTAAATTTTTAATTATATTTTATAATCTTCCCTTTTTATACTTTTAAGTTATTATAAAGATTATTATAAATAATATTTTTAATAATTATAATTAAGTTTATATAATAAGTTTAATTATTAAATTTATAAAAGATAAAAAGCTTTTTTTTAAATTTTTTTAAATAAATTATTTAATAATAATACTTTTAATTATTTTTATTAAGTTTAAAATAATATAGCATTACTTAAATAATTTTAAAATTTAATTATTTAAGTAAGAAAATTAATAAGTAATAATCTTAAGGTTATTTAAAACTTTAATAATATTAATTTTATTAAACTTTAAAATATTTAAATTATAAATTATAAATAAAGTTACTTATAATAAAATTATTATATTAATAAAAAATAAAACTTTTAAAATATTAATTTAAATTCTTAATTTATTATTAATAATAAATTATAAAGTTTAATTAAAATAAAGTTAATATTTTAATTAATAATAAGCAAAATTAAATCTTCCTTTTCTTTTAATAAGTTTCTTAAAATTCCTTTCTTAGCTTTAAATAAAAAAAAATAAATAATTTTTAAAGTTTAAAAATATTTTTAAAATAAAAGTAAGTTTAAGAAAACTTTAAGCTTAAAAGTATAATATATATATTATAATAATTTTTATTAAAATAATAATAAAATAAAGAAATTTAAAAGTAATAATGTTTTTAATTAAAGTAATTATTTTTAAAAAATTTATTTTTAATATTATTATAAAATACTTAAATTAAAGTTTAAAAAATAAAAGTATTAATAAATATAATAAATAAAATAAACTTAATAAAAAAATATTTTATTAAGAAATAAAAATTATAAAGTTATAATAAAAAAAGTCCCTTAAATTTATATTTAATGCCTTACTTATTAATATTATATTAAACCCTTAATAAATTAAATTTAAGTTTAATTAAAGCTTAAGTAAAATTATACTTTAAATTTAAGTTTTTTATATAATTTAATTAATATAAAAATATATAATATAATATTATTTATTAAACTTATAAATAAGTAAAATAAATATTTTAATTTTATATTATAACTCTTTTTACTTTAAGCTTAAGATTATAATAATAATAATAAATATTAATTAAGAATTTAAAGCATTTTTAATTAATATTAAATAATATTTATAAAGTTTAAATTTATTATTTTAATTTTAAATTTATATTATTATTATATTTTAAATATAATTTTTAATAAGAAACTTAAAATAAATTTAAACCTTAATAATATATTAATATAAAATTAAAATAATATTTTATTTAAATATTAAAAATATAAAAAGTATTTTAAAATTAAAAAATAATTTTAAGATACTTATAATATTATTATAAGTTTAATTATATTTAACTTTTCTTTATAATAAGTTAAAGATAAATATAAGTTTTAATTAAAGCTTTAAGCTAATATATAAAATAATTTAATAATTTTTAATATAAAAATAAAAAAGATAAAAAATAATAAATAATTAGCTTATAATTAATTTTTTATTTTTTTTATTATTAATTAAAGATATATAAAATTAAAATTATATTTAAGTTAAATTATTAATAAAAATAAGCTATTTAAATAATAAGAAATAAATTTTATTAAATCCTTTTAAGAATAACTTAAGAAAAAGCTTTAATATAATAAAAAGAAAAGATAAAAATAAAAGGGAATTAAAGAAAGGAAAAAGATAAATATTTAAAAAATTCTTAAAAATAAAAAAAGCTTAATTAAAGCACTAAATATATAAGAAAAAAGAAAAGTTGATTTCTTAAAAAAATGTTTAAAATAAGCGTAAAAGCTAGCTTTTTATAGCTAGCTAGAATTTAACGCAATACCATTTCTTACGTAATTCCCTGCACCTGCCAATAATATAAAAAGCATTTTTATATAAACTTTAAAGTATAATAGCTTTTATGCCTATTTATTATTAATAAACGCTACTTTTTAAGGGTATTTAGCTTTATTTAAAAGATAAAGATTTTTTATAGCTACTTAAGTATTATAATATTATTTATTTAGCTATTTAGTATTGCTATAAACTCTTAATTTTTATAATCCTTAAGGATTTTAAATTATTACTGCTAAATTAACTTCCCTTTAAAAATAATAAAGAAAGGATATAATTTATTTATTATAAAAATATATTTAAGGAAAGAGGTTTATATATATAATTTATAGTTTTTTTAAGTAATAACCTTTCTTTCTTTAGATTTTAAAATAATGCTATTTTTTTCCTTATCTTTAGCTATACCCCCTTTATTAATATTATAATAATTTTTTAAATAAATATTTATAATTATTAATAGCTAAAAAAGGTTAAACTACTTTTTAATTATACTTATTTTTACTTTATTTGCTTAACTTAAAGTTATTTAATAATTTTATATGCTTTAAATTTTAAGATTTTTAATAAAAAAAGCCCTTAATTAATGCTTATTAAAGAGTAGTTAATATTTTTAAGAAGTAGCTATTTAAGTTATAAAAAACCTTATTTTAAAATATATTATTAATAGCTTTAATATTATTTAATTAATTGCTTAACTAAATAAATATATTTCTTAAGTTTATAATAACCTTATTTAAGATTTTAAGGTATTTAAATAGCTTTAAGCACCGTAATAATAATTATAAAGTATAATCCTTAGGATGCTTTAATATAAGGAGGCTTCTTAAATATTAATGCTAACTTAAATTACCTTAAGTATTATATTTATATTTTCTTTTATATATAGCTTTAGAATTAATAAATGATAATGTATTAAAAGTTTAAAAAGAAGAGAAAATTCCATTGTAAAGAAAACACGTAATATGTAATGGGGTGGACCTAATGCGCATATAAGTATGGAGTGGGCCGAATTAGGGGGTGGGCCGAATGTGCAGACCCTGACTTAGGTAAAGGAGATATGCGGTTGTTTGTGCTATTTCCGGGGGAGTATGATGACCCAATACGTGGATGTATCTGCCACATCCCATTTGACAGCGCCGGTCCATATCGAGCATTGTCGTATGTATGGGGTCCGGATCATCAATCGGAGCGGCACTTGGTCACGCCACACGGAGTGCTGAAAATCAAGGCAACCTTGGGCTCGGCTTTCCAAAGAGTCCGCCAGAAAAGGAGAGAAATGGTCCTCTGGGTCGATGCAATTTGCATAAATCAGGAAGATACCAAAGAGAAAGTACAGCAGATTCTACTTTTACCACGGATATTCCAAGGAGCAACATCGACTTTGGCCGTCCTGGCTACAGACGATAGGAGCAATCGAGCTGTGGGAATCTTGCTGCAGATAGCAGCGCTCAAGCTGTACGGCTTCGACTTCTCCCGTTGGCCTAGAACTCTTATCGGCCCTCGTGCCGCGTGGGTGAAGAGCGGAATGCCAGACCCCGACTCTGAGCTTTGGCGAGATGTGTGTTACATGTTCCGACGCCCGTGGTTCAGGAGGGCATGGATTGTTCAAGAATCGATCGCAGCGCGCACAGTCCAGTTCATTTGCGGAAAATGGATCTTTGATTGGAACGACCTTCATTGTGCAATGGAGATTGTGGATCGCAAACTTGGCATGTATGCGTTCGCAGAGTCGTGGCGACCTTTCATGATCCTGTCGGAGCACCGGGAATGGGAGGCCACATCACAACGCTGGCCACTTCTCCATCTTATCCAGAACTTTAGGTACGTCCAAACGGGGAAGTACCAAAGAGATCGATTTTTTGCGCTGCTGGGTTTGGCCGCAGACGGGGACAACCCACTCTTCGAGCCCGACTACGACAGCCCTTTGGAGGTGGTTGTCCGCCGCTTCGCGCAAGGGTTTGTGGAGGCTGGCTACGGTATGGAGCTTCTATACGACGCCGGATTAGACGAACAGAAAGGAGACAGTCGATTTCCTTCCTGGGTGCCAGACTGGACTATAGAGACCTCGGATCGGGGTGCTCTTAGTTCGGCAGAGGGCCACGGCGTGACTTTCTCAGCATCGGGGCGACTGTTAAGCCGCATTTTCTACGACCATCAAAGAGATTTGTTAGAAGTGAGCTCATTCTTGTGCGATACGATTGACTGCGTCAGTCGATTCTCCAATGAACCATCGCAAAGAAGTCGATATTTCCAGGAGCTGGACTCGATGATCGAGGCATGCAACCACTTTGAACCAGACCGCCAACGGCGGTTGAAAGAGACTGTTCCAATAGCGGGAGCATTATACCCGGAGTCCGGATCGTCGTTACCAATAAGCATCACCGAGTCTTACTCAGCATTTCGAAAAGTGCTTAGAAAGGACGAGCTGAAAGCCAAGAGTATGCGAGGGAATGGCAAGAAGGCAAGAAACCAAACGCCGTCTGCTAGTATCAACTCCGCACAGCGCCCTGCGGTCATCGGCATCCGCGAGAAAAGTAAAGCTTACGCATCATTACTCGACGAGTACATAGTGGGCTGGAGGTTCGTTACAACAGTAAACGGCCGGTGTGGAATCGCGCCGAGTGGCGTCCTGCCTGGAGATATGGTGGCAATTTTCAGCGGAGGCAAGGTGCCCTTCATTCTGAGGAAAGGTTTCAGGCCGTGGGGTGGTATCTTCTTGATTGGACAGTGCTATATTGACGGCATCATGTTCGGAGAAGCTGTCAAGAAGTTTGAGGGTCAGCAATATCTCCCAATGGTGGCCCGTCTTGCCTAACGTCCAGCACTATCAAGATCGCCGATCTCATCACCCTGGCCCACCCACAATTTGGAAGTATTGGACCCTTAATAGTTTCAGTACCCGTTCCGAAGATAGTTTCAGGTACTTTCGAGGCCTTCAGGACCGCCATTGGGCAGCGCAGGTCGTTGTCGTTGTCCTCACAGGACAGGCATGAGCGTGAAGACCGGTCCCTTCTCAGAAGCAGTCCAATATTTGAGGTCAAAAGTTGCAATTCTGCAGATGTGTGATTTGAATCTTGTGTACCAATTCAATTCAGAACGTGCACTCCATTTTGACACAATTTCTAGAACACTGAAATTCTGACGTCTCCCGGCTTGCGGTCAGAACATACCCAGCCCCAGTCCAGGCCAAACCCTGATCTAAGCCAGCCCACACATACATACATACATACATACATACATACATACATACATACATACATACATACATACATACATACATACATACATACATACATACATACATACATACATTAGGGACTATCATATAATCACTCCTTTATATCTTGAATGGATTTTTTGAAATCAAAAGAAATTTTTCAAATATTCATCTAATCATTAATATACTATTATTTGATTTCCAAGAATAGTGAAGGTTAAAATAGAGAAAAAGTAGACATTTATGCTTAAGAGGTTGTAATTAGTTTTAAGGGTTATGGGTGTATCTTTCTAAAGTACTGACACTCATTCGGCAACTCACGGTCGTTTCATGGTCTGAGTTTTCCTCTTACGATTCAGTAAAGACAGAATTGGCTATTCACGTCATGAAACATTTAGTCTCCCTCCAGCAGAAAATTGACACTCATCTCAACCTCCACGCTTTACGAGGTGATCTTGTCGTCAATTTCAATTTGCGTCCGTTGAAGTCGACAAGTCTCACTGGCAAACTGTGACTTGGCATTGTTCAGGGCGAGAGAGGATAAGCGAGACCATTTTATTAAAGTGGATGCTGGGAGGAGACTCTATTAGAAGACGCGAGTCAAGCACCTTGTTGCCGCATACGGAATAACCAACATTAAGCGAAGCGTGTGGCAGACACCCAGTCACCTGGTCTGTCCGAGATACTGGCGGCCCGAATGACACCATGCCTGGGTAATGACATGTCTAGCATCGGGGCCCCGTGATTGTTGGGCAACAAGATCTCCGCCCAATGCCTACTCAATCAACGGAAGAGAGTAACTGTTTGAGCAACAAATGAAAACAATCCGACCCCTCGTGTGATTTGCGGTAATGACGAGGGGGTATGCCGAGTTAAAGCTACTCTGTATGGCGCTTTCTTTCCCCTGGCTGCAGGACTGGACTGACCTGTCGCCAATTACTTTAGAATGCAAGGCAACGTGAAAATTGATCATCGTGAACGCGCTGCATGCACTGCCCTTCATTCCAGACAGCTATGCTGCAGTTGTGCGATATACTACCAGCCTTATCTCCATCTAGCCAATATAGCACAGCTTTAACAAATATCAGGAGGATCTTCTCAGCAGGGCAATGACCTAACAGGGCCTACAACGCTGGTAACCTTCCGGGGAGAACAGCCGGCTGTTAGTGGGCCTGCAGTCGATGAGCTTACCGGTACCGGGCCAAGTCGGAAGATCAGGGGCTGGGTCAGGCATCGAGATCATCCTTGCAAGATCCTGCGGCTGAAGCAGATCTCTGGTCTTCCCCCAGACAGCTCGAGCGTATCGGACTATTCTGTTTCAGCTATCGAGAATCTCTGCATCGACCAAGATCCAAGTGATGCCCAAACAAGCGTTAACATTTGACTCATCAATCAGTTTTTTCGGTTGGTGCTCCTCTTGAGTACGCGATTGGCATCAGACCCATGCCCCTCCCCCCTGGCCCCGCGTTCACAGACCCTTGAAAGGCCCCAGCCGCGATGTCACCATTCTGAGACTTGTCAACTATTTTCAAGAAACCAACACCCGGTTCCTAGCCAGGGTGGCACGCGTTTGTTGGCTCCCATCGGCGCTTATGCACTCGTTACGGCGCACTTGGCTCGACTCCAGCGCCTCGGAGCGACACAGGGCATCGCGATACACGCAACAAGACAACGATGTCTCGCCTTGGTCCGCCGTCGGCATCGGCGTCATCGTCATCGTCGGCCAGGATGTCCACGTCGCTGCGCTCCAGTCTGTCGGGCAGGAATCCGGAGACATTATCGACCTGCACTGGCAACGAAAAGGAAACAGAGAAGAGCCTTCTGATCATAAAGGAAAGACGACCCTACGTCAACGGCACGGACGGCGCATTCGCCTACCCCCTGCCCGTCGACCTCACCGAGACAAATCGTCACATAATGCTCACCCTCCTCACATCGGCCGTGTTCGAGACGCCGCTCCTGTCACCGGAGCTCCTCCAAAAGCCACCACGGCGCGTCCTCGAGGTCGGCTGCGACAGCGGGTACTGGAGCGCAGTCTGCCACCGGTACTTCCAGAGCAGGGGCCACCAGGTGTCCTTCATCGGCATCGACATCAAGCCCCCCGCCGGCACCAGCGAGTGCTACAAGAGCATGGGCATGGACTGGGAGTACATCCAGTACGACCTGCGGGAGCCCGGGTGGCCGGTCCAGGACGGCTCCATCGACCTCGTGATGGCGAGGAACCTGGCGCTCGTCTTCAACGCGCCGGGTTACTCGCGGGCGTCCAGCGAGTACGTGCGGGTGCTTCGGCCCGGCGGCACGCTCGAGGTCTGGGAGCACGACTTCACGATCCGCTCGGTCGCGCCCCACGCCCAGGCCGAGGACAACGGGGAGGACCTCGCCCACCTGGGGGTCTACCCGGGTCGGGACGACAGCTTCGCTGGGCCCGTCCGTGAACCCGTACGTCGTCGACTACAACATCTGGCTCAAGTCGGCGCTCGAGGACGCGGGCCTGATGCCAATACCATCCGCCCTAACCATATCTCTGCTGGCGGGGTGTCTTGTTGAGGGGGCAGACGCGTTGGAGGGCATGATAGGCAAGAGGCTAGCTGTTCCGCTCACGGCACTAAAATGGGAGCGCGAGGATGGGCAGAAGATGGTCCTGACTAACGCCCAGGCCGCCATACGCCAAACCGCACTGGAGAGCTTCATCGGCATGGTCGAGGCCTTTGAACCGCTGCTGAGGAAGTCCAATCGGAAGAATGATGACGAGTGGCAGGAATGGCTCGAAAGAGCAAAAAGGGACTGGATTCTGGGTAACGGCTTAAGCTTCGGTGAATGCCTCGAGTTTGGAGCATTAAGTCTGAGGAAAAAGAAAGGTTGAAAAGCAGAGTCTTTACTGTGATGAAAGGTCGCTCCAAGAAGCATGCATAATGATCCAATTACCCCCTCTTCGATACCCAGACCCGCTCCCGTTGGAGACTAGCGTTTGGTAGCATGGTGGCTTCCTCGGAGGCTTGGTGTGATCCGAGCCCTGCTCGAAACCGTGGCCGCAGTGACCGCTGATCGTAGTTGGCACCCATCAGGGGATGAGATGCTCGTGGCAGTCGACCGTTGAAGCGCGGTACCTGAGTGGTGTCTCGCGTACCTGCATATACGAAAGAGATGTCAAATAAATGGCTTGCGTCTTGCTCGGTGAGACCTTTGTTGAGCGATGCACCGAACAAATTGCTGGCAGAGGCAGACCCGAAACTTTTGCGCCCAGATATTACGATGGGAGGACGCACCGACAGCGGTCCGTACTACGCTTAGACGACATTGCATACAAGCCCTGCGAGCTCCCAGGCAACAATGGCCTCGGTGAAAACAGAGTGATAAGTGCGAGCGATCCCGAGTTCCCATGTGGAAATCCCTCGAGGGCAGGGCACAGCCCCATACTGCAGATTTTGCTCAACCCGAATCCGGATACTCGTATCGCTCGCACATCGTCTTTGCCTCTGCCAGGCAATGATGATGCCGCAGCCTGTCGGCGCAATTTCTTCCGATCTCGCCGAGGATCTTTGTATTGCTTACAACCGTCTGGGGCTGTGCAACTTTTGGAAAGTGCATAATGATAAAGATGGCTATTCTGTTGTGTATGTCGAAAAACGATTTGCTCAACCGGTGTTCCATCTCTCCCTCAAACTGGTCGTTCGGTCCCAACTATCTGATTGATTTCACACGGCTGTTTGTCTTTTGAGTGGCCCAATATGGCAGACTGCATTCCCAATGATAAAGACGCTGTCTGGTCATTTTACCGTACGAACCGTCGGTGGCGGGGGCAGTCATTTTCTGCGTTCTCTTTGGCATCACCTCGGGCCTGCACGCTTTCCAATTGTACACGACGCGAACTTGGTATCTCACTGCCTTGGTAATCGGCGGTCTTTGTAAGTCGCGCACCAGCGGCGCCCATTCCATCCGCTTCTCTTTTCGAGCTACTCTAATGGATCGACTTGAGCAGGTGAATGCATCGGATACATCGCTCGGTCGGTCAACGCAACGGAGGAACCTGGATGCTGGGGTCTCGGACCGTACGTCGCTCAGAATGTCCTTATTCTCATCGCTCCCGCCTTCATGGCTGCCTCGATCTACATGATCCTCGGAAGGATCATCCTGCTCACCGATGGGGACTCGCACTCGTTGATCAGGCGGCGGTGGATCACCAAGATCTTCGTGGCCGGAGACGTGATTTCACTGCTGATGCAGTCCTCAGGTACGTACACATCCGATTCTCTGTCCTTGCCAATCATCATCAAGGTCAATGGCTGACGCGGTGACGACAACCAGGCGGAGGTATGATGGCTGCCGGGGAAAGCCTGCTCAAAACTGGAGAGAACATCATCATCGGCGGCCTGTTCATCCAACTCGCCTTCTTCGGGTTCTTCGTGGTGGCGGCGGGCATCTTCCACAGGCGAATGTCGCTCGTTCCCACAGCCAAGGCCTCGGATCCCGCCGTGCGCTGGGAGAAGTACCTCCTGACGCTCTACGTGACGAGTGCCCTGGTCCTGGTCCGCAGCATCTTCAGGGTCATGGCATACCTCAACGGCAACGACGGTGTCCTGTTGAGGTCCGAGGTGTATCCCTACGTCTTCGATGCCTTGTTGGTGGTGGTCGTGCTGGTTTGGATGAACTGGTTCCACCCGTCCGAGCTTGGCCTGTTGCTTCGTGGTCAGAGCCCTGGGAAGAACGGACATGAACTGGCCGGTGTTCGCATCTAGCGCAGGCGTTGCACTGGCTGTCTGAGCCAGGTGTTGTCTCAGGCCGTGATTTTGTACATGAGCGTTTGGAATGCTTTGCTTGGGACCCCTTTGTCACTCGAAACATGATAGACAAAGGCTTTAATTAAGAGTTCAAACCGGACTTGCTGCGTCACTCACGCCGGGCTTCCTCTTCCATTGATATGCCATAACCATGACTGGCTGGTCACATGGGCCATTGGTGGCTGGCGAGCAGTCCCCCCTCGGAATCTGCACTTGTTCCACGGTAAAGCCGGCACCGAGACTGTTTTCGGGCATCACTAATGTTTTGCCACGGTACATTTCCTCAAATTCCGTGCGTGCTTTAGGCCCCACCTCTTTCACCAGAAGGTCAAGGAGGTCTTCGAGCTTGTCCCCCTGGTGAGCTCGACTTCGGTCCAACAGCGCCTGGACGACATTATCCATTGAGCGTGTTCCGTTCGATTTGTTCGAGATGAGTGCGTCCATGAGAACAAGGAACATGTTTCCTCGCTGGTACGGGAGATTGATCATGTCCCCGTTCTCTTCATCCCCTTTCTGATCCACGCTCATGTTGATCAGGGGGTTCGTGTAGTAAGCTCGAGCGAATTCATTCATCTGCTCGAGGAACTGGTCTGCCGTGCGCATCCCGTAGCGGAAAAGAAGTCGCTTGACTTGGGATCTTCGGCAGCGAGCCGTAGTCTGCAACAAACAAACCCGCATTGGTCTAGCGCACGCGCAGATGGTGCACCATGGTAAAGTCTGACAGCTTCCTGACGTGGTGGCGAGCCTGGTTGTTTTCAACGACCAATTTCGCCCATACAATACAGCCTTACACTCGCAGTTTACGACATCGTCGATGCCTTCTACCCCGTTGTAGAAGTTTGTACGGTCAAGAAGTTCCGTCTCGGGTGTGTAGAATGCAAACGAAGAAAGATTAAGGTACGAAACTCGGCCGTCTTCCAATCACTGTCGACCAAACCCCCCAATCCCCCACCTTTTCCTTTCCCACACTCCTACCTGCACGCCTCGAAACAGACTCGTCTCACACGTTCGCCTTGTGTAGTGCGACGAAGTCCACCCGATATGCTGGAACTGCACGCGGTATGGAGTTCTCTGTAGCTTTGACCCTGCGAATCGTGCCCGACCCGCTGCACTTTGTCAGGCTGGCATCAGTCCCGGATCCATAGGGACGACGTCAACTCCCGGCGCCATCGACTCGCCACAAAACCCAGCAGCCTGGTCCGATCTTCTGGCATCCACCTCTTCTTCCGGGTCTGCAAGGCGAAGCGTTCCACCTGCGGATGACCATACATCCAATCCTGATTCACTCGGCGTGGCGGGTCCATCCATACGAGACCTCGAACTCATGCACCACTACTGCGTGTCTACCAGCGAGACCTTGGCACTGCGTGAAGACCGGCGCTATGTCTGGCGCGTTGTGTTCCCACAGGAGGGTTATCGTCACCCCTTCGTCATGCACGGCCTTCTTTCACTGGCCGCCCTCCACAGGGCCTACCTCTTTCCGTCAAGGAGGTTAGAATTCCTGAATCTGGGAGCCTCTCACCATGCCCTTGGTCTGGAGAGACTCAGGGCCTTGTTATCCGACATCGGGGACGACAACTGGAGAGCCATGGTGTGCTACGCTTCCATCGTCGTCATACACGTCTGCTCCCTGGCGGCCCGATCAGAAAATGGATGTATCTCAGAGCCTGTTCGCAGCACGTGGGAGTTCTTCTCTGTTGTGCGAGGCTTCAAAACAACTTTGAGAGAGTTCACGGGCAGGATCAGCCGAACGAGTCTAGCTCCTCTCGTCTGGAGCATTTTCCCGCCGGACCAAGAGGATGAATTGATACAAGGGTTCGTTCCAAGTCCTTAGACCATCACCAGCCGAGAGCAATCAGGTTCAGAAGAAGGAAAACATGAACGATTGGAACTGATCGATTGTGTGCAACAGCAAAATCAATCTCCACCAGTCCGCGCTGCCGACTGACACCTTTTCCGCACTGTCTCTGCTCCGTACCTTTTACGAGGGCGAGGACTTGCTTTCCAACCGCGAAGACTACGCCAAAGCCGTCACAACATTGGAGTTTACATCAAATACCATAGCATCCCACGGACCTGATATCGAAATTGGATTGGCGATTTGGTGGGCATGTGATGTTCCCCAGACTGTCATGAATGACATCCGACAGCATAAACCTCATGCACTGCTCCTCCTGGCGTACTTCTCCGTGATTTTAGCAACCACGGACAGGCGGTACTGGTTCCTCCAGGGCTGGGCAAAGCAGCTCCTGGACGATGTAGATAGACGTCTCAGATCCAAGGAACGCTTTCTGCAATTCCTTGAATGGCCGAGGAGTAATACAAAATGACTAGGTCAAACCAGGGAATTCTACTCGGTTGTCGCAATTATCAAGCTGCAGCACCACTCGCTGTCATGAAGTCACATTAATTTTACGAGCCACCCTTTGCCTTGAGCTCAGCTATGAGAGACTTTTTCTAGCAGGGGATTCCAAAAAGTCTATTCCACGGCTGGTTCCTGCACTTAGTGCAAGGTTGAACTCGTTTTCCTCAGCCTCTCACCATATTTATAGAACAAATACGGGAAAGGTGTGAACGCGAAAGCCGTGAAAGCCAAGACCGTGTTTCCCCACCCATATCCAAGACCACCGTACAAATTGTTTGCGCACAGTGGTAACAGCCCCCCGACCAAACATCTCAAGACAGCAGATGCACCAACAGGGCCAGCCGCTTCGGTATGGAAGACGTCAATCAGGTACGTTGTCACCGGCATCATAAACGCCACCATGCCCCAGGAGAAGACCATGCAGCCGACAATCGATAGCATCCAGTGCAGTTTGTGTTCAAATGCCCAGCCGTAGATAATCAACCCCACAGCACATAATGGCGACGCAATGCTGATCGGTGCCAGGCGTATCTCGGGTGATGGCTTTGAGTTTTGGGATTTCTGTATATACCCTCTATCTGCGGTGATGGAGTAAACAGCTAGTCCCATGAACAGACCCGCACCGAGTCCTAGGTAAGGCAGGCCAGATGCACCCGTTGACCAGCCGTAGATTTGTTGATATACGGTGGACATGGTCGACAGCATCAGGAACATTATGCCGAGTATCACTGCCAGTCCCAAAGCTGGCAGAGCCACGGTTGGGGACAGGACGAGGAATTTCACAGGCCGGATGATGGAGTATCCGAGAACTTCGAATCCGGAACCTTGATGAGGAATTGCTGCGTAGAGTTTTGGGTTGCTGAGTTGCCTTTGCAGCCTTCGTACTTTGCGCGCCAGTATCAGAGGTCGGTATGTTTCCCTGAATACCAGGATCGTCCCAAGTAATGATAGCGCACCCCTATGGAAAAGAGTGTCAGCCACTTTGTCCATTTGTGTGCAGTTTCGCTAGGGCTCCCTTACGTGATGGATATAACCCAGCAAACCCATCTCCAACCCAGGTTCTGCGTGATATAACCACCTGCGATAGGACCAGCGATAGGGCCCAAAAGCAAGCAAATCCGTACATAGCAGTAGCCCGTCCCCTCTCGCAAGGAACAAACATATCGCCAATCACGCCACCTCCTATGGCCGGTGGGGCGGCCGCGGCCATGCCCTGGAGCAGCCTGAACCCGACCAGCTGTCCAAGCGACCGAGACAACGCCGCCGCCACCCCAAACACAACGAAGAGGGCGTTAGTGGCGTGGATTACTGCGCACCGGCCGTACACTTCGGACACTCCGGAGGTGAGCAGAAGGCCGGCTGCCATGCCGATCATGAAGGTAGAGACCACCATCACAGCTATTGTCATGTCCGTGGAGCGAAACTCCGCGATGACCTCCTGAGCTGCCGGGGCCAGCATGGACGACGCCATCTGCCCGAGCGCGGAGAGGAGGGCGACGTTGATGACGATGGAGAGCTTCTTCCGGCTTGGCCAGTTGAGGGGGTCGTCTTGGTCTTGTGGCCCGTCAAAATCGACGCATTCGCTGCTCCTGGCGGACTTGCTTGTGTTTGCTGCTGCTTCCGGGTCGTCTGTGGCGCTGATGATACTTGAACCAGGCCCGCTCCCACCACTCGCTTCAGCTTGTCGCAATTCAGTTCCCTCTTCCATCGGTGTGTTTCGATTACAGTTAAGGGGGGACATGTTGATGGATCTGAGCTTGTTCGAATAATCTTGAGTTGCGGTCTTAGGTATGGTTGGTAAGGGAGTCAACATGGGGTGGCTCATGCCTGGTCCTATTATAGACGTGTGTAGTTGTAACGATGATATGGATGCCAAGGTGGCAGGTTCATTATGCCTAGATACCAAAGCTGTTGAAATACCATGCCGTACATTCCATTTGACAGGTGCCACGGCTTGAAAACAATCCTTCATCTTCTGCTCTGTGCTCCCAAGACTCTATCACGAACAGCCACTGCGTGGGACACAAACCCACTCATTCTGCTCCGTGGTGCTTTCGGCGATATTATGGCATTTGGATTACATCAAGTTGCAGAAAGGTTTGAAAATCTACGGGTTGTCTACCCAGCCCACCGCCATTTCGACTAGCCTTTCGTGCTGCGTGTGTGATATCGGGCTTTAAGCGAGCGAGACGTGTCCCGTTCTCGTACCACGATCCGTATCAAAATTGACACACAAGGCCGAAGCCCCTTGCCGGTGTCTCCACGTGCCATTTCCGCAGGCCCGACGTCCCGCACTGGCTGCAATTTGTTTCCAAGACATCTCATTTGAAGAAATCGTTAAGGGCAAGTAATGTATGTTAAGCTGGCCGAAAGTCTGAGCCAAGCTGTGGTTAATTTGTCCTGATATCAAGCGCCCCCCTTTGGATGCAACGCTCGCCAGAAACGTGATCCAGATTCGGTTTGAAGCTGACAACGCCAAATGTAGGCCCGACGGCCACAGCATACCGATTTGCGCTGCACAACACAAGCAACGAGTCAGAAAACATTCCGGTGTGTGACACACAGTGCAGTGATACAAACACCAACCGGGCGGCGCTGTCGGGTAAATTTCCTTGTTTCTAGAATCTCGACCGGTGTAGGATGGTCGCACAAAAACTTCATCTGTGACAGGAAAACGTCCTCCACGCTGACGCTGTGGCATAACTCCTGTCATCCAGAAATACAGGCCACGTTTCGTACTCATTGACGAAGTCAGTCTACGACAATGGCTGAATGTCGGTGGCCGTAGATCGTGCGGCATGATGAGGGGTGTCGCGGGTCCTGGCAGGTCATTTCGGCGTGTAGCCCAGGCATTTGTTGGTGACATTGCGTCGTGTCGTGGGGGTTGGCATGTTGCTCAAGGCAATCAATTCCGTCCCGGCCCTCTTTAGATACACGTCCTACTTAACACGATCTTTACGCAAGTTTGATTTTCTCGAATACCATATCGCTGCCGGGAAACACCAATACATCATGCGCCAGTCGGTGCTAGTAGCATTGTCCATTCTCCCTACAATGTGCAACCCCTACGCAGACGTCTGGACAGATGACAATTGACTTCATTACGGATTCATGAATGAAGACCAGCTGTTCAAATTCTAATGCCTATTTTGAAATTTGAATCATTCCCGATGACAACGCTATTTGCCCTGAATTCCTCTTCGCTGTTAGTTTCGTCTTGCACTCAATCTTAGTCGATTTTCGGCCAGCCATCGAACATATACGTTATAATTCCTTTGTATTCGCTGGAGTAGCCAATATAGAACAGCGTCGCTAAACCCCACATCCACACCCGATTCGAGCCTGGTGTACTCGTAACGAAACTGCGTCCACATCTGCTCGTTGTACTCGTTTTGACCGTTTCGACCCTCTTCTTGGAACAGACCGTCGTCTAAAGCTTGTCGCTGTACATAAGCAAACTCTGATGACGATAAATTGGTAAACATGTAATACACAACCGTCCCTTCCCCGGGAGTCGCAGGGGCTTGTCTCGTGGTAAGAGGAGGATCGATTCCTGCAGCGAACAGGCGTTGGGTGGGCGACGAAGGCTGATCAAAAAATCGCTCTCTCGTCAAAAATGGAACCTCATCTGATATTTCCGGTGAACTCGTGCGGCTCTGGGCTCCAGAACCGGATGATAAGTTGCTCTGATTGGTATTCGGTGGGTATCCCGCATGTGCAAGCTGCTCTCTTTCTTCTTGTCCCCGAAAGTGGGCGAATGTTCGCACTTGGGGTGGGCGGACGATGAAATGTCCATATACCATGAATAGCTGCTCCTCAGCCGGGATCGCTTGTGGTGGTGGTGGTCCGCTTTCGTGAGTGTTTCCCGGAAATGGCGGCTGGTTGGCCACTGGCTGGACGATCACTGGCTGATCGGTTATTAGTAGGAAGTCAATTGCGTTGTCCACGATTTCTGTGGTGGAAAGGCTGGATGATTGTACTGACTTCTTGCCCGTCGTGAGATGGACCTGGCATGGGACTTGGCATTCTTGTGTAGGGGCCTTGGTCGCTTTCACGATAACCGTAGTCGGCAAGGCTATCGTGTGTTGCGTGTGATGGGTATTCAGTTCTGTCAGGCACTCCACGTCCATCATTTTCGCCCCCGCTTTGGGTTAAGTTATCGCGGCTTTCACGAGGATTGCTTCCGTCAGGTAGCTGAAGTTCGTCATCTTCATCCCCGTCTTGAGTGGGGCTGTTTTGTCTGGGACTCCGCCGGTTGCTGTGAGATCCTTGATTTCCGTCCATCGTGGCCGCTGCTTGTGTAGATGAGGTGTAGCAACAAGGGAAGACTGGAGAGGTGGGAGGCCGAATGCGTATACCGTCTTGGAGAACGACGTTTGTTTCCGAAATAATCCAAGGAATAACTATATCTTGATAGCGAGTGTGTGGTACTAGAAGGCAATGGTATCTTGGAGTGATGGATGTGAAATGTTCAACAAGCTCGAGGTGACGCCCGACATGGGATTTCGGTTGTTGTTCTGATCATTTGTTGATGGCGGCTTCTATCCCGGCACCTTCAACAAGGAAGGTGCATGCGAAGACAGCGAAGATGGCGTGGCAGGAACGATTCTCTACCCTGTGATGCAGTGCCAAGTTGATCCTGGACATACCAACACTTAAATTCTGGTGTAACTATAGGTTTTGTGCAGCCCACACTTCCTGCATTCCGTTAGAATCTCTTCCCTTGAGACAGAGTTTTGTATAGTATTCGTGGTAGCCTTGTTCTTCTCAGCGGTAGGTGATCATGGGCTTTTCAGCTGGAGCAGACCTGCCTCTCATCAGCCACCCACCGTCTGTGGACGCCCCCAATATTTCCGTGGCTGATGTGAAGACGGCCGCGATAGACTCTTAATGGGGAGAAATGATCGAACACTGTTGGAGATAGACGGTGAAAACTTCGATGACGGAATATGACCATCTATTGGACATGTCTCCGGGGTGTCGAGGACGATGGTGTCGTTCCGACCACGTTTTTCCGCGAAGGCGATGCGAGCTTCTGGAACAGGACTTTAGAGCTCAACGATCAGTGAAAAAATCTGGGGAGCTATATGCAAATACCAGTCTAATAAAGGTTTAAGAAGACCAATGTTGTGCTTCTTAAGACCGATGCCCACCTGCCAGTGAGTTCAACCGTCCAGTGCAAGCTGCTATACACGAGTGTGCCGAGACCAGGGTGCGTTTTTTGAAATCTCACTCAGTCTTTGCCATTTCGGTTTGCAGTATTAACAAGCAATACAATGCTCAATCGCCTTTTCAGTCGGCACCAAGGCTGGACCGAGGCATCCATCGCCGTCGGGGGTACGCACACAAGTCTCACCACTTCCTCCCAAGGTCTGTGGACAGGTAGGCAAGGTGTCCTACCCCGTGCAGGTGATTGGGTCATATACGTATGCTCTTTCCCCTTCGAAATACAACTGTCGATGAAAGAGGACATGGAAAGGGCATGCTGTGGACTCACTATACTTGCCAATCCCCTGTCCCGTGTCTAGGGCCGCCGGCGCAGAAGCTTACTCACCTTCGCCGTCCTCTACAGTCCCTCTATCAGCATGTTGCCTTGGTCCATGAGAATGGCTATTACTTCGAATTTGACGACATTTGGTATCTCCTTGCAGGTCGCTGGCTATTTCACATGATCAATTGAGAAAGTCTCGATTCACATGAGAATTGTCGGCAGAAAATAGTCAAACGGATGCTATTCCTTCTTCGTTTTTCAATCAGTGTCTTCGCAGAGCAATGGAAGAGTGTCATATGAAATAGGAGCTCTGCGCAAAAAGAAGAGCTGGAATGAGATGACCTCGGCTTGTTGGCTGTTCACTCTCTCCCGTGTTTGCCAATTTCGAATGACGGAGGATCAATTAATTGCCACTGAGATTGGAATTGCCAAACGGAAGGGCTTCCACGTGCGCAGTGTAGTTTGCTACACACAATGGTCACAAATGATCAGGAAGATGCTCCCCTGGCATGGAAAAAATTGCAGCTTTCTCATGGAAAGTATATAAATTACGAGATCGCTCCGCGTGGTCTCTGTTTCAACGACCCCTTACTTCGGCTCCAGGGACCCTGCCTGGCATGACCTGGATCCAGGATTTTAAGGCTGGCATCTGCAGAAATCGAGCCTAAGCTCCTCCAACGGGGCGTTGGCGCACGTTGACAAGTATTCGAGTTTTACGGATTCCATAGCTCCCAGACACATGCCTGGGTTTTCACTTTGCGGAGTCACCGTGTTCGTTCACACTTTGGCTTCACATGAGCACCGGCCATCACCCAACAAGAGGAATGGAATTTATTGACTCATCATGATGGCACCCACTAATGGCCTTACAAAAGCGCAGGAAGTTGCCAAGCTGCCTCCATGAAACTCTCTTCTGCTTCCATCTCCAACAACAAGAGCTGATCGGACACTGAGCATCTGTCGTGCCTGATCTTGCAACTCTTGCACCATACCTCAAGACACATCATCGAGTCAAAAGCTTTGCCACTCCTATCCATACTCATCCTCATCCGCGCCTGCAATCAAAGCAGCTCAGGATGGTTCGTCACAGACATTCTGACATGCGGCGCGACTTTGACATGGGAGGACGACCGCCTCGGGGCCAATACACTGTCATTCGGAGTAGTACGTTCATTCTCAGCATGCCCAGTCGACTTCTGGTGTTTTACTAACTATGCCTCTCGCTTATAGCCTTCACCACCTCCCAGTCCCGACACAGGGGCAATCCGGGACAGAGCATGCTTCCCGGCGACAGCATGGCCGGCCCTTCTCGACCGAGGCGACACAGCCAGAATCGAGCCGATCCGATTCCCAATTGGATCGATGAGTTGCCCAGGGACTACCCTCCACCCCCTCCCATGAGGCCTGCACCTCCTCCCAGGACCCAATTCGGCCAGTTCCAGCAAGCAACTTCTGTCACCCCGAGCAACTCCATCTCACGATTTGACCGTCAGTCATCCCGGAGCTTCCGAGAGGGCCGAACTGGGCTCTCCCGGGATGACATGCCTCGAGGAAGTTCTGGTCTTGCGAGGCAGCGTGACTCGCAGTTTCTCAACCAGAGAGACACCTATGGGTACGACCAGAGACCAAACGATCTTTATCGGCCCAACGATCCACAGTGGGCTGGTGCCGAACCTGAGACGCCACGGGTGGTGAACAATTACTTCACGACAAACAACCACCAGCAGTACAACGTGGACAACAGCCGACACCAGAGAGTGAACGCCCAGGGTCAAGTCAACACCCAGAACATTCGGCACCACTCTATTCGCAGCACCCGGGGCGATACCGTCGACAACTCGAGGACCACGCAGCGCCTCTCATCCTCGGGTCACCAGCACCACCGACGGAGCCGTCACCACGGCGAGTACCGCGGCTAGGAGACCGGCGCTCCGAGTGAGACGATCCCTCTTCGCGGCCCGAGGATGAAGTGCACCCGCGGCCTCTTCATCAGCGGCAAGCGCATCACGACCCACCAATACGTTCCTGACGACCGCCCCTGTCTCGTGGAAGGCTGCAGAACCAAGCACTGCCTTCGGGTCGTCGAGGGCGAGAGGATCTACTCGGAGTTCTGCTCCGCGCACTCTTGTCGGCACTTCTGGCCTGAGTTTTGTACGTGCCCCACGTACTCTGGGGACAAGTACTGCTCTTGCCATGCGAGACGTTGAAGGCTCTGGGGGCCTCGGGGGGGAGGATGAACTCAGGGTGGGAGGGAAGACCAGTACGCTGTGGATGGGACGACTACGGCACCCGGGACACTACATATCATTCTTACCTGTTTACTGATGTGCTAACCGCCGGCATGAAAGGGTCAAAATCAGTCACGATTCCTTTTCTGCGTTAGCCTTATAGCCATGCCTTACCTGGCAGAACACTTTTAGATATATAGACCTAGCTGCTTTTTGAACTGTGTCCTTCCACATTTTCCCAAACAGGTTTAGCTCTCTGGTCAAAAACAGTGCTTCTTTTCTCCCTCCACCTTCTTCCATCTTCAACAAGACAGACCATACCCGTTTGGGAAATGGAAGGGGGCCACGATGACCTCGAGTGAATTATCTCGACTACCAGGGGTCCCAAAGTGGCTAGATCAAACTCACTTGAACGTTCTTGATCACTTCACTTGAGCAGCCTAGTCTAATTCACTTCGACGACCTAGTGAATATCCAATTCACTTCGACGACCTAATGAATATCCAATTCACTTCGACGACCTGAACCATTCACTAGATCAGCTTCGAGGTTGCCGCAACATGACAGCCCACCTTCGAATATATAAACCCTCCCTGCCCTCCCACCTTCGCCTGCTGCGACTCTCTCCTTTCTTCCTTCTTCAAAGCGAACGCTGACAAGACATCCAGTCATCGTTCTTGTTGTGTCCTAACTCTGTCTAGTATTGCCTCCACCACAACAACCCACTTCGCACGGTGTCCTTAGGTCTGCCCTTCGGCCCGTCTACCCTCGATCACCTTTCATCTATCTCTCCTCTCGTTGATCATTGACACTCCTTGCGACACCTTCGGATCGCAATGTCTTCCATCAACTCCCACACTCAGACCAAGCAGCAGCAACAGCAGCAGGCTGGTACCCGCAACATGGCAACCGCTTCCCGAAGCAGTACGTATTGACCACGTACCTACCTGGAGCAAGCCACTCTGGGAGCATTTGCTAACATTGATGTCATTTACAGCGGCGTCCACCTCCAAACTTCGCATGGGAAACGGTGCGGTCGACCAAGGCGGTTGCCGCTCCGAGCCACCGCGCTCCAAACCGTCCTTCCCAGCTCCGTCCACCATATTTCCCTCGGATTCAGTCAGTGTACGGGACGCCCCCAGTGCTGCCAAGGAGAAGAGCCGCCCTGGAAATGGTCACAACATCAATGGTACCTGGAATGGCAAGCCTGCGCCGAAGAACCTGAAGATTCCACGGGATTTCGCCGAGACCACGGCGCCCTCTTCAGTTAAGGCGTCGTCTGCGATGGGAAACCCACCCCCACAGTCATCGTCCAGACCGATTCCGCCGAGCAACGCTGGAGGAAAACCGCAATCCTCGCATTGGGCACCATCGGTGGTCACCAGTGAGAACCCGCCTTCTTCCTACCAGGCAACCCCGACAGGAACTTCCCAGCGGCCGGCATCGTCTTCACGTTCGGCGGCATCTGGTGGCAACACGGCAAACCAGCCGGCCTCCTCCATGTCCAGTCAGCGCGGAAGCGCACGCGGCGGAACAGCGGCCTCCACAGCAAGGGTCCCGAGCCAGCAGCCGGTTGGAGCGCCACGAACGGCGGCCAACTATCCAGCTCCTGCGCCGATGGATGGAACATGGGCGGGATCCTCGGGACAAAGCTCTGCTCGGGGACGCTCGGTTGCGGCGCCGCAGCAGCCAGGTGGTGTGAGCATTGGCATCCCACCCACCGGCGAATTTCATTTCCACTTCAACCAGGTAGACAACCGGAAGGTGACGGTGAACAACAACTCGTCGCAGAACATGGTCACGAACAACAACCAGACCTACAATACGGACAGCAGCAACCACCACAACACGACCGCACCGCAGGGCAATACATACAACACCCATGCGACCGACTCGTGCAACACTCATACCAACGTCCACCAGAATGCGACATCGGTCCGGCACTCCGCCTCAACCAACAACGGCGGACGAGGAGACGTTCGCCAGCCTAGCGAGTCCATGCCCATCCGTGAACAGCTCTACACCACCGCCAAGAAGTACAAGGCGAACGAGTGGTCAGCCAAGGTGACCGTCACACACGAGAAAGTGCCGAACGACCGCCCCTGTTAGGTACAGGGGTGTCAGGACAACCACTGCCTGCGTGTCGTCGACGGGAAGAAAGTCTACTCCATGTACTGCTCAGATCACAGCTGTCGGTACCTCTGGCCCGACTTCTGCTCGTGCCCAAAATACCCGGGCAGCAAGTACTGCACTTGCCATGGAGGGCAGTAAGTCGGTGGATGAAGAGACTGCGGGGGAACTTGGCGGGGAAAAGATCAATCTTGCGACGAGAGGCTGAATGGCGAGACTGAAGGGTAGGGGGTGGACAGGGCGGGCGGGATGTAGAGACAGGAAGGATTGGGGTGGCCATCGACATGGGACGGGGAAAGGGGCGCGTGGGAACTCATGATTTAGGCTCATCATGGGCGAGCCAGAAGGATACGGCGGAGGTCGTTGTCTTGGAAATACTTAGCCCAAGACGTCCTGAGCAGTCTCCTGCAAGGACAGCCAATATCAATACCGTGTGACACAACATGCCACTGTTCCATCACATTCTTTGACACGTGATGGTACATGACTATATATGAACGTGGCAAAGATATGAAATCCAGCCGTGATGTGATGCGCTAGCTATTCTATCGAATGGTATGCGTCACCCATCGTGCGTTGAAATTCATCCTGCAAAGGACCATATTGGGGAAGACTCACGGCGTGGTTTGGAACCTCCCTGTAACGTTTTTACGAATCCTCTCCTTAGAAATGTCATGTAGTTCGAATAAGGCGAGGCACGATAATAAGAATCAAAGCTTAACTAGTAGCGTGGCTGCATACCTCACTTCGCATTCTGCTGTGCTACTCGACAATCACGTGTGGACTTGGATTATCGCAGGTCGTAATGCGAGTGCCTCGACAAGTCGTTCTAACTGACTTCGGTTCCCATTCATGCCAAAGTAGTAGCCGGTTCAACATTCAATTGTAATTAATATATGAATGAGTTGACTTTTGCTTGACACTTACACTGCACAGTTTGGTGGTCATGGGTAGTTTCTAAGCGCAAACGAATGCTATTCAGGTGGAGTTATGTAGTTGACAGGACAGTTCTTCAGGGACGTCTGGCTAATTAATATAATTGGAAGATTCTCGACGATACTCGTCAGTCTTGAACTCAACTGCTTCGCCCAGCCTCCGCTCGGGTATAACTATACCGAGCCAGGACAAAGCCGGACATTGAACTATGAACCTCACGTTTTCAAGGTTGGTCCGGAAATGAGAAAAGTATCTGCGCGCAGACCACAGCGGCAAACACAAGAAATGCCCAAGACGATTGTTGGCTTTGTACTAGAGCCGTAAATCGAGATTGCTTCTATTCAGTTGAGAGCTGCTGCTGGCTTCTTTCCCTCGCGTCAGGCAACGCCTCGGCGCGCAGTGAAGGAACCGTTGACTTGGCAGCCGGCCCTGGACAAGGGCGAGCCCAGTCACGATGCCGCATCTCCGCACGTCGCGCGCCGGTCCCGCAGGATGGGATGAGCTTCCAGGAGGAGCCCCTCACGATCTCCAACAACTTGGAATTTAGGGAGCAATAGAAGACAGACCTCGTGGATCTGGACGTGAGAGGGGACGACTGTCCATTGCTTGAACCAACTCCCATCTCCCAGGATCTAGACACCAGAGCCAAGCAGAAAGTTCTTTTCAGATATAGACCTCTCCCAATGCATTAACACAAGGACTATAAATCTACAATTCCTCATCATGTTGCACCAAGAAGAACGAGTGCCCCAAGGGTACACACTCGTAACACAACCAGGCGAAGGAAGCAACCCCAGCGCCATCCACCTCCGCTCCGACGGGAAGCTGACCAAGCCATGCGCTTTCACATTCGAGGCCATCAGGCCCAACGTCTTTCGCACGACGTTCACTTCAGAGGACCACCCGCTTCCGCCGTTCCCGAGCCTTCGCCTCCCAAGCATCGACGAGGCCGGCACCAGGACCGTAACTCAGGCCAGCGACACCTCAACGAAGCAGGTAAAGCTCGAGAACACCAAAGCCGGCACCACCGCCACAGTCGACTTCACCCACACGCCCGTGGTATCCATCCACCTACACGACAAGCCCCTCCACAATGACCTGCCCCACCGGTCATACGCCCTCGATGGCCCCGGGGCCGCGCACTACTCCGTCTACAAGCAGAACACGCTGCACGTAGGGCTGGGCGAGAAGGCCGCTCCCATGGACCTGTCGGGCCGCGGGTTCCAGATCACGGCGTCCGACACCTTCGGCTACGACGCGCACCGGACGGACCCGCTGTACAAGCACGTGCCGCTGCTCATAAACGTCATCCCGGGCGCCGGCGCCGTGGGGGTCCTGTCAACCTCGCACGCCCGCGCCGCGTGGGCCGTCGGCAGCGAGATCGACGGGCTGTGGGGGCGCTTCAAGGTGTACCGGCAGGCGCGCGGCGGGCTCGAGGAGTATTTGATCGTGGGCGGGAGCGTGGCCGAGGTCGTGCGGGAGTACGCGGGGCTCGTCGGGCTCCCGCTGCTCGTGCCGCGGTATTACCTGGGTTACGTGTCCGGCGGGATGAGGTACAGCATGCTGGACGAGCCCGTGCGTGGGGCGGATGCTATTGTTGGTTTCCTGGATAAGTGTAAGGACCTGGACATTCCCGTGTCGGCGCACCAGATGAGCTCGGGGTACACTGTGTCGGAGACACCGCCCAAGACTAGGAACGTCTTCACATGGAACCGCCATCGGTTCCCAGACCCGAAGGCGTTCACTAAAGAGTGCCACAAGAGGGGTGTCAGGATCTTAGCAAACATCAAGCCCTACGTCCTTGCGAACCATCCCGACTACCAGAAGCTGTCAGAGGCGGGCGCATTCTTCAAAGACCCGCTGACCGGCAAGACTTCAGTGGCGCGGCTGTGGAGCGCGGGAGGCGGCGAGAGCGGCGAGGGCAGCCACATCGACTTCACCAGCAAGGCTGGCTACGAGTGGTGGTACAACGGGTGCCGGTCCTTGAAGGAGGTCGGCATCGACGCGATGTGGAACGACAACAACGAGTACAACACCCCCAACGACACGTGGGAGTGCGCGCTGGACCTGCCCAAGGACGTCGAGGCGATCCACGTCAACGCCCCGGCGAGCGGTGCCAGCCACATCGGCCTCTGGGGCCGGGCGGCAAACACGGAGCTGATGGGCAAGAGCTCGTGGCAGGCGTGCGTGGACACCGAGCCGGACGTGCGCCCGATGGTGCTGACGCGGAGCGCGACGGCCGGGACGATGAAGTACGCCTGCGCCAGCTGGAGCGGCGACAACGTGACCAGCTGGGAGGGCATGCGGGGCAGCAACGCGCTTGCGCTCAACGCGGGCTTCTCGCTCATCCAGTGCTACGGGCACGACATCGGCGGCTTCGAGGGCCCGCAGCCCACGCCCGAGCACCTCGTTCGGTGGGTGCAGATGGGCGTGCACTCGCCCAGGTTCGCCATCAACTGCTACAAGACCTCGCCCGAGGACAACCTCGTCGGCGAGGTCATTGAGCCGTGGCAGTATCCCGAGTCGACCGGCTTGATACGCGCAGCCGTTAAGAGGAGGTACGAGTTGCTCCCGTACATATACTCGCTGAGCATCAAGAGCCACCTCACGGCCGTGCCGCCGCAGCGATGGACGGGCTGGGGTTACGAAAACGACGAGAATGTCTGGACCAAGGAGGTTATGGCTGGCGACACGCAGTACTGGCTCGGGGACGCCTTGATCGTTGCTGGCGTCTTTGAGCCCGGCCAAGAGCATGTACGAGTGTATCTGCCATCTTCTGACGACTCCGCCAAGCACGAGACTAGCCAGGCCGTCTGCTTCTCAAGCCAAGACGCAAAACCGACAACCAGGTTCGGCTTTTTCGATACCAAGGCGCAGAATGGGCGGTCTTTCCTGCCCTCTGGGGCGTGGCAACAGATTGATACTACTTTGGACATGAATGGAGATCAAGGTGAACGTCGGTCTCCAAACCACATCCCCGTGCTAGCACGGGTTGGTAGTGCTGTGCCAGTGGGCAAGAACCGCCACACGACCCCATCGCCCAACCTCAATCCTGAATTCCCTCAGGAGGAGAAAGACGACTGGCGTGGCGTGGAGATCTATCCACCTCCAACGGACCAGAACTGCCTCCCAGGCAGCAGTCCGCGCAAGATCGTCTTCGAGACAATCTGGCACGAAGACGACGGCACTAGCGCCGCACACATTGCTGATGTCCAGCGTTGCACCATCACCCTGGAGTACACTGTGAGTATCGGTTTCGACAAGACAGAGCCAGGTGGCTATGGCATCGACGTCAAATGTACGATCAAGGGCCCTGGCCAAAGGGAAAGCGGGGGCACGGGATTGACATGGCAGCCGCTGTGGCTTGACAACGGACTCGATGTTGTACTGCCCTTGGGCGTGGGGACTAAGATCACTGGGGCTATAAATGTGACAGAGGCCAGGAGCGCTTCGGAGGCCTACACAAGTGCAGGAAGGAACATTTGGAATATTCCTGTGGCTATTGAATGGTCAATATGACCATGTCATGCAGAGAATGAGATGGTGGATCGAACAGACCTGCGGCGCTCACGTGTTTGAGAGCTTCAGAGTCCTAAACGCCTGACCGCCCAGGATGATGACGACTTCTCCCGTGGGCAGATGGCCACCAGTTATCTGTCGCGAAGTAGCCGGGCTGGGAAGCTGGATTTTCCGGTGCATGTTTTCCGAGCCCGTCAAGTCACAAGAAGACTGGCTCAGGGCAGATGTAGCAAGTCGCGGTGGCATAAAGCCGAGACAACGGACAGCCTGTCTTGAAGCATACAGCGACATAATTCTTAGGTACCCAGGTAAACGCAGACAAAGTCGCCATAATCGCTTCCGTAACGTGACATTCTGAAGGCGACGCGGGCGAGCTGAATCCCAACAACTCTTCGTCTCTTGGCCTTTCCCAAACTTGATGAGATGCGCCTAGACCATTGTCGCATCGTGCATTGCAGCATTTGGTCTCCAGGCACATCTGAAGCGCCTTTGACTCCTGACCCTGGCATCCTTGCATCTGTCCTGTCCAGGCCATAGATGGCAGCATGTCGCCATGTTCTAGGCCCAGTAGTGATGCCGCGTAAGCCAGCCCGCGGACCACGCCCGCGAACCAGCGGCCAGCTGGTCTCAGATCGCGGGACAGCTGCCAATGGCCTCGCCAACACTTGAGGCAGCGGCGGAGTGAATTTCCCGCTGGTCGACCCGGTCTCGCCGGCTGGCCGGTCTGGGGGAGCCTGGATCGGCCAAGGGATGCACCAGTCCGGAACATGCTGCAGATCCGCAGTCTCTGTATCCCTGGCGAGGTTCTGCGCGTCATAGAGGGTTATTTGGGTTGTATTTTTCCAGTATTGCTGCAGATTTCAGAGAAATAGTGCCAGCGCCATTGGGGTTTCCAGACAGACCAAGCAGGTAAATCCGCCTTAAAGCCGCGACCGGACTGCATACTATTGAAACATAGTTGATAAGTTGCAGCGGTGAGCGGTGATCGAGGATCGGCAGTTGTTCGCTTCGTGTAGGATATGGGCCACATGCGATCGGCGTGCAGATGACGCTAGATCGTGAAAGCAGTAAGGAGACTGGCCACTGGCGACTGAACAGTAATATTGGCGAGCCGCTGTCTGACTCCAAAGCACGAAGCTGCTCTGCTGCCTTAGCGCCAGCGGTAGACATGACCGCATGCCTAAACCAGACAGGAAATGGACACAGACACTCCTAGGCACTGAATCCGGAAAGTATGAGCAGAATAGCTGTTGGATTGGAAGTCGACCCATGACCATGTGCCTTTTCATGTGCCCCATGGTAGGTCTGAAAACTGGCCATGGGGCTCAGGTGCTGTTCCTGGTAGGTGTAGCCCCATGGGAACTGAAGCTTCCATGAAATAAGTGACTTGTGAAATCAGCGGGTGGGACAGCATGGCATGCAAGACAACACGTATACTTGAACAGAATCTAGAGCAAGGGTGGAACATGAAATAGTTCAGGACGAATCCGAGTAGCTGGCAGGTATATTGTGATGCCAGAAATCCGAGGCGTACATTGTGGCACTCGAGAGCCAGGATCGCAGGCTCGACGTGATAGACCAACGGCCTAGGCTGGAGCTCACCGGCCACTGAGTGGAGTGAACTTGCAGACATCCTCGAGCACCTCTGCCAACACCTCCCGGGCGACTTGAGGATCTATGCGTTCTGCGGGGCCGGTCTTCATCATCCTACCGACAAGGAACATCAGTTGGCCCGTGGGGAAATCAGCCCCCGTTGAATAGTGTTGGATCAAGATCTTCAGCACATTCTTTTCCTTTCTCACAGTCTCGGCGGCCAGTCCCCTGTACTCATCGCGGGACAGCGAGTTGAACCAGAGGTTCTCCTTCTCAATCGCCTCCTCAACGCTAGCGTAGCCCTCGGGCGACGTGCGACTGAGGTCCCCTCGATAGACGGCGAAGAGAAGTTCTTTGGCGACGCGCGCTGTCACACGCATGGTGTGGAAGTAGTAAACGATATCGGCGAGGTGCTGTGCTGGCACGCGGGTGCTTTCGCCGGCGGGCGACATGTCGAGGGTCTGGACCGTGCCATCAGCCGAGGCATTACGCTCCGACGTGAGGCGGCCTAGCTCGTGGAGAACCCAATTGCCGGCTAATACGGCGCAGCACGTGTCCCATTGATCACCGAGGCGGTCCTGCAGGCGCTGGACGACGTTGTAGTAGTACTCAAGCCGGTGGCCGTCGTCGAACTGCATCAACGCCAGCGCATCTTTCGTTTTGAGGCCGTATTGGCTGACAAGCTCGTCAACCTCGGCATCAGGCAGCATGCCTAGGTTCTCACCGAGATGGGAGATGACTTGTTCGCTGATGGTGATTGGTGGCAGATCTGGGTCTGGCATGTAGCGGTAGTCGACCTCACCTTCCTTCCCACGGAGGCGTGTTGTCTCAGTGCCACCGATGGACCAACTACGTGTCTCACCGGCAATGATGCCGCCGTCCTTGATCACAGAGATCTGGCGATCGCGCTCGGCGATTATGGCGTCCTCGACGGCCTTGAAGCTGCTGAGATTCTTGATCTCGGTCCTCTGACCCAGTGGCATGGACTCGAAGTGCGGATGGTTCTTGCGCCTGACACTGACGTTGACATCGGCTCTCAGGCCACCAGCTTCCATGCCGCTGACACAGGAGTCGACGGCGTTGAGATACATCTGGACCTTCCTAATCAGTGCGGCGGCTGTCTTTGGGTGGTGTATATCGGGATCTGTGATGATCTCGATCAGTGGTACGCCGACCCGGTTGAAGTCGACCCACTGGACGCCGTCGGGACGGGCGACTGTCTTGGCCGTGTCCTGCTCCATCTGGACCTGCCTAATGCCTATACGCACTTCCTCGCCATCCTCCTTGGCGATCCCGTCTCTCTCGTACAGCGTGATGTGTCCATCCTTGGCGAATGGCTCGTAGTATTGGGTGATCTGATAGCCACTGGGTTGGTCCCACCAGAAGTAATGCTTGCGATCCCATCTGCTGACGGGCTGTATGTCACAGTTTAGGGCAAGAGCAGCTCGCAGGGCGGGAACAAGGGCGTCTGGCTGAAAGACTGGCTGGGAGCCAGGCATGGCAAGATCGAACAGGGCAACATGGGTGTTGGGCTCGTCGGATGGCAGAGGCGGGCTGGCGGGCGAGAAGAGCTTATGGTGGGCGTTGAGCTGGGCGTGGATCTCTATGCCGACGGTGAGCTCCCATCCAGGGACAATTTGACGGGAGGAGTTGGAAGGCTTCTTGTGGCCAGAGGTCTTGAGGGCCTTTCCGATCTTCTTTAGCTTCTTGCGGAGGGGGGCTTTGCTGTCGGGAGGAGGGGATGGGCGAAGGTCGTCGGCAGCCGGGCTGGCAGCAGGTGTGGATTCATCTTGCGAGGCCGCGGCTGCGGATGACGGTTGCTGAGCGAGGCGGCGAGGGGGATACCAGGAGATTGACCGGCTGGGTGCGATATGTGTGGCTCGGGCTGCAGGGGAGTTCGGAAGGAGGAGGCGTGAGTGAGGACGAAGCCGAAGGCGCAGACAGCCGTGATGGTACAGCTGGCCGGCGAGCAGGTAGCTGCTCAGCTCCCGTACAGGAGTACGGACCATTTCTGGATTGACTTTGCAAGATTAACACAAATTGTGTCCGCCACTGCTGCCTCAAGCCATCGCAGGTAGATGTGGGCACGGTCGTGGGCGAGGGTGAGCATCACGATAAAGATTGCATGCAACCTGCTCTGCACCGCGAAGTCAAAACGGCAAAGCTCCACCGTTTGGAGCTCCGATAAGATAAGCAGCATGGCCTGTGCGTATCTAGCCGTGTTCCTCTTTGGTTATCGACAAGGTATGACGTAGTGAGGCTCCCGTGGCGTTTCTGACTTGCCGATGACACACACGGCGACGGAGCAGCCCCCAGCCGGAGGATGCCACGGCAAACGCCTAATTGAATCCCTGCGACAAGAAATCGACTATCACGTTTTCCCTGCTACTGTACTTCGTTTTCGCGCTCGTAAGGACCCTGATCTGCGGTGGCAAGGTGGGTGTGTGGGGGGCGAAAGAAGGAGAGGCGCCGATTGGAGCAGTTAGACGAAACTGGCTGCTGACACTGTTTCCTCATTTCAACTTCCACCGTCTTTGATTTCTTTCAGAGTCGACAACCATGCACTCATGAAATCACCATTTGAGACCGCCATATTTATCATCTGCCTTCTTCATCGACTACTATCTACGGAGCTCCGCACCTGTTATTGACCACGAGACACGTCTGGTCCGCCACACCACCAGTTACCCAGAGCCCGACTCTCTGGACGGCTGCTCAGCACGGAAAGACACAGAAATCGTAGACATTTACAGACCACATAGAGCCATGGCCAAGAAGACAAAGTTCAAGCCCACCCACTCCTCGGACCAGCCTCCATCCAACTGGACAGCCACCCGGCCCCACAAGTACTGCGGCAGGATGGATGCCGCCAGCACGCGCAAGGGTAAAGCAAACAAGACACATCACTGCGAGGCGTGCGCTGCCGTGAAGGCTCGCCTCCAGCGCCTCGACTCCAAGGCCGCCGCCGACAGGAGGGAGTCCAAGATGACCTGGATGGCTGGCGGTGACGAGACTTGGTAGGGCTTGTGAGCTGGACCGCTCCCAGATGGACACGATCAAAGCATGCACCCGCTCGTCAGCCCGTCCCAAAGGGCCCATCGCGCGTATCGTACCATGCAACCACGTAGGTATTCTCATGCTCCGGCCATCCGTGGTAGCTGGAATCCGTGCTTACTTCGTCCAAGGTCCCGAATCTCTCGCTGTCTAGGGTAGGGTCAGTGGGAGGGCTATTACCCTCTGCGAGGTTCATCTCAATGACCACCCCCTGTTGTGGCCGTCAGCAGGCACCCAGGCACTAGCACGTGCCTCAAACCGGCCACATTAGGATTTGCATGCGCTGGAAATGGTTCATCCTCGACGACCTCCTGCTGCTTGGCCCCTCGAAGCCAGGCTTTGGTGTTGTGGCCGCCAGCGTGGTTAATGCTAGGTTGGATGTGCAAAAGCGCACGAGGACCATTGCCTTGTTTTCGAGACAGTGGGATTATGAGCTGCTTTCCCTGCCTCTTCGCCGCCTACTGGTGGTTGCCATCAGAACCGAGGCAGCCTTGCAGAGAGGACTCGCACTGGCCAGTCTCCCAACGATACCCTGCGGCTTCTATTACACATGTTACTTTGCCAAATCTGGCACAGTCGAGTATAGTGTTTGTATTCCAATCAATCTTCTTCTGCTGCCGCCCCCCTTGTTTGATTCGTTGGTATATCCCTTGCCTTTTATTACTGCGTTCCTTTTCTGTTTTATGTTTCGCTTCTTGAATTACATCCGTCGTCCCTTGTCTGGCACTAGAGCAAGTCGACTCGTGAGGCTCGTACACGGGGATTATTGACTGTCGAGTTTTATGCTTCGTTGCCCTACCCTATCCAAGACACAGGATGGTAGGGCACGGATGCTATCGGCCGATGGAGTGTCGAGAAGGCCTACGACCACATCGAGCCTGAGGCTGGGTTGACAGCTTTGTCTGTCTATTTCCTACTGTGTTTAGAAGGCGACGGGGCAATGCCCTCTGGTCGAAGCAAAGTGGATCGGTGCCATGGCCAAGGAAGATCCAGGCATCGTTGCAACATGATATACTCAACTCCGCCTACTCAATTCCTTCACGCTACCACCGGTATGGTCGACAACACTCAACACTCGGGTGCACATATGGGCAGGACACTGCCACCTCGAGCAACATCAAGCCACGCAAGCGTGTGATGTGCAGCAGTATGGCAGGGCCACTCTATGTTTCTCCTCTCCGAGGACTTGGTTCAGTTTGCACCACAAGATGGCATTCGTATACCAGGGTGATATCGGCTGGCCGGGGGCGGAAGGTTATATTGGTGGACAGGTGGACCGACCAACGTTGCGGAAGAAGAAGCAATGCCACCCGACTGGGTCACGGGACCTTTCCTTGAAGACGGCCTTGGGTGAGCCCTGCATTGCCACCCAGTCAAGGCGCGCAATCCCTACCGTCGCCAGTCTAGGCCCACTTGCGGCATGATCTCCATCGGGTCGCTCTGGCACCACGGTTCGGCGATTCACCGCCGGGCGTGGATCTCTCGGGAAACTCGACGCAAGGTCTTGGGACGCAGGACTTTGGCGCCAAAGTGACTCCTGCCACGGTTGTCGGCGGTCTGGGAAGTTCCGTCTGTGAGCTTTTGCTTTTTCTCCCTCTCCTTTCCCATCGTGGGAGCCGTCGATCGTCCCACGGCAGTTCTGGTTGTCTCGGCTGGCCTGGATCTGCGCCTTCAGACGCAAGGAGGAGAGCTCCTCCGTTTGCCTATTCTTCGCGGCACCGCCCAGGGCAGGGCGGACAACCACCCGTGTTGTCGGCTTACGGAATCTGCAATGATCTTGTTTATCTTCCCCTTTTCGTTCATATGTCATCGGTCGGAAGACTCGGGGACGAGGAGGAGGGACGTCAGGCGGTTCGGAGGGCCAATGTCGTCAGCGTTGACATTGGCGGTGGGGACAATCGTGCAGGAAGAAGGGGCAAGCAATGCGAGCAAGATCGTGTCCTTGGCACTCTGATGCTGATCGACGCTGTTAGCCTGGCATGGGTATGTGGCCTCGGCTGCACAGGAGGGTAGGCAACCTGAAAACCTGGCAGAGCCGGTCTGGGGAGCCCTATCACGGGCCTGATGGGCGGGCCGGTGCAGATCAATGAGAGACCTTGTGGTCTCAGGCCAAGAAGCCCGTTGACGGTCGTCTTTGCTGCCCATGCCAGATCAGGAAGGTCTGGCTGTCAAAAACCCGGAAGCGTGGTGGGTTGTTGTGATCAACGAGGATCGGTCGGCCGGAAGCCGGGGCAGAAGAATATGGGAATTGTTTGCTCTGGCGACGGATCCGCCTTGCTGGATCCAAAACAGTTCAGAGAGGAGCGCACAGGATTGTTGGCTGCTTGCCTTGTCATTGACTTAAGTTGAGACCGGAAGGTGGAAAGGAAGCAGGGGCGGGGCGGGAAATCCAGTATGACCACGGTACGCAGTTGGCTGTCTTCAGCAGAGGAGGCGGACGCTGCTGCACCGCTAGGGTTGCTCCCTCTTGATTGACTTGCAGCGGGAATAGCTTGGGCGAGATGCGGGTACGCTGTGGTCATGCCCCGTACCGGCTTGTTCAGGGTTGGTCGGCGAGCAGAAGACGAATAGCTGGGGACGACAGCCTTATGTTGACGGTAGGACGGAAAAGCCCCTGGGGAGAGGAATGTTGGGTCTTTCTATCCAAGAACATACGGCCCACCTGAATGGGCGGGAAGGGCGATTCGATGCTCGAGAAACAACACTTCGACACAGGGAGCAGTAGCCGGCCTTGGCGTGGCCGTCCTGGAGTCAGTGGATTCAGGAGGACAGGGGAGGGGCCACCCAGCTGGTTTCTGTTCGCTCTACGGTCCCAAAATCTCTGAGTCGGTGGGCGCCATGCATCGAACAGTAAGAGCAGTCAGGTGGTCAAACCGCATCGAGTTGGTTTCTTGGTTACATCTGTGCTGGCGCTGATGCACAATCGCAGCATGTCGATTTGATGGGGAACAAAGGCCCCGTGATTCTCTGGTAATCACGACATTGAACACGTCTTTATACCGGTCCTGGCAGTTCATCGTGTGTGGCTCATTTCTTGGGTCGCCTTGACTGCAGATTGCAGTAGTGCTTGCTCTCCAGCTCAGACGTGGTTGGGATGGCGGCGGCTAGGAACAGGACGACGGGTAGTGTTCGTGTGTGGTGTTGCCGACTGCACAGAGAGTCGAATTACCCGGATGGGCAGGCTCCTGGCCGGTATTCAGTTGGGTTGTTTGGGTCCCAGCACTGGAAAGGAGGCAGCCTCGTCGTCGCTGTGAGCGGACTTCTGCGGCTCTCAAAAGGTTTGCAAGGTGTAGCTAAAGCAAATGTTTACAGCTTTTGCTTATTTCCGTTTGAGACGGGGAAAGAAGGCCGACATTCTTCCGCGTCTGAAAATTTGATGCCCAACTCTACTTGTCGCTACAGCGTCCGGGCCAAAGGCGCAGTCCAATTTGTCACACGCCCAAATGGGGCAACATCATCCCGTGAGCGCATCCGCAGAGACAGATGCGTGGCAGCATTTCTCGATGCCTGCGGGCGAGAAACGCACACGCCCTTCCCTAAGGGGACGAAATCCTGGGGAAACTCTATTTGCAGTGGCTGATACTTGCGCGCCCTGGTGCCTAGTGACGACAGATGACGTGTGGTCTGTCTCGCTATTGATTGGCTGAGTGGGCTTGGGGCATTTTCAGCATTCTTTCAGTTATTTCCTAGTCAGTGACAGCTTCTGTCGTCGTGTTCTATTCTGTTCGTAGTGAGGGAGTTGTAGTTGAGGTTCTCTCGCTGCCCCTTTGCCTTTTCTTGCCGTACTCTGCTGTGATGACAAGGAACCTTGTCCGAACAGATAATTGTAAATCCTCTTGTGCAACACGAAAAAAGAAAAGAAAACGTCGTTGCGAAGGTCCGTGTCAGGGTGTCTCCAAGAAAGTGCAACAAGAACCTTGACCACAGGTGCAGGAAGAAAAAGGGGCAAAGCGAATATCATGGGACTCGCCATGTCTTGCTGTCCTAGTAATATTTAACACTTGGACTTCCGCAGCCCAATGATACATTATGCGTAGCTACCCTTGAGCTAGTGAATGAGCGAGGCCGTGTACCGATCTGCTTTCGGAAAGTTGAGTTATCATCTCTACGTACCTTTGATGCAAATAGCCAGGCAGCCCGGCTTGCCTCTGGCCCTGCCAGACTGAGCGGGAGGCTTCAGTCAGGATTACCACAACGCCCTAGTCCCAAGTAAAATTCAAGCGACTAGAGGAGTCAATGAGTCAATGAGTAGAGACATTCACGTGCCATTGCGGCAGATGGAACCTTCAATCAGGTAGCCTGTTGCGTAGTGCTGTCGCTGATCACGGGCGGCCATTGTCCCACCGAGGACCAGTCGATGGAGTGGATACAGTGGGAATTCATCACCGGCCAGGACATGAAAGGACCGGAGGACTGGGCACAGCAGACACATGGGGGCACGACCATTAGCCGTCCACAATCATGGGCAGGTATGGGGTTTCAGCCGAGGGCCGGCACGCTTGGGACAAAAGCTACCAAGTTGGGGCTTTTGTCCGGACCCAGAAGGATTTTGGGCATGGTGGCACTGCAACGTGATGGGGAGGGTGGCTGCATGCGGCTCGACTCAACTGGTTTTGGTTAATGTATGTGGGATTATGCGCAGACGAAAATGCTTCTCGTTTTTTGTACAGAAATACAACATGGTTCCCTGGGGATCATGTAACTGACCACGAGTGTTGTGGTGGATGAGCCGTCCAGCCAGGGACGGGTTTGTCGAGAAAATGGAACCCTGACGTGGAGGAAAACCAGAAGCGAGACGGTGGAGTTACCCAGCCAACATCGGCATCTACGCACAGCATATACATGCAACATACGTCTGTCTCCCTGGCCAGCCGCGTGGTAGAAGCATTTCTGCACGAGGAGGGTCCTTCTCCACGGATGGCGTGATACACGCAGGGGACCGGGGTCAGACGCTGTTGTTCATGAAAGGCATGATGCCTGAGCCCAGGCTGCTGTGTCCATAGCAGGTATCCCGTCTTCCCGGGCGTTGGGGGGATTTATTTGTGGGGAGAGTGCATGATCATTGCCTTACAGTGGGATGGATGCCGAAGCTCACCCTGACTTGGACAGGAAAGAACGCTTCACTTTTCGAAATCTAGACAGAGTTTTCATCTGGAGTCAATTCTTGACCGAGACATGCGAATAAGTACTTGACTACAGTACCCGTCAAGTTGCTCCGCAATGCTTGGGCGCGTCTGAGACATTTTGACAAGGACGGACGGACGGACAGGCAGACCTGTTTCCAGGCGGATGAACCCCACAGGATCGAGTTACCAGGACCTACTCTGAACCACAGTGGACAGATCTGGGCAGATGGCTGTATTCCTAGAGCAATATTGGCAAGTGAATGGCGAATATGTGGCAGCAGTGTCATAGCTTACAAACACATGGTACCGGTATTGTAGCCCCGTACTCTGCAGCAGTTGTTCTCCGAGTTCCAGTAGGTGGTCGCCGTACCAGCGCGCACAAAAGCAGCCTGTTCAATCTGCTCTGGGACTGGCCATGTACAAGGAAAACTGTCTGTCCGCCGGCCTGGATGATGGAAAGATGACGGAGAGTTATCCAATTCAAATGCTAGGAGCCCACGGGTATTTCGAACATCTGTGTCTGTCTAACAGCAGCGTCGAGAAATAACCACCGATATGTGGCCTTCTCGTGGATCCATCCGTTTGTGCCGTACATCACAGGACGGGGCAAAAATTAGGGATGCTTAGGTGCTCGAAGTCGACCTTGAATTGGAGGGCAACTCATTCTTGTAGCCTGAATTGGCCTTTGTCCCTGTCTCACTGAGAATCTTCATCGAGATCTCCTTTGTTTGCCATCGGACAGCAATCGAGCTCCCGGTCAGGAATGTCGGGGGAGACGAGAGAGATCGTGTGCCCCAAGAGGAGACCCGGAGCGGCGCAGTCATCGGGCTGTCACATCCCAACATTCTCATTGGCTCGCGGTCCGGCGAGTATTCCATGGATTTTGATTGGCTCCTTGGGCCATTTTGCCTCAACCGGGTTCCTTGCGCAACGCAACGCAACGCAACGCAACGCAACCTTGCTTGAGGTTTTGAATTATTAACAACAGTGAGGAGATGGAGGCAACAAGTAGCAGGACTCACATGTGCAATAAGTACACAACATATATCTCGGTGGCCAGATCGACAGTACCTTGTGCGGTTGCACACCTGCTACATGAACATACGTGGACCAAATCGACTAAACTAATGTTCTAGCTAGGTACGTCTACCGCCGTCGCCTCGTGGCCAGCTCGTCCACCAATCAGCCTCTGTCCGGCAAACCTTCCGCTGGCCAATCGGGGTGGGTGTGGTCCCTGGATTTTCGTTGGAGACGGCATCTCGCCTCCGGCTGCAAACGCTGCTGCTACCTCCTCCGCTTTCTGACAAGCTGACTTCTCGGTACCTTCGAGGGCACCTCAGGAACATACAAGCACGCAAGCGTACGGTACGCTGAACCCTGCTGTCGTTGGCCTCCCTACAGCCTCCATGATCCGCTGCGCCTCCCTCTTCCCCCCTGACCCTCTAGATATACACTATCGCCGCACCAAAAGGTCCCTTGGGTGGCATCTGGACCCCCATAGTCGAATTGACTTTGAAGACACGGCTGTCACTCGACGGGACGGGAGCCTGATACCAGCATCCCCGGCCACGAACAGACCCATTACCATTGTACCGCCTCCACTCCTCCTTCCAGCCCCAGGGGCTCCACCACCCACAAGGGCCCTACATGGGAGATCTCAGTCCGACCCGACACTGCCAGGTTTCCCATCACATCTCCCGCCCCTCCTGACAGACGCTTGCACTGGCGCCTGTGTCCACTCGCCCGTCCTTGGCAACATCCAAGCCCGCCACAGCGCAATTCTCCTCCACGAGGGGGGGGGGGGAGACTGCTCCCGCTCCCCTCTTTCATCTTGACCACCTGATGTACCCTCTCGGCCTGAATTCCTGGCCCTGTACCGCCTGTCTGCTGCAACTTGGGGACCTCATGCTGCACACCCCCTCCCCCACCCACAGAGGCACCTCGAAACTAAACGACCGCCACGCCACATCGCATCCTGGCTGTCCATCTTATCGCACTCTCTTTGTGTCGTCACTCGTCACTCGAGTGGCCACGCGGAGTCTGGACCCCTAGACAAAGTCTGGGCCCAATGTTGATGTCACCTAGGTAGCCCACAAGCAAGCAGTCGACGGGCTAGACACAAACGTACGTTTCGTTCCGCGGGGGTCCAGCCACCCCCCTGTCTCCCCGCCATTTATCGCCAGCACGCTCGCATGTGGGAGTGAGTGTTGATGGGACTAACGTCCACGACGGCTGTGGTCTAGTCCTCGCCCTTGCTGCAACCCGCCCTTGCCCTTGCCCGGGCCTGGTCCCCCACCTGTACAACTTGGTCGTTTGTCAGACCCTGCCTGGCCTGCATGGGGAATGGGTCTGGCCGACCACTCGCCCCCTGTGTGGACTGGGACATTGACGGCCGTCCCCACCAGAGTCGATAACCTTGGAATGATCGGGTACAAGCATCCTGGGGACAGGGAGAAAAAAAAAGACCTTCACTCACCCCTCAACGCTATCCTTACTAAAATAATCGCACGTAGAGTACATAAAGCCACAGACAAGGAAGTGACCTCAGGCGCACGCCGTTGATTCTGGTACCCAGGGTAGCGACCACACCTATCCAACCCAGGCATCCACATATACATCCGCATGCACGTACAACTGTGTACACACATACACGCATAAACCCATTGGCACCACAACCCATACAGCGGAGGGGGCCCTTCCTCACGAGTGTCAGCAGGATCCGATCTCCACCGGCGGCAGCACGCACCTGTAACCATCCCCGGCCCAGGCGCATCGTGACCCCCGACACGGCTTATCGTCTCAAGCCTCGATGGCGCGCCCAGATCTGTACCCCTCACACGGCCCTGTGTCCTCATATTCCTGGGTCTCATGCAAGAAATCAGCAGCCGAGAGTATACCTCCACCACACGCCACACCGGCTGATCCACATTCAGCAGCGGCCATGACGAACCCTCTCTACGACCGACCTCGCACTCCGAACGATGGCCAATTCTATCCAATATACCCCGAGTTCTACGACTTCGGCAATGCTGGCCACAGTACTGCTGCTGCCGCTGCCACCGGCGGCGGTGGTGAGCAACCTGCCCCGGGGTTCCCGGAAATGGGCCAGATCGAGGGCGGCTATCCACCTAGCTGGGACTATGGCCTGGGCGACGTCGAGCTGGCATTGTTCTCTTCGCCGCCGGGCATCGTCCGAGGCGAAGAAGACCGTGGACCACAGCCTCGGGCCCCGTGGGACTTCGGGACCCAGGCCTACCCGGCCATGACGGGCGGCGGCACAATGGCAACGGCGAGCCCCATGTCTCAGTATCTCCCGGCAGGAAAGCCCTTGGGTGGCTACTACGAGCCACTCGATTGGCCTCGGCCGCCGATGGGGCAGATATCACCGTCGCCCAGCCAGAGCAGCTACCACGCCTCGTCGCCAGCCAGCGTAGCCGGGCCACAGTTCTCGCGACACAACAGCTGCTCGTCCCTCCCGGCCTCGAGGGCGGCTGCGGTCGAGCAGACACGTGTCGACGCGCGGTTCCAGCCTGTGCCCGACCACGCAGTCAGTGCGGAAGAGACAGTGGCCAACAGGGGATTCCGTCCGGGAACTGAGCCCTCGTCGTCTGCGCGACAAAAGACCGGATCACGGAGAAACGCGCGGAACCAGACCATGACGGCGACCACCACCACGGACTACAACGCGGGCACCTTGTGCCCAGCCATCACGCCCTCTCCAAAGGACAGCACTGCCGCCGTTCCCTACCAACCGGTCTCCCAGGGCGCCCGCCGCCACTCAGAACAGCAGACATCAAAGAGCAGCGGGAAGAGCCCGCCCCAGCCCGCCGTCCGGAAGACCGCACAGCAGCAGCAGCAGGCGGAGACAGGACAACAGCAAGCCCAAGCTCAGCCCCAACCCCAGAGCCGGCCCTCGCCACAGGCAGGGCAGCCCCGGACGCAGAGGCCGCGCAGCCGGGCGGCGGCCAAAAAGTGCCGGGCCAAGGCGAAGCTGGCGGTGGCGGACCTCGAGTCGACGGAGCGGGCCATGAGCAGCGAGCACCGGGAGCTGTCGGCGACGGCGCGGGGCCTGCGCGACGAGGTGCTGCTGCTCAAGAACGAGCTGCTCGCGCACGGCAACTGCGACGACTCGCTCATCCAGCAGTACCACACCAACCAGGCCCGCATGGTCGGCAACGGCGCGGCGGTGCTGCAGCACCAGCACCAGCACCGGCAGCGGCAGCATCATTAGCAATCAGCAACGGTAGCCCCTCGACGCAAGATATGTCACACTCCCACGCTGTCGGATCAGTTTCCTGATCAACATACTCGTCCCGGCCCCTCGAGGGGCAAAGACGAAAAAAAGGAAAACAAGGACGGAGGGATCGAGATGAATCATACTGGATCCGTCCGTCTCGTCTGGTCCAAAAGCCACGGTCCTGACAGCCTCAAAAGGTCGGCCATTCAATCTGGGGTGGTCAGAACCAGGCTTCACTGCAACCCCCCGGCCGCACGTAGCTCGATTTCCCGGCGGTCCAATAGAAGGCCGGCCTCGCCGCCGTCGTCTTCCTCCGGCGGCGATGGCGGAAAGAGCCTCTCTCCCTCCCACCCATCTATCCCCCTCCCCCTCCTTAAACAAACTCTCACCTTTCCCCCTTCCCGGGACCGGCCCGGGCTTTAGACGGGGGGGGGGCCAGGTGAAGAAAAGATTTTTTTGACAAGCTCCGGTCGTTTTGGCCTGCGTGCCGGCCTTTTTTTTTTTTGTTGTTGTTTGTCGTGCCTTGCGCGCGGGGCGACAACATAGTACGTACGTACGTGATATGACGACGAGACGTAGCGGGTCAGAGAAAAGAACAACGAGGCCTTGGGGGCGGTTTGGTTTGATTTGGTGGTACTCGTCCCATCTTCTCCTTTTAGGGATGCGTCGTATGACGGCATGTGGAGTTTCCTTTTTTTTTTTTTTTTCCTCTCTCTCTCTCTCTTTCTTTTCTGATGAGCGTGAAAGCTTGCCTGGCATGGCACCGATACCCCTATGCCAGTGCTGGAAAATACAATTTTGACTGGCTCCTCTTGCTTTTTGCTCCTCTTTTCATTTTCTGCCTTCTGTTTGTTTGTTTGTTTTTCTTTCTCTTTGTTTTTACTGTTTCATGATATCCCGACCGTGGCCTGGGGTCGCCGCTTTCGTCTTTTAGGGCTTTTGGGTCGGTATTGTTTTCGGAAGGGTCCGGCAATGTTTGAACTGGCAAGACAAAATCAGTCTAATCTGTGGCATTGGTGAGAGGTCTCTAGCCTTTGTGTTTTTTTTTTTTTCTTTCTTTTTTTGGTTCTTTTCGCTTGGATCGAGGTGTTCGTTCGGATTTTCAAGATCACTCGCTCGGAACATAGCACGATCCCGTACCTCGAGACGGGGAAATCTTGTGAATAGGGATGTAGTTGGTCCTCGGAGCCCAATGTCGAAGCCAAGTTGAAGCGCGCGTTGGGTCGAATCGGGCCATTCAATCCCTCGGCGTGTCTTTTTTCCCATCTCTCACTGTGTTCTCTTTGGCGTCTGTTTCCCTTTTCCTCCCATCTGGGGGAAAGTGCTCGGTAGCATGAGAGACGGGACTTAAAGCGACGCGCGAGAAGGAGCAGGGACTGGGGGCTGGCTACTTATAGATAGACAGGCAATGTAGGTGGGATTCGGCAATGGGACTGACTACTCTACGAGAGCATGACGGTACTTCGGCGTCTTTTTCCGAGCCTAGTCTGGACGCGGGCATCAATGTGATCCAATCCCAAGCCTCGGACCACTGCAGGACCACCCACCCACAGGCACACGGTGTTCATCCTCAACGTGGACGCTGGTCCTTTTGTCTTTGGGGGGGAGCCCATGGGCAGCCTCGGGTGGCATTCGGGTGAGTGTGTGGGAGGGTGTATGTATGGGTGTAAAAGCAGTTCGCTGGTGCAAGGAACAAGCTATGATGATCTTGGTGCAGCGCGTGGTGTTCTTTTGCCCATCTCGATTTGATGGTCTCCATAAAAGTTTCCGGGTGGTCCTCGATTGGGATTCACAGTGGGTACTGTACAGTGCCACAATTCCTGGGCAAGAACCATTCGGGTCAGACAGGAAAATGATGCCTGTCTTGCCAGATTGTGATGCTAGACCTAGAGAAAGTGTTGTGTTCTGGGTCACGCACGGCCTCGAAGGGGGGGGTGGTGATTATCAGACAACCGGTTACCGTATTCTCGCGCCCAGTAACGAGGATAGCCGGTAAGACTGACGTTTCCGTGATGGGCACTCGTGATTGGCGGTTGTGCTGCTTACGTAGCCCGGCAGATCAGAGGCGCGGGGGCGAAAAGGCAGGTTAGTTTCAGCTTGGAAGGCGGTATGAGTGGGCAAAAGCTCGGTTCGAGTGTGACAGCTGCACTCACCACCCTCGTCCCCGACGCTTGCTACGGCTGCAACCCACGCGGCACACATACACACAGCAGGATAAGACACGTGCAGCCGACACTGGAGAGCAGACGGAAACAGAAGCTGGCTTTACTTGGCTCGCCTCGCCCGCAGCCACTCGGCGCGCGCGGAGAGAGAAGAGAAGCAGGAAAGAGGCTGGACTATCGTGAGTCGAGTTTGAGTTGGCTGGGTGGCCTCAACGCCGACTGGGGCCGTAGGTCAATTGATCCCAAGATAGTAGCGAGAACGTTCAGAATTCAGTACGGGCCGGGGCTACTCTGAGCGCATCAGGCCACACACAATGACATCACCAAGGCTGCCCTTGGTGAAGAAGAAGAAGTACACCCACATACTGCCCGCCCCAGAACATGGCGAGGGAGGGAGGGTGGATGAAGAGGGAAACCCGGTGCAGCTTGCACGACCACTTCCTCCGAGGAAACAGAAGAGGGCGGGTCGGTTTGCGTGCGATGCCTGTCGATCCAAGAAATCCGCGGTATGGCCTTTCGTCTTTTCCCCCCTCGCTCTCTATTGGCGGGATGGCTCCGGCCTTCACCCTCTGGGCCTCCTGAGGTGGCGGCCCCTGACATGCGTCGGGACCAGCCTATCTGAATAGGTGATTCATAACATATCTACATACCCTGGAAGGGGGGGGGTCCCATCAAATCCCAAGCTGCCCAGGAATGGGGGAGACCAACATCAAGAGAAACAAAGTACTGTTGTCTTGTGCCTACGCAGTCAGTCGGTCTGTCAGACAAACGACAGTCGGAGAGTCTGCCCCGAGGCAAGACCGTCTCCATCATGCAATGGCAAGCCGACAATCCTCGTCAAGTCTTCCCTTCTTCCATTCGTCCATTCGTCCATCCATCGATCCACCAACCCAGCCGTCCAACCATTACCGTTCAGCCGTCGTGTTCTCGTGCCTCACACGGAGACACTCATCCCCCTGGTCTGCCACAGACAGGATCGAAGTAAGCCCTGCAAAGGTGGCCAGCCCAGTGCTTCTGCAGTGCTCTGGCTGGGCGAGGCTTGTGCCGCGCGCTCGCGTGTGGACTGTGTCTGAACGGTGTGAGTTGTGAGGGGTGGGCGTGGGCGTGGATGTCTGCGAATGTGAATGTTGAGCGAGAATGTGCGCGTGGCTGGGAAAATGCCTTCTCTGTTGGGTGCAACGGCCCACAGGGGCTGCCTTGAACAGACTTGCTTGGCTGCCGTCGGTCTACTTAGGCTACTCACTTGCTCACAGGCTGCTCAGCAGACAGTCCCGAAATCCCTCCTCAGTCCTGACCCCCCCCCCATCCGCTTCTCTCACTCTCTCCCCCCTGCTGTACATCATCATGCTCCATGTCAAAACTTTCCCCGACCCCGAAACCTCTCTGACTTCTCCACGCTTCGCTGCAGTGTGATGGCCAGAAACCAAAATGTTCACAATGTACCCGGCGTGGGACCGTTTGCGTCTACAGCCCCCGCACCGAGATGAATGTCGAAGAGCGCGCAGAGCTGGAGCAGCTGCGCCTGCAGCATGAGGCCCCGAGGAGGGCGCCAGCCGGCCGGGGCGACGACGCGGACCTGCTCCACCAGCTCAAGAGCCTGCCCGAGGAGGAGGCTGTGGCGCTCCTCCTGCTGGTGCGATCAGGGGCTCGAGTCAATGAAGTAAGCTCAGGTCCGGAGCCGGGCCCGTCGCTCACGGCTCCTGGGTCTCGAGTCCCGAATCACGTCTCTAACGCTGTCACGATGTCCTCAGAACCTTGTCACCGCGCGAAGTATTCCTCTGCCCTCGCGAACCAGCGTCGAGTTCGAGCTGATGCACCGACACCCCATATTGTACCCAGCCGTTGCTACTCTTGATTCCCTAGAGATCAAGGTGTCCGATCTCAGGACACTGCCGTATCGCGACCATGAATCCGAGACGGCCGCAAGGCCTAGCAAGTATGTGTCCATGTTGTTTTCCGGGCATTCTCCGACGTGACCCCACGGGTCTGGGCTCAGGGTGCCGTGGACGGGCAAGCACGCCCAGCCCCCTTGCCCAGTTAGCCGGTGCCCTTTGTTATTAGGTACGTCTCCTCGCGCCCGTCCGCAGGTGGCTGACCCCGGGATCCTTTACGTCTCAGGCTCTCTTCGCGGCGACCCTCGTCCCGCGGACCCTCTCCTGCCCAACGAGGCTTGCAACGCCGCCCATCCTCGCCTGGACCAAGCGCCGCGTCGGACCGCGATCCCCCTCAGCTATGTGACCAACGACTCAGGCACATCAGGGTTCTCAACTGGACACAGGTTCCCATCTCAAACGATCTGGCCGCTCGGCTCATCTCGTTTTACCTGACAGTTGACCATCCGATCCTGGGGCTCTTTGATGCAGACCTGTTCCTAGGCGATCTTGTGGCCCACAAGACCGAGTTTTGCTGCCCCCTGCTCCTCTCCGCCGTGCTTTGTTTTTCCTGTGTATGTAGACGGGACCGTTCTTCTCCCTTCTCGTGTCCAGACGTCCCTCCAGACGTCCCTCCAGACTCTGGCCAACGCTGACAATGACCCCTTTTTCTTCCGCATAGCAAGGCTACTCAAGCATCGACGCCGACACGGCGGCTCTGAGCCATGCCTTTTTCAACGAAGCCCAACGACTACACAGGGAGGAGAGCACGGGCAACCCGCAGTACCAGTTCGCGATCCCGAACATTGCCGCGACCCAGCTGCTCAGCCTCGCCGCGACCTGCCACGGCCGCAACGAGCTGGCGCTGAGATACCTGGTCGAGGGCATCGAGCTGGCACACCAGAACGGGCTGCTGGCCGTTGGGAAGAAGCACTCGGCCCGGAACTGGCTGGACGACCACGTCGACTATGTAAGGGCCGCATCGCACACGGCATGGGGCACATTCTGCAGGGCTACGTAAGTCTTCCTGGATCCGACACTCGGGAGAGTTGCTGCCCCCTCCCCCTCCCTTTGCACCACCCCCTGAGATGGCGCGCCCAATCAATCTCACTTGTTGAGTGCGCCGGGCCCCCGGTAGATCGACCGGAACAAACATGCAGGCCAGTGGCGAAACCTGGCTGTTCATCTGGTGGTTGGCTAACAAGGCGTCTATTTCCATCTCGGCAGGGTCCTCGGAATGAATCACCAGAATGCCTACATCCACATCCCGTCGTGGCTGCCGGTCCCAGGCACAGCCATCGTGCGGGCCGACGGCGAGTCGGAGCCCTTCGAGCTCCCGGCCTACATGGGCCAGAGCTTCACCGAGCTGTGCAGGCTGACGCCGCTCATCGGCGAGATGCTGCACGAATACTACGACAGCGGCGACGGCGTGGCCCCGACGGACCGCGCCTCGTTCGCCTTCGCCCAGGGCATGTACGCCAGGATGCTCGACTGGGCCGACGCCCTGCCCGTGGCCATGGCCCGCGGCGACGGCATGCCCCACCACGCCGCCATCGTCCACATCTACTTCCACACCGCCGTCCTGGACCTGTTCCGCCCCTTCCCCTACCAGCGGCCCGAGACGCCCTTCAGGCTGGACAAGTTCCCCGCCGACAACCCGACGCCCGAGGGCGTCTGCAACGCCTCGGTGAACCAGCTCAAGCACCTCATCCTCCTGTTCCGGTCCAGGTACCCCTGCGCCACCTACACCATGCTGTGGCAGAACGCCCTGCTGTACGTCGCCAACGCCTGCCTGCCCCTCCAGCGCAGCCCGCCTCCTCACGTGACCGGGCCCGTCGCCGACGGCGAAGACGCCGCCTTTGCCGACGAGATGGAGGGGGTGACGACGACGGGGGTTGTGGAGGACGGCGAGCCGCCCGACGAGACAGACGAGTCGGAAGAGGACGCCCAGCCCCGCAAGTGGTTCGCGGCCTGCATCGACGGCCTGCGGGCCCTGGCGCCGCAGTTCGGGATCGTGACGGGCATCGTGCAGGGCATCCTAAGCATGGCCATCCTCAAGGGCTCCATCGCCGCCGTCGAGGGCCGCGCCATCATGGACCAGCTCAAGGCCGACACCGAGGTCTCGAGCCGCCACCGCCGCGAGCACTTCTACTCCAGCAGTAGTGGCGGTGGCGGCGGCGGCCCGAGCCCGGCAGTGGTGGACGGCGACGACGATGGCGACGACGACGAAGACGACGACGTGGAAGTGGTGGACGGCGTCGTAGATGGGCAGCGGCGGCGGCGGCGGCGGCGGCAGCAGCAGCAGCAGCAGCAGCAGCAGCGTGAGGCCTCCGAGGCGGCCGGCAGGGTGGTGTACGGGTTCTCGGGCGGCCGGAGCGGCGATTGGCCGGGCCTTGTCTCCAGCGGGCTCCTGAACCTGCCCGGCGCCCAGCGCGGCGGCAACCGCTTCGTCATCGACCTCAACGAGGCGTCCGTGAACCCGAGCGGCGCCTCGCTGGACGTGCTCGCCCGGGCCTTTGACGAGCTGGCCATGTTCGACGAGTTCACGACGGGTGAGGAGTAAGTAAGTAATAGCAACGCCGGAAGAGTCCTTGTCTTTGATGATATGATTTGGTGGAACTGGGCGTGGCGGCGATGTTGGAGACAGCGTGGCTTGGATCATGGCAACTTGACGGCCTGAGATGGCTTGAGGGAAAAGTGCGAAAATGGGGAGCACAGAACCACTGGCGAGCACCGCCGGGATCCCACGAGTGCCAGCACACGAAATACGACACTCGATGTCAGAGCAGCATCTTCAAGTCGTCCTCGCTACAGATAGCAACACATGCTCCCCTGTCTGGCGACTCCCTTCGAAATCCGGACACGTACTAGTACGCTTGTGGATATATGGCGATGGGAACATACATGATGGTCCAACAAGCGCTCGGCTTGTCTCATTCCCTAGACTGTGCCCGCAGCTGCCCTCATTTATCAGAGGTGCAAACGATCTTGAGTACGAGGTGATGCCGAGTCGCTGCAGATTTGGGCAGTGACTGTAGTGCGTGCTGGCAGACGGTGATGAATTCGTGTCGCCCTTGGGAATGCACGAGAGCCTTTCGAGCTCTAAATGGCATGATTATAGCATCTACCACCGTTTGATCTCCTGCGACTGTGTCCTTCCTCTCCCTGGTCGAGCTCGCTTAGGACGCAGACGGGCGGTGGGGGTTGCAGGTATAGCGGCGCTGCATGTCGCGGAAGTGGCGCGCACAACGTCCTACAGCTTTTGATCGGATGACGGAAACCCCAAAATGCAAAATATATACTGCTTGCGCAAGCACCAAGTTGGGCGCGTGGGTAGGGGTTCACAACCCAGTACGTCGCGGAGTATTCGGCCATGAACACAGGGTTGACCAGGGGTCGGATCTCCTAAGTATCACTTGGCCACAGCTGTCCCTCAGCGACTTTGCTGGTCTACCAGTCTCATTATCATTATTTCTTGCATCCTGGACCGAGTTGCAGCATCAGCGCTGCTCCAATGGGCTTCAATAAATACATGGGTGCACGTTTTTTGCCGCCGTCCAAAATCCGTAGATCGCGGGCCAGACTCTTGATAGCCAGCACAGACACCGGCGACCAGACTATCTATTCGTGGACAAGTCAGATCGGACTAGTGACACAACCCCTTGATATACTTAGCCTGCACCGCAGAGCAAACAACTCTGGCGTGATTTACACAAAGTGTCGGGGTCTAAGTATATCGCACACGCCAATCCTCTCTATTAAATCCACTACCCCCCTGCTCCAACCATCCTCCACCCCCGTTCCGAAGAGTTCTGAGCAAAAAAAAAGCATCTACGCCACCATCCAGGGCCACCGCCAATTTCACATAAATCAGCAGCCAACCATCCAGAACCCCCTCAAAGCTCCACCTATCACCCTCTTTAGCACCATGCTGCTCTCTCCGCCCATGGGCGGAACTGCAAGTCTCATTCATGGCCCCCGAGCAGCGCTGCGAATCCTCAGCGTCTCATCGATGCCTATGCCTATGCTGCTGCCATCCTCCCCTCCTGCTTGCTATCTCACCCATGCACGCAGACAGCGAGAGCATCCCCAGATCGGCCGGGCACAGGCCCCTGCGACAATCTGATCCGCAAAGGGGGGTAGACTATCAAGTCAAGCCACTATCGCCACTCATCCGCTTTGGTACCTGGACAATCGGAAGCATCCCCGCCTCTCACCCCCACACGAGCTGTTAGGCTTGACGGGTTCTCGGCACGGCCAGGTCCGCTGCCAAAAAAAAAAAAAAAAAAAAATTAAAATGAAAAAAGTTAAACCAAAAAAAGAGACACAAGGTTGGGTCGGGAGGGGCCGTGGAGTTTGCCCACCCCAGGTCATGGGCCAGAAGCAAATCAGGAGCACCTCCCTCCTCTCGCGCGCCTCCCTCCCGTATCATCCCATGCAGCCGCTCCCCATGTGCCAGTCCTCACCACCCCGCGACCCCGGCGCTCAGGTACAGAACATCGCGCACCACGCCGCCCTCGACCTCGGCCGCGACGCTCACGGACACCGCGCCCGTGACCGACGCGTCACCCAGGTCGACCGAGCCCTCCCAGAGCCGGTACCCCGGGACAACCGCGCCCGGTCTCGCGCCGGCGTCGTGACTCGTGACCTTCGGCGCCAGTGTCCCTTGCTGCCTCGCGGGGGCGGAAACGTTGATGTCCACAGGGGAGTAGTCCGTCGCCCTGACGGCCACGGCGAAGCCTACCTTGTTCCCTTCCACGGCCGTCATGCTCGGCACCACGAAGACGTCGTTCTGCAGCGGGAAAGGCGCCGGGGCGGCCCCATCGCGGCTGATCTCGAGAGTTGTATATGAGGTGTCCTGATGCACCGGGACGGAGAAGGAATAGTACCTGGTCTGTCCGTACACAGAGCTCCCCTCCTCGTTCTCAGGCTTCAGAATGACGGGCTCGGAGCTGCCGTCACTTGCGACCAGCGAGGCCTTGATAGGCAACGCGGTGTCGAGGGCCTGAGCCAGCCGCGTTAGCACGACTACCCCAAAGGGACAACTTCGCAAGCTTGACGACGTACGCGGATCTTCCCAGACAGCTCCACGCTGCCTTGCACGTCAAGGTCAAACGTCACGTTGATCGGCTTTACTTCCATGGGAGAGATGGGCGCTCCCAGGTCAACACCCGCCGGCACGGTGTTGATCATCCGGCCCATGAGGTCGACGCAGGTGCTGAGGAAGCCATCGCCCATGTCATACAGCTCCTGCATGGTGGCATTCCCGTCGCTCTCGTACAGCCGGAGGTCTGAGCGGGTCGTGATGTTGTCGGTTGTGACGAGCGGCCCGCCCCTGTTGCCTGTCCAGTCGATGTACTCGTGAACGACGTTTGTGTCGAATTCCGCACGGCTGGTGTCGAAGTTTGACCCGCTATTTGTGTTGTTCGGGGTGACTGCAGACTCCGGGACCACATCAGGGAACCCGCCCTACAAAAGTGTGAGTTAAGACAGCCGGTGGGATGCATTATCGGTGATGATGTGAGGGTTGTTTGGAAGACGGCAACCACCTCCAAGTGCTCATGCAGGCCTGACCTGGGAACTTACATGATGAACGGACCCCATGGTATGGCCACACGCGGTCAGCCCGATGGAGTCGACCTGGTTGAACCCAGCTCTCTCGAAAAAGACCAGCGTCTCTTCAAGGTCGGTCTCGGGCGCCGGCACACCAACAGTCGGGTCCGCCTGCAGCGCATCGATTCTCCCCGGCCGGTAGGGGACTCGCTGCCCACCACACAACCTCATAGACATGACGGTTCCTAATCCTACCAGATCGGCCACTGGTCCCGAGAATCAGTATCGCAGACGCCCCAAAACTACTCCTCTCCCACCCGGACAGGACACCAGCTTACTAGACACAGCATCGTTCACAAACGGCGCCCAGAACGTGAAGCTGTCATTAAACGCACTGCCCGAGTTCTCCCCCCTCTCCGTCTCGAACCCGATGCTCGCGTCGACGCCTCCCGTCCCGGCCCCGACGTCCGCGGTGACAAAGTCGTGGAAGGCGACGCGCATCCACTGCGCCGCCGTCGTGCGCCCGCTGTTGGCCGCCGGCTCCCCGACCTCGGTCACGTAGTTGCTGCACGGCGTGATGGCCGACGAGAAGTTGGAGGCGTGGGCGCCCCAGTTGTCGACGAGGATGTGCTCGAGGAACGCGGCCTGGGGCGTCGGGTAGTAGAACGCGGCGAGGGATGTGTGGGCCACGAGGGCGGGTGTGATGAGGCGCGCAAGTAGTGGGCGCATCTTTTCGACGATGTGATCCCCGTGGCAGGTGGTTTCTCTCGTCCGAAAGAGTTGCTCTTCACTGAACAATTGTGGCCAAGTAAAGTACCCGAGCTCGAGCATAAGGTCGTATCCACAGCCCCATGTGTCTTTGTTTTCTGACCACCACATCCATATTGCCACCCATTACTCGATCAATTAAGCTTAGTCTAGCTGTTCTCCATGTCAAATCGTGGTGCTCATTGATGCTACGACACTATATCAGCGTTACAATCGGATGGTTGCATGCGCATCTCCGCAGCGAGGTAACGACTCGCTCAACAGGAGAAAGGCAGAAGCCGCGAACCAGGACCCCGGTCGGGTCTCAGCTAGGAGAAAGTCGATGCTCGTTATTGGCAAGTGCTTATTAGGTTGATGCTGTGGTCGCTGACAGTTGCCACCCCAAGACGGGTTTAGTGCGTGTAATAGTAGCCTAATCGGTGAGGAATCAGAATCTCGTGGAGGGCATCTCGAATACTTTTCGTGGTCTAGACCACTTTCATATGCCTCAGGCGTATGCGGCTGTTCAAGACCAGCGAATCGGCTTTGTCGTATTTATCAGTGGGCACTCAACCGCAGTGAAACACATCTCGTGCAGACTCTCGCGAGTTGTCATCAACGCTTGCGAAATAATGGCGAAGAGAAGCCTGTCATGCGCTGGGTGGACCTGGAGGCGCCAGCTCAACCAAGCTTGTGCTAGATTTAGGGTTCCTTCTTCAGACGAGCATTGATAGTTATCGTGAACGTCAGCAGGCTGGCGTGGTTGCCTCAGCGAGGCCATGACCGACAGACAGGTGACAGACCTTCTCACCTAGTTCTTGGGCTGCTCAAGATAGGTCTCCCTGCCATTTTGGGCACCATGGCCTGCCCACTGATCGAAGCATGCCACGCTTCTGGTCGAGCACCCGCAGTGGCTCAGACTGCCAATGCGACCGATGATCTTGACGTCGAGTGATACTCGCTTCAATCCGTCTGTAACATGGAGCGTCGACCACGGCTGTGCTCCATGGTCAGTCCAAACCCCATCTCCGGCCAGCCGAGATCCATATCAGGTAGCGGTGGCTACGGCGCGTTCCCCGGATCGATGCGGACAGAGCTCAGTTGACATATGATCAGTGGCGATCATATAAAGCTGCGATGAGCATTGTAGAATACCTTGTGCCTTGACAACGAGAATGCTCCTGTTCCTTGTCCAGGGCGAAATCCGGTCGGTGGCCCTGACATGGCATTTTCGAGGCAACGAGCAACGCTCCAGGCTGTCGTGGCCCGTTGTTGACGAAGATAACAAACGCAATATCAGAAAGGCCATCGTGACGAGCATCCCGCCATGGTGAATCCAGACGTGTTGACACCGTCCACGATTGCACGCATGTCAAGAGTGGAGATCCCAGAGAGCGCTGCCGTCATCAATAACTGTGGCTCAGGCTGGCGCTCAGGAGCTGATGGGCTTTGTCTTCAACGGCTAACTTGACGAGATGAGCATCGAAATGTCGGGCTCCTTTGGAGCGTCGGAGGTGCCAACAAGCAAAGTTCTGTGCCTGATGGCTGTCCAATCGAGGACATCGCAGGCGTTGGTTCGCTCATCACTGTCACCATTGCATCCACGAAAAATCAGGGACCGACCCCTGAGCCCGGGTAATCATGGACCTCGGCCCCCAAGCCGTCCAGACGCGCTCGAGTATCTCCGACCCCAGGCCCTGGGGTCGGCCATCGCCAAGGCAATAACTGACAGCGAGCGGTTTTTGGCGAAGACGTGGCAGTCAGAGCAGCACCCAAGATGGTCCACAGGGAGGGAATGCTGATGGCCAATCAATGCCAGCGTGTCAAAAAGCGATGGATCTAGGTTTAAGGTTTGATGCGGTGGATATGTCGCATGCGGCTCATGTGGTAGTGACGTTAGTGTGACGGTTCCAAATCATGACAGGGCACGACAGGGCACAGCGCCGCGTCGGATTACAGCAGACTGCCTGACTGCCTCAAGCCACGGGCCGCGTTCTCTCGATGGTAATCTTTTCACATGCTGCCAATTCGCTCGAAGGACGATTTGACGGCCAAAGCCAAGGACCATCGCCCTTCCTATTTACAGCTTAGCCCATAATGGATACTTCTTTGTCAACGACCACCTCATCGAGCCACCCAGGCCACAACGAGCCCGTCCACTCTTCCGTCGAGCGACCTGTCTGACTCTGGAGTCTCGATCTCTGAGCAAGAGTCCCTCGAAACAAGATATTCAACAAAGCCAGATCCGATCACGATGTCGAATAAACCTCCCACCAAGGTCAACGGCGGCCTGACACTGCCGTTCGACATCTCAGTCGCCAACTCCATACCCACACAGGCCCGAATCCCATCCATCAAAGCCGACAGTCTGATCGAGAGGATTGGCACGCCGCGCGCCAACGCGGCAGTGTCAACCACCTCACCAGAAGGGGACCAGGAATACACGAGGCGGTTCAAGGACTACACGGTCCTGCAGCAACACGTCCTGTTCTGGGACCGCGACGCCGACGGCCAGATCTACCCGTGGGACACGTACACTGGGCTCCGCGAGCTGGGCTTCAACATCGCCTTCTCGCTCCTGGCGCTGCTCACTATCCACTCGGGCTTCTCGTATCTGACGCGACTCGGGCATTCGTGGCTGCCGGACCCGCTGTTCCGGGTGTACGTCGGCTCGATCCACAAGGCAAAGGTTGGCTAGCGTGCCCCCACAGAGTCGCCCCTTCTTGCTGGTTTCGCTGCGGCGACATCAGGCAGAATTGTATTATTGGTCATGAGCCGATGCGCTTCCGGCTCCGCATGTAGCATGGGCCAGACAGCGAGACGTACGACAGCGAGGGGCGTTTCCGGCCGCAGCAGTTTGAGGGCATGTTTGCAAAATATGACAAGAGCGGCGACGGCACCCTCACCTTGACGGAGTTGTTCGAGCTGATGCACGGAAACCGCAACGTCATGGATCCTTTTGGGGTAAGCATGACCATCCAACCGAGCTCGACACCATACGGTAAGAGTGATGACTGACGGGCCTGTGACTTCCTTATAGTGGGGCGCCGTTCTGTTCGAGTTCGGCACAGCCTGGCTCTTGATACACAGGGACGGCAAATGCCACAAGGAGGACGTCAGAGGGATATACGATGTGAGTATTTTGCGGTAATGCACGGTCCATAACAGTTTGAGTACATGGCTGACAGAATGACCAAAGGGGTCCATATTCTGGCGCATCCGTGAAGAGCGGACGAAAGGCCACGGGTGGAATCAGGGCTGGGGCATTGGAGGCGATCGTTTCGTAGGCAGTGTCAAGGTCTAAGCCCACTGGCTGATTGTCTATCTGCAAATAGACTAGATATCAAGTGCTGAGTCCGAGTGGACATTATCTGCGGGACTGCACTCCACATTACAACGCAAGGCATTTACATATACTGTACACTCCATATGACTTTGTCTACTTGATGACACCAGTCTCAGACTCGACCAGCCTAACCTTAATCAAGCGGTCCAGGCCTTGTCCAGTCAACCTTGCTTTCGCCCAACCTAAAGCATGTAAGCATGTACCCGCCTGGGCACCCGTATCGTTTGGTCTAGTGAAAGCAAACATTCGTCTTGTACTTCACTCCATCACATGCCATCCTTGAGGAACGGGTGGGAGGGGGGCAGACTGACAGGTGGGTATGCCCTATGAGGACCCGCAGCCAGAGGAATGCACAGCCAAAGTCAGGGTCCACCCCTGAGCCCACCCTCCCACTCCGTGCCGAGGTCCCTGACCCACGGCCGCGGGCCGGGACGCCCTCTTATCACCAGCACGACATTGTTATCGTCTGCATGTTTCGAGTGAATTTCCCGCTATCACGAAAGCAGTAAGGGTCTCAGGGCGGTCGAGATTGGAAGCCCGTCAGCCCGGCAGCCCGTCAGACTGGCGCGAGACTGGTTCTCGACTCAGCTGAATTTCCTTGGCGCCAAGGGGGATCACCGGCTGTTCTGAAGGCACCGAGTCCGCTTGCGGCTACCTCGAGACACCAGCGCCGCTTCCAAGCAGAGAAGGGCCGTGGACATGACCCGTGCAATAGGTCGGGAAAAGAAACGAGAAGGGTCGTCGAATCAGGACCCGGCAGTAGCTGACGGACAGATGGTATTACGGTTAATAACGCATGTGCAGACACGCGGTCGTCACGCAAACGCACGTACGTGCACACCAAGACAAACACACTCAACAGACTAACACAAAAGACTTGGGACAACTTCTATGATCTCATCCGACGGTCATGGCAGGAGACAGAAATGCCACACGGCAACAACCGTGCGCTCGGCCACAAAGCGGGCAAGACAGCCAGGCAAATTGACTGACAGGCTGCCCCTCCCATTGTCTGCACATGTGTTTCGCAGGGCCCAACGGAGTTTCTGCAATAGTTTCTGGTTTCTGGACTTCCCCCCCCCAGAACCCAGACAATGTGCACAGACATCAGACTCGCACTCGCCCTATCGGAGAGATCCCAGTTGACGGGTGTGACACGGACACATCTGGGACGAGGGGGCTCTTGCTTTCCCTCTGTCCACCATGTGCCCTGTGTCTGCCCTCCTACCCCTGCAGGAAACTGCGCCTCACAACGTGCTCCTACAAAGGCTTGGCTGAACACTCTGACGGAACTTGACTTGAATACGCAGGAATACGCCCAGCCGAGTACGGTGACACAGGACAGACACGGGCCAAAAAAAAGTCGCCCCTCCCCCCTTCCTCCCCCATCCGGACCAGACGGTCAGACCCAGGCCTTTGGGTTTGGACCCTGGATAAAACGAATCTGTACCCCAGCTTTTTCTAATCCTGGGGCGGGAGGATGCCCGCCACCTTCATCACCACATTCTTCCTACCTAACCTTCTTTTACCTCTAGCTCTCGTCATCATCACCACTCACGCCTGCCTGGCTTTCTTGTCAGCTTACTGGACCAGCTGCCCTCCTTCTCAGCTTCTGCAGCTTCAACTCATTCCCATTGATACTTCTTCTAACCACCTCCCGCTTGCAAACATTTCCATGACCTGCACTCTGAAGAACTATGGCGTCCCAAGGTGACACGGTCTTTCCTTTGATCCCTGCGCCCATGGCGCTGGCGGTAGACACTTTCTCGGCCGCCACCAGCGCGCGGCGGTCCCCCGTTCCGTCAAGGAGCACTGCATCCGCAAACAGGACAATGACACCACCAACACCAGCTCCAGCAGCATCCGCAGCTACGTCACCAACGACGACATCAAATCGGGCCAAGAATCCACGGCATCCCATCTTCAACGAGGACATATTCTCCAGGTTATACTCGACCCCTTTCATGGTCCTTCTCTTCGCTTTCTACGGCGCCGTCCCGTTCTACTACCTGCTCCACTACTCGCCCTTCCGGGACTTCGACTCTGGTGTTGTCAACGAGGTGGTGAAGTGGTCCCTGTTCGTCCTGACGCAGTATATCACCGCCGTTATCGTCACCTCGTGGGGCGGGAGGTACCGCTTGCAGAAGGATGTGACCGCCTGCGCGCTCATGTTGGTCTGCCTGGCTGGTGCGACATGGTCGAAGGCATCGCTGGACGGAATGGCTGTGTCCAAGGGATGATGATGGTTAGGACGGGGATCTGTTTGGAACGGAGATGGTATCTCCTTGATGGAATGTCCAGCTTTCTGACGAACAACGAGCTTATGGGGACTAAGAGCCCAAAGACGGCAGCCCAGAACCACAGGATGGGCAGTACAACACTCGAGGAAGACTACCTAAGATTCAGTGCACACAGGACCTAGGAAACACGCCGGGGTCGTATCAGTGATGGCTCCGCATCTGCGTCTGATACAATATACATCATAGATTGTGCACCGGGTAGAGCACCAACAAAGCGCAGCACACGCACATTTCAAAACAAACAATGTGCTTCGAGCATTACCTACAAACATCTCAAATTGCTTTCAGCTCAAGCTCAAGTTCAAGTTCAGGTTGACACGAGCGACTCAACATCCATGTCAGCTGTCCTATAAAACCCAAGGGAGTTGAGCATGGGCTTGTCATCAAACCGGTACAGTCAAGCTGGCGCCCCGTCACTGCTGCCACTCGCAAAATGCTGGTACGGGTACCAAGAGGGGATGCAGAAGGTGTCTCCCTTCTCCCAGTTGAATACCCTGCCACCGATCGTGGTGTATCCCGAACCTTCTACCACGTGGTAGACAGAGGATGCCGTCTCCTGCACAATTGGGCTCGCCCTGCCTGCGTTGATACGGGCTGCAGCCCCTCCCAGGGTCTTGCTCACTATCACGTTGCACAATGTAAGCATGTCTGTGCAGTCTGTCTGTTCACAAAGGTCACCCAGGGGACCATCAGACCAACTCACCTTCCGAGCCATCGCCCTTCAAGTACCGCAGCTCAGCCCAGTCCCCCGGGGCACCATCAAGCCTCGTCTTCATCCCCGACCAAGGGAACACCAGCGGCGAAGAGGCCGAGTCGACGTCCTCGGCCGGGTATCTCGGCGCGGCAAAGTGCCCCACGAAATGCACCGGAAGGTGCTGGAAGCAAGGCAGGTCAAGCCCATCAAGCCAGACCATAGGCCCGGACCCGTCCTTGCCGTGGTCATGCCAGTTCCACCTCGGCGTGACGATAACGTCCCCCCGCCGCATCGTGATGCGCCTGCCATGCACGGCCGTGAACCCGCCCTCCCCCTCGACGATGAACCGCATAGCAAACGCCGTGTGCCGGTGCGCGCGCGCGCCGTGTCGCCCGCCATGACGAGCTGCAGCCCCTCGTACAGCGTGTCGGCCGTGAAGGGCGGGTCGCGCGACGGGTTGGCGAGCATCAGCACGCGGCGCTCCGCCCGGGACCCCGGGGCCAGGTCGCCCGCCTCGAGCAGGCCGGGCCGGATCTGGGCGTACCGCCAGGCGTGCGGCGCGCAGCGGGGGTCCGGCTGGTGGCGGGTTGAGGCGGGCCATCTGGAGCCAGAGGGGTTTTGTGTGGGCCTGGGCCGCTCGGTCCAGGAGGGCTGCGGTTGCATCTTGGGTTTGGGTTTCTGTTGCTGTTGTTGTCGCCATCTTGTATGATTAAAACGGTATAATACAGTTGGAATTTTCAGTTAGATAGTCTCAGCGGTGCCAGCGAGGATTTGTCTCCTTACATTGACCATGGAGGAAACACAGTAATCATAAAATCAACCATGGCCCGCTCCTGTGAATCCCCAATGATCCGAAGGGATTTCGACAGCGTGTTTTCCACTTCCCATCTAACCTCCGTGACAGCCCCGAACAGATGGAGTCTGGTGGCGGTCAAACAGATGCGCGGAACAAAACATCAGATCATGGCAGGCTCTATCCGGGTCTCGCTCCCGGACAACGAAAGCACCGCGGGCGCGGCGGACGAGGACTCTTGTGGGTCCCAGGGCGGTTCTCCGGCGGAGCCGCGGCCGCGCCCGCAGAAGCGTCGCAGGATTCCGGCCGCGTGCGGTGCTTGCAGAAGCAGGAAGTCTAGGGCAAGTAAGACCGAGACCGAGTCCAGAGTGGGGGACCAAACCCAGGGGGGCGGAGAGCGAGACGGCGAGCCAGTCCGGGATCGCTCTATGGATCGCCGGAAGAGTATCGACTGACCTCTCGGCCGAAATGCTCGAGCTGCCAGGCCCTCAAAGTCGAATGTGTTTGCCTTGCGCCGCCGATAGCGACGACCACGCCTGTTCCCAGAGCGTGATTTTGTTCCCGTGTGTATTTTGTTGTCTGTCCTACAACCGAACCCAGCTGACCTGGCCGAGATTTCTGCAGCTCGTTGAATCCCGGTTATCCCAGCTTGAGAGTGATGTGCGTTCCTTGAAGAGCCAGCAAAGCGAGGGCGGCAGCGTCCCAGATTCTGTCACGGTGGATAGACGACCGAGCTTTCAGAGCCACCAGGCTCCAGCTACTTTCCACGAACCAGACTCTGGGGAGTCTGTCGTGAGTCCGGATGCAACTGATGGCATTGGGTCCATCGAATTCACCAAGGAGGATGACTCTGGATACTATGGTATTGAGGCCTGGCCTTCCCCATCGTTCACCTTGACGAGGGCATGTCTTTTCTGACTGATTGCAGGGCCATCCTCCAATATTGCATTCACGCGCAATATCCGACGGGCTCTCTCCACACTGCTTTCCCAGAGTTTGGCACAGCGCTCCCACAGAGTGGGATCATCAGATAGACCATCACTGGATGTATCCCGTCCGCAGACACCGCACAAAGAAGCCGCAAGGCCGGCGGCTGAGGAGGCAGGTAGCTGGGCTGGCAGCTCTGGGCCCAGAAATGACTGCCTGAGCCTGCCTCCTGATGACGAGATGGATGCTCTCGTTGTCCGCTTCTTGAGGGACACAGGTGCTTTGTTCCCGTTTGTCCACCCTCACACCTTCATGGAAACGTGCCGCCACACCAAGAGTATCGGCTTCAGAAGGTCCCGGCGGTCGTGGTTGGGCCTGCTGAACTCCATCCTCGCCATGTCAATCTTCACTTCTGGGAGCTGGAGCTCAACAGCAATGGGAAGGGGTGCAAAAGCAGAGGTCTTCTTCACACGGGCCAAGGCTCTATGTCTCGACCAGATGCTGAGCGGCTCCAGCCTCGAGACAGTGCAAGCAATGCTGCTGATGAGCCAGTACCTGCAAGGGACCCACCGCTCGGTCATGACCTGGAACATGCATGGTATCGCCGTCAAGGCCGGCTTCCAGTTGGGCTTGCACTCCACGACCTCGCTGAAGGCGTATACGCCACTCGAGCGGGAGACGCGGACACGAACGTGGTTTGCCTGCGCCATGCTGGATCGCACCCTGAGCATGACCTTTGGCCGCCCGCCTGCGATCCCAGACTCGTATATCCGCACACCGTTGCCGCAGCCTTACAGTGGAACAGACGTCCTGCCCACTGCTGAGGTCTCTGTGGACGATGCTATGAGCATACACTTCTTCGTGTCAACAATGTGGGTATTGAATGGCATTGTTGCCATACACACATTTACTGATCGCACTCTTCTATAGCACGCTGTACAAAATCATGTGGACCATTATCGACAGACTTTACGACTGCAACATAGCACATCCAGACAACAGTGTTAACTATATCCACTGCCTCCCAGGTCCTCGAGATCGAGCACCAGCTCTTGGAATGGCAAGCCTCTCTCCCGCCTTTGTTCTCCCTGGCCAACCCCGCCGAAATACGCAACGACAATGACTTCTGCTTGGCAAGACGTTTCCGGGTCATCCTCACGCTCCGGCATCACAACGTCCGCCTTCTGGCCCATCGACGCATCTTTGACCTCTATCTTGCTAGCATTGAAAGGGGCCGAGGCTATGATGCCCACGAGTCGATGCCCGTACAAATCGGGGAGAGGAGCAAGAACGTCTGTCTCCAGACGGCTTCGGAATTGATCTCCATTGTAAATGTCATCACTCATTCCCCCCAGCCCAGGTGTGGACTGCTGGGTGGGTGGTGGTTCACGCTCTACTATAGTGAGGACCTCCCTACATCCACAAAATGGAAGCATCTTAATTACTCGTCCTCTAACACAATTCTAGCTTTAAATGCCGCACTTACAGTGGTCACAATGGCCTTGTGTAACCATTCCAACAGCCCTATTCCCGCTGCACCTTGCGAGGCTGGTGGCATATCAGACCAGGCCCTACGAGACGCGCTGGCAGATGCCCTGGCTTGTCTGCCACTGATAGACAAGGGGAACAGGATGGTTGACAAATGCGCCAAATTCGTCGCAACACTGCAGCAGTGTTTGAACTTGCTAGGTACGTTGCACCAGAGGGGTCATTGCGTTCAGCACGTCTCAGTCTAACTCATCAAGCCACTGCAGACCAAACCGGGCCTCATGATGCCGCCCCAGCGAGACCAGCCACCAGCGAGCACATGCACATGGGCGCACCTCGGGGCAGTCAGAATGGGCAACACCCATATGTCCCCGGACCCATCGATGCGGTGAATCTTGACCTCACTGCACTGGGATGGGAAACGGAGGAGTTTCTGTCGTCTCTCAATGCCGGCTTCATGGAAGGGTTCCAGGATTCGGATTAACTCTGCTAGACTGGCTTAATTCTAGAGCACCGGTGGGCAGATAGCGGTCAAATTCATAGCATTCTACCAACATTGGGAACTCAGAACAAACTCCAACCACCTTCCTGCCAGACACCAAAGCCAACATATTTATTTTCCACCCCGAACAATCAACTCATCTACAGCCTCCTCCCAAGCCTCCTCCATATCCCGCTCCGCATCATACCCATAAGCCCACTCCTGCGTGACCGGGTCGCTCCACTGGTTCGGGCTACTCAGAAACTGCCTCCCCTCGACCTCAGGCCTCATGGCCTGATCCCGCGCCTCCTGCAGCGGGCCGTCGCCAAAGTGCCAGATCATCGAGTTGACCGTGCTCGCCTCCTGCATCATGCCCGTGCGCCGCACGCGCTCCCTCTCGAACACGCGCAGCGCGAACCCGATCTGCTTTGGGGACGTTGACGCGGCCCAGCGCCACCGCGAGCGCGGCGCCGTCCTCGACGGCCATCGCTGCGCCCTCAGACATGTAGGGCAGCATGGCGTGCGCGGCGTCGCCGAGGATGAGGATCTTGGAGGAGGGGGATACCCAGCTGTCGAGGGCTTAGCCGCTCATTAGTGGGGTCTTCATTGCTTTGTCGATGAGGTTGATGATGGTCGTGAGGCTGTTGGGGGTTCATCAGCGGGTGTGTGATTCTATCAAGAAGAAGAAAGATTGTTGAGGTCAACTCACTTTGGATGCCAGCCTTCGAACTCCTTCTTCATCGTTTCCAGCATCTCCTTTTCTGCCGGCAGAGCAGCCGAGGCGTTTCGGTCTGGGTGTGACAGGACCATGTTGAACGCCTGGCCACCTGCTATGCAGTATGTCATGACGTGACGGTCTTCTCCGATCCTGCGACGGGTCAGCATGTTTGAATATATCTTTCACTTACCAAGGACGGGAGGGGGATAACGAACCAAAGATTCAGGTTGGGCTGTTCTAGCGCCCACGAGGTCTCAGGGATCTCCCTCACCTTCTCCACGTCGACTGTTGCACGGTAGACAGCATAGCCCGTGAACTTGGGAGCGCCCCGGCCGTTGGGAGCCACAATGCTTCGCGCTGTCGATTTCACGCCTGATTCTGTAGGTCAGCCAGATTGACAGATGGCAACATCTCTGGGATTGGGTAGCCAACCATCAGCCGCAACAACAAGATCTCCCTGGAAGACACTCCCATCCGACAAATTGATCGTGGCAGTATCAGCATCGTATCTTGCGACCTTGCTGTTGAGCCGCGTCCTGACCCCCAGGGCCACGGCCTGCTCGTACAGCGCCGTGTGCAGGTGGGCCCTGTGCACCGCGTAGTACGGGGCCTCGTAGTGCGAGCTGAACTCGGCCGTCAGGTCCGTGACGCCGATGACGGCGCCGCTCTGCCACCTGCGGACGTTGATCTTGGAGGGCTCGACGGCGCGCTTGGCCAGCCGCTGCATGACGCCCCATCTCGCCAGCGGCTTGCCCGAGTTCGGGGGGACTTGGATCCCGGCGCCGACCTGACGTTACGTACTAATCGTTATTATGTATGTTCAGGGGCAGAATGGGGACGAAGTGGGTCTATACTGACCTCCATGAGCTGCTTCTCGGGGGCCTGCTCGAACACGGTGACATGGTGGCCGGTGCGTCGAAGCGCGATGGCCGTGGCCAGGCCTCCGAGACCAGCGCCGACAACCAGGATGTTCAATTTCACCCTTGCTTCTCTGGGCACAGCATATTTTCCAGTTGATTCAGTTTGGGTATTTCCCAGGAAACGCAAGCAGTTTGACGGATATGATGTGGTCGTAAACCTAGGTGTCTCCTGTGTGCCATTCGAGTGATGTCCGCTGCTCTGTCCATGACCATTATTTGCACCGGGCTTTGCGTTGATCACAGGTCCGTCCGCGTGACTAGACATGGATGTCGGTGTCGCGGGATCTGTTGATATCGGCATCCTCCAGTGGTTGTGAAAGACTCGCAAGTTGAGAAACTAAGCCGAGAGACCTGGTGTAAAGAGCACTACTTCGGAATCCCGAGCAGGACAGGGTCTTATCAAATCGTGCCGTGGTGATCAATAACATGACCGGGATTCTAATTCCAGAGGCGGAATCTACTGAACTCTTAGCTGTGCTGTTCCGTTCTACACCCGCGGCATCCAGTTTCCCTAACTCCCCGGCCGACACAACGCTCAACTCTAGCCCGCCCTTTGCAGCCAAAGTTCGAAGAAGTCAAAATAACCATGGAGCAACCAAATAACTAACAAGAAGAAGCATTGAGAGCGGGAAATACCTCAGATATCGGCGAAAGCAGCTTTACCAATAAGGTTCACTTTCAAACGTAGGATTCAAACTATTCCTTCTAAATTGTAACTCTGGCACAATTCGTTCTGTGACCACCATCACGCGTCACGAAATGAAGCGGGCAATAATACAATGCTTTCGAGATTTGTAAAGATATCTAAGCTACTGCTGAATAACTAGCAGCCATACTGGTAACTCCCAGAAATTATGCATATTGTACCCCGTTGTGAAGGGTCCCGATCTTGGAGATATTTACCTCGATCTTGTCCCCCGGCTTCAGCCACTGCGGAGGACTCATCCCCATTCCAACACCTGTAAAAAGACTTGGTCAGAATCTCATTGCCGCTCATTATTGGGTCTAATTTTACTTACCTCCGGGAGTCCCCGTCATTATGACAGACCCCTTCTGCAAAGTAGTCCCGCTTGACAAGTACGAGATCAAATAAGCACAGTCGAAGAGAAGAACCCCGACAGACTCCTTCTGTCTCACCTGCCCGTTCACAACCGTAGCAAGGTCAAGCCTCGCAGGATCCCCGATAAAGTCGGACCTCACGAGACACGGGCCCAGCGGCGCACAAGTGTCAAACCCCTTCGAGAACCCCCACTGCGGTATCACGCCCGCAAACGCAGGGTCCCGCTGCAGCCTCCGGGAGGAGACGTCGTTGCCGCAGGTGTAGGCCGCGACATACGACAGCGCGTCCTCCCGGGACACGTCCTTGGCGTCCCGGCCTATGACGAAACAGAGCTCCCCCTCGTAGTCGGCCTGGTCGTCCTGGGCGATCTGGGGGACGACCACGTCGGCGCCGTGGTCGTGCACGCACGTGCTGGGCTTGAAGAAGATGAAGGGGAACGGCGGCGGCTTCCTGCCCGCCTCGCGGATGTGATTGGCGTAGTTGAGGTCCACGCACCGCAGGATGGGCACGTCGGCCTGGGACAGCGGGCTGAGGATGCTAATTCCTCAGTCGAAGCAACTTACATCGGACCGCCGACACCGATCCCCCAACTGGCACGCCTGGACGTTTGGCAGGAGTGCAAGACACTCCGCAAGTTGTACCTTTCCTGTCTGCAGCACCTTGACACGGACGGCCCCCGACCCTGCAGTTGTCCCAGTGCAAGAAAGTTCCGGATTCTCTTGAGCGCTAGAAGCCAGGCGCTGTATTTCACAGACATTCCGTAGTGCAGTTTTCAATTTTCCCAGGTGGCCGTGTCGTGGATGTCGTGGATTTCTCGTTTGCGGCCATCTTGCCCACCGTATCCGAATAGTTTCGTGCAATTCAGGGTACAGAGAACCTCACGATACAGCTCTTGTAATTATCTTATGGATAAGGCTCCAGCAGGCCCTGTTCCTCTCGAAGTCCGAATTCCTGTCCCGATCAATTCGACGCTGTGACATGAGTATAGCCTGAGGTATACATTGAATTATGCATTGTTGCAAGCCCCCATTCAGTTGAACTTGACATCGCTTTGACCCGGGAAACGTATCAGTCTCAGCATGGAAACGAGTTTGCGTTGCAAAGCTCGACCCAGCACACCAACGAGGTCAAGACCACGTCACCAATGCATAAGTGTCATGATGTTCAATTGCCAACGCTATGTGCTCTATGTGCAGGGAGCATATGCTTATATGTCTTTGTACAGCAGCGTCATATTAATCAAATAAATCACACCATGAGTACATGGTGGCCTCCTCTCTGGCGCGATCAATAGTCTCGACGGATGCCGCCGCCCTTTTCAGCATCGCCTGGTTCCGCTTCGTCGAGCGAGCCGCGCCTCCAGGGCGGATACACCGGGTTGAGCGCCAAAGGGGAGGGCTCCGAGACCACAATACTCCTTCGCTCCTCTTGCCGCGACTCCGCCGTCTGCGGTGATACGGATCGAGTTTCTTGTTGATAAAGTGAATCAAGCGACAGCCGCGCGGTCGACACCGTCCCCCATCTCCGCGGCACATCCTCAGCCGCAACAACACCGTGAGCGGGTGCTCCGACGGCCGCGACCTCCCCTTGTCCCCCTTCTTGGACCTCATACTCATCCGGAGAAGGACGCCGGGCCTGTGCCCCCACCACCCCAGCCTCGTCCTCCGCCACGGGCCCCAGCTGCGAGCGCTGCGACATCTCCACCAGCGTGGTGCCGTCGTCGAGGACGCCCTCGAGCGTGCGGCACGTGTCCAGCACGCTGTCCTGGAACAGCTTTATGCGCCCGCGGAGCCGCCCCAGGTCCCCCCTGCTGCCGTTGCCGCTCCCCTGCGGCGTCCTGCTGCTGCCGCTCGGGTAGGGGTTGTAGTTGCTGGGCCGCCGCTGCACTGCCGCCGCGCGCCGGGCGGCGCCGGAGCTCTGTTCGCGGTGGACGAAGAGTGAGCGGAAGGAGACGAGGCATGCGACGATGAAGGCTGTGGATCGGAGGTGGGTCAGCATGTGTGTGAAGTCTGGGGATCGTACGACGCATGCATATGAACGTAGCGTCCCAATTTTAAGGATAATAGAGTATAACTCACCAGTACAAAATTCAATGTGAAACCAGAACCACACCCAAGGTATGTTAAATGTCTTCCCCGCCGTTGTCGCGGTGAAAACCTCACTCAGTAACGCGCCCCGGAGCACCGTCGCAACAATGGTAAAGCCAACAAGGGAGAAGATGGCACCCAGTGCAAGCTTCTTGCGCAGGCTTATGCGCACGCCCCAGAGAATCCATACTGGGAACCCAATGACTGGAGCCGACAGTCAGGGTCCATCTTATCCACAAAACTTCCAAAGGTGGACGGAATTGGCTGGGGAGAGGAGACTCACTCAGTGCATCTGTGAAGATGTCCAGTGCCACAGATACCCTGAAGTACGTGAAGAACGTGTTCTCATATCCATGTGTTTGGCACGTTGTCAGGGTATACGTTATGTTACCAAATAGACATCGGAAAGTGGGCACACCCATTGTAATGCTCGCAATACCGCAAGCCAGCACAACAGCGAAGACAACCCACCACACAACCCAGAAAACACGCCCGACCCGGTTCCCCAGGCGGTAGAAGAACAGCAGGAAGTTGACCTTGATGCAGTAGAACCCAAAGATGAAGAGGATAATGGAGGACCCGGCAGCCTTCAGCATCGACTCGGTGTCGTTGAGGAACCCGAGCAGGTCCTTGGTGGGGACCGTCCTAGGGTCGTTGACCCAGGCCATCAGGCGGTAGATCTCGTAGGAGAAGCGCTGCGCGACACTCTGGATGCCGGTGACCAGGCACAGCGTGGCCAGCATGAGCCAGTCCTCGGCGAGGAGGTGCCGAAAGCAGGTCCACCGGATGTAGATGCGCGCGGCGAGGGCGACGGCGCATAATGAGAAGAGCAGCCAGGTGATGCCCTACATCTCCCGCCTCCGTGTCAGTATGCTCTCGTCTACTCACCATGATGGCGCAGAGGGGGGATGAGGGGGTTCGTGTTACCAGGAAGGTGCTCTGCGAAAGCTGGGTCGCGGAGTCCCTGGACGATTCCATAGTACGCGCCCTGCCGACATCACAGGGCAGGTCGGGACGAGGATCTCATGAAAGTGTGGGACGCAGGTGTGTGTGCGTGAATGAATTGGTAAAAAGATCGAAGGATCGGTTCGTTGGGGGCCATGTACCGTCAGATCGGGAGCGAAACACGTGGGCGCCAGAACGTGGGCGCCGCCACAAGGACGGAGCCTCCCTCACGATCGACCGACAGGGCGGCTAACCCTGGCCCCCTTGGGCCTCTCGCATTCGTGGGCGGCTGTATTGCTGGGACGACTCGAGCATGGTGAGGTTGTATTTTGGGACGGGTGCGACCCGTCCATTTGGAAGTGTCTCCCGGTCTCAGCTATTTTACCTGGATGGGACTGGCTTAGAATAGCCTAGGGCGGTAAGCACTATTGACTCCCTTGTCTGATTGTGTGCTCCCCTCGCTTTGTCACTTGACTGTCTGTATTATCTTGATTCGGCATGACGAATTCCACCCTCCCCGGGCGGACGAAAACGATAGTTGTGCCATAGACGGTTAGCGTATCCACTTTAAAAAAACAACAATCTTAGAGCAACTTCATCACTCCTAAACAAAGCCTTAATTAATTTAATTCTCAGGCTGACAATTAAATTAAGAAAGGGCCGGTTGGGGCGAGGATGGATAATGCCGGTAGGCACCGCTGAGCACTACTTAAGGCCCAACCCGGTACTCTTTATGTTCCTCAAAATAAGCAAGATGCGTTTTCTGGAGCGACTTTAAATGCCAAGGAGGAAATAGTGGGCCCGCTAACCGTGTTTGGTATAACTATCGTTTTCGTCCGCCCGGGGAGGGTGGAATTCGTCATGCCGATCTTGATTATGCGGTGTGACCCACCGTGCTCTGTCTGCGTAAGCTACTCCGGCGTCATGGACCAGTGAGGTGCGGGATTGGGAGACATCCCTGGCTTACGGAGGATCGCTTCTACCCCGAAGGATTCCGGCATACCACCTACTTGGGCGCTAGCCTGTGTATATATAATTGCAGCACCGATTTTCAAACCATATGCAGAACTTGTGGGTCTTTATTATAAGGACATTCGTGCTCACTTTCAGCTTGGTAACCTCCTCACAGGTTTTTTGACTCCACGCGGCAAATGCCTAGCTTCCTCTGAATTGCATCGCCCCACTACATCGTCGACGTCGCGAGAGCACGTTTGATTTTGGATGGATTCGCAGTCATATCATGACTACAGGACAATTATTCAAATCGGTTGATTGTGTGGCAAGCCGGCATATGATGTGGCAGTTTCAATGCTGGACTGAGACACCCTGAACCTGAGAATGTTGTGATCTGTGGCGCCGCTTGGGTACTAGTTCATGATATCTCAGCCACGCAACACAATGGAGCCGTCCGTGGATAGCTCGAGGACGGGAAAGGGGCGATACGGAGTCCGGTGTCACATTTTGGTAGACGCTCTGGCACTTGCAAATTATTGAGTAACCGAAGTAGATAAGGCAGCGCTGTGAAATTGATTTCCCAGATAGACAACTACTCAAAACTTAGAGTCCAGGGCTGGCTCGCTACGAACAAGATTCAAAGTAGGCAGATACAGCTCGGCTTCACCCAAAGCGGCGATATCTTTCCAAGCCTTCCACTCCCAGCCCTCAATCTTATGGGCCTCCTTCGTCTGCCACGAATTGAATTATCAGCATTGCAGTCATCACGTTGGGATGTTGAGCTGGCTGCTTGTACATACCTCAGGCTGCTGAGACGAATCCTCCCGTTCCGAGAGGACGTAAAGTGTCACTTCGTGCTTCTGCTCTTCCTTTTGGATGTCGTTGGTGTAGGCGATAATCTTCTTGGGGACGATCTTGAGGCCCGTCTCTTCAAGAACCTCTCTCTTGATGCTGGCAAAGATGTCCTCTCCAAATTCCAAGTTGCCACCTGGCAACTCATAGAGCCCTATTGATGGATGGCACGTTAGGACTGCGCTTCTCAACGTGGCTCGACCTCAAAGCCTTTGTACGATGCTAAGGGCATCGCTATGGATTGTGGACGTACCTGTGCCAGTCTTGCCCTTTCTCTTCCCGATGACAATCTTTCCTTGTCCGTCAGGAATGACAGCTGCTATCTCGACGTGCGGGCGTTGGCCTCCCATAGTGTTCAGTGATTAGTCCTAACTTTTAGAATTTGTGACGGACTGAGTGTGTTCCTAGTTTCCAGAACGTAGTCGGAATTGTCCTGTTATGTCGTGCATCGAGCGGGTGATCTGGAGAGATCGGAACATTTAAGTATTCGGCTCGAAGCTTGAAAGCTGTGACCACCGAAAGCGAATGCTTGAGGCCTCCTTAACGTTGAAACAAGACACGTGTTTACTGGGCATCTTCCCCGCGGTGGGTTTTGGCTTGGCAACATACACTTTCGCTTGCAAAGTGCGGTGAGCAGCTTGACCTCACCGCAATCAAGGCGAGACAAAGTGTCTGTTGCCAAGAATAACTCGCAACGAGCGAGGTAGCAGCACCAGCTAACCTGTGTTAAGCGCGTTTATGCTATGCGCGATCGCTGCCGTGGATGGCGCAGCAAGCCACGTCGTTTGAGAGTCGCTGCCAAGCCGACGATGCGCAAGGAAAACCTGCTGCTGCGTGGACTACTCGACACCTGTGCCTCCAAGCGATCGAAGTGTCGGGTCCGTGGAGTTACATGTATGATGTCTTTTGAAATCCTACTTGACTAGCAGCAGCTCGTATCAAGCTGGGGCTGTACGGGTGACGTCGTTGCCATACCCACCCATCCAACCTCGAATCATCACCAGGGTACGGCATTGCTTAATGCGTTCAAGCAATTTAGGAATTATTCAACATCACCGGATTGTTAGCAAACTCCCGAAGACTTTGTTGCAAGTGCGTAAGTCAAAGGAATTCAGATGGCAATCAAAACGTTGCATGTGTGAACACTGGTCCATGGAGTGGGTTCAAGAACAAGATTAATGGCGTGACTCAGCAAAGCTCATCATCGAGATGATTACTGCGAATATTAGATAATATGTGAGACTCGTGCTTTTGGCGAGAGGGCAGTCTTCGTTCCGAACCAGCTGTTCTGTTTCAATTTTCTGACGAGCTCAACGTATATGTATAGAGAAATCTAATTAGAGTATGTAAAAGAGACATCTGCCTGCTTCGCGGTGCCTGAATACGTCGAGAGACTTGTCAAGTTTGTCCCGATGTATCTTGGAGACGCCGAGGTAAATAAAATAAATGTCCTGACCTTGTGCGTGGAACTCCGAGTCTGTCTGGTATCATGTTCAACCTCGAAGCCATATTGACTGAAAAGAGTACCAAGTCATTACAGCTACATGAGTAACTCCCTTCCATAATCTCTCACGACGGTCACAGTTATATTTCCAATTGAAGGACACAAGTAGAAGCCAGCAACCTGGAGAAGGAGTTACAAGTGGTGAATCAAGTAGAAGGAAGCACTGAAGGGGTTGAAAAATTGATGTCCTACCAAACACGACATACTTTTTCCTTCACAGGAGAATTGTTGTTACCTTTCTACCAATCCTACGATCATTTGCCAGCCGTGTGATTTACAACTCGTCGTGTTGGGGTATTTTGGCCTGAATGTCCTGCACCTCGTATGGGTAGAACATGTTACCATCGCCGCCCCACTGGGCTGGCAGATCTCTTCGTTTCTCCCAGATCGCCGCTGAGGCTGTTTCAGACCGGAGGCTCTCGGAGACGGCGTCCACCTCGTCCATGACTCGCATGAGATTCCGCCCCATCAGATCCTTGATCTCTTCGTCCGACCAGTCGCGGATCAGCATTTCAGTGACCTATATTGTTCCTGGTCAGGGATATCTTTCCTCGAAAAATGTCATGCTGCTGGTCCAAAGTACTCCACTTACCAAGTTCGGATACTTGCTGGCATCCTCGAGCCCCTTGACGGAAGCAAACATGCCGTCAAAGTCGGAGCCTATCCCGACGTGCTTCCTGCCCACAATACCAGCAACATGCTCAATATGATCCGCGAGCCTCGAGACATTGGCAGCCTCGACCGTGGGGCCCACGAACGCAGGGAAGAACACACACTGCACGACCCCGGGGTTCTTGCCCTGCCCGGAGCCAATCAGGCTCAGCACGTCATCAGGCACATTCCGCGGGTGGTCGTGCAGGGCCCGTGAGACGGAGTGCGTCCAGACCACGGGCGCCTTGGACAGCCCGATGGCCTGCCTCGCGGTCTCGTCGCTCGAGTGCGACAGGTCGACCAGCAGGCCCAGGCGGTTCAGCTCGGCGATGAGCTCCCTCCCCAGGTCCGAGAGCCCGTTTCCCTCGTGTCCCGACCGGCCCATGGGCTTGCCGAACCCGGAGGAGCTGGCGAACGCGCTGTGGCACATGTGCGTGAGGCTGACGTAGCGGACGTCCAGCTGCGCGAACAGCCTGACTGTCGACAGGGAGTTCCCGAGGAAGTGGGTGCCCTCCATGCCGAGCAGGCTGGCGACCTTGCCTGACTCGAAGGCGGAGCGGATGTCCTGCGATGAGCGGGCGTGCTGGAAGTGGTCTGGGTGCGAGGCTATCATCTGGTTGATAAGGTCGAGGACCTCCAGGGCGTCGCGGAGGCCGTCGTTGGGATAGTTGTAATCGGCGCCGACATCGATGCCCAGGAAGTCCGGGCATGGCGCCCAGACGGTCCAGAAGGCTGCGCCGAGGTGGCCCTTTCGCAGGCGGGGAATGTCGATGTGGCCCGGCGTATAAGTCGCAAGGTCGAGGAGGATGGAGAGTGGATAACGGTCTGGCATTGATTTGGAGTTAGCCATCTGTGAGTTGATCCGCTTAGTGTCGTGAAGGGACCTGTGAATGTTCTCACCAAGGGACCGGATGATCTGAGGGAGATCAATGTGCGTGTCGATAAGGGGACTCTCCCTCATCAGCGTTTCCGCACGCTTATACAGCGGTGAGTTCGTCCAGTAAGAGTCGTCCTCTCCATCCTGCGGCTCAGAGTTTAAAATGGGCTGTTGCTCCTCTACACGGGGGCTCGCAGCAGCGTAGCCAATGAATCTCGTGGTGAAGACGCTGACGGCTGCGACTGCAAGGACAACAGTTCTTCGGAGAGCCATGACAAGATTTTCATGAGAACAATTCCGGTTATCTAGAAAAGCTGTAGTATCGAATGTGTTCCCACAGTTCGATGAGTTGGGAAGGAGTTGGGAGTGTAAGGGACCAGTTGACTGCCCGCATCTTGTGGAGGTCCGTTCCGACGCTCACTCCGAGATCGCCGGCACCACCGTCTCCGCATCTTATCTTCAAGCCGGCGCACACGTGTAATGTCGCTCAACCTTTTTGATGTGGGACAGAAAGTAACGCACTGTCAGATTGACAACCGTTTTTTCTTTCTCTGCCATGCTCAGAAAAGCCGCCGGGGATACTGTATTTTGCATTCGTTAATATTGAGACCACTTCATATGTACCTAGATGCCTGCTATCGTAGGTAACTACTGAGGATTCTTTCCAATGGACTGCCGCCTGGCCGGGAAAAACTCATTTGGAAGCCATACTTAGTATGCGATACGAATACAGATGAATATCTAGTCAGGTACTCAGTAGCAAGGTTTGTTGCACTTAGGCATGTTCTTTACACTAAAGAAAATTGAATAACAAAATCATACAGCCGTGCATTACCGTTATAGCAATACTTCCAGGTTGTCATGATGCAAGCGCATTAGAAAGAAAAGTATGTCACCATTTGGCAGGCCGCAGCGGAAACAATCTTGATGGGATTGGACGGAGGAGGGAAATTCAAAAGAGTGACACAATTCTATGCAGCCGACACAGGCTGGTCTATTTCTCTATAAATATCCTCTAGCTGAAGTACAGCTCTATCAGCAATCAATGTATCTCGCACAAGGCGAGAGTCAACTTAAGAGACACCACGACAACCCCATTATCCAACATAGGCTGAGCTTAGGTCACGCTCCCGTTCTTTTGTTATGCTTATGAATATCCGCCTGCGTCCCGCTGGGAACTCTTTGCTCGACCAACAGCAGACACTCTGTGATCCTGTTACGCCGCGAGATACGATCCTCTTCGTCCCGATTCTGGACGGTAAACCCCACGCTGTCGTGATGATATGTATTCGTTCGAACCTGCGGCAAATCTTCTCCCTGCTGGCTGACAGATGCGATGGGCTGCTTGCGATGGCTCCAGTCAGGATCATGTTGGCTGTCATTGGGTAATTAACCTCGCTATCCATGAAAGTCGAGCTTATAACCTCCGCGATATGGTGTAATTATATGAGTGGGGCGTTGGAACAGGGGCGTATTTTAAACTCGGTGCAGGCTGGATGATGGGAAGAAGGAACAAGGACGAGACTTGCCTCTCGACAGAGCCATCTTGTGCTCGTCTTGACCAGGTCATGGGATCCGACATCCCGGAAAGTCGAAGAAAGCAGTCCAGCGAGACGACAAGATGAGGAAGAACTGATGTATTTGACGACCACCAAGTGATGGACGGTGGGGAGTATCAAATTGAACCCGAGAGCCTTGCGCCTAGCACACAAAATGTTATCGACAAGAAAGTTCATGATTGCTACACGTAGTATTTATATAACCCACACTGGCTCCCAATGGGACGATCTTCCAGCCTCAACCGCGCATACTCCATACTCTACCAACATGATAAACCACCCGGAACAGGGTGCATAGCATCAGACGCCCGACCAACGTGCCTGTGTGTGAATGGCACCTCAATCCGCGACGGCTTTCCACACCCGCTCTCCAATTTTGACACGGTGAGCCGGTGTGGCCGCCACTGCCCAAGCACCAGGAAATGACGTGCAGCATGTAGCCAAGTATCTATAGGGAAATGTAATTATAGCCTCAAGTCCACGCATCAGCATTACCTTCGTGGTTGCACACGGAATAGCATCCTTTTCTTCCCCCATCGGCCCGGGGAGAAAGGTGCGTATGCACATGTGACAACACAGCCAGGCGGGCTGGCCTCATTGTGCGGACCAGCAGCCGCGAGACAGATGTAGGGGGCATGGTCCAGCTCGCAGGAGGGGTGTGCGACCAAGATTCTGCACCTGCGGGAGCCGAATCAGGGAGTCGTCGACCTGCAAACGACCTCACCAGCGAGGCACGACTGGACCGGGAGACCAGGGGCATGCTTCCCCGGTTTGGGTTGCTGTAGCGATTTGCGCATGCACACCCGGGTCTGTCTTATATCTCGCCCAGTCCACCAAACAGGCGAGTGGGGATTGTCGCACAGAAAGTGAGAGGGTGTGGAGAGGGAGAGGGAACGACTGGAAGGCAAGGCAGGGAGGGGTCGGCTCGTCCGTCGAAGATTCTGGAGCCCGCCATCCGCGTAGGCCGCAGGTGCTGCGGTTCGTCCAGAGGGCCCTGTCGCACGCAATCTCGTGGCGCCCACATGCACGGCAGATGCTACCTACCTGTGGCTGGCTCACCGAGGACGAATTGGGGGGAAGCTGCTGCTGCGCCGTCGAGACACACAGAACGAGATAAGCCCTGTTTACCGGTGACGCAGATCTCTCTTGCGTTTCTCCGCGACCGTCTTCCAGGACCTGACGGCCTGCCCGATCCGCCCATTCATTTCCTTGTCCAACGTGGCACTCATGGATCTAGGGGGGGCCCTGTCGGTGGGTGGTCTAATCCGGGGAAGCAAGATCATGCAGCACGCGCCGCCCTGCATCTGTTGATGGTTCGTCCAGGGCGGCGTACCCAGTCGATGAGACAAATAGCCTGCCCGTCTTGCGCATGCCGGGCAGGCAGCCAGGCAGGTACCCTTTAGCAGGTTTCCAAAACTCCCGTTCCATCACAGCGGCGCATCGGGCCCGGCCGCACATCAGCATGAGCAGCAGCACAGGGGCCGGGACCAGTTGGCGCAGTTGGCGCGCAGCTTCACCCCATGGCCGCGGAATTATCCTGTCCAATGCCTCTCACCCCGGGGCACTTTTGTGCCCCTGACACAATCATTGCCTGCATGCAAGCGGCTCCCAGACAGCAGGGAAGGCTTGGCCCACACAGAACAGACTTCATCAGCGCGCGAAAGCCACGTGCTCACCGCCGCAAGTCCGCTGATGTTGCCCCCCGGGGCCATAGCCGGCTCCCCAGCCGCGGCAGGAGCGCTTCCAACATATTCCGTCAGGACTATAAGAGTTAGCGAAGGGTTGCATTTAATCTGCGTCATACGGGGACAGCGGCTCGGGCGTGGCCGTCCGGAAAGTGCGCCTCAACATCCCGGGGCCTGTACGTCGAGACGTGGTTGAATGTGGTGGAACATCAAAATGTATGCAGAGTTTCAGCCCAGCTCGATGAACAATTGACAGCCAGTCATGATCGCCTGGGCTACAAGCTGAGTTCGTTCAGGCTTTTCCAGCATACTGTCATGGACTCAAATGACATCAAGACATAGTAACAAAGGCGCAACAATCAGGACGAATCGGAGGGGAGGGAAAAACAGTGCTCCAATTTGCGCTATCTTGATGCGGCCGGTTCCACAGAGAGGAACGTCAAGTTGCAGGAATAAGGCCCATCAAGCCCCCAGGCCACACGCACAATGCGTGGTCCTGACCACCACACATAGCAGTCGAGTCAGCCAGCCCGCTTGATGCCGAAAGCCCATACATCCCTGCCATTCCTTCCGTCGCAACCCTTGTCCCCTCTCCATTGCTTTTTGTGTTATTTTTATGTGGTGATTCTTGAGGTTGGCGAGTGCGGCACCCGTTCGCCCAACAAGTCGATGCTTTCGGCCATAAGCACCTAGACCGGAGTGAGCATGGGCCATGCAAGGTGGAATGAGATTGCCAAGTCGTCTTTGCACATCGATTGTCTGGACGGGAGGTTGAGTTGCCGCAGAGAGTGAGGTTTTAGTGTCATGCTCGAGGTTGGTGCGCGATGGCACCATGAGCTCCAAAGTTGCCGTGTCGTGAAGATAAAGTGTGTGCCCCCGCGGAGTATGTGCTTGTTCAGCAAGCGTAGAGGGCTTGTGTTGTGTCGACAAATCGCAGTGATCCGCCACGGTCAATGGCGCAACCGAAAATCTGCATCGGCTGCAGAGATTCAGTCGCAGGGCCAGGCAGTAGGCCGTCTTGTCCTGGCACCCAGTCCGAACACTCGGGTGCCACTTCCATCGTTCGCTATCATCGCATCCCCCGCCCCGTCATGAGTTCGTTCCGTTATAGTCATGAAATCACGTCGGTACAGCGCCTCACGCTGCACTACCTCCGCATTCCACATGCATGCTTTCGCACCGCAAACATGCTTCTGTGGGTACAGAATATGGTTTCGAGGCCACGCCTCCAATGGCACACCGTGACGAAAGAACCCAGCCCCATTTTGCATTTGTCCTTGGCCATGCAAGCCTGTCCGTGAATGGAAATCCATCCAACTCCATAACCGGTTCCATCCGTCTCACCGCGGTGGTACTCCGGACACCGTTATATATGATGCCTCCTTTTCGCAAAACGCCAAATTCGCCGTCGGAAAGAAGCGTGAAGAAGCATATTAATCAGAGATCTAGGACCAACCCCTTCATTTTGTGGGACCCATTGCTATTACCACGAAGCATAGACACCGCGGCCTGCCCCCGTGTCCTTTCTTGCAACACAAAATGCTGTCCAAATATCAAGTATGGCCGAGATGACGGCCACGATGAGGACGGCCCCCAACGTTCCAATGAATGCTGGTATCATGAGAAAAACGTCGTTAGTGCCACCGCCGAGGGGTGAGGAGGATTTTTGTTTGAGGTGACAGCGGAGAGTGAGAAATTAGCAGGGCAGAAGGGTCCCTTCAAAGCGCGATCCGGTCTAGGATATCATCTGACTGTAAAAACCAAAGAGCAGAAAGTCGAAGAGAAGATAATTCAAAAATTCCAAAGAGGAACCGTGACAGAAATGAAACAAAACAACAACCGCATCCATCAGACCGACGGACATGGAGAGGAATTATGCCTGTGGTGCAGGTGCCGGAGGACCTTGACCACGACCGCCGCGCTGGCCGCCGTAACCCTGGAATCCCCGGCCCTGGCCTTGGTAGCCGCCCCGACCGCGACCGCCTGAGCCGCCTCCCCTGGAGCCTCCCTGGCGGTTGCCTTGGTACTGACGGTGTTGCCCATTCTGGCGGTAGTCATTTTGGCCCAGTGCCTGCTGGGGCTGGGACTGAGGCTGGGGCTGAGTTTGAGACTGGTAGGATGAGGACTGTGCCTGTTGAGGCTGCTGCTGCTGCTGCTGCTGCTGTTGTTGCTGCTGCTGGGCCGGCTTCATTGGGCGAGGGATGGATTCGGGATTGTCGTACACGTAGAGGCTCTTGTCGATGGTCGATGGGATGGGCTGGATGTCAATTCCCAAGTCCTGCTCGATGTTGTAGAGGTTGAAACGGTCCTCCCAGTTGATAAGGTTGATAGCTAGACCAAGATGACCGTATCGGCCGGAACGTCCGATGCGGTGGAGGTAGGTTTCGGCATTCTTTGGGAAATCGAAGTTGATGACAACGTTGACGGCCTGGATGTCAATTCCACGGGTAAGCAAGTCGGAGCACACGAGATTGCGGCAGACACCGTTGCGGAAGTCGTGAAACACTCGGTTTCGGGCGGCCTGGGGCATTTTGGCGTGGCTGTAAAAGCACGAGTAGCCGAGCTCGGTGATCTTCTTGGCAAGAAGCTCGACACGGTTGGTGGAGTTGCAGAAGATGATGGACTGGTTGATCTGCAGTTTGGAGAAGAGCGTGTTCAGGCAGTGCACCTTCTGCTTCTCCTCTATAAAAGCGTAGTACTGCGTGATGCCGCGTAGCGTGAGCTCGTCCATAAGGTTGATCTCGTAAGGGGTGTTCATGTGCTTGTCGGAAAAGTCTTTGACGGAGATTGGGAAGGTCGCGGAGAAGAGCATGAGCTGACGGTCCTTGGGATGACGTCCAAGGATCTCCTCGATAGACTGAAGGAACTCGACCGAGAGCAGCTTATCTGCTTCGTCCATAACGAGCATGGGGCATTCGCTCAGGTCGGCAACGTTCTGTCTTGCAAGATCTGCTACTCGGCCGGGGGTGCCGACGAGGACGTGGACGGGCTCGCTGAGACGGAGGATGTCATCTCGCAGGCCGGTGCCACCGGTTGTGACCATGACGTTGATGTTGAGGTGCTTGCCCAGAGTCTTGCACACATGTGATGTCTGCAGGGCAAGCTCTCGTGTGGGGACGAGGATGAGGCATTGGATACGGGAGACTTGAGGTTTGACCCTCTGGAGACATGGGATGATGAAGGCGGCGGTCTTTCCTGTTCCGTTCTTTGCTCGGGCTAATATGTCGCGGCCTTGCAGGGCGACGGGGATGCTCTCTTCTTGGATCGGCGAGGGCTTGTCAAAACCTGCTTCGAATATGCCCATCATCAGATCGCGCGAAAGCTTGAAGTCCTCGAATTCGAAACCCTTGGTGTTGGTCACATCCTGCGGGGCAGAGATAGGTTGTTAGCTGCAGGCTCAGTGCAAGGCACGCGCGAACGCATGGGACAGGGTGACGGCTGTAGATGGAGTAGATGGACACACCTCTGTCTGCTGTCGGTTGTCCTTCGCTGGGAGGTTCAGCTTCTGCTTCCAGTCCTCTGAAGGGGCTCCATCCTGGACGTTGCTTGCGCGCAGCTTTTCGGTCAATTGGTCGGCGACATTTGTTTGTTCGGACATCTTGGCTAAGGACCAAGACTGGAGATTTTATGCGCAGGAGACAGGGTAGGTGTGGTGTTGGCGTATTCACAGGTTGGAGTCACAGTGGACTGGCTCGTTTGTCGACGAGGGAAGGGAAGAATCAATGGGGGTGGCTGGCGGGGAAGGTTGCGCCACGTCGCCTCACGAAGGTCGGGGTGGGAAGAAAATGTGGGACAGCAGAAGCTGGCGGTCGTGTGGGTGATGCTCAGGAGTTGTGCAGACGGCCAAGGTGGAGTGAGCCGTGTCTCTGGTCGAGGTCGCTGTCGTCGTCGTCGAGGAGTGGGAGAGAAAGGGCCGAGTCGCGAGTGGGAGAGAGCTCTGTTTGGGAGAGGGGGAAAAGTGGTATGGACAATTGTGCGCGTGCAGGAAGGATGCAGGTTCAGTTCAGCTCAATAGGCTGGGAGAGGTCTCTGATGGCAATGTTGATTGTGTTATGGAGGCGGTCGTGTTGTTTTCGTCCCTTTTCAGGCTTGGGTGGGAGGAAGAATTGTGCAGTGGTGGTGTGGTGTTGGTGGTGACGGGAGGACGGAGTGCAGTCGAGACGTTCGACGCTTGACGAGCAGACCGATTTTGCCAGGCCTGGCCCCTAGCGGCTCAACGCCAGCTGCAGCCTGCAGCAGAAGAAGCAACAGCAAGAAGCCGCGGGCCAAGATGCTGAGACAGGGGTTCCTTGGACCGTTTCGGCTGTCCATTGGCTGGAGGGGCCAGCGGGTGAGGTACGTACCCTGCGACCAACTGGACCTGCGGGGTGGATTACGGTGACCGTCTACGGCCTACTGTGGTACAGTTTACCAGCTGACCAGTAACGGTCACGGTAACGTCCTTAACCCCTCACCTCCTGCCACTTGCGGCATACAGATACCTAGGTACTTGGCCAGATTCAATGTTTTTTTTCCAGTTCTCTGCATTCTCTTCTGCAGGCTATCCGCACCTACCGTACTGTCGACTCATTTGTCTCTCGCAGGGATCGAAGGTCTGCATCTCCACCAGCAGAAACATGTCAACGCCATGCCTACCACGGACTCTCAAAAGCTTGAGCACAAGCCCAGGGCCCAAGGGACGATCGGAAGACGCGGGGCAGGCCCAAGGTTCAGCCAATGACGAACCTTGATGCCGTCCACCTGGAACCTGGTGTGGGATCGGTCGGCTCTGGGCCGCTAGTAGACGACTGCAGTATCTCCGACGTCGTCTGATGCTCTTAGGCGAGGACTTGCAGATTACTTGCGCAGAGCTGCGCATGTTTGCGCAAGTTATTGACATCTCCACCATCACACTCTCGCCTTCAAATATCAGGGTGTAGACAGCAGCCACGATGCTTTCTGCTCGGCTGCTTCCTCCCTCAAGCCCACCATGCTCTTGAAAAAGCCTGCTATCGCGCTGTGTTCCAGCGGCAGCCTCTCGTCGGCTCTGTCTCTCCCCACAGCTGCATCCATAACGTCATCGACTGGTCCTTCCTCACCATCGACATCGACAGCAATACAATCCACGCCCCATTTCCAACCACCACGCAGGAAAAGACTATCGATACCGAGCCAATGGCGCTCATCACGGTCGTACGCCACCGTCCGAGACGAACCCCGCCGCGACGATGATGACCCGGCATCTCCGACTTGGCCAAAGTGCAAGAACCCGACCCCCTACGAGATCTTCGACCAGGCCAAGTCCACCCCCTACAGCAAGAAGACCTTCTACCAGCTGGTGAAGCTCTACCACCCAGACCGCCACGCATTCACCTCCAACCTCAACGGGGCCATCACCCAGAAGGCAAAGCTGGAGCGCTACCGCCTCGTCGTCGCCGCCAACGACATCCTCTCGGACCCGACCAAGCGCCGCGCCTATGACCTCTACGGCGCGGGCTGGGGCGGCACTTCCAATATGTCCAATACGGCCTACCGCGAGGCCGACCGCGCCTGGCGCGCGCAGACCGGCACTGCCGCCCACAACGCCACCTGGGAGGACTGGGAGCGCTGGCACTGGGAGAACAATAGCCGCCGGGATGGCGCGGCTGGCAAATCGGAGCCGCGTTATATGAGCCACGGGATGTTTGTCATGACCATCTGTGTCTTCGTGTTGCTTGGTGGCTGGGGCCAGGCCACGAGGGCTGGGTCCCATGGCATGTACCTCGTTGAGATGCAGGAGAAGAAGGATAACCACATCAGCGAGGAGATGTGGAGGCGGAGGAAGGAGAAGGCCATGCTTACCAGGGAGGACCGGGTTGAGAACTTCCTGAGGTCAAGGGAGGGTTGGGACACTGTGGTCAATGATTCGCATTTGCCCAAGGATTGAGATCATGCATTAGTTGAATGAAAACAAAGCGTTTCTTCATCATGATTGAATCTGCTTGCGTCTTTGTGATATTTGGTGACAATGTCTGCCCAAGTTGACCCTGGCAAAGGCTAGTGTTTGCTATGGTAGGAAGATTGTCATGACAAATGTGTTTGTACCACAAGTCCCAATGACTACAGCTATTTGAGAGTTGTCATGTATGGCTGGGGAGCAAGACACAAAGGCTTGAGGATTAGTATAAGTCAATGACCTTAGTCTTTTTCCTGCTGAGGTGAGAAAAATTTGCAACAAGATTTCATAAGCAGCAAAACTACAACTCAGAAGACAACGAGAACCATGCATAGCATCTTGGCCCAATGCAGTGCTTCAGAGATTTCCTCTTATACTTGTCAGTGAGCATAATCTTACCTTGGCTGTGGGATGTATTGACCTACCGCTGGGCCTGACCCTCACAAGCATCACCATAAAGTAGTTACCTAGGTAGGTACCTATCCAGTAGGTAGCATCAGGTACTAGGTGGGTTACTCATAGGCGCAGATCTATCGTGACTTCCAGGAGTACCATCACTTTCCGGCCAGCACTGCTGACAAGCAGCCAATCTTGCTCAAGAAAGAGTAGAAAGGATCCTCCTTGGAACCTCTCCGCCAACTCGCCCGGACGACATCAACATTTCAATCACCAACACCATCGCAGCCTCAGACAGACGAAAACCAACCACAATGATTCAGAAGATACTTCTGAAGAATGATCGCCGGTACGAAGCTCTCAGTTTTCGAAAGCCCTTCACAACCCTCCAGAACACCAAAGAGGGGAGGCAAGAAGAATGGACGGTAAAGACCCATTGCACATGAGGAGCCAACATTGTGCTCAGGATCAAGGCTGCCTTGGCCATGCGGTCATGAGATGGCGAGAGCCTCACTTCCAGGTACCCAGGACGACTCAATGGAGAGCTTCTCTGCTGGGCGTTGAAATTCCCTGGATTCTTGAAGCTTCATCCCTAAAAGGACACGGAGGCACAAGATTGGTACGCCAGCTGTGGTCTGATATGATGGAGAGCTTCGCTGGCAGCGTGAGTTTGGCACCATTTCGGCCGGCTTGGAATTTGGGGAGAGCCATATTCATCCCAACAATGCCTGCCGACGACTTGAAAAGCCTGGCTGTCCTCCAAAACTGGCAGCCTTTGACTGCCAGCTTTTGACAGGTCCCCTTGTGACTGTCAGCTGAAGTCTGCTGGGAAAGCCTACACTTCCCCAGTACCTGTCAGAATTGCCGCCGAAGCTGGCAATTATCAAGTTGACAAAAGGCATCAGTCCGACAACCTCGATTCCCAGTGTGGTTCTGGGATCTCTTCTGTTATTGCCACTCTTACGCCTCGAGAGTGTCCAGCGATCCTCAGACCTACTTGTTCTTCCTGACAGTCAAACGGGGCAAGACTCCTGGTCTTATTACCCCGCGATCACAAATTTCACGTTCGGGCAGCAGGAACCTTAGACCCAGCTTGCCTTGAGAAAACTTCCAGGCACCCCGCCCTTCTTGATGGTTTGCGTCCGACCAACTCTGCTCGACCGTGGCCATTCTGGAAGCTTCGTTCTTTACAACCACAGGATACCTTTCACAACTGCTTGAGTCGATTGATTTCTCAACCATGAAGCTCTTCATGGAGTCCCATCGTTGTCACTAACCAATTCATCTTCAATACAAGCGACATCTCGGTGAGCTGTCCCAGCTACTGTTTGCCATCGGCAACAGCTTGGATATCCTACCCACGCGTTTCAAGTGGGAGAAACACCCCACGTACAGCATCGGCATACTTCCCTGTTTCTTCACTACATTCTTATCCATTTGAGGGTCTGACAAGGGTCCTTCAGTCACTGTGGATACTGGACATCCCCGTGGACAACCAGTCGAGTGGTCACCGTTGCAGACTCAACAGCATACCATACCTGGGGACTCAAGCCTTCGACAGAAGAGAACCATTTGGAAAGCCGTGGATACTTTCACCAAATCAAGTAAGTGTTTGTTCGTCCTTGCTTTACCCTTCCCCGCACTATAATTGATGACTGACGGTGATGTTCTCTTACAACCAGCTAGCCAGTGTGACAAACGGGTTAGGCGGCACCAACCACGGACCCCATTTTGGTTTCATTCCATCGGTCAAACAATTCAGGTAGAATATTGGTGTCCAAGCCTTCTGGATACGTCACTCTAGACTGACCATTTAGTACAGATCGCGGGGAGCTTCCAAATCCACTCTGAATTGTCCAATATCCCATTACACTTGATCCATCCAGTCTTCAGGCTACAGTTGCAGCTTGGCGACCATCAAACACATCTGTTCCCTTCCAATCACTCATTCCATACGTTCATCATGCCGCCTCCGGCCATCGCTAAGCTTGAGGCCGGACACAAAGCCCAAAAGAAAGGTGGCGCGCCGGGCTCTACTCATGCTCTCACCAAGGTTCAAAACCGTGTTCAGAAGTCGAAGTCGAAGCCGAATCAGCGCATCGAGTTCTCTAGGTTCCCCGCTGAGATCCAGCATATGATCTGGAGCGAGGCCATGCAGAAGCCAGCCTGCCATACTTTCAAGTTTGCAAGGTCTAAACAGCCCCCACATCACCCCAATACTTGGATTACACACACATATGACCTCTGGGCTCTTCCAAGCAGCTATGACCCTTCGGCATACCGCTGGTGGAAGTCCATGCTATGGAACTGCAACTACAAGCAGCCAAAGCCTGAGAAGCTAAAGCTTGAGGGGCTTGACCTCGCAAAATACAAGCTTGAGAAGGCAAACTTGAATGATATCCGCAGGCCAAGGAAGTCAAAGGAGGCGTTTTCGAAACTCGCCAATGCCAGCTTCCAAACTGGATTCCGAAGGTCCATGGTTGATTTACAGCCAATCCTCACTCATACTGCCACTTCAAACCGGAAAGGTGCGGCCATTGACGTTGCCACAGACCTGGTCATCCTTGAGTTTGAGCGGGGAGGGACAGCGGATGCGTCGTCCTGGTTCGAGCACGTCGACGGGCGGATGGAAATGATGGACATTCGTCGCAAGACGAGGCACTTGAAGCGTGTGGCGGTTCACTACAAGAAATCCCACCCTGGATGCGGACGCCGCTCGCCTTTCCAATGCTGGTGCCCTGCTGGATCACCGCTGAATTTGGATTGCGCGAGTTACAAGTTCTGCCCCATGGAGCAGGCCTGCTTCTTGGATTGCTTTCCCAACATCGAGGAGTTCTACTACGTGGTGGAGGTGACGAAGAAGAAAGAAGTCGCCTGGTGCGACGAGTACAGAGGCCAGTAATCTTGCCCCCGGCTGACTGAATCTCACTGACGGTTCGATGTAGATCATGCACGCCGACAAGGCTACAAACTCAAGAAGTCCGACAACCCGGAGGCCGCCAAGTTCGAGCTCTCACACTCGTATGACTTGAAGAAGGAGTTTCTCCAGCTTTGTCCGAAGTACTACATCAAATTTCTGCCCAGAAACTGCGGACTGATCCAGCCCTCCCTCTCGAGGCCATGGGCGATCCGCGCGATTGTCTCATCAAGGTCATGGACATCTACAAGGGCAAGAAAGGCGACGAGACTTTCGAGAATTCGTTGGAGCAGCGGAACAAGGTGAAGTTTGGGGTTATGGTCAGTTACAACCTCCCGAAGTGAGGCCAGTCTCGTAGGTGGTTTGCAGCGTTCGTCTGCATCTGACTCAACATCGATCTTTGCTGATTGGGCGTTTGGGATTGTCCCTCACGGGTCCCGAGTTCTCGGATGGGCCGGGGATGAGGGTTGAAGTTTTGGACCTCCTCAAATGCGTAATGGAACTGGGTGGCATTTGAGATCGGAATATGGATGGTTTGCTCTTCTATGTCTTTATGAAACGGAGAGGGACATTGGCTTTTTTTGCTGGACCGGGCCAGAGAATAGCCTGCACTCTGAGAGGCACAACACAGAAGGAAGCGTGCCGACTTTCTCATCACTTCATTAGACGAATTTCATGACAATTGCTTCTATTACCTGATCGTATCCAGCTGGTTGGATGTTCGGGGTGTCATATGTGGACTAAAGTGGAGTCCTAGCTCTGCAGTGGTCCGGCGCATTCCGGTTCCGATCTCGCCAAGCCCGGTCGTTCGCCGGAGACGTCGGCAGCCCAGTCAACGTCCTTGCCTCACCCCCTTCATGCGGCGGCTGCCACATCTTGGCACCCACAGTGCTGGATTAGATCATGGCTGGCTCATTCAACCGCTTTGCAACAGACGTGGCTGGTCTGCTTGACATCGCCGCCGATGCACTGACAGCCACGAAGCTGGTATTTCCCTCACCCCGTCTCGTTTCGTTGCATGACCACGAGCTCAATGAGTCTGTTCTCACACCTCGCAGGCGCTTTGGAACTCACGGGAGAAAACATTAAGGTCTTGGATCGCAGTGCCTACCGGAATCCTCGTGATCCTCGTGGCGTGCTTCGGCGTCGACACCCTCTTCAAGCATGTCTCGATCTCGTTCCCTGCCTCGGTGGCTTGCATGCTGCTGCTCTTCGCCGGCCTGTGGTTGAGTGAGCTGGTCATTGGGCCTAGTCGAACACGGCGAGCTGTGGCCGTTATAGATGTTCCTGTGAGTCTCACGTGGTGCGTTTCGCTTGCACTAGAGACCAATGACTGATATGGTGGACAGGCTGGTTGGTCTCTGCGTTGGATTAGCATCCTTTTTACGCCGACCTTCGTCACGCTGCCTCTCAGCCCACCCATCAGCGCAGCAGAGGTTGGGAAGATCATTGCTGTGTTTGGTAGGTAAAAAACGAGCACATGGATTTATTTCACAGTTCTCTAATCACAACATACTTCACGCAGCCGTCGGCTTCGTCGTCATGTTCATCGGCACGGCCTACATGACCCGAGGCCTGCAACTTATCACAGGCTCCCACAAGAAGGCCCAGGCTACAAGAGCCGAGGAGCTTGGGCCCCAAGAAGACGAGATTGACCTGACCAGGACGCCTCCTCCCCAGGAGACACCTCCACTGTCCACGGACGTCTCGGCGCAAACGTCAGCCGTCGCCCTCGACGACCTCACTCCACCTGGCCAATCCCACGAACCATCCCACATCCAGCCCATTGCTGAGCATGGCCCAACCAGCACAACACCAGACCTCCCAGAGGCCCCTGCGAGCCCACCACCACTTCCGCCACAAGCCCCGCCGGCGCCTCCACGGGCCCGCCTCTGGGCTGCCATCATCCAGAGGCACCTCGATACAGTCACCTACCTCGTTTTCCTGCTATTCGTCGGCCTGCCCATCTACTACGCCAACGGGTACGCCATGCCCCTGCAACTCACCTTCACAATCCTAATGTACTTCGTCGCGCTGTCCCTCCCACCAAACTGGAAACAAGTCCTCCACCCAGTCATCGTGTCAGCCCTCATAACCGTCCTCGGCATCTGGGTCTTCGGCCTTATCCACAACCAGCCCCTCAAGCCAGTCCTAGAACAATACACCACAGGCAACAAGTACCTCCAGCTCTGGCAGCACGCCACCGCCACCACAGGCCACCTCCCAGGCGCAGGCGACATCCTCTCCACCGTCCTGGACGCCTCCATCGTCAGCCTGGCCCTGCCCATGTACCAGTACCGCCGCGAGCTGGTCGAGCACTTCGCCGCCATAATCGTGCCCAACGTCGTCCTCAGCATCGGCAGCCTGTACGCGTACCCGACGGTCTGCCTCGCGGTGGGGATCTCGGCCACCCGGAGCCTGGCGTTCGCGAGCAGGAGTTTGACGCTGGCGCTCGCGATCCCTGCCACGGCGAACCTGGGCGGTGACGAGAGGACCGTTGCTGCTGTGGCTATCATGAGTGGGGTCGTGGGCGCGCTTGTTGGGGGGAGGGTGTTGACTTGGCTCAAGATCCCTGAGGGTGAGTGGCTGTTGTGCCTTTCTCGCTCTTTTTCCGTCGGTGCTTTTAGCGTGCAAATATGCAAAAGCTAACTTGGTGTCTCTGCTCTTAACAGATGACTACGTCACCCGCGGCGTGACGCTGGGCGCTAACTCCTCCGCTGTGGCGACAGCCCTGCTGCTCCGAACGGATCCCAGAGCTGCTGCGCTGTCCAGCCTTTCGATGAGCCTGTTTGGGACGATCACTGTGCTGTTCACTTCCATACCGCCCATTGCGAACGCTGTCAGGTCGCTTGTTGGGCTTTGAACTCCTCTAGCTGGATCTGTCATTAAATGATCTTACTCACGACGTTGAGGTTGTTGTACACAGTCATGTCCTTAAGACCACTCATGGTCGACGACAAGACGTCTGATCCGTACCCGAGTAAGACAGTGTGAGATCAGCCATCACGATGACTGTCCGCGGAGTGTGAGTCATCGCTCGAAGAAAGACTGTCACTCAGTTGGCAAGCAGCTAGAGCTGGGGGCATACAAATACTGCGCCCGGGGTGCCCCGAAGATCAAGTTCGTGGTGGACGTGGTGGACTGCGCCCGTCTGAATGCCGGGGCCCTGAGCAGCTTCATGCACTACATTTGAGATGATTGCGTCGGACAATTAATTATTGAAATACTGACTTACTGCGAACATCAGGGACCTTGGATGATGTGTGGTCACACGGGTGAGCCCGGACAAACTTCCGGGTTCTTGATAGGTGTGGCAACTTGCAAGGAAGCCCATTACGAATCTAGTCCCTGGGGCACCTCTGGAAGGCCTAGATCAAATCACAGGAACTGAGCAAAAAAGAATACAGATCAGAGTACGGATTTTCCAATATGAACACCGTCTGGTTCATGTGGCCAATGTAACCCCTCCAAAACGGGTGGACATCGTCAACGTTCCAAAGCACGGTCGACAACTTTGACAGACGCGTCTTTTGGACCGAGACCTTTTGACTCAAGGACTTAGCAAAGAAATCTTCCGCCACCACCTGGCATCTCAATTCGTATTAAGCCGGAATTTTTGACAGTATGATTTCGTCCACTCAATATCAACGGCATCTAGCTCCTGCCTAGGACACCAGGCCCATCGTTCGTTTGGGGTGAAGTGGCACATTAAACAGGACGATGACCTCGGAGTCGACCCACGACAGTGTGACTGACAGAAATGGAATGATTAGATTAGCCTCTGGTTTTGAAGTGTTGGTTCGAGCAAGCCAATAGGGATGCAGGACAGGGTGTGACTGTAGCCTAATCCTGGCTCCACCGTATGTGTAATTAGTATGAGCTCGCGCTAAGCGCTCTCCAGCTTCACCTTCACCTGGCTGCCTCATTCAGAGATCACTTTGTCGAAGCCTTTTGCTGAAAACGTTTTACTACATACGCTGTACCACAAAAGCTCCATACAGTCACCGCAGCCAACCAAGATGTTGACCAGAGCATCGCGCAGTCAGGCGCCAGCTGATGGCGCTCCCGCCTTCAGTGGAGCTTTGTCGATGGCTGCCAGGAAACGCAAGACGGCAGACGAGGCACCAGTCGCGCCGTCCAAGAAGAGCAAACGCCTCCACACTACCAGTCGAGACGGAATAATCCAGAGTCACTATTCTACGAGGAAGCTCATACCCGAGGGCGAGTCCACACCCTGGAGCTCGCCGGCAGGGACTCGCCAAACAGGAAGCTTTTCGATTCACCCGGAAACAACGCTCAAAGCCTTCCAGCAGTCACCGCCTGATGTCTCTGCTCTCCCCGTGATCAACAAGGCGCCGACCGATGTGCTTAGAGTCTTTGTCTTTGGGCTTGGAGATATGAGTGGAAAGCTTGGCCTTGGACCTAATATTAAGAGCACTCCTCTACCGGTCCCCATACCCAAGGTGGACGGAAGGGAAGAGGGAAGCTACACTATCGTACAGATTGCATGCGGTGGCATGCATGCGATAGCACTGACACAGGACGGCAAAATCGTCACCTGGGGCCGGGAACGATGAAGGCGCATTGGGCAGGGACACGGCATGGGAGGGTGGTCTCCGCGACATGGACGCCGAGGCCAGTGACAATGATGGTGGCGGCAGCGGCTCCGAAGACGAGGCACTGAATCCGCTGAAGTCCACACCGACGCTCGTCCCCGAGAGCTCCTTTCCCGCCGGAACAAAGTTTACTTCTGTGGCCGCTGGGGATAGCTGTAGTTTTGCAGTCACTGAGACAGGTCTTGTGTATGGTTGGGGAACATTTAGGGCAAGTACACTAGCCCTGATCAATCTTTACTCGATTCAGACTTTTGTTATATGTTGTACACAGATCTGCTAACGTAGCTAAATACGCAGGATAGTGACTCGAATAAGCGCTTTCTGGGGTACAATGGAGAGCATATCAAGAGCCAGTTTACTCCTATGCTAATACCTGGCCTCCAAAACATCAAGTCTGTTGTTTGCGGGGCCAACCACGCCCTCGCACTGGACATCTCCGGCCGCGTGTGGTCGTGGGGTGTAAACGAAAAGCTGCAGCTTGGACGGAGACTCTATGCACAGAACGACGACACGGATAATAGCTTCTACCCTCATCTAGTCAATCTCAGTCGTTATGAAGTGAGGTGTCTTGCTGCTGGTCCATACCACTCCCTGGCAGTCGACAACCGAGATAGAGCTTGGGCATGGGGCATGAACAACCTGGGTCAAGCAGGACACGCCAAAACCGCCGGAAAAGACGGTGCAACTCTCCCCTACCCTCTACAAATTCGGGCTCTGTCTGGGCAGGCGATCCAGCTCCTTGCAGCCGGGGAACAGCACTCAGCAGCCGTCACCGGCGACGGACGCTGCCTAGTATGGGGATACATCGACAAGCACAATGGATTCAAGCTGAGCCAAGAGCAGATCAGCGACCGGAGTTTAGTTATGTCCGATGATCAGGGCCGGTCACGCATCCTACTCCAGCCTGTGGCTGTGCCTAACATCGGCCAAGCAGCGTATATTTCGTGCTCTAGGAGCCACACCATCTTTGTCAACAGGGAGGGCCGAGCTTTCGCTGCCGGATTTGGGGATGAGGGGCAGCTTGGAAGTGGGACAGAGAGTGACAACGACCTCGCCAAACCGGTGCAAGGGCTTGATGGAGCCCATATCGTCTGGGCTGGGACAGGTGGAACGTTCAGCATGGTGGCTGCACCATTGTCCCAAAGCACAATGATGCTAAATAATGGTTCCATGTAGGATAACGGCATTGTACTGGATCTTTTCTTCAAATAGTCCAATACAATATCAAGGACGTTATCGGGCATGGTCGACATGCTCTGCTGGAAACGTGCCGCACTCACAAGAATAGCGCATCACTGTCAAACACGAAGGAGGGCTCGATGAAGGTGATTAAAACGAGATGCATCCACTCAGACTGACGTGGAAAATGGGCATGTTTCAAATTTGTGTTGTTGTTAACACTGTCAAGGTGGAAGATGTATGGAAGTGCCAGAAGTCATTTGTGAGGCCAAAAGTCATCTATGGGGGATCTTACTCTGGTATAGATTGGTAATGGCAAATGAAATGCTGCCAGGGCTTTCGGCTGATGTTGTGATGAAAGACTTTGTCATATCGAAAGCTTGTTACATGGAAGCTTTCGATGTGACAATGCGCTGCAACATTGTGATGCACCGTGCACAGTACCACGAGGACTAAGTGAGGTATCAGCTGCTGAAGCGAGTCAGTACAGATTTTGAGAAGCCAGACTGTAGGACTGTATTTACTGCTGATAACGGCAACGTTTGCGGGAATACCCGCCCTCAAGATAGAAATTTGGGGGTTGCCTCCGTTGACGCTCAAAGAAACGGGGTTGATATCAGTGACTGTTAGTGAGGACGACCCGATTATGGACACATGAGTCAAAAATAGACCTTCAAAATGCGTTTCCCTACCTCAGATCCAGGGTCTCATGTGACGGGCAATTAATTGGGTGGATGTGAAGTCATCACGAGGGGCCGAGCAACGGACGACGTCGATACATCACATCATCAGCCACACGAGAATGGAGATCCCAGCCACAATGGCTCGAGCCACCCATGCCCATTTTTGACGACATCAGGAATCGTGTCTCGCCACGACCACGTGCGATGCTGGTTTCAAAACTTGTCAAACCTGATCTGCCCGACAACCTCACCCACGCACTGCTACAACTCTTTATGTCTCCAAGAAGCAAACGGAGACGCACAGGAGACCGCTGCCATGGCACAGGCTGTGGCCAGCCCGATTGTGGCGATTGCCACCGCGATGAGGATGCCGACGCCGGCCAGCAGCCGCTGCACACCACCGGGCCTGCCCAGCCCTCGCCCCCGACACAGAGCCCATCACCTGGCCTGGCGGCCATGATAGCCGCCCTGGAGGAGAAGGCGCTGCGGGACCTGCTCCTGCAGAGCGCAGCGTCCAGCCAGGAGATCCAGCGTTCGATCAAGGACGCCTACCAGCGACAGGTGGCGAGGCCACAGCCGCCGCCGCTACTCCCGCAGCCGCTCCTCAGCGCGCAGACCACGCGCCCGGCCGTGCCGCTGTCGCAGATGAGGCCCGTCACCAACTTCGACCACTACAGCAAGTCGGCTTGGCACGCCCTCAACGACCGCGAGCTGCTCGGCCTCAGCGGCAGCCGCCAGTACACCATGGCCGGGGACGTCTACAGCGACATCTGCGACTGCGTCAACGCAATCGACGAGATGACCAAGGACGACGCCCCGCTGGGGACCAAGCAGAACGCCATCGAGACCCTGCGCAAGATCGCCAAGACCATCATCCTCGGCGAGGACACGGTCGGGTACGAGGTCCGCAAGGAGCTGCAGAACGACTCGCACATATCCGAAATCATGATCCGCATCACCGAGAGCATGACCCCCGAGGAGAGGTTACGTACCGGCCGGAAGGCGGATGCGAAGGGGACACTGATCAGCAAGTTGGAGTGGGTGAGGGACGAGGCGGAGGGGCACTGTTTGAAGGACTTGGAGGGCTTCGGCAGAGTCCTGGAGCTGATGAAAACGGGCTTTGCCTCTACTCACGGCAGCTCAACAGCTCCCATTGACCTCACCAGCTAGACGTCTGCACGGCTCGGTCACAGCTACCTGCAGCTTCAGCATATCACATCTCCAGATACAGTCAGATGCAGCCCAAGTACATGGGCACCAAACTTTACTTGCATGATGGTTAGCGAGCTCTAGATTTGACAGCATGTGTCCGAATGAAGTAAAGCCGTTTCATTTCAGAGCATTGGGGGCCACAGGGAGTCTCGGGGAGTAGCTAGACCGCATCAGCTTTATAGAGAACATTCGAGAAGCGCTTTCATTCCATGTAGCACCCATCTGATAGCATTCCCGTCCGTAGTGCTTCCCGTCCGTAGTGCTCCCGTCCGATCTAGTATCCTTTTTTGGCACTAGCGACGGGATCAGCCTCGAAGGTGAGGCTTTCATGAGCATGAGCACGGACCATGAATGAAGGGGACAAGCCCACATAGGCAGTGTCATGTCTCGACGCGAATATCGGGATTCTTTGAGTAAGGTCGCGCTTGTGGAGTGAAATAGATTCTTTACACACGTTATCCATGATAATCGGGAAGCGGTCACTTGATTAAGTCAAATACATGACGTGAGGACGCCGTATGGGTGCGCATTTGCACTCGCATGGACTCACAAGACTATGTCCATTGCAGTGTTCTCATGCTTGGCCGTGTATGAGTGATTGCTAGTAAATTTCACACATGAGCCCTCGCAGCCTGGTATTTGCTGCGCCTGCCATTGGAAGAGTTCATTTGGTATTATCATGCTCTACAAAGAGCCATATGTAGGCACGTGTTGTCCAGGTGCGGAAGCCACAGGCATTATTTCCAGATGAGACAGTGGGCAAGCCAGGTTGAAGTTCAAGGATCGTGACCTGGACATGGGATGAGCCAGCACTGAGCGACTTCTAGATGTCGCTTTGCGCACTAAACACACGATCGAATCAGCTTCAGCGACTTGCGGATGTCGCTTTGTGCACTGACCTGACGATGGAATCAGATTGAGCCCTGCCGACTAAGCAAGAGAGCACACACTTTAAGAAAACAAGCAATACAATTCTAGAAATCTTTTCTGCCTGGCAGCCTGCCCTGCTGCCAAAATCTGCCGTTTCCAATCTGCTCCGCAAACCCTCATCTCCTTAATGCACCAGGCCAAGCGTGTTCGCCCGTCATAGACAATCGGAAGCCGTAGGTGAGTTTGACAAATTCGGACTCCGTTCCTTAAGGAATACTCCCACTGTCACCAAGGTTCGCTTCTAACGCCCAGTCATCGCCTAGCGCTTGACGCAGAGCCAACAAACACACCCAAACCCAGACGAAGACATGGCGAGCGACGACTCGGACTCCGATGATTCTTTCTACGGAGCCATGGATCGGCTTGTGGAAAGCATCAGAGAGAGCCTGTCACCAGAGCTGCTCGCACTGGTTGGACGCCGACTGTTCGAAGGACAGAGCACCATTCGCGCCGACCCAGCCGATACACTCAAGGTCTTGTCCAAGTTTCTCAAGCTCTCCGCCAAACCTTGCAGCAAGGAGGTCAAGATGGACGTCGGAAATGCTATCCTGGACAAGTCTGATCCCGTGAATCTCTTTTTCGGCTGCTTACCGAGCCCCGAGTCACACGAGATGCGTCATGTGAATGGCGGACAGGCGATCTTCGATGCATACGATCACGCGCACGAAGTGCTGGAGTACTTCGCACTCGTTCATGGGAGAGAGAAGTTGAAGACGCAATACAAGGGTACACTTCTCGACAAGCTCTTCGAGGTACTGGATCGAGCAGATCGGCCCGCTGTCTGGAGCCCTGTGCAGTGGTCTGAGAATCTTCTCCTTCTTGTTTGGGAAATCCCTCGCGAGATAAACATTCGGAGAGATTACACTGAGAAAACTTCAAGTCTCATAGAATATCTGCGCTGGGTGATACAGGGACGGAAAGACGCCTCCTGCCCTGTTCGAAAGCCGTGGGCTACTGTCGATCCGGCGGAGCTGAGAAGGAGTGCTTACGATGAACTGAGCCGCCTCCCTCACGACGCACTGCCCGGATATTGTGCCAGTTGTTCCGCCGAGGGGGCTGCTATTCGATGTACGTGTTGCTGGCTCGGTCCGAATGGAGACAAAGGAGCTGGGGCAGTGTACTGCAGCGTCATGTGCCGAAAGGAAGACTCGGGACGCCACAAAGTGTCTCGCCAGGAGTTCGGGGAAATCTCCCGTCTCACCGTCCTTTTCCAAATCGTCTTCGTCCAGTATCTTTTGTCTATCAATTACAATGGCTACTATATTGTGTCGGCAGACGATGGAATGGTGAAAGTCTTCATGGATTGCTCCGCGCCAGAGGATCTCCAGAACGAGTCCATTTACAAGGGTGTATCTCCGGGCCTGGACCTTTCCCTTCCGAAGGTCGAGGCTGCACTCCATGCCTTTGGCTGTTGCGCTATCGAAGAATCGGCAAGAGCGCTGTTGGAGTATTTCTTCCGTTGTGAGTTAAAACATCAGCCTGTGTCAAGATCGAAAGGCCATGGCCAATGTCAAATTACGAGTAAGCTGACTCTCCGTGGTAACAACAGCGTCATCTACTTCGATAGAATTCTTAGATTTTGTCCCCAAGAATGCCCACATTCCAGTCTTGGAGCACTTTGGGGATGGACGATGCAGGTTCAACATGTCACCAAGGCATACGGTTGCTATTCTCAGAACCAACTCGGGACTCCAATTCATCCTCGACCCCACCGCCGCCCAGTACGGGTGGAAGGAGAACATCGCGCCCCGGGAGATATACACTCGGTGCCGCATTGATCGCGAACTCACTACCACCGTATGTTTGGCTCCAAGTAGCCCGGGCCCGCGCACGGAACACACTCCGAGACCAGAAGATGAGTCTGAGCTGGTGAGTTGGAAACACAAAGTTGTGGCTGAGGACACAGTCGACCTTGCGAAAGATCATTTCTCAGCCAACGGCGGTCTTCAGGATACTCTTAAGCTTCCGCAACATCAGTTTGAGGAGCAGTGCCTGGCATTAAGAGAGACTCTGAAGTCAGGTATGCGCATGCGTGACCAGTGGAGGGAAGTCCACGAGAAATAAGGAAGCCTGCATAGTTCATTCATGATCCAATGGACTTTCAACGTCGTTCACAATGACCACCATCCGAGGATGTGCGTATCGCCGTTTCGACAAAGGGAAACTTTTCGAGGTGCTCGAAAAGGTTCAATCATGTTGGACAGAAAAGTAATCCCCAAAACGGAAGTCTGACGAGGGTTAGGAACGCAAGAGCTTCCCTGGCATCAAGGGTCAGGAAGCCTGAGATCATGCTATGCATTCTCAAGGAGACGACAGCATGAATACATTTAAAGGAGATAATGTCTAATTACTATTACTCACTGGAAAAATGGCTGTTCCGTGCAATACCATGTAGATATCTTATGTCACAAGAGGGGCACGAATATCAGCATCAATCCTGATAAATAATTCGGAGTTCAGGGACGTGGCCTACTGAAACTCAGTGTCTCAGACGGACCCGGCATCCGTCATCGCTGGCAACAACTAATGTCAACCTCTGCCTTTCAGCTCCGACCTTCAACCGTGGTTCAGCATCTGGTATCTCTACGTAAGGATATACTTGTATAAGTCTAGCGACTGCGTAGGAAACCTCTAGTATCGCGAACTCCTCTGCATCAAGATGGTGATCAGATCAGCTGAAGTGTGAAGAGTAGGTATTGCCGCGTCCAGCGGTAGATCAGAGGACAACTTACGTCCGAGGCAAGGTCGGCGACCACCATTGAAGGGGAGATAAGCGTATCCGATATTCTTCAAAGCATCACCCTCCCACCTCTCCGGCCGGAAGTCATCCACGTCCTCGCCGTATATGTCTTTCCTTCGGTGCATGGCGTAGACACAACGCCAACGAAATGCGGATGCTTGTCAAGTTTAGCATTGTATTTGCTAAAGCTGGTAGGTGGGCAGATGCAGAGGGCCTGCTGGTCAGGGTCAAAGACTTCTTGTACTCGACTGTCGGCCCCAAGGACGAGAAATTCAGGACGATTACCGCTCTTCTCTCCGATGTTTATTTCAGGATGGGCCGGGCTCCGAAAGCAGTCGAGCTCCAACAAGAAATTCTGCAGAGCTGCCACGAGCACTTGGGGACAGAACACCCGGACACTTTCCGGGCGCGAGACAGATTAGGATGCACAAAATGGCTTCAAGGTCGTTTCACCGAGGCCCGACAGCACCAAGAGATTGCGGTCGAAAGGTTCAAAAGGTTACTGGATATCGGCACAAACCACGAGTACAGGTTCGAGGCCATGGACAATCTCGGCCGGACCATTGGCAAGTTCTGGGAGACCCACCACTTTAAACAGGCTTATGAGTTGCATCACGAGGCCGTGCAGGGATTGAGCAAGGTACTCGGACCAGACCACGACAAGACGCTCACCGCCAAGGAGAGCCTGTGCCGGGTGGCGCTGGTGCTGCGAGCACAGCGGAAACACACGTTTAATCCCCTGGAGCTGATCACAGAAGTAGCCGAGACACGCAAGGTCAACTTCGGAAAAGAGCACCCTTTGACCTTGCTGGCAACAGCGAACCTGATTATCGCCAAGATGGAAGCTGGGCACCTCGAGGATGCGGAGACAATGGTCAGGGAGGGCTTAGAGGTCGCGATACGAACTCTGGGCACCGACTACTACTACGGGACGATCCACGGCCGCGATATACTAGGGTGCGTCCTGATCCAGCAGGGCCGCTATGCTGAAGCCCAGGAGGTCTTCATCCACGTCGTCGAGAGCCAGAAACGGCTGGAGATAAGGCGTGGTGACCATCACCCCGAGCGCCTTGCGTCTCTGATTCAGCTTGCCAAGGCAGTGTCTCATCAGGGGAGAGTTAAGGATAGTATAAAGATCTGTGAGGAGACGATCGAGGGCTTGGAGATCATCTCCAAAGCACCGCACCCCTTGAGGGCCGGCATGATCAGAGCTCGAGACCAGATGGTTCCGCTCCTCAGCTCGCCGCAGCACAAAGACCATACAAAAGTTGAGTTTCCGTGGATTTTGTTCCCCGGTGGCCCTTGAAGTCCATAAGGGATCACTGGGCTGGAAATGCCCAGGGCATGGTGGCGATTATAGATAATACAGAAGACGGATAATGAACTAATTTGCCCGAAAATTGTCAGGATGATGGGTAGACATGGAGAAGCCGGATAGTTCGACTAAATCTTTAACAAGTGTTCATCATTGCGTGAAATCCATAATGCAAGCAAAGTTCGCATCCTACCAAGAGTCCGGGACGAGGACGAGTTGCACCTGTCGCTCGCTACCTAAAACAGACTGGATTAGAAGACAACATAGTAAATGATCACCAGAGCAGGTTCAGGTATAAAAAGTTCTTGCTTGGAGCTGCCAAGAGAGAGCAAAATAAATGAACTGTTAGCACGGGGTTTGGTGCCCTGAACGTTGGTGGTATGTAGCCCCGTTCAAAAGCATTCAGGACGTCGCTCAAACTGAAGACCAGTGACAGAGAGCTCCAGCCCGAACAAGGAGGTTCAACTTTGTTTGCTCTTAGTGGAAACGTCAAGCACCATCAAGCTTTCAACAAGGGATCCCCGCCTGATAGATCTGCCTTAAGCTTCACCAAGATGTGGCCACGCTTGCCTGTGGGTAGAAGCTTTGATATAACGGAGCATTTGGTGAGTAAGCCATGGTCAAATCGTACGTTTGTTTTCGTGTTTGTGGCAGAGGACATGGCAGAGACCTCACGGGCACTGCCTGATTTCCCTGGAATGGGATGCTATAGCCTTAACCGTTTCTTGAAATGGGTCGTTGAGCTTCTTCTACAAACGAAAACTTTAGTGAAGGAGACTCGCCCCGCCCAGCTGTGACTGGGCTTTGCAGTTTCCAACTATGCAGTGAAGGACCCCTTGCCCTTCATACGTACCCCATTCAATTTTAATTGGATTGCGGGCGGAGTTCGCAAGCCTCCACGGAATCTGGGTACCTGATCAGGCAGGCACCCTGGCTGGAATAGCTTCCTCTGGTGGGACCCACTTTCATCCACCTGGTAGTTCATCTGGTTATGCCCACCTTCCTTCAAAACCTGATCCCTTCTGGTTTTCCACCTTAACCATCCACAACCCACGAACTCTAGAAGTCGCATCGTCGCGAGCCACCTTTTAGGGCCTGTGGTTTTTCTTCATCACAACTCTTTCCCCAGAGTCATCACTTCGGCGAACGCCACCACGACAACCACAATCATCGAATCCTTACGATGCCCACCACCTGAGATGGACTTTGGAGGCTGCAGGTATGTCCATTCTTTCTGGAGTACGCGCTTCACACTTTCCTCACAGCTAACCCGAGCCACAACAGCGACGCCAAGATGTCTGCCCAGATACACAACACCATGAGCAGCGACCTAGACAAGTGCGTCAAGGTCGCCGAAATGAGCTCCATCAAACTCGTCAACGCCGCGTCCCAGCCCGACCCGACCCCATACTACAAACGCATCAAAACCCGAGACCAAATCGACAAGGAGGGATTCCCTAAGTTTGGGAAGCTTCCTGCCGAGCTCAGGCTGAAAGTGTGGGAGAACGCGATGCCGCCCTACGGACTCTTTACAGTCCTCATGTTGGGACGCGAGGAGCCAAAGCCACAGCAACCACCTCCCCCGGCCCCCTTGGCCTTCCGTGTGGTGTACCGACTGGAACCCGTTGCCCGCGACCAGCAAGACGATGAACTGCGCATGCGCCTCGACACCATGCGAGCAATTCAGCGCACCAACTCTGAGGCCGCGTCCGAGGTGCAGAGGGCGTTCCCCACCACGATCAACTGCACAGGTGGGAAACTGCGCTTCAACGCCGAGGAAGAAACCCTCAGCCTGTCCAATGCGCAATGCATCTTGTCACAGAATTTCCTTCTACGATTCGAGCGATATAACGAAGGGGCTATGGCCTTTGCGGATGACTGGCACAAAATCCCTCGAAAAATGACATTCATCGGCGCATGGTGGAACCCTTTCGCGATGGTGAATTACTGGCTACAAGCACCTAAAGCCACGGGCGTCTGGGGTAACCCACCAAGAGCCAGGGCCATGGAGGGTTTCATGGGCTTCCTCGCTGACTGCACAAGATTAACCACGCTGGGGTTTACGTACAACCAAGTTTGCGATGAGAGAGTCATGCTCATGCCGCCTCCCCAGTTGAGCACATTGCACCACGAAGTTCTACCCTCCTGCCATCTCGTACCCGACCTGAAACGCTCATTCTATGATGATATCGATGGTTGGCCCAAGATTACTCTTCAAAGTCTCCAATACCTTGTGGCAAGCGTTCGCGGTCTTGAGGCATTGATCTACGGACTGGGCACCGGCCAGGAGCTTCCGATTCATTGGCCAGGGATGAGATTTGGCCGTCCAGAGCTACAGCACCTCCAGGTTCAAGCTATGATACCTGCAAAGCTTACGCTTCTTGACCTAGTGGAGAGGACGGTGAAGGCGCAGGAGTTGTAGCTTCTGGGGGAGAAGGGGACCAATTGGAGCTGGAGGCTTCTGCAATATTCGTGGTCGAATTGCAAGGGCTCAGAATAAATCGCCATCGGCGTCCTCTTGGGATGAGAGGGCTCTTCAATAAGGTGGATGCTCGGATTATTCGGAAGCTGGTTGCTGAGGTCTTGGAAGCACATGACATGCATCACGCACGCCACAATTCCATGTTTTTATCCGGTGTGACAAATTCCACGGAGCAGGGTGGCCAGGGGAATGCGATCGAGACTCTTGTGGAATGTATTTTTGGTACGGCGTGCGCTGGACGGGTTGAAAAACGGCACTGGCTTTATTGAGCGGGGAGGCCACGAGCATAGCCCTGAGGTAGACCTCATGTCAACGAATCGTCAACAAACAAAAGGCCCTTGTATGATTCGGGTTATATCATTTGTGTGTTTATATTAAGTGATTGCTTCGGTTGTAAGACAACCCAATTATGCCAGCCATCAGCTGCAGCAGCAACCCTCACTTTCGTGCTTCAGGTTCCGCGGAGCACGAGCCGATCGACCTCCAAACCCCCCCTCGCCCCCTTCGCGATGGCATGCCGCCCATCCCACACAGGGAATACCACCACCGCCCCAAACGCAAAGAACTGCCATACAATAGCGACTGTCGTCCATCCACTGAAAAATGATTTTGAAGATGTAGTCTCGATAAAGTGGCATCGGCCACAGCACAAATGTGACCAGCACGATGACGACGAAGAAGACCCACGCGATGCGCTCCCACAGCCGTAGTTTCTGGAGAGTCGCTTCATCAAAGGGGTGTTGGACGTCGTCGAGGCTAATGAGCGAGGGTGCGTTGGGAATTTCTGGGGACCCCCTGGCGACTTTTCGCTCTGCAGCCAACGCTGGATCGTCCGCCGGGGCCGACTTTGTCAGGGCAGAAGCATGGTCAGTCCCACCGGCCTTCAAAACAGTACCGCTCACTTTGTTTTCGTCGTCACTGCCTGACGATGGCGACCCCAGTTTCACATCCTCTCTATACAGAATTGCCTCGTCGGCAAGCTCGATCCGCAGGAATTCGCGCCAGTCAAACTTGGACGGCTTGTACAGCGACATCAGAACCGAGTACAGCGCCGGGGAGAAGAACGACCCGATTGCTCCATACAGCGCCGGCAGCGGGGTTTGCGTCGACTCGATGGTCACCGTCCCGTACAGGTGGTACGCCGTGCCAAGCCAGATGCCAAGCCCCGTGAAGAAGCCCAGGACGGGGGAGACGACGGCCGCGAGCCTCGTCTGCCGCGACCATCCCAGGGTTAGAGCTAAGGGAATGATCCCCGGGCAGCTCACGACCGGCCTGAGGTAGCCGAGCCAGGTCATGTTCGCCCCGCCGTAGTTCAGGGCGATGGCGATGCCTGACATGAACACTCCGTGCATTATCACGGTGAGGTGGCTCACCTTGACGAGTTTCTTGTCGGTCGCGCGGGGATTGAGGTATGTTTTGTAGACGTCGAAGGAGAGGATACTGCTGACGGCGATCATGGACGACGACACCGTGCTTGTCAGGGCCATGAAGACAAGGACCAAGAAGGCAATGACTCCTTGGTTCCCAATCAGGGCTTTGATGGTGTATGGCATCACGAAGCCGGCGCTCACTTCCGCAGCAGTGAACTCGCCGGGGAATGTTGGAAAGACGGGTGTGTTGTGAATGGCCCGGGCTGCCAGGCCAATAACCGTTCCAAGACCCCATGGAATTCCAAAGATGGCCAGCGCGGCGAGGTTGTATCCTGGAACTGTGGCATTGACCTCTGTTGCAAACGACTTCTGCCAGAATGCTGTGTCCATGACTACTAAAGCCAGGTTTCCAAACTTCAGGTCCAGGCCCCAGATGATCGCGTCTCGAGACTTCATCGTGAGCAGCGACCCCTTGTAGTTGCCGGGGATTATGTTCTCGGAAGCGGCGGCCATAACCTTGTCCCACAGGCCATACAGACCACCAATGGCGTCATGGTGAAGAATCGACAGCGTGAAATAAATGATGAGGATGAGAGCGACGAGAGTGTGCAGGAAGTCAGTCAGAAATGTGGCTTTCAGACCACCCACGGCAGTATACAGCACAACTGCCAACTGTCAGCTTGAACCGCAGATGAGGCATGAGAGAAAAGGCCTGCTCACCTCCGAAGGGTATGATGATGCAAGCTGCGACAAAATGCATGCCCGAGACTCCATACACAAGCTGCGAGCCAGTCAAGATCATACTGGCGCAACCGAACACATTGTTGATCAGGTTCATCACAATGAAGACACTGTGCCCTATCTTGCCGTACCGCTGCTTGATAATCTCGAGGGAAGTATGGGCATATGGTACTCGAATCTTCGCCATCACGCCCAAAGCAGCCATCAAAGCGATTTGGAAGCAGAGACCGGAGCCCCACCACTGCATGGAATTAGTGCTTACCATCTTTGATTAGTTGGAATGGGTACAACTCACCAGCGGGACAGCGAGCCCGTAGCGGTAACACATAGCGGCACACATGACAGTCTCATTAATCCACATCCAGCTCGAGAATACCGCCGACGCTGTGAGTCCCGTCCCCACGCTGCGGTTCGCCACCAAGAACATCTCGGAGGTCCCCGAGTCCTCGGACAGGTACGCCTTCTGGATGCGAACGGCCGCCAGGATCACGACGCAAAACAGGACGCCCAGCCCGATGAGCAGACCGTAGGCTGTGCCCTGGGGAATGAGCTGCAGGCCCGCGACGGAGACCATCTTGGCTTTCTGGCTATGCTTGCTTGATAAAGTGGCAATGCCGGCGGGAGGGTCGGATTGGGTCGCAAGCGGGCTCGGCGAGGCTTGTGTGAAAAGTTTAGCCTATCGCTCGTCGACTTCGAGCTCTATTTCCCGGCCTGGGCGTGGCGTCAGAGGGTCCGCCGGGACGCACGAGAAGCTGGGCGAGGGAGAGATCGGACCTTGCCAAGTGAGCAGCCAAGTCTGGTCTTTATATCAAGAGAAGCACCGTTTTTAAGCGATGAGGGTCTATGTTCTGATCTTCACGTTTCCCGGCATTTTTCCAGTGTGGCCCCCATCTGGGGCGAGACCCGGACGACACCCACATGCATTGGGGATGATGACGGCCCCGCGTGGCGGGTCAGATCTGCGCGAGCTCGCATTGGATGTTTGCTGCAGTGCAGCGAATGTATCCGGCGAGAAAGGCCATCACGCTGCCGTAGTGGGCTATTGCGTTATGTGAGGAGCGCGGATCCTTGTCGGATGTCACTGATAGCTAGGCGCAGACACCGCTGCGATTGCGTATGGCGTGCTCGGGGTGCGACATGACGAGGGCACCAGAAAAAAGATAAATCCTTCCAAGCCAGCAAAAGCATTTCTCAAACGATCGTCATTGACACCAAAAAGTTTGAAAGACTGCCAGACAAGATAATAACGTCCCTCATTAATCTCATCAACTTTGAGGAGTAGCTGGAAGGCCTCACTTTCAATGGGAGGTATTCGTAGGTTGCATGCTCGCATGTTGTATGACTCGAGGTTATTTCGGGAAAGATGCTATATTCTAATGATACAGCTCCCGTTCAATACATATTAAATTCATTTCTATTTTATGAGTTGACTGCCAACATGAAGAGTGAAACTGATAGATCTCCGAGAACGGTAAAAATACCGTGCCCTCCAATCGGTACTGCAGATGGCGTTTCCAGCTTCTCCAGGCATACTTTATCTCCCTCATAGTGCCGTTTACCTTTGGATTTCCGAAAACGTGACAAAAGATATCCCTTAACATTTCTGCAGCCGTATTCAGTTTGGTAGCCGTCTATGGTGGCCTGGGTTTCTCCATCAAGTTTTTCCTCGCAACCACGTAGGCCAGGCACCGCTGGCTGCCACCTTCGTTGATCCCAAGCATACTCAGCAGAACTGAAAGCTACCCAGGGCTGGCATTCCCAAGAAATGTCTCACTCAGCGCGAGATGCAGCTAATCCTAGATTTCGAGACTACGTAACGGCGACGTTGTGAATAACTGTAAACTCTAGCACGATGAAGGCAACGTAGCCAACAAGCATTGCGCCTCCGATCCAACGATCAAATCTGCCACCGATCCAAACGGTTAACGTAAAAGCAAGAGTTGAGCCCCACAACACTGCTAGTTCGGGGATGTTGACATTGCCACTATTGAATTCCCCGGAAGTGTCGACCATGATGATGCCCATACAGAGTGATAGAAGAAAAATATTGCTACCAACAGTATTAGCCACAAGGATCCCAATATGTCCTCGGTGTCCACTCATAACGGCAACGAATTTCTCAGGGAGTGTGGTGGCAATAGCGAGGACAATGACTCCGAAGAGAACATCAGAGAGGCCGAGGGTATCGGTGATGTTCATTGCAGCGTGGGATATGACATAACCGGCCAGACAGATGGCTAAGAACCCAAACATAAGGTAAAGGATATGGTATCCCAGACTTTGACGTCCACGGCTGACCCTCTGTGCTGGGAGAAGGGGTGTCGAACTGCCGCTCCGTTGGTGTAGCCAGGCGCAAGGTTCCTGGTCCTCGGTCAATTCTCGACTGGCCGACGTCCCTGCTGAGTCCGCGTCGCTTTGTCCATCGCTGCTCTGGTCGCTGCTCTCATCCGAGTCTTCCGGAGCCGCAAGGCTGCCCTTGCTGATTGCCCAGCCTACTGAAATCAAGTAAACGGCGAAGACGGCGATCAAAATGGCACCGCATGTTATCCAAATCGTCCCGCGGGAAAAGTATGTGACGGGCGTAACAAAGGTGGTGACAATCAGCAGGAGAACTGAATATATCCGAGAACTCCTATCGAACTGGGTTGTCTCTTCCGTCCCACGGAATACGAGACCCAGTGAAAAGGCGCCGAGTATATTCGAGATGGCAGACCCGACGATGTTACCCACTGCCAGTGACGAACGTCCTTGGGCAAGAGAGGAAATAACGACAACCAGCTAAAACCGGTGCGAGTCAGCGGGCTAATACTGCCAAGGCCCGAGCATTTGAAACCAACCTCCTCCCATTCCGCGCCGGCCGTGAGAAGCGCGATTATTGTGTCAGGTACCCCGGTGCGTCGTGCGACAACGGCGGTGTGGTCGACGAACTTGTCGGACCCGAACTCGAGGACGAATAAAGTGCTGATGAACACAGCCACGTTATAGGCAATGACGTTCCCGTCTGCCATGATGGACCGTATGGATGAGATTATTCGGCATCGAGTTGTTACGCGGTACTCTTTTTGGACCCGGCTGTCGAGTCTGGATGTTCGTGCTCCTGACGTCGAGATAAAGTTTGATCAGAGCGCTGCGGCATGCGCAGCCGAAGTGGGGCTGTCAACCGAAGGCTTAGTCCAAAACTTGTGGCCTGTCAAGCGTGAACGGGAGAACAGACAACCGTACTCTTTTGTGAGTACACTCGGCACAGTACTGCTACAATATGAAACCGCCATTCCCTAGTCGGCAGCACTTGGCATTAGTAGCGGGAAATTAAGCAGGCAAACACCCCGCCAAATATAGGGTGCAGTACTTGAGAAATACCATGGTTGCGGCTGCCTGGCAGAGGCTTCGTCCAGCCACAGCGGAGTTGACGCTCCTTGAACGGCAAGGCTTCCAGTTCTTGTCTTAGCGCTCTTGTCTCCGCAATCTCCACAGCGTACCACCCCGCCCGCAGTGAAGCCAGCGAAGTTGAGATGAGGAGCCAATGTAGCCTCTGCGCCTCGTATGTTTTCTTTTCGCTGTCATCGTAAAATCTTGGCAGATGGTGCTAGCTGTCCGCCAGCTGCAGCTAAGTATTTGATCTTTTATAGATATGTATAGCTCTCTCTCAACCAGTAAAGTTTCAGAGACATCGGAGATTTTGCCAAACCTCTGACGTTTTGCTGACCAGTTTCCCGGTGGCTGTTTGAAACATTTGATCTGAAAGTTCCAAAAATACGTGAAACGTGGGGATGCACTCAGACCTAGACATCTACTCTGCCGTCTACAGGTCACGCACTGAACCTTTGATCATGCAGCTGCCCAAACCACAATGGATGGTGGCTTGATTCTTGCTGCGTGCTCACTGTTGTCTATCTATTTTGTAGTCGCCAAGTTACAGCAGAGCATTTCTCGGTTGCGACTGAGTATGAGAAGGATATGTTCCTCGAATTCAGGCCTCGAATGTACAAATCCGTCAATTTCAGCCACTACTTTCAAAATCCCATCCACGTCACAGATCAACTTGAATCTTGAGCTACATTCTCAACATGCATTCCACGATCCTTCTTGCCACTCTGGCTGCGGTCATCCCTGCCGCACTCGCAGAGGAGCTTCGTGCCGCCGATGTTCCCTCAGCATGCACAACCATCTGCCAGCCAATTGTTGACCTCACCAACACCTGCGACATTGACCCCAACGAGGCGGACACGGACAACGACAAGCGTAGGAAGCTGCGCCTACGCCAGACAGAGGAATCCGATGAGGCCATCGAGGCCAACTGTATCTGCACGAACAAGAGCCTCGATGTCGCAGGGGTGATGGGGCTCTGCGCGAGCTGCATCTCGCAGAACGGGAATACGTCAGATGGTTAGTGAAGCCGCTTCGGCCTGTTTTTGAGGGTCTCGAGGTGCCGACGGCTAACGCTCTCTCGAATAGATGCCAGCAAGATCATGTCGCAATGCTCCTTCACTTCCACTTCATACACCCCTGCGGCAACGACCGCGGTCGCGGGTGTTCAGGTCCAGGCAACCAAGCCCGCAACAACTGCTGGGACCTCGACTTCCACGGGAAGTACGTCGTCGTCCACAAACACGGCTCAGAATGGTGCTGGGAAGATGGCGGTCTCGGTTGTGGCTGCCGCTGGTGTTGGTTTTGCGTACTTGTTGGCACTTTGAGGGGACCCAAGCTGCCCAGATGGTTCCGAGGATGGCATTTTGTCGTTGATGGAATTAAGCGTTCGCTGGCAAGCTTGATGATGGTACAGAAGGTATGTATGTGTTATTATCTTATTATGGCTCCAACCAAGTGGAATCAGATGACCTTCTGTATATGTCCATAAGAGCCCAGATGACTGCATTCTCGTGCAGCTAGTGAACCTCTTCAGTAACTCTTGTCCCACATGTTTGAGCCCTTTCGATGAAACCTTTGAAGCCACTACACGTATATGGCTTTGTGTGACGATGCTGCTCGAAATAGATCAAGACCAAAACCAAGAGGGGTGTGACTTGCTGTTCCTCCTCCGCAGACGCCAATAAGCTCGGACTACAACTTGGTTGCAACAGGTCATAGCCGATTGCATTAACTACCTTATTTGTGTAGTAGTGGCACAGATTTGTCTGAATGAGTTACTGCTTTACTTTACACAGCTCCTTCGCTTCCTCTGCCTACTTGGAGGCTCTGATTTTGATTGGGGACGGGTACTATAACAAATCGAAGCAGCAGTCCAGCGTCGATATATTTTTAAGTCGTTATTCTTGGCATTCTTTTGTCTCTGCGCCTCGTTTTATTTAGTGTTCGATGGACAAAAGTCATCTGTCTATTAACCAAGGGAGGCAAGTGAACTAGTGCCGTAAGTGCAGCTCGAGAAACGGCACTTCCGGAGGCTGCTCGACATTCAAGGCCCCGCGTTCTAATTTTGGAGGATTTGACAGATCAATGGCGCCCGAAAGAAATCGATAAGCAAGCTGAAAGGCGCGTGCGGAGTAGCTTGGGTGGTACCGGACGTGTGTGGGCTCCAATTGCACGCCATGCGTAAGCATTTGGGTGACACCGGGACCAATCTCACTGCATCATTCGCCCTGGAACTGCCACCTATGTGCGCCGCGGCTGAGCATTCGGGGAACCATGTCAGCTCTTGAATGGCACATCAATCTGACAAGCTGATCCTTCGCACAGGGGAGTTCATCGACCTGACTCAAAAGATAAGAAGCCGTAGAGCCTGATCATCCTTTCAAATACAGTCGTGCTTTTCTGGCCCCCTTCGAATATTCCATTCCTGTAGGCTCAATAGTCTTTCCGAGGCGTGAACGGGAGAACTGAGTAATTCATCATGGCACCAAAATATTCATCGCGGTTTCGATACACTATCGAGCGACCATATCCTTTTCGCTGGTTCACACCACTCATCACAGTGACCGGCATAGCCGCAACTGTGCTATTCACATTTGTCAATATCGCCACCGACGGTTACGTGCAAAGTGTGATTTACACAACGAATCCAAATTCGACACTGGAAGAGCATCACTGGTATCTCAACGCACCATGGTCCTGGATCAGCACCGCTCGTTCTTCATGCCAGTCTCCCGGGATTGCCATAGGCAACTCATACTATACCTCGAATCAACAGACTGGCAGCTACACTGTGACCATGATGAACACCACTTTGGGCCCCGATGACGATGCCGTTTACCCAGGACTCCAGTCCAAGACTCTCGGCACCACAAGCTACCTGAATAACACCCTGCATGACTGCCAGATGGGGGATTTGATGGTGATATTCACGTCGCAGCAGCCAGCTAGCTCTGCCAAACTACAAATCCAGGTACGAAATGTGGTATTGTAATATTTGCGGCATTATACTTACCATCAGATAGACTGGACCAATTTACTGCAAATTTGACGCCGAAATTCCTGTCAATATCACCGTCGAGCAGTCATTCAGTGGGACAGAGTTTCTCTTTGAGCAACGTTCCAGTTTGAGCCAATGGACTGTGTACGATTTCATGTGAGTGCTCGAAACATTAAAATATGCTTTGCAATTCTTCATCCAGAGGCAGCACATGTCATAAACTGGACTAACTGTGAATCTAGGCAGTCAAGCTTTGACGCACTCATGAACGAAATCCATGGACTAAACGACACCATCGAGTATACTGGAACCACTTTAGGTGCGTCACGACGGTGACGCTTTAAAATTCAACTTACTGACAGATATGTTCTGGGATGCAGGTCTAAGGGCGGCAGACTCCGGAGACATTGCCGCAGACGACTTCTTCTCCACAACGATAATCAGTCCGGGACAGAGCGCAAGCCTCGTCTCACTATCGAACAGCAGCCAGAGTGACGAGCCATTCCCGTTGGCTCAGGGCGGCCCCGGAAGTGTAGCCAGGCTCCTCGACGCATTTGCGAAATCGTACTATTCCGTGGTCATGTGGGACCTGAACTTCGACAGACAGACCAACGCGTTCGCCTCTAAAGATTCAATGGATTACCTCGTGAACGCTATCAACAGCGCGACTGGCAATGACACAGTGACTTCGAGCCCCATCCTCGGCGCGCCGGGCCTGGTCGGCAACCATGCACGATTCGAGATGCAATATATCTGCTCGGTCCCGCAAAAGAAGGACACAGGCTCCCTGATTATATCAGTTGTTGTGGCCAATATCGTACTGCTCTGCGTCTTCTGGAACATCTTCAACTGGGCGGCGCTGAAATACCTCCGAAGCCGCGATCCAAGCTGGGACTTCTGCCGCGGGTGCATCCTCCACAGCGAATCTTCTCGGACTAGGAGCAGGGTCATGGTTATGGACCTAGAGAAGGACCCCCTCTGCGAGGATGATGAAGTCGCACAAGACATCATGCCATATGGCAGCCAACGAGGTCAACGGCGGGATAGGCAACTTTGGAAGAAGCCAAGGGCGTGGTCAGAGTCGATCGGCGTCAAGAGCTCCCAAAGCTCGCTGCGAACTTTTATATGCAGCGAGGAAGGACATGTGCGTGGCAAGAGCGATGACGCCTCGTACTCGTCGGAGAAGGCCCAAAAGATTCTGGGGAATTGAGCGTTTGACCTCTTCGTGCTCGATTACGGCACGTTTGTCTATTTAGTTCTCAGCGCTGCTGGGCAGGCGAATAAAGTCGACATCTCGTTGGCCGTAACAATTCTTTTGTAAACGCAACCATCGCGCAAGTGACCGATCCCACTCAAGCTCCTATGGAGTTCACCCCTATAATTGCTGCTGCTGTATACGCTTCACACACCCCCCCCCCCCCCACGATTTGCGGGCGCCGGCGCGGCGGTGGTGGCCGCGGCAGAACGAACCCGGCCGAGTCGACTCGGCCGGCCCAGCTTATTATTGATTACATACATTGGACGCGCAACCAGCCCAGGCACCGGGACTGGCGGCATGTGGAGTATTGTTAGATCTGACATAACATATGCACGGTTAAGGCTCAAAGAAAAAGTAAAGACTAACGTCATTTATATGGAATATAGCCTACAGAAGCATAAGTATTATCAGCGATAAAGAGACGCCTCTGCCTATCATATGCCTTCTCACCTCACCACATTCTAATAATGAAGCTTAAACCAACAGGGGGCGGTGTGGGCGGCCGTAATATCAAGCCCACTTTAGTTCTCTTCAGCTCCATGCAGCTCTAGCCCATTAAGTTGGGTTAATTTTTAATATAGCAGCTGCAACGACTTAAAAGTCAGTGGGTCTGGGTATTCTATCTTACCTGTCAAAACAAAATCTTCTACGAATCCTTCACTGTCGCTTATATATTCAACAACATCGGCCAGACTCGACTATGTGACGGCTGTGGTTTAATATAAGTAAGATCTAGAGAGGTTCCCATTATAAACCATGGTTGCCTATATGAGGCCAAATTCGGCAACTACTTATCGAACATTTTGAGTGTTGGCCGAGAGCAATTTGGACAGCAATCTGCAGGGGGCAAGGTCCAACATGCATGTTAAAAACTAGAGCTAGATGTAACTTAGTACACAACAGCTTACACAAACATCACAGCAAGACTTGAATGCTTCTCAATAGATCGAACGGAATTTTCATACACAGACAGCGACATCATAACATCTTATCAAGCATGTTGACTCCTTTTATCATTTCTTATTATCAAACTCTCGTAAATAATGTTATTTATATGCTTTTAATGATTACTATAGGACCAACTAGTATCTGACAGTGCTTCATAGGTCATGCCGTGCATACTTGCTCTTCAACCTCACCCAATGACCATACTTGAACAACACGAACGGGATTGGGATGAAGACAATGCTGATGAACCCCAGGGTCGAACTGGCCCAATCCACTCCCAACTTCTTGTACATTGCGGAGGCAAATAGCGGGAAGCCAGCACCCAGACAGCTCCTCAAGAAATCGTTACCCGCCAGCACGCTCGCCGCATACTCGGGGTACGCGTCAGACAGGTAGTTAAGGACTGCATTAAAGAGCAGGAACGCGCCCACGCTGAACAAAGATGTGCCGATGATGGGCACGACCCAGTGGATATCCGCACGGCTTGTCCAGCCGAACCAGAAGAGGCAGATTGGGATCGCAGAGGCGCCGACAAAGGCGGGCGTGAGGCGCCACTCTGGTATGAGCTCGCCGTTCTCGTTGAATCTGGGCTCGATGTACTTGTGCTGGTACCACACAAACGGGGGCAGCACAGCAAACGTACCAACGAGGATGCCCAGATAGGCAAGCCCCAAAGTGCCGGGGGAGAAGCCATATATGCCCTCGAACACTATTGGAAAGGACTCAAACCAGATGTACAACAACCCGTATATCAGCGCGATGTACAAGTCCAGCGCAAACACGATCGGCTCGGTAAACAGCAAGCTGAAGGGCCGCACAAGAGTCATAGACAAAATGTCCCTGCCGGTCATGTCCTTTCCGGCCAGCTCCGCCTCGGAGACAAGCCTATGATTGCCCGTGAGCTTGCGCAAGCGTCGTGCGCGGCGGTAGAGGATGTTGGCGGTTGATGTCTCCGGGAGTAGGAACACCAGTACGGCTAGGCAGAACCCGGACAGCCACATCAGCTCCCAGATGGCCCAGTTCCACCCCTTTGCCTGGACAGCGAAGCCGCCGACGAGCGGGCCGAGCGTGGGGCCGCAGACGGCGCCGATGCCCCAGACGGCGAGGCCGTACGTCCGCTTTGAGGGTGTGTACATGTCGCCGATACTGGCGCCGCCGGTCGCGAGGGCTGGGCTGCCGATGAAGCCCGTGAGAAACCGAAAGGCCAATAGCATGCCGAAGTTGGCGGCCAGCGCGGTCGGGACCTGGAGTGCCACGAAGACGGCCAGCGTCAGGATGTACACTGGATTGCGACCGACCTGCGGGATCTCAGACAAGGGCGCCCACACCATCGGTCCCACGGCGTATCCTGCCACAAAAAGGGTGAGGCCGAGGGTTGCCGCGACCTGGGAGACGCCGAAGACGGTCATCACGTCCTGGATGCCGGCAGAGAAGATGGCGCTGCCTATGTAGACGCTGAAGGTGAGGAAGCAGATCTCGAAGGTCACGAAGAATTTCTTTGGGCTGGACCAGTTTTGAGGGTTCTGTGAGAATTCCTTAGCTGATACGGATGTTGAGCGTGGGGTGTCCAGAATAACTTGCCTCTGGGTCGTCCGGGCTGTACCAGTCGACAATGTAAACATCTTTACCCTTCTCCGGATCAACGCCCCGACCACTATCATTGTTGTGAAGGGCATGCTCGGTCCGTTTGCTGACTTCACCTGCTGTCAAGGAGGCTCTTGTGGGAGAGTTCGACACGATATCGTTCCCGCTGTCTAGTTCGGAATTCTTTTCTGGGTAAGTCTCAGGAGTTTGGCTCTGGCCGTGGCGCCACATATTGGCTGACTTTTCACTGTTGAGATATCGATGCCAAACTGATGAGTCAGTTTCATCTCGATACTTGAAAACTCGCCCGCTTGTGGCTATGCGACAACACTGTCCAAAAAAAGAGTCCCGGATTATGTCTTTCATGGTGGATTTCAGGTGTAAAATGGCAGACAAACGAAGGCAATTTGAGGTCTCAGGTTAGCTTCCAAGATCAGAGAACGATTACACAATGGGGCATCCACAGAATTTGTACTAACACAGAAGCTCAGCTTCACAACTTTAAGTTCCAGCGTCATGGATCCGCACAACACAACCGGAGCAGACGGGAAACAAGCTTTCTGGCCGGAGCATACGGGAGCAAAGCTCTCTAATGTTCGGAGTCCGATTTTGTCCGTCGCAAGCTACTACGCGTGTGAATCAAAAGAATGTCTAGGCTTCATACAATGGTTATCCGATCCTGCATGGCGAATCGCGATGGGTGCGATCCGAGCAGGGATGAGCGTCGCTGGTCAAGGCCATCCAAGCTCTCGGCCATTTTTCCCTCCCGCCGCTAAGCTAGAGTAGCCCAACAAACTAGACCAATTCAACGTGGGTGGGCTTCATCACAGGGTTGCGGCTCTGCGGGAGTCTATGACGTGGAGGGGGACGATGGGCTTCGACGTCCCGGATGCCTGATGCCACACTACCTACCTACGTAGTACGTACCAAGCCTATTGTGTGGATGTACGCTAATATGAAATCCAGAAGCCTAGAAAGTAGTCTTAGCATTGTTGTTCCTCTTCACTAAACAAACAACATAAAACGAAGCAAGGACGACATTTTTGAGCCTGAATATCTTGCGAAGAGAGATGCTTGATCTTCTCAAGTCAGATCTTGGAGTCATCTCTCTGTCAACCCAATTAATTTAAATGAAGATTACACGATTCTTTTAAATTCTGCTGATATTTTCAATGCATGGGATTAGATTACTTGGCTCATTTCATTTCATGTTATAAAGGTTGCCGATCAAGACTTTAAAACCCTAACGGCCTAATGATACCTGCTATCTTCGCAAGCTTAAGTATATCGGTACACTACACCGCTTGAAAACCTACTTTCTTCTGGCACTATAACAATCGCAAAAGGGAACCAGGTTTTCATTTCATTGGCCACAAACATAGACAAGAAGTAGTAGTAACACCACTCTGCCTGAGCTCACGAGCGCCATGCATGTTGCTAGGCAGCTATATCTCTGAACACACCGTATTCTACGAGGCTTTGGTCAATTTCTTGCGGACTTCGCTTACCTCACTAACTGAATGGCATAGTTCGCAGGCCATATTCGGGAAGACGATGTTGAATAACACGCGAGACAAGCAGAAGCTACTCAAATAAAAGGTGTTCGATGATTCAACGCTCAACTATAGGCAATCTGTGTAACGTTTCTTACAATGTATCCTGTCGCTTGTCCATTTTCCCTTCCGCCCGATTTATACACTGGAGATGGGGATCCATGCACTTCCGACTGAAGTTGCGTAGACGCCCCCACGGCGGCATTGCACCCAGTGGAGATCGCCCCCGGGATGACCTTGTACGGGGTCATGCAGTCTCCTGCGGCGAAGATTCCTCGCACACTGGTCTGATGGACCGGCCCTTCTGCCTGAATGTCTCCCATCGGGGTCGTGGCAAGTCCCAACTGCTGAACAAAAGGCCCGGAAGCCACAGTCAGCGGCTGATGGACTATGAACTTTTCCTTCTTCGTCGTCCCGTCTCCAAACTCAAGGGTGACCGAGTCACCGTCGGCTCTAACTAAGCGCTTGGCCACCCGCGGCTGGGCTGTCCAGTTGCCTTTCTTGTTGACTGTGGGCTCAAGACTAGCAGTGAGTGCCTCGTTGCCGTGGGTGTAGAAAGTGACGTTCTCGCTGAGCTGGGACGCATCTAGGAAGGTCAGTCAGGAATAGTTTCAAGCACATCTAGCTGAATATTGTAGGTGCCAGTCGACACTGTCAAAAATGGGCTGACGTCCACTTTTCGACTTTCACTCACTTTCAGCAGCGTGAATGGCCAGGCCAACAAGCATCTCAATCAATCGGAAGGGGAATGGGGACCACCACAAGGACTCCAGCATATTGGGCGCCCTTATCCTCGTAGCCCTTGCAAAAGAGGCAGTGGAAGATGCGCTCGCCCCAAAGACGTTCACAGCCCTCGATATCGGGGAAGATGTCGGACGAGCCCACCGCAAGCAGAAGCATTCGAAAATTGCCAGTTCTTGCCGGTAGAGTCGGTGAGTAGGAACTCGGAATCAGTCTTCTTTTCGACCTTGTCGATCCGAGCGTCATAAAATTCAATAGTCGGATACTTGGACAGGCCCTCTCGAGACTCGCGGCGGAACTGTTCTGGGGGGTTGCCCTCGTGGCCGGGAACCATGTGCATGGCAGTCGCCTTTGCATTCCTGTACTGTTTCGAGTCGAACACAACGGCCGTGTGAAGTTGACGGGCCAAGGCGGCAGCCGCAGCGAGCCCAGCAGAGCCTCCACCGATGATAGCAACGTCATAAAAAGCCATGATTCGTTTGCGGTAGTGTGCTTGTTGTTGTATGATGTTTGAAGGTGGTTTGGGTTCTCCCTCAACGGTTCAAAATACAGAAGAGGGGCACAACGTTGGGTTCTTGAAAAATAGACCTCAAGAGGGCCTGTTGGTGGTATCTCCTGCAGCCATGGGACAGTGCGCACAGATATAGTGCACTACAAGTCAGTCATACTTTGACCAAGCAAATGGTTGTTAGGTGGCACGAGACAGGTCAAACTGCATGCATCTTGAGTATCAGCTTTCTGATATTCCAACACACAGTGCCGTCTCTACTGTATGGAAGATTGTGGGTTTTTACTTGGTCCGTGGGAAGTGCTAACCACTCTTGTCCTCCACCAACTCAACCCACAGTCGCATTGCTACACTCTATTAAAGCCAACTCTCACGCTAGCAGAATATTGTTGATCATACTCTAGAACAAACATGTAATACTCACACATGATGGCCAGTTTACCAGCGGGGCCAAACCTCCCGTGCCACAGAAACTGATGTGTGTGGGTGGTTGGGCGGATGAGTGTGTCCTCTTTGCCGGCCTGGCGAGCTTCCCGATCATGCAGATTGCATCCATGATCTCCAACTTGTTGCCACCAAGACTCAATAAGACTTGTGTACCGGAAAAAAACGAACAGCGATATTCCACCATAGTTAGCAGAGAACAGGATCAAGTCACTGTGGCCACAGCAACCCCAGTGATCAGCAACGACCCTCAAGTCATCGCAAATCTAGGGTGGTGGTTGAAGAGTTACTCGCTCACACTGGGCAGCTTTCAGTTCTTTCATGGCAAGCTCTATTGTATATTCTACATCAAAACTGTCTACCTTGTCGCTGTTTCCTCGATCAATTTAAGTTCCCTTGTCTTCATGGCGGACTGTGACTAGGCATCTTTGCTAATTGGAAGAGCTACCGCTGGTTTGCGGTCGGCGGGAAGCTTCGTCAGTGACATTCCCAACCATTGCTTTGTCATGGAATCAGTGATTGCAATTTTGGTCTCTGCCCATGAGTGTGTGACGTCGATGGCCAGCTGAGGACATATCAAGCCATCAACTCGGCAATTTTGCTCAGCAAGCTGTACACCTGAGGCTAGAATGGGCCAATGAAAGGCGCCAAAGCGTTTGAATTGTAAAATAAAAACTTTTATAAAATCTAAATAATTGCGTAAGGAAATCCAGATATTTCATTCCATTGCAGGTTGAGCGATAATGACATTCCCCTGTGTCTGACCTGCCTGCGACCGCTCCATCTTCTCTTAATCCACCTTCCGTCCGACACTGCCATTTCCATTTCCAAGCCACACAGAATGCCTCAGTTGCGAGTATCGAGCCGACCCAGTCAGGATCGTCAGCAGCATAAGAAGGTTTCACGGGCCGTACTCTGGCCAGTTGATAGCAGCGACATCCTCATAGCACCGCTCAATCAGGGCAAACTCGTGGCTCGCTCCAGAAGACGGGTCCAGCGCAGCGCACTGCGGTATCAGTGAGATGGGAACACAACCCTCAAGGATATTCGCATTGTACTCGTAACCGCCACCAGGCCCCTCAAAGGTCGCGTAGGCATAATTGACCGTGACAACCGTCCCTGCGCCCAGCAAGCTAGGCAACGCGTTCTTGCAGGCTACAAAGCTCCCTTGCCCAAGAAGATTCTGGACGGTCGGGTAGACGACCGGGAAGCTGGCCACGTATGCGAGCGTGGGCTTGCCGACGCCGATGGTGACGTGGTGCTGGTCCGGGTACAGCGGGTCGAACTCGGTGGGCGACTGCACCTGCCACGAGAAGGGCCCGGGCAGCGACCCGGCGTCGGTGAGGAGAGTGGTGGAATGGTAGGCCTGGTCCTGGGTGGTGCCGTTCTGATAGAAGATGCGGCCCGGGTTGGTGGTGGCGTCGAAGGGCGCGAGCACCGCCGCGTTGGTGCCGGCACCTGTGTGGTAGCCCTGCACCCAATTGTTGATGGAGGGGGAGAAGTCGAGTGCAGGGTCTGTCACGTTGGCGACGAGCTTGAAGGCCTGCGAGGACGACGTCGGCGGGTAGTGAGGAGCCTGGTGCCGGGAAGCAGGTGCTGAGATGGCGAGGTTGGCCAGACTGAGGGCGAGGAGAGTGGACTCCATTCTGATGCTGGTTGGGTCTGAGACTTTTGACAAGTTGGACTTGCGAGATTGCAAAGATGTGTGAATGTAAAGTGGATGAAACTCAAAAGGCTGATGATGGTAGCAAGTTGTGACTTCCGTCTAGACCTGGCATCGTATTTGTACTTCTTTATCTGAGTTATGGCTTGTCTTCTCGCTTGTCTGGAACATTACTGCCACGTGAAAAAGCTAATGATGTGTTGATTTATTGGGAATACGATCCAGCCTCCCACCTAGATGCTGTTGTGATGGGTTCCATTGAGGCATTTGCTTGGATACTGGCAACGTTGTTATGTAGACTTACACATGTGTCTAATACAATTGGTAAGGGCGAAAACAAGAACATCAATACGGGATGTAGAAGTCCCAATTTGGTGACAGGCTTACCAAAATTTACACAACTGGACGTCATCGAACCATCGGTAGTTCGCTGACTTCTCGCTTATGAATGCTCAGTCAAGGCTCCAGTAAAGTCTCAGCGGCAAAAGCTATACAGGCAGAAAGAAAAGCATCTGGAAAAGACAAGCTTGCCCCGCCACAGTCGGTGGCTTTAACAGGCCATCAGCATACGATCTCCACAGAGCACATGGGATACAAACATTCGTTATTTTACTGAGGACTGCCATTGGGAAAGGCGAGGGTGATGGAGAAGGGAAGGGGGGGGTTTAACAGTCCGCACCCAAAAAGATGCGATCATTTCACGGAGAAACCCGACACAGCACCAGCACATCCACGTTGATCCACGCTATGCCTTATTCAAATAATGCCCTTTTTTTGAGTCTGGCATTGTGTCGCAGGCAATTACGTCTTTCGAGATCTACATGTATTTGACAAAGTATCAAGGTGGAAGTAAGTACGATCGATATTTCCATCTTTCTAATACCACCGACACAAGGAACCTGAAGAATATCACAGAAGTTTCGTCTCATCTAAATCATAGCGCTTCAAGACCGGTCATATCCTAACAGTACCTGCAGGCACCAGTAGGGCAGTATCCGTGGCTACAGCTGAAGCTGCAGAGGCCCTTGTAGCTATCGTCCAGCCCATTAGCCGGGCACCCGTCCTGTCCAAGCCCGTCGCCCGAGCCGGCCTGCGTGCCGAACTCGGTGCACTCGCACACGCCGTCGGGGCAGTACCCGTTCGAGCACGCGAAGGAGCACAGACCGGTGTAGTTCTCAGACAGGCCCGCCTTCACCTTGCCAGCCACGCAGACATTGCCAGTCGACGGCGGCGTGGTCGAGCCGCCGCCGCCGGATGAGCCGCCGACACACTTCTCCTTGATGAACTCGCCCGCGTCACCCGAGTACAGGTCGAAGTAGTTGGTGTGTGCGCCGTCCTCCATGGGCCTCGTGCCGTCGCCGTAGGCGCAGAGATTGTCTCCGCCGTTGCAGTAGGACCGCAGCACGGACGAGAAGGCGTTGAGGTGCTCCAGGGACGCGCCGGAGCGAGGGAACTGGGCGCTGAAGGCGGAGCCGGCCTGGACGTTGTAGCTCTGGTCGGCGACGTGGTTTGGGTCGCCGAAGACGAGCGCGGCGCAGACTGTTGCCGGGGAGGAATTGTCAGCAAGGTGTTCATTGAGACCAATGGATCAAGATCGCCGAGTTGCAGAAGGAAGAGATAGGAAAGAAAGCCTTACCCTTGTTTCCGGGGACGGAACTAGGCGTCAGACCCGAGTCGGCAAGCACGTTGCTTACCACGACTGCGCCCTCGCTGTAACCACTCAGGGCGATCTTGGCGTCGGGGCATCGCTGGATGTACGCGTTGATCTGGGACACGCCAGAGGAGCGGCCCTGCTCGACCGCTGCAGGGAAGCCATTCGCGTTGGTCGCGTCGAAGGTGATGTCCTCGTAGTCGCAGCTAGAAACGCCGTTGCACGCGGCGTCGACGAGGTTCTGCTGCCGACCAGGGTATCCCTCGTTCCACCCGCGCGCAAGGAAGATGTGCACGTCGGAACAAGATCCGGAGCCGGTGGATTGGCGCTTGCTGGGGGCGGCAGAGGCCAGCAGGGCGAGGTTGAGGATGGTAGCGGCCTTGGGGGAAAGCATGGTGATTACTATTAGGATTACGGCTTCTAAGGGTATTATTGCTTCAAATCCGTAGCGGGCGAATATTGGACTGTGAAAGGGGGGAGAAGGTCGGGAAACAGATCATTTGCGGAGGACGAGCCCGTGATTTATTTTGAGCTCGCCCGGTGTGGATGGTGCTAAAGCAAGGCATCGACCCATGATTGCATCAGTCCTTCTGATCTTCACCCTTCTTGGCCTCGGCAGGATGATTGTTATTGTGGGTTATTCTTCTATTTCGAGGATGATGCGGGGTGTGTTGGCATTGATGGGGCAGATGGGGGAGCGTGGGTGGATACAATACGAGATTACTTGTGGGGACAGTTTATGGACCCTTGTTTATGCTTATTTCGCCGGAACCAAGGCTCGGATCAAGCATGCCGATGGCCGAGAATATCACGTTGATTTCACCAAGATCTTCACAAATTTTCGTCTTCATTCATCTGTTTCTCTTTGCAAATGCATCTGTTTTTCGATGTCTACCTAGGAGGGAAAACCAATGAAATCGAGGTTGTCACATTCTTAATCTAACGCCGTCCTCCCGGTGCTGCAAAGTACTAGTACGGCCTGCTTTTGAGTTATGTTTGCCGGAGACCCATAAGCTTCTCGAGTCATTACCGGTAATACTCAGATCTAATCCTCAAGGAAGAAGTTCTCCACATGAGACGATCGTAGAACATCTCCATAGGGTCCATTCAGGTTCCCGGGAAGGGGTGGTCGCATACCCTTCCCCCGGGACGAAGAACCTAAGGTTTCTGGGTCCCACCCAAACCTCAACTCGATTCCGGCATCTTTCATGGCCCTGACTACGCCGAGAATTTCCATGGCCTGCGCCAATGTTTTGTCCTGCCTATGCCGTTTGCGATCGTCGATCTGAACGATGGAAAGCATCGGGAGGGACGACGACCTCTTCGCCGCGGCCAGTGCTTCTAGCTCGACCACCACAGTTGCCCAAGACAATTTGAACCAATCCATCCCAAAGGAGAAGTGAAGGATGCGAATCGATGGGGGCAAGAAGTCGGGCAACTGCCGGGAGAACTCCTCTGGCCTGTTCAGATCCAGGCCCCGTGCCGTCTTCAAACCGACTTGGAGCGCTACTCGGTCAATCTCTAGAATCTCCAATTTCCGAAACTCTGCCAGAGGAGGGAATAAGTTCTTTCCCTCTTCACAGAGCAAGTTCCAACCATGGAAAACAGCGGCGCTGAAGCATAAGCGTCGTAGCTGCTGTTTGATGGAAGTCGGCCACGGGTCTGGGACGGGATTGGACATACTCAAAGCAGGGTCCCGAGGAGGAACTTCGAGATGGAACTCCAGGTCTTGTATTTGAGGGCAGAGATCGAGCAAGTCCGCGAAATGATAGGGATAACAAGAAAGTGACAGCCTTCGGACGTTGTTGAGTCGCGTCGAGGCGATGAGTCCCTCCGAGGACATACGAGGCCAATCAATGCTACCCACGGCTATGTTATTCAGAAGTTTTGCCTGAGAAAAAAAGGAAAGGAATTCTCTGCTGAACAAGGCCCGCCCACAAGAGAAGACCCGGAGGTTTGGAAAATCGAAGGGTCTTTCGAGGTGCTGGCTTGGGCCCAACAAACCGGAGAAGAGTGCGGGTCTTTCGGACTCATGGACCGGGCCATATGTGCCGGATACTGCCAGGTGAGTGAGATGAGCCGAGCAAAGACCCACAAGAATGAAATGTTGCCATAAGCGGAAGTCCTGGTCGAAGTCACCGGCTACAGTACATTCATTATATAGCAGGTGCGAGTCTGGGCTTGTTCCAGCGAATGCCATAAGCACCACTTCAGGTGGTTCAACGTGCGGCCCAAAAGCTGGCACTATCCAGGGTGAGAGGGCTGTCGGCTCTTCCCCCGCGAGCACCCGACTTAGCCATCTAGGAGGAGGGATGCCGAGTCGCGTGCCAACCATATTCTAGGCTTCAATCTCGCGGCGGGTTTGCGGTTCGAATTCATCGGCGATCCACTCGGGCTTGGCGAGAGCCAATACCCTGACACGATCTGCCAGTCGCGGCTGAGAAACCAGCGTGCGAAGGTATTTTGACGTCTTGTTCCGCCTTGAGTCGTCATAAAAGCAATGGTATAGTACAGGTTGGCTGATGTCCCTCATCTCTCGCGAGGTAAGTGACAAGGCGGCCAAAGCGGATCTCCCTTGCTCATATTCGGATTTTCTTTCTCCATGTTCTGGAACATTGCGGCCGAGCTTATGTTTTTCAAAGCCGAATTCGGGCATCGCTTTACAATCGCAATGCGGGCAGAGTTGCTTGCATATGTGGAGCCAGATCTCCGTTGGCAACGTGGAAGCGGCCATTTTCTTTTGAGAAGCAATCGTTTCTTTCTGGGCTCTGGATAATTGATGATGAGTAAGATCTCTGTCGATTGATGTTGCAATGTGGAAGAAGTCCCAAGATTGTTGGTGGGAAATACGTACATCATACTGTGCAAGCGAGAAATAAGCTCGTCCTTCATATTTGATTCTATTCTTTAGGTTTTCCGTATCCTTGTTGCTTAAGTCTACATATGAACAAAGAAACCTTGTCCGAATACAAATACCGAGAAGATATCCAAAAGGGTTGTACTAGTTTCTAGCCTACTAGCCGTGGCTTTGTTGAGCAAACAATACGGAAGTTCCCAAAGGGCAGTCAGGAAATATTTGTATTCCGACAACGTCTGGTATAACCTATTATTCAATCCGATTATGACTTTTGCCTGTGGCAAGACTTCGAAAAACAAATGTTTGATTCAAATGCATTACTCGATGCAATTAAACCTCGACCTTCAGTTAAGTCTTGTTCAATACCTGATATAGTCAATTGAATTGTGTACGGTCAATCAAAGAAACTGCCCTTCGGGCCATCGAGAATATTCTAGACAATGCCTGCTCGCGTTTGTATGGGCCTATTGGCGAATAAGTTACGACAGCGAGCGACAATTGTTGTAAATCGAAAAGAATTACTCATTTGACTAGACATAAATCATGTCCAGATGACAACTGATTTCTCAAGTAGAAGAGTAGGTCGCTTTTAGCCAGCCGTCCACTACGAACTGTGTTACTCGTGTACACTTTTCTCATTATTTTCAAACAAGATAATGGTCTTTAGGGTTCTGCATATTTTGCTTTTTTTGGATTGGCTTGGATCCTCTGTTGCTCCTGGTGGCATGCTGTGGGGACTCCTGGCTACTAATATTCAATAAAAAAGAAGCCATTGTAATCATGGCAAATGCCGGGGAGGGGCTCCATACTCCCAGGCCGCATCGGAATCATACCCATCCAGTCTGATCGAGGCGTGGATGGGTTCAAACGGAATCTCCACTCCACACCTGCATCTGCCACAGTGTCAGTCACCCCAGTGATCTCCAGAGCTTCCCCTGCAGTCAGTTCTCCAGGCTCTGTCTCTGGAGTATGGTCAATTTGGATCGTCGAAAGGTTTGGCAAGAATGGCTTTTTTTGCCATGGCAAGTGCCTGGAGTTCATTCACGACCGCATCCAACAAGGGAGTAGTGAAGGCGGAGTGGAGAATACAAAGTGGCGCAGGTAAACCTGTCGGACGCTGGCTCCCGAGCTCTTCTTCGGTCATATTGGGGTGGACTGTTCTTTTTACTGCAAGGTAGAGAGATGACCGGTCGATTTCGAGAATCTCTAGATTCTTAAACTCTCTGATCGGAGGAACTATAACGCTATCCTCATCCGTCAACCACGTTGGTGATATCATTGGCAGGCTCCTCCAGGCCAATCTCACTACCTGACGCTTGATGGAAGCTGGCCAGAGGTCTGGCAGCGTGACATCAACTGACAGGCCAGATGGCTTCATGTGGTTTTCGATATCCTCTAGCTGGGGACACTGGGAAAAGACATATGGGAGCTCCCATTCCCAAATAGCCGTTGAGAGTCTGCGGATATTCGTGACGGAACGAAGTGTCGGGCCCCTGAGAATGCTGTAATGAATTTTATTCGTTATGAGACGCGTCATGAATGGGGATTCTTGCAGAAACCAATCAAGACCTTGAGCGCCACCCACAGACTTGCATAATAGCACCTGGAGATTCCGAAGAACGGGTGGGTCTTTCCCCTGATATTTTGGACCAGATATGCAAGGCAATTCTAAATGAGTGACCCCAGGACAATACCTTAGGATCAGGTTATGAAGCCAGTGCCGGGAATCATCTAGGCCGCCTTTGTTGTCACAGCCTTTGTCATGGCCAGAGGCACAGGCAGGCTGAGCTTGCCACTCAGCTCAATCCAATTATGGGCATTCTGGCGTTTGATTATCTCTCGGTCCTCCTCTTTGATAGAATGACCCGGTGTTGTAAATGGTCTGTATAAGATACGAGCCCTTAATGGTAGACGCGACAGCCTATTGGGCAGAGACAGTATTCTCACATGTCTCCCCAGCTGAGGTTGGGATATCAGGGTGCGGAGAAACTTGGACGCGCGGTCATGAGTCGGAGTGCTATAAAAGCAATGATATAGGTACCGTGGGAAGAGCTCCTTGATGGACCAGCAGGTAAGCGACAAAAGCCCATAAAGCTGACCAGCTGCGAATATGTTTTCACGACATACTGTGTTCAATGCATAATATATGTAGACATAAATTTTCAGGTTCCGAAGTAGAGACCACGACTTTCTAAAGTTGGGACTTCACGAGCTCAGGTACAAACAAGCCGCAAACCCCTTCCGACATTCCAAGTCCAAAGATGTCAGAAAGCACTTCTTCAGCTTCAGCCCGGAGCAATGGAAGATTGCTCAAGAACCCCTGTGCGAGCTGCAGCCAATCTCTCATGCGATGGAGCTTGATGCGGATTGACTAAATGTAAATTGTTAGCTTATTTTGAGCATTTTGTCTTACTGACCAGATCAGTAATGCTTACCTCTAGTTGTGCTGACCTATCCCTTTCACTAGATAACACCCCTGTGCTCTGTGAATGCTTTTCAGCCTGTGGTATAATGAGAGCACACGCTGCAACGTCACGAAGCTTGATACATGCGTTTAATATTCGCTGTACTTCAAACCCCTCATCAGCGCGACCCTTCAGAAACCCGACGAAGTTTCCTATCCTGCGAAGATCATCCTGCGCGGTCGCCGAGGCAGGATTCTGAAGGATCACTGACAACAGAATGAGCACCGCCGATAGAGGGTAGCACAGAGTTCCCCTTTTACAAACACGTGTTAATTTTTGCTTAGAGGCGAATTCAGGCCAAGGGTCTCATGTAACATACCACAACTGGAAAAACGGCTGCGACGTCAAATTGGTCACAACCTCGATCATGTTACGAGCCGAGACCGCACACGTAGTCCAGGCTTTTTGAACCTCACAGTCTAAGTGACTTTCTCCAAGAGCTAAACTCTGATCGAGTTCGGAGCGTTCAGAACCTTTAGTATGAACACGGGCCATGTGAACTCTGCCCAGAGAATTATAAAATGTGCAGTGCATGTGAGCGATGGACAAAGTCAAGTCCGACTCATCATCCTCTTGTATCGTCCATATCTGTTCAGGTATGCTTCTCTTCCACGCCTGGAGCTGCTCATCCATCGAAACAACGGTAATCAGAAGGTCGTCGTCTTTCATGTGATGAGTTTTAGCAGGATTCAGACGCTCGTGGATTTGTCTCTGAATGACGGCTAATTCTGTTTTCCATCGGAGAAAAGAAAGAGAGTTGGTCTTCCCGGAATCGATGGAATTTAGAGGCGAGTCGTCATTTTCAATCGTGACAGCTAGCTCTTCAGCTGTGAGGTGGAGCTTAAGTCGTACTTGTCCACCGCATCAACGTCAAGTATGTAGGCGACCCTGAAGACGCGGCGATGCCTCTGAGCAGCGATGGGGTCGAGCGACAGGAAGAAGTTCCTGCGATGCAGACCCAGATTCTGTACTAGACGGGTTGCTGCTGCCGTGATTCGCACGGTCAGTTGGGTATCGGCAGTGCATTGTGCAAACATAGCCATAGCTAGTAGGGCCTTGCATGCCAAGACCTCTCGGCCCGGGTGATGAGCTCTGGGAACATTGAAAATGCAATTTTGAAGTAGTTCCATGCGGTTGGCGTTATCTCTTTTAGAAAGCTGGTGGTGGATCTATTTAGCATGGCGGTGGCGAAGAACGAGTTCACGATAGCCCATCGAGCAGGGTTGTCGGCGTAGCAGTCAGGACCTGCTAAGTATTGCTCGTCTATAAGATTTGCGAAGAGCTCGACGGTGACCACGGCACCATGCTGCTGGAGGCTTTCCACCATGGGTTCGATGAGGCTAAACACCTGCTGGTACGTCGGGAGTCGGTCGAAGACTTTGCTCTGTTGATTGTCTCGATTCTCATGTGCACGTATCCATTGGTATCCCATCATGACGTCCTGGGTGAACTCAGAATATTTGGGCGGCGGTTGGGATTTCTTGTCGCGCAGACGTGTCGAGCAGGGGACTTGGGTCAGCCCTTGGCAGGTCCTCGATGTCTAATTCGGCCTGACTGTGGCCGCCTCCCATGACCCGTTCTTGAGCAGGTTCATTCGGAACAGCGTTGTTACTCGGGGACAAATCGCTAGCCTTTTCGTTTTCGGGGCCCTCCAACGAGGATTGAGCAGGCTTGGTGCCTTGGTTTATCTCATTGCTCGACACGGAATCAAGAGCAGGTTCATGTCGCCGCAAAGCAGTCTCTAGGCTCATCAAACGCGTCTCAAGATGTTCTATGCGACTTTTCCTGCGATCAATTAATTAGATACCCTGCATCCATTACCAAGCGCTCACGAAGTTTATACTCACTTCTTTCCAGGGCCTCTGGGTCTTCGTTCAGTGTATTTGCATGCAGCATTCCCCTTTGTGCAATTTCCACATGCTGGTGTCTCTCCATCGCATCGTTTCTTGCGTTTTTGACATTGAAGGCAAGCCTAGTGACGCACGTTAGAAGCAGCAAATGCACAGTCACGTACACAGGGCAGTGTGCAAGACCTGTACTGACGCTTTTAATTCTTTCTTTAATGGGATGGCCTGCCATGGGAGCCGTTCTTTTTAACAGGTTTAGTCCTTCATTGGTAACATGGTGATGTGAGGCGAGGTGGATAGGAGAAGGCGGAGCGGATACAAATATGACTCTGGCTGGCGCGGCGAAGCGGACTTTCTTTTGTATCCGACATCCGCCAAGATGACAAAGACCGCTTCGGCCCTGTCGCACGAGCGGTAGCTTTTGTATCCGCATTAGGCTTTACACACGACTGGTCCTTCGGAATGCGGGGGTTGTTGCTAGATTTGCCTTTGGGACGATGGACTGATGCACAGTGCCCCGTTTCTTGAGTTTCGAATCCCCTTGCAGTTGCTAATCACTCACCTGCTCACTCATACTAGATTTGTCAATGGCATACCGCCTTGCTCCACAGAGCGAACACAGGCCAGGCTTATAAATGGAGCCAATCTGAATTTGGACATGATCTATGATATAAAAGCCGAATGTTATCCAAGGCCAGTAAAAGTATCGCTTCCAGTCTCCCTTGCTCACCAATTAATTATCATCATTCTACAAGCATGGCCTCTTTCAAGAAGATAACGCTCATCGGCGTAAGTAAATACACACTTTGCTAAAGGGCGAGTTGCTAATATATCGCAAAGGTCTTTTCGGATCTGTCGTCCTTCCCGAACTAGTGAAGGGAGGGTGTGAGGTGACACTCCTCAGTCGTTCGGAGAAGACAGATGAAAGTCTACCGGCCAATGTCCGCCGTGTCGCTGTGGACTACAGTGACACGCCAAGCCTGGCAAACGCGCTGAAGGGGCAGGATGTAGTGGTTTCCACGGTGGGAATGGAGGGCATTCCTGGTCAGAAGCTGATCATCGATGCTGCTATCCAGGCGGGCGTTCGACGTTTCATCCCCTCGGATTTCGGCAGCCTTACGACGAATCCTGCGGCCAGTCGCCTGCCCCACCACGTCAGCATGGTCGAAATTCAGGACTACATGCGGTCAAAGTCGAATAAGATCGAATACACTATCTTCAGTATCGGCGCTTTCACCGACTTCCTCGTCAGTTACGGCACGGCCTTCGATTGGGAGAACAAGACAGGGGAGATGGGACCAGCCGGATCAGCACCACCAGCCTGAACGGCGCGGCGCGAGCCATCGTTGGCGCCCTGAAGAACCCGGAGCCGACGAAGAACAAGAACGTCTTCGTGCATGAACTCGTTGTGACACAGTCACAGCTGTTGAGTCTCGCGAAGAAGTACTCCCCACAGGCGGAATGGACCATCACCAAGATCGATGATCCCGAAGCGGAATTCGATAGGTTGTTAACCGTTGTCCGAGAACAGCCCGAGATCCCAAAAATCATTGCCCTCGTCAAGGCATCTCTTTTGTCTGGCAAGTTTCAAGTTTACTATAAGGCAGTGGACAATGACCTCGTCGGCTTGCCGCTGCTGAGTGAGAAGGATTTGGAGGCGAAATTTGCGGAGACACATGGCCATTGATTTAGCGATAGATTAAGTATACCGCCAATGTCTTTGCCAATCACTAAAATAGATCATTACACTCCTTGTGAACTGTCTGGGTCAAGTATGTGATCAGGTTCATCCAATGGCTCAGCATGCCCGTGCCCAATGGCTTTCTAAGGTTCCAATCACCAGAATAGCGTACAATGTTCACGTCAAGCTAAGTGGCACAAACTAACTATGTCATAAAGGAAGCAATGATGGGAATACTGCTGGGAACGATCACATATGGCTGACTGGTATTCCATTGGTAGCTGTGCTGTAAAAGGTTTCATCAGCTTACGGGGTTGAAGTTTCGAGCGTTGCAGTTATGTGCAATCCTCCACATCATAGAAGCTAGCTCCCGTTCGTGCGACACGTCCCATTATCATCACCGAGTGCTTGATTGACGTTGATCCGACAGTCCACCGCTCCTCCGTCGGTTTGATGTTGGTGACGAAGAAAAGGACCACACGACCCTGAATACGCTCCTTTTGTAGACGGCTCATGAGACCGGAAAGAGCCCACGGCGGTAGAGTGGAACCAGGGGCCGAGGCCACCTTCTCGAGCCAGTGGAAGCGCTTCGCAACAGCGTCCATGGCTTCCTGCTGGAGAGAGCAAAACAGGAGGACATAGATGATCCACTCAAGTCCAATGTGTAGATCGTCTCGTAGAAACAGATCCGCGTCTAGCCCTGACATGATTTGTAGGATTTGGATGATCCACGGATTCACGAAGGAACCCCCTTCTAGGTCTCCTCCTGTGGCAAAATCTAGAGCTTCACGCGAGCAAAGAACCTGAGCTGTGGCGTAGCGAAGGTAGTTCGCAGCTCCTGTCTTCGACCGGAAGAACAATGATTCGGCTGGTGGAAAGGGTGGGTGGCCTCTATGCACGCCCTGCACTTGTGCTGTGGCTGAGCGCAGTGGAAGATCAAGCGCGTCAAGACTGTCGTGCCAAGAGTTGAGCTCGTCACGCGAATGGTCGAGAGAGATCAGCAGATCTTCTTCTATGCCCAACGCAGATATTCCTCCTTGGTCTATTGGAGTCCCTAAACATTCCTCGAATTGCTGAGACCAAGACCGATGTGATGGAAAAGAAGAATTAGGGCCAAAAAGACGGGTCAGAATGAGGCGGATATACGTGTTCTTACTTTCGCAAGCAGTGAGTGGATAAGGCCGCGACTGTGCGAGGTATTTTTTTAAAGTCTTGAAAATTGGCCGGCGAGCGGTTTCAGGGCAGGGCTGAGACATGGTTGACCGTGGAAGACACTGAAGTGAGTACCATGACTTGATTGGCATCCAGATTTCTAAAACATGTCGAGCCGTCTGCCATGGCACAAGCCGATGTACAATGAGTAAATCTGCTTGTCTGCAATGCACCAGGCCTCCAGCGAAGCTGCCAACTCTTGCCTCGATATTCAGGAAAATAGTGAGGATAAAAATGGTGACGAGAACATCGGTGACATGCAAGGTGGCAGCCAGCTTCCCGAACATTGCTTGAAGTGCAAGGGTGTAGAGCTCAAGGCACTGACTTCGATCATTCTTCGCAGAACTGTCTCTGATCCTCGTAAAATAGTCAAATGCGAGCAAGGAGCGTTTAAGTGCCAGGTTGGCATATCCTACGCCCTCTCATATATCCCGATATATGGATGGAAGTTGTGCGGGAAAGTTCTCGCTTAACCAATGGTCTGGCACGTCGGGTTCCTGACGGTATGATGCCGGAGGTGCAATTGGCGGCGCAAAATTAGTTGAAATTCTGGAATTCGTCAACGGTCCAGGGCATGATTGCGAGTGCTCGTTGTAGTCGACTGTGCTCGACGTTGGCAGCGAGAGATCTTCGGCGTGGGTGTCACCCCAAGATTGGCCTCCTGCATCAGGGTCATCATTTAGTGTTGAGCTCGGCTTTGGATTTCCCTGACGGCTCCCACCGCCGCCCATTGCAAATGCCGGTGGGCCAGGTCTTGTTACAATGATAGGATCTTTTCCATCAAAACTGCTTATTTCGACTTATTCCAATCCTTCACCACGAGGGTTACTTTGTTTGCGTTACTCAATGCTGGAGCGCTGTGGCTAGACGGTGTGTCCGCTGACGGCCAGCTGCCGACGGTTGATCTTGGTTACGAGGTGCACCAAGCGTTGACTTTCAACGTAAGTCAAAGCTCTGACAAATTTTTCTACCCTTTCTAAACCAATCTATAATCGCAGGAGTCCTAGAGGTTTTATACTTTCCGCAACATTCGCTATGCTCAGTCACCAGTTGACGATCTCCGCTGGGCTCTACCCTTGACGCCCCCCGGTCGGGATAACCAGGTGCAGAACGGTTCCACTGGGCGAATTTGCCCGCAGGCGATGCCTAAATGGTTCTCCATTAACAGTGCATTCGCCCAATACTTCACCAAAAACATCGTTGATCAGTTCGACTATTCGGCGGTGGAGGCAGGCATTGATGCTCAGCATGTCAACGGTACAGGTCAAACAGCAAGCGAACAACAAGAGATCACTGACGACTGCCTCTTTCTCGACGTCATCGTACCACATGCAGTTCTCAATAAGTCCAATACATCGTCTCTAGCACCTGTGATGATCTGGTACGTCCTCTTACTAGTTGGTTCCGTTGAATAATCTCTTTGATCTAACAGTAACCGTCAGGATCCACGGGGGCGCATATGTTACAGGGAATAAAATCGACAGCAGCGCAGGCGACCCAAGTGGCCTAATCAGTGCGAGCCAGAAGAATGGCTCCGAAGGTTTCATCTATGTGTCAATGAACTATCGACTGGGAGGCCTTGGTTTCATGTCTGGGGAATTGTTCGAGAGTCAAGGCGGCATCCCGAATCTCGGGCTACGTGACCAAGCTCTAGCGCTTCAATGGGTACAAGACCACATTCACTTGTTTTGGGGGAGACAAAAGCCAAGCCACTGTATCAGGAGGTATGCTATTCATGCATCTTTCAGTCAGTTGGATCTGAAGAGGCTTATCTGATTGCTGTATCACAGGGTCTTAGTCTGAGCTTCCGACGGTTAGGCCGATCGCTAATCCCGTAGATGTTCCTTTGATCTTGAAACTCATCCGGGTCGCCGCAGAGGATCAGGCCCCGGGTGCCCGAGTTACGGCAACAGAGGAAGGGTTGACGAAAACACTACATTTCGATGATTTGGCAGAAGATTCGGCCTCGACTGCGCGCCTGGCATGGCCTGTGCTGGCTTTCTCGCCAGATGGGAAGCCTGCTGGCTTGCTGATTTTTTTCTACAATTACTCGGCGTGGTCAGCTGCTCCCGGTGTCTGTTTGGAAGAATTGTATGTTGTGCCGGGGTATCGACGGCACAGATGTCGGTTGAGGCTATGGGCAACTGCAGCCAAAGCAGCAGGCTGTGGCAAGATGGACTGGGTGTGTCTAGGCGGCAACGATAAAATCCTGAGGTTCTATGAAAAACTGGGCGCGAAGACAATGGGGGGTTGGGTGGTGTTGAAGGTGGATCAGGCCGGAATCCAGACTCTTGCTGTCGACAAATACTTGAGGCAAAATGGCGACTAGCTGTGAACAGCTCTCAGTATCGACCACTTAGAGCTACGGGACGATGTGAGTCGCCTCGATGGAGATGTCGGTTGCGTCGTCTCGGGAAGCATAGTGCGTCTGGCTCCAGAGGTGACGTCTCATTGGCGCAAATCGGAATCTGAGATGCCTCTGACACTCTCTATATCCGGAGCGAATCTCTGTCAGCCTTCTAAGTTAAATTGGTATATGGGTCGAGGCTCTTGGCCGCGAGACAGCAGAATAATGGATTCGGTGTACGATACGCTGTGACTGCTGTCCAATTCAAATCGCAGGCAAGACCTAATGGAGTGGAGGCACCTTTATAAGTAATCAAGGATTACGTAATATCGCATCTATATAGATAAAATATCAGTACTCAGCTTGCCCCAATTTTCAGCTTGCCGCTAACAGCTAGATTGTTTTTGCTGGAGGTGAAACTGCTGCATCTGGATCCCCAGCACAACATACTTTGGCCCGATCTGAATACACACCGACTTTGAATTGCTGCCGTCACCCAATGTGGCTCATTGATGTGGAGACAAGACGGCTGGCCGAGTTTATCGGTCTCGAGGTGCCACCCTATGCGATCCTTTCGCACACGTGGGTCAGCGGCCAAGAGGTCACATTTCAAGAGCTGAGGTCTCCCGCAATCCCGGACCCCACGGCGTCCTCGAAAAGTGGATGGGAGAAGATCGACAGGACCTGCCGCCAGGCGGCTCGAGATGGCCTGAAATATGCCTGGGTGGACACTTGCTGCATCGACAAATCGAGCAGCGCTGAGCTGTCAGAGGCCATCAACTCGATGTTCCGTTGGTACAAGCGGGCAGCAGTCTGCTACGTCTTCCTATCGGATCTGTCCCACTTCTCCTGGTCTGAAGATGCGGGGGGGCTGCAAGTGTGCATCGAACATTTACGATGGTTCTCGCGCTCGTGGACGCTGCAGGAATTAATTGCACCAATGCACATCAAATTTTACGACCAGGATTGGAAGTTTTGCTTCACCAAGGAAATGGCCTCGGAGGCCCTAGCTCGGATCACCGGAATCGACGTCGATATTCTCAACCATAACACCGACTTGTCTACTGTCTCAGTGGCCCAAAAGATGTCGTGGGCTGCAAGAAGACAATCGACGCGTATAGAAGATCTGGCGTACTCGCTTCTTGGCATCTTTGGCATCAACATGCCTCTATTGTACGGGGAGGAGGAAAGGGCTTTCCTTAGGCTCCAGGCAGAGATCATCAGCTCGTACCCTGACCCTACCATCCTCGCCTGGATGCTCCAGCCGGAAACTTCTGAGCACATTTTAGAACACCCGGAGGATTCATACAGTGGAGTTATGGCATCGAGCCCAATGCCCTTTCAAGACTGTGCAGAAGTTAAACGACTGTCGAACCAGCCTCTCTTCGACTTTTCCATGTCCAATCGCGGTATTCAGCTACGCGCTCAGTTCGGGCTAGTCCCTCCAAGACAATCTCAGGGATTCTGCCTTATCCTACCAGTCTGCGAAATTCGGCACAAAGCCCTCGGTATCCGACTGAGAAACTTGGGCGGAGCATGTTTTGCTCGACAGAACGCCTATGAGCTAGTCCAAATCAGCCCCAGGGCCATGGCACACCGCCTTGTCCTCGAGCTGTACCTTCTAAAACAACTACCTGCTCCGAGTAAAACGGCAACACGGCCGCAGAACTTGATATTGAAATCTCGCCATTGTGTCCTGGAGGTCGTGATGTCTCGGGGAATGGAGGTGTACCGGCGCTGGCCGTGGCAACAGTGGGATGAGCAGGACAGGGTCTTTTTCGGATCTTATGGGCCATCCGAAGACCTTGGCTGGGCATCACTGAAGATCGTCGCGTTGCCGCCGTACCCGTTTGAGGATCTATACGCGTCAGATTCCACCGACTTTCTCTTCTATGCCTTTGGCTGGGCCAGCCACCCTGGGTCACAGCCACCGCCCCGCTGCACCATCCACAGGGTTCGAGGAGGCGTTGATGACCGAGCCATGGAACAAATGAACCACGAAGCAGTGACGGACAGCTGGAATGCCTACTGGGTAGCAAACCGCCTTGTGAGTAATGGTATCCCTGAACAGCATTCCTTGGTGGCGGGTATTTCCGGACAAGACGTTTTGCTCCTAGTATTTGCCCTGCAATCGGTAGAAGATGCCGCGATGTCTTTGAATCCATTCTGGAGAGCCGAATTCTCATGGAAGGTCGTCCCTAAAGATCAAGTTCCGGAGGCGTCGAATCAAGGCTGGAGGAAAATCAATTGGGGCTCAATCTGGAGTCCTCCATGGGATAGAGATTGAAGCTGATGTAACAAGGCGTTCTGGACAATAACCGAGGTGTATACCGTCGTTTACAAAATGTATTTGAAAGAAGACGGATAAGCTGAGAATCAACGACAATGTTTTGCGTTTTTAAGAAGTTTGTACGGTCAGTGCACCCGGACGAAGTGAGCGAATAAAAAGTCCACATTGCCACTGGGCTTTTCTCATCAAAGTTATGCATGGTATGCCCTGGAAAGTAGTATTACTTATACACAATATTCAATCCGCTCAGCGCATCACGATGCTTGTCTTGACGTCCTCCCAGCTGCGGCCCAGAGGAACCGGGAATGGCATGTCCGCAAATGCGCAGACTCGTTCAAAGACACACGCTTCCTCAGTCGGGGCGAGAACGAGGCCCCAAGTATTATACCACTTCTGGGACGCATTCGCGCCTTCTGGATGCGTGCCCAATTGGCCCTCCTCGGGTTCAGCCGCCACCGCCGGCGTGCTGTTACTAGAGTTATCCGGCGTGGTGGCGCTGTGGTCAGCAGCTGGTGACGAGCCAGGCATCTCCCCATACTCCAGTTCTTCGTGCTGGAAGTCGAGACCCATTCTTCCTAGACTCTCGAGGAACTCGTCCGTGTACCCCTGCTTTCCGATACCGTTCAAGGCGGAGGTTACCGCCCCGTTGCGGATTGTTATGACACGCACACGCCCCTGTTGATGCGGAAAGGCCTTGAGCACAGAGGCGGCCATTTCCTCTGGATTTGATCTGTCGATTCGGTGTTCGGGCTGTGTTGGCTCTAGTTTGGGAGAGTCCGCGGGCACGTTTTGTTTCCTTACAGGTTCGGCGAAGAAGAACGCCATGATCGAGCTTTCGGGAAACTCGAATTGTTTGTTATCGGCCCGCCAAGAGCGCTTCTCTTGTCCTCCCGAGATGATAGAAAGTATATCTGGTCCGGGGGAGTCTGGCCCAGACATCAGATAGTTGCACTTCACAGCGTCAGAACCCCAATCAGTCATCTTCAGCGCTGGGCAGTGGAGCCGCAGCTTTCCCTACGCCACCAGATCGAACTGCCCCTCTCGAAAGGCTTGAATAGCCGTCTCCTCTACGTCGATGTCGACAATTGGGGACATGTCTAGTCGTGGGAGGCGATCCAATCTGATAGCATGGTCGACGGACGCCCACGACCAAGATGGCGCCCTCTGCTTCTCTGGCCGCCATGGGTCTAGATGAGGATGTGTCGACCATAGAAGGTCGTAGTTGCGTGTGTTTGCCCACAAGCCTGCCAGATAGACGTTCTGACCCACGGCCATGCTCAACTCGGATGCGACGGCCCCTATAGCAAGAAGCTTGTCTCTTGCGGCGACAAAAGTCGTTCTTCGAACGTCCACGCCCTGCCGTTGATGGGCTCCACAGCCAGATTATGGGGTGTCTCTTGTCTGAATAAGACCACACTGATCTTTTTGTCTGGGCACAGCACCAAAGTGCGAAGGAGGTCGCGATGGGCGGGAAAGTCGGGATGCTGGGGGCAGCCAATGGCGTCCTCTATAAAACCCTCGGCGGCAGACTTGGTGCTGGCTGTGAGAGTAAGGTACGCATTCCGACTGGCTCATTTTCTTCAGCTCGCGCTCCTTGTTGTCTCTTGAATCTTGGATGATGCAGAGCCTGTCGATCCAGATATATTCCACGTCCAAGGCTGCAGTTATTGATAAAGCGTCTCTGCGAGCTTTGGGCAAAGACCCTCGGTCACATTTGCAACGAGCGTGGCCGAGCCCTTCCATTCGTGAAGCTCTGGGTCACCCCAGAGATAACTCAGAGGCATATATCGACCGACTTCGTTTTCGGTCGGGTGGTATAGCTCAGCCCTCTCTTCTCCAAGCAGCCTGACTAACCTTGTTGGAATGGCGGGTGCCCCTGTCAGCATGCAGAGATCAGTATTAACGAATCGCTTGTACGCACATTGAGGCGAATCTTCACCTATGTCATGCAAATGAAAAGTTCACTACTTGAACCGCCATCTATAAGCCCTAGCTAAGTGGTTCTATTCTTATTTACTTGAGGTACTTTACAAGTAGGGCTAGGACGCGATCGAGATAGAAGCGAGACTGCTCACTGGTCACACCGTCCTGGCGAGACATCATGCAACCAAATCATGCAACCAAATCATGCAACCAAATCATGCAACCAAATCATGCAACCAAATCATGCAGAACAGGAGTATTTCAAGACGTCCTCCACATTGCGAAACAGATGCTAGAAATAAAGTCTCATTTCGCCGGTTAAGAAGAAATGCTTGTCACAGTTGCGTGTAGTTCAGCCTTAAAGCTAAAAAGTCTATTTATGATACATTTGGTTGAGTACAATCATCGCTGCCCTACCTGACCGCTCCCCTATTCCTGTTTGTCAAACTCATGATGAGTTGCGCCTGTTGTACTCGCTCCGCTGGGGCCGCAGCCTCACTCCTGCCAATCTCGTCTTCAGAGAAGCTCCAAGTCATCCAGACAGAAAACTTCATTTTGGAACTCGATTATAGGGTCTCTTTCGGCGACTCCTGGTGGAGGTGATAGTATGGTCCTGGAATTTACCCTCCTGTACTTTGGGGGGGGGGGGCATCTTCTCCAAACCTCATATCGACCCCAACCTGCTCCAGAAGACTCACAATGCCAGTCATGTTTATATACTCTGGCAGGGTTTTCTTTTTCGAGAGCGGGCGCAGACGGTCATCGACTTTTACTATGGACAGCTTTGGGAGAAACGTCGTCTTTGAGTGGACAAGCTGACGCATCTGGCGGCCGATTTGAAGCTGTGTTGAAACTTACAGTGCGAATGCAATGTGAAGAACCCGTATAGTTTCGGGCAGGACCGAGCTCAAGCTCTCAGCTTTCAGCAACTTGGAGTACAGGAGAATTGTCGGCTGGTCGATTTCCAAGATCTCCAGCCGTTTAAAGTCCAGCAAAGGAGCAATATAAGCTCCGTCTACATTGTTGTTCTTCAGATTGTCCATTGCATCTTCGTTACTCCAGGCTAGTCGCCGTAGGCCTTCCTTAGTATGAGCTGGCCATTCCAGCGAACTGACTGGCTCGGGGAGCCACGGGCAAGGTTTGACGTGGCACTCCAGGTCTTCCAAGTTGGGACAGAACCGGAGTATTAGTGAAAGCGATCGCGGTGTACAAAAGACAGACAGCTTTTGGATATTCAACGTGGAGATGGGACCTTGGATCGCTCGCCCCTCCATTGCCAAATGGTAACCGGCGCGAAGGCTGGAAACATTTGGGAAATGAATCTGGGACTCTACAACATCCTCCACTCCGCTGAACTGGTCGTATGTCAATACACGAAGTTGAGTAAAGGCCGGTGTTGGGCTTTGCAAGTGCTTAAAACAGCCCAGTGGCTTTGTGAGTTGTAGGTGGGTGACTTGGGGGACAAGATTCAGGGCCAGTACATGGAGCCATCTGTAGAATGCGGCTGGGGGCCTATAACCTCCGTCTCCAGAATGCTGTAGCTGAGCACCGGGACCAGGCTCATTGAAAAAAAGGATGGAGCCCCTCTGGCGCTTCTGAAACAAAGCTCCAGTTACCACATAGGGGACCAGAATGTGATATTTGGCGCTGACATCAGTCCAAGACTGGAGATCCTGTCGGGTGATGCGGTGATACTGCGGTGGAAAAAACTGGAAGAGCCCCATGATGCGGACTCGCTTGCCCAGGGAAGGACTCGCGATCAATGCTTGAAGAAACGACGGAAGCCAATCCTTCACCTGGCGATTCCAATTTCCACCATTGGAGAAATTGAAAAAATAATGAAACAGAATATCCTGGCTCATAGCGCGGAATTCGCGAGAAACCAAGCACAAAGATTTCAAGGCGGCTTTTCCTTCCCGAGCCTCAGGGAGTGTAAAGTCCGGTATGACATGTGAGTGCTTAGGCATTTGGCAATGTGCACATAGAGGCTCAAAGATCTGTACCCAGATCTCTGTGGGAAGGGAAGGCAACATGATGGTGCTTCTGTATCTGCCGTGACGTGTTGGGGTCTCGGAGTTGTCAATGCTGAATCGGTATCAGAATTGATGTTGATGGTCTGAATGTGACTGGAACCTGGAGATAGGCACACGGCACTTTTACAATATGCAATTTGATATTACTGCGCGTTGTCTTTGGGCAATCCACAGGACTTGAACAGGTCATACAAAGCATTCTAATCCAGACACAATAAGTGGCATTGAGCTTTGGGGCGCATCTTGCCCTTGGAAGTTCTGACTTTGTCCTTGGTGTTGGCAGGAACAAGTGTTTGTTTGATCAAAGTCCCCTTCGGATCAAACTGCCCTATTCTTCATTGTACCAGGACCACGAGCTGCGTGTTTGCATGAGTGTGCTGGAGGGAAAATTCCCGCCCAATCTTGATCTTACAATATTTCACAGTGTGGATGATGCCTGCATGTGTCTAAAATCCTCCTTGGGTTACAGCTTTGATTGGTGTGCTGGATCTCAAGTGAATTCCACTTGCAGTCTTACTCATACATTCATTTCTTCTCTGCTGGCGGTTGGCTGCTCAGGTGCCATGTGCTGCTAGCTGCTGTTGCGGGGACCCCCAGTGGCATCCAAGGGGTCTGGGTGCTGTGCCACTCTGGAAGCTCCGCAATTGCTCATCAACCAACAACATCAATTGTAGACGGCTGCCTAACTAACATCCACCATTCAGAAAGTTATGAAGACTCTCTAAGGTAGCCTGTCCATACCTGTCCATACCTCGTCAGTCATTTCTTCAATTTGCTTCCCCAAAACAACTACATCGCCCACACAATCACACGCAAACAACAATGGCCATGGACTGGCAGAGCGAGGGCCTAAACACCCAGCCGGCGCCCCTTGAGATCGTCAACCCGCAACCCGGCCAGCAGCACACACACACCGTCATCTTCCTCCACGGCCGCGGCGACACGGCCCCAGACTTCGCACGGAGCATCAGGTACATGGCCTGGAGCAACTCAAAGCGCCAAACAGCAATAGACGTCCTGCCGACCTTCCGTTGGGTCTTCCCCGACGCCGGCCAGAAGCCATGCGCCAGGCCCGGCATGCCGCCCTGCATGAGCCAGTGGTTCGACGTCTGGGACCACCTCAAACTCCAGGACCACGAGGAGCTGCAGGCACCAGGGCTGCGGGAGAGCGCCGACCGCATCAGGAAGCTGATCGCGGACGAGGCGGCGAGGCTGGGCGGCAGGTACGACAAGATTGTCCTCATGGGTATCTCCCAAGGCGGCGCTACAAGCATTCACACGCTGCTGAACCTGGGGCTGCCGGAGGCTTATTCCGGACCGAAGCGGCTTGGGGCCTTTGTTGGTGTGGCTTGCCGGATGCCGTTCCCGGGCCGCAATCTCAATGACACGCGGAAGATCCTTGATTTGGAGGGAACGCCTAGTGACGAGCTGCTTTTGAACACGCCTGTTCTCCTGGAGCACTGCGTGGACGATCCGACTGTTATGTTCGCGGGCGGGAAGCAGTTGAGGCAGCAGCTTGAGGGTTATGGAGCATCGGTTGCCTGGAGGGAGTACCCGGAAGGTGGGCACTGGTTTAAGTCACCGGAGGGATTGGATGATCTCATTGAGTTCTTTTCTAAGGTGCTCCATAGAAATTAGAGGTGCCAATTAGGGTTTATGACAGAGCTTGGCACAAATGTTGGGGTCGGCAGCAGGGGCATCGCATCCTCTCTGACTGTGTGCCGAGGCAGGCGTTCAAGACCGTATTTGGAGGATTAACAAAAAAGTGGCACCCAGGATGAGTGCAGTGGGGACTTCAGGATTCAGCCACGCTCAAGGATCGAGGATTGGGACGGCTCATTTTCTTTGTTAATGACAGCCATATAATCTTCTTTTGTAGCCGTCATAATGGACGGTCTTGCCCTCCATGTCCACTAGCGAATTTCCTCAACAACTGTTCAAAAGTCCAGGACGAATTCAAATATCCAGTGGCCAAAACTAGCCTCCAAGAGTCGCCATGAATAGGATAACGCGATTCCTCAAACCCAAAGCAACAAAGCCTTGTGACTGCCACTCGAAATCGTGTCCCAGTGCCCGAGCAAATCCTGGACCGGATGGTTACTGCGTCACGCCGGTTGTCAAGAAGGGCGGTTATTGTATGAGGTGCGCGGAAGCAGAATGCCATCGGTTCTCGTACGATGGAAATGTCTACCAGAATCCTCCGAAGTCGAAATATTGAAACGCACGATGCGTTGTTGGCGACGGTACACAAGCATGTTTATGAAACTTCAATTCAAGTGGTATTCGAATTTAAGGAATTTTCGCGATGCACAGCTTCCGCGGATAAGGGTATCTGGAGGACAACATGGCTGAAGAATTCACTGTTCTGGTAGGAAGGGATGTGGTTACTCAACAGGAACATCACCATTCTGGATTTGTCGGGAAGAATCCGTGCTGAGACGCCGTCACTGTTTCGGCCAGGCAAGGAGTTTGGGAGCGTACACAAGCAAGGCATTTCATCGCAAACGATACTGGAGCGAATGAATAAACAAGACCACAAAGGTCGAATGTGGACACAAGTTCTAAATTACGAACTTGAAGAACTCTGTGAATCTCATTCAGTTCCTGTGAACACACTTTTGTCAAATGTCTGTCAATTCTTACGAGTCAAGTCATTATCGTAGCTACAATGGCACAAAGAGAAACGGCCAGTCGTCCATTCTCGTCGGGCACGGAGCCAATTCAAAGCACAATCATCATCGAATTGGGCTCTGCAGTGTCACAAGTGCTGACGGTGAACTCATCAAAGCCCTCGGCATCACGAAGCTGGATGATGCATGAGCCTTGCTCGCCCTGCATGGGCTAGCGCATGTCCTTGCCATTACAGTTGCTCCCATCGCTGAGCGCTTGACCTGCTTCAAGTTCTCTCTAGTAGACGTGTAATATTCGTGCTAGCGTATTCATTTTGCACAACGGTAGAAAGTCGATTGGTGCTCCATCGACCACTGTATGGAATCTGATCGATACTCGATTAGTATTGCAACCACATCCAACGTTGGCACCATCACTTTCAACGGGCTCAACTGCCAAGCGTCCTTTGCATGCTTTCAAAACCTCCGAATGCTTGAATAATAGGAGATAAATATCCAGCGTATCTGAAATAGCAGGTGGGCAGTGCTGTCTTGCGCCCAAATTAATATGTGAGGCCCTTCAAATTCTCAAATGCACATATACGCACGTACAGAAGCTGAGCCTGAAGAACGCTGAACTCGATAAATTTGTATAGTATGACTATCAGACGTACTTTCTGTAGGAAGCTATCCAACTCTAATTATAATATATCTAAGATAGTTCACTATATGGAGATTGTCGAGAAATCTGGCCGTGGGCCCCTGTCCCAAAAAACATTGCCAAAAAAGATTCCCTGAAAAAGAATGCCCTAGAAAGAATGCCTCAAGAGAAGATGCACCAAAAAGATTGCTCCAAAAAGAAATCCCAAAATGAGTTCCAAAAATGGCCCCAATAATAGCCCAAAAGAATGTCCCAAACAAATGCCCCCAAAAGAGCTGCCAGTAAAGCCTCCCAGAAAATGCCCCAGAACGGTCCCCAAAAATAGAATCCCGAAATATCTTCGAAAGTTATTTGTCTTAGACAAAAATAATGCTTCCGAAATCGATGTGAAGCCAATCTCCCCAGGCCGTCCCCACTTCACTTTGCTGGCTTGGACATAGACTGAGCCTTCACGTGGGTTGTGCGGTCGGCTCAGGCTTCCTATACAGCAGGATCATCATCGGGTCGTAAACGTACGAGTTCGTCTGCCGAGGGGTTTGCGGCGTGAGCTCTTGACTGGCTTGTGTCTCCGCAAACTGATAACCCTCCCGGTCGCCCACAGACTGACAGTATTCCTGGAACTCCAAGGTCCGTTGGTTGAGTCGAGCCATAAACTGGTCCATGACGGCGTCGTGGGTAACCAGCATTTGCTCGTAGGCTGCTTTCGTAAGCATAGATTCCCTCTCGTAGCTCTGCTCTGGCCAGGGACTGTTGTTCAGTGTCCTGGATGGCTTCAACTTGGCGCCTCTCCGTACTGGACGGCGCAGTACTCCTGTGCAGATCCATCAAGGGCATCATATAGTACTTGCGAAGAAATGCCATATAACAGTCAACCCGTGTTTTGAGTGACAGAGAGTCGAAAATGCTGCGGGAGAGGACAGACAGTCTGAATGAAATCGTGCCTCGGCTAAGAGGGGAGCGGGCAGGGAGAACTTACGGGTTCACTTCTTTGGGAGTCTCCCCAGGCCGGGAGCCACGCGATTTCTCACCAGACCGGTCAGACAGGTTATGATTGCAGCAGGTGGTACGCGGCTCCCATGCCAGGTCATGTCGATGCGCTGGCCAGGGAAATCCGTATCCTGCGTCACATCGTAGATCAGAGTGCCTCTATCGTGCCACGGCCTCTATCGTGCCACGGCCTCTGGTTTCGGCTCGCTGTTTGAATCACGGCGATGTTCAGGCGCCGGAGAGTTCGTATGTCATGTTGGGTAAATGCAGGGCCACAGGCATATAATACCGGTTGGAGTCTGTGGCGTTCTTGTAGGAGATCCCTGATCAGCCTGGCGGCTGCTAGCTGGGTGAAGAATATCTTCTGGCTGTACTCTAGGTAGGGGGGGAGTCCAACGTAACGTTTGCGTTCAGTTCTTGGTCCGCGCGTGTTCCACCGGTGCCAAGACCGCATATGACAATGTTGGTGACTGAACCGAGGCGTGTCGAATGGCAAAATGTTCGAAGTGCTCTGAAATTGGTCCCAAACAACCGGGCCGGTGTATTTTCCCATTCCCCGGAGTACCTCTCCAGGAGCTGGTCGACCAGTGCATTGAGGCGTGCCTCATAATTAGCATCGGACATCTTCGCAGTCTAAAGAGGGTCTTGAGGAAGATCATGTTGTCTTGATTCAGGGTATCTCGTAGGGTGTGGTTTATTGATATACGTGCTTGCTGATGTTTCCTGTGTTCGTGTTCTTGGTGTTCTTGATGCTCTTGGTGCTGGCCGACTGTGTCTGAATGGAGTGTCAAAAGGAAAGAAAGAGGGTGCTTAAATAATTGGAAAGATGCGTTCCAATACCGAACTGCTCGTACGTTATTCACCTTTCCAACTCATTAACTTAGACTGAGCAAAATGAAGTTGATGGTCATGGAGTTTTAGACCAAGAGAAGTCAGAGGGGACGCCTTGAAGTCAGAGAAGGGCGTTGCTGTAGAAGGCGCATCGTCATTAATCACTTGCAAGAATACCATCAGTCGCTTGCTCCTCCACGCAGTCTCGGAAGCCATCGGACGACTCTTCTACTGTCAGAGTGACTCTTGAACCCCGAGCCTCGTTTGTTGTGGCGAAGGTGACTCGCCGAACTCCTCAGTTATAGTCCCATCCAGATTATATCATGGTGTGTCTGTCTCTGTCGTGATGTACGGCCTGATCAGACATGACGACGACTCAGGACCGAGTTGCCCTTACGGAATCGATCGTGGGCCGCAACCTATGACATGGTCGGACTGCTTGTCAGGATCCTCACACCTCTGCAGACAGTCCTCGTATTGAGACACTGAGACCGACGGTGATCATCCTAACTTGCGACAATATTGATGAAGTCACTCAACCACATTACAGAAACTTAAACCTGTGAATGTAACATCGTCGAAGAGTTGGCTAGCTTTCAGGGATGACCTTCTTAGCGTCGCGAACGACGACGAAGTCCCATTGTAAGTGTTTAACCACGTAGGAACAGTGGCAAAGAGACATCTGGGTAGAACAATATGAGTACCAGAGACTGGCGTTTCTTCTTTGATAGTTCGTGTACGTAGAAAGCTTTTATATCCACGTTACATATTATTGCCGTCAACAAGGACTTTCCCAAGGTTAAGGGTCATTAAAACGCGGCTGAGAGATGTCAAGATAGCGACTTCTCCATGAAAAGATTGTCAAGAATGTATCAAAAATCTTGCTACAAAATTTGATCTTCACATGCGCGGACCGCATCGTGAAGGTACGGCAAATAAACAGCACTCGAGAACGGCCGGTGTCTTCGAAATGCGACGCCGCGGTCGACTTCAGGTTGCTCTCTCCGATGGCCAATCTTGATTTGCACCTTGTGACATTATTATTCTTCTACTTGCTTGCATACTCGCTGGATCTAGGGTCTACACAGGTGAATGGCATTACGAATTGACTGTGCTTCAACCTTGTGAGGCTTTCCAATATATCACAAATGAGGACACCAATCCAGGGATCCTGACAGTACCACGCTGCAGTACTCTAGAAAAGGTCTTAATTTTGACTAGGCTTTTCCCGGGACTTCCATGATGGAATGAGAATAGCACAACTGCGGTACTAATTTGGGCAATCGACAGGGACACTCATTGGAGGCAAGGCCCTGTCTCAGTTTTGAATTTCGAACAAGCTATACCAGACAGCAGGGCTAAAAGCAGACGAGACATTATTGATTGTTGAGGTGTTGGAGAGGTTCATGGGGCAATTTTGTCTGCTCACTCTCTCACAGCAAGCTTGCGTCGACGAGCGACTACCGTCCCGCATATCCACAGTCGTGGTTGTCTTTCATGATCTTGATGACAAAGCTATTCTAGTAAAGTTCGCCCCTTTCCCGGGCCCATGATCTCCAGGGCTCAGAAGACATCGTAAAGTTCTAGTCACTGCTAGCATTGTGCAACAGATTCGTCCCATGCCGTTTCTGTGAGCGTGTCTGCTGGACGGAGTGAGTGGCTTGGCCTCTGTATTTGTGACGCCCTGCGGCCGATGGCCAACTGCTCAGAACCTGGCTGGCGGGTCCGATGGTGGGTGACAAAGGCCAGGCTTCAGGAAGCAATTACCACAAGTCACCCACTCTCTCTCCCTCAGTGCCAAACTTGAACGTTTGTCGTGCCAGCAAAAACGTGAGGTCAGCCAGGCAGTTACTTAGGTGCGTGCACATTGAGGCTCGGCATGTCCAATGGCAAGCTCAGCTGTTATCAGGCCGGGGCTGACAAGCAAGACCCCTGGAATCGGAGCTTAATCATGCCGAGGCTCAGGGGTGACGTTCCACTGGCATTGCATCATCCAGGCTTCCTCCAAGTCGCCCAAAGCTCAAGCTTCCAAGAGCAGACGGTTATACACAACCAGCCTCTCCGTTTCCCTGCCAATTCTCTACGTTGAGCGGATGGTTGTATCTTGTTCTTATCATATTTCAGAACCCAAGTAACACCACAGGCTGTTAATATGCGCTCTTCACTACCGGCCAAGCTCACACTGCTGCTGCTGGCCTGCTCCGAGCAGGTCGCCGGCTCTCTTGGCGATGGATCGCAACAAGTCATGATCGCGCCCCCAGAGAACGTCAATGATGCTTCCACTACCTCCTTCGACTTCCATAACGACCATGTTGTCGACGAATCCATCCTCGCGGCCATCGCAGCCTACCCAGACCCCGTCGATGCCATGATCTTCCTCCGGCCCGAGATGGCAGTACAGCTCGCCGAATCGAGACTGATCCACGTGTTCGGCGAGGACAAGCCTAGGTGGATGAAGGAAGGCGACAAGCTGCGGCTGCGGCAGAAGAGGAAGAAGTTCATGGATATCACAGACCACCAGGAACTCTATGTTGACGGCGTCACTGCGTGGGAAGGGAAAGCCAGTGCGCACTACTCTCGAGACCCCTCGGCGCCGTGACGGTAGAGATTCATTGTGCTGACGGCCTCCTCATCCAGACCTTCCCAAGTTAACCCACCAGAGCCTCGTCAGGCCTCTGTTTTCCAGGATCTCGACCTCCCGAATGCGCGATATCCTTAAGCACTTCTCGGGCTACTACAATCGCTGGTTCGGCGGCGAGACCGGCGAGGAGTCCTCCCAGTGGCTGCACGACCACATCGCCGACATCGTCGCCCACTCGCCGTTCCACGCCCACATCAGCCTCGAGTACTTCACGCACCCCTTCCCGCAATCCTCCATCATCGCCCGCTTCGAGCCCAAGGTCCGAGACCACTCCAAGCCCCTGACCATAATCGGCGCGCACCAGGACTCCGCCAACTACCTCTTCCCGCTGCTACAGGCCCCGGGGGCTGATGATGATGGATCGGGCACAGTCAGCATCCTCGAAGCATTCCGAGTGCTGGCCTCAAGTGGATACATACCAAAGGAGGGGCCGGTCGAGTTCCACTGGTACGCCGCCGAGGAGGGAGGGCTGCTTGGCAGCCAGGCCATCGCGGCGTACAAGAAGAAGGAGGGCGCCAAAATTGGGGCCATGATGGAGTTCGACATGACCGCGTTCATTGCCCGCAACGCAACGGAGAGCATAGGCTTCATCAAGACCGACGCCGATGCCCCCTTGACCAAGTGGGCCGTCGACCTCAGCACCGAGTACATCACGTCCATCCCCACCAGCGTCTACGAGCTCATGCCCGGGGCTGGCTCCGACTACATGAGCTACACCAAGATGGGCTTCCCGGCCACGTTCGCCTCCGAGGGCAACCCAGTGGCCGGAGGGTTCCCTGGCGAGTTTGACCCGTACGTGCACACGGAGAATGACACGATGTATGTTGATGATGAGACGGGGCATTTCTCCTTCGACCACATGGCGAGGTTCTCTGAGCTGGCCATCGCTTTTGCGGTCGAGCAGGCGGGATGGGACAACGGCTGGAGGTAACTATTTACACAGCATGAATTGAATACATTGCGGCCGCCGGCCTTACCAGGGATCGGAGAGACCACCGACCGATTGAAGCGGCGTTAAAAGACGGTCGGCTGCTCCGAACAACTCAAGCCTCGGCCTGAGATCCCACAATATGGCGAAACGACATCACTCCATTAGTCCGGCTGCTCACCATGGCCCTGCAAGACCTCTCCACATGAAATGCAATGCTTCCGAATCAACTTATCTTGCTGACTGAGTAGTCATTGCTGTGTGGCTGGCAGCCGTCAGCGCTAGCTTGTGGGGGCTAACCAACACCTGCATTGGGTTGTGGGCGTTGAATCCTGCTGGATTGGACGACCCCAAGATGCTCCACAAGTGCTAACCATGCCAGACTCAGATGGCCCCAACGGGATGACGACTGATAGGATTCTCGGCCCACTGCAGTCGGGGCGCAAAGGCTCAACCAACAGACCATGCGTGCGTATAAATATCGTAGAGAAAGCACTCTGCTTGTCTCTTCTCTCTACAGGTAACCAATGACCGTGAACATGGCCTACAGCGAAGGCATCACTGCGTCCACCGTGGCACTAGGCGCCATCGCCGCCATCGCCATCTACCTCAGCGCCAAGGTCACCTACCGCCTGTACCTGCACCCGCTATCCCGCTTCCCCGGCCCCAGGCTCGCCGCCGCGACCTACCTGTACGGCGCGTACTACGATGTGGTCCAGGAGGCGCAATTCGTGTTCAAGTTGGACGCCCTGCACGACACCTACGGCCCCGTGGTGCGCATCAGCCCCGGCGAGGTCCACGTTCGCGACTCCGGCTTCTTCGACACCCTGCACCCAGGCCCCGGCGGCAGGAAGACGCACCGCGACAAGTGGTACCGGGCCAACCGCGCCAATGGCGCACCGGGCTCGCTCGCCTCCGCGGAGGCCCATGCCCTCCACCGCGCCCGTAGGGCCGCCGTCAACCCGTACTTCTCGCGGGCGGCGATCGCGCAGCTCGAGGCCGAGTCTATCCGCGCTAAGGTGGAGCTGTTGTGCGAGCGACTGCGGGAGCACGCGTCCCCGTCGTCTGCTGCGGCTGGGGGTGCTTCGGCCGAGGGAGGCGGGGAGGTGGTGGACGTGGGCGCGGCTATGACAGCCTTGACCCTGGACGTCATCTCCGAGTACTGCTACGGCGACTGCTACGACTGCCTGCGGGACCCGGCCTTCGCGCCGCAGTGGAAGCGCGCTATGCAGGGCGGGTTCGAGTCCACCAACGTCACCAAGCACTTCATCTGGCTACTGCAGCTGATTAATAGCCTCCCCGCCTGGCTGGCCGTCAAGATGAACCCGGACATCGCCGTCTTTGTGGAGTGGAAGGACCGCCTCAGGGCCCAGGCCAAGGCCATCTACGCCGAGCAACATCAACAGCAGCAGGCCGGTCTGGACAAAGACGGGAAGGGGGTTTGGGAGAAAGAGGAGGTGGAGGAGAAGCAGAATCAGCCCCGGCCCAAGACCATCTTCCACGGCATCATGCAGGCCGACCTCCCACCCGCGGAGAAGACGGCCGACCGCCTGGCGGACGAGGCGTTCGTGCTGCTCGTCGCCGGCGCCGAGACCACCGCGCGCACGCTGTGCGTCATCCTCTGCCACCTGCTGTCCAGCCCCCCTGTGCTCGCCAGGCTGAGGGCGGAGCTGGACCCCGTCATGCAGCAGCACCAGCCCCAGCTCCCGCCGAGCCGCGTCCTGGAGGAGATACCGCTGCTGAGGGCGGTGGTGCAGGAGGGCACGAGGCTCGCGGAGCCAGTGACCAACAGGCAGATCCTCGTCGCGCCGGAGGAGGATCTCGTCGTCAGCAGCAGCGGCAACGGCGGCGGGGGTGCAATCGTGATCCCGCGCGGCACCCCCGTCTCGCAGACGTTCCGTGACGTCCTGCTGGACCCGGAGATCTTCCCGGAGCCGCGGAGGTTCGACCCGGACCGGTTCGCGAGGGCGGCGGCGGAGGGAAACAGGCTCGACAGGTACCTGGTGAGCTTCTCGCGGGGTGGGCGGTCGTGCGCGGGTGTCAACCTGGCGTACGCGGAGCTATACCTGACGGTGGCCGCGCTGGTTGGCCGGTTCGACATGGAGCTGTTTGACTTTGACAGGGCCAGGGACCTGGACGTCGTGAGGGATAAGTTCATCGGCATGCCTTCCAAGGAGGCGAGGTCTATCCGGTTCAGGTTTCGGCCGAGGGGCTCTTAGGCCGGAGTGTGTATGTAACTTGGCGATGCGAACTCTACGTGTGCCAGGTCATTGCATTTGTTTGCTCCAGTCCGGTGTCGAAGACTGCGGAAGATTTGAGCATCGCAATCTGGAATGTTGACGCATCGCCATATTTATCCTTCCTCGTCGTGAATGACTGAATATCTTGTCCCGGTCGAGCGCGCACCGAGTCCAATGTCTTTGGATCAGGCCTCTCTTACGTACATCTCTCCCACCGGCTTGCTCCAGAACGACACGCAGATCTCTCACCCTGCACATTCAAACAAAATATCTGGGCTCACTGGGTTCTGACTATATGGACCGAATGTTGGCACGATGCTTGAGCTTTCAGGCCGGATGCTACACCGCCGTCAAGGGCAAGTAATCCTGGTAGAGCGCGCACGGGGAGGCACAACGCTGTGCCCTGTATCCGAGCTTTTTTTTTTTTTTTTTTTTTTTTTTAGCTCTGTTTAGCCCAGGCGAGGCCTGTGCTGACTGGCGCTGGTGCACTGGAGTCGGGCCCAGGCAGCTGGCTCTCCCGGACTGTCACGGGAGGCTCACGGGAGAGTCGAAGCTCTCAAGTCTTGCTTAACTTTGCAGAATTCAGAATGGAAGCTCTTCTACCGGATTGAAAATAAAAAGAGGGAAGGATCCCTCTGATGGCTGCTAAGATTTGGAAGCTGATGACCTCCTGGCCGCGCACGGCCACGCTTGTGCTGAGCCACGATCCTACAGCGCTGACAGCGTGTGCCTTCGTGAAAGCTGGGCCAATAAGTCGAGAGCCTCGTCAAGAACGCAAAAAAACACGCTTTGTATTAAAGAATCGTAGCGCCTGACCGTGTCCTCATCTATACGGCGCTTTGAGACTCTCTCAAGTTCCTATCGAGGTAAGCCGCCGCAGGGAGAATGTCCGCCACAATGAGTGAAACGGTCGTGAAGACGCTTGTCATGGGCAAGGCAAGTCTCACCAACACCCAAGCCCACCACCTAGGCAGAAACACTCAGCCTAACTCTCATTACTTCCGCCACCCAGGGCGTAACACTCAAACTCATCCTCGACCCTACCCAGCCGGAGGACTCCATCGCCCGGTGGACGAGCGAGGGCACCGCCGAGGGCCGCCCGGGCGACGACGTGTTCGAGGCCCCGCTGCACTGGCACAGGAACCACTCCGAGTTCATGGACGTGCGCGAGGGCCGCGTCCAGATCACCATCGACGGCGTCGTCACCGTTGCCAAGGCCGGCGACAAGCCGGTCCACATCCCCGCGGGCGCGGTGCACGCGCTGAAGAGCTTCCCTGGGGAGAGGGTTGTCGTGCGGGAGAGCGCGGACCCGCCGGGGGAGTATAAGCATTTGTGAGCCTTGGTTTCTCTTCCATCTCTTCCCTTTTTCTTTTGAATTTTTGCTCTTTCTCTCATTCAATGCTTTGACGCGTTCTTGATACGATGACCGTTGAGTGCTTTAACTTGGACTCATACATGTGCTGACTCTGCTGTGTCCTAGGTTCTTTGCCGACTTCCTCGCTGGGAGCTGGCCGCCTGGATTTTGGTACACGATGCGGACGTTCTATGACGGGGACGCGTATCCGTCATTGGGACTCTACTTCAAGACTTTTGACGTTGCGGCAAGTTGCCTTTCCCTCTTTTGGTGGTGTTGTGTGGTTGTTGACTAACATGGGTGCGAAGTTTGTCACTGTGTTCGGAGGCATTGCCAAGCTGTTCTTGGAGAAGAGACAAGAGAAGCTGGAGTAGGGCTGGGTCGGCGACTGCTGGCCATATTTCGGATAGGAAAACCCACTTGGGGAAATTCGCTTGAATGTTAATCTCAGCCTCGATAGCATTGTGGATTACTTTTCATTCTCGTCTTGCGCTTCGAGCTCTTCCTGGTTCCTCTTGTACTGCCGCTCCTCAATCTCTGACTGCACCGACATATCGTTTATCTCTTCCTCGGTCAGGTTGGCCATGCTGTCATCGTCACTGTCCTCTAGTTCCTGCGTGACCTCCAGCAGGCTGCGCTCATGCCCGTCCTCAGGGAACATGCGCGTCCAGTACTTCTTGAAGTAGGGCCGCGGGCACTGCAGTTCCTCAAACGGGCCGGGTTGCCCAGTCCGCACGCACCGGTCCCACATTACGAGCGACCTCGCATATCCCTTAGGATCCTTGTTATACTGCCGCACCATCGCCGCGGCGTCTTTCGTCTCCTGGCCTCTCATGCCGAATATCTCTGGTTGCTGCAGCGCAAGTAAATCGTTGTCTTCAGCGCGCTTTTTACGCTGATTCTCGAACCACGACTTGACCTGCTTAACCTGCAAGCCCGTCAGGATGGCCAGAGAGAGGACTTCTCCAGTGTAAGGGTAGCCGAAAGTCGTGGCGAAGGCGTACTCCAGCAGCGCGATCTGCTCCCTCGTCTTCGTCTGCGCCTTGGGGCGGCCGTTTTCAGCTGCCTCGCGGTTGGCGTAGTGCCTGCGGTTCGAGGATAGGACTGATTAGCCATCATGTGGGAGCATGGAATGCAAATCTGAGCCTGCGAGAGCTTTGACCTGCATACCTGCCGATTTGTTGAGCCCATTGGTGCGCGAACCACGTTTCTGGGTCACCAGTCATGTCGCCGCATTTCATCGCAACTGAAGTGACCACTCCTCGGCGCGAGGAGGGCTTTTCCGTCATTTTCCATAGCCTATATCTTGACTCGATGATCTCCCATTCCCGTGCGGTCCAATCAGCAGGCGACATTATAAGCGGCTCCAGAGATCAATCAGATAGAAGGGCCTGGATGGAATGTTGTGTCTGTGATTACTGATGGAACTCTAATGAGGTCAATGATTGAAAGAGGGGAAAGTTCGTAAATTTAATTAAGTAAAGTGCGGTGTGGTTGTTCCCCAAGCTAGGAGGTGTGATTTGTTCTCTAACAGAGATCAGCCGGAGTCCCTGGCAAACTTGTTAGGTGTGGCAAGTTGTTGGGAGTACGGAAGAACATAACTCACTTTGGTCCAAAACACTATTTTCATTGACCTATGTCATTCCGCATCGGAGTAGAACGGAGACCCCCCGCAAAAATACATTCACAATGTATGTCTTCATGACACATGAGGTAAATCTCTATCCTATCCTTGCTGCCCATTTCTTGTCAAGACTTCAAGATTCGATTTTAGCCTCTTTCCCTTTTCTCTTCCTCTAATTTAAACGACGTCGGTCACGCTATTTCCCCGCCATCTGATTCTGCCAAGGTGAACGAGGCAGCATGCAATTGTCATTCAAAAGAGAACTGAACTTGAGGCCAGTTTCGGAGGTTTCAGGAGTGGCACTAGAGGGAATTAGGAATGGTAAAGTTAGCGACAGTCTCAATGCCTTCAGAAGGAGGGCTTAGACAAATCAGAACAAACAATTAAGGCTGCATATTCATTTAGTTTCTGTATGTATGACAGAAGGACAGGGCAGTGCTTACGTAAGATCCGATTTGGCCCCCTCGCCGGAGCAGGCCTCAGACCTGCTGCGACTTTGCTCCACTTCGTCCTCCACCTCGACTCATCCATCTGAATCCTGGACTGCAGCTCAGCTCAGCTCAACTCGCCTTGCCTCGCCTCACATGGCCTGACTGGCCCTCTGACCCGCAGGCCAATATTCTCCTCCCCGCGTACTCGTCATGGCCGTCATGTCCGCCGACTCACCACTGCACAAGCTCACCTTCACATGGAGTCCAAGCCCTTCAACGACAGGCTCTGGATCAGACTCCTCGTCCTTCTCGCCTACAAGACCGCCACGCAGAAGCACGCCAACCGGCTGACGTTCACCAGCAAGCCAGGCCGCGTTGTCTTCATCTCGCCAAAATGCTGCATCAAGTCCACCCCCTTCACCAGACTCGCCGAGGCCAGCGCCATGCAATTTGTCGCCCAGCACACCTCGGTGCCCGTGCCCAAGGTCTACTCGGCGTTTGAGCGCGACGGCCGCGCGTACGTCATCATGGAGAGGATAGACGGGGAGAATCTCGCGGAGGGATGGAGCCGCCGGTCGGACGAGTCCAAGGCCAGGATACTGGAGCAGCTCAGGGCCATCGTCCAAGAGCTTCGAGGTATTCAGCCGCCGTCCGGTATTGGCGTCGCGAACGTGGACGGAGGGCCCATATTCGATCACCGCCTGCCCTGTAAGTCGCTGTGGGGTCCCTTCCCCACCATTCAGAATTTCCACCAAGAGCTGCGGGGCGGGATCGCTGCGGAGGACATCCAGGACGACGCATCATCGCCGGGGGTCAAGCACATGGCTTCGTTCCACGAGCAGGCCTGGCAGGGCCCGGTCTTCACACACGGCGACCTGAGCAGCTCCAACATTCTCGTCAAGGATGACAAGGTGGTCGGCATCGTGGACTGGGAGACGGCAGGGTGGTATCCGCCTTACTGGGAGTACACGTCCGCGAAGCACCCGAACCCACAGAACCGATGGTGGCAGGACGAGGTGGACAGGTTCATCACTCCTGCGCCGGAGGCATTGGAGGCCGAAGCCATCAGACGCAGGTTCTTTGGCGACTTTTAAAGCAATCAGATACACTGTAACACATATTTTCCCCATGAACGCCCCGGTGGATACCCGACCCGTCTTTTATCTATCCTACACTGCAGCCGTTCCCGAAGACTTGCTCCCAGGCTGGTCTGTCCCACATCACCGTTATCATCCCCATCAAGCAACGACCTCCTCCCCACGCAGCAAGTCGTAAGTTGCCACGCGGTTCATATCAAACCACCCGGGCGCCGCCCTCCCATCAAAGCGGTGCTCGCGCTCCTTCCTCCTGACGAACCCCATCGCCGCCTCGCCCGCCTCCTCCCACGCGACAGAGGACGAGCGGCCCAGCGCCTTGCCGTCCGCGCGCAGCATCTCGAGCGCCTCGCGCAGCCACCACACGCAGTTCCACCCGGACTGGTTGTCGCGGACGGGCACGTCGCGCAGCAACGAGGCGACCCTCTCGAGGTTGGCCACCTTTCCGATGATGACCCGCACCAGGATCATGGCGGTCGGGTTCATGCCAATGTCGCGCTCCTCGAACACCCAGCGGCTCTGCGTGCGGCCGTCGACGGTGGTCATGGTCTCCTTGACGTGGAAGCGCTTGCCCTTTGAGTTGCTGTCTTCGTGTTTTGGGCCGACGAGGAGGGCCCAGTGGTATCTTTGGGGCAGGTGTTGTCAGAAAATCGTGGGTTGGAGTGTGAAGTGATGTGGCCGACTTACTTGTCCTCGCCGCCGGACATGATGCTATCTCCACCCCTGGCATATAGTGCGATGTACAGCCTGTCCTTGTTGGACGGCCTCATATAGACTAGGACGGCGTGTGGCATCTTTTCGGATAACCAGCCGAAAAGTAACAGGAAATCATGGATATGTAATCCACAAAAAAAAAAAAAAAAGCTGTTGTGCAACAGTCGAGACGACCAGCGGCTGCTGTTGTGGACAGAAAGGCAGTACTATGTGTACAAAAAGAAACGGAAATAATCACGGACGAAAAGGCCGCGGCGACATCAGACCGGTGTCTGTCTGGTGACCTTTCTACTGTCCTGTCTGGTGAGGCCACAATCCCCCTCACGCGGTCACAACCGATAGTATACAAATGTCCGAACAGGCCATCACGCAAGTTGGGGTGTCAGCTCAGGACGATATAAGGGTTTTCACTAGATGTATTCGACATTCTACAACGCATGATAAGCAATCAGGGTTTTTGATCCTGGATATATCGGGATATAAAGTGTTGTGTTGGTGTTCCTAAGCCAAGGGGGGATTGTGACGTGGCGCTGCTATTCTTGAGAGTGATTCCGGGCCTGGGCGGTCGGAGTGAAGAAGAAGTTGTACAGTCCGAGCATCGAGATGGGCAGGCAGGCAGGCCGTGGGGGAGTTGGCCCGAAACAATGTTTCAAGTGTCGGGGAGTTTAGTCGCTGTGATTCGTTCCAAGGTTTCTTCGGGAAGACTGTCCCTGCTCGCCCACGGGTGCGGCCTCAAAGCTTGAATCCTAAAATAAAAAACAAACATGTGCAAGGCCCTGAATAATGACCTCAGTGGTTCCATTTTGACTCCTGTTGCGGTTCCCTCATGGTGTAAAAATGGGTTGCTGCGCCGCTTGATCGCTCCACGCTGTGGCTTATGAGAGAAGTTTTGTGTTGGCGTCTCATGGCCGCGGCACTCGAGGCCTGTTTCCGAATCCTTCGAATCCTCAGCGACGCAGGGATATCAGAACGTGGCGAGGTAAGCCACGCAGAGAGAACGCATATAGAAACAAAAAGAACCAACGACAGGTACGTCGAAAAAAAAACCCAAAGAAAACAAAAAGCCCGTTTGCGCCAGACGGGATGACAATCTATTTCTATTTCACACAACCAACATCTGCGAGGGACTGCACCGTCTGATGTATTCGGGTTATCACCATGGTGTCGTAGTTCCTGAAACACCCGGGTATGAAATGGGATGAGCGTCACATTACACCAATTTATCATGGTTCTCCGAGGTGTCATTCCGAGCCCGCGATTGCATTGGCGCAGTGTATGTGCAACAGACCGGTGCAATCAATCTGCGGCGAACAGGATCAAGAAAGTCAACATCCCACTCTGCCTGCACTCACAAATCGATCACGACATTGTGAGTAGTGTCTCCCTCCAGGCTGATGGACCGTCCCATGTACACTAAGGACCCGACCGTCCCAGCCGGCGCAGTCACAAGACACCGCAACACATCACCGCCTTTGCCCTCCTGAACCACCCAGCTAGCCTCCAGGTCCCCAAACGCGCTCACCACCCGTCCGCTCGCCCGCGTCAGCCCGAGCAAGACCAGCGGAAACATCAACAACCCAGCTCCCGTACCCGAAGCCCTCGACCCCGTCCGCGGGCCGCAACCCCAGCACCCGCTCCGTGAGCATGTACGTGGCCGCGCCGCCCCACGGGTGCGCGAGACTCGTGAAGAGGCCCAAGCCGGGGTCCCCGGCCTGCGAGACGTACTCCCAGCTCGCGCCGGTGGCCGTGGTGTCATTGCCCAGCATCGCGCCCCACAGCGAGCGGACCAGCGCGCCGGCGGTGCTGACATAGCCGCCGGCCTTGGCGGAGTCGTTCGCCGAGGACGCGGCGCCCGCGGCCGTGAACATCGCGTCCAGGAGGAACCCGTTCGTGTTGGGGGATATCTGCGCCGAGGTGGCGTTCGCGGCCGTCGAGTCGCGGTAGCCCGGGGGCAGCCTGAGTTGGGACTCTGCGGCGGCGAGGGAGCGCGCGGCGCGGGTTGGGTCTGCTACGCCGGAGGTTATGCAGAATGCTGTGGAGGCGACGGAGAAGTTGGACGTGTCGGCGGGTGAGAGGGCGTACACGCCCTGCGTGTCGTCCCAGAGCTGCGTGTTGACGGCTTCTGCGAGCGAGTCGGCTGCCGATGTCCAGGTCTGCTGCGAGGTCGTGTCGTTGAGGGCGCCCGCGATCTCGGCAAGCCCCCGGAGAGCCTGTGCCGCGAGGCACGAGATGGCCGAGCCGCCGTCCGTCGGGCCGAGGAACGCGACGGGGACGTGGACGAGCCCGTCTGCCGCGCTGATGGTGCTGAGCAGGAATGAGACGGACTTTTGCCAACGGGGCCACGTGTCCGCCACGAATGCCAGGTCGTTGGAGTGCTGCACGTAGCTGTGGAGGCTGGCGAGCCCGAGAAACTGGTAGTCCACCAGGTCGCCGGGGGCGCTGAACGTCTTGGCCGGGTTGTAGCCCAACGGTGGGTTGATGCTGAGCTCGCCGTCGTCATTCTGGGTGTCTACCAGGAGCTGCAGCGTGCCTCTGGACAAATCGTTACGGGATGTGCTCGTCGCTATGATGCGGGCCGTGTGGTAGAAGTCGCCCAGCCAGACCATCCTGTCGCGCTTTGGTCCGTCTGCGCATACCGAGCCCATGTTGGCTTGGGTCCCGTACTCGGCCAGCACATCTGGCGAGGTCATGCGGTTGGCGTATAGCGCTGCGCCGGTGGCGGTGTCTGTGACGACCACGTTGCGGACGTAGGCTGCCTGGTCCTGCCACCCGCCGAACCCGAAGGTGCCGTTAGTACTTATGGTCCCGCCGACGTGATAACTCGGCAGGGATACGTCAAGTATCTCCTGCTGGCTGACCGAGACTGACAAGCGGCCGCTCTGTGAGAGGGAGGTCGACAGATTGTACCATGTTCCCTCGCTCACGGTAAATGGAACAGGGAAGTAGTCAAGCAGGTACGACCTCACAAGCGACTGGTTGAGAAAGTCGAATCCGTAACCTAAAAGGATGTTGTTCGGCTGAAGGAAGGTCCTATTCGTGTTGACGAATGTGGTCTCCTCAGGCAGGTCGCCGACGAGCATCAGTTGGATCGCCTGAGTTCTTTCTGTGCTCGCAATGCTCCACCAGAAACCTGCCCTGGCAATGTTGGCCTCGAACTCCAATGTGTAGTCGGCAAAGTCGATGGCTTCAAGCGTGATGGCAGGTTTCGTCGATCGGACCAACACTCCTTTGTCCGAGTCCACCTCCCATACCGCGCCCTGCGATCCTTTTTCCACGCACGCGGTGGATACCGCCACCGCACCCAGCTTCCACACCTCGTTGAACGCCTCGTCGCTGCTATCAAAAGTCCCGGGAAAATTAGACACCGCGGTGGGATCTACGGTGGCTTCAAACCCCACACTCTCAAAGGATATACTTCCACCGGTGAGCAGAGTGATTGATTGCCACCGCTGCCCGCCCTGGATTAGTGGCGCAACGAGGCGGCCCAGCTCGGTAACATTGAACGTCTCGGCGCGGAAATGGTTAGCTAGCATGGGCGAGAAAAGAAACGGTCCGTCAGACCAGGGGTCGCTTAGGCCCGCGAATGGCTCGCTGTACCTGACCTCGATCTGGACTGGCTGGCTGAGGTTGGAGACTGCGAAAAATGCATATCCGGCCCGCTCGATCCCGTAGTCCAGGGTGGCCAGTGGTGTGTCCTGGTTCAACGTGAAAGCCGCGAAGCTGTTGGTTTCGACAGAGGGTGTTTGGCCTAGGGCAAGGCCGACTGGGAGGAAATCTGTTGACCTGGTGTTGTTTCGAGACGGTCAGCAAAGCTCAGCGCATATGCATCTCTTCCTCCCGGGACGACCACATGTCGTGTAAACATACCGACGCGTAAGCGCGGCAGCCAAGTCGACCACCGCCGCCACGGAGGCTAAAAGCTTGATCTGAACTGGGCATCTCATTGTCAAAGTAGATGGCTGTCCCTCTCAAGTCCTCTCGGCGAGACAAGAGGGGACAGAAGCATCTGGGCAGCCATCGCGACCTCTCATGCACGATGACTGTCGTGCATTTCAGTGTTGCATTGGCAAAGACAAGCGTGCGGCATACCGGCCATTTGGGGACTGGGTAAAACTGTATGCTTTCGCGTGCGTGTGACATCACGTCGGTTACGAGAACCCTCCAGCATGGCCGCACACCGCCTGCATTTCGCTCAGTGAGACAACCGGCCTTGAGGAACATGACCGACATGTGGGCGCAGATATCGGCCAAGACCTGCATAGAGGGCTGATCTTCGCCGAAGACTAATATGCTCCTCTTGATGGTTCTCAGCTTTGCTGCTTCGCGTTTTCTATTGCCGCGTCCGCACTTGCTGCTGTCAAATCTCCGAGGAGGCTTGTGGTACATGATCCAATATCCCGTGTCACGCCCGCATGCCGGAATTGCTACCCCAAATTCTGCAGTGTATGCCGGGATATGCATGGTGGAAACTCTACATGTGCAGATGCAACCATGAATATGCGGAGTACTGGGTAGATTTCGGTCCGCTTTGTCTCCTGATCGTAATACGACCTGCTTGTTCATTCTAAGCTTTCATTATGGATAGGTGTCTGCCGGTGACATTATTCTGAGGTTTTGTCGTTTTAGCCTCGATACCATCCTCTTCAGAGACCATTTTATCTCACACATGCCACTTACTGGACGAAAGAGCTATCTGGTGGTGCATGTGAGGATGGACACTTCGGGAAATCCGAATCACGATTCCTCCCTGATGAGACGCGAAGACGACAAAAAGACTCAAGCAGCATGAAATCATATGGCAGGACTCATATTGTATTCAAAAAAGCCAAGACTGGATATCTTTCTAATATAAGGAAGCATCTAGTTTTACAGTGTTCCTGACATGACGAATCTAGGCACGAGAAAACTCAGCTTAGGGACTTTCTTATCCACCAAAACCATATCCCATATTTGCCTTGGCAAGTTCATCCCATGTGCAGTGGATATGCTTTCAGCAGCAGCAAAGCCACAATCTTGGCAGGCGAAGGTTCATACTCAATAGCGTTGTCTTTCTTGGCAAGACTTACTTTGCAATCGTCTCGGACCCCCCTAGTGAGTCAGCAGATTCACCATACGGCATAGAGAAATAGAGTTTATGAGATTCTGTCACAAAATGTGACGCCACACTTAGTGGCACCCCTACTGCTTATAATGTGACAGATTCCCACCGGTTGTACGTTTAAACAGGTCAAACCTCAGTATTCGAAGAATTCGGCTTTTTGACCGTGACACTATGTTTGTTCGTCCAGAAACCGGGGTCTATTACAGAATGTCCTTCGCCATCTTGTATTGAGTATAGGCTCTTATGTGTGGAAAACGGGTTCATGGGCGTCATCGACATTTGTAGGGATGCTTTACTCAAGCTGATGCATGCATAAACCAAGAGGCACTCAACTCAACGCTAAAGTCTCCTTCTCATCGCTGAGCTTGTTAAACTGCACTTCTGCGGAGCAATCGGGTCAGCAGTGTCGCACAATAGCCAATGAAGCCAAGTTACACAATGATCAATGTAAGACATTTGTCCTCCAGCTGAAAATCTGTTGAATTGGCTCGCTGTTGCCTGGAATCTCCCTTCTTTCAATTTCCTCCAGCGTCGTTCGCATGCGATCAGGAAGTCATGAAAACCTTAAGTACAGTCGTGGCTACTTGCCTGTTCATAGAAGCCGGAATCGCCGGCTTCATTCCTCCCGCAGCTATACTGAGCACCCGGCAGACGGGCCTGCTCGACTGCCTAGCCAACAAATCCGTACCACTGACCGTCTCCACAAGCGATAACTGGACCGACTTCGTCACAAGCTACAACATCCGCCTCCAGTATGACCCGGTGGTCATCATTATCCCGGACACGACCCAGCAGGTCTCCGACTCGGTCGCATGCGCCTCACTGAATGGCATCAAGGTCCAGGCAAAGTCAGGCGGACACTCGTACGCCTCGACAAGCTCCGGAGGGCAGGACGGGTCGGTGGTTGTTGACCTCCGGCGCTTCCAGGATGTCACCGTCGACGCGAGTACCGGCGTCGCGTCTGTGGGCGGAGGCTTTAGGCTGGGGAACATGGCCCTCGCACTGAATGATAAGGGCCGGGCGCTCGCGCATGGCACTTGTGCTGGAGTTGGTGTCGGCGGGCACTTCACCCTCGGTGGGTATGGGTATACATCTCGGGCCTGGGGCATGGCGCTTGACCAGATCGTGGGGCTGGATGTGGTGCGGGCCGACGGCGCTATTGTTCATGCTTCGGAGACCGAGAACCCGGATTTGTACTATGTAAGTCTTGGGGACTGAAGGCTGACACAAACCACAACACATACGAGACACAGACTGACCAGAGTTTCCAGGCCATGCGCGGTGCAGGCCCATCCTTCGGCATCGCAACGACGCTCTACCTTCAGACTCAGCCGGCGCCGACTGTCACGATCTATTTCGGATTTTCGTTCCCCGGTGCAGCACCTGCCACAAGCATTGACACGGCAGTGTCAACATTCATTCACCTCCAGGACATGGCCCACAACGCCTCGGTCACTGATCGAAAGCTCAGCTTCGGAATCACCCTCGGGCCCAACGACTTTCAGGTCCGCGGAGTCTACCTCGGGCCAGCAAGCGACTTCAACAACACCATCTCGCCGGAGCTCCTGCGCGGGCTCCCCCAGCCCGCATCACCCGTAACCGTACAGGAACTCAACTGGCAGGCGAACCTGGAACTGCTGGCAGGGGGCAGCCTGGTCGTGTCCACGTCCGAACCGTACACGGCGCGGGACAACTTCTTCGCCAAGAGCGTGGCCGTGCCGGAGCCCGGGTTCTCCGCGGCGGCGCTGACGAGCTACATGACCTACATCGCGAACCAGGGCGCGAGCCCGCCGGCGCCCGTGTCGTGGTTCGCGATCGTCAACCTGGACGGCGGGGCCGACAGCCAGATCAACGCCCGCGGCGCCGACTTCTCTGCGTACGGGCACAGGAACCTCATGTGGACGGTGCAGAATTATGGTTACGTCGGGGCCGACCAGACGTTTCCTCAGGCGGGGATCGACTTCGTAAATGGGCTCAATGGGGCCATCACGGACGTCCTGGCAGATGAGGGGGTTGAGTACGGGGCGTATATCAACTATGCGGATCCGACTCTTGGTGCTGAGGACGCAAATCGGTTGTACTATGGAGACGAAATAGCTTCGAGGCTGAAGGGGCTGAAGGCGGTTCTGGACCCGGGCAACGTCTTCGCTCACCCGCAGTCCATTATCCCGAGTGGCTGAGAAGTTGGATATGTTTGACAGTATGTCATGACCTCTCAATAAAAACTCAAACCACGCCTATCACAGTACATGCCTGGTTCAATAGAATAAAAAGCGGTTAAGCCCATATCCTTAAGGGTTTGTGCCGCAGGGTTAGTTTTGTGAGCATTGCACGTTGGCAGTCACCATTAAGTGGCTAGTTTTAATGCGAACAATAAACATTAAAGGTGGCCTGTGCCGATCTTGAGGCTCTGATGTAAGTCAGAGGGGAAGGAGGCTTGGGACTTACTCGTCAATGGCTCGTAGATGGCCCGATTAGGAAACTTACGAGAATCCCCCTGCCGGGTGACAGGGATTCCGAAGTAGGCTAACCGGTAGTACGTGCTGGGAGGAGGGGCAAAGAGGGCCCAGATGTAATTTGGCAGACTTCATCCCAGGAGCTCCAGGAACTGACACTCAAGGCAACTGGTTGCCCACGACCCCACTCTAATAGCTTGTGCAAGAATGGCGGGCGGCCAGTATCAGTATTTCACAAGACACGAGAAGGTATGAAAACACATTTTGTGGCTTGTCAAGCAACACCGATCACGGTTGTCCGTGGGGTTTCCCAGTTCCAAAACTACATGACGCTAAATGGCTGCCTGGTTTATGTGACGGCCTAGAATGGGCAAAAACGATGAGCCCAGGCAACAATTGAAATAGATGCGAAGTCAACACATAGTTGGGTCTCTACAGCAACATACTACGATAAGTTCATGCCTTGAATCAGGCAGCCGAATAATCGAAACTGCCGTGGGCCGTGACTGCTGTTTTGCAGTTAAATTCGGTCAAGTGACCTACCAAACCGCTTGCTTGGGGCCCCCTGCCTACCCACAAGACAGCCTTAACAGCCTACAAACCTGGGCAGCCACAACACCGAGCCCGGCTACACCGACTTCCGACTGCACTGACTTCTCGCTCCACAAGTCACTTACACTTGAAGGCAAAGTGGCACGGTTTCCGAGGAGATGATGCTTTCAGACCACAGTTCTTCGGCGAAATATTTGGTTCTGAACCAGTGTTATAAAGTCAGCTGAGGTCGCCTTCGTCCATACACGAAGCCCATTTGCAGCAGTAGCAGTCCCGACCGACATCCACACCTTCGAATCGCGACCAAGATGGAAGAGTTCCTCGTCCAGAATGCCAAACGATACCAGGATCTGGTCAAGGCCTTCAAGCCTGGAGCCAGCACGCAAACGTCGACCGCGAAACACGCGTCAACAAGCCCAGACATCGTTGTCAGCACGAGGATCCGACCATTATTAGACGAAGAAACGTCTGCTGGATTTTCAGAATCCGTGTTCCCTCGAGAAGCCCAACCCGGAGTCGTGGATGTTCATGAGCTCAGGAGACCCGTCCGGGGACGGCCCACGTTGAAGGTACGCACTGCGATTCTCTTACGCAGAACGCAAATGGAAAGGGGCCAGGCCAAGTTTGCCTGACTAACGCATATGTCACAAGTCCTCCCTCTACCAAGTGGACCGAGTGTTCGGCGCCGAGGCAAAGATCGAGGATGTTTACGACGTGGTGTCACACCTGGTCCCCTTTGCGTGTTCTGGGGGAATTGGCACCCTGTTTGCCTATGGGCAGACCGGGTCGGGCAAGACTTTTACAGTCAGCGGCCTGGAGAAGATGGTGGTCCGGGCTTTGATGCAACGCGATGATCTCGACAAGAACAGAATATTCATCACTGCCATCGAGTTGGCCGGAAACTCGGCTTACGGTTCGTTCCTTTGCACACAGTCCCAATAGTTAAAAGAACTTTTCGAGCAGCACTGACATACGACCCACTCATTGCCAGACCTCCTCAACTCACGCAAGCCCATCTCCATCCTAGAAGACTCATTCGGTGTCACCCAGCTGGCCGGAGCCCAAGAACATGAAGCAAAGTCAACCAACGACGTGCTCGGTCTCATCGAAACCGCAACATCTTTCAGACAAACCCAGTCAACGCAGAAAAACGATGTCTCCTCCCGCTCCCACGCAATCTGCAGAGTGCGGATCCAACGAACCACAGACAATACCGACGAGGACGGTCTTCTCTACCTGATTGATCTAGCAGGCTCCGAGGCAGCCCGTGATGTTGCGTCTCACGGCGCTGATCGGATGAAAGAGACACGGGAGATCAATGCCAGCCTTTCTGTCTTGAAAGACTGCATCCGAGGCAAAGTCGAAGCCGATGCGTTGGCGGCCGTGGCCCTCACCGCCTCAAAGTCCGAGAAGATGAAGATGAAGAAACCGCACGTGCCATTCCGGCAGAGCGCCTTGACAAAGGTGCTGAAGCACGTCTTTGACCCTGCTGGCACACGAATCTGCAAGACTGTGGTGATTGCCTGTGTCAATCCTAGTATCGTCGACGTCGGAGCCAGCAGGAACACCCTGCGGTATGCCGAGATGTTGCATGTCCTCGTGCCCAAGGCCAAGCCCGTCGCTTATAGGGCCGATGTGCCGACGACCTGGTCGAACGAGAAGTTGAGAGAGTGGATCGATAACAATGTGAGTTGTCATGTACTTCACTCGCCTGACAGACTCTAACAGGGACATAGTCCGGAACACCCCCCATCTCGTCATCCCTTCTAGCAGCGACCGAGACAGGAACACAACTCCTTCGCCTCTCAGCCCCCGAGTTCGAGGCCAGAAGCATGAAAACACCCGGTGTGACCGTTGAGCAGGCAAAAGCGTTCCGTTCAAAGCTGTGGCAGATTCACGTAGATTCGCAGCGAGCGGCACAACTGGGCGATGCTCCATCTGCAGCAGAGTCTGACGCGCCTGACACAATCCTTGGTCATCTTACCATGGCTGAACGATCTTCGAGCCGCGAGCTGGACCCAGATTTGGCGATCCTACCGTTCAAGGAGCGCATCAGGCCAGGCATGGTTGTGAGCTGGACTCCACCGCCCGATTTCCCACTGGGGTTGCCTGGGGGAATGAATCTCGCCATGGTGCTGTGCCCGGCAGACGCGGCTGGGCGTGCTGCTAAGAACGTGTTCGGGAGCCAGGTCGACTCGGCGGACGCCGATCAAGACGAGGCGAAGGCAAGGCGCTATTTGTGTGCTTTGATTATGCCAGGTTTCATGAGCGAAACATACGAGATCAACCTCTGGCGCCAGGTGGTTATTGAAACAGAGCAAATGAACGCCGAGGTCTTACTCGAATATGACGCTGGCACAAGATACTATTACATGGCGGTCTAAAGGCAGTCCAGATAAAGCCCCAAGGTTGACAAGATATCAGCCAGAAAATAGAGACATCCTCCTACTTTTACCCATATTCGAAAGCACATCTATGTTTGACACACGTGTCTGTATTCGGGTCATTGGATTACTGTTAGCAATCCTCTTTAGTGGTGTAGTACACTCCAGGTCCTAATGAGCTCACGAGGCTGTTAGTTTCGGAAGTGTGTTTTGTTGGATATCAGGCCATGAATTTGGTCTTACTTACCGTCCGATAAGACCCTCTGAGGTTGGACAGAAGGATCGACTTTGAGTAGTTCGCTCACCTTTTCGTAATGCCGCCTCAGTGTTGGACTTAATGGAGATTGACTGTATCCGTGAACTACACACAAGCAGGTGTGCAGCATTCTTCATGAACAATTGGGATTTGTTGGACGGGACTGCCAGGTAATTCACTCCTTCGGGTCTAAGCCGCTACCGATGCAATTTGGGGACTTGCTTGGGCTTGGAGATTTTACGCCGTGTCACCGACGAACGAAACAGATCTTGAATATGCGCCACTGACAACTCGTCACCCAACAGCCGTTGACGTTGCCCAAGGCGCCAACAACCCTGGTGTGGCTCGACCATTTCGAATAAGAAACACCGTGCTGTACAGTACAGCAGATCGCCACTCTCCAACTTGCATCGACACATGGCTGCTAATATCCTTTCCATTCAAGTCCACAGCAACGTTCGTGTCAATATATAATATCATATTTGTGTACAGCGTAGTCATGGAGCTCTGGCAAATACTCCTCGTGGTTTTGACGTCTGTGCAGCCAGCCTACAGTTGGTTTTTCTTATTTACGCCCTTTGATAATATTCCTCCGAACGCGACGGAAGCGGTGAGTAAGAGACAGTTCCGAATACAGGCTCAGCGGGTAAGCTAACACGATATCAGTGTTCTCGGCTAGGGGCATATAGCCCTGAATCGAACATGTACCCAAATACCACGGAGTACGCAACTCAGTCGGGAGGATACTGGGTCATCCAGAACAGAGAGATACTTCCATCCTGTCGATTCGCCCCTCGCTCCGCCGAAGACGTCGCCTTTGCGATAAATACCATTAGGGCAACCGAGAGCCGGTTTGCAGTCACCTCTGGACGTCACAGCGTTGTTTGGGGTGCCAACGATGCCCAGAACGGCGTGACTATTGACTTGAACGCCCATATGAGGCGTGTTGAGATCGACCAGGTCAACTCTATCGTACGAGTCCAGCCTGGTGCGAAATGGGGGAAAGTCTACGAGTTTCTGGAGCCGCGAGGGTGGATGGTCGCTGGCGGTCGTCTCTCTGACATTAGGGTCGGCCGTCTCCTGCTCGGAGGGGGAACTTCTCACACTACGGCCCGCACAAGGGATGGGCCTCTGACAAGGTCCTCGCCATGACAGTGGTGTTGGCGTCGGGAGAGATCGTCCGTGCATCCTCGGCGTCACACCCAAACCTATACTGGGCGCTCAGAGGCGGTGGGAACCGATACGGCATTGTAGTTGAGTTCGAACTGGCCGCCATCCGCTACGAGAATCCTCTTTTCGCCGGTAGTATATTGCTTGACTCCGAGAACCTGAGCGAGGCGACACGCCGGCTTACAGTCTTCAATGGCAAGGGCAGCCTGGAGGACGATGGGGCGACGGCAACGATGCCCTTCACATGTCGGCAGAAAACCCTCACCGGACTGGTCTATTGTTCCTGGCCGATAGCTACGGGCGCAGCTTTACCAACAACTCCTCGTCCCGTTATACCCACTGCAGGAGCTTGCATCGCTGCCCGTTGGCACCAGCGGCCTCGCTCATATCAACGTTTCGACCTTGCCCGTCAATCTCTTTGCCACTAACAATGAAAGTCGCTATGCGCAAACAGTAATGACACTATCGAACAATGCATCGGTGCTCGAAGCAGCTGTGGACGAATTCGAGCGCCTGATACAGCCACTGCTCGCTGCTGATCGGTCACTGGTAGCCCAGGCAATGTATCAGCCCATCCCTTCCGCCATGTTTCAGCACATGACAGATTCACCTCTTAAACTCACAGACGGGCCGGTCTTTGTTTTCTTCCTCAGCCTTGTCTGGACCGATTCATCTAGAGACATGCGATATGAATCGGAACTCCGAGAGATACACAAATGGGTTGAGCATAGAGTCAGAGTACTCGGAGGTTATCGACAATGGAAGTACTGGAATTATGCCGCGGGCTGGCAGGATGTTTACCAAGACTATGGCGATGACGCACTCGATCGACTGTTCAGCGTAGCTGAGACCTATGACCCGGACCGGGTCTTTTACTTCCTGCAGTCGACAAGCTTCGACTACTTTTAATCTGCCCAGCTGTCCTTGCTAAAAGGACTTCTCAATCTGATTAATGGGACACAAACTATCACTAATGCCATACCATCATATTTCATTCATATTGATAAATTAATGAAGGCCGGAAGCCAGCTTTCTTGGACCCTTTGACCTGGTATTTGACGTTGCCATTGTCATCCCCATTAGCTCAAATCTCCATCATCTGCTGGTAGAGCACTCGGTGACGGCTAGCTTTCGATTGGGAATCAAGCAAAAGCCTGGAAGACAGTGTGGCTTATGACCAGAAGCAGAGGGGTATCTCCATTTCCATTCAAGCGCTATATACTTTCTCAGATAAAAGCAAATTACCAGCGTCACGTCAGGCGACATTATGAGAGCAGCTACAGGAAACATTTCAACGCTGAGTCAAAGCCCACCACCACTGCCTAGACACGAGTTGTGGAAGACACAACGGGGTGCTCGCCCTTGGTCTCGCTGACCTCGTCCTCGTCTCCGGCCAGATGACGCGCCTTGACCGTAGCAGCGTCGCCGCCAACGATGGCGGAGTCCCCGTCGAAGTACTTGGCGATCTCCTCGAGAGGCGTGTTCTTGGTCTCGATGAACCACTTCCAGACGACAAAGGTCTCGAAGGCGATCCAGCAGACGTAGACGAGGTAGTACTTCCAAGTGATGGCCTCCAGGGCGATGGGGTTGACATATTGGTTGAACCAGAGGGCGATATCGACGAACAGGAACATGACAGTGAGACCCTGGGGGTGAGATATTCATTAGCTTTGGATCTCTTGAAGACGAAAGAATGGTGTGGCGGAGGATGACATACCTTGGCGCGAATCCTGTAGGGCAGAATCTCCGTTGAGTACGAAACGAGGAGACCGCAGAATCCCAAGTTGTAGAAGATGAAGTAGATGAAAATGAAGACAATGACTGCATGGCCAGCTGCAGTGCTCTCTGTCTTGGCGTACTGGGCGGATCCGATAGTCTCGACGATGAAGGATACCAGCATGCCCACGCAGGATGTGAGGAACAATGGACGGCGACCAATCTTGTCGACAAAGAAGCAGATGCCAACGGCTGAGACGAGCTGCACGATGGAGAGGTATCCGTTGATCTCCAGCTTGGTCTTGTCGTCCGTGATGCCGACCGTCTCAAGGACACCGGAAAGGTAGTACGAGACCAGGGCATTGCCAGACCACTGGGAGAACAGGCCAAAGCTGACGAGGATAAGGAGACGGTGGCGGTTGCCGGGCGTCGACCAGAGCTCACTCCACGCGGTCTTCTCGTACTCCTGCTCGAGCGAGATGGTCTGTTGGATCTCGTGGTACTCAACGGCGACCAGCTCGTCGTTCTCGTCACCCGAGGCATGGTACTTGGTCAGGATAGCCTTGGCCTTGGCGTGCTTCCCCTTGGCGATCAGCCACCGCGGTGATTCCGGGACGAACCAGATGAAGAAGATCTGAAACAGTGACGGGATGGCCTGCAGAAGGCAGGGCACGCGCCAAGCCCAGTTCCCAACGATATTGTTTGTACCGAACGATACCCAGGCACCGATAAGGGAGCCGAGATACCAGAGGGTGTTGTAGATTGTCGAGTAGATGGCGCGGTGCTGCGGGTGTACGAGCTCGGCGATCAGCAGGGGTGCGGACCCATGAGCGATGGCGATTCCGAATCCAAGTAGAAGGCGACCAATGATGAACATGGCGATGTGGAAACCCATGGACAGCAGAGCAATGCCCACGAGCATGATTGCGCAGCCGATCACCACTCCCATGCGTCTGCCGAGGAGATCTGCACAGTACGGGACGATAGGTATGGCGAGCATCGAGCCCATGGCCATCGAAGCCGTCAACAGGCCCATGATGGAGGGGCTTGGGTGGTTGAAGTAGTCCTGCCACTGGGTCATGCTCTGCAGACCGTTGATGAGGGACCCATCGTATCCTATGTAGAGTTGGACGGTTAGAACCAAATCACTCAACAGCCAATATCATTTTTGGCCTTACCATTAGTAGCCGAAGTCAGCATGGCAGCCCACAGGAAAAGGTAGAGAGACCGCATATACGGTGTCCTCCACCAAGTGATCTTGGGCCACTCGCGACCCGCAAGGGTGAAGGTTGTCTTGGCCATGTTGAGAGGCTTAGGCGGACTCTGTGAAGATGGCAGTGGTGCAGGACTCCCAGATGTTTTCACACACGTTCCACCAAGTCGAGGGGCTCGGCTGGAGAAAACGAGCTGGAAAGCGAAGCTCAGAAGAGTGAACTGGATGTCCTCGATGAGTATCTATATACTTTTCCTCTGGGGCCCGAAGTTTGGAGGCAAGCTACCGCTCGGTCCAGAACCCCACCGGTCATCCCTTGCGCCGACCACATGGTAGCACGCGAGGATGCATCAGCGCAGGGGTCGTCGAGTGTGGCACCCAATAGCTGCTGCTGGATCTCTTCCCCGTCGGAGCTGGAACGGTTCGCGTAGAAGGCATGCGGAATGTCGGTAGGCGGTCCGATGAAGCGATCAGCTCTTCTGGTCAACCAATTTTCGCGAGCTCTCCCGCCTTCCCATGGCCCCCAGACGCTTCAATCCTCGAGCAGCTGCCTTGCGCAGAAAGAAGCATGCAGATTGACGCCGAGGGAGGGCCGTGCCGCGGACGGCTCATGCATTTATTTGAGGTTTGTTTGACATGCTCTTTGATCTCAGTGGGCCAGAGTTGCATATTTCATCTATTCTGACCCTCGCGTACTCTTCACGGTGTCACTCAAAATTCTATGAATATCACCGTCCAGATTGGGACATTCCCAGCCCACTGGTGCAACGGTGGGTCCGATCAGACATCCTTGACTTCCCCGGATTTCAATATCGGAACAATACTGACCCCACTCGCACCTCAACCTTGAATTGAGGGTGTTCTCCTCTTGGGGAGGGGGATGGCCGACCGGGGCTAGAATGGCCAATGCATTCAGCCTGAACTATTTACCCAGGGTCTAGCTGTTTGCGGCAACGCCTTGCAGGCCCAGTCATCCAAAGACAGGTGGATTTGAACCATTCATCGACTGACTGCCGCATGAGGTACGGCGGGCTCCAGCAGCTGACAACTGTTGTAGGATGATGTCTCCCAAAATCCTCCAACGACCAGGGCGTGGGAGCCCTCAGGTTGTGCCCCATCAGGCACGTCAACCTCCTAAAAGCTTCTCGTTAGAGACATCGCAGTTCGTGCAGTGATTGCACATGTTCCTGAGAGAAGCCGCTGGCTAGACGGTTTCTACGAACCACAAGGCCCCTAGTCCGGTGTCTCGCCACCTGTCAGATCTAGCCAAGATCCCTGAAGCAGTTCCCCGGATCCGCGACTCCACTTTCGTAGGTTGACAAGCTTCAACTCGGACACCTCACACTTGGCACTGAAGCTTGACCCGACCTGTTGGTACTGCCTAGACTAATCGCTTGGATCTTGAGTTGTCACGAACTGCTATATTTCAAGCTTTTATCCGGCCTCCCATTTCTGGACTACTGACGGTTAAATCGCTGCGGCTGCGATAAGCGTGCGCTTGGAACAAGCGCCGCCTAGGGTGATGGGACGGTTCGTCTGATAAATATTATCACATTTTGTGATAGGCGGTACTAAACGTAGCAGCAGATAGCCTCGCGCCAAAATAGGGCCAACGGGGACAAAGACGGCCTGATCAAGCTGAATGAGTAGGAACTTGACTGGTAGTCGTTTCATTCAGGCAACAAGCACTCCTTGGTTCAGGATTTGTCAAGCCACGGACCAAACTCTAGCCCACTGACACTGAATTTCGGAACAACGGAGCAAATAGCTCTAGAGTGACATGAAAAAACACAAGCAGTCCAGACTTCTCTTTCTACGTATTACAAGACTTTGACCCTGTGCGGGCCGACGATGCAATCGCTATTCTAATTAGACTCAAGAAATGAAGAGAACTTGATGTTACACAACACTGTACAGCTGTGAAAGGTGTAATGTTTTCGGCCCGTGGCCCCAGCAGATGGGAAACAGGCCCGCGGAAGCTTCTGCGCCTGCAGCCGTGCGGCAGAGCAGCCAGTGATAGTGCGCGGATCAGGTCGTACAAACTGGGCGCGCCCCGCAGGACGGGGCAGATCCTCTTGTCCATGCAATCCTCCTTCCTCCTACCGAACCACATGACTTTTCAATGAGCGATTAATTAGAGCTCAAGGTTCGCACCCCAGCCTAAGACCATGTGCTCCGGCTCCTACATTATCCGAGCTCGGAACACAGAACACACAGCTATACTTTCACGATCGAAGAGTATAAAAAGCGTAGAATGTTTACTTGTGTTCAGATGTCCGCTATGTTTAAATGAAGTGCTTTTATCTCCACTGAAATTGACAGCATTCCACCTGACATGAACAAGGAATTTGAACTTTGAACTGGTAGTGATTGTGTTGTTGCTCAGTAAGCGTGCTTTAGATGTGCACGCCACGGCCTTCCTTCAACTGGCAATAGATTCACTGTGCCACTCATTTGTCTCGAATTACAAATGACTATTCGCGGATGGCCACTTAGTCGTGGTGCACTCGATTTCAATATCAGTACCCAAAGGAAGTTCAGCGACTCCAACGCACGTCCTTGCCTGCAACCACGACGATCAGAACTCGAGATCCCATCTGCTCTGCTCCAAGGGGTACTTGCCGGCTTCAATCGTGGAAAGAAGGCAACGTAGGCATCGTTTACCTCAGGAAAGTTTTTTTTAGGTTGGTGAGGTAAATGTTGACTTTGAGAATATTATCAAGACTTGAGCCTGCTGCCTCAAGCACGGCACTCAAGTTGAGCATAATTCGCTTCTGGATAGCGATTATCGAATGAGCGTCGAAACTTAGCGAGGCGGCTGGTCACAAACCGTTCTATCAGCAATAGACCCTTGAATGAGGGAACCCGTTTTAGGGTCTGTGGCGACCTGTCCGGAACAGGATACAAGATTGCCAAAGGTGAGGGCCTGAGACAAGAACGGCAGCGGTTTCGGCGTGTCGGGGGAGAAACTGCCTTAGCTGACATTGTGACAATGGAAGTCCAGACGAAGAAGCAAGAAACGTAGGGAAAGGCCAGTCATAGATTTTGAAAGTAGCACTCTTTTTTTTGTGCCTTCAATCTCTGGTGTAGTCTTTATTTGTAAGGAGGTTTTCTGGTCTCTTGTGGGGTTCGTGTTAGTCAACAATCCTTAGTCACTGCGACGTTACCGGCAGCCACGTAAGAATTGGCCAGTCATTGCCGGTGGCCCTTCTTATCTACACTATTCTCCATTCGGACGTCACCACAGGGAATGCGCTCGGTACTGTTCTACGTTCTCAAGATAAATTCAAGTACAACATCGCCGGAATTCATCCAGCGGCGCGGAAATAGATCAAACTCTTCAAGGCCTACCTAGTGTAACTTGCGCATTCGCGAACGCTCACAGCTATACATTCAAAATGATCTCCAAAACCAACCAGAGGTTGATCCTCAACCTGGACGACATCAAGGCGGCAGCGGCGGAAAAGCTTCCTACTAAAGCTAGAGGTAAGGTTGAGCATTCCCCGACGACCTGAAACGTTTTTCTGACAGTTTCCGTTACTGCCAGAGTTCTATGAAGCTGGCTCTGCAGACCAAGTCACGGTGACGGAGAATACGACGGCCTACGCGAAATATCGACTGCGGCCGCGAGTCCTTGTCGACGTGTCCAAGGCAGACACCTCAACAACGGTATTCGGCCAAAAGATATCATTTCCCCTCTGCGTATCGCCCGCCGGGATTCAGGCAATGGCACACCCCGACGGGGAGCTTGCGACGAGCCGGGCGTGTGCCAAGCGAGGTATCCACATGGGTGTCTCGACCTACTCTAACTACTCCGTCGAGGAGGTACGAGCAGCTGGGCTCGAAGCCGGCCCTCTGCAGCACGTGATGCAACTATATACGATGCAAGATCGCTCGGCCCAACTGCGAATCATCCGACGTGCCGAGGAAGCTGGTTGTGCCGCTATCCTGTTGACAGCCGACAGTCCAGTGCTCGGTGTACGGTACAACGAAAGCAGGAACAACTTTTTGATCCCGGAGGGTTTGGATTTGCCCATGCTAGGGATGCCGTCGGAGGCTATACATGCTCAGACTCATCACCACGAGGGGTTCACTGCTTTCGCCTCTGACTCACACTCGTGGGCGAGGGAGATCCCTTGGCTGCGAAGTGTGACCAAGCTGCAGATTTGGATCAAGGGCGTCCTGACGGGAGAAGACGTGCAGCTCGCGATCCAGTATGGCTGCGACGGTGTGCTTGTGAGTAATCATGGAGGCAGGCAGCTTGACCAGACGCCGGCCACCATCGATGTCATCCAGGAATGTGTGAAGGCCGCCAATGGAAGGATCGACGTTCACGTCGATGGTGGGGTTCGAAGTGGCACAGACATCTTCAAGGCTCTGGCTCTCGGTGCCAAGTGCGTGTGGATTGGTCGACCAGTGCTCTGGGGACTCGCGGTGAGTGGCATTTGTCTGTATCAACGAGGAGTAATAGTAGCTAACAAAGGTCATTTCTCCCAGTATGACGGACAATCAGGAGTCACCAAGACTCTTGATATTCTTCACGATGAATTCAGACAGTGCATGCAACTATGTGGCTGCAACAGTATCTCGGACATTACACCCTCCTCACTTGGAGTCGTCTCAAGCAGTGGGCCGCTTGCGAAATTGTGAGTCCTAAATCTTTTAGTCTGGTCGAGGCAGAAGAGAATACGGAGACACGCTAGACAATAAATTCAAAGCTTACGAAATGAAACGTTAATTGTCATCAACTCTCTTGATTGATCGTTTGGCCCTCAGAGGCTCATTGTACATTTCCCTCTCGTCTAATTCACAATCTCTTTATTCCGCCATATTCTCATGGTTGACCACAAGCATTGTTCTTTATCAAACTATCCAGTCATGTCTTTCAAGCCTATTTGGGATATTTGCCCTCACTTCTTCTATGCCTCTATAGGTGATGCTCTGCATTCAGCATTGACACACCAGTCTGCAACATTCCGATCGATGGCCATAGTCTCATGCCTTGGTAAACTCGGGCATGGTATTTTTGTCTGAACCTTTGGTACGATGGCAGCACCCGTGGCTAGGATGTCTGCACCAGAATCGGATAGTTCTGGATACTGAATAAACAGACTCGGATCTAGCTTAAAGCGCGGGACTCCATCATCCAATCCAAGCGATCTGAAGGCTCGACGTGCGTACGGAGGCTGGAACAAACTTTCGTCATTGGGGGCAGGCAGGGAGAATGGCAGGTGGCTGTCAGTGACTTCGGGAGCAAGTAGTTGCTCAGGGTCGAGGCCGGCATTCTGGGCAGTGTCATCCTCGATGTCGTCTGTTTCAAAGGCACACACCAAATCCCAAACGCGGATATAGGCACGGCCAGCCAGGCCAAGCACAAACTTATCCGCTTCTACCTCCGCCACGTAAGCGGTAGCAATGTCGCAGATTATCTGGTCCAAATACGGGTTCGCAGAGTGTAGAAGAATGAGCTTATCCCTGATGGTTAGAAATGGGCACCAGTCGATAACGGAAGGGCAGTCCTCGAGTAGCTGAAGTGCCGAAAGCCTATAGTTCGCATGCATTCTTGAGTAGATCACTCGGGATCGATTTATCTGCCACAGGAGAAGATCGGTGATGTTTTCCTGCTATTGAGTCGCCGTGTATCAGTCAAGTGCTGCAGGTCGGTTAAGACTATGGAAGTTTGACAACATGACGGTGGCAGAAAGGCGGAGGCCATCCCTGAGCCATGTTAATTCATGACACCACGAGCGAGATTGGAGCACGACTTACGGTGTCTCTATATCCGTTCGAATCTGGGTTACTTTGCGCCATTGCATCTTGAGGCAGCTTCTTATCATCCGCATGTGGTCGGAAAATGAAGATTTTTAATTGGCAAGACCTTGAATAATCTTGTCCGCCCTGGGACTCTGAGTCTGAAAGCTTGCAGGGCCCATCTGGTGCCCGTGCGTCCAAATGCCCGGTAGGCTCCTGAAATCCGGGAGACTACCCAGAAGGCCCACCTGTCTTGCAAAACCCAATCTTGGTCAGAGACGTGCCCTACAGTACGCTTGAGGCCGATTTCATCCCCCAAGGGGGCGGTCCTGTAATCGGGCGCGGATTTGTCGAGACAGCCGGCGAGCCCTCACTCCACAAACCTGGCATCGATGTGCGGTTTGAGATCTATTGGGATATTGAAGATGAAATGATCCACAACTTGGTCAGGGAGTGGTCGTGCTCCTTGGAAAAGTCTTCACACGACTGGATAAAGGCGCTTAATACTGGCGTTTGTAGAACACAAATGCCTGGATCATCATACGCGAAGGAGTTCACGACGCCTGATGGAATTTAGAATGCAGTGGCTTAGTGGGTAAACCGTGGGGTGCGTGTAGAGGGGAAAAGGGGGCTTTGAGGCTGCGAGATGCGACGGCTGCAAGTACGGAGGTGCATAGTGAAATTTCATTCAGGCGAAAAATCCAAATTCTAAAATTATAAAGAAGCGAAATCTTTCATAAACTAGTCTGTTACTCTTCCTCATTAGGCTTGACCCTTGTACTCAATACACCGTCCTTATAGCTCGACTTGATGTGTAGCCGCCCGCCTCCACACCCCTGCTCCTCGAGGTTCAAGTCCACATACCTGAGGTGCGGCAAGGCTCCAGAAGAGACATCGAGAATCTCGTAGAATTCGAGGAGATGCTTGGCCAATGTCTCCGTCGTGCCTCGCATGTCCTTCCATGTCCTCTCCGCCACGTGCACCCTTCGGTCCCGCGTTACATGGACTATAGAGGGGTCCCCTTGGATGTCGATGTCGAAGACTGGCTCTCTGAGGTCACGTCAGCACAAGGCACTCCACCAGCCCCAACCACTAGGATTGCAAAGTCATTTACTCACACATACACGCGACTTTTAACGTGATCGGCCCAATAAGGCAGCTCCTGTTCGTCGTCCGCGCGCGTGAAAAGTTGCAGGATCAACCGCTCAATCTTGTTGCCGAAGAAGCGGCTGACTATGCCAACAAGCTGCTCTGGAGAGTTGAATTCGCCCATCCTTCCAAATACCGTCAACGTGGTTGGTTCCGAGAGGACATGCTCAAGGGTCTCGGCCTTCGGGTCGCAGTGCACGTCTCTGAGGAGTATTGGCTCGTCACCGTCCTTGGGGGGGTCCTATCGACCCTAGTTCGCCGCGGTAGTACTTGAACAGTATATGTGGCACCAGCGCCACGCAGAACTCGGCGGCGCGGGCGCGGGCCTCGCGGCAGACGGCCGAGATGGGGAGGCAGTTCACGAAGGCTTCGAACTCGTCTTGCTCCAGGCGCATCTTGCGCCCGTCGTAGGGGTCACGGATGTGTACCTCGAGGCATGCGCGCGGCCTGCCGGGCTTCGAGCTATCGTGACCGACAAAGGCCTGGCGGCGGCGCGAGGACCAGGGGCTATAGGCCCGGGGCGGGAGGCTGTCCGCGATGTCCTTGACTTGGGCGGCGATGGCCTGCATCCAGATCATGGTCCTCAGCTCGGGGACGAGCTCTGGGAACGGCGTGAACGTGGTTGGCCCCATACTCGATGTATCCGGTTTGTCGTTTGATGTGAGGCAAGAGGATCACGTGGACTGGACGTTCGACGTGAGAACCTGATCTATTTGATCGCCCTCAATTTATACAGCGGCGTTGGTGGGCCGTGTGGGGCTGGTGCCTGTGGCACTGGCCGAAGTGCGGAGAAATCTACTCATAGTTTGACGGCAGGCTGAACCATCAGGCAATCATACTGTAATCCAACAAGATACATCGGCTTATTATTCAGGAACTTACCATTTCCCAACGACACCTACCAGCAAGTCAGGTGTACGGATTAGCTCTTTGCCTTAGCAACCTTACACATTGTACATAATATTCTCTTTGTCTTTAGTCATCGTCCCGCCTCCTTTTGATTCATGTCAACATGTCGATGGAGCTGTTCAAACAGCAAATCAGCCAACTAGTTTCTGGAATGGATCTATCGCGGCTGTCTGAAGCTCTCAATGGGTTTCTTGAGCCGTATGTGCATGCTCGAAGACACTTCAGTAACTCCGGTCGTTCCCTTTCCATATATCGAATGCATTTGACCATCTTGTGCACCTAAGCAGTTTCCCTTCAACATCCACGAGCCCACGTTCCATTCTACACATCAGGCTTTCCTCGTTACAATAATATTATGACCTTTCCAGAGACATTGAGAAAGGTCTGCTGAGTCGGTCATGCTGTGGAGACATGCGGGCATAAAGGCTCCGGCCTCTCACATAACCACTGCCATGCGATCTTTGTGGACGCAGACTTTCCCCAGGAATCTCTCACCACCACCATTAGAATACTCCAGGCAGCCATATTAATCTGCCTTTGCAGGGGTGTTGATTCGATCTTGCTATGCACGTCAGATCTGACTAATTTCCGGCCTGCGCTTGATTTCAGCTGATACCAGCTACATGTTTCCACCAAGTATCTACTTGTACATAAACAGCGTGTGGCACCTTGAATGCTGCGACAAGCCAACAGGCGTGTAACCTCATTTCTGCTCGAGGGCTTCGTTTGCCGAGTGCTGCGATTACATCATGGAGTCTGATTTGTTCGACGACCAGTCCACCGTCCACTACCCCAAGCTGGATGCTGATTCAGCTCAGATCCGTCTCATAGTGTTGGCACGCGGTGCGCTAGACTCCCCGATCCACTGCACTTATCGAGTGGTCAGCCTGGACGACGAAGCACTCTCGTACGAGACCCTCTCCTATGTTTGGAAGGACGAGGCCGGTACAGCGCCGATATGGGTCGAGGGCAAGGCGGCGTCGGTCACCCGGGGCCTCTTTGGGGCGCTGGAGCAGCTTCGGCTCGTGGACAGCGAAAGAACTCTCTGGATCGATGCGATCTGTATTAACCAGAGCAACTCAGCCGAGAAGACGCAGCAGGTGGACATGGTGTGTCGCATTTACAGTCAGTGCAGGCAGTGCAACATCTGGCTGGGTCCACTGGGCGAGATCTCGTTGGTGGATGCGAATCTTGCCATGGACACGATCGCTTGGATCGCTGGGACATGGTTGACACTCCCGCGTTCCTCCAAGACGCCCCCCGACGGCGTGGGGCGGCCGGAGCCTTCAATGCACTCCTCACAAGGCCGTGGTGGATGCGCATTTGGACAGTGCAGGAGGTCATCCTCCCCCCTCGGCGCTTCATATACTGGGGGCCCTGCAAGCTGCCCTGGGACCTGCTGGACCGCGCCTCCGAGGCCGTGATGGACGACACCCACATCAAGCCGCCGGCCGATCTACAGAAGTACGGACGCGACTTCTACGCCTCCGGGGCCCTGGGCCACCTGACGGCGCGGGTGCGAAGCATGCGCATCACTGTCGACGAGCACCCGCTGTACCTCTTCTGGCGTTGGCGATTCCGCCAGGCAACCGACCCCCGTGACAAGATATACGCGCTCCTGGGGATGCGCCGTGATGTGGAGCTGCCCAGCGTGCCGTCGTGCGACTATTCCGTCGACGTGAGGACGCTGTTCGGGCGCGTGACGGTGGACCTCATTAACATGTGCAACGACCTGAACCCCCTAATAGGCCGCAGGGGCGAGCCTTCAAACTTGGCGGACCTGCCCTCCTGGGTCGTGGACTGGTCTGGCAGCATCCCCGGCCAGGGACGCTCGGAGTTCTGGGCGCATCAGACGCGGTGGACAAGCCGTGATTACTGCGCCGATAAGGGCACATTTGGGGTGGGAGACGGGCTTCGGTTTGCCGACGAGCGGACACTGTTGTTGGCGGGATTATATGTGGACAAGATCGCTGTTGTCGAGCAGCGGCAGACATGGGGCCAGGGCCACGCCGAAGGATTTCACGAAATCCTACTGGGTGGAGCAGATCGATGGGGCGATCTCATAACGCGCTTTCAGCGATCGGGTGCTGCCACGGGCCATGCTGCTGAGCTGCCTGGCAACTGGATGCAGGCGTTCCTCGGGCTCATCACAGGGAGACTGGTCCCGGGGGACCCAGATGACGGCGACCAATATCCAGATGACTGGACCATGGATATGTTGCGGGATCAGGCATTATTTATAACACAAGGTGGGAAATTTGGGCTGGGACCGCTGAATGCCCGCCCAGGACAGCAGCTGTGGATCGTCGGTGGGTGCAAGCTCCCCGTGATTCTGGACACGTGGCCGAGCGGCATCATTGGGGAGGTGGTGGATGAGGAAAGCTGCAGGGACTTCACATGGGTGAGCGAATGCTTTGTGTACGGTATAATGAAGGGAGAGGCCGTTGAGGGCCATGGAGACGAGCAGGTTGATATCAGACTGCATTGAACCCCTACCCAAGTAGGACTTGCCGTGTTCACTGTTTCCTAGTCAACTCCGTGCCTTGGTGCTCGCTATTCCGCTCGAATGACGGGGAAGACCTTTTGGGCCCGGTGATCGTCGACTAGTTGTTATAAGTTGCCAACGCAGTGCCAAAGATAGGTGAGCTTTCTCGCATGCGTGCCTGAATGGCCAGCAGAATGTATAGCTACGGTTAGCGTGAGACCATGTAAACGAGGCCCGAATTTCGCATTCAGAAGATTGGATGGCTTTCTCGGTTTGGAAACACAAAGATAGCAATATCCACACTCTATACCGCCGAGGACTTGAAAGTAGTGGCGGCGTCCCTTGTGTTCTTGATCCGCTGGGAAATAGAGCTCGAAGATAGGCCCTTCGGTCGGCGTTCCAGGGCCTCAGGTGCGACTTCTTCGGCAAGCTTCAACGCGTATCGTGTATTGTTGATGGCATGCCAACAAGACCCTGCGGGTGTGGAGGCACTTTTCAACATTCCAGCCAGTCTCTTTTATGTATCCCATCTGTATGGCTGACACTCGTTCGTCGCGTCACAATTCGTGGCGTCTACTTTGATTCGATAGCACTAGCTGGGCATTCAAAGGCCTTTCGGGCCTTCGGATGGCTGTAGGGATTGCAGAGGATGTGGATAAGCCTCCCTCCATCCACCAAAACAACTGGCTGTCTTCAATGCATGGCTCCAGTGTGTCAAGTTGATCGCACATGATCGCACATGACGGTTTCTCGTCGATCATTCTAGCCTAGGTCATGTGTACTCTGCGTGCTTGCCAGCCCACAACAATCAGCTAGCCAAGCTCATGGCCAATGTGAAATAAAATAGAAGTCAATATCCATGGCACTCCAACGCCCAGGCAGAATGGGATTGCTGTTAAAAGGGACCGTGATAAAAACAGTTCAGGATCGGGAGGCCATGAGAGAAGCCCAGGCGACCAAAGGACCGTGATAAAAACAGTTCAGGATCGGGAGGCCATGAGAGAAGCCCAGGCGACCTGCCACTTTTTAATACAGGATCCTAAGGGCCTGAAGGCATATGTGAGATCCTCGAATAGAAGATATCATCATGGTCTGATGCTAACTCCTGTGTCGTAGGCCAGGCCAGGAACTTTTGGCAGCAGCAGCATTAGTGGCCAGGGCGTCGAAGTATTCCGCCTAGACCTGCAGGCCATCCCTAATAATAGCTGGTAGTGCCAGAGCCGCTTGCCTTGTAGAGGCAAGTCAGCAGACTAAACCTTCTCAGCCCCTTTGCGAAGTAGTATCGGGGGATGTGATCACTCCAAAGACCCACCCCGTTGGAGTCCGTCCTTAGGCTAACATCGCCCCACACTCCGTCGATCCTCCGCAGCGCATCAAGCAAAGTGTTAGAATTAGCATTCCTGAACTCAGGACTCGCCTTCATCACTGGTCGTCTGGAGGAAATCGGTCGACATCAGGGCTGCTGACGTACCCTGGATGTTTCGGGCCCTGTTGCCTGGTAAGCATCTAGTCTCTAGGTGGCCAGCTCTGAAATTCCTACAATGGTAGAATTAAACGTGATGCAATGGAATGACGACAGAGGGCACGTTCTGAACTTCTGCTGGTTATTTGTGGTACCCTCCTGGTCGTTGAAACGTAGACACTGCCTTTCAGGCGGCCGTTACCCCAGACCCGGTTTCTCGCCATCGCGCGCAGGCGGCCAGCTCGTCAGGCCGCTGCGGTCGGAGGTTCTAGTACACGTAATCAGCCACATACTAAGACACTAAGTATTGAGCTAAAGTGTATCCTCCAAGCCCGAAGGCGTCGGCGGCTTCTGCCGCTCGGCGCCGGAGGATGGGCTCTGCCTCCTTGTCAGATTCTGACTTCTGGCCGGGATTCGGGCCCCATCCGCTGTTAATCATTCACGCTCCGTCGGCCGCCTGCCCATACGAATAGCATCAGGACGTTCTGCGACCGCACAGCATGAGGCTATCACGCATCTCCTCAAACCATTCCTGGACTTCTGAGGTCTGTCAGCTTACTTGGTAGACCTGCCCTGAAACTGAACGCCATGGTGAAGGAAGCATCACACCGTTCCTAAACTCCTCCCCGGGTCCCCGGAATCGATCGTGATGGCGTCAGGGCAGGTCAGTTTGGTCAGGAGAGGAAGAATCATGTTCAAAAATTCGACTGCCTTTACTCTATAAAATGAGCTCGAGTTCCCAGACTCAATGCTGTTTAATTCATCCTCATAATCAACAACTACTTCTCTTTCCAACCTTCAGCTCTTCTCAGATTCTTCAGGTACGCCGGCGTACTATAGACGACAGTCACTTTCGCAACACTTTACAACTCATCTAATTTCAACCCATCCTCAACCGTCAAAATGGTTATGTGCTCGTGCGGCCGTGACTCCTCTGACTTCGCCGGATCCTACCGCGAGCAGATCAGCTGCCCCAAGCTCTCCGGCCAGAAGTGCCCCCGCTGCACCTTCGTCAGAGGCGTGTGGGCCAAGTGCTGCACCACCGGCAAATGCGACGGGCGTGGCAACGAGCTATGCCATACCTGCGGTGGCAGCGGCAAGAGGGCCGGCAACCTGGTCCTCTGCAGCAAGCGCCATGACAAGAAGGAGGGCAAGATGGACAGGAGGAGGAGGTAAATGAGTTCGGCTTCCGGCAGTCGATTCTCCAGTGCCGGGGTGGCGGTGGCGGAGTTTGGGGGGGGGGGTTATCATTTGAATCTCTGCAGGACAGAGCAGCACTGGGCGGCGTCTGACTGAGATGCTGTCAGGCATCACAGGTGGCAGATCTCCACACAATGAGATCGGGCGGATAGACTTTAGGGTACACACAAATAAACCAACTCTGAGAGTTAACACAATTTCTCGTATGGCGAATGTTACTGCCTGCCAGGAGCCTCACATATGCTTCCTCACATACAGACGCACGCAAAAAGCCTCCCTCAGCGAGCCTCCCCCAAGCCCTCGTCAACTGATGCGCTGAAATGTGGTCCGAAGTCAGGCGCGGCTAGCACGTCTGGCGACTCTGTGTCTATGCTCTGACGCATCCTCGTTGACTCGCGTAGAGATTGGAGCACAGATTTCTCAGATCCCTCCTCGACGACGAACGCGTACCCTTGATGAAGCTGCTGGAGGTGTACAACCATTTTGGAGGCTGTATCATCCATAGCACCCAGTTCAATGGGAGCGGGTTTGCGCGTCGTACCCCCATCGCGTTGATCCTCGTGCCACAGCGTGTGAAAGAACAGCACCAAGCCGCTGTGTTTCCAAATGGGCTGGGTCTCCCTCAGCCTCTGGCTGTCATACAAGACGAAAATAAATATGAGTCCAGTCCATAGAACAAGAAACATATGCAGAGTCAACCAAGGCCAGTAGACCTGTATACAGACTGCAGACCGCGTGACGGTCCCCACCGCCCTACCAGACTCCGTATTATACGCGTTCATGCCAGTCATCCTCATGCGGGATGTGATAGCCAGACTTAGCTTCTCGAATGCGGCAGATACACTCTCCAGGCTGGCATTTCCTTGGTTGAATAGCGGCTTATACCACCATGCATCAAAACAGACGATCCAGTCATCATCAGTACCCCACTCATCGACTCTGCACGATGTCTGGAAGATATCATGCAGGTACTGGAAGATGCCCCAACCGAAGTGCTCGTCGATGCCGAAGGTACACTCCAGTGGCACTTCCACTGACTCGTTGTTGACTATGAGCTTTGTGAAGTTGCGACCCGGAGGATGCGCCGCCTGGGAAAGGTTTGAGGTGATGTACATCTGGCCGTCCAGAAAGCAAGGATCCCTAATAATTCTGTAGGACAAATCGTCGAATACATCCGACTCGTCGGCAGGGACCATGTCTTTGTTAACCGAGATAGTCTTTTCTTCCAGCGCTCCATTGCGGATGATTGACGCATAATTCCTGACACAGATGTCCATAGAACAATTTGCAGCCACAAGACCAACTTTACTCTGCAAGCCTGGGAAACGCGAATAGTACGAGCAGTCGACCTTGTCATACCGGTCCGAGGAGTCCAAATAGCTGGCTGGTAATGAGCAGTTCGCCCAAGTAAATGACATGAACGTGATGTTTGTTGACGGTGAGTAGTCGGCTCTGTCGCCTTCTTTATTGGGTGCTTGGATGTTCAAAAATGGGTACCAACCATCTTTGAACATGAAATTGAAATCACTACCGTCTCGGATGGCCAGGTAAGATGGGTCGGTGAGAGAAAAGTTGTAAGCCCAGTAGTGCTCCGCGAATTCCTCGTGAACTATGTGTGTCGCCATTATGTGGTCACTGATATCTTCACAAGAGCTGCAAATCGCCAGAGATGAATAGGCTATCGGACTTCCATCGGGACTGCAGAAATCGCAATTCCCAGTGGAACAAGCGACCGGTATATGGTTAGCTTGGTCCAAGGATCCCACAATCCCTTCGAGCACGGCAATGCTCATCTGCGGGCTGACCTGGGCGGCGACACGCGAGGATCAGACTCTGTAAGTGCCGATATCGGTGAGGTAGCTGAGGTATTCGGCGACTGGAACAGAGGCCGAATCGTTATGGGAAGGTAGTTCACACGCAAAGGTCCGTATTGTCTGTTGAGTGAATGGCCCTATGACAGCAGAGAGGACAAATACAAGGGCGCTGCACACTGCAGTGCAACATATCTTTTGAAATTTGATTCAGCGGGTCGCCATATCATAACCCTTTGGATCGGGGCTAAGCACTCACGACTTCCGTGGACGGAGCAGCAGGTTCGTTGAACCCATCAGTCCTCGTGAAGCCTCATCGAAGCGAACGATGTTTATCAGAGGTCGTGGACGATGAAACCAAGACCACTTGTATTGACTGATTGCTAATTGGGCGGGTAGATTAGCTTTGGTCTTTCAAAGAGTCAGTTAGGGTGAGGATAGAATAGGAAACCAACCCTCAGCTGCGACCAGGAGCAACTGGGCTCTTAGTATCGTTGACAAGGTCGCCACTACTGTGTTCAGGTTGATCCAATATGGCCAGTCCGGCTGCTCCTTGCCATCAAAGCGATATAATACCCCCACGATGGCGGCAAGAAATAGCAGAGATATCACGATGGCGAGACCCTCCAGCCACCAGGACACTAATAGTGAAGGGGATCGAGCACTCCGGGGAGAGCCAAAGTTTTCTTCGTCATTGCCCTTTACTTGATGGTCTGAGTCTTCCGCTGATACTGTTGAGGTTTCTATCAAGCTCTGCCCTTCCAACGGCGTGGTGTCGCTCGGCATCATGAACTGATGGGCCTCAAGTATCGGTTGTTATACAATAAGTAGAGTGTCATGAACGGTCTATTGCGTCCGATGTGAAACCTTGTGGGAGACTCAAGGCCATTAAATGTGAAGATACAGGACTCAGCTTAGCAAGTTCAGCGTGGCTGGTGGGACGCCACGCACAGCACCGGAGACACCAAGCCGAGCTCAGCTATGTGTTAGCCCCCGATCTGACATGCATATACGAAAGGTAACACAAAGGGCTGCAAGGGAAGCCAATTGCTTGCACTGGATATATCTATATACATCATTAATTGGGGGCTTTTTGTTGAATCCAGGAAGCCCTATGGGGCTCAAACCATGCTCAGAGGGCATGGGTGCATCCATTTTCCTCTGTTCTAGTCTTTCGATAATAGAAAACACCAGTTTGTCTTTTAATGCGCGCATGGCTGATGATTACTCGAGCAAAGGGCACTGCATGCAGACTGGAGATAATTCCGATTGGTATCGATCTTTAGCCCCCCAATCAGGCATCTGACGCTTGTGTTCCATTGTCACTCAACATCTTGGAAAACACCCTGGATGGGCAGTTAGAGAACCAAAAGTACTCGTCTTGAATTCCGATACGCTCTGCTTTGAGATGTTATGGACCTCTTGTTTCGGGACCTGTAACAAGTACGAATCGTTTCCTCGAAACAACCAGAGGCGCTCTGTATGGCTGTGCAATGTCGGCATAGTTGACAGCTGCAATTATCGACATGGTCCATTAAGCCTACCAATGAGATGGAATCGACGCCTCAATATCCAATATTTCACATGGATATTTGTGATTCAAAAGTCTCCGAAAGATCTCGCTACGCTACAAGGGGCACCCTGGAATGTCAAAGCCACCGCTAAGACTTAATGACAGCATCACTCTATCTGGATTGCACTGGCATGCGCTGCTGAAAACCGCAATCCAGTTTATTTGATCTCACACACCTTGGGTGGATTTTGGTTCACCAATCACTCTGTGCATCTCGCTCTCACTCCTATTATTGGAAACTCATCTATACTGTGCTCGACCTTTTCTTGTTCAAGTTGATGATCTCTTCTTCCTGTCGACTTCGGTTCAGCCGGCGAGCCATGTCATCACTAGAGGATCTGCGCGAGCAATGGAACCATCTCTACCGAACCCACTTACCGAACCTCGCCAAAGCCAAAGATGCCGCACAGCCGAAGTGGCCGGTCCAGCTGGACCACTGCTTCGCGCGAATAATCCTTGACAACGCCGTCGGCAAGGATAGACCGTGGAACCAGGTTTTGAAAAGCCCAGCATACAAGAATATGAGCCGGGAGCAGTTGGGCTCAGCTATTGCGTTAGGTGAGAAGCTATCAAAAGGCGAAGAGGATCTTGTAGCGCTAGACGAGAGAAGCCTTTTCTTGCGGGGCAAGAAGAGCAAGACAAAGACAGAGACCGCAGTTTCACAGAAGAAGAGGAAGAGTGATCTTGATGATGAGGACAATCATCACCCCAAGAAGAAAGCAACAAGTCGCAAAGTCTCCTCTTACTTCCAGCCAGCTGCCAGGACGGAGTCAGAGAAAGTCAAAGACAGGAGCCACGAGAGCAAGACGGCTGACTATGCTTCGTCCGAAGTTGTCGAGCTCATCAACTCTTCGTCCGACCTCACTCCCTTCCGGAAACGCACCCTGGCCCTCCTCACGCAAGTCCCGCGTGGCCGCTACACAACCTACCAGGCACTGGCGGATCACAGCAGCTCGACGTCACACAAGTCATCCGCAAGAGCAGTCGGCAGCGCGATGCGAAACAATCCTTTCGCCCCTGCGGTGCCATGTCATCGAGTCCTCGCGAGTAACGGCACGATAGGCGGATTTGGCGGTGAGTGGGGTGAGGGTGGACGGCATGCTTCCGAGAAGCGAAGTTTGTTGAGGGAAGAACATGTCAAGTTTGACGGCAGAGGAAGAGCAGTCGGGGAACCATTCCGAGGATTTCGGTAGTGCCCTGTCAGGTGGGCTCGGATTGGTGGAGCCTTGCCTATGGCTGCATCTCGCTCTTGGGGGTGTTTCACCACTTGGGAACCTGCATAGTGGCGGCACGCGTATGACTGCAGGCAGACTGCAAGGCCTTTTGGGTGGTCAGACTCATCATCCCCCGCGCTCTATATATATGTATGCATATTGCATTCCGCCCATCTATATTCTAGTTCTATATGCCGTGGTTCTTCCCCTTGCATTAGGGCAAACTTCAAGCAACTATGACTTCAACGTCTCTTAGCTCCGTCACAGAGCCCTTGATTCCGGAAACTTCTTCATCCGATAAGGTGATTCCAAACCAAGTCTTGAGTGCGCTAATCCGTTCAGCCTCAGTAGAGCATTTTTGGACAACCTCCGTCTTGCCGCCCGTGTTCCTCTTCACAACGCCGTTGACCAGCATAACCTTGCCAGCAATCTTACCATCTCCGGTCTTTTCGTCTTGACCCAGCAGGAACTTGACAATCATGATGGTGAAATTCTGGAAGGTACCCGCCTGGCTGGTGAAATAGTTGACCACATTGAAATCAACCTCGAGGAACTCCGTGTCGTTGAAAACGTAAAACGAGTTCCAGGGCTTGGCAGCGGAGTTCCGGTACTGGTAGACCCAGAACTCCTGCCTCTTTGAGCCCGGGACGCGCTCACGTGCGAAGCGGACCTCCTGTGACCCGAGGTTCTTGGTGATCGGGCCAACCTTCAACGGCATCGGCGCAGTTGGCCCGTCGCCGCCGAATGCGACGTCGCAAACGTACTTGTCGCACTCCTCCCCGTCCAGCTCGACAATCAGGGCCATGTGCGTCATGCCGACGTAGTCGCCCTTTGGTATGCCGTCCTCCCGCAGCCGGATCCTTACTCCGGTTGGGTATGCTTCATAACCAAGGCTTCGAAGGACGTGCATGAAGAAGAGGGACCCTTCCATGCAATACCCACCGCGGTTGCGCCCATTTTCAACAAATTTGGTGAACAGGGTTTGGGGGTTTAGATCGACGGTCTTGTGTTGGGAGTAATGCAGAGACAAATTCTCATACGGGACTGCAGCGATTTGGTGGATGTGCAATGCTGTCAGTAGCGATAGGTCGCGAGGCACACCATCCTGCCGATACTTTTGAGGCAGCTGGATGTGGTCGAAGTATTTCGACAGCTGGTGTCTGCTGAAAGTCGCGCTTTCTACCGCAGAGCCCATATTGATTCTGAAAATGTAGGGAAAAGAGAACGAAAAGACCAATTAGGGGTACAAATGCCTATTCAGTTTCGCCTACGGGCTTTTCGAAGTCCGAGGCTGTGAATACTTATTAAGTGCCTTCGAGTGACTCACTGCTAGTGAGGCCGGGAATTGTGTGATTTGAGTCATGGGGCGTTCCTCCCGGGTCTTCGCCTTACTAATTGCGGCTGGCTCCCGAAATTGTCCGATAATTAAGATTAAAACATGATCCTTTACCCCAGATTTAAGGGAGGAATGGAAGGACTTTGCGATCTATTGTATTTTGACACAACAAAAATCCATTGCGTGGGCGCGTGTTGGCAGTGTGCGAGCTGAGACAGAAATGTCGTGATTCAGGGCTATTTACAACTCTCGGGCCAGTCAACAATTGCCTGTGATTTTTATGGGCTTCGGACCCATGGCCGTGATACAACACAATTGGTCATCTTCAACTCTATCCCCTGGATTGACTGCAAGGCATCTGTTGTTGACGCGCGTGGAAGATGCCGGCCCGACACCGGCTTGAGCAGACTACTCGTGACTCTTCCGCTAGCTCGCGCGCTCTATAGCCTAATCGTGGAAGGAGGTGTGAGCCACGAGAACTTCTCAAAGAAGAATACAAATCGTGTCGTGGCGTGTTCCTATCTTAGCTGCTCTGCGTAGACACAAAGCCATGGAGATCACCCGGGCCGCTGCATGTTCACTAGCCTGGAGATGCTGTCAAGTCTAGCCAGGAGCACAGGCAGTCCAAGCAAGATAAGAAGCGTGTTATCTGCGGATCCTTTGCTCCGAACCATCGCATCCTCATAGCTGCTACTCTTTCTGAAGTAATATAGTGAGTCTCTGCTTCGGTAAGAAGGACTGGCGCAGCGGTCAGAAATGTGCTGAAGGACACTGCAACATCACATCTCAATACGCGGAAGCCAGATTGCAACGCATTATAACAAATAAAAGTGTAGCCTCCTATGCTAGCAATTTAGTCATGTGGATGAGTGCATTACCCATGGACGTGACTTCGGTCCTCTCCAACCATCAAGAATCGAGGTCGTCATGCAGCATGTATGACCACTCCCCGCTTCATCATCGGTGTACTCAGTTTAGCCAGCAGTCGTCAATTACAAAGCTGTGGACAAGAAAGGTCGTACTCACGGCGAGTGCCGTGCAGATCAGACTGACTGCCAAGAAAAGTGTGGCTTCGGTGCGACCGGCAACCGTATGGGCACCGCCTACTGTGTGCTAGGCATGTGATGGATGCAACCAAGCTGCAGCCTTAGAAACCCCTAATGACCGTTACAGAACTTCCCAGGAATCTGGGTTACAAATTGCAAATCAAGGGACGTCCAAAGTCGGCAGTAGGTCGAGTAGACACGGAATGCAGCCCCCTTCTAGACTGCTGATGCTGTTCTGGGCGGCCTAGTTGCTACATTGTAGACTTCAACCATGACAGTGCATCGCGAGAAAAACAAAAATGCATGAATCGCAGCTCACATAACAAAAGGCCCTCTTGGTGCTGGACTAATCCCGCTAACATGGCTGGCGTCACCAGAGTTCATTGTTATGGCAAGACAAGATCGAGATCGCGCGCGGCCGACCGGTTCGCCCAGACGTCAAGCCCCAGTGGCAGATGAAGGTTTCCTCGGATTCTCCCGTACGCTCATCGAATCGTTTGTGGTGCACAGGCAGTGCCGTCCGATCTCCGCGCCGTCGCCCAAACCCGCTTCGTCCGCGAGGCCGAACCATAGGCAGGATTGACAGCCGGCTGCGCGCGCTTTGACAGGCAAGCATGCGCTTAGTGGTGCACGAGTTGGGGTGGCAGGCCGATAGCGTTGCCACCTAAGCTCGACGGGGCAGTTCCTTCGATTGTGGTCATGACGACTTGTCGTGTTTGTGACATTTTGCCGTGTGCCTGGGCCCCTCCCTTTTTTGCTGGGCTGGATGTTGTGTTAGTCTGTTCGCTTGGTAGCAATCAGGTTCCATATGCAGACAATATGGCCGCCATCAAGACGCCGGGCCAGCTCTGAAAGCAGTCGGTGGATGCAACGTTAACAAAGTTGCAACTGCACAGGGCCCCTTGTTTGAAGCTTATTTAACCCGGATAAAATGGAAGCTTCGATAGGAGAAGCACATATGCTTCCATTGTCAGAGGTGCCTGCAACGGTCCAGACGTGCAGAGTCGCAGCTGAAGTATAAGCCAGCTCTTGCAGGCCCCCGGCCCGGACGACGTCGCCTTTGGGTTTGTTTGGAGCCTAGGCCGCGACGATCCATTTGCTGGGGCGACCCACGTCCCCCCGCGCTACCCACATAGTGACATAGCCCAGACTGCTGGACCGGCGCCCACAGGTCCTGTTTCAGTCGAGGGCTGCACTGCTACCTCGCTGCTTCTCAGCCGGGGGTGCTTGACATGCACGAGCGAAACGGCTAAGGCAGAGAGGGGGGGAAGGAACCCTTGCCCCGAGCGGCAGCTGAGAGTTGACAAGCGAGTGGGAGGGGCGAGAGAACGGCCGCTATTCCTTTCCCAGACTGGGAATTTCGTTGCGCGAGTGCCGGCTAATCCTCTTTCCTTGCTTAGACCGGTCTGTAGTTGAGTGGCATGTGCTCCTGGTGGCGCTGGCGTGCGTGTGAACGAGTGCCAGCGACTGTGTGTGTGACTGGTAGCAGCGCATGAGCAGGTGGCTTTCGGTTCTTGCGGAGAGTGGCAGCTCTTAAAACCTGCAGATCCTCCTCTTTGCCTGCATGCATGCACGCTTTCCTTGCTTTTAAATCTCCGGCTCTCGACATCGTTTCCTATTCCCGACTCTTGTCCCAAGGATTGTTAAATTAATCTCCCCCCGTCCCCCAGCAGCTTGCAGGGGCAGTAATCCTCCTGCCACTTTGGGCCCTTCCTTCTTTTCGCGGAGAATTTCTCATATTACCGGAGACCTCCTCGGCACCTCCCGAGCAGGCCCAGTCTCTGATATTTCGGTCTCCATGGTGTTCTTTTCACCACCACCGTGATGTCGTCGGTATTTGATCTTCTCGGAGAGGAGGATAATTTGAACGAGCCGGAGCCGATATTGAATCGACTGCCAGCCGTCTATGGCATGATATTTTCGTTCCTGATCCTATCGACACTCTGTGCCATCTGGCGGCTCTGGATCCGCCTCTTCGTCACCCGCACACCTGGTTGGGATGATGTTTTCGTCGTGCTGGCCGTGCTGTGCAATATCGGCCAGGCTGTGGGTTTATATCTAGCGAGCGAGCGTGGCTTGGGTCAACACTTCCTTTTGCTCGGCCTCGATGGTATGCAGGAGTTTATTCGAACCTTTTACATCGCAAACGGGACGTATCCCATGTGCAGCACCTTCATCAAGCTCGCCCTTTTGTTTCAGTATTTGCGCCTTTTCGGCAAGGGGACCAGACTACGGATAGTCACAGTCATCACGATAATCGTTGTCTGTTCCTGGGGATTTGCTTTCACCTTCATGTCATGGGTGCCATGCGTGCCCATCCGGGGGTACTGGGACTGGAATATCCCAGACTCTCAAGTCACACGGTACGGGTTTGGTTCGCATGACGCCGACACTTTTGTGGCCACCTACCTGACTCACGCCGCAACCAACGTCGCGCTCGATCTGGTCATTTTCACGATTCCCATTCCTCTGTACTTTGAGAAGGGTGTCCAAACAAGAACACGGTGGGCGCTGTGCGGCCTGTTCGTGCTCGGGGCAATGTGAGTAATCAGCCTGACTGTGTGTGCCTCACCCCGGCCCAGCAGCTCTGACAAAATGACAGTGTCAATGTTTGTTCCATCTGTCGGCTCGTTTCTATGGTGAATAATCGGGCGGCGACTTTCCCCACCCTGGATCCATCTTGGTACGCGTGCGTCCCAGCCGTATTGTCGGTACTCGAGGTGAATTTGGCGACGATCTGTGCGTCACTGCCAGTGTTCTGGCCCGTCATAAAGGAGAACCTGGGCAGGATCCTGGTGACCCGGGAAGTCGATGTCACGCGCGAGACGCGCGACTTCAGTACTATTAACAACACTTGGGAGGACAGCGACATGTTCGCGCTGGAGGTGGTACCCTCCAACCTGAAGCCACACCTTGACCAGAGATACATGTTGTCGCATATCGATCCGCTCCAGGAGGAGAAGCCGACAACGACAACTGTCATGGCTGCGGGCCAGCAGGCCAACGGTGGTGCTAGGGGGAACAGATCGCTTGATCTGGGCATGAATTTTACTTCGAGCTTGTCCGGTCTCGGGTTGCACAGGCCAGTTGTGGAGAAGAGGGAAAGCAAGGAAATTTTGTTGAATTCATGACAGCCTGAACACGAAAACTGAGTATAGAAAAACAATTAAGCAACCAAATAAGACATGTTCATACTAAATCAGTATTCCCCAAGGCAGCAGTAAGTATGTGTGATTAATGCTCAGCAAAATGTGGAAGTGGATTGGCTTCGGTTAAGAGCGACAAAAAGTCCCGACATAATTGTTCCGGCTTACCCTCGCCGGCACAATTTGAGCAAGGGATCCTAGACAGAACTGCTTATGCCAGAGGTGCACAAAGTCGATGCCTGGATATTTATCAAGTGCCTAGCTCTGTCAGACGTGAGACCGGAAACTAACACCTGTCCACAGCAGTCGGCTTACGGCGCAATTCCTGCTAAAGAGTCCAGGGTCATGGGGTCGCAAAATTGCACCCCGTGGGGGAGTAGCCCAATCACTACCCCTGCACAAGTTTTGTTCCGCGGATAAGACATGGCACAGCAGCGGGATAGGATCAACGTCTTCAAGGCGCCATCAGGCTGCAGTTTTTCTTTTCTGACCGCTTCGTGAAAATTGATCCTTTTGACTTCACTCCTAGCGTGAGAAGTATATAACATCAATTCGTAATTGTCTGCAATTTTAATACATGGCGTCTTGGCCATCCTCTAGCCTAGCAAGGACGACAAAACCCAGCGGCCACGAATTCCACCCTTGAAAGTTCTGAGCTGCTCCAATATCTCATTGCAGATCACCCTCCCAGCCCACCATCGCCATGCCTGACTACGTCATCCAAGGCTGCACAGTCCAGGATGCCGCAGACGTAGCCCGCAACAACATGTCGTCCTTTTGGGAGGACCAGAACTGGCGCATCGTCTGGAAGCACTCGACCCTGCCTCGCGTCATCGAGGCGTGCACCGCCCGCTCGCCCCGGAACCTCCTCAAGGACCGGGCGCTCCTCCGCCACTTCAAGGCCGTCGACCCGGAGACGGGCAAGTTCCTCGGCTACGCCCGCTGGAAGCTGCCACCCGGATACAACCTGCAAGAGGACGGCAGCCCCACCTGGCCGGAGGGCCAGACCCCGGACGTCACGCCCGAGGAGAGGGCGAAGATCGAGGAGGTTGCGGATGCGGCGGTCTGGAACCCTGATGACGAGGGGGATGACCTTGATGCGCCCATCACGAGGAGGAAGATCGAGTACTTGGCGAGAAAGGAGTACCTCAGTAAGATGGCATTTCATTTGCTCTCTTTGTTTTCTGCCTGTCATCCAATCTCCATAAAACTTATATCACGCTAATGCTTCTCCGGTCGACAGTGCTCGACTTCTTTGCGGTGCACCCTGAGAACCAAGGAAAAGGCGTGGGGACGGCACTTCTCAGGCATGGAATCGAGAAGGCCAGAGAGATGAATATGGATATCTTCGTCCTGGGAATGGTCGGGGGTTGGTCGATCTACAAGCGCATGGGTTTCAAGTTGATGGAGACCGTGGTCCAGGATGCCACGCGTTACGGTGGTAACGACAATTATGCATTTCAGTTCCTGGAGTACGAGATCAGGAATAAGGATCAGAAGTAGGGTCACAGCACCCACATGGCGTTCTGGAATTTGGCAACTTTAAATTCGATAGGAAACGACGACTCTTAGCGTAGCGCATGTGGCTTGGTAATCGCAACGGAATAGCTCATGAGCGGAAGGACATTTATTTCTGCGCTGTCCACGGCATGTGTGTCATGGTCGGAACCTTGGCAGCTCGTCCATCTTCGACAGTGAAAGTGGATGTCCGGTCGAGCTAATAGTCTTATTCGCATAAGTATCCACTGCCTACCTGCCATTGCTCTCTTCACCGAGTTTGTGCGATAGCCAGCATAGCCAGACCTACCCCCAGAACGGTCACTAAGAAGGAAGCCGGAGCCAGTGCAGTCTGCACATCAAGCTCGTCAATAGCGCAAAGCCAGTACGGGACAAAGGCTATCCCGAACGCAAGCACGGCTCCGATCCACCCCATCGTCTTCCTCACGCAGAGCCCCTGCCTGGCGTGGAAGCCCCAGCCGCCAGAAAACTGCTTCTTGTTCAGGCCCGGCGGCGCGAGCAGCTTCGGCATGCAGTCGAGCAGCTTCCTGCCGTCCCGCCCGAGCTGTGGGTTCGCGATGCCCCTGAGCAGCATCTTGGCACACACGCGCATTTGGTCGTCAATGCTCACGTCCTGGATCGGCATGTACTGGTATCCCTGGAAAAGCTTCTTGTTTCTGGGTGGTGGCTTGCCGTCGACCTCGACCTCGTCGCGGTCGTCCCAGAGAAAGTAGAACCTGGACAATGTGACGCTGGTATATGACCTCCATGAAAGCTTCCGCTGTAGCCAACTGCCCTCGGCCTGACTCAGGAGGTCTCGCGCTCTGCAGAAGAATTCGAAGTCACTTTGCATATTCTCGAGAGCTGTCACAGTTCGCATCCTTGTGTCTTTTATGGTTGTCCAGCACTTGTCGACACAAAGGTATGTTTCCATCTGCGTGTTTCCAGAAGGGGAGGCAGGTCCTGGCGTATTGGACTTGCTGGTGTTTAATAGTTGGCTGATATACTGGATCCACTTCTTCCAAAATGGATTCCTGGCCGTACCCTTTGACGGAACTTGATCATCGCTCGATGAAAACGATCTCGGTTGGGTTGTTGGCAGGATACCAATGCTGTGAGTCTTCTGCTGGGCCTGGCTTTGGTTGATATTGAACCGGTCAGTTCCCGGCTGGTTTAGAATGATCGACATTTCCTCGCCGCCGTACTAAAATATGGTGTTAGCCATGCAGAAATTTCGGGTTATATAGCTCTATCTTGTACTTACTTCCCATTGCAACTCTGTATGTTGAGCTTTCTGTGGGCGTGCAAGCGGATGCAGTGGCCACCAGTCAACCTCCTCGTCAAGGTAATCTTCAACTGCAGCTCGCAACTTATCCAATATTGATATTTTGTGTTCCACATTATAGTACGGAACGAGTTTCATCCCATTCAGCTGTACCGTGCTGGGCGCCACTTCAGCTATGTTCTCATGAACCTGTGTCCTTTCTCCATGGCCAGTTATCTGCTTCGACTGCTGTGCCCTTCTGACTGCTGAATCAGACTCGTTCTCGCCATGGTTGCCTAAAACTGAGAAGAAAATCATTCTCTCATCGTCAGCTGCACCAGGCAGAAAGTATCCGGGGTGCGACTTTCCCCAATCCTGCATTTCCTCCAAGGTCTGCACCAATTGTGCGGCGATCACAGGCGGTTCCCGAGCCACTTCCAAGAGTGTTATGCCTAGCACGAGGAGATCCCGCATCCATGGACTGCTTCTCTGGTCCTCACCTATGACTTTTATCCACTAACGTTTGATCAGTAGCTTTCCCTCGTCAATTATTCCATACTGCAGGATTGTTACTCGGAGACCTACATCTGAGATTGATGGTTTGACTGCTCGTAGACCTTTCTCGAGGGTGAAAAGCCTATCATCGTGATGCCCTTTGTACATGACTGCCTCCCACATCTCACCAAAGTTACCCTGTTTGCCCAAGGTTGTTGTTGCAGTCAGGTTCCTCAGCATCCACGGAAGTACAGTTGCCCTAGACAGGTTGAATCGTTGGTTTTTATACAGAATTCGGCTCAATCTGCGTGTGAAGAATGGCGCGGCGAATTCCTGCTGGCGTTTGATGAATCTTTCCACCAACGGAAGAGACCGTTCGTTGTTTCTAGTAAGAAGATCGCTTAGTAATTTCGCTTTTGACCCTGCCGACGAGGTGACCTGCGTGGAACCTTCATGTCTTGAAAAACTAAGCGGCAAGTCCGTATCAGAGAGACCATCATCAAGAAAGGCTTCGATGCTAGCGGACATATCCATTGATACTAGAATGCCGAAGATCTTCCGCCTCGATACGTTTCTAGTCGACTTTCTGTCTCCACGGACGTGTACCATCTTGTCGCTATCGAAAGGGCATACATCGTGGGCGATCTGCGGTATGGAGCGAGTGAAGCATACGCGGGGACCGAAGAGTTCGACAGGTCGGAGCTCCTTGATGACACTCTCTCGGGTGATCAGCCTGTGGATTCTATCGACCGGGACGAAGAGCTTTCCGTCCACATTCCGAACACGAGCTTCTTTGAGTTTATGTTTGAGACTGGGTCGATTTCTTGACTTCTTTGGTTTGATTTCCATTGCATGCCCACGTGAGGCTATGCTAGACACATTGCCAGACAAAGCCTCTACGTTATCTTTGCTCACGTTTGGCCCGCCAGCCTGGGCTCCAACAATGGCTGCCCCTAATTCTGATGGCTGGGCATCCTCAACGGTCGGATGACGCAGGCAAATCTCCGTTCTCAAAGCTGCTGTATTTTCGGTTAAAGCATCGGGGACAGCATCAATTGATATGCCGTCGTCCGAGCTGCTGCTTTCAACCGGGCCTCTTCCTGTGGCTTTCTCTGTTTCGGCGTTGACCTTCAAAGGGGACTTCCTATTTTCTGTTCCAGTAGAGACAGTCGGGCTCAAACCCCGTGAGGAATTGTACGATCCCGAGGACCCGGAAGATGCCTGAGGATGAGCATTTTGAGCAACTTCGATTGAACGCTGAGGACATTCAGATCAGCCAAATGGCTCCGACAAGGAAACGAGAGAATATTGCTCTTGTGACTGCCCACGAAAACTCAATGCGGGGAGAGCTTACGTGACGTTTTTGCGCCTCGGACCAGGTCTGCGTTTCTGGGTTCGATTCTGGAATGGCGTCCATCGTTCGAAGCAACAGTAATCATATTACAGTGTCGAATGATCCCTTGAATGTATGCCACGATGCTTAAGTACATGGACTTCTACAGTCACAACTTGACACGGTTCCATGAACAAACAGTAATAAGAAAGAGCTCCAAGGAAGACTGTGGCTGTGTCCCTCGAATGAGCTTCAGCGAGTCTGCCTGCAGGTGGGCTGAGTGTTAGGCACTCATGCATGACAACTCACAGCGGTAAATTTGACCGTCAAAAACGCACTTGCTATCTTACTGCAGGCTCTTGAGGAGTCAGCGTACGCCCACCCAGCTTCTACAGTACGCCCACCCAGCTTCCAGCGTTGGCCCACCCAGTACAAGGAAATTAGTTACACGCGCTATAAAATATTAATACTGCGGAGTTATTAATAAAGCATAGCTATAGCTATCCCAAAGGGGTCCCATAGCTACCTTAAAGGGGTCCTATAGCTACCCCTTTATTTACAACTTAAAAGTTACTTCTACCCTTTGCCGCCCTTTGCCGCCCTTTGCAGCCCTTTGCGCCCTCTGCGCCCTCTAAGCGCTCTACGGCCCTTTGAGCGCTCTGCAGCCCTCTGGGCGCTCTGGGGGCTCTAGGGGCTCTAGGGGCTCTGGGGGCTCTGGGGGCTCTAGGGGCTCTGGGGGCTCTGGGGGCTCTGGGGGCTCTGGGGGCTCTGGGGGCTCTGGGGCCCTCTAGGCTTTTTAGGCTTATATTTTTAAAGTATTGCTTAAATTAAAAAATAGCTACCCTAGCTTATTAAAAACCCCGCAATACTTGCATTTTAGTGCGGATGCAGCTAATTTTCCTTATACTGGGTGAGCCAACGCTGGAAGCTAGGTGGGCGTACTATAAAAGCTGGGTGGGCATACGCTGACTCGCTCTTGGGCAGGTCGAATAGCTAATGCAGTGGTCTCGCTTAGCGAGTATGTCGCAAACGCATTCCTTCGCCACCGCCATTGAAGCGGATTACTGTGCTTGAAAAGCGCAGCAACCGCAAGGCTGATAGGGCCGGCGATCCTACCACACCTATGCCACCGACACTCTCGTATCAATTCATCTCCTCTGCGCCACCCGCGAAATCTACAGTGCTGGAGCCATTGTCGGGTGACATAAGAATATCTACAGCATGCTGTTTAAATTCACAAACGATGTGCCACGACATTCAGGTACGAAATGGAGAGATGATCATCAATATGCCCAATGCGAGGCAAGCCCAATTTTGAAGAGCAAAAGTCTCCAAAAAGTAGGATGATTTCCAGCTAAGCTGTCAAGGCTAAGTCATACGGCGTTATGAAGAGGTCCTCCCCTAGAAAAAAGAAAGGAGTAAAGAAGTATAAATGCTTTTTGATGTGTGTGTGAGAAGACCGACGAAAAAACTCCACCCAGCCCTTACAGGCCACTGAGGTCCAGCGGCTCGGAGATGACCTTGCCGGCGTCGGGCGGGCCGCTGGTGTTCCCGGCCTCGCACCAGGCGTCGAGGGCGTTGCACTTTGCCTCCCACAGGGAGCAGCCCTTGCTCTTGTCGTTGCCGTTGATGACGGGCTCGACGCCGTCCCAGCAGTCGGTGTTCTTCTCCCAGCAGGCGGCGCTGGCGGCCCAGCACTTGGGCAGCGCGCCGGCCGTGTCGTCGGACCACGAGGCAAGCTCGGTAAAGCACTTGTTGCCGACGGTCAGGACCGTGTCGGAGGGGCAGTTGCCGACCACGTTGGCGGTGTTGGCGCTCAGCTGGCTCAGCTTGAGGGCCGAGGTCGACACGATGCTTGAGTACACCTCCGGGCCGAACTCGGGGAACTCGCCCCACGGGGTCTGGTAGATGTCGTAGGTGAGGGACGGGCTGGAGGCCTCGACGTGGCCCGGGATGGAGACGGTCTTGGGCGTCTCGCCGCCGGTGCCTCCTGAGATGTAGGCCTGGGCGCACCCGACGAAGAACTGGGGCACGATGCTGCCGCCGTCGCGGTTCTGCAGGCCGAGGACCTCGTCGCGGACCAGGTAGTAGCCCTTGCTCAGGTCGGAGGGGAGGATGGCCCCCGTGTACCCGCCGTTCTCGATCATCACGTCGACTCCCCACTTGCTGGTCGCCGTGTCAAGTCCGTTCCATGAGATCTTGAACCAGCCCTCTCCGGACGCCGAGTTGGCCCAGGGGTCCGTGGCGCCAGCATCGGCGACCTTCTTCAGGTAGACGGCGGTGGATCCCTTGTGGTTGCTGTCAATGACGCCGGGCTGGGCGCCGTCGGCCCAGGAGCGGTGGTTCATGACGATGCCGTCGCCAGCCGAGAGCTTGACTGTCCGGCCGACAGACGTCTCTCCGTTCCTTCCGCAGGCCATGTCGGTGGAAGTGACGTCGGTGATGGGTCCCGTCGTGGTGTCGCCGTTGAGGTCCATGCGGATGCCTGCTGCCTCGCCCTGTCCCTCTCCGTTGCGGAAAATCTCGACCATGCGAGTGTGTGCCTCGACACCGCCCAGGAGGGCAAGCGCCGTGATGAATGAACGTGAGACCATGTTGTTTGCTTGAGTGTCCTGTGATGGGAGTCTTTGGTGGTCTGTTATTTGTTTCTTTCTTTGATCTGTCTGCTGAATGAGTGACTGTATGTACTGCGCAAAGAACCGTGGCCACAGGCCAAACGCAAGCGTTTTTCAAAAAGAAGGTAAAAGGAATGAATGAGGACTTTGCCGTGACCGTCCTCTCGGGCCTGGCGGGCTGGAGGCGCGGGCACAGGATTTCTTAAATACGCCAGACTAGTCATGCAGGTACGCCAGGCACTTGTGGGACAAGCCGCCAGTGTCCAAGGCTTTTGGCGCCCTTGTTTACGTAGCCTTGGGCGATTTGACCCCATCCGGGGCCCACAAGGGCTACGACATGGGCCGAAAAGGAAATTAGTGGTGGCAAGCTTGATTGGAACCTTAAACCAGCTGAAAAGCCGCCCGACGAGCCCCCCCCCCCCCCCACCCCCTCCTGCATGCTGGCGGAAGCCAAGCAATGTTTCGTTTGACGCGGATCTTCCCTTTTGAGTCCTGTCAGTGCCCCCTGTTACACGACATATGCACGGCCATATTCTTGTTTACACGCTCAGGGGCCAGCGGCTTTTTAGGCTCGCTGCATCCTTTTTTTGGCGCCGCGTGCATGCTTCTCAAACACGCCCTAATCTCGGTGGAGTAAAAGATCTGTCAGTAAGTAAGCAGATCGGAAGCCATCACGGTAGTACCGGCATCCCCTCCCCTGCCAGGCTCCTGCCTGCTATCTTTCCGGTCTTGGCGAAAATCAAGCCGCCGAGTCAGGGGCTGAGCTTGGCAGGTTGATTCGACGGCGAGCTCCCCAGGGGCGGACATTGCTGGCCCAGGAAATTGGCCGCACTGGCTCTCAAAACGCGCCGGCCCCCAGGGCAAAGCCAGCTGCCAACAAACAGCTCACCGTGGTGAGATGAAGCTTGGTCAAGACCCGGGACTGCACCCTCAGAGAAGTGATTGTGAAACTGTGATGCCTTAAACTTCAGCGGTAGCCTGCACCGAGGTGGCTCGATGCACGTGTTGAAACCAGTTATTGGATGCGATAACCTCGCAAAAGGTTACCAAACTACCTAGGCACCCGGGTCACGAAGAAGAAAAAAAATGAGACAGATCCGACAGCGCTTCTCAGTTCTTGACAGCTTCGATAACCGACAATGACTTCCACGGCCCTTCACCTCTCGTCACACTCGCAATCCGGAGACCGACAGACCCGAGGAGCTGCTCCCAATTCTTCAGCGTGCGCTGTTTCCCGCCAAGGCCCAGCATCATGAAGTCAAGGTAGGCTGCCCACTGATGCGGCGGGTTGTCGAGCACGTCCTCCTGTACGAGGAGCCTGCTGTCCTCAGCCATGGCATCCACAATGATGCGCAGCATGTTCCTGGACACCTCGTCCGAGTAGTTGTGGAAGCAGCGGCGCATCCAGTACGTGTAAGCCCCTGGGTCCCAACCAAATTAGTCGAATTTCTCGCAGCAGCGCAGGAGGCGTAAGCAGTGTCCCCACAACACGCACCTTTGACGGGCTGACCCCTGTGGAAGTCCAGCGCCACCCTCCGGACACCCGCCAGCTCAGGCTCCTCCAGCGCCAGCCCAGCCTCGAGCGTCTCGGGCCTGTCCTCGAGGACGAACCGGTGGATGGGCAGCGCCGGAAATTCCCTGTGGATAGCCCTGATGGCCCCGCCCTTGCCCCCGCCGACGTCGACAAGCACAGCCCTGCCCGAGTCGGGGCGCGCCCTCGCCTCGGCCACCAGCCACGAGAAGTCGTAGATCCCGGCCGTCACGGGCATCCGCGACTCGACGTGCGCCATGCCCTTGAGGAAGCTGCCCACCCACGCCTCGTCCTCGGCCAGCAGCTCGTAGAAGGACAGGCCCGGCTTGCCGTACGCGAAGCTCATCGGCACGTGGTTGGTCGTCTGCGGCTCCTTGCGCCCGTACTGCTCGAAGTACTCGGGCATCTTGGCATATGGGACGAAGGCGTTTGTCCAGCTGCAATCCACCCCGGTTAGCAGGTGCCTGCACTTTGTGTTGCACACCACCCGGCCCCGTGCAGCGAAAGAGATCTCACCTCATGTTGAAGACGTGGCTGCCTGCGTTTTCGCTCCTGTACCCGAGCGACTTTTGTGTGTGCGAAATGTCATCTTGCCCCGTCTGCTTCAAAAAGCCCTGGGACACAAGCACTCCGCCGACGCGTCCTACATTGAGCATGCAATTAGCATCATCGTAATGAGAATCAATGCATCGTCCTGTACTAACTCAGAAGCGCCTCCTCTGACTTGGTCGCAACCGCCAGGTCCTGATACGAAATACTGCCCTCGACCGGAACGGCCTCAAAACCCCCCCACTTGTAGAAGAGCTGGGCGGCAGCGAGGCGAGCGATGTCCATGTTTGCTTCGAAGGTGTGAGCTGGGTATCATTTGTTCTCTCAAAGGCGCCTTGTGAGTGTGTAAAAGGCTTGGGAAAGTTTAAATGGGGTTCGAAGTTGCTTACAGTCCACCCAGACATCGTCAGGCCTCTTGACGGCGTTCAGGACCTTCTGCGCGGCCTCGATGATCTGCTGGCGCTGGGCCTTGTCCACCGCATCCCCAACACCATCGTCGCTGGCAGAAAAGCCCTGTACTGCAGCGTTCAGCTGGTCCATACCTTCTTTCACATCGCTGATCGTTGCGGCTCTGGCCGCCGCGGCGGATGCAGGCCCGTTAGCAGTGACTACTGTCATCTTGCGAAGGCCCGGCACGTTCTGTTGAGTTTGTAAGGAGTGTTCAAGGGAGATTTTGATGAGCACATTGATTGCCTACTGCCTCCTCGAACATGCTGGACTGCCATCAATTTATATATAAAGAAGGCAGGTAGACGAGGTCTTGGGGCAGTCCATATGATGAGGTCCTTACTCTGTCTTCGAAGGTTTCGGCGCCATGAGGGGTCGGCAAGCCACAAAAGGCAAATGGAGTCACCACCTATTGCGATCAAGCTGTAAGCCGGGTGAATTATGGCGGGCCGATCAAGGTTACTTTCCGCATGATCACAGAACGTACCGTAGAATTTCGCTCCCAAGTTGACGCGCCGAAACGACGAGAGCGACCTTACAGTTTTTGCCTCTTGCAGTTGGCCGACGGGCTGATTCACCGGGACGGTGGGCGTGGCCCACATAACGGCCGAAACGATCGTCCAAGGATCACCACGGCGTGCCGAACCGGTTCATCTGATCAGCTCATTCGTCGGCCGGCCACCTGTCAGTCTGGCAATCCTGCTTGGCAGCTCACGCCGAAAGCTCAATATCTGTGGGTCGTGGCAGGCATGTAAGCTCGAGCTGCATACCTCGGTGCATCCAGCACTGCCTCCTGGACGCAAAGCGTAACACGTGAACTGGAAACGAGTGCAGGGTACTTTGGTCGTTTGCAGCAGAAATGAAAATAGCGTATGAGCTCTTATTGGTGAGGACTAGCTGCATGGCTGGCTTCCATAATTAGTGCAAGAGGATCCTGAACGACATTTTCGGCCTACTCATTCGAACTGGACACTGGCACTCGCAGATTGGTCTTTTGGGATTCAGGCACACAACTGATGCTTCATTCAATCTGTGATTGAAATCTAAATATTGCAAGTGCCATATGTCGAGCTTCCCAAATAGACCCCCATGTCCGCCCTCGACGTATGTCACGACTCATTCTTGAGTACGAAATCGACCACCGCACGGTTGGGACCATCCCACCCTCGCTGAGCTCTGATGAACCAAAGAGTGATAGCTGCAACGAGGACCACTCCAAACACAGGTCCACAATAGTTCATGTTCGATGCCGTTGCAGGAAGATCGGTGGGAAAGGGCAGCCAGATCATCGCGTACAGGGTATAAACAAGCCCCAAGGTGTTCACCGCCGTACCAGCCCTGCCCAGATCCCATTGGCCGAGTTCGAGTCCATTCGTCAGACGGGCATAGAGCACACAGGCGAGCACGATGGCGTAGCTCATATATATCGCTAGCGAGGAGAGTGACACGATGGCGTTGAGTGCGATGTACGAACTGCTGCCGATGTTGAGGAGTGAAAGCAGGAGCACAATGATTGAGGTCATGACGATGGCGCGGGCCGGAACACGACTCTTGCCGTCAACGATACCAAAGTATCGTGGCAGTCCTAGATTTCGATTAGCCGGTAAGGATTGAAGATCAACCAGGGAAATCAACTTACCGCCGTCTCGGGCCCACGCCCAGGTGAGTCGGGACACGGAGGAGACGACACCCATGTTGCCTGAGATGCCCAAGACCACAAGCCCGGAGGTCATGGCCGTGGTTGCCTTGGCAGAGCCTGTGGTGTTGAGGAGAATGGTGACGAGTGGGCTGGATGAGTTGAGAAGAATATCCACGGAGGGCATACAAATCTGTTGGCGGGTATATGAGCACGTGTGGTCGGGAAAAGCAGATCGAGAGGTGGGCGTACCGCGAATGTGATAATCATGATGAGACCTAGCAGGCCGTTCGTAAAGATAGCCCAGAATATAGCTGTCGGCACGGCGCGCTTGGCATTACGAGTCTCTTCACCCATGTGTATCACACTCTCGAAGGCTGCAACCGTCGGGATGATTAGCTATTGCTTTCGATCCACCCAAGCAAGTTCCCCGTGGAGAAAAGCTCAACTCACAGCAAAACAGAAAGATGTTCGACAGCGCACCCAGGTTGGCCGCCACGAAATAATTATCCCAGCCAGACGAAACGTTGCTCTCGAAAAAAACATCAGTGCTGTTGCGGGGCGACATCACCCAGAGAACAACAAGGAAGATGAACAGTAGGCAAACGTTCAGGATACCGGCCAACAGCTCGAACCACGGGACAAGCCGAAAAGCGAAGAGGTTGATCCCGGAGCAGAATGCCATGGTGGCAAATATGATCAGCGTCGTATGCCAACCACCCGGCTCGTAGGCAGGATGTGTAAGCTGGATCATGCCCTCCAGGACCAGCGTGTTTCCGTTGAGGCAACTGGCTAGCAGCGCCACGTAGCCTGGGACACAAGAAGAGCATCAGTCAGCCTGTGTTAGGTGGAAAGCGGTCCGTGGGAATCTGCACCTACCTGTCCAAGTCATCCACCCTTGCATCCAAGTGAGGAACCGCTTGCAGCTGGGAGGGGAGAAGTTCCACGTCCAGTAATACTGAGCCCCTGCAATGGGCTGAATGGAGGCCATCTCGCCGAATGTCGCCGCTTGGCAGAGAACACCGGCTAATACGATGATGTAGCTCCAGAACCATGCTGCCGGGCCGCCGTTGTTGAGGGCAAAGTACATGTTTCTGTCAAAATGTCATCAGTTGGACTGCTCTAGAAGGGCATAAGGGCAGCATTCTTACGTAGCAATGGAGTACCATGTCCCTAGGTATACCAGAGAGAACGCGAAGAGTTGTGGTGTGCTGAACAGCCGTCTGGTCCGAGTCTGCTCCTCTAGTGTGACTGCCCCTCTCTTCGCATCGTCCCGAGCGTCATTTTGTTCCGAAATGTTTACTGAGAAAATGTCGTTTTTGTCCTTCTCTTCCATTCTGACGATCGCGAAATGAGAATGATTCCGAAGACTGGACACTGGGACGAGAATGATATTGAAACCTGGTGGATGTGAATCGAATGCAGGTTGACAGTGTTAGGAAACAGAAAATGGTTCATGAAGTACCACAGAGGACGTGGGAGTCCTGCCTCAAGCACATGCATCAGACCCACGTAAAGAGGGTAGAATTTCTTGCATGGCCGGCAGGACGGGCCTGGGCCGGCTGCGAATGTCCCAGTGGGTCGGGTGGCGTGCCTCGGATGCGGCCCCCGAGTTCGCCTGATCTGCGGTGCCATCGAAGGGCTGTTTGTTCTCCGCAGCGGTATCTCCATCTTTCCTGCAGGTGCGTGCATGCAACGTCGTGCCGTAGGTGTTGCGACTTAAGTCGTATCAAATCCGCCTGTGTTCTGTCAGCGCCTTAGTAGATATTTGCTGCCTATCTGTACCTAGGCTGATATGCGATCAAGGCAGTGTACTCTTTGAGAGATGAGAAGCTTGTCCAAGAGACACAGCACGCCGTCTGGACCGCGTGGCAATCGTGATGCAGGACCTCACCGGTCTCTGAACGTGGTATGCCGAAAAGTGGATCGATCGCTTGAAAGTGCTCATTTGCATTGGATGTTGGACCTCTGCTCATGCACCCCTCTAACCAACAGGCTGCTTAACAGCCCTATCAGGTCACAGTTCCCTACCTAGACGATTTCAACCAGCTCGGAATGTGTCATTGTTTACGGAGCTGAGGCCCACCCTATTACCTCTGTATTTCATTTGTGAGTCGCCGTTGAGATTTGAGAGGGTCGCAGATAAACATCCAGCCTGTTCTCATCACAACTCAGATAATAAAGTAAGGATTACTTGTACTGTAAGAGAAATTCTCCAATTATTCGAGGTTCTAGGCCTGCGGTCTGATGAGTAAATTACGCATGAAATGATTTGTCCTCTTGTTGTCAGAGTACCACGACTGTAAAGGCATTATGTGGGAACAGTGATCAGTATGGCCATCTGGACCACAGTACCTCAGTCTGAAGTTAAATAGACCTTCCACAAAATCCCGAGTTTCATGTCCAATACTGAACACGGTACTTCATCCTGGTGACTGCTAGGTAGCTTTGATATGCACCATGCTCTAGACATCGGTGAGCTTTTACGTAGACTTTTACAAACAAAGACTAAGTTGATATGTAACAAAAAGTCCCTAGGTCAACCATCCTCACACAATTCTCCCCCGGAATTGATGCAGTGAGAGGCCTACCAAGTGACCTACTTTACCTTTAAAACTCTCAGCTTGGATTGACCTTCCACAGTGAACGGCATAGACACCTGGCATGCGATTGTCATCCATCTCCTCAACAGACTGCAGACAGGTCAACAGTGTCAGGATCTGAGTTCTGTGGGGCTGTCTGCTCCAGGCATCCCTAAAGCTGGGTGTCCGTCCTACCAATGGCAGGTAGTGTCTTCCCCGGGGAGCGACGGAAAGCCCTGTCTGTGAATCCCCACTCCTTTGCAAGTCAAACCGGTCAGTCGACACGCCCCACTGCCGGTCAACCTCAACCCCGATCTTGGTGTTTTACATACAATGCACTGCTCCATGAATTCAAGTCTCATTGACATCATGTGAGATGCCAATCGCCTGGTGCCTTCGAAAATGTTTCTCAATACCGAATAAGCAGAAAGTTCAAGTCATAGTCTCTTTGGTAGTCCCCGAAAGCTTTGTAGAGAAGGTAGAAAAGCATGAACAAGCCGGTCCATGGGACCATGCCAGGCAAAAAATAACAGATCACATAATTCGAATCCCAATGACAATCCAGATTGAGGCAGGGGCATTTGTGGGCTGGTACGGCGGCAAATTAATTTTCCATCATTCGAAGCTTCATCTTGTGGGATGAGACCATCAGCAGTCCAGGTGGCCATTTCTTGAAAAACAGTTCGGATACGTGTTGATGGCTCTGCTGAAGCCACGGTCAGGTCGGTTCTGCGTTACGTTTAAGGCGTAAGTGATCCTTGCATTGCCGCACCCGCCGTGTAAATGCTCGGCCAACGACCCTTCCTTCCAAAGCCCAACAGGGACACCCCAATTTCTCTTGCTAATCCATGTTGACTTCCCGGGCCACCCCCAACATGACTCTTTGGCGCGCATCGTAAAATTACCAACATGCCTCCTCCATTTCAGGCTTTGCTGCAGCCATATGAACATTCTGCACGGCAAGAAAATCATCTGAATAGTGTTTGTTTTACTGAAATATTTCAAATTCGTCACACCAGTAACCTTGACTCACCCCTTCCGCGGGGGCTGAACGTCAGAGACATGCATCCACTGTTCCGGATCTGACTACGATATAGCTCTACACGACAGCTATCCCCCGTCCCCCTGAGCTCGACGGACACTGTTCCCAGCCCGGAGCGGTTGAGAACATGACGACGTCTGCCCCATTCCTCTCTCACAATGAGAATGACCACAGAGCACTCGTGATGGTTACCACGGTGGTGTTCTGTCTGCTGATGGTGACGGCCCTGATCGCAAAACACATAGTCCGTCTGAGAAAGGGGAGATCTCTCCATCATTTTGACTATAGCTTGTTCTGTGGTGCAATTTTCATGCTCCTCCAGACGGCCTGTATTGCCCTCGCGGTGAATCGAGGCCTCGGCAAGCATCTCGTGGATGTCAGTGAGGCGAGCACCGTCAGCAAGGTGCGTGACAACAGCCCCGGGCTCGTTTAAGCCGTTGCTTAATTCTTTTTCTCAGCTGCTATATTCTGCGTCGCTTCTTGGAACTGCTGTTTTGGTATGCACTAAGATTTCCACGTGCCTACTTATCAGGCAAATCAACAATCACGGAAGACTTCACTTGGCCACTCGTTTTGTTCTCGGCATCATCCTGGCCACTTCGTTTTCTGGCATCATAGCGACCGCGTTTCGATGTGGCCTCTCTTCTCCCTGGCGAGCCGAGAGCCCCTCAACATGCCCGGCTGCTGCTTCCGTCTATTTATTTAACGGAATAAGCAATATAATTACCGATACACTGTTGTGTGCTCTGTCTGTGGCTATGGTCTGGAATATCAAGTCAGACGTGAAGAAGAAGACGACCGTCATATGTTTGTTCACGTCTCGCATCCTGTACGTAGACAGCGCCCTGCAGCCGACGGACAACTGCACCTGGCAGTGGTGATTCAACAGAAGCTAATATGTAACGTTCGTCAATTTCCAGATGCCCCATTCCCACCATTCCCAGCCTCATGCGAACCGAGTTCCAGTACGAAAACGGTGACTTCACTTGGCTGGCCGTCACTCCAACTGTGTGGCTCCAGATATCGTACAACCTCGCCATGATCACAGCCTGTATCCCTACTATGAAGAATTTGTTCGACAACCTGTCTGGGAACTTTTCGGCGGAGATCGACGCGCCGTACAAATTGACAGCCGTGACTGGGACCAGAAGCATGGGATTCGAGGCATCGGCGCTGGGCCAAGAACCGAGCCAGGCACACTCTCACATTAGTACACAAGGCACAAGCCTCAACCTTCACACGGCAGCGCCCAACCAGGCAGCATGCTATGCCACGGACGGAAGGCGGTACAGTTAAAATCGGACAAAAAAGGATGATGAAGGTCAGAGTGAAAGCGTGCAGAACCTCACTGATGGTGTGGTCCTAGTGACTGAGGAGGTCAATGTTCAATTTGAAGACGACAGACCACCGTCAACTCTTGGGTCATATGACTCTTGGGATGCTACGCGCCATCGCATTATGGGGACTTGGAAATAAATCGTGTGGTACATACGATTGTGTCTAGGAGCTGCGCCACCCTAGTTCTATTGACTGTAGTGCTCGTTCGGCTGCGTTGTAGCATCTGATCTGAGTTGCTTGGGTCACGCAAACAGGTCCCCTTGGTGCCAACGTGTTGGTTCATAACATATAAAATAGGCTACACTACCTCGTGAAATTAGAAATAGTAAATCTAACCAGGAATCAAAGGCAAGGTTGCGAAAGATGGTGGGACTTGATGTATTTTTGCAAGGTACTGGGTCGTCTTTATCAGCCACAATGAGCCCAAGCCACACCAATCGAAAATTCTACCTCCTTTCGATATGTTCAACGCGCTCAACATCAAGCTCCTTTTCGTCTCGCATGGGGTCTATGCCTTTCGTTCTTGCGACGACTTGTTCTTCTGATAGTATGGGTCTTCCGCGTAATTGGGCCCACACGGCTCTGTGCATGGGCCGTAAGAACAGGGCGTCCATTTCTTCAAGAGAAATGCCCTTCGTTTCCGGAACAAAGAAGAACGCCCACACACCCATAGACACTAAGATTGCTGCAAAGAAAAAGTATGCGCCATAGCCAAGGTCTGAAATCATGTAAGGCGTGCTCCGTGCAATGATGAACGACCCAAGCCAGGTGTCAGCGGTGGTAAGAGAGACGCAAAGCATGCGAATGTCGAGGGGGAAGATCTCAGATGCGTAGGTCCAGGTAATACCTTGCCATGTTGCGCAGATGATGAAGGCATTGACATAGACACAGACCATGGCAAGATAGCCCCAACCATCGCGGTTAACGGCTCCTCGCAAGGCGGCACCAGCTGGATCGTTCTTCATAACGTAGCCTCCAATGTACCACATGGGGATGCAGCCCAGAGCAGCACCCAATACAAGGCCTTTGCGGCGACCAACTCGTTCGACAACAATAAAGGTGAATGTGAACATACCCAATGTCTTTGCAATGCCGTAGAAACCAGTGGAGAAGAGCTTGGTAGAAGTGCCAGTGATACCGAGAGTTTCGAAAATGCGGGGCGCATAGTAAGTGATGATGTTAACCTAAGACTGTTAGCTGCGATATTGTCTAGTGACTTACTGTTCACCTACACCAGTGAAAGACTGCAAGAACATGAGCGCAAGTCCAATCGCCATACGATTGCGCACACCCTTCTGGGATAGTTTCATAAACTGAGCCATCTTGCTGAGCTTGTTGGTACTACGCTCTTCGACCTGAGCGCGGATCTCGGCCATTTCGTGCTGAATATAGGCATGGTTCGCATCAAGGCCACGGATTTTGGTCAGGATTCGTTCTGCAGCTTCAAAATCATCTCCACGTGCTTTCCACCGAGGTGATTCGGGACACCATGTAACGCCAAGGAGGAGGAGCAAGCCAGGAATGAGCTGAATCGCTAGAGGCACAATCCACTGTGCTTGTCGATTCACGTCGATGGTGCGATCGCAGGCGTAGTTGATCCAGAAGCCGAGCATTCCGCCGCCTTGCGAAGCAATCTCAAAGATGCCCACAAGTCGACCTCTGATAGACGGCGGAGCTGTTTCGGAAATATAGACTGGAACGACCATGGAGGATGCTCCGATGCCAAGCCCGGCAACTGCGCGTCCTCCGTAAATCATGTCGAGAGAACCCCGTGATGCAGTCATGAGTGTGCCGCCCAGAAGGAAGATCGCGGATGCAATGATCATGGTCTTCTTCCGACCAAGTTTCTCGGCGGCGGGAAAAGCGAAAAGCGCACCGAAGAAGCAGCCAGCCTTGAAGAGTCAGCATACACAGGTTTGGGAGTGTATGCGAACCTTACCTGGAAAGTAGACACAATGTTGCCTTGGGTGGTGTCGCGCACAGTTTTGGCCATGCCATCCATTTTGAAATCGCGGATGAACGAGTTCAATGCCATAGTTCCGCCAATAACAGCAGTATCGTACCCCACTGCCATCATGATCAGATCTCTGTTGTCGAGTTAAGTTTCAGACTATGCTTACTGGCAAGGGCCGACATGGAAGCGATTAGTGCGATGACATGGATACGAATATTGCGCACTTCTGGGGGGTCCAGAGTGCCCGTAGCATGAGTGTTAAAGCAGCCCATTCTAGTACTGAAAGTTCTAGAGATGAAGGTTTGTAGGAGTCTTTTGGAAGAGTAATAATAGCAAGCGTTAAAATCCTCGCGAGGAGATGCCAGCAGAACGGATCGCGTCTGGAGTCCTTATACTAGATAGATGTTATCCCATTACCCTCGCTACATCAGACTCAGCGATACTAGTAGTCCCGGCTTGAATTCTCGACGCCGCTATTGTCATACAATGCGGGGGGCGAAGCAGTCACACGTGCACATACGTCCCACATGTCATCAGCACACCTTCTTCTCCGGGCAAATGGTACATATGTAGGGTTATCACAGCGAATCCGGGGTGAGAGCAGCTTGTCAGCAGACATGCTTCCAAGGTTGGCCAAGGCCGCCGTTGCGTGGTGTTGCATGCCAGATCAGCGTGGGCCACCTACGTCGCGCGGGGTTTCGCGGGGAAAGCTGCCTAGGAAAGAACGGGTTACCTTCGCACTTGGTACACGTGTATCTTCTCAGTATAAAGACTACGAGGAAGAGATCAGAGATTTGCACCTGCAAAGACGGAGGGTACACCGGTACATCGCCAGCACTAATCACGTGAGAATTTACATACCTAACACCCACACCCAATTTGCAGAGCTCGTTAGAATATTCAATTGGTCTTAAGCGTATATAGGAGTTGGGTGTGTAGGTGGTGGATTGTGTAGGTGTTGGGTGTGGGTGCGTAAAGTAGGCCTGGGTGATGTGAAGCATCACACAGGCTTTTCAGCATCACAAGGGATGTCTCATCTCAATTGCAACACACACACACCGAGACCCATGAATGCGAAACGTCAGGCAAGTATAGAACAGACAATCTGGATGATCTGTCTCATGATGGTGAAGGACACCTATGGGGTACCCTAACGTGTTCCTGCATTTCACCGAACATCTCTTCGCATGAATGTCATGTCGATCATTGTATTGAAGACAGATTGCCTTGGAAAACCAAGTAACGCCCATCCAATCCACTCTTCCAGCAAAGAAGTCGCTGTCTATCGATCACCCCCTCAGTCCAACAAATGTCCTCTCAGACGTAAGTTGCCTCGGCGCTTCCCATCTCTTTGCCTTTGAACTCGACAGAGAACTTGAGGTTTGCTTGAGTGGTGTTGAGAACCAGGTAGTAGTGAAGATCGAAGTAGATCTTGCCATCAGCACCGGTCCGCCTCACCAACTGATTCTTTTTGACGCCGCTCAAATCGGCCTTTACCGTGCAGCATTTCTTCACATCCGGTCCAGGGTAATCAGGTGCCGTCTTCGCCTCAGAGAAAAGGAGCTCGTCGTCGAATATGAGATCGTCGGGAGTAAAGAATTTCTTGAGGCTCTGAAAGAACGGAAGTTTGATGGTCTGATCACGTTTCAAATCGGCGCCCATGTAAATGAACCAAGAGAGCTAAAAGTCCATCTTGTCATCAGCTTCTGTAATTACCATGTATTATTCCTGGGAAAGAACGGCTTCCTTACTTTCTCGACTCTGTCCTTGCCTTCGTCAGGCTGGAACTTAGTGACTCTGCCGTGGTCGCTCTGCGGGTCGTAAAGATTCCATGAAGAAACCCCGTAATGTCGGACCGCCTTGGTGGAAACGACAGTGGCCTGGTTTGATAGACGGCTCAGAACGGCACCACTGCAGGAAAGTCAGCCCAAGAAACTTCTTGGATGGTGGCGGACGTAGCAGTAGATCCCGCAAACTTACTTGACAATGGCTTGCCAAGCGTCGGGGGGCTGAAGCACTTGGATTCCCTGAGGCTTGTAGACCCGTTCAAGTCGCTCCTTCAGGTACCGGCTTGAGCCAAACCCACCAACGAGAAAGATTGCCTGTATAATTTGTGTCAACCAACTGCCGGTGAATAACAGTAAGGCCTAGGCAAATACCTTGACATTCTGACCTCCTCGCTTGAGACGGGCATCCGTGACCTGCTTGTCTACCAGTCGTAAAATGTCTATGATGATGGGGTTGAAAATACCCTGCAAAACATCGCTGATTGTATAGGCTCAGTATTGTGACAGAAAATGAACAAGATCAGGTAGTTTGACGTACCCAGTCATCTCCCAGATGTTACCGCTCAAGCCCTCGTCGAAATCGTCCTGGAGATTGGCCTTTGGAAAGCTGACGTACTGGATGTCACCAGGATCACCATTGAAAGCCGTCTTGATGTTTTTGTCGAAGTCATTGACCACCTTCGACCAGCCGACGGTCTTCTTGAGAAGGTAGAACTGGTCTTCACCGACCAACTCTTGCACGGACTCCTCAAAGCGCTTGTTCAGACCCAGAGAACCGGCCATGATTCCTTCTCCAGGAACAAGCTCTCTCAGTTGAAGGTAGGGCTCAATCGACTCGATCTCGTAGGTGATGATATCAACGGTGCCACCACCAGCATCACAGAGAACGAAAGTATCGCCAGCCTAAATGGGAGTGTCAATTCATGCTGAAATATCCCACAAGTAATCCAAAGGCTCAGAGTTCTCACCTTGATGGCGTGGTCGTGAGTGGTCAGCGTGTACAGCGCAGCTGCCTCCGGCTCTTTGATCATGGTGACAGGGTAAATTCCGGCTTTCTTGGCAGCCTGGAATGTGGATGGTTGGTTAGCTTCTCCGTAGAACGTGATTTAATGATCAGACATTATACTGGCCTGCAAAGTCAGGTCTTTGGCCTTGTCAGACCACACAGCGGGAACGGTCAACACAAAGTCTTTTTGGCAGAAGTTGAAGTAGTCTTGAAGGCCGGCAGATTCGACAACCGAAAGAGCGTGCTTATAAATGGCACCAATGAAGTCTGCAGCGATGTCTACAGGGTCCTTGGAGAATGCACGGCGGTCTTTCTTCATGGTGGATGCTGGGAAATACATCGGTCTGTGTTGGCCAGGATCAAGCAGCAGCTTGACTCCACGGACGGCAGGATCACGCCAATTGACTTGACCACCCCACTTGAACTTGGAGGGGTCCTTCTCGTCGTACAGGATGAGGGTAGGAACCTTGGGCTGGCGGTAACCTTCGAGGCCTGTCAGGTAAATGTTAGAAAATGTTTCCATGAAGTCCTCCCAGTAGCATATCAGTCCAGATGATGCTCCTGAGAGGCAAAGTCTCTTGTAGAGTAGCATTCAATGGAAGATCCCCCATGGGATAGTCTCCATGGGATAGCCTCCAGTGGGATCGCCACCCACGCGATGACCACCCGTAGGATAACCACCCGTGGGGTAGCCTTCAATGGACCGTTACCCCAAGGTATGATCACCTGTAGATCGGTCCCCCTTGGAAGCACTTCCACAAGGAGGTATCCGACAGATGAGTCTCTGCGTGTTGCGTGACGGGGTGAGAGGACAGGTAGCAAGCACGGAAGGGGTCAAACTCACCAGGCCAGTCCTGAATGGCCGTGACGTCCACTTTCTTGCCAGGAATGTTGAAGGCATAGGCAACTCCGGAATAAGTGGTGCCGAAATCAAGGGAGATGACCAGGCGGTCCTTCGGCAACTTGTCGATGGGTAGCGACATGGTGGGCGCGTGCTGCCTTCAGCTGCGCAAGTGTTCTTCTCGTAATACGACTGCGCAACACAGGTAGAAATGATGAGGGAGTCTGCATGAAGCGTTCGACAATGTGTTTGGGAAGGAAGCAGGATCAAAACAGTTGTGGGCAGTCAAAGCTGAGAGCTGTTTCGAGGGGGGAAAGCAGTCAGATCTTGGAGCTCTCTAAGCGTTTGAACGGGACTATCTTCAACATCAGATGAAAAAGTGGAGTGCGCCTACTTTGTTGCAGTGGCAGGAGGTGAAGCTAGTGCCTGGAGCTCTTGTTGTTTACTTGGAGCTCCGGTTGACTTTCCGTGGCTTCACCTTTCGTTAGCTTCCAACCCAAGTGCCTGAGGCCGCGTCTTCTATCTCCAGGCTTTCCTCCTTTGTCTGTCTCTCCAGTTGACCTTTCCCCAACACAACATCTAGGCATCAAGTAAGCTGCAAAGAAAAGCTTCGACTCACGGCACCTTCATGTCGTTTCGATGGTGAGATGCCATACTGATACCACGATTCAAGCAGTCTCAACCCATCATCTCGCCGACACAATGACAGACAGAGTGGACGTCGATGCAGACGCGACGTCAGACGCCACCTTCCTGAAGAACAACGGTCAACGCATGCTTCGATCTCGTGGTCTCTCTACCATGGTTCACCAGGAAGATTTGATCGACCTGTCGGAGCCCCAACAGGAAGGCTCCGTGAACATCACCCGCGAGGATCTAGGCGGCCGCCGTCTCGAGCAACCTACAGCAACCAAACCGAAGCTGCAATTGGTAAGTGCAAATTGAAACCTTCCACGTTCCAACACTCACAAATGGGAAACGGCGACAGTTTGTTTCAAACCTCCTTGGCCTATCACCAAACCTGCGTAACAGCCAGCAGGAGCTTTACAGCATGAATATCGAAGACCACCGCGAGTGTCTCGAGGCACAGGAGAATGCCAAAGAGAGACTTGAGAAACGAATCACAAAGGCTACGGGGAAGATCGAGCACTTGGAGTCCAAGATCGAAGCCATGGAGCAGCAACATGAAGCAGAGAAAGAAAATAGTCTCGAGGAGATCGCGAGACTGAACGAGCAGATCAACGATCTCGGCCAAACAAATGACCGCCTCCGCCAGATGCTTGTGCCTGTCTCTGGGAAGCAGACTCTCGACGCCGAGGTGGTGACGAAGTTCGTGAGTCTTCGCATGAGCATCCTCGGACTTGTCAGGCAGACCTGGACTACGAAACTCAGGGACGGCATTGATCTCAGGCGGTTGTCTGGGTACCAGCGAGAGTTCTTCAGATCGAATCATCCAATCACACATAATAGACTGCGATTTCTGGTCTTCTCGCTTGTCCACGGCAATATCCTCGGCTCACAGGGTTACTTCCTTGGAGATGGCTTTGAGCAGCTTGGACAGCTGCTCCTGTCGGCGGAGAGAGAATTGAGTAAGATCTCGTCAAAAGGTGTGCACAACAGCTCTCCAAGACTGCCCATTGCCTGGGCATTCATTTATTGACATTCGAGCAGAGAACCGGAAGGAGATCATGCAGTGGCGCAATGCTACTTTCAAGGCAACAGAGGCCTTCAGAAATGACGGCCATCGCATGTCCTTTGCTACGCAAAAAGAAATCTGGAATATTCTCGCTCCTCTCCAACCGAAGAATGCCGACGCGGAACAAAATGGAAAGAAGAAGCTCAAGGCAATCTGCGACAACGCCGTCGAGCTCAGCCTCATGATTAGGCAACTAAAAGACGACTTCAGGGTTTATGATCTGGCTGGTGCTGTGGGTCAGCGCGTCTCAAAATGTGAAGAGTTCGCTGAGGAGATCGAGTCAGTGGCTACGGAGAATGGCCGGCAATCTGGAACTATTGCATACGTGATCATGGGAGCCCTGGCCAAGAAACCACAAGAGAACTTGGACCAGAATTTGGTGCTCGAGAAGGCCGAGGTCGCAGTCTACCGTTAGAAGAAAGTCTACGGCGGGCGAAGGTGACGGAGATGCAGGACAGTCGGATACTCAACCAGTCGACAACACAACAAAATCCTAGGGTGGATCGTGGCAGGGGTCATGGCTTGCTGAGGTGGAGAAGATCATGAAGAACCGACTCTGAGGTTCATTTTCACTTGGGAGGGAGGAGCAAGGTATTCCTCTCGGTCATTGAGCTCAAGCCATACTGATATCGGCTGCAGAGCATGCATGGAAAGCACGATTACGTTAATCAAGAGAGGAGGTCTGCGTCGGCCAAACTCCCCAGAACCAGCTTCAGAGGAATCGACCATATCACACAGACTGATTCAATGAGTGATTTGTGCACTGGGTGATCACCATGTTTCAAACGACCAGGCCTTTGTTGGTCAGACTATGCCGCGGGCGGTTGCTATTCGGAAGTAGATCTGATAAAATTGGTGGCTAACGTCCCAAAGAGCTCCTCAATCCGCCTGTGTCAGACACTGAAGACGCCGAGTGGGTGTATGAGCACTGCCAGGGTGTTTGTGGACGGCGAAAGCACGGCGCGTTATCCTCGCCTGAGGCCAGTGTGCGGTTGTTCTGGAAATTCAGGGTGTAAGACGTAATCACCGGCAGCCAGACAGCTCCGTCAGGGGCCATGAGGAGCAGACAGCCCACCTGCATTGTGTTACAAGGAGTCGTTCACCTCAGCCGCTTCCCCTTGAAACCTTCATTTTGAGGCAGTACGAAGCGGTGCGAGTGAGTGAATATGACAGCAGAGACGCGTCGAGTTTTGGGTCTGACATGTCCAGCTTTGGGCATGCGTGTGCAGGCAAGCAGCTGGAGTTGACGAAGCGAGACGCAGAGTGGACGTTGGCGGATTACATAATCGCCGACATCATCTCCAAACTCGCCGCCTCCGAGGCAGCCAGCGGCGACACGAGGATCCCTCCATTCGCATACGTCCTCCACAGCAGGAGCCATGTTTTCATGACAAGAACCCACGCACTTGAATATGACCAAATTCTTCTGCCCACTATGGCATTCTGGGTGAACTACATTATCAGGACAGCCCTCATTCTCGAGGTAAGTGGCTTCCTTGCCACCTCCGCTGGACTCCCATCCTTCACGCCTCGAATCCACCGCGGAAGCCGCAGCTAACTCCGGATGATTTGCAGGACTACATCGTCGAGCGGGTACGAATCGAAACAAACATCTCGACCCCCAGACCCCAGACAGACTGACACGCGTGCCACAGATCCTCCGCAGCCCGGGCTTCCACAACACCGTCCGCCGCATCCACCGTAAAGTACAAGACCAAAGACATGGCCGCGATCCGAACGAGCCCCTGCGTCCGGGTGAGGCTACAGAACTTCCCGGGCCCAACGAAAACAAGTCTTTTCCGAAATACTTCGTCGAGGAGTTGATGAACCAGTTCCGTGGCTCGCCGACGAACCCCCAGCCGCCGCCCGGCCCTCCACGAAAGCCGAGATGAAGCTGAACCCGCTGCCATGTTAGCGAACAAGCATGTGTACAGAGAAAATGGAGCCGAACTATATACCTACCGATATGCAGGACATGCCTCACACGTGGGCATGTCCAATTGGACTGTGTGAATGACACAACAGTAGCCTGGTGGCGAACGGGCACGCCTAGCAACATCGGGCGCGATCGTCCTACCGTTTCCGTTCCCGATCACGAGGACTTCATCTCAAGAAACGGGGGAACTCGGACATTTTGACGGCAGCGGTCAGATTTGAGTATTCATAGAGATGACCACGAAGGCCGCCACGGCCCCATACCGTCAGTGCGACTGCACGGCCAGCGCTTGGGGTGTGTCACGTCAGGGGCACTCCAGGGCAGCGGTCGAGTGGCAAGAGGCCAAGGTAGAAGGTCGATGGGCATTGTGGAAAGCCAAGGGGAGCTGAAGGGCCCGTTTCTCACTCTGTATCACTAACTAGGCAGTGTGGTGTTATCAAAGCTGACTGTTGTGGTCGGTAATGTTGGATTTGAAAGCAGTCTTTCAAAACAACAGACAAATAAGTATACAGTATGCTCCCCTTCACGATGCATCCGAGTCCTCGCGCGACACCTTCTTCCAGACCTCCTCAACCGGGCATCCAGGGCTGGCAATACACTCCCACTGACCAATTCCGTACTCCTCTGGTGCAACCCTGCACCCTCTGCCACCTCCCCCGACAATAAGGTTGCCCGGGCGGTATTTAGTGTCTGCCTTCATTCTCCGAATCACACTTCCGTGTACCTTCACATCGTCCGGAATGTCGCGGACTTCTCCGGCTGGTAAGGGCCAGCGGATCGGCTTCCAGGTCCCATCCGGCTGGAGGTCCATCCGCCGGAAGGGTATGTACTCCATCATCTTCCACGCTAGCACCGATGTATAGCTCATCCCGCAGTCATGGCTGAGGGAGTCGTGGGTGCGAGCCACATGGGCTTGGTGCATCAGATCATGGAAGGAACTCTTTTGAGGCTCCTGGGCGGTGGCAGTATGGCCGTTGCTGTTGCTGACGGATTCCATCCCGGATTCTTCATTCGCATTCGGCGAGTCTGGAGGGGTCAAAGAGTCGACGCGGATGGCCGGTACGGCAGGGTGTTGGTCTTTGGACGCAGGCTCGCAGTCCAAGACGTCAGCACATCCCATAGCCACAACCTTCTCCGTGTCAAACTGCAGGCCAGCCTTCATGGCCTCGCGCACCAGCCATACAAGCGGCACATGGCTGGCGCTTTTGGTGCCGGGATCGACGTCCCATCCGCCGCCAACATCGCCGTGGCCTCCCGCGAACCAGACTTCGTCGATATCCTGCTCCGCCTCGTCCTCCGACTCTGGCTCCTCGCCGTCATCGCCGGGGCCGGTCTGCGACAGCGTGGATGCGCCGTCGTCGGCTGTGCCGTGGGTGGCTCGAGACTTTGAGCGCGAGCGTCTCCGATACGGCGCGGGCTGCCCAAGCTCATCCTGCCCCGGCACGAAGAGCGATTGCCGACGTCCGCGGTCTTCTTTCTCAACCGCAACGGCGTCTCCGCCAGTCGAACCTGACTTAGGACGATGACGGTATTTTTCACGGATGCCGTGCATCATCTGGTTCTTGCCGTTGTGATGGATTCCGTGTTGTTGTGGCTTCTTCTTGTTGCTCCCTCGGCTTTGGTACATCAGGTCCTGGCGGAACTTTGCCCGCCGCTCATCGATGCTGACAGCATGACGGATGACCTTGGCCGAGCTACGCGCCGTGTACGGGAACTTGCTCCTCTCCATCCATGCCGTCTCGAACCTCGGCACGGAGTTGACCGTGTCGAACAGTCCCAAGAATCGGATCCTTCTCACCGGCCTGCTGAAAGTCTCGCGGAAGCCCTTCATAAACTCATACATCTCCGCCTTCTTCTTCAACCCCTCGACGTCCCCCTCGCCGGCGGTGCGGCGGCACTGCCACTGCGAGAAGGCCTTCCACGCGAAAGCGACCATCTCCTCGTTGCCGTGCGACAGCAGGCCCACGTAGTCGAGCATCTCGGCCAGGAACCGCGCGATGTACGCGCCGCGGCTGAAGCCGAAGATGTAGATCTCGTCGCCGGGCGAGTAGAAGCGCATCAGGAAGCGGTACCCGCCCACGACGTGCTGGTCGAACGACGAGCCCACCGCGCTGTCCTTGGCCTTTGTGTACCAGGAGCGGAGCCGCGACCGCAGCGAGGTGTGCGAGAGGGACTTGGAGACCACATAGGTGCCAATCCCGGCTGCACGATCAAAGGCACGAAGTCAGCTTTTCTCTCATGTCCAACAATGCCTTGGAGGTGCTTTCGTGGTACTCACGCTGGTAATAATGATACTGGTCATTGGCTTCTCGATCCAACATCCTGAATATCTTCAGGATATTCGAGTCGCTATCATTGCCATGAAACTTGTTCCCCGTCCCATCAAAACACAAGATGAGTTTCCGGGGCTTCTGTCGTCGCCCCGGTGCTGCGCTGACATTTCTGTGCATCGTCGGTCTAGGGATAGGGGTGAGTGCTCTGCTGGGCGAGGGAATGGGGAGGAACCGGGTGTGGAGAGCTTCATTCGTGCCTGGTATAAGTTCCGGGCTCACAGCCTGACCGCCTCCCCCGGACTGGGCGATCTCCGTATTACGAAGAAAAGGCTCTTGTCCTGCAGCCATTTCTCGGTGTGTCCTGTGTGGCTACCTTTACCCAATTATGCAAAAGGTTTTACTCAATGCTGCGTCTTGCATACATGCCCAGCTCAGCTCAGCCCGTGAGTGGGGGTAGACACTGCATGCCAGTGAGGCGCACATCGATTTACAAATAACTGCTCCTCATGTACAGACCAGTGCCCGCCCCGTCTCACCGGTGGGTCCGTAGTCTGACGCCCATCGACAATGACTTCCAATTTTGCTGGTCATTGGCTCGCAAACGCTCTTGTTCATCAATCTAGCACCATTCGGTGACGCACTGAAAGCCAGCCGCTTGAAAGCCATCGCACTCCATCTTGCCAGATCTGCGGCCAAAGGGCAGAGAGCGGCTGAACGCCCAAGTAGGCATATCCTGAACAGGAACCGAATTGGACCATCTGCATGTCTCGGCTCAATCTCCAACATTTTGCTTGTGCCATCGAGTCGATGCAGGGCCCCCTCGTGTCCTGCGATGATGACATGGTGTACAGGGATGGGACCGGAATATTGCCCATTGGCTCTTTCAGGGCCGTGTTTGCCATCAAGGGTTCATTGGCAAATCAGTTTCCGTGACGTTTTGTCTACGATCTCACGGCTCCTCGCGGGGGCTAGGGAGCCGGGACGGCCCAGAGGCAGCGACGTCTTCCGTTCCCCAGACAAAGACAGCTGCCCACCCGCTGGTCCCACGCCGTCCTACGTGATACGCGCCAGCTCGGCCGGGGGCTTGCTTCTTCTGGGTGCAACACCTGCACCTCATTCCTCGGAGGGCTGCAGCCGAGAGATAGCCTCGCGTCGGCAATCCCATTAGCATCGCACATCAGTCCTTGGCATTATTCAGCCCTTTTATCATGTCAGATCTGGGGGACCATTCTTGACCGCAAACCACACGCAGGGCCTCCCACAAGCGTCAAGGGTGGCTGGCTCGATCACACCTGAAGCTGACGATCATGGCTGAGATGAGCACCGGGGGCAGCAGCAGGCTCTGTGGCTCTTAATAATCGACGCCCGACCTGCGCGCCACGTAGCCAGGCACGAATGGCACGGCATGCGGGTGTGCCACCGCTCGAGGGGCCACCAGATAAGATGTCTACAAAGAAATCATTAGCTGGGCTGGCTTGAGTCACTGATCGGCGTCCACGATACCATCCCTGGCCACTCAGCTCGAGCTGCATCCATCTCGATTGAGGGGACAAGGGCTTCACACGGGCGGTAAACACTTTGATATCATGCGCGGGGCGCCCATTTAACGATCCCTTTGAGGATGGGAAGTTCGCGCTCCCAGCTGCCGGTTCGCACCCCACAAGCACAGTTTCAGTAGCCCGAATCAACATCAGTGGCGCCAAACAAGTGCATCAATCGGTGAGGAGTTGTGCTGCCGAAGAAGCAATTTGAACCTGCTCACTCCACCCCCAAAATCCCTTCGACTGTATCAGACGCGGTGTCTTGTCTTGTGTTTGAGATTCCCCGATCGTGGAAGATTCGACTCCACTGCCTCATCTGAGCAATAATTCAAGGGAATCCTGTGTACAGAAAACATACACTCAACATGGGTCCACCCAACTCAGGAGCAACAAACGGCGTCAACGGCGACTACGGTGTCCTGGAGTCAAGAGCGAACTCGAAGCCCACAAATAAGTTCGAGCCTCCACCTGGACCTCCGGCGCCACTGGCAACTGCAGAACACCACAAACCGCTTGGGGCTGACCGTGATGGCGTTACGGCCGCCTTCAAGCGGTTTGCTCAGTCCATCCATGCGTCTCAACGCCCCCTGCCCACGCAGCTTGGGGATGGGACGGGGAATACCAGAAGGAAGCAGACCGGCTTCAAGGTTGACTTGAAGCACCTTGGCAAGAAAGGTACGCAACTTTCGTCACCCATTGCGCATGCGAGACTGACCTGACTCCGGTAACAGATGTCAAGACGATCGTGGACCTCGTCAAGAGTAAGATCCACGGGACAGATCCACTTGATGACAAGACCATGCTCATGGAACGCATCATCATGATTGTCGCTGGGCTTCCTACCAGGTCGAGGACTCGGGTCTTGTTGACGAACCAGTTCATCGGCGAGCTCTGGTACAGCTTAGACCACCCTGTGCTCAATTACATCGGTGACAAGACCATGTATCGCGCCGCGGATGGCTCCAACAACAATCCTCTGTATCCGTCCATGGGCGCAGCGGGAACAACATACGCCCGCTCGGTCCGTCCTACAATCATGCCTCCTGGAGCCTTGCCTGACCCGGGGCTCGTTTACGACTCTGTTATGAGACGCTCGGAAACCGGTTACAAGAAGCATCCCAACAACGTCTCAAGCATTCTGTGGTATTGGGCCACTATCATCATCCATGACCTCTTCTGGACAGACTATCCCGATATGACCAAGTCCAAGACGTCTTCGTATCTGGACTTGTCGCCGCTGTATGGAAGCAACCAGAAAATGCAAGATACCATCCGCACCTTCCGCGACGGAATGCTCAAGCCCGACGCTTATGCCGACAAGCGGCTGAATGGCATGCCAGCTGGCGTCTCGGTCCTGCTCATCATGTTCAACCGGTTCCACAACCACGTCGCGAAGCACCTCGCACTCATCAACGAGGGCGGCCGCTTTGCGCCACCTACCAGCCCACGACCGGACACCTTAGACCCCCAGCCAGTCAACAATGACGAGAAGGCAGATGAGGCTTACAAAAAGAGCCAGGCCGCGTGGAAACAGTACGACGAGGACCTATTCCAGACGGCTCGCCTCGTCACCTCCGGTCTGTACATCAACATCACGCTGGTGGACTACGTGAGGAACATCGTCAACCTCAACCGCTGCGATACCACCTGGACGCTGGACCCGCGGCAAGATATGGGCCGGGATGCTGGCACGTCCAAGGGTGCCGAGGCAGGCACGGGCAACGTCGTCTCTGCCGAGTTCAACCTCTGCTACAGGTGGCACAGCTGTATATCTGAGAAGGACGACCGCTGGATCCAGGAGTTCTACGCCGACTTGTTCGGGAAACCTGCCAGTGAAGTCAACCACGTCGAAATGGTCAGGGGCTTCTCAAAGTTCGAGCGCAGCATCCCCGAGGACCCAGCGGAGAGGACATTCGGCAAGTACAAGCGTGACCCAACAACCGGCAGGTTCAAAGACGACGACCTCGTGGAGTGCATCACTTCGGCCATCGAGGACTGCGCGGGCGCGTTCGGCGCGCGCAACGTGCCCATCTCCATGCGGCCGGTGGAGATCCTGGGCATCCTGCAGGCGCGCAAGTGGCACGTCGCCGGCCTGAACGAGTTCCGCCGGCACTTCGGCCTCAAGCCCTACGAGACCTTCGAGGACCTCAACTCGGACCCGGAGGTGGCCAGCTCCCTGCGCCACCTGTACGAGCACCCTGACTTTGTCGAGCTGTACCCGGGCCTGGTCGCCGAGGAGGCCAAGCAGCCCCTGGTGCCCGGCGTGGGCATCGCCCCGACGTACACCATCTCGCGCGTGGTGCTGAGCGACGCCGTCTGCCTGGTGCGGGGCGACAGGCACTACACTACCGACTACAGCCCGCGGGCGCTGACGAGCTGGGGCTTCAACGAGGTGCAGTACGACCTCAACGTCAACCACGGCTGCGTCTTCTACAAGCTTTTCCTCCGGGCTTTCCCCAACCACTTCAAGCAGAACTCTGTCTATGCGCACTATCCAATGGTCATCCCGGCCGAGAACCACCGCATCCTGACGTCCCTCAGGCGCGCGGACCTGTTCACCTGGGACCGCCCAGTACACAGTCCCGTTCGTGTCGAAGTCGACTCAACTGATAGCTCCAGCCAGGTCAATCAGGCCTGGCGCGAAGGCATCAGTTCGCTGTTGGATAAGGACGCTATCCGCGTCACATCCAAGACTGGCGCACCCTCAACTAATGGGGAGAAACGAGGTGCGCAGAATACGTCAGGCGACGCGCTGCCGGAGGCGGCCAAGGTATTCTACAAGCAGACGACGGAGAGATTGCTCAAGGAGAAGAGCTACATGCTTGGCGGAAGCCGCATGGTTGACATCGTGCGAGACGTAGGCAATGTCGCAAATGTAAGTAGCCCGCCTGTCCATTTTGAAGAACGCCTGTTATTGACATCTTGCCCCAGGTACACTTCGCCTCACGCCTCCTCAACCTGCCTCTCAAGACCACCTCGAGTCCAAAGGGTATCTACACCGAAGAGGAGCTGTACTCCGTTCTAGCACTGATCTACATCACCCTCTTCCTGAATGAAGACGCCGTCAAGACCTTCCCCCTCAGGCAGGCGGCCAAGACCATAAGTGAGCAGCTGGGCAAGGCCATTGAGACCAACACCGGCACGGGCTCTCGCGGATTCAAGAGCTTCTTCGGTGAGGCAGGCCGAGTAGACCCAGTGCACACTCACGGTACAGGCTTGATCAAAGGCTGGGGCAAGGGCGGCTTGAGCGCGTCTGATATCGCCTTGGGTCACATCTTACCCACAGCCTCTCACATTGTCGCGATTCAGGGCTCGCTGGTAAGTAACTGCAATCTAAATTAGCCACTCGATCCTGAGCTGACTCGATGATAGTTTGCCCGAGCTGTGGACTTCTACCTCTCTCCCGCAGGCAGTGACCATCTTCCTGCAATTCGAGCCCTTGCCAGCCAAGCAAGCTCGGATGCGAACACCAGGGAGCTCCTGGGCTACGTCATGGAGGGCATCCGTATGTCGGGAAGTTCTTCTACCTCGGAGGACAGACTCGACTCCGAGGATTCCCTCAAGGTGACACCAACAAGGCCCTCGGAGGAACACGGCGACTACGGATTGGGCTCCAACCCTCACCTGTCGCGCGACGTGCACACCGCGGCCCTGACAGAGATGTTCCGCGCCGTGTTCAGCAAGAAGAACATCCGGCGCGCCCCGGGCCCACAGGGCGAGCTCAAGAAGGTCGCGCAGGCGGACGGGTCGTGGGCCTACCTGACCGAGGACTGGAGCAGCATCACGCCTCTGCCGACCTCGATGCGGTTGTGCTGGGACGAGGACTGAGTTGTTATTATTATTAGGGCCCTTGCCCGATAAGTGAACCCGGGTGCGACGTGCGCACGGCAGATCCCTTCGGATAGTGGACGAGAAGGTTACACTCAATTTCCGGCGAGGGGAACTATAGCAGTATTATCATTATTACTCTTCATGAATATCCAGCCCCCAACTATAAAAGAACGCGCGGAACCGTTCCTATTCCTTCTTCCTTCCCTTGCCCTGGGGCCCGTCTTATCACAGCAGCTGACAAATTTCCCGAGTGGTGGCCAATCCCTCGCACGCGTTGCTGCCGTAGCATTCGCTGGAGCTTCCTCCCCCCAGGCTCTGCCGTTGCGTTTCCGATTCAGGTTTCAGCTTCTTCCCAGCCTTATACGTGATGCGCCGTCGATCCCATTTTACAATTTCGTGACGGCATGATCCTCCCTGAATGCCGCGTCGCACCCGGTAGCGGGTCTCCCACAACACGAAAACTCTGTGCCTCACAAGCGCGTTTTTTCCTTCCCGGGCGTCGTGGTTTTTTCGTATCCCTCGGCAACGTACATTGCAAGTGTTGTAAGAGGATTGGTAGCCGCTGCACCCGGGCGCGAAAGTAGTGTAGACTAGACGTGCCGAGCTTGCGAACCAGTTGACAAGGATCCGGATGTGAGCCTATCCGGAAAGTTGCTGCAGTGCAACTGTACACGTCCCCCGGGTTCTTGGGCTGGACCGTATCTGGACCGTATCCAGCTGCCCTGGTAAGTTTACCCAGGCAACTATAATAACATATACATCTCGGCCGAGAGCTTGTTTGTGTGGTGGCCTGGGCGCTAGAGCAACCACCTACCACCACCACTACAACAACACGAAATGAAGGCACGTCCGCGTTGCAGCCTGCCAAGTGCTTGTCGTTCGCGCCGGCTGTTCCCGCGGCTTCTTGCGGAGTGAAAGGACGCATCATGAGCTGATCATGTCTTCCTCATAACTTGCTTTATCAACGATCACCCTTGTACGAAGCCGCATGCGCCTAACCTTCGTGCTGTTGGCTTCTCAACATTTCACGGCGTGCGCGATGAAGATCCCGAGAGAGAATATCAAGTCCACTGGACTCAGCGTGGTCTATGAGCCAGACAATCGCACCGATGTCAATCTCGAGTATGATTCCTTCTCCTCGGTCCGCTCACAGTCTTATCTGACCACAATCAGCATCATTCTCGTTCACGGCCTGGGAGGCCACCCAGTAAAGACATGGCTTCACACACCAGCAAACGAAGCCCCAGCCAAGAAGCCGTCATCAACAAACCTCGCCTCATCATCAGAGAACGAGCCCGTGCGAGCGCTATCGCTGAAACACCTCGCCTCCCCGAACCTCAAGAAGGGCAACACGCTCAAGAAGCCGCGGAACGGGGAAGCGCCCCCGCGGCTGCGCGTGTTCGGATCGCCGCTCCGCCCGCGGTCGGTTGACTTTTCGGACGGCACTAGGGGGTCGTCCGAGAATGTCACGGCCCAGAGGCCTGGCAGGACCCAGCGGCGGGGGTCCCGCCGCAACCGTCGCGCCGCCCCAGCGCCGCGGCAGAGCCCACCTGGGGGGTCGAGGCCCGCGCTGCGGAGATGGGCGGGCGATGACGAGGAGGCCGACGAGGCCTGTGACCTGGCGACCTTTTGGCCCTCTGACCTGCTTCCAGACTTGTGTTGCGACGCCAGGATATTCACCTGGGGGTTCCGCACGCGCACAGCCGACGGAATGCTCGTCCCGGGGCAGTTCGATATCTTCAGTCGGGGCAGGGAGCTGTTGAACGACGTGAATGATCTGATTGCCTCTTACGGGGAGCACGGTCAGAGCCGAGAGGTGGTCTTCGTAGCCCACAGCACGGGCGGGATAGTTATCAAAGAGGTTGATGAATCATTCCCTTGGGCACACTCTGCCCTGCTCACTTTTACTGACATGTGTAACAGATGCTCCGCCTCGCACACTCATACGAAGACACCCAGAACAGGCCGATGCTCGCATCGATAGCAGGCATTGTTTTCATCGGGTGTCCGCTGAGGGATTCGGCCAGCGGGACCATGGTGGAAGCCATGAGAAGCATGGCGGCCGCGGCGATAGGCGTGGATATGCATGACCATGTCCTCCAAGACCTCCTTGGCGGAGATACACCACTGGCTTACGAGGGCCGTGACGCTCTTGAGGCGATACGGCATGAGTATGGCTTCCCGGTAAAGACGTACCGAGAGACGATCATTATTCCACCGGCGGACGACACACTGTGGCCTTGGGTAGCTCTGGCGCTTCGTCGAGACTCGGGGTCCTTGGAGGGTGAGAAAGAGCAGTCGGAGTATATCGAGGCGGACCATCTCAACATGTGCAGATTTGCCTCGGCTGGGAATGCCGGATATCGCTCGATCGCCTCGTTCATTCTCAGGCTGGCGCACCATCGGTTGCTAAGGGTAAGAGGGTCACGATTTCTCCTCCGCGACACGAAATTGAGCTGCAAGGCGACTCACACTCACTTCCTACAGAAGCACCGCTTGACACCGGAAGAGGAGGCCAGCCTGCGATTCTTGGCAGTGCCTGAAAGCACAAGTCAGCCTCCCCAATCGTCGACGCCAACCATAATGTTTCCAGAGATGCCAACTCGTAAGGCACCACCTTGGCTGCTTAAGCATCCAGCCTTCAGGTCATGGTACCACCGCAACAACCCTCAAGACCGCCACAAACCCCTTTGGCTCCGCGGTCCAGCAGCGTGCGGCAAGTCGGAATTTCTGTCATCCCTGATCTCCCACATCTCGACCGAGTGGTCGCCTGCAACCAACAGCAGCGCCATTACCACCGTCATTGTAGAAGGCGAATCACTGCTCGAGTCCATAATCCAAAAATCAGACGGTGCACCGGGCCATAATTACGACAGCAGAGACACCAACCAGGACAAACAGTACACCACCACCACCACCACCACCACCACCACCCCTCCCGACCAGACGGGCAAAAGCAGTAATAGCAGCAGCAGCGCGCCCACGGGTGGCCCGACACATGAAACAGCATCCCCCCTGCGGACCATTCTCCAGCATCTGTGGGCGCACGACCCGCGGCTGCGGAACCTTGTGGGCGGGCTGGCCAAGGCATCATCCCTGCGAGCCAGGGAGGCAGATTCATGCGACCGGCCTGACAGGACGCAAAGTGACGCCGGGGCCCGGGAGCCACAGCCGCAACACCCCAAAGTCTATTCTCGGCGGCCGAACAGTGGCCCCGGCGGCGGTGGTGCTGCTACTAAAGGCGCTGCTCAGGGGCCGCGGCGCAAGGGGCAGCTGGCTGCTGACGTCGGCGGCAGCAAGGAGGCAGGCCGGACTGCCCGCGAACGCAACGACGGCGGCGAAGAGGACGATGCTATCGCAGATGACGACCGCCTGCGCAGCGGACACAGCAGCCAGCACCACTACCTGGACGGCGCGCGCCTCGTCTCGTTCTTTCTAGAGGACTACCTGCGACTCCAACTGCCACAGACCAGAGCACAGGCCAGGGAGGAGGGAAGCCGTGCGGCGGAAGTGAAAGTCAAACCCGAGGAGGAAGACAAGGGCAAGAAACCCAGCGCCGCCCGCCCCGAAGACACAAACTCAGCGGTCGTCGTCGAGACACCAGGTACGAGGCGCATCTTCGTCTTCGTCGACATCGCGCCCACGACAGCACCCGCCACCGCGCGCGACCTCCTCTGGTGCCTGGCCCAGCTCGCGCGCCGGAGCACACTGAGCATCTGCGTCGCGTCGCGGGAGCTCGACGGCCCCGGGATGGCGATCAAGCACGGGGACTCATACGCGGAATGGCTGCGCGGCCCACGCGGCGCGGCAGCGGCGATGGAGGATGTGCGCAACGAGGAGGAGGAGGAGGAGGGCGAGGAGGAGAGCACAATGCTGACGGTAGATGTTGCAACGTCCAACGCCGAGGACGTCGCGAGCTACATCGAGGCGGCCCTCCTCCCGGACATCGAGGACCGGGACGTCCTGGCGGCCAAGCTGGCGGAGCGGTCGCGCGGCGTCATGTTCTGGCTCGAGCACGCCGTCGCCATCGTCAACGACGCCAGCGAGGACGGCGTGTCGGGCGAGATCGTGTGCAGCATGCTGGACGACATCGCGCCCGAGGTCAGCCCACCCGCAGTGGTAGCAGGGGCAGGGACAGGCCCCATGCTGCAGGTCGCCTCGAGGAGCCGCAGCGGGTCGTCGTCGTCGGTCATGGCGGCGGCGAGGGCGCAGGATCCCGGCCAGGCGAGGCTGGACGATCTTTATACTTGGAAGCTGAGGCGGCTGAGCGTGGGCGAGGCGCGTGCTGCTCTGGTACTCATGCAGTGGGTCATGCTGGCACCCGAGGCGCTGAGGCTGAACGAGCTGCTGGTTGCGATACGGTTGACGATGCTTGTCTGGCCGCAGAACGGTAGGAATGCCGAGGAACAGGGAGGTGACTTGGGCGCGAGAGCACTCGACATTGAGCCGCCGATGAGCTTGCGAGATCTGCGACGAAGACCAGCCGGAGGAGCAGAGTACGTACCGGCCGACAACCCGTCGCAGTTCTGGCGGTGGGCACGGCGAATATCGCAAGGGCTGGTGAAATTGGATGGGGAGTCGAGGAGCACGACCAACAGCAGCAACAGCAAGGTCTCGTCCGAGCCACTCGGCCTCCAGCGCGTGGTGCCCGCCCACGAGTCGGTGCGACACTTCTTCCTCGAAGGAAGAGGTTTCCAGATCCTCACGCCGTTGCCATTACCGACGCAGTCCCCCAGCAGCAAGACAAAACAACCACCCCCAACAATAGAACAGCTCATCGACACGAGCTACTACGCCCTCCTGCACACATGCCTAGTCTACCTAAACATGACCGACTTCGACTCCCTAAGCCGCACCAGCAGCGCCAACAGCAACACGACCTCCGCCCACATCCGCACCCCGTCCGAGCCCCCCTCAGAGGCAGAGGAGGAATCCACCCGCCTCCACCGCTCCAACGCCGAGGCCCAGCGCGCCCTCGTGACATCCTCCTACCCCCTCCTGCGCTACACAGTAGACAACCTCCTCTTCCACCTCCTCCGCCCGAGGGCCCTGCGCTACTTCCCCCCGCAGGCCCGCCTCCTGCGCCTCCTCACCGCCGACGGCTGCCGCATCTGGCGCCGCTGGACCCGCCTCCTCGGCATCCCGGACACCACGGGAGCAGACGTGCCCGGCGCGGTGCTGGACAAGGCCCGCCAGCGCCCCAGCGCCGCCGTGCTGCTGCGGCCCGTCTACGGCGCCTCCTTCCGCCTCGAGAGGGTCCTGCGCCGCGCGTGCAAGACGGCGCGGGAGCAGGCCGTGCTCGCGGCGAGGGCGAGGGCCAGGTCGAGGCTGAGGTCGCAGCGGAGCGCGAGGAGTGTCAAGAGTGCCGCTGGGGACAAGGCGCCTCCTACGCCTAGGACGCCCACGCGGCCGCCGATGGTGCGGTCCGCGAGCGAGCAGAGTGTTGTGTTTGCGCTGGTGGGCGGAGGGGATGATATGCCCAAGGCACAGTGGTTAGTGCCCAAGAGCCCGCGGTCGCCGCGGCTGAGATCTGATTCCCTTGGGTCGATTGGGTCGTCGCCCATGTCCAACCCGGCGTCTCCTGGAGTGCTTCTTGGGATTCAAGAGGTTTGATTTTTGATTGCGGCACGGCGTCTGGGGGATCATGACGGGATGAATATCTTATATCCATGATGGACTGGTTACTTTTCGACTATAGAAGTTCGCCTAACAGAATGAATGCAGCGTGTCAGTGTGTGGCCTTCATGCGCGAATGGTTTCGCTCCGTGCTCCAAACAATTTTTCTTCATTGTAAGCCATGCATACGTTTTGGAAGTCTCACTCGGCTGTTCAGATGCAAATGAACACCTGAAGAATAACACAATTTGCATTGCGTTGGGTAAAGACATCTAGAGACCATTGTTGACATGGGTCCAGCATTTAAAAGTACACCCGCTTTTCCTGCTCAACATCATCTAGCCGACACATGCATCCCCCTACAGGAGGCTCTCACCCAGCGCACACCTGACCAAGCTGCATCCCGCGCGCACCGTCTCGCTAGCGCCAGGGTCATGCTCGCCGGCCACCAGGCTGGGGTTAACCTCCACCAGGTCCATGGCGATCAGGTTGCCCGTCTCGTGCACACACTCAGCGATGTAGTCACCCTCGCGCAGTGTCAGGCCGCCGCGGACGGGGGTGCCCGTGCTGGGAGCCCATTGAGGGTCGAGGGCGTCGACGTCAAAGCTGAGGTGGATGGGGGTATCGTTGCCAATGTGGGCGAGGGCCATCTCCATGACGCGGCCGATGCCATGTCTGGTTGGCAGGTGTTAGCTGTTGTTTTTCCGAAAATCAAAAGAGGGACTAACCTGTCAATGTCAAACATGCTGAACGCCTTGATGCCGTTCTCCCTCAGTATTCTCTTCTCGCCCGCGTCGACGTCCCGCAGGCCGATGTACACCAGTCCGCAGTGACAGGCGGTTTGACTCTTCCAGCCAGCCAAAGTACTCCTCCTTGTCCTCGTTTGCTAGCCCCGTTAGGAAGGCAACGGGCATGCCGTGGATATTACCAGATCCAGACGTCTCTGGGGTGTTGATATCTGCGTGGGCGTCCACCCAAATGACGGCGACCTCGCGGTTAAGTCTCTCGCGAATGGCTTTTGCGGTGCCGCCGACGGTACCGACGGCGATGGAGTGATCGCCGCCCAGGGTCAGCACGAGACGGCCCTGGCTAGCGTGGCTGTAGACCTGGTCTGCGATGCGGCGGGTGACAGCGGAGACGGCCTTGGGGTTCTTCATGCCGCGGTAAGGAGGGTCGTTGCCAGCCTGAGGCACCAGGTCGGTGTACAGGTGGACGGTGTCGTCGCCATGCAGCTTGTAGCCCAGCTCATCGCGCAGCTGGGTCAGCAGGCCAGACTCGATCAGGGCAGAGGGGGCAGCGTCAACACCTGGCTTGCACTGGGCGGGAAGTGGTGTTAGCTTTCATGTAAACCCTCCTGGAAACAGCTACCTTGCTATTTTAGGTTGGAATTGAGGGGTCCCGGACGTACCTGTCCACCGGAGAAGCCAACAGCTACCACACCCAAGTCCTCAGGGTTGGACAGGAACTTGGACTTGATCATGCTAGTGTTGAGACCCTTGTAGTGGTTGTAGTGACCGTAGGAGACGCTAGCCTTGCGCTTCTTGTTGGCGCTGCCGTTGCTGTCGCCAGCCGCGGTGGCAGTGCGGTCTTCGAGGGTTGGAGGGACCATGATGGATGGGTTGAGGGAATGGAAGGAGTGGTGGCCAGGTCCTTTATGGAGGTGTCTTTGTTTCTCTGAAGTGGTGGTGGTGACAACAGGAAGGATTGCAGTCTGGCTGATTACCTGACTGACTGTCGGCGCCGTTCGGCTTTGCGGGCCAGGGAAGGGAGGACGGGCAGCAGTAGCTCGAGAGAGAGAGTGACGTTGGAACGCTGCTAGGGCGCAACCTTGGGAGCTCGGGAGTGAGCACGAACGCTTGGCGGCAGGCACGGACGGCGGAGGTCAACGGCAAACGGGCTCGAGCTTGGAGCTGGAGCTGGAATTGAAGCTGGAGGCTTGCTTGTGAAGATCAGATGCCTGTCTCAGTTGCTTGATGCTGTGTGACGACGGCGAGTACTGCCGGTGAGGGTGTGGTGATCTGGACTGCGCGGATTATCGACAGGATATCAGATCTCAATTCGGTCGCACTGCACTGCACTGCACTCTGCCGCTCAAAAAGAGTCAATCAATGTCGTGTCCCAGCCGGTCTGAAAATGGCTCATCCAGGACGAGCAGGAAGAGGGTGTCGGCCATCCTTTAAATAGACCGACTTGAGGCCAGCCGGACGCTGCCAGCTCAACAACAGGAATGAGCATCGGCAGCGGAATGGGACGGGCGCGAGCGAGCGAAAGGGGCGCAGGACCAAGTGCGTGCAAGGAAGCAAAAAGGCCAGCTGACCGGCCGACCGCCTATCTGTCCCCTCCATGGCGCGCCATTTCGTAACAAATTGAGTAAGATCAAAGTCAGACCAAGAAGGGGGCCGTGATGATTTTTCTGGTGTTGTCCCCTAAGTGCAGGTATAGCCATCTCCTGCACTTAGGGGAAGTCGCATCCTGGGGCTGCCCTTGTCATTCTCCGTCATCGGGTCCCACCTGCTGCTCTCGGCTGCAGGGTCCACTCTTCCTTATCTCCCGTCTCCCGCTCCTTCCACCCTCATCGGGCAAGCGCCTTCCGAGCTCGTGAGCTTGTGAGAGCCGTATCCAGCCGCTTGTACGCTTAGAGACTACTTTGTCCCTGCCGCGCATTTCAACAACAAAACAAGACAACACAAGATGCGGTTTGAACATCATATTCTTAATTTTTGCCAGAAGAGGTTACTTTCTTGCTTATATGATAACGTGAATCACCGTATATCGACGCTAGATGTAAGATTTCATTGTTGACAGTCCACAAAGCTGCAACTCCCAGAAAATTGACCGGCAAATTATTTTACCGGCTTGTCCCCATGCCCCGGTGTCGCTGTGACAGTGTAACCATATAGACTGCAGGTGGATGGGCCTCAGATGACATGGAGACACAAGGCAGCACAGTACTGGTCTGCACCGTAATCGCCATCATACCCATCAGCCACCAACCCTCGCGCCCGACTAGACGCCCCAAGAGCTGACACGATGGAGTTACCAATCACATTCGTGTAGACCTCACTGGTCTCTCTTTCCGGTCCTCACTTCCCAATATGACCCCAATAATTGGACCAGTTCGGCGTGTCGAACGCTGAGGGTGGCATCCGACGGAAGGCAGTGCACGCCACTGTCCATAAGGCAAGCCGCGCAAGAGCAAACAATGGAAACGTGACCGCAAGGGTGTTCGTTTTGTTCAAATATACGATGAGGGATCCAAGAGGAAGAGCAGCCAACGCGCAGGACCGCCAAATCCACGACTCGGCCGCAGAGGGAAACGGGTACTGCCAGGCAGCCAAATGAACCCCCGTGACGATGACGAGGCTCAGAATCACCAGCCAAGAGATGCATCTGCTGACCAGCACTTGCAGGTTACAGGGACTGCTTTCTCTATCTCTTGTCACCCCCTCGAACCCCCTCAAGTCGACTTCGAACTCGTCCTCGATGTCCTGTGGGCAGCGGAACCAGGCCGCCATGGCGATGAGCCCGCAGCACGCGTACGCCATCGTCACGTCCTCCAGCAGCGTCACCCGGTACCCTCCTAACAATCGAGATGTGATGTTTGCGCTGAACCACAGGGCCTGCCCGCCGGCAATGAACTTCTCGAACCAGCTCTTCTTGCTTCTCTTGCCAATGTCGTCCTTTTGCGGGAGCATGTCGATGTGGATGCCAGCGCGATATTTTGGCTGGCCTGCCTCTGCCAGCTCCACCAGTCTATCGGCTGTGAGAAGGTTTCCAGTTGTTTTGTCCTTGACCCCGTTCTTGACGATTAGGAATGACTGCTCGAGAGCCCAAGAATCCCAGCCCCGAATACTCCGAAGACGCTTCTGGAGCCGCCTCGCCATGAGAAGCTGCTGTAATGCTCCGGCTGGCAGGGCCTCTGGCATGAAGAAGATACAAATACCCCACATCACCCTTGGAATGTTCTGGCGGTAGTCGTTATGGATTGTGGTCCAGACGACAAAGAATATGGTTGTTAAACAGCTCCAAATGATGCTGACCGTACCTCGGCCGCAGCTGGGTTCAGGAACGAACCCAACACTGTCCATGGTGGGGAAGCCCGATGATAGTGCCGGGGTTCGATAAAGGGCCAAGTTGGAATATTTAAGCTCGTTTTATTGGTATTGATGATGCAGGTACAGAGCAAGAGAAATTCCCTCGGTGACGAGTTCTAAGACAGACGGATCGCACCGCGCGCACGCTGACAATCTACGAGAACCATCTGGAGCAACCTCGCCATTTATAGCCCTAAATGAAGTACCAGCGAAAGCAAAAGCATAGCAACCAGAGTTCTCTTGACACGACTTCCACAGGCGATACGCATGGTCACATCCGGTTCACACGGGCGGGGCTCAGTTGTGAGCCCTCGAGGACATCCCTACCCCGATTGGGGGCCGTATGTGCACAACGAACCTATTTATGGGCCAGATATTTCAGCTTGGGTGTTACACATCGGCGAATGCAGGACGGCTCAATGTTTACGAAAGCTCATAGGCTGGCGATCAAAGTACTGTACCGCTCTTTATGGAGGCTGCCTAATGTAATGCCGCTGTCAAAGTATTGTGCTGATTCCCACTAATTCACAGCAGCCTGAACTCTAACATTATATTACCCCACAGTTGCTCTAGCTCCAACGACGACCTCTGAGAACTCGAGACTCGTCCAGCAAAAGGCGCCAAAATGGGCGACGATTTCATACCCGGAAACGTGAGTGTTTCTTGGTCGTGTTATTCTCTCTTCCATTATGCGTCCTACATTGACTAATCACACATGTTGGACCTAGACCATCGTGAGCATGGGTGTGTTGTTCCCAATGCAGCACCCGTATGCATTCGAGAAACCAGAGCCATTCATGCCTGAGCGCTGGCTCACCCAGGACGAGGAGGCACAGAAAAGACACGAGAAATTCTTCGTGCCATTTTCCAAGGGGGCTCGGAGCTGCCTTGGAATCAATTTGGCTCGGTGTGAAATGTGCCTTGCACTGGCCAGTCTATACCTCCGTTTTGATATCAGGTTAGACGGAGCGAAGGATAAGGACTTCGACTGGATTGACGTCGGCCTCGCTCTATTTAAGAGTCCTTTAAAATGCTATGTTCCTCCTGTTGTTGAGTAAATCAGGGCAGACGCACGATTCCCCTTCAGATACTTGTACTTCACATCACCTCCGAATGAATTCACAATCATCGTCAACCGACGTCTGCAACGTCTCTCCTTCGCTTGAGGGTGGCTGACTGGTTTCGAACCTGTTGATCTTCTGGATTCTCTTGAATCACCTTCCTCTCAGCCTTCTGCAAATCTCCACTCACAATGTCTCCTTTGGCCTCGGCAGCGTCCACGCTGTATCGAAGTCTGGCGGCCTCACACGACGAGTAGATGTGGCCTTGTTCAACTGCATGTGCCCAGAATTCATCCCAATTACCCACAGAGACGTCGCATCCTGAAACAGAGCACTTCTCATACTCATCGTGCATCACTGCCGACGGCCACTCTTCACTTTGTGGATTACAAACACCACAACGGCCCCTGCCAGGGTTATGCATCCACCATGAGCCTTCGCCACTTCCCTGTGAGCATCGGCCATAGTGCGCGTGCGCAAGAGCCGAGGCCGCTATGGCCGCTGGCCCATCTGGTCTCTCCCATTGGCCCGGGTTCAACAGTGAGGCAAGCCTTCCTTCCGCCTTCTGCACCATGAGAACCCACAGCGCTCGTAGCTCATAGAAATGAGAACGGATATAGGCCAACGCCATCATCGTGTTAACTAGGATCCACGTGGGTCCGTTGTCCTCGGTATCATCCGCAGCAGGTTCCTTCACGCGCCTCGCCAGCCAGCGCCTGAGCGACCCCCGGGTGCCGTGGCAAAAGTGTTGGGCCATGCAGCGTTCGGAGGTCTTGTCGAGCTGGAACAGACCGTCTGCGCGCTGGCATTGGACGAATACCTGCCATTCAATTTGGCGTGGACCAACAGTCGGCCCGAAAAAAGTCATTGGAGGACGATTGTCTATCTGACAATAGTTCAAGGAGGGGCCCGGGGTGATATCTGTGTTAGCTGGGTTGCAAATCTCGTGTTGGGGGGGTATACAATCGCATATAGCATCATCAGGATCGTAAAAGTCATAGACTTTGTCAAGCACACCAGGGGTTTGCAAGATCTCGTTGAACCGGATTTCATCGTCTTGCACTTCTTGAGTTGCTGCGGCAGCGCCCAGAGTCCCACCCTGTGCCGCAGGCGCGATGACAGGCCAGGGGGGATCATCCGCCGCTGATTGCCACGGACACATTTCTGTAACAGGCCACCAGGGGTAGCTTACGGCCCCGGACTTCGAGGCGCCTTTTTCCCCCGGTGTGCGCCTCAATGAGGGCTCGGTAGAAAAACATTGCATATCAAGCGTCTCTAGTCCTCCGGCCCAAGCTTGAGGTGTGGCGATCGCGCTGGCTTGGTGGATGCGTGGCACCAGTGGGCGTGCCAGTGGGCGTGCCAAGAGATCCAGCTCAGCCAAGGGCGCCTTGTACTGGCTGACCTCGACGTCCTCGTATTCTGCAGACTGCTGTAGATTGCTGACAGCGACAAAGGACGTCCATTTGCTAGAGATGGTGTACATTTGACTGAGCTGTTTGGCATTCTTGCGGATCTGATTCGGCGAGGCTGCCTCCGGCGTGTCTTGATATTCACAGTCTCGCACGGCGGCTTTGGCGGCAAGATATTGAATGGTGTTGTTGGACGTAGCCTTTGTCACTGTCAGAGTAGCCGTCTTGATCCCGCCGTACTGAGAGCTCGCAGTGATGATGACATGATCCGGAAGCTTACCGCTGGTATTATTGAGCAGAAAATAAACCGATTGTTGGTGAAAGTGATGTAACCTTGGGATTGTGCTTGGGGCTTGCACGAAAGAGGGATTTACGGCCCCAGAAATCCGATCCAGTGCCCCAGTGACAGTTCTTTCTGGGAAACTGTCCAAATCAAGCCTTTTCGGTCTCCATTGGTCACCAAAGCCAATCGAATAGGACCAGCTTTTTGGCATCAGAGCGCCCTTTAGCATGCGGATCACGGCTTCTTTCCATTTACCGTGCGCATCCGCAGAGAGGGCTTCCCCAAACCCACCACCGAAGAATCCAATACCTTGGATTAGCTGATGGCTGACTTGATTCCCAATCCCGAGGCTGAAGAAACGCAACTGGCTCCCTGCCTCCGACGTCTTCATGCGAACGAATTCGATGGTCTCCTCTGATTGCCAGATCTCGCCATCGGTCAGAAGTATAAGTTGTGTCGAAGAGACATCTGCTACTCGACGATCGTCGACAGCTTTCTTTAAGGCTTTGAGCACCTCTGTGCCCCCGAAATCTGCCTGGAACGTGGAAAGGTAGCGCAGAGCCTTCTCCAAAGTAGACTCATCATACTGCATAGAGCAAGGCCACAAGCTGGACACATCGCTACCGAAAGAGTAGAGGTTGAACTTGCACTTCGCAGGGATGCTCTTTAGAAACACAAAAAGCCCCTCCTTGAGCTGTTCCATCTTTAAGCCTTCCATTGAGCCTGAACGATCGGCAAGGAAGAGGATTTCCCCGTCGAATTCGTCCATGGACTCCTGCGGGTCTGAAAAGAGTTCACTGGGACGCACCGTCACCATCATAGCCGCAAGGTCGGAGCCGCTCGGTGGAGCCAGCAGAGCGCAAGACATCGGCAGGGACTCATAAGCGGAGGGGATGTACAGGATGAAGTCTCTGTCCATTGCGACTTGATTGTTCGCCGAGCGGACTGTGGCGTGCTTTGGATTAAGACCAGAATCTGCCTGACTCGGGAGCTCAGCGAGGGCTTCAAAGCTGGCCGCCTCAGGCACGTGGTTCAGCTTCCCATACTCGACTGAGATCCCATGGCCGCTGCGACAGATGATAGTTCCTGTGGGCCCTGGAGACGCGACACTGACAACGAGGGAGAAGCCAACCTCTTTAACACCCGAGTAGGTCGCATAGCCCGTCGGGGGCGTGCCGTATCTTGGCGCCAGGGAGGTCGGGATAGTTACAACAATTCCGTTGCCACTGAGATCAGCGTGGAGCTCCTCCACGTAAGTGATCAGAACCTTGACGCTCGTTCTGGGTTCAATGTTTCCAATGGTCGTCTGGAAGACGTCGGGCGCCATTTCTTCGACAAGAGCCGCAGCTTCCTGCTTCTTCACCGCTTTGTTGAACTCTTGTCTGGCCTCGTCCTTTGGCTTAACCATGCCTTCCAGCACCTTTTCGTCGCCCACTTCGCACCGGAATGCCGTGACGGCCGCGCCATCGTAGAGCGGAAAAGAATACCAGGCCTCAGGAATCAAAATATTTCCGTGGTTCGTGAAAGTCTGAACCAGTCTCGTCTTTGCGATGTTGAAATCCACCTGCATGTCGATGGATACGCCGAGCAGAGGTAGGCATAGCTCAAGTTGCGGCGCTTGTAGCGGCGGGAGATTTAGATGCGGGTCGACCGCCGTGAGGCTCCTTGTGTGACCAGTGTGATGAAGCTGGCTGACTTCGGCAGTCCGTTGTGTTACAGGGAAAGCGGGGTATTCTCGAATATAATTTTCCTCGTTGGTGAAAGAGTCAGCCAACATAGAGAAGTAGACTCCTGATGGGAGACGAGGTAGTGCCATACTCTTCATAAAGGGGAGGCCCGGCGCTGCGTTGCGCACTGTATGGGCCAGGAACCAGCGTGAAGCCAATATTATATATTGAGAAATTGTTGGGATGAGGCTCCGGTGACGATCCCTGGGGCTCATACGAACAGCTGAGACAAATCAGTCTCCTGTATGACTCTAAGTGAGGGGCTCTCGGTCCTTTTGCCGCAGGCTTAGATTCCAGACGCAGGCTCCGCCGCCAAGGTGAGACACAATCGGCATCTCTCAATGCCTCCCTGCAGGTTTGCCTTCCTGTCCACCTTTCTGATTGGTAACCTGACCCGGCCGGCGTACGTTAACATGTGGCTTAGCTGAATCGCCGGCCTGGAGAAAGCCTGATCGTCCGGCACCGGCACCTGCAGCTGAACGCAGTGCTTCATTTACATTAGGCACTCCCTTCAGATAAACTCCTTTATATATACATTTGTAAGCTGTTTACAATCCTTGCACGTCAAAGATTTCCCGGAGTCACATGTTGTGGAACTGTACAGAAAGTCTTGACTCTTTTGTGCGCTGACCAACCCCATTGCATCCTGTCTTCTTATTCCATTTTTCTTTTTAGTATCTTTTCTAGGACACAGCCACTATGTCACTGGCATCACCTTTATCAGTAGGGGACGCGATTCTGCTGGGCAAAATTGCTTACGAAGTGGGAAAGGCGTTCTCCTCGGGCGCCAAGTCGGCTCCCGCCGAATTTACAGAGGTTCAGAGCCTGCTTTTCTCTATGGGCGATGCACTTGATCTGGTCAGCAAGACCTTCAGGGGACGGACTGAACAGGACGTCCAAGAGGAGACAGCTGCCAAACTTGATGGGATCCTAGAAAACTCTCAGACCGTCTTGAAGTCACTGGAACATTTCGTCGACAAGTACTCCGTGCTAGAAGCCTCTCAGGCTTCGATTTCAGGAGCCAATAGTGCGAGGGTGTGGAAGAGGGAGATTTTAAAGAACTTCAAAAAGGTGGCATGGACAGCAGAGGGTGAGGGTATTGTCAAACTCAAGCAGACGCTGACCGCACATGTTCAAGCCCTAAACTTGGCAGTGGCCGCTATGAATGGGTAAGAACGCCAACACATCTGGCATTCTCATACGGATGGAATCAGAATTGACACAGGCCACAGAAAGAAACAGGCAATCATGCACGAAGATGTGTCTGACACACGAGAACATGCCCAGGATATGCGGATCAAGATTGATGAAATCCACGCGTGGTACGAAGAAAACCTCAAACTTAACCCACAGTCACATGATAGTCCTCGTCACAACAGGCGCTCGTCTCACGACGCTGGTAGCTTTGCGCTCTATGAGGAGCGCGGAAATGGTTCTGGGGCTCAGACCATTGTCTGTCCCCACGCTAGAATTGAAGAACTCTGGGCAGGTGATTCAGAGTCACAGACTGACACTTCAGAACGGAACATTTTCAAGTGCGGGTGCTCGTCGAGCGCCAGCTCTCACAATTTGCCGCACACCCGTGAGTTAGACGGGAGACGTGGATTCCATTGAATTCCAAAGCTAAACAATCTCAGTTCTGCCATTCAGTCTTTTCGTTCAGGTGATTGGCAAGCACAGCGGCATGCGGTGGCAAATCTACGTCCGGTCACTTGCTTCCAACACACCAGTCTCGCTTATTCTTCGAGACACCGAGTCAAGAGGTAGTTATCACTTTAAAGTCTGAAATGGGTTAACATGTTAACATGGTCGTTGCAGATATCTCGAAAATCTGGGCCTGGGTCGATCAGGCTGTTTTATATTCAGTGACAAATCACTCTAGCAATGGACTTCAGACGTCATTTGTGCAGGCAGATCAAGACACAATTTCCGTATTACGGATGAAAACGTGGGTCTCTTGGCATTATCTGTCGCGATCATTTCAAGAGGATGCTGAGCGTCAAACAGTAATTCAATCAAATACACTGCCAAATTGCTGAACGTGGTGTTCCGTACCACCAGCGGAGCCTTCACCGTTGGCCGCCTCAGTTCAATACAAGTTCTACAATATGGGACCACTTGGCATCCCGACCGCCTGGTTGAGCCGGCGCCTGCGCAGTTCCTTCCACAAGCACATGTCAACATGGTTCTGAACTGTCTGTCGGACGACCCTCAAGCACAGAAATGCTTCACAGTCAGAGGTAAACCATCAAATCAGCTGATTTTGATTGAAGCGGTCGAACTAATTAGATCTCGACTAGTGAACCAAGACACGAATGTCTCTGTAATGGAAAGCCCGAGATATGTCGCAATTGAAGATGCAATATGCTTTCAGGAGATCATAAACGCAGGGTCTCAGGGCTCTTCCCCTTCTGACCCAGTCGAATGCTCTAAGATCACGTTGGAATTCTCAGACTCAGCAGGTTTGCCTAATAGCCGCATCAAGTTATCACAGGACGGCCATAGACACTAATCTCTGTATCCAGACGCACAGGAATTTCTTGCCGATCTAAAAGACGCCAAGCAGAAGCTTCGGATGCAGTACCTGCAGCAAGTGAGATGGGGGGATAAGCTCATCGGCCAACTGTAAGTTCTCTTGTCTTGCCGAGATAGCTGCCTCTGTGGGCTTACGTACGAGCTATGATTTAGGGACCTGCCTGGCGAGCTTATAATTCGCAATCTTGTTTTACAGAGCGTCCAGCTCAAGGTCATCCTAGATCAGGTGACCGGTGTGTTTCGAATGGCACTCGTGCGCCGTGATCACTCGGCCTGTGTTACTTTCGAATGTAAGTCCATCGCTTGATTTGAATTTCTGCACATCCAACGACCTCATTTAGGAGGATTGAGCAGTATCTATCACCAAACATCACAAAAGCGGAGACAGCGGGGCTTTGATTATCTTGAATTTCCAACTTGGGCCAAACACTTTGAGAGATCATACTCAATATCTATTGTACATGCGTTCCTTTAGAACTGCCCCTGGTTACAGTCCGAGAATTCAATCCTAACTACCCTTTGATTTTGTCAGTACCACCGAATTTTCTTGACGACCTTGCAGCCGGCAAGGAGTCGGGGTATGAGGATCATCCTGCCTGGTTCATGGACATTGGCAAAGATCGAATTACTATCATCAAGCAAGAATCAGGCATGGATCCCCTTGTCGCGCTGTCTAAGGCCTGTAAGTATTTGACTATTATTGAGGAATGAAGAATAATGAGACCTGACAGCATGAGCATTAGTTCAGGACTCCAAGAAGGGGAAGAATGATCAAATTGAGATCGATGACATGCTGCCTGATTCAGATTAAACTGCTTGAATATCTGTCATACATACCACTTACCTAAAGGGCTTTTGAGTGTTCCCATTTGTTTGAGAAGGCCGGAGAGTATATCATGTTAACTCACGACAGAAAGAAGGATGTTTCTCCAAGATTGGTTTCGTGGCTGTGGTTTCAGACTGAAAGGGGGGTGAGAAGGTGGCTGCTCGTATTACTGAGTAGATCAGGTTATGGTGTAAGAAACGTAGTGGTTGAGGATTGTGGCTTTGTGTTAATGAGTAACACTGATGAAAATGGCATTCGTGCGATTTATAACCATACACCAGTTTCTTGAGCCCCTGTGGTGAACGGAGGACAGATGGAATCTCGGCTCTTGTCACACCCTTGGCTTGCTATATCAAGTTGGACCACAACATCCATCTCCCAGGGGTGTGTCTGGCGACTACCATTGGTGTTTATGGGAACCAACGGTCAAGTCCTCTTGTCAACACGCACACCAAATGGAGCTTTTAAACCAGTGGTCGCACTTTTCAGTTTTTCAGTTTTCCAGCGCCTCCCCTCCTTTTTTTTCACTGCGGTTCAAGGCTTACTGTGCGCTCACTCACGACTTCCTGCTGTCTACTGAAAAATAATTACCTCATTCGGCTACCGCGTCCTGTTTCTCAAGCACTTCATCCTCATAACCTTTCCATTATGACGTCTATCCCGCCCGAGAAGTCGCCCAAGCCAGGCCTGAACATCTATGGATGCCCTTCCTTGAATCCGGTGAAGTTGACCATCGCTGCGGAGGAGCTGAGGATGTTGCTATTTCATCCGCGCCCAGTAAGCTAGGCTCAAAGTCAGGCTAATTTCCGATACAGCGTTACTTACAACTTCATCAACATGGACATGGGCGCTGGAGAGCTCAGCGCTGAGTGGTTCAAAGCCATGAACCTCGACGGACGCGCGCCTGCGATCGTGCACGTCAAGGAGGACGGCACATCTGTGACAGTCTTTGAAAGCGCTTATGTGCCGGATGCCATCCGTCGCTGGATTTTCGTGATGTGGGCGCTCATAGGCTGGATTCCGGTACTAAACAATATCTCCTGGCCGAGTGGGAGACTCTCTATGGGAAACTGATCCGAGGGACCGCGGGGAATACCAGTAACAGGGTCAAGATGTGAGAGGTATATGTGAGGTTCAATGTCTCACATGAATTAGATAACCACCTAGCTCGGACCGGTGTTGTCAGACTTCAGTGAACCTCAGGCTTGAATGGGCACAATGTAGATTCTGAGGGGGATAGGGATGATTAAACCAGTCTAGTGTGAGCTTTATTTTTAAAGAATTGACAATAGGATGTATGCTATAATGTGGATAGACAGCTGCGCAGAATTGCAAGGTAACTTAAGGTACCAGGGCCTGCCCTCCCACGCGGCGAGAACAGCACCCAGTATCTTACGGATACGCTCCAGGGCACACTCTGAAGACTCAGACCTCAAGGCGTTGGTCACGTCAACAGTGGGACTTAGTAGACCACTCACTAAAGGCACGGTAGTCCATAATGTGGGTAGACAAGCCTGTACAACTGTTTCATTTGATATTGCAGTGGAATAGACGACTACATCACTTTGTTCTTGTAAGACTGCAATCCTATGTGACGGTATTCCCTCGTACAAGATGAGCCTTCGGTTGGAAAGACAAAGCGCTGGGCTTATCAATAAAACAGCGATTTTGTATTCTAATTATCACTGTATGAAGGGACTGGATGCATATTGCTTAAGAAGCATATGTGTACAGATTAAAAACGAGACCACGAGACCACTTTGTATTCTAAGAATGGTATTTATACATGTTATCGTACTGGCAGATTATTGACGAGGGCCGAAACCCTGTCCGTTGGATACATGAACCGTACGATACCCATTCACCTGGCCAAGCTCAAGCCTCTCGGTGCTTTCGGAAGATGCATCCCTTGAAGACTTTGCGTTGCTCTCAGGGCCATGCCAAACACGCCAGGACTTGGTTGCGATGATTGAGTTATCAATGTTGCCGTCAGTCATCGAGACCTGACTTGGCTTGGTTCCGTTCCGACTGCCGTTCCGACTGCTGATGAGGGAAGATATCTTCGACCAGCCATGCCAGTGCCTAATTGGATGAAACAATTTCGGCATCGTCGGCAAACATCCGCAGATGATGACACAAGCGGGCTCAACAACGGTGAAGATGACAGGTATACTCTCGTGATCTGTGCCGTCAGTGCTTTGGTTAGCCGTGGACCCCAGAATGCAATATCTATCGTCCGGGAAATGGACGGGAGTGGGATTGAAGTAACTGACATGTCATATCCACTGAACTCTGAAACTGATGCACAAAAGCCAAGCGAACAATAGCCACGATGAATGCCCTAGATTCTGTTAACATCAAGCAACCGAAGAGAACATCAAGAGATACTCATGCACGTACAATAGCCCGATTGTGAATATCAAGCTAAGACCCAGCCGCCGGCCGACTCCCAGTTTAAGCCTCCAGATTGATGGCTGGGGGAGGATAATAAGGAACAAGTCCGTCGTCGCGATGAGTGTGTTCATTGCGAGACTTGCTTCAGGTGGGTATACGCATTGGACTGGATAACCCCAGTTCGAGGAGAAGGGTGTACATTGAAGCGACACCATCAACATGCTAGCAACCCAGACGAGGATCACGTATGTTGCAAGGAAGTAAAAGCCCCATCGTAGGAAACGCTCGTGTGTCGTGAATATCCGCGTCAAGGTTGTCAGGGCGGAAAGTTTTGCAAATGTCTGGGTGGTGGGGTAAATGTAGGAAAAGGCCAGCGTCGTCTAATAGATTTCATCAGTGGGAAGCACATAAAAGAATTCTGGATCCACGAAAGAGCAGCAAAGACTGATCGTTGTGAAGATTTACGGCTGCACTTACCTTTCCCAAGGTGAGGATGGAGCCAGGATTCTCCATCAACCATGTCATATGATGTCCAATTCCGTTGTTCGCCACTAATCGATCAAGTCAATACTTCTGCCCATTCGGAGGACATTTCGAAATCATTCATCTTGCTCACGTACTTATACCAACACAGACTTGAATGCCAATCAACAGTACCTGCGATAAAGTTTAGTCATCGGCGCGTTGCTTTAATCCTGTGAGTGTCCGGAGGAAGTCATAGGGTCACTCACTGTGGCACAAATCGCTAGGTAGTCGTCGACCTTCACTCCCACTCGGGTAACAGTTCTCGAAAGAAGACGCAGCACAAGGCAAATGACCGTGAAGGCGCTGAAGAGGGACGAAACCCCAATGATCGTCCCGCTGAGACTCTCGTCTGGGTCCGGGCCCATGGTAGGGGGCGTTTGGGCGCTCATTGTTCCGCGGATATCGAAACGATCGGTACGTGGTGGAGAGAGACAAAAAGAAATTTTGGCCGTGGCAGAGCTGAGAAATGGAAATCCCGCCGCATTTTCCACAAGATTTGGCAGTGGCCCGTGTTATGTACAACTCGGGGCCCTTGAGGGCTGATCTGATGACTGCTTGCTTTGTCGTAGCTGAATCCTGCACCAGGCAGGTGTTCCCATTTCCCGGAATACTAAAGCGCGCCTAAAATCCTAAAGGACCACTGCAGGCTACATGTAACCCATTTGCAGGTTGTCTTCACGTGGGTCCTCGGCCGGAATCCTTCGGCGAATACATAAATAGTGGCAACAGCGCCGCGAATGGACGGATGCAGAGCCATTTGAGCAGCCTGTTCGTGCATGACAGGGGTGGAGAACTAGACCTCAACTTACATACAACCTAGTCCTCTATTGGACAACACTCTCAGGCGACATCTCAGGAAGCCATTCAAGCCTTTCTGTTTATAGAGTTTGTGATCTACGACACGGTGCTGACCACCATCTCCTCGTCATCCCTGACTCCAGGTAATGGAATACTCGGATCAAGTTCACCGAATTCGGAGAGCGAGTTTCTCCGAGCATAACATTGAAAGAAACTTTTAGGAACTAGTCAGCTCAAGTGTTAGCTGAATGTCAGCATCTAGCAAGTCCCACGTAATTCTTATGTTCCCCCCGGCTCCGTAGAAGACCTTATCGCACCCCAAGACCAAGGTCGAGGTTGAATGCAACCTATCTTAGAATGATTCAAGGGATGTATTGTGTGGCAGCTAATCTTGCGTTTCTTCCATTCTGTCGACCCATCGATGTTACATGGGTAGCAAAAAGATTGGGTAGGCGGCTAAAGGAGGCTGGAGGGGCCAGAATATCCGACCACGTACTTACTTGCGTAGGATTCAGTTAGCCGCATGCGGGTGAGAGGCGCGGTAAGCACCATCTTCCATCGAGCCCAGGCCGATGGTTAGACCAGGCTTGCCACATTTGCTTCTTTCCTATCTCGGGGGGAATCCCGTTGAAGATGCCGCGGGCTCAACCGGCCCGTTAGTGACAGACTGCGCCTCGAAAATTCAAAAACAGCCGCCGCCAGCAGGGCTTTATGGTGTATTAGGAGGATGTGCGTGCCGTGGGGCTAAATCCAACAAGATTGACATGACGAGAGGTCTAGCAAGGTCTGTCACATTTTTTGAACCACTCTGATATGATGTAGCATCGGGATTGATTGTTTTAAGCACTCACTATGTTGGATGAATGCTGCATCCATCAATCTTGTGTCATCCATGGATCTTGTGTGGTTGCACAAAATGCTTACCAGCTCTGGTAGGGGTGTGTGAAAGGGCGACAGGGTTGCAGAATACATGCCCGCGGCAATATCAGCTGAATCCTTCGATACCGCATTGTATGTTGAATGGTAATGATTCGAAACTTTTAGATGCATGCCTCGGTAGCTCCATTGGCGACAGCGTATGAAGTTATGCCCCTGCTCCCTCCCTTTGACTGAGACCGGATGGCTCAGATTTTGGTCCCAAACACAGACACATGGTTCAAGCGACAACGGTACAAGTTATCTTTCAGGAACGACAACGTACCGGCGCCACCGTCCCAGTACCCACCTGTTTAATACCATTCGAACGGCTTGTGATATTCGGAACTGGTGAGCCAAAGAAGAGAACAAGCCTCACTACCTTGCATTCCAACTGCCGAATTTTCTGGGACGTGATGCAAGTGCCCGATTTTGAGATATCTGACCATCCTCGTTCGGGACTCGTAAACACAAAGCAGTCGGTAGGGGTTCCAAGAGAATATCTATGCACTTCATAGTGGGACAGTCAATATGTACACTAAGACGAGATTTCGACCATGTCAGAGACGGTCATGCATTTCTAACCGCTTCAGTCTATCTTAAGAGGATACGTCTTCTTCACAGCATCTTTTTCTCGCTCCAGGAATTCCTTGAACGAAGTCAGCGACACCATTGCCCGCAGCTCATCCAGGTTGATGTAGTTGGAAGTAGTCCGCAGCGACTTGTGGGTGTTCGAAAAACCTGTTGATTTCTCTTGTTCCTCGACCTCCGCGTCCGTCAGAAACTTGGCACGTATTGTGCCCGGACGCCCAATGGCATCGGCGAGTTGATCCAGGATATCCTGTATCTTGAGCTGGTCGCTCGCGATGCTCAGTGCGCGCCGATGGTATTGCTCTGGGTTTTGAAGAGCAGCAATGGTGAACTTGGCAATATCCTCGTGATCGGCAAGCGGGAACTCTGACTCCGCTGTGAAAGCCGTGGTCCACTGATGCTCGTCGCGGATTTCCGTGTAGCGCTTGTTCTTGGGTTCCAAGAAGTTGGCCATGAAGAAGGTAGGACGTAGCAGAGTGTAGGATTCGAAGCCGGCATCTTCGACCATCTTCTCAATCGACCTCTTGTTGACCATGTGCTTTTGCATGAACGACCCTGCCGAAACAGCCACACCATCCTCCAACATTGAGACTCCCAAGGTGGTGGATGAGATGACTTGCTTGACACCGGCCTCCTTGGCGATGTTGATAATGCTTTGAGCCTGTCAGGACTTAGTTGGGGCACTTTACATCCATTACAATCCCGTGAGTGGCTAGATGGCACGCACCTGTCTAGGCTCTTGTGTCTGGATATCCCAGTTGGGTGTAAGACACAAGTAAAGTTTGTCACATCCTGCGATACTGGCCTTCAACGCATCGATGTTGTCCCAGTCCCCTTCAGTAAGCTGCACCCCCAGATCGCGGAGACGCACTGCTGCAGGAGAAGTTAGATCTCGCGTTGTTGCGTGCACTTGCCAGCCGAGCTTGAGACATTGCCGAACTAATGCTCCGCCCTGGCAACCAGTGGCACTGCAGACGAAAATTGTGTGCTTTGATGTAGACATGGCTTTGTGGTGGGATAGAAACGGTTGGGATATGTGAAAGTCAGTTTGAGGTCGCGCTTTTTCTGAGACACAGCAGCTGATCGCGAGCTTGTTTATCCACCAAAGCAAACTGTAGCTGAGAAGGTTGGCTCACACCTCCTTGAGCGTGACAAGAACCCTCTCCCGGGGTGCTCCACAGTCCGTCCTCGTCGAACTGACCTGGCCTGCTGACATGCTCATGATGGAAAACTGCGCTCTGAGTATGTCTGGAACAAAACATGGGTGAATGTTGCGATATGCAATTAACGCATCTGCTAGAAATTCGGGAAATGCCGAGGGAAAAAAGGCTCATTGGCGCAGACACAACTTGGCTCCACCACTAGTGCTGAGATGTACGCGACGGCTGCATAATGTCTGCATGATCCTTTACGGCGGGTAACGAATACGATCAAGCGTCAGCCACTAAGTCAAGCTTTGCATGCACAGCAGTTTTTGTGGCGAGACGCCCGGTACGATGACATGTCACATTGCTTACGGGCACCTGCCCACATGGGAATCGCCAAGTGAAAGGGATCTCGCATGTCACGTCTCACAATCAGAGACCCAAGACAGGCTCATCGATACCTTGCAGACAATCATCTCAGAGTGGGGTACCTTCGCTTACAAGGTGGAGAGGGTGTGCGTCTATCCGAGCCATACTGGATGGTCTTCCTTCTGCCCCTGTGGATTCTGTGGGGACATTGACACTAGCAACAACCTAGCTGATGCTCTTATTCCTTCGCATGCACATCCAAATCCTCCAATACTACTTTCAAGGGCTGGAGTTCGCGCTGGCAAGTTGTGAAGGGGGACCGAGAGACTCGAAGACAAAACGCTACGTGCCGCCCCCAAGGCATGGGGCGGGTCTGGCCCCATTGGCGCCGATATCCGGCAACTGTGACGGGCGCACGCACTCTCAGTCACAACATCACAAACGTTTGGGGCCGATACTATTATGTCCACTTTCAGACCTCGGATTTCATTCAGACGTCGGGATTATTCTCAGCTTCGAGAAACGTACTGTTTATTGATGACAAAGTGGCTTATGAGATAATTGCCCTCTTGTGATCTGCTTTCTTGCTCCGCGTAGAGCCACAGCCTTGTTCATTGAATCCCCTGAGCATCTAAGAGTCCTCCGATTCCTCATCACCGTGACAGCGTGTCGGAATCCCACAATGTCGACCCAAAAGCCTTCAGCTCGAATCATTGAACTCGCAAATGCAATCAGTGCATCCACAGCCAAGATTCACGAATCACTGGCTGCCAAGGAGATCGCGCCACCCAGTTTCGACGAAGATGCTTCTTACTCTGTGCCCCAAGAACTCTCAGCGGACTATGATGTGGTGCTCGATGCCACGGCAGAGCTCCATGACTTGCTGCTTGAACCGTTGAATCTCATTCACAGACATTGCGGGGTGAGCGGCCCACTAGCCTTTCTGTAAAAGAAGCTGTAGCTGATTCATGTTTTGTAGCATAATAACCCGGTGTGTATGTTGGCTATTACGACGTTCAAAATAGCGTCAATGGTGCCAAGAAACGGCAAAATATCGTTTGGAGACATCGCCAAGCAGACACCAATGACTGAAGACATGACCACTCGCCTCCTGAGGCACGCCATGACGATGCGAATCTTCCGGGAGCCTGAACCAGGAATGGTCGCTCATACAGCCGCGTCCAAGGTGCTAGTCAACCCAGGAGCAAATGCCTGGCTACAATCTGGTACTGCAGAGATGTGGCCGGCTGCAACTAAGGCTAGTTGAATTCCTCGCCGCTTCAGATTTTACTCCCACTAAACTCGCACATTGCAGATGGTGGAAGCCTTGACGAAGTGGCCAGGATCCCAGGAGCCCAACGAGACTGTGAGTATACTTGCCAGATTTGACATTATACTGACCATCATCTGACACTCTTTTGAATTTTCCAGGGCTATGCATTGTCTAACAACTCCAAAACTCTCTATGAAGTGTTCGGCAAAGATCCAGAGCGGGCTGGACGCTGGGGAAGTGGCATGCAAGTTTTTGTCCAACGCCCACAATTCGATTCTCAGTACACCACCAATCACTACGACTGGGCATCACTGGGAGAAGCCCAAGTGGTATTCTTCGGGGGTGGCTTTGAGCATGTTGCCTTGGCTCTGGCGAGGCAGTTTGGAAATCTAAGTGTCGTTATTCAGACCCTGCCCCAGGTAGTTGAGGCCATGCCAGTCCCAGAGGAGCTAAAAGCAAGAGTCCAACTCATGGCGCACGACCTGTTCAGCCCACAACCTGTCAAAGGTGCTGACATCTACTTTCTCCGCTGGTGCCTTCACAATTGGTCCAACAAACACTGCATCCGTATGTTGCAGGCGCTGGTACCTGCGCTAAAGCACGGGGCGAGAGTGATCATCCAGGAGACCATCATGCCAGAGCCGGGCCAAGCGCCATTGTGGAAGGAGAAGAATACAAGGTAAGTCATTTTTATCGCTCTTTTGCAAGATGCGTGTCTAACTTTGGATTGCTGTTAGGGCCACCGACATTAATATGGCTGCCGCGTTCAATGGCCAGGAGAGAACAACGGCCGAGATTGAATCGCTACTCAAGGAAGCAGATGGCAGGTTCCATCTTGAGGCGATCATTGAGCCATCTGGGTCGGCTCTTGGTATGCTGGACTTCGTATGGCTGGACAAAGCAGGCGAGTAGAGATATGTATCGGGCCGAAGTACGTGATGCCTGAGTGGCTGGCGTTTCCAAATGTCTTACTCCAACTCTGAATAATTCCACAAGTTTCAGACAGGAACGAACCGCCATGGATAATTCTAAGTAACATTGGTGACCGCTGAAGTATATTGACGGCTCTCTAGTTGATGATGACTGATAGTGATTGACAAGGAAATGCATGTGGAATCTCTACGACTCCCACCCATCCGCCTTGATCTCTTGCAAGCACTTCATCAGTCTTTCAAGCCCAACCAGCAACGCCTCTTTTTCCACCGTAAAGCTAATCCGGAACCAACCTAGCTCCTCTGCAAAGTAACTGCTCCCAGCGGATATTCCGACGCCACCAACAATGCAGCGCTTGGAAAGCTTCCTCTCGCGATCTTGGTACATGTCAAGTTCCGATGGTGAAAGCTTGTGTGTCGAAAGGCTGCTACTCTCCTCCGTCTCCTCCGACCCACGAAGATATGACCTAAGATCAACCCAAACAAAACATCCGGCGTTGCTGCTCAAGGCTCAGCTGAGTTTTTAACGGCTTTAATCTTATCTGGTATGTGAACTTACGTGCTCCGGTAATATGAGATCTCGTGTGCGTCCAGAAACTGTGTAATAATCGTATAATGCTCACCCAGAAGCGTGCGGTTCTTAGACGCCAATGCCAGCGAGAAGTCTTCATCCTCGAGCATTTTCGCCCACATGTCCTGAGTGATGTAAGGTGCCCAGCTGAACACACTGCACAGGGGGTTAGCTGGGGCCAGTAAGAAAGTCCATTGGATAAATTACCAGATACTGGTCACTGCTACCAGAAGGCCTTCGTTTCTAGAATGGAGGGCCGCCAGTCGGAATCCGTTTGCACTATAATCTTTGCTCATTCCGTAGGCGACATGGACGAACTGCCGGTCAATGCATCCAGTGAGGTCCAAAGAGAGGATAGAGTTGAAGGGAACAGGATCTATGACATTAGGTGTCTCGTAGACAGATTGTGCAAAGATCTCGTCGCTGATCAAATGTAGTCCATGACGACCACAGAAACGGGCGATCTCTCGAAGCGTCTCCTTTGGCTGCTGGCACATTAGACAAATCCGAGTGGGCGTAGCATTAACTCACGTAGCATCTACCGATTGGATTGTGAGGACTGAAATAGATAGCTGGTCAGTATAAATTTATCACAAAATGAATTCAAACTGAGATTTTCCTTACTTGCTTAATAGCACAGCTCGAGCTTTCAAACCCTCACGAGCCGCTTTTTCTAGTGCAGCCTCCAGAGATTTCCTGTTCATCTCGGGATCAAAGATGTCATCTACACCCTTATAGCCATCAAGGGATTGGAAAGGCGCGGGGATGAGTACGCCTCGCGACCGTTCCTTCGCGGCAGGTACAAATCCCGTGTAGTAAGGAAGCGGAACGATGATGCCTTCTCCCTCGTTGCAAACTGCCCATGTCAGAGCATCAAGGACAGAGATGACTCCAGGAAGAACGAGGACTTCTGCATCGTGAACAGGTTCATAAGCGTGGAATTTCCGATTAAAGAAGGAAGCCAGCGCTTTCTTCAGACGGGGTGACCCCCGAGGGCCTACGCCGTAGCCGAGATGCTGGGTCGGATCGATAGTAAACTTTCCACACGGTCAGAGTCAGGAAGGCCGCTGCTGCATTTTTCCTCTGCGGTGTCTTACATTGCTAGTTATGTACTGGGCGACTTCCGGGTGAAGAAGAGGGTTCTCTGCGACACCCAAGAACACCCTTCGATAGGTTAGTCAGAACTGTAGCCCATGGACTTTGCTGGATAGACTCACAGGCCTTCTGGATTATCAGAGCTCCAGAGATTGGAGAACAGCTTCTCCAAGCTGTCCCATGGCAAAGTTTGGAGAGAGTTCAAGGCCGCCTTGTCGGACAACCCGTACTTTGCAACAGCGTCGCTGACCTCGGGCTGCAAATTTAGACTACTCATGGTGCCGTTGTTGACGATGTATGTCCTCTGATGTGAATTGGTACCGGTGCACTTTAGTCAACCCCTAGTAAGGGGATCAATGTCAAGGAATAAGTAGCTTATGACAGGAATGCACGGCCTGCGTCACTTTCCCCCATTTAAATCCTAAGCGCCGGCAGCATTTTGGCTGGTTTCGTGCAGACCCCTCATCCAATGAAATCGCCGAAGCACTTTTAACAATGTCAGTGGGTTTTCCCATGTGAATTTTGGGTCCAATTTCTCTTAAAATTTCTTGCATGGATACTCCGGTCATTGGACGTAGTCACAGAGACGCGATCTGAGTTGTGACACATGTAATAACTACACTAGATGAGGGAAATCCACAGCTTTAGAAAATGGTTAAATTTAGTAAAAGATACACAAATCTACTTATGCGTCGTATACAGAAATCTATAGAATGAATACATCCAGGGAAGATATGAAGTCGAATCGTCTTGTGACCTGACGTTAATCACCTTTCCAAGCTGCTGTGACGAATCCTATGCCAGGCTGCTGTCGACCTTTCCTTGGCCCTCTGCCGCAGAATCCTCTTCCTTCTTGCGCAAGTCATACCATCCCATGCCCCACAAAGGAATGATACATACCGCAGCCAGACCTGCGGTAACTAAGAATATTCCACGTCAGTATCTTCTGGCTCAGTGTTTTGGGAGTACGAGTGAGATGTATCTTACGGTAGAAAACATTGTTCAGGCTTTCAGCATATGCTCTTAGCACCCCATCTAGATCCTCGGGAGCCACGATATTGCGGAAGGCGGTGGCACCGGCATTGATAATGGCTCTGGCATCGACGTGAGGCACATGCTGACGAATTCCGGACTTGAGGCTCGTGGTAAAGAGAACATTGAATAGCGTCAACGTTATGGTTGGGCCGAGAGCCTGGGTGAGCATGACAAAGGCAATCCCAGAGGATAACTCTTCCCCTGCCAAAGCAGCTTGGACTGCCATGATGGCCTTCGGAAAGTGGACCACGTCAGCATGACTGTATCCAGTAGGCTTTGAATGTGGTGGGAGAGAATGGGTCAAAGTAAATGTTGCTTACCAGCTGCAGACCAGCACCAGAGCCAAAGCCAGCTATGATTTGAAAACCAACCCATTCGCCCGTCGGACTTCCAGGCCCAAGGATGGAGTAGAGGCCGCTCCCAACAGAAAGAAAAACCGTGGAGAAGACTGCTATTGGTATGACATAGCCAATTTTCGTCACTGTAAGTCAGGCAGTAACCTTCATCAGTACATGTAGACAAGGATGCGAACGCGCGCAGGAGATGGAGAGGTCCAAGACGACTTACCAGCACCACCAGCAGCGCCAGCCATGAATAGCTGTGCAAGGATCATGGGGAGGAGATAAACACCACTTAACATGGCACTGGCGTTGTTTACTGCTTGGAAATAAATTGGCAGGTAGTAGATACCTCCGTAAACCGCCGACATGAGGAAGGCCTCATAGACCCCAGACGCGAGGACGTCCCTGCGGCTGATTATAGAGTAGGGGATCATAGCTTCATCACCCCGGTAGCGGTTCCAGAAGAACCAGACAATGAATACCGCGACTGAGCCGCAGAAAAGGCCGATTACCTCGGACGAGTTCCATGGATGACTCTCGCCGCCGAATTGCAGAGCGAGAAGGAGCATCAGGATTGCCGGGGCAAAGAGAACAAAACCGACGAGGTCGAGATGGTGATGCAGCCTTGGGAGGAGCGACCAGGGGTTCTGCTTTGTCTGCTGCTCAGGGATATGGAGCACGACCATGGCGGCTGCCGCGAGGGCGCCGGCGGGCAAGTTGACATAGAAGCCTGGCGGAGTTAGTTGCACTCAGAACAGGCCAGGGTAGGGGCGACATACACCAACGCCATGTAGCATATGATGTAAAGGCTCCTCCGATGAGAGGTCCCACAGCAAGCCCAAGAAGATTGACTATAGGTGCAAGATGGTTCATTAGCTAATGCACACTCGGTACAAAAAGAAAAAAGAAAAAAACAGAAAAGGGGAAAAAAAGGGGGGGATGAGTAGCAGGCGCACTTACTTCCCATGGTGATGCCGAGCAAAGCTAGAACACAGAGCACAGTCAGTCCTCAGCAAGGTAACTCTTCACCAGGAGTTCGAGGCATGCCGATGCTCACCAGGTCTCTTCTCAATGGGTGCACAACTCGACACTATGGTGATGGAGCCATTGGCGATACCAGCCGCGCCCAAGCCCGCCACGAAACGGCCGACAATGAGCATGGCAGATGAGACGGCCGCGCCACAGAGCACGGAACCGATCTCAAATATCGCGAAGAACACCAGAAACGCCCACTGCAACTGTCAGATGATGCTTGGGGAGAAACGAATCACTGGCTGCAAAGGTCATCCTGTGCCACTGACCTTGGTGTTGAAGTGAGTATAGACCCTCCCGGTGAGACCTGCCGGGGCCAAGCTAGAAGCCGAGATGTCAACCGGCCAGATTCATCAAGTACGAATATGGGTCGCGGAAATAGGAAGGGGGAAAGGGGGGGGGGGACAAGGCTCACTGCCCGAATTGGTACGCGCTCGCGTACCAGCCCACGTCGGCCAGGGAGTGGAACTGGTCGGTGATGCGTGGGATTGCCGTGCTGACTATCATAGTGTCAAGTAACATTAGAAAACTCGCGACTGACACGGCGGCCACGATCACGGCGAGCTTCAAGCCGGTGACGTACTCGGCACCTGGCTCTGGTTTTTCATTGTCGGCGTTGGGCACCATACTGACAGCAGTCGTCTCGGAGTCTGCCTTCGAAGCCGACATGGTAGGCTGCTCCTTGGATGTCTCTTCAAGCTTGGCAGTTGCGCTGGTTGCGGTCTCCGGCTCCAACGTGTGGCCGGGGATCGGGAGAGAAGTCATCGTGGGTGTGCGGGTGAACAAACTAGCACCTTTGTTTGCTAGTTGAGCCTCTCGACAACTATGAAACAGGCACCAGAATGTCCTACGTCCAAGGATCTCCTAGGCCACCCAACTGCAGAGCGAGCACTCTAGTGGAAGGAAGATAGTGGGAGCGGGAAAGGATTGAAAGGACGGCAGATCTCGAGGATTCGGGAAAGCTGTCAGGAAATCAACAACATGAGTCTAGGCAGCCTGCCCCTTTCTCACTAGCACTCTATCTCTGAGATAGGTATCGTCTGCGCGAGCATTACAACACCTGGGAGCACGGCTGTGAGGCATGCCTCCCCTGTAACATTACCGGTGGTCGGAAGGACGGCAAGATTTCCACCGCTCTGGACACGGTACTGTTCTGCGACCTGGCAGCGGAGGATTGCAAAGCTTGTCGGTGATTATGATCCGACATTCTTCCCCGTAGCGACCCATCAGGACACGTCGACTGTTGCTGCAATGTGCGATATTGTCTGCATGGCCACCCTCCAGTGCGACAGTACGGCATGCTGTTGCCTCACAGAAATTCTCCAGGGGTCTGTTCGAATACTGTTTCATTGATCATACGTTGGGGGCTAGCGCCGTTCATCCTAGTACAGTTGACGGGAGAACTCCGCAGTGAGACGAGCGCGTTGACTACTCCCTGTTTGAGCTGGCTATTACTAGACACACCCCTCTTGGACACATTTGGAAACTGAAGGCTGTGACAAGCCTCCTGCAACTAAGATCCTTTGTGATGCGCGCATCAAGCTTTGTAGGATCTGGACTAGGGCTTACGGAATACTTGTCATGCAGCTCAACCAACAACCCATATCAGGCAGAACTTCAGGGCTCTGAGAGTGGAGCTCGCTGCGCAACCAACAGACCATCGTGCTCACGAGAGTTGCGCATGCAGAAGAGTGGTACGAGACGCAATACTACCCACCCCTGCGTCTGCACATTTGACTCCTTCGAATGCCTTTGTTTTTTTCGAGCGGGTGTTCTGCCAGTCTGCATGGTACCTAGGTACCAGACACTGAGCGCAAACCGGGCCCAAGGGTTGCTGAGTGTGACGACCGCGTTCGTGAAGGCATTAGACAGTTCGTGTCACTTCTTATCCAGTGTGCCACAATTTACTAAGCATTTCACATTCTGTCCAAAGCAAAGATTTCTGCTTGTGATCATCCCAGTATAGCCTCATAATGGAAGAAGCGTTGGCTAGAGTGCAGGAGCTTGCAGCTCAAGACGAGGATTCCCGTCGCAAAGCGGTCGCAGCCCTACCAAAGTTGGCCTCCTCGCTGGAGAACGTCCAAGAGACCATCAACCGATATGGACATCTGGTACGTGGGTTGTGCCCTCGTATTCCATCACACATAGCTAATTACTCCCAGCATCTCCAATCCGCCATGGTCCAGACGGGAGTCGAGCTGGGTCTGTTCAAGCACCTGAGTGACTCGCCTGAGGGATTGACAGTCGAGCAAATTTCGGACAAGACTGGCGCAGAACGCCAGCTGATTGGTATTTAGCCGCGTTAGATGATATTCCAACAAATGAATCAGGCCCTAACATCTGAAAACAGTACGATCTCTAAGGTATCTCGCCGCCATCGGCTCAGTGGAGGAGGTCGGGAAAGGCCGATACGCCGCCAACCATGTTACCCGAAATCTCAGCGAGAGGTTAGCTGAGCATGGCCTGTCAACTTAGTACGCCCCTTCCAAAAGCCGAGAAACACCTCATTTGGCCAACTGAACTAACCGGGACTCCAGCTTCTATCTCAGTGCACCGCCATTCCAAGCCATCCCCAAGTTCCTCAAGGAAACCAACTACAGACTCCCGGATGACGCTAGTCATACGCCATTTCAACTCGCACTTGGCACCGACAAGTCCATTTTCGAATGGTTCGTTGGACAGCCCGAGTTGCTGGGACACTTCAACAACTACATGGCATTGCACCGCAAGCAAACTGAAGGTCTTTCATGGCTCTCGGTCTATCCCGTTGAGACCGAGGCCGCGGGCAAGCCGGCCGAACAACCGCTATATGTTGACATTGGCGGTGGTATCGGCCATCAGTGCAAGCAATTCAAGGAGAAATTCCCCGACCTGCCTGGCCGTGTGGTCCTGCAGGACCTTCCGCATTCGATTGCTCGGGCTTTTCCCACGCCAGGCGTTGAGAACATGGCGCACGACTTTTTCACGCCTCAACCAGTCTTAGGTACGGGACTCAAATCCTGCTGCAGCATGATGAATGCTGCTTTACGGGTTCTCACCAGTTTGCTCAGTGATACTGACCAGTTTTCATGACACAGGTGCCAAATTTTACTATCTGCATGCAGTTCTGCACAACCAATCTCCGAGCAATCTTCGTAAGCTTCTCGAGAACACGAAAGCGGCTATGGCGGCCGATTCCGTGCTGCTTATCGATGAGATGGTGTTGCCAGAGACCGGTGTAAGTGCAATAGCCGCTTCGATAGATCTGACCATGCTCTCGTCTCTGGCTAGTGCAGAGCGGACCAAGGAAGAGTGGGGAGAATTGCTTGATGATATAGGCCTCGAGATCGTCAAGACTTATACGTACAATGAGCGGACTTACGAGACTGTAATGGACATACGTTTGCCGAAGGCTGCTTGAATATAGATAGATATTGGACATTAGCGTCTCTCAATTTCTCTGGATGTTGGAATTTGAATTTGCTACTGAAACTGTCGAAATTCGAAATTTGTGACTTTGCTTGAAAATGTAGTAGAGAGTCAGCTGGTGTCCTGAAATATTCCTGTAGCGGCGGGAAAGTATGTGAGACCACAGAGTCGCCGTGTGATTGCAATTCTCGGCACCCCAAAAATTCAGCCACCAGGAAGCTCATTACCATCTCAGAGCCAACACCCTCACTGAGGTCCAGGTTGGCCTGGAGCTAGGGTTGCATGTCAAAAGCGGTCCAACCGCCTGGGGTTCGTACCACTGCAACAAAGAGCGCTGGTTGGCTGCCTGCGGGCGTTAACGTGACACAGCGTGCTGCGGCGAATGGTACGTGGGGCTGGCGTACTGTAGCACCATGTCAGACTTAGCTAGTTAAGTATTAATACTTGCCCCCTCTCCCATGCCCAACGTCCAACAGGCCTCTAGACTTGGTAACCGGAGCTCAACCACCACCACCTTTTCCCCATTGTAAAAACTCTTGTGCACCCATTGTGATACCCAGACAACCCCATCATGCCTGCACCCAAGCTTATCTTTGGCGCCGGCCTCTTCACCAAGGACTACGGCTACAACTCTGCCGAGGACGTCAAGCCATGGCTCGACGTCCTGCTGGACAACAAGGCGAAGGGTCTGGTCAACGAGATTGACACCGCGGCTGCTTATCAGCAATCCGAGGGGTACCTGGGCGAGCTCAAGTTCCCGTCACACTTCGAAATTGGCACCAAGGTCTTTGGCGGGGCCAATCCGGCCCAGCCCGCCACCAAGGACGCCGTCGTCGCCCAGGCCAAGGACAGCTTGAGCAAGCTAGGCGTGCAGCAGATCGACATTCTTTTCATACATTGCCCCGACCGCCGTGTCTCGTTTGAAGACACGCTCTCGGGAGTCGACGCCCTCTACAAAGAGGGCGCCTTCAAGCGCTTTGGCCTCGCCAACTACACCCCAGATGAAGTCGAGGAGGTCCTCAAGATCTGCAACGAGAAAGGCTTCGTGCTTCCATCCGTCTTCACGGGTAGCTATAGCGCGGTCGCCCGTCTGCCAGAGGACCGACTGTTGCCCCTCCTCCGCAAGCATAACATCGCCTTCTATGCCTATAGCCCCATTGCAGGTGGTTTTCTGGCCAAGAAATCTCAGGAGTTCCGTGACCAATCGTTTGCTGGCCGTTGGGACAAGTCGGCCATGTTGGGCATGGTTTATCAGTTTATGTATAACAAGCCCAACGCCCTGGAGGCGCTGGACAAGTGGCACGAGATTGCTGCTGCCGAGGGCATTCCGGCTGCAGAGTTGGCGTAAGTCCCCCTTCCGAGTGTGTTTTTTTTTCCTCAACCAAGTATTCCTTGGGCTTCGCGTGGTCGATCCGGCTACACGGAGCACTGTGTTTCTGGATCTTGTCTCTCATGCCTTGATATTCATCTTTATATGCGAATGCTGATTACTGGAACGTGTAGCTATCGCTGGGTGGTCCACAACTCTGCGCTGGATGGTTCATTGGGTGATGGGATCATCATCGGCGCATCGTCTCTTGAGCAGTGGAACAGCAACATTGCTGCGATTCAAAAAGGGCCCCTGAGCGCAGAGACCGCGGCCAAGATTGATGCACTCTGGGGACCGGGCCTTAAGTCAGATTCTCTTCTGGATAATTGGGCAGCTATTGGGGTGATGTCAGCTAAAAAGTAGCCAGCAGCTAGGGCGTGAATCTATGGATTGTGACGGACAGCTACCGGACTTTTGGGATGCAAATCTATTGGTATCCTCACAGATGAAGTCCTCATCCCCCTTAGGCCTGACTGATCCAAATCTTACAAATGCCGAGGCTCGGCGTCTTGTAGGATATAGTGCTGTGATGGTCTTGAACAACCCGTTTGGAATATTACCACCCAACTCGCCAGCATGAGAACTACACTTTCCACTGACAACCCGAGGATCTGGATGAACGGCCTAACAAGTCAAGCAATACAACATCACTGGTGTAGTCATTGATAGCCCGAGGTTGAATCACAGTATGGATGTCTAGCCGAGAGAATCAGATGTCAATCTTATCTTGACAGCACTGAACAGACCTAAAGCCGGCCCAAACCACTAACCAAGTGCCCGTCTTTAGCTACACTAGGAGTGAAACGGGGGCGGGGGTAATTCCGTCGTCGGTTGGGGCGCGGAAAGGCCCAGCCCGGTTATCGGCATAACCCCCCGATTAGTTACGTACCACGCTGGTAAACTGAAATAAAAGCATCACTAGGAGGCGTCCCTGCGCGATACACTTGCCTGTTCCAACCAGCATATTATTCCTTCAGGAGCGACTAATAACAGGGCCTGCACTCGGTTGCAGGCAGCTACTGCAGCTCAGACCAGAAGGATTCAGTCCAGTGCAGTTGAGTTAGAAGCAAAAATCAACTGACCTACAATACTACCAAGTGGACATCCTACCGCTGCGCCGCCTTGTCAGCGCGTGGAGTCCTGACGGTCAGGGTTCGGCCCCACCGTCATCATATGAGGCAGACGGGCCGATGTAGCGCGCCCCTCCTCCAGGAGGATGCGTTGGTTTAGCTCGAGACCCCGCGGGAATGGCGCCTTCCTCCCGCGGTTAATGCAGCCGTTGGGCACGGCCGCGACGCCCTTTCCCAAGATGTGCAAGTGCGGTGCCGCTGGCCGGCCGCACGAAGAATGACCGAGTCCCATCTGCTAGAACCATTCGCAAGTGGTGTTCGCCGGTATTGGGCAAAGGAAAGAAAAATAATTCGTGGTGTGCTTGTTTGCGAGGCAAGCCATCGTCAGCGTCCACGCTGGCTTTGGTCGCATACGCACATTTTCGAGCAGAATCGGGTATCACACAATGTGCAAAACCCACATGTGCCACAGCCACAGCGTGAGTGATTGTAGTTAGAATAGTATTTTTTTTTTTTTTTTTGGAAATCCCTAACGGCCATGGCATTGATTTATAGACATTGAAGGTGCGTGCCAACGGCTAGACGTTGATTGAGTCCGCGCCTATAAGTCTGTATTACTTCCATTGACTATGGCCTCTTTCGCCGGATCCGAATCTGGACATCTGTGTGTGGCACAACGACGTTGACCAGAGACATGCTTTTGCGGGCATCACCCAGGACCTCCACGTCGTAGTTCAGAATAATGTAAGCCAAAGCTTGCTTCAACGTCTGTGCGGCGTACCATCGTGCCGTACAAGCATGCTTGCCGTACCCCCAGGCAAGGAAAGATTGGCTTGGAACTGTCGACGACGCCGCTGCCCGCTCCAGTATTGCTTCATCGTTGCTATTCCCCCGGGTCTGGTTGGCTTCGAACCTTCTCGAAAAGCGGAATGCATCAAACTCCAGCGGCCTCTCATGGAACGTGAAGTCGGGGTCCCTGTGCATGGGTTGAGAGGGAAAAACAACTCGGACCCCCCTAGGAAGTTTCAGACCGTCGTCGAGGCCGAGGTCCAGCTCTTCGGCAACGACATCGCGAGCCACGCTGACGATGCTGATGGCAGATAGTCGCATTGACTCACGCAGAGTCGAGTCCAGCCGGTGGAGGCGGTCGATGGTGTCCTTGGACCCCAGTGCGTTAGTTGCCTTGGGGAACTCCGATTGCTCGGTCATTTTCATGATCTCCTCTTGTAGGCCTGCGAGAAATTCGTCTTTGGAAGGGCTTCTATACAGATCCTGGATGCAATGCGATAACACGTATACCATACCCATGACGGACATGGTGACAAGCGCGAGGAGACGTAGAGCAATTCTCCGAGGTTTCATCTGCTCCGGGCCGGCTTTGGCACATCTCTCTATCATCCATTGCAAGAAGTCGTCCTAAATAAAGTTCATGTTAGCAAAAGTCCGAACAATAAAAGAGATACGACGGAGTTGCATACTGGTATCTTCTGAGCGACGCCTGTTTTTCTGCTCTCCCAGACGCGAATTCTCTCTTCAATCACCGGAACGAGCAATTTCAGGCAGCGTGACTGGTTATATTTTGCCGGCGAGGCGAGCAGAGGAGCAATCCACGGCCTCAAAGACGGCGGCAAACAGTTGATCATGGCCGTCCCCATCACCACAGCGTCGGCGTACCGCGCCGTCGCGTTCAAGAGACGTTCGTTCTGACACAGGGTCTCACCGACCAGAACCCGCAGCGCCGCGCGGGAGATGACTTTGCCGCACGCGTCCCAGTTGTTCAATGTAACCCAGTCGGACTTTCCGTCGGCGCCACTGTCAGGATCCTGCCAATACGCGCGGAATGCCCTGTCCAGTTCCTCAGCCGCGGGGGCCGCCAAGTTGCCGACCTGCTTGGGTGCCAAGTTCTTGCGTACAACATCGAAGTGGATGGCGTTGTTGTACACATCGCGGTCTGCGATCATGTAAGGGAGCTGGATGGTTTCATGCTGAGCGCGGTGCGCGGCGAGCTCGTTGTCAGGACGGTTGAGTAGATGCAGCAATGACGGGGGGAGGACGACGACGGCACTCCCGGTCCATATTGTGGGCAAAGCGAAAGGCCGATTGTTGCCTTTGCAAAATTGCTGATATCCGTCTGCCGTATTCTGCGCTGTCTTGAGTATTGAGCCAAAGACAGCTCTCGGCCATGGCAGGACACCTCGGTGGCGCAGCCCTACAACGTCTAAGCTACTCCAAAACTTGGAGTGGGCTTTATTGATTGGGAATGGCGCAAGGAGATATGCGACGGCTATAACCAGGCCGACGGAAGAGGCAAAGGCAAGCAAATGGATACTAAATTGAGAAAACATTGTGGGCGTTGGTAGAGCTTTCATCTTTGATTACAATTTCAGGCCTGAAAGTCTCCAGATCATATGGAAAATACACCAAAGACTATCTTTAATTCTACTATGCTCTGCGCTGTGGCGCAAGGGCGACATCGTGCCATGGTAAATTCCCCAATGCATGACGGGTCGCCGGGCGCCGTCATAGTCAGTCGTGCTCGGAAGCGATCATCTCTCTGGCCCCGGGACAGCTCACAAGCATCCACTTCAGTGGGTTAATATGCTGCACGCGCTTCAATGAGATGTCACCCTCGTCTTGGTCTCATTTTTGGGCCAACAGCTGTCAAATGTTGCTCTTGGAACGAAGCTGGTCCCCAGTTTGGACTAGCTATGAGCAACACTTCAGCCGAGAGCCGATGAAAGTCGGAACAGAATTAGTCAATCATTTCTCATCAGTCGTCTCCAGCCCCAACATGCAGCTATCTGTGAGAACCTGCCTGACCAGGTTTCATTCTGGCCGCTACGCTTTAGATTACATGTAACACCGAAGGAACCTAATCCATGTCAAGTCAGTCCTTGCTTTATTGTGGATGTTTGGGAACTGTTGGAAGGCACATTCACCGTCAGCCACCAGCGGCGCGAGACTCTGCATATGCACTGCAGTGCAACCCTCTTTTTCAGCCTTCAAAGGCTTAGTTGCGCCACTTGGTGTGTCCTCACGGGTACACTAAATGCAAGCGGACACGGGATTGGTCAACCCATACTGTTTCATTGCATAGCAGCATTCAAATCCTAAGCGGAGCACCGAGACACATCCCTCAGCGTCAACCGGCGGCTAATCTGGCGGCCAGACTTGAGCCAGCTATACGAACTAATGCATCCACTACTGCCATCAGATACTAGTGCAGTTGAAGAATCCTTCGGACCTTAAGTTGGTTTTGGATGGTCAACATCCTTCGGCCCTTGAATTTGTGGGGCTCTGAAGACCAGACTACGGTAGACTTGTGGATGTCTGGCAAGAAACGACTGTTGGTGCGTATTTCCAGCCGAGACCCACATATTAATGTACAGGTGAGGTGCAAGATAAGCGACAAGGCAACGTTCCTTCGCTCCTACGGAGTAACATTTCATCCTGAATTAATTGTTCCCGTCGAAATCGGGAAAGCAAGCCGGCTGTTGGTGACCTGTCGCGCAGGCAGACGTCAAAGTGAAGTCTCTTAGCCCTGCATTTAGGATCAGACCAGTAGTCTGAACTAATCAACCTTGCCAGCAGTAACTCTCCTCCGGGATCAAAAGTCCCTAGGTGCATATTGGAACGGCAGGAATCCACAGTGTGCTTTCCGATGGGGCAGAGCGCCAATACCCCGGATGGCAATGTGGGTCAGTCGATGGGGGCTGAAACTTCCTACCTCGATAGATGCATTTTCCAAAGACGTCAGCGGATGTTTGAAGCTGGACTGTCGCTTCACCATTGCCCGTAGCCGTTCACTGGCATTTGATCTAGTTCTCCAAATAGTAAACAAGCCGAATTACCCTGCGACCGTTGGTGTGCCTCAGAATAAGTGCTCTCCAACAGTGGAAATACAGCTTGATTTCTTCGCCGTTTTGCTGTCTACCAAGAATCATCATCACCTGCCAAGTCGAAACCTACCTGGCTGGGCACGGGCGAAGCCATTCGCTAAATACAGCTCATGATAAGCCGGTTCCAGAATACCCCAGCTGGCAGACAATGGTACCTCGCAGTCTCGTACAAAACGTCTCATTTTCCTTGCACTACCCTTGGACCGCGAAACTTCACACCGCCGTCACTCATTTGGGACATACGGGTCTCAAGAACAGTACCAATCAATTCGTGTCAGTGCCTCGCTTCTTGTGTCCACACACACGCACACACGCAACCACGCCCGCACAAGAAGATAGACGAAGAGAGAAGCATACACGACACCAGCCCACCATGGACGCCGCACTGGATCAAGTAAAACAACTGGCGAGCAACATTGACGCCTCGGCGCGTCAGAAGTTGACTCTCGAGCTGATGAAAGTGATTCATTCTCTGGAGACACCGGATGACATGCTTCAGCGCATCGGATCTCTGGTCAGTGAAAGAAGACGGTGCCTTGTCTGAGGTAGCCGAGGGACATGACTGATATTTATGGTGCCTACGCAGCATTTTCAAACGGCCGCAGTCATCCTAGGCTATGATCTGAGCGTCTTCCGCAATCTGTGCAAGTCTGAATCCTCGAATGTGGAGGAGCTCGCTCGGGAAAGCGGAGCCGAGCCAGCATTGCTAGGTGAGCTTTAGACTTCATACACCCCCTCCCTCCTTCCCACCCTTTTTCGTGGCGTTTGCTAATACTATGGTGTAGGCCGCATTTTGCGCTACCTCGCTTCGGTTGGTCTCGTTGATGAGGTGTCAAAGGATGTCTTTGCAGCAAACCATGCCACCAGGACCTTGTCAGAAGAGGTCAGCGAGGCAGGATTAAAGCATTAGTAGGCGATCCGCACCCCATTCGCATGAGCTTGCTCGTAACTGACGGGTTAAATGCCAGCTTCTACACTTGCAGCCCCATACACCAGAGCCTGCCCGAACACCTCAAGAGCACGGGCTACAAGAGCCCCGAAGACGAGACCAACACCGCTTTCAACAAGGCCTTCGGCACTGACAAGCATGTGTTCTTCTGGTTTGGCGGCCAGGCAGAGAGGCTCAAGTATTTCAACGACTACATGGCACTCCGGCGGACGCCGGACGTGTCGTGGCTGTCAGTGTACCCCGTCATAGAGGAGGCCAAGGGAGTGACAGCCGACCGCGCCGTGTTCGTCAATGTGGGCGGTGGGATCGGGCACCAGTGTGCAGAGTTCAAGCGGGCCCACCCAGGTATCCCCGGGCGCGTCGTGCTCCAGGATCTCCAGCACTCCATCGATGCTGCTCTGCCTACTCCGGGGGTAGAGAACACCGTGCACAACTTCTTTGAGAAGCAACCCGTCGAAGGTATGAGCCCGGACTGGTCGCTGCTAACACCCCCCTCTCTTGTCCGGTGCTGACTGTCCTGCCTCTAGGAGCCAAGTTCTACTTCCTGCGCGGAGTCTTCCACAACCACCCGACGCACAAGGTGCAATTGCTCCTCTCAAACATCAAGGCGGTCATGGCTCCGGACTCGGTCATCCTGATCGACGAGATTGTGACACCGGAGGTGGGTGTCAACCACGACGCAATGGCTCACGACCTGACCATGATGGCAACCTTTGCCGGTGCTGAACGGTCCGAGGCTCAGTGGCGCGACATTTTGGATGCCGTTGGCCTGAAGCTTGTCAAGACTTACGTGTATAACCCGTCTGGATACGAGACCGTCTTGGATGTTCGAGCTGCTTAGAATAGTGTGTATGAGGGATGTGAAAGGACTCTAACAAGAAAGATGATAGTTCAACCAGCAACACACAGCTTGGGGCGTCGCCATATAGAGAAATGTATTTTGATTGTCTGCCAAGTCACCAAGTAGGACAGTTTGAGGACATTTATACTTGTTGTCTGCCTTAGCGGGCAACTTGATTCGTAGCGTCCTGAGGCGATCTCACTCCTGCTACACTGTTTCTCGGTTTCATGTATGCTAGAGCCCATCCAGTAAAGACCTCGAAGGGGGCTCGACACAGAGCAGCCTTCGGGCCAAATAGTTGTCTCCGGCCAGCTTCCGCATCAGTACAAGGAGCGAACCCGCCAGCATCAGCAGCTGTGTGTTATCGAAGCATGTGCACATTTACACGAACCTCGTTAATTCAATGTTGTGGAATTTCCGATGAGGTTGAGGAGTGCGGGGGAGGAAGAGAGGGGACGTGTAGGAAGGATTATCAACACATTAATTGAACAGCCGGAAGGAACATTGCCGCCCGCGCCACACTTAAACTGATCCTTCGGCGGAGGAAGTTGGGCTAGGGCTTAGCCGTTGGCATCGCTTTGGCAAGTGCATCCGTAGTAATGCGTTGAGAAGGATCCTGGGATGGGACGTACCCTGGTAAAATGACATTCACGATACTACGTGGTCCGATATTTTTAGCGCAAGAGGAAACATGATCTGGAACTTGAGGGTGCTTTGCGATGACACCAATACGCGAACCATCGATGGAAAAATATGGGTACGAGAATGAGACTATTGAGTGGGCACATGCATGGGTACATGTAGGTGTCGGTAATATTTCTAAAGTGGATTTTACATGTCTTGTGCCTGTGGACCTCCGAGCTGGATGTCCCTTGTACTGTATGGCCTTGAATGGTGTGTACTAAGACCCTCCCCCTGTATCGGCTACGTAGAAACAATAGAAAAAGAAACAGTCTAGAACAGGCGTAAAAATACATGTCAAATCATTAATCATACCCCTCTGTCCCGTAGGGCTTCCCTCAACTTCGGAGCAAATCCGCTGACATGGTCAGGGCCGAGCATGGTGTAGTGTGCGCCCCCAACCTGGGTAAACGTCGGGGCAGACCGTGAGAAGTCCGCCCACTTGGCCAGATGGTCCCGGAGCCATTCCTCGCGCGATGCCGCCACCACCTTCAGGGGCTCGGCGTGGAAGACGTGGATGGAGTCCACCACCCCAGAAGGCTCGTATTCGACTGCCATAGACTGTAGCCCGTACGCGACATCGGCCCAGCGCGTCAGCTCCCACTCGCTGAGCCCAAGCTCGCTCATCCGCTGTGCATCTGAAATGCCGAGGACGCGGGACAGAGCCGTTTCGCGCCCCAGTGCGCTAAATCCTTCGCCCCTCGGTTCACCGTCGGCGCCATGGGTGCCGGGGGGTGATTCATGATGTTCCTGTTGAAGGGTCTCATGGGAATCCTCGGTCGTCAGGCCGAGGAAGTAGGCCAGGTGGAGGAGGCACATGTTCCAGTTCAGCTGCCTCATGCGCATCTTGATGTTGGGCGGCAGGTTGAAGCTGCCCAGGAACCTGACCTCCTGGCCGTGCTCGCCGTCCAGCCGCTTGGCGATCTCGAACGCCAGCATGGCGCCGTAGCTGTACCCTGCAATCGCATACGGGCCCTCGGGCTGCACCCGCCTGACGGCCGCCACGTACGTGCTCACGGTCTCCTCGATGTCCCCGAAGCGTGTCTCGCCGGGCTCGAACCCGCGGGCGCGCAGCGCGTACAGTGGCCGGTCGTCGTCGCTCAGGTGCTGGGCGAGGCCGACGAAGACAAGCACCTCGCCCACGCCGGGGTGCACCAGCCATAATGGCGTCTTGGTGCCGCTGGTTCGGAAGGCAACGACGGGGTCGTACTTGTGATCTGCTTCGCCGCCGTCATGATTGCCCTTGCTGTGGCCGTTGACTCCCGTTGAATTTGGCTCCTGTCTCTCGTTGACAATAGATGCCTCGTGAGTGTCGCCATTCGTGGAACGCATTCGTGATATTGAAGCAGCCAGTAGCCGAGCTGTAGGGTTCTTCATGATCATGATGATGGGTATGAAAAGCCCTAATCGAGCATCAATTGCGTGCTTGAGGCGGACAACATCCATCGAGGTGTAGCCAAGCTCCCACAAAGAGGTGTCGGCCTGGAATATGGTCTGGCCAATGCCGTCACTGGTGCTGACGCTCTTGAAATCTTCGATGAGGGCCATTTCTTCCACTGTCGCTGCAGTCGTTGTTGTGTCTTGGTCCCCTCCGTGGTAAATATCAGTACGACGGTGTAGCTTAAAGTCATCCACGAGACTGCGCCACCGTTTGACGTCGGCCGAAAATGCGCCATCCTCAAACAAGGACTGCATCTTGGCTCGAGAAATCTTGCCAAGAGTTGTTGTGGGCAGAAGACGCAACGATTCTGGGCCCAACATGAATATGACAGGCCGCGAAGCTGTGACCATCATACAAGCTTGGACGAGCCGGTTCTCGATTTCGCACATGTCTCCATCCGTTAACGTGTGTCCATGAACTTGTCGACATGCGACCGTGACTTGCTCTGTCTTGTCTGCCCTGGATGGGAACACAATGAGACGGTCCATGTGGCAGCCCTGGATGGCTTGCTCGAGAGTTGACTGAAGGTCTCCAATCGGGACTTTTACCCCCTGGATATTGACAACTTCCTTGACTCGCCCAACAAGGCACAGGCTGCCATCCGAGTCCAAGATAGCCCGATCGCCTGTGCGGAACCAGCCATCCGGGGTGAATGCATCAGCAGTCGCGGCCTGATTTCGGTAATATTCTTTGAAGACCATATCACCGCGCACCTCCAGGTCTCCCGGCTGGTTTGGCTGAGCGAGCACGGCGTCGAAAGCACTCGATTCTGGTTGCCCATCTCTCCTGCTCAGTCCAACGGTCACGCGCATCTCCATGCCATTGATGCACTTCCCCAGGGACGCGACCTTGTACCGGTTGGCGAGGTCGTAATCGGGGCATCTGACGTTGTAGATCGAGCCCGCGCATGTTTCAGTCATTCCAAAACCCGGCGCGATGACACCCCGTCGGGCGCCGTACTTTTCCAAGAGCGATGAAGCAGCAACACATGTTTCGATGTCGTTGGCTTCGCCGCCTGAAACCAGGAACGTGAGGTTCGATAAGTCCCAAGAGGGTGAGTTTGTCTTCGCCACCGCCGCCGCCGCCGAAACGAGGCTCGCCAGAAAGAAATTAGGCGCAAATGAGCGTGACACACGGTGGCGGCTCAAGAGGTCCAGGAAGTGTGTTGGCGCCGACACGATATCGGCGGCTTGCACATGGATCTGGTCCTCGTTGACCCACAGGGCATGCAGGTGGATCTCGACAAAGGCACCGACGTGATCTAGCCCTATCCAGTTCAAGAATGGCCGGCCGGCTGGGAGTGCGCGTGCACCCGTCTTTCCAAACACCGACGCCAACACATGACGATGGGTCAAAACAACCGCTTTGGCATTTCCCGTGCTGCCTGATGTCAGCATCAGCATGGCCGGCGTCTCGCTTCGGCTGCCCCCGTTTGAATCGTTGGTGGTCTGGCCTCCATGATCCTGGACGTTCTCTTGCGCATTGGTGACTTCGAAATTTGTTGTGATAGATTCTATTGTGTGGAGCTGGAATGTGTGGTCGGTTTCTTCGAACAACGGCAGGCATTCAGCCCGTGTAACACATAGAGGGGATTCCAAAAGACTTGACAGCCCCTGGACATGCTTCCGCCGATGTTCGTCAACGTTGCTGAAAGGTGTAGACAGGACTGGTACAGCGTTCGCAAAGATGGTAGACCAAAACCACAGGATAATATCCCAGTGGTCCTGCAAGTGGAGAAGCACAGGACGTCCCTCCTGGAAGGATGCGACAGATGACAGAATCCTGCTGTTTTCTTGAGCCAGACGATATAAGTCGCTGTATGTCACGCTTGATGGGTTCGAGCGATTGCCCAGGGGGTAGAATGTGAGCGAGCGTGATGTCTGCGACTCTGCTCTTCTTTTCAGAAGATCCTGAAGGCAAGTGACCGCCTCGATCGAGCTGCCTTGGTCGGCCATCTCATAGGCTATTGCTGATTTTCTCTTTCTTTTTTCGCTCCTGTGTGTTTCTGGGGTCTTGAAATGGTGATGGTCTGTGTTGTCGTGCAGTTCACTGCTGGTGCTAACTTGTTCCATCTAGTTGCCATGGAAAGTCTCAAAGGATTTCCACCGGAGTACAGTCCTTTTCAAGGTTTTCTCGCACCCCCCCCTCCATCTACCTGCTTACACTTTCCTTACTTCGATTCCTACCACACTCCACTTTCCTTACTTAGATGCCTACCATGCTCTGGCCCGGGGATCTAAATTTGTACACATCATCCGCTCACCGTTTCCTGTTTCGGATTAGCCTGCCCGCGCCCCTATCGGAGACCATTCAGGGTCGATTGATTCGCCGACATCCACACCAACACCGGAAGGAATACATAGTTCAGGAATTTCCAGGGATCAATGAATGTCAAATTCCGGCCGTTCACTCCATGCCCAGAACATAGATGGTCTCCGAGTACATTCATACCATCCTCCTGGGCCCTTGGCGCATACTCAAACTGTGTTGGCTGGGTCACGTATTGCAATACGACGTTTGGTTGGTATAGTGGTTGATTATTGTTAACTATAAAAGGAAGGAAGGCAAAAGGCCTAACTATGTTAATTATTTTATATGCAGCGTTAAGGCTGCTGCCTGCCAGGCATCCTGATAGGTTAAAGCTACCTAGTCCTAAATAGTCCTCTATATAAATAACACTTATTATTCCTATATTAGCAATCTTTGTTTTATAGATATATACCTCTTTTAAAAAGTATAAAAGAAAGGAAGGTATTAATTTAAATTAAACTTAAGGTTAAGAGGTAATTAATTAATTGCATATGTAAGTTAAATTATAAGTACGTTATTATTTCGCTATGCTATATTATTATAAAAGGTAAGTATATAAAAAGGCTTAGGTTATTATTAAGAGGTTAAAGGTTAATTAGTTTATTAAAGTATGTAATTAATAAAAAGAGGTTAATTAAGTATATATATATATTAAAATGTTTTAATTATATAAAGTTAAAAAGCTTAAAAGGTTATAATTATTATATAAACGTTTTATTTATAATACATTTAATAAATTTATGCTTTTATTGCTTATAGTGCTTAAGTTAAATAAGAATTAAATCAAACCTTTGGATTGCTAATGTAATTATTTAATCTTTAAATAATTAAAATTTCCCGTTTTAGCTTAGCCTAAGCTTTGCCATATTTAATGCTATTTATTAAATAAAGAAATTAAGGAGTATAATTAAAAAATAAGTTAAAATAAAGGTTAATAAATTATAAGGATTAATAAATAAAGTATTTAAATAAAGGGAAAGTAGGGTATAGGATAAAGAATATTAATTAAGTTAATAAATAGCAATACTTTTAATTTTAGTATATAGGTATTAAATTATAAAATTTAACTAAAAACGCTTATTAAATATAAGCTAATAACTTAAGTGCTTATAAAATAATAATAATCCTTATTACTTAAACTCTTAATGCATAAATATTATTATAAAAATTTTAAATATAAGGTTTGCCCTTAAAAGAAATGTAATTTAAAGTTAGCTAATTGCATTACATTATAAGGTAATTTATAGGTAATTAATAAATATAAATTAAACTTTTGCATTTTTACTATGTATTGCCTTTAATTAGAAAAGTTATTTTATTATCTTTTATTAAAAACTTTTAATAATCTTTTATCTTTGCAATTACATAATATATATACTTAAGTTAATTGCGCTAGTATTAATATAATAACCTTATAATATATAATATAATGGTAATATTTAAAGTTATATTAGCGTGATTTGCTAATAAGTTATTAAACTATGCTTTAGTAATTTAGGTTTAAGCCTTAATATATTATAGTTTTCTTAACTTTTTGCTATATTTAAATAATTACCTTATCTTCTTAATTGTAATTTATATAGCCCTATATCTTAATTATAATATTATTTATACTTATAAAGCGTTAAAGAGTGCTATTAAGGGTACTCTTTATAAAGATGTTAGTTAAGTTACAGTTCTTAGTAATTTAATAAATTTTAAAGATTTTATGCTTTTTATATAATTATTAAAGAGCTATAATATTAATTATAAGGCGCTTCTTTTTTATTATGCTAAGCTTAATTAAGCACTTATATAAAAAGTATAAATTAATGCATACCATAAGAAGAATTATTGCAATATTTAAATATATAGTAATTTAACGTAAAGTAGCCATTAACATTATAGCTATATTAAAGCTATTAACCATACTATAAATCTTTAAAGCCAAAATGCTTTAAGTTACTCTTTAGCACTTTATTAAGAATTAATAAATAATGTTGCTTTTAATATTTTATTTAAAAGCCTATTAAGTTTATATCTTATTTATAAGTACAATAATAAAGCTAATTTATAAGCTAAGGTCCTTATTATTAGCAAATAAGCTATTAATAAAGATTATTAGTTTAGCTTGAAATAGATTTAAAGGTATATATTAAAGTCTATGCTTTAGGTTATTAGCTTATTATTATAGCTAGTGATTTAGCTTATTGCAGTCCTTATAAAAAGGCTTTTAAATTTAAGTTGCTATTAATAAGTTAAATATTGCCTTAAGTTAATAAATAAAAGCAAGATATACTTTTTATATATATTGCTTTATATATTATTAAGCATAATTATTAGCCTTGCCGTTAATAAGCATAATCTTCTTATTTTAATTCTTTTAATGAAAATATAAAGTACCTTTATTAAAGATATTTATAGTTATGCCATTAAAGATAAGTAACTTATTAAGGGTAAGTATTTCTTTTAGCTTATATTAAATATTTACCTTTTTAATCTTTTGTTTTTTTAACTTTAAGAATGCTAGAATATTAAGGAATAAAGTATTATTAATTTGCATAACAATAATAATAAAAACATTCTTTCCTTAATTTATAATTAAAAAGCATAGATTATATATTAAGATAATTATATTTAAATTATTATAATAAAACTTATAATAGGTTGCCTATTAATATATATTAAATTTAATAATGCTATAAAGCGGTTTAATAACTTATATAATGGTTTTAAGAAGGTATTTATCTTAAATCTTAAGGGGTAAGTAATATAAAATAGATTGCTTAAGCTTAAACTTTAATTAAGGATATGCTTAAGTAATATTTTAAAGCTTTAATTAAAAGCCTTATATTAAAAGGAATAAAGCTAAAGTAATTAAAAGCCTTTAGCTAGCTTTTTAAATAGTTAAAAATTATATAAGGATATTATGCTTATCCTTATTACTATATTTAATAATAATAAGCTATAATTTCTTATATAGCTTTTTAATTTTACCCTTAATTTTATAAATAATATATAACTTAAAGAACTAAATACTTTTATATATTTTAAGATTAAAGCATTTAAAGTAAAAGACATTATTATTAATTAACTTTATAATTTCCTTATAATTAAACTCCTTAAATAAGTTATCTAGGGTATTAATTATATTATTATATTAAAGTTTTAAAGAAAGATTATAATTTTTAACCTTTTGTTAAGTAAGATATATTTCTTTTGGCTTATTCTTTAATCCCTTAAGCTATTTATATTATTAAGGTTATAATAATTTTAATATTACTAGGATTGAATTTAGTTTAAATTAAATAGGCTTATTAAGAGCATTATTTAGGTTAAAAACTAGCTAAATATTATCTTTGCCATTCTTATTCTAATAATATAGCTAAATTAATATTAATTAAAAGATTATTAAGCTGTTTAAAAGGTTTAATATAAGGTTATATTTATTAATATTAAGCAACTTATATAGTTCTTGCTAATTATGCTTTTTTCGCTATATTTATATATTACTTTATAATAAAAGACCTAATACTTTTATAATATTTAGGCTGTTATGAATATTTAAAGCTATGTTAATTTATTATTTAATATAAGCCTTGTATAGCTTTCTTATAGCTTTTTAAATAGCCGCTACTTTTTTAAGAGTTAAGGGAGTTAATATAAAGTCTTTTATAAATCTTAAATATGCATTAAAAATAAGGAATATTAAAATAATGCTATTAAAGCTAATTATATTATTTATTGCCTTAATAGCTATTTATAAAATAGCTTCCTTAATATAAGTCCTTAAGAATTTAGCATAAAGGATATTAAAAGCTCTTTAAAGCGAAGCATAATATCTTTTAACCTTACTAATAAATTAATATACCTTTATTAGCACTTACTTATAAGTAATGCCCATAATTTATATAGTGCTTTGGAATTCTGCTAAGATAAAGTTAGTTTTAGCATTATAAATAATATAGTTAAGAGGTCCTAAATAGGTATTTATTTAGCATTATTAAATAACCTCCTATATATTCTTTATAAAAAAAGAAATAAGAAATTGCTTAGCTTAAAAAGAGGTTGCTAAATTAATAACTTATAAAATAAGCAAACTAAGCAAATATATAATATTTATAATAATCTTATAATTAAAGTTAATATTATTTTAAAGGTTAAACTTAAAATATTATAATGTTATGGAATAAAGTTAATAATAATAATAAAACTTAAAAATTACTTTTAAGATAAAAGGATTAATATTGCTATAATTAATATTAATAAAAAGGCATAAAAGATAATTAATTAAAGGGTGTTTAAATTTATAATAAAGTTGCTAAAGCTTTATTTTTATTAAGAATATTGCTAGTATATTATTACTTCCTATATTAAGGAAAATCCATAAGTATTCTTACTTTTAGGTAATTAGGAAAGTTTTCTTTAAGTAATTATCTTTTTATTAAACTACCTTATTAATAATATTTTAAAGAAAGAAAAAGTTTTTATTTATATTTTAAATATAAAGAAGAAAGGGAGTAGGCTTATTTATAATATAAAATATTAATAATCCTATTAAAGTATTAACTTATATTATATTAAGTAACTTAATAAATAAGCCTAGGCTAAATTATATTTATACTTTGCCGGCTTATATAATATTTAAGTATATGGAAAATACTTAATATTATAAAGCTTGGAATTGCTTATATTTAACTATTAAGAATGTTGCTATACTTATATTTAATATAATGCCTTAATATTATTAATAAGAGTATTAATCTTAAATAATAAATATTTTTATTATTAAGCAATCTTTTAAGTTAATATAAATATTAAAGCTATTTATATCATTAAAAAAGTTATAAAGGAAGGCTTAGTTTATTAAAAAGGTATAATAAGTACGCTCCTTTTTACTATTATTAATAGCTAAAGTTATTATAATGCTAATAGCTTTAAAGTTAAAATCTTTAAAGCTAATAAGAAATATATTAAACTTATTATTATTAACTTATTATTTAATATCCTTATATATATAAATATATATAGCTTTAATATACTATTAATCTTTAAGTAAGTAATTTATTAATTAATATCCCTCTTTATAATATATAAAATATTTTTTCTTTCTATATTATATATTACCATTATTACCTTTATTAAGCCAATATCCGCTATTATAGCCACTTCTATAAGGTCTTTTATTATAGCCGTTACCTTTAAACTAATAGGGCTGGCTTGGGCGGAAGTTAAATTAAAAGTCATTACCTTTAAAAAAAAATTAAGGATATTTTAAGCATTAATTATTATTATTATATTACTTATTAAAATAATATTACTTTTTAGTATTTATAGTAATTAAATTATTATTATTTTAGTTATTATAATTATTAATATAGCCTTATTTATAAGCTTATTAATTATTTTTTATAACTATATATTATAATATAGGGTTTTAAGCTTTTAATGCCTTAATATATTATTATAAGATAAAATAAAATTACTTAATATTTATTAACATTATTAAGATAGCATAATGGAATTTAGGAATGCCTTATATTACTTACAGAATTATATTTCATAAAGGGCCATCCCTATAAATAATATACTTAAGTACTTTATAATAAAGCTATATTTTATTAATAAGCATTTAAAGAATATTTGCATAATTCTTATTTAAGTTTCTTTATTAAAAAGTAGAAAAAGTTAATATATTTTAATTTATAAAATAATTATAATAATTATTATTTATATTAAAGCAATTTTTAAGTTTTTTATATGCTTAAGTAAATAAGTTTTCTTAATTAATAACTTAAATATAATATATCTTTATTAATTTTTTAAGTATATATAAAAAAGCTGCTTTAAATTATTAAGGCTAAATTTATAAGTTGCTATAGGCTTTATAAAAAAAAAGGATCTTATTATTAAGAATATTATATAGTTTTTTAATAAATATTTTATCTTTATAATAATATTTATTTAAGTTAATTATTATATTTAAGTTAAATAAAAAGTTCTTTATCTTTATTAAAGGTAAAAGGATATAATAATTATATACTATATAAAAGTTATTAGCTAAAGGAAGGTTGCTACCTTTTCTTAATGAATTAAAAGGTTTTAAAGGGCTATTATTACCTTTACTATTACCACTAAGTAAGCTAAGTAGTTTAGGTAATTTAAGATTAAGAGAATTATTATTAATAAATAATTCCTTATCTTTTATTAAAGTATAATTAAAATTAAAAATAACGTAAGTACTTAAATTATGATTTTAAATTTAATTAGTTTTAGATATAATACAGTATTTTTGCTTTTAATTTATTAGCTATTTAGGATAGTTTAGTGCTTTAAGGATATATATAAGTTTTCTTAAAATATTTGCTTTTTAAATATAAATACCCTTAATTTAAAAAGTTTTCTTAATAATGCGCAACAAATCTTTATTAACTTGCATAAATATTAACTTAATTTAGCTATAAAAGTCCTTAATAAATACCTTATATGCCTTATTATTTAATATATATGCCATAGCTTAAATTTAGCCTTAAATATAGGTATTTAAGTATTATTTGCTATTAAGAAATCCCAAGGGATTTATTTATACTAAGGGATTAAGTATTTTAATAATGCTTTTAAGTATAAAAGTATAGTTCATTATAATTAATATTAATAAACCATTTTAGCTAATAGTATTGCTTATTATATTTACTATCTTATTATTTTAATAAAGTAATAATAAAGGTATATTTAATTTAAGAAAGAAAGTAATAAAAAGGGGAAATAAGTAATATTAAGGGAAAATAAAAAAGTTAAAGATTATTTTTATAACTTAGCTATTAAAAAGCAAATTAATTTCTTTCTTTATATTTATTTATATAATAGAATATAAGTAAATATATTATTAATAAAAATAGATATTAATTTAATTCTTTTAATTATAGCTATTAAATTTAAAAGTCATTATTAATATTGCTTAAGGCGTAATAAATATATATATATTAAGAGTAAGAGAGTTCGCTATAATTTCTTGCTATAATAACTACTTCTTTATATATTAAGTATTATTATTATTATAAACTGCGCTATGTAAATTTACAATATTAATAATGCTAATTAGCATAACCAAAAAATTATTTCTTTAGGCTTTGCTAATTTATAATTACCCTTGCAATTATTAATTAATATTAGCTAAGTTATATATTGCAATATAACGTTTAATTAATATAATAATTAATTATTATTAACTATGGAAGAAAGGAAGGCAAAAGGCTTAACTATGCTAGCTATTTTATATGCAGCGCTAGGGCTGCTGCCTGCCGGGCATCCTAACGAGTTAAAGCTGCCTAGTCCCAAACAGTCCTCCATACAAACGACACCCATTATTCCCACAAACTGAGCTATTTCCTGATTTTCCACACCCACCCTTATTCATTGAATCTACGCCGTATTCCCTTCGATTCGGCGCCTATCTTCACTTGCCAATTGCAACAACTTCCGGCTAAGCATAACGCATCATGGGCTCTATTCCCGAATCTGCATCTCGCATTGTGCACCTGACCAAGGTTCTCAGTCAAACTGTCGCCGATTTGGAACGTGTTCTAGCTGAACACGGGCAGCCCACGCCGTCTTTCGATGCAGACTCACCTACTCCATTCCCGACTGAGACAGATGATCTCCGCGACACTGCTCTCGATGCGGCTGCCGAGATCTATGATCTGCTCATGGAGCCCATGGCTTTGCTGTACAAAAAGACAGGAGTGAGTTATACCCATGGTAGATGGCGAATATCACGGATGATACCTTGGAAGACACAGGCCTTGCTGACCTGGTAAATCACCCTCCTTTTACTTTATAGCACAATAATATGATCTGCCTTCAGACCATCACCCGGTTCAAAATTGCGAGCATGATACCAGCGGATGGGAAAGTATCCTTCGCAGAAATTGCGGCGCAAATAGACGGGTTGAGTGAACAAATGGTTTGCCGCATGCTTCGACACGCCATGACCCTGCGCGTCTTCCGAGAGCCCACGCCTGGCATGGTCGCCCACACCCGTGCTTCAAAGGCTTTGACCCACCCCATCATGAACGCCTGGCTCCGAAACGGCTCTCACGAGATGTGGCCTGCTGCTGTCAAGGTATGTTGATGCGCATGCGTGCATACGCTGCATACGAGCCGAGAGCTCTAAGCTACCACACCCATCGTGCGCGACTCCCTGCCCGGTGCTCAATCGAAGCTTACAGTTCACTGAACAGATGCTGGATGCTCTTCAAAAATGGCCAGACTCATCGGAGCCATCACAGACGGTAGGTGCATAAGCTGCGAATGTATCCGTGCGTGTCCCTGGCTAACTCGCACAAAAGGGCTTCGCGTTGGCCAATGGTCAAGAGGCATCTGCGTTCGAGATCATCGGCAGTGATCCCGAGCGTGCTGCAAGGTTCGCCACCGCCATGAGCATCTACGCCACCAAACCTGAATACTCAGCGGCCTTTCTCACCGACCACTATGACTGGGCATCTCTGGGCCCAGGGCAGGTTGTTGCCGTGGGCGGCGCCAGCCATCTACAAGTTCTCATTGAACTGGCCCGACGCTTCGAAAACGTTGAAGTGACCGTCCAGGATGCGCCCCCCATCGTGTCGCAATTTGTTGACGCCGTACCGGCCGAACTCGAAGGTCGTCTTCGTTTGGCTGCCCACGATCTGTTCGCACCTCAAAGCGCGCATGGCGACATCTTGCTCTTGCGCTGGACGTTGCACCTATGGTCCAACGAGTACTGTAAAAAGATCCTCCGCGCGCAGATTCCCGCGTTAGGACCAAACACAAGGATGATCATCCAGGATTCTTGCATGCCTGAGCCCGGGACTGTGGCGCTGTGGCGGGAACAGGATTTAAGGTTTGTCCATATCCATTTTCCTGTTGCATTTCTGCCAACAAATCTTTGCATTCGACTGACTCTTAAACAGGGCAAGTGATATCCACATGGCAAATCTTTTCAATGGTCAGGAACGAACGGTGCAGGAGTGGAAAGACTTGTTGAAAGAGGCAGACCCAAGGTTTGTGGTTCAAAAGGTAGTCGAGCCCAAAGGGTCTGCTTTGGGCATTTTAGAAGTTGTCTGGCGTGAAACTGAGTAGACATTCACACCCGAGCCCCAACACTGACAAATTAAAATCGTCGAACAAAAACTACTCGTTGCTATGGAACATTGCTTTCAAATGCCGTGCTACTGCCCATGCTGTACTTTGTAAATGCAGGTTAATGAACCAGTGATCCACAGTCGGTGTCTCGTGCCACTCGACGGAAGTGATCGATTGTGAATCAAGTGCATGGGTATTATTCCGCCCAGCCCAAGTTTTTGCCAATGAGAGATATCTACAGCCGAGGATTGACCAAATCCATTTTCTTGGCATATCTTGGCGTCAGATATTGGCCATCAAGGTGTGCAACACGGTGTGCGGGCGCGGGTGGATATTCGTCAACGTTCTGGATTTAATGCAATCGCGGGTTGAACGGGGATTCTCGGCAATATCGTATGTAGGATCTGCAGGGCTTTACAAGAACGTATCAAGTAACCAACACTCTGTGGGTGTTTCTGTGGGCACTACGGAAGCCATGTGTGGGGTTCAGTTGGCTGTATGTGACAGTGTCGAAAGGGGGAAATGGACGTAACAGGTATTGATGAATGCGCACTGGTAGCCAAGTACACAACAGAAACCCAAGAATCGGAAGACTGACAAAAATCTCGATCTATGCGATGCGAAAACGGAGGAAGCCGGGAAGATTGCCTTAGACAACAAGACTATATATGTGCATGCCTGAAAGCAGGTGAACCAACTCTCACCTGTTCTTGTTGATCGGTACGCAGTCAGGGCTGGCCTTTTCAACTCCATGTACATCATGAAGCCCTTTATTCTTCACCCTGTCGTTTTCAGCACCTTGGTGTATGCTACATCGAAACTCGTTTCGACAGGGTTGACTGTTCAACTGAACGATGTCTCGTACTACGTATCATCTCACGCACATGGGAATGTCTCAATCCAACCACAGCTGCTGCAGAATACTAGTTCTCTATATGGCTTCGTACCTGTCGCGGTTTTGACCAGTAACGTGATGCCTATGGAACTCCCTGGCATGTTGAGTTCCTGGGCGACCTTGGACGATGTCTTTCAGCCTGCTTTTCTGCAGGCTATTATCCTGACTGATACCACTTGGACCTCTGAACAACAAGATGAATTCAAACACACAAATCTCAGCCAATCGATTATCCTAGAAGGCTCGAAAACCTCCAACCTCCCCAAGGGACCGTACCTTCTGGCCATAGCGACGGGAAATCTACATCCGGTCTATCGCTTGTATAACGACTTTGCCGGGGCTTTCAATGAAGCTCTTCTGTCGAACCCCGATGGGACATTCCAGACCCTGTCGGCAAAAATCCCGGGCTCGGCCACGTTGACGATCGGCGTGCCATCCAGACTGTACTACGAGACCTCAAAGTCCAAACCCCTGGCTGGTGTCCGGGTCGCGGTGAAGGACATCTTCTCGCTTGCAGGCGTCAAGAGATCGAACGGCAATAGGGCATGGTACCATCTGTACCCTCCCAGTACCACCACAGGTACTGCCATCTCCCGACTCATGGAGGCAGGTGCCATTATTGTGGGCACCCAAAGAGTGTCTCAGTTCGCAACGAGCGAGGTCGCTACAGTGGACTGGGTTGATTACCACTCTCCTTTCAACCCGCGTGGAGACGGCTATCAAGATGCATCCTCATCCAGCTCTGGCGCTGGTGCTTCGGTAGCATCATACGAATGGCTTGATGCCGCCGTCGGTACCGACACAGGCGGCAGCCTACGAAGCCCTGCTGGCGTGAATGGTCTCTTCGGCAATAGGCCCTCGCATGGTGCAGTCAGCCTGGACCATACCATGCCTCTGTCTGAGCACCTCGACACTGCTGGCTTTGTGGTGCGCGACCCGATACTTTGGGACAAACTCCAGCAGTCGATGTACGGCAAAAACTACACTTCGCTCGTCAAAGCGGAGCCGAGGTATCCAAGTACCATTCAGACCATGTCGTACCCGGACTCAAGCTCCGAAGCCGGGCGGCTTCTGAACAACTTTGCCTCGGCTCTGGCGAATCATATCAATGGCACAATTCAACCTCTGAATCTGAGTGAGCTCTGGGACCACCAGCAGGTCTCAAACACGAACACAAGCTTACCGCTGACTCTCAACATCACCTACCCCGTGCTGACTGGCCGAGGCCAAGAGACTACAGTATCTGGACCCTTCTATGCGGATTATACAGCATTGCATGGTGGTCGTCAACCGTTCATCGACCCAGCTCCACTCGCGCGTTGGCAGTGGGCGGCAAATTACTCAACAGAAGAGGCGATACACAACAAGACGCTGTTCATGAACTGGTTTAACACTGAAGTGCTTCCTCCCGCCAGCGACCCGTCCCAGTGCTCATCTAGTCTACTGCTGTATCCTGGCAAGCTTGGCACGCAGACGCCCCGAAATCAGTACGGGACCGCGCCTCCGCAACCGTACGTTGGGTTCTCCGCGGCGCGCGTGTCCGTCTTCTCGGAATGTCCGGATTTCGTCTTTCCAATCGGCGAGGTACCAAGCTTTAGCGAGATCACAAACCACGTGGAGTATTTCCCAGTTGCTGTGGGCGTCATGGCGGCGAAAGGTTGTGATGGACTTCTGTCTCGGCTGGCTATTGATCTCGTTGAAGCAAATATCCTGAAAGTGCCACAGGTGGGCGGTCGCTTGACGGGAGGTCCGATTTTATACTGAGATAGTTCAGCTCATACCCTGACCCTGATCCTAATATCACTGCATCACGGTCAACTACAGTAGGAATATGTCATATCTGCGGACTAAGTTACGTGGGCTCAAGCCTTTCACGGACTGCTCATTAGAATGTTGCACATAGCAAGGCACAATTTGTCATCCAGAAAACAATTCCAATCACTCATTACGAAAAGATGTTGATTTGTATTACTCTGTCTTGTACCTTTCATGCGTTAACGGAGATGCGGTAGCTGGTGCACCCCCAACCTGCTCTATAGCAAACGCGATGAAATGACAACCTGTTGCTTAAGGCTAACTTAGGTGCAGGGTTGAATAGTCCCACATTCAATACCAATTGAACTAAAGTCTTACGTATAAGAAGAAAAGAAGAAAGCAGAAAGACCTTCTGCGACGCTTGTCCGGTGAAATCCATTATTGACAATGAGGGTGACGTTGTTGTCTCAGAGGCGTGGGTGTGTGAGTAAACTAGATACGCCTACGTTGTTTGCTGAAAACTTTCACCACCATACGGACTAGGCCCTAATCCAACGTCCCATCCAGCGTTGATTGAGCTCTTTTGCCTCGTCAACCAGGCCAAGTTCAAGCAATAATTGAATGGACCCCCTGACGGCCGAATGCAGCGAGGAGCTTATCCACGCATGAGTCGGGGCCGTGTGTTCACCCATGAAGATGATGTTGTTCTCTGTCTGATGGTACGCAGGGATGTAGAGCCGATGCTGCTCCACGTCCGGACGCGCCCAGCTCGTCGCAATGTGCGGCTCATCCAACCAGCAAAGGCGCTCGTAGTCACCCGTGTAAAGGTCGCGAACCTCCTCGCCATGGAGCGAGGCGATCGCGTCGAGCACCACGCCAACGTGCTCGGCATCGCTCAAGCTGGCAAAACGGCTAGACCAGTCGCCACCCCGGTAGTGCATTATCAGCCCGGGCCGCCCGGTCTCGTTGAGCCCGTACACGGGATAGTAGAGCGCGCCGACGGCCGCGTCCGGGGGAGTGGAATAGCCGCCGAATATGGGCCGGTCGCCCTTCTCCCAGAATCGCTCGCTGAAAAGCAATGCGACCTTGCAGGCGTCCTTGAACCGCAGGCCGCGCTCCGACATGGCGCGCTTCAGAGTCGGAGAGAACGAAGGCAACGACATCATGCGCGTCGCGGTGAAAGGGGCAGTCATTAATGTGTAATCGTAGTCTTTGACCTGGCCTGCCATCGGCTTTGTTTCAGTCCGGTTCGCATCTGCGTCTACCCACGAGAGCCTCGTGCCTGTGGTGTTGCCGGCAAAATCCCGAACTCCCTCGACTTTTCTGACTTGTCGGTTCAAGACCAAACGGCTCTTGACGTGGGGAATTATGGCTTCGGACAGCCGGCTGAAGCCACCATCGATGCACTTCCAAGTCGTCTCTGCGAGAGCACTTGACCCGCCATCCTGTGCGAGGTTGGAGTTGTGGACCATCTCATCCCAGAACACATCATAGTCGGTCGCCGTGTGAATAGCATCGGCCACATCGATGCTGGCGTTCCAGATGTTCCGCATCATGCTCTGCTGACTGATCTCATCGAGGCCCTCCTCCATCACGCGTGCATGCACCCTCCACACATCGCGTTGGATGTCCTTCAGCGTGGTTCCATTCATCAGGATCTCGTCCATTCTCGCTTTCACATCTTTGTATTCCTGGGTGCTCAGCGGTGCAGGCTTGCCAAGACTAGAGTTTGCTGCTATTTCCGCCCGCGTAGGGATGCTGCCGTCGGGATGTCGTCCAGTATTCAGGGCCAGCAGCTCGTTGGGCGAATGCTGAATCCATGGTATGAAGTCCACTTTCAGTTCCGCTTTGTCGGCCTGGTTCATCTCGTTGAGCCATTCCACCAGTTGGAAGACCATGGCGTGGTCAGAATACTCGATGGTTTCGTTGTCCTTGTACGTTGCCGTATATGGGAGGCGCATGGGTCCCATTTCGGCCCATTCTTGGGTACCGCCCACGTAGAGGGTACGCAGGCGCCCACCGGCGTGACTGCCTGCCTCCAGAAGCTCCCAGTTGTGAACGCCTACACTGTCAAGCATGAGAGCTGTAGCCAAGCCAGTAATGCCGGCGCCAACAATAGCAACGGTCGCATTCTTGGCTTGTTCGACATCCTGAACCCTGACACTGTTATTGATGGAGGCCACTTCGTCGAACCAGGCGCCCAATGCGTCGAAGTCTTTCAAGAGTGGTCTTTGGGGGTTTAGGCTTGCCGCACGGGTAATAGAAGCCGAAAGCACGGCGTAGGAACTCAGAAAGCTTTTACTAAGCATGATGGGAAGTACGGCCTGGTATGAGTCTGGCCAAATGCCAAGTCTGAAGTCAGCAGCAGCAGCTCGTTAAAAAGTACCGAAATGTACAGCATTCCTTGACTGGATTAAGCCACAAAGGTGACCAGAGAACCTTGATGTCCATTGAGGAAAACATTCAGGAATGGGACACAAACAGGTGGGGCGGCTGCGACCGTATTGCAAATTCAGAGTTAACAGTGGAGATGTATAGACCCGCTGATCGATACCGAGTTATACTGCATTCCTCGGCTGGATTGTGCCGTAAAGGTGTTCAGAGAACCTTGATGTCCATTCAGTGAGAGATTTGATAACGACGTAAGGTGATAAGACACTGTGACCAGCAGTGGGAGTATATCCGCGTCATGCGATCACTCTGTGCACTGCACAGTTCGCAGTGGAGACGTCCATACATATGGATTCTGTCGGTGTAACTGAATGGAACGGTAATGGGTCAAGCAGATCACATCTTCGCGCTTCAGTGTAGTAGAATGGCCAGAAAGCAGCAAAGGGTTCTTCCATGCGGGGAAACGGCTCATTGCAACGAGATACGACGTTAGAGGCCCAAATTACTCCAAGGTTGATTTCCACGTCGTTTTTCCAAAATAGTCGCGCTACGACGGTACAGATATTAAGTTACGAGATTGATCACCTGAAAACTCGGGAGTACCGGGAGCATTTCCATCAAGGCGTTTTATAAGATGTTAGGTAGGTCAAATTCAGGATTTGGCTGTAGTTGACTTGTATTGGTATGACGAGGAGTGGAAAAGAAAGCCACTACCAGTGCCTTATGAACTGTGGCGTCTTGATAAAGTCTTTCGAGGGATGTCTTGGTTTTTCTGTATAGAAAGACTTCAAAGAACACTCGGGCTGGGAAGAGACAGTCTCGCCGAGATCAGACGCAGCAATCATTGATCTGAGGCAGCTGGAAGACCACAAAATCTTCAGTTTTCCCGGCTCGGTGAACTTGCCAATTTCAAGTCCCCAGGTGCTGAACCATTTTTTTGATGCGGCTAATCTGGTATCGCTCTGGCGTGACTTGGACTCCTCTCTCGAGTCCGAGAGCAGTGAGACTTGCTTCGCAATTCGTGATAAGCGATCCTTGGTGCTCTGCTACGACGGCGACTGGAGAGCGAAAGAATACCGGGCAGATGGCATTGGTGGATATGTTGACACGGTATGTCGTTTTGCCATACCATTACTAAACGAGCTTCGTTAGGCGAAAACTCCTGCAGATTTACGAACATCAGGATAAACGAAGAATTTACTTCCTTCGTGTTTCTTGTAAAGTCCAAAACTCATCATGAATTTTGACCCAAATCGTTGACCGATTCACGCATCTAGAGACAAGAATGGTCAACTGTCATGTCTGTGAAAGACTTAGACCTTTTTTCAAAGGCCTCGCATGAGCGATCCATCGCCCTCAAGCTGCGAGCGTTGTTACCTCGGCGGCAGTTCTCGCGTCGTAAAGACTCCACATGTGTGTGTTCTGAAGAAATCCTGTTTTCAGGTGGTAGTGCAGCCAACAAGGGGAGTCACTGAAGGTAATGTTGATCAAGGTACAGTTCGTGAATGGCTTGATCATGCATGTAGATGGACTAGGAGGTATCGTGATGAAAGGGGGCGCTTGCAGCGGAGCCCCTATTATGCCGTTTGACATTACTCGAGAATCTCTAATACGTGCGCTTCAAATTCTCTGCGAACCTTTTTGGTCCCTTTTATTTCTCACACAATTATATTAAATCTGTATCTGCCTGCATCGGTCATTTACTGTTCTAGTACTACTTGCCTTAGCAGACCATGCCATCTTGAACCGTTCATCATGACGATCAATGACACTTCATCCATTGAGGTATCACCTCTTCACACCTCAAATGTTCAGTTTCAGTCAGAAAGGCATGGAATTCTCAACGTATTATTGCTTGAAAACATCAATGACAGCGGCATACAGCTGCTCGTTGAACAAGGGTACAATGTGGAAGCTATCAAAACCTCCCTACCTGAAGCTCAACTCATCGAGAAGATCCGGTTAGTCCTCTCAGATCTGGTCTCCACACATGCACATTTAACATAGCTTTATAGGAACGCTCATGTTATTGGCATTAGATCCAAGACGAGACTGAGTGCCAAAGTCTTGCGAGAAGCACGGAACCTTCTAGCCGTGGCATGCTTCTGCATTGGCACCGACCAAGTGGATCTAGACTTTGCTACTCAAATTGGTGTTCCCGTGTTCAACTCACCATTTTCGAACTCTCGCAGCGTAGCAGAGCTCGTAATCAGTGAGATAATTGCCTTATCCCGGCAGTGGGCAGACCGGTCGAGTGAAATGCACAACGGGACGTGGAACAAATCGAGCAGAGGATGCTATGAGATCCGCGGGAAGACTTTAGGTTGGCTGAAATTCGTCCACAACAAAGTGTAGGCTTACTGACTTGACTTATTCTACACAGGCATTATCGGGTATGGTCATGTCGGATCACAAGTATCCGTGCTGGCAGAAGCGATGGGCATGAAAGTCCTCTTCTATGACATTCGCAATCTGATGGCCATGGGAACAGCTCGACAAGTTGCAGACTTGAACGGATTGCTTCATCAGTCAGATTTCGTGACGCTACATGTACCGGAACAGGCACACAACATAATCGGGGCCAAACAATTTGACGCGATGAAGCACGGGTCCTATTTACTGAATGCCAGCCGCGGCAGCGTCGTTGACATCTCAGCCCTGATCGATGCCATGAACAGTGGACAGATCGCAGGCGCGGCATTGGATGTATATCCGAAAGAGCCACGCGCGAACGGTTTGTTCTTCACGGACAACCTCAGTCCGTGGATTGAGAGGCTGCGTGAGCTACAGAACATCATCTTGACGCCGCACATTGGCGGAAGTACCGAAGAGGCTCAGAGCGCTATCGGCGCTGAAGGTAATCACTCAACACACAATTCATCACTTAGGCATACGCTAATTCGAGTCCATAGTTGCTAGTGCTTTGATCGCGTTCATAACCGATTCCGAACTAGAAGGCTGCGTCAATCTCAGAGATATCCACATGATTAAACGGCGCAGGGCAGCGTTACTCATTGAAGACCCTTCTGTCCGGGTTGATAAGTGCCAACTGCCAAGCGCAGAGCTTCGGGACAATCTTGTACTTTCCAGTCCACTACAGGAGCCCACAATCATTACGAGATGGCTTCAGTTGAGTGAGGTTCCTAAACAGGGCTGAATATAGACAGCAGGCCAAGGCAATGAAAGCAGACGATGTAGTACATGATGGACAATGATCTCCGTCCGTGTTCGAGCTCAATAATTCAAGTTTTACATCCAATATTACTTACGAGGAGGTTTCGATAAAAACGCCAAGGGATACTCAGTGTGCAGTGATCTGGACAAGGCATTCTTCATCGTCGATCTTTCAAACGATGGTCCATCTTGGCCGATGCGTTGTCTCCAGAATGGCAAGTCCTTCGTCTCGCCCCATCGCAGTATCTTGAGCTTCTCAAGACTTCTGAAAGGACACAACCTAGACAGCAACAATCGTCACACTTCGGGGGCAACAAGAACCCCGAGGCATCCATCTATGTCTTGCAAATTAAGTGACAATTCCACGCACAAATTGCTGCTGCACAGTAAACCAACACTCCCTCGAATTTGAAGCCATCTTATTAGCTAATCATTGCGTGAAGTGATTCAAGTTCAGACCCCACTCGACATCCTCAGCCCCATATCAGCACTTTACCAAAAATGATTTGTGTCGGATGTCACATCTCGTGTAACGTGCCATTCTGATGACAAAGACCTGGACTTTAATGATATTCCGACCCACTCACCATTCAAACTTCAAATCAAGAAGGTAGGCCGAGGTGTAGACGTCTTGCCGGTAGCACAGCGTCGACTAAAGGATTCACATGGAAGATCAAGCTCCTTTGTCGTCTTGGCAGCAAGGAATGTTCAGGGATACGCGAGAAGCGACGACGGGGACGTGATAGACCCCACTATAATTGGACGAGAGAAGCAGTCTCAGGGTGGCGCATGAGACGAGAACATCAGAGAATCCTCTGTTTTAGCAGCCACTCGTGTGCTAGCTAATCAAACTGGTCTACAAATTGGGCAGATTGTCCGCTCCATGCCTGCCTACTCGGTGCAATTTCCAGCCTTGCTGTTCATGCAAGTATGTCCGCCAAGAAGTCCAGCTGATATGTCAAAGCAAGGTGAGTGCCTCTGGTTGGCGTTGGTGCCCATGTGCGGTCAACGACGGATTTTTGTGCGAACCTTGATGGCACGGCCCGCCTGTAGCGGCTGGGCACGCCAGTGGTGTGGATCACCACATGGATGAGGCATATAGACCACTCACAAACTTGACCGTTGGGGAAGGCGAGGTAATCCTTGGACATGGTTCTTCTTCGCTTGCTGATCAACGGCGGATCGGGGTCACCTTGGCGTCTGCCAAGTTTACACGATGTGTGGATGGAGGGTAAGCCCATTACTCTGTCTCAGGGTCTTGGCGATCCAAGGGGGTTGGATGGGCCAGTTGGTTCCTCGCAACATTTTCCTCTTGCCAAGAGATTGGATTTTGCTTGCTCGGGTTGGGTTGCTTTTACCTGATTCTTTCCGTCGCTTGTATCTTGGCAAGAGGAACTTGACCACGCTGACCGATCGTCTGGCGCGTAGTTATATCCGTCTTCACCTCAATGATGACCTTTCTGAAAAGAATCCTCACGTTCCATCCTGCCTTGGCTTGTATTCTTTCGTTAGGTTTCTGCTGAGTGGTTGCCCTCGCCTTTATTCAAGTGCTCCTCCACACCCTACAACCACCACCTCTTCCGCATTTCCCACACCAAGATGAAGACTCCTCAAATTCTCGCCATTCTCGGCTTCACTGCCATCGCTATGGCTCAATCTCTTGCTCCATCCCCTACAGAGAGTGCTGGATGCGAACCGCACGGGGACCATGCGCGTAACTTTGTCTCTCGTTATCTTAGCCTTTCTGCTAACCTTTGTGAATAGTGGCACTGTGAAGGTCCTCGTGAGACCGGAGCCGACGCCAACTCTGCCACCGCCGCTGTTACTACCACCGCTGCTGAGAATTCCGAACCTTCGAGCAGTTTCACTTTGCCTCCTTCTCCCACGGGGCGTGGAGAATGCAGCGTACACGTTGACCACTGTCAGTTTTCTCCAAGAATATTGTGATGTCCGAGTTATGTTAACCTGTTTACAGGGCATTGCGATATCCCGGCGACCGCCGTCTCGACCTCCTCTGACGTTGTTGCTACTACCACCGCTGCTGAGGATTCCGAAGCTTCCAGCAGCGCCACCTTGCCCCCTTCTCCCACCGGACGCGGAGAGTGTAGCGTGCACGTTGATCACTGTCAGTCATTTTCGTTATTAATTTCGCCATGTCGGAGTTATGTTAACATGCTTGTAGGGCATTGCGATATCCCGGCGACTGCTACCGCCTCTGTCTCCACCGACGCCGCTGCTGCAACCACCACCGCCGCTTCCGGTGCCGACAACAGCACTTCTCCGGCCATCGCCGTCCTTGCTGGTGCTGCTCGCGCCGGTTTCGGTGCTGCTGCCGTCGCGGCCGCCCTCGTGGCTTTCTAAGCTAACGTTGCTCAAGCCAAAGTGACGACGCTGTGCATCTCCTTTGTCACGGGGGACTCACGCGGATTTGGATTCAGGAATATGAACCAGAAGGAGGATTTTGATGTGACATTTTGGCATGAAAATATAAGGGATACGCCAATGATTTTATTTCCCCACTGGCGTTTAGCTTCCTGTCCCTCCTCGGGATGAGAGCGTATTTCTGTAGGATAGAAAACCGATCGACATCGCATTACCCTAAACTCGTTTGCCTTTTGCCAGTTATAATATGACAGACTTAGCCTCGTAACTTATCAGCTCTCAGTATGATTTCTGCCGAGAATATTATGATCCATATGCCTGGCGTCTGTAGGGCTCGTTGGTTCCAACAGTCCCCGTGGTATTTCTATCGCTGTCTATTTATCTAAGCTTTCCTAGAAAAGCCTTGATGTTTGCTACATCACCCATCTTCAAGGAAACATGTTCTGACTCAGCACCAAGTGGAAGCTCGTAAGAGGCGGGAAGTCAAAAACGTGACCCTGCGTCAACTGCTCCCTGGCGCTTTGGGAGGCATCACAGTGGCGCGTCACCGACGAGTGTGGCCCGGATGAGCATTGCAGTTGTCCCTGTTCGCCCCGGGAACCATTGAGAAACCAGTATCCTCAGTACAACATGATTTCGATGTCCAAATCTTTATCAGATGATATCCACAGTTGCATCAGGCTAGGAACTGTCAAGCCGAAGGAACTGTAAGAGATTTGGTTACGCAAATGATAAACCTCTATTCTGCCATTTTTGGGCTCTTCCCCCGAAATACGAGCGTGGGGGATACGTCTCATCTGCAATCACCCTTCAATTGGTCACCCATACGGTCAATTTGTGTCCATTAATCCGTCGCACAGCAGGATTTGCAGCCCACGAGCGGATGCAGCGAAAAAAATGCCCGGCGCCATCGAGTCCATGAATGCCGCGGACCAGCGACTGCAGCTTCTTGCCCGTTTCCCTCCTCCGTAAGCCGTAAACCGTGGAAGACCATCAAGGTGTTACTCGAGCGCTTGGCAACGGGTCTTTGGACGTTGGTGTCAGCCTTGTTATTAACACTGTGTCGCCTTGCCTTTTGGCTGTCTGACTCTTTCTCATATCCCACAATCAGGTCCCACGTTTCTTGCATGTCCCGGTCCAGTACCACTAGCTGCATCCTCTGATCACAAAAGGGGTCCTCTAGGGTGTTGCGGAACACTTCAGTTCGTCTCGGCCAGGATTGGTCCGCTGTTTCTTGCGGCTGAGAACAGTCCACACACACGGCGGAGAAACACCTCGTCCTGCCATCGGGTCAGCCACCCCCCGCCAAGATGATAGCTTTGGCGATCTTTGTGGCTCCTGCCGCGACATGGATCCAGCGGCAGAGAGGCTAGCAACCATCGGCTGGAAATTCTATTCTGTTTCGTAATGAAATCGTCTGCTCCTAGGTTCACTTGGCTGCTTCGCTATCGAAATCAGGGGAATATCGTTCAAGAGACATTGGAGAACCAACAAGGCGTGTTTCGCAGGGTCGATCCCCCCAACGTCGCGCGCTCGCCGCTTCCTCCATCTCCTCCTCTTCCGGCACGGTAGTACCTGCAATCCATTTCCTTTACACCCTCTCCGTCTGGCCTACCCTATTGAGAAATCATTCCGCCTCCCTGCAACCTCCCATTGCTTTTATCACCTGTCTCGTGACACCTCGGTCAAGCAGTTCCTCGGCGATTTCACCAGTAACCCAGTACACCACCCCTCAAGGTGCTCGACCTACCCACCTTACAGAAAGACCCCTGTCTGGCCCGGTCTTCTTTATTCCGATCTCACTCCCATAAAGCATCCGGCTGAGAACCTGTCGATAAGCTGTATCCTGAGACCTCTGTAGCGGCATTTTGCGTAAGACCTGAGCAGCCAAGCCAAGCCATTTTGACAACTGTAGATAGTGCTCTAGCTCGCTTCTCTTCTCACATCTTGGACGACGGCCTTATTTCTTCGCCATGTTTAAGTTCTCAGCTGCCGCTGTTGCGGCTATTTTGAGCACCGCTTCTGCTTCCCTCGTTGCACGGCAGACAGCTTCCACCACCACGGCTGCGGCTCTCTCGGAGATCACCGATTGCGTTGTCTCGTCGTCTTCTCAGTATGTCGAACTTGTCTCCAATTCTCATATAGCTTCGACATTGTCAATAGCTACTAACACTCTCCTAGGGTCTGCAAGGCAGGCACCACTGAGTACATCGTCGCCGAAACACCTGCTGGTGCGCTGCCCAGTTCTTACACAGGATGCCACCATCATGCCACCGATACGTAAGTACTTTGCCGTGGCATTGGTGTTCGCTTGTCTCACAAGTTTTGCCAGCTACTGTCTTCACGATGAGGGCGAGGTCCTTGTCACGGCCGCCAACGCCCCGGCTGCCACCGCCGCTACTCCAACTGAGGCTGCTGAGACCGGATCCCCAACGGCGGTGTCTGGCTGCCATCTCCATGGAGTGACTATGTAAGTATTCCAAATCACCATCCAAAATTCACTACTGACATATTCAGCTTTTGCATGTGGGGCACCTCCGAGTATCAAATCATGACCACGCCTACCAACACGGCCGCCTCTGCCATCCCCACCGCGTTCACTGGCTGCCATTCTCACGGCTCTGACACCTACTGCATCGCACCCAGCGGTGATGAGGTGGAGATCGTGGCCGAGGGTGCCGCCGATGAAGCCACGGACGAGAGCCCCCAGGGGGAGAACTGCCACTTCCACGCCGGCGTTGAACACTGCGTCGGTGGTGGAGAGAGCGAGAGCGGCGGCACAAGGAGCTGCGAGAAGGTCACCCGCGACTACAACATTCCTCTCCGCATCGGTCTCCTCTTCGTCATTCTCGTCACCAGTGCCATTGGTGTTTACTTCCCTATTTTCATGGTCAACTGGATGCCCACCAAGACACACAACACCTTCATTATCCTGAAGCAGTTTGGTACCGGTATCATCATTTCTACCGCGTTTGTCCATGTGAGTTTATTTCCATCGATGCCTCATGAAATTCATCCATACGGGCGGCTCAAGTGCTCATTGCGTGCAGCTATACACCCACGCTGATCTCATGTTCGGCAACGAATGTTTGGGCGAGCTTGAGTACGAGGGCACCACGTCTGCCATTGTTATGGCCGGTCTCTTCCTGTCGTTTCTGGTCGAGTACCTCGGCAAGCGCTTCGTTATGGCCAAAGCCGCTGCCAACCAGACCTCAGCGTCCCTCCTTTCTGTCGACACCGTCACTGTCCTGGTCCTTGAGTGCGGTATCATCTTCCACTCCATTCGTAAGTCCCTCTTTTCCTCCGGTCTGATCCACATTAACATCCCCAAAGTCATTGGTATTACTCTGGTCGTCGCCGGAGACACCTTCTTCTTGACCCTATTCGTCGTCATCCTCTTCCACCAGATGTTCGAAGGTATCGCCCTGGGCACCCGCATCGCCCAGCTGGGAGAGCGCATCCCCACCAAATCGGCCGAGCGTCCCGCCGAGAGTGAGCAGACCTCTTTAACACCTAAAGGCCCAATCCTTCTCAAGAGCCCCTCCTTCTCTCTAGTCAGGAAGCTCCTACTTGCCACCCCCTTCGCTCTCGTCACTCCGATCGGCATGGCCATCGGCATTGGCGTTCTCTCAAATTTCAACGGCAACGACCGTGACACTATTATCGCCATCGGAACTCTGGATGCTCTGTCCGCCGGTATACTTATTTGGGTTGGCGTCGTCGAGATGTGGGCTGAAGATTGGCTGCATGGTCATGGCGAGCTTCTTCGCACAAGCCCCATTGTCACCTTCCTCGCTGGTTTTGGCTTGGTTGCCGGAATGGTTATCATGAGCGTACTGGGCAAGTGGGCTTGAACTACTCGAGTGTCCACACTTCAAATGGGTGAGGTGGTAATGGCATTTGATGTCCACGCCGGCATCCTACATGGGAAGGGAGTGGGAAGAGGTTTTGCGTTCCATAGGTTGAGTGGGGTCACTCTTATGTTCTACAAAGCTTTGAATACACAATACAAGTATAATTGTACTACGTCTCTCGGCATTGATTCCAAGGTGTTTCACTATGTCGTCTTGCGTTACTTTCGGCGACAACTGCTTCATCAATCATGACATAGCTCTACTAAGTCGGTAGTGAGAAGATTTAAAATATGCTAGCGGCCTGGAAGAACCAGATGAATTCACTTTCCATTACCTCAGAAGCAGCAGGCTAATACAGCCATGATGAGAATGAAATTTTATTTTCAAATAGTTAATGCCCTCAACATCCACGTACCTCTGTATGAGGAGTAGTCACTCTGGATGTGGTTTGGCCCCAGGGTCTCGTGGGATGCTTGAAGCTCATTTCTTATAGACTATTTTCACTGAGAAGAATTGTAAATAAGAGAGCTCACTTTGTAGAAATTCATGGTGAACTATAAACTGCAGTTGAAAATATGTTGACCTTTCTCCTAGGCACACATCCCAGAACCAAGGCAATTTGCTTCGTGCACAACCGGGACACAAAACATCAAAGTACCAGACACATCAAAGTACCAGACCCATCAAAAATCAACAGCTGTACTTCTGCAGCACCACGGGAAAAGGACGAAAAGCACCAAAGTAAGTTCAAAAACTTCAAATGGCACGAGTGAGACCAATAATAACATTCCACTGCAGATCGTCATCCGTCGCAGAAACAAAATCAACATCAGCACCCTCCGGCGACTTGCAATCGACAACAGCCAGGCGCCGACCAAGGTACGCAACAACCATACACCCCTACGCCAAGCGATTCGGCGTCCTTCTCTCCTTCAAACCCCTTTTCATCGCTGACCCAAGAAGACAGTCAAGATGTGTCTTCGACATGAGCTTCACTATGTGGGCTGTCGTTGTTTCGTGCTCAAGCTCACGGAGCACCGCGACTGGTTGCAGCAGTACACCTGGACCCTTTGCGGCCGACTCGATGGAGGGATCTGTACCAACTGGACGCCTAGTGATGAGGTCTTCTTCCAGGAGGGTTACTGCCCGATCCACAAGCCTCGCACTCGCACTCAACGTACTCGCTGAGTACCGGTGTTCGGATCAAGGAGTGTGTATGCCAAATGTAGGCAGCTCACTGGGACAGTCTGTGGATATGGTAGCAATGGCAAGAGAGCACATGCAGTGGTTTCCGTAGCGTAATAGCAGCTGAATCGGAACCAAGATTTCTTTTGACCTCTGGTGGTAAAATGTGACACTGCATGATCAACTCCATTTATCTTATGGTCCACTTTTCCTAGGGTAGTTGGAAATCATACTTCCCAGTGGTGTCATGACCTTGTCGTCTTTTTCATGGGCCCAATCCCTTCCACTGGCCAAGTCTACACACCAACGATGTCGATCTCCAGTAATGATAAACTCCATAGTCGCAGATACCATGAATCCCGAGCCCAGCTGGCTTTGTTTGGCTGTTGATGGAGTTCTGGGGATGGTAGACATGGGATTGCTTTGGCTCCATGCAGTGCTTCAAGCCTTTTCAGCCGCAGCCAGTGGGACAGTTCCCCTTGGCAAACATCACTGTCTCAAAGGAGGATTTTCACAACCATGGGTTGGGCTCAGTGGAATGCCTATCCAAATCGGAACGGATTGGATCATGAATTTCATAATCCAGATAAATAAAAGCGTCACGGTGTCATGAGAGACCAGTGGATTGTGGAAGATGCCTGAGACAGTAACAGCCAAGCTAAAGTGCAGGGTGCTCGTTTTACTACTTTCCTCGGGAGCTTGTCTCATGTCAACCAAAGGCATGGGAATAAGCGACAAGTGGGATGCCGTGGGTGCATTGCACAGAACAGGAGGTGCACCGTAGTCTATGGAGGCCCATCCCATAAGTTTTGAACGTGCAAGAAACTGGATCCCGGGGCCTTGCCCCCGCAACAGCCACTGGCAGGTACCCAGAGGGGGATAACCCTCAGAAAACCCCTTATCCAGGGACTACCCAAGACCATGTTACACCCTAACCCCCCTCTTTGACAGCATGGCAACGGAAGGTCTGAGGGGGGGGGGGTGAATCTGTAACCCTCCCTGGGTTTAAACTTTCTTACTCAGTCAAAACTTATGGGGGTGGGCCTTTGCAGTCTTATAGATAGCGACGCCAGTCCTTCACCAGCCGGCAGCCAGCCGGCCTCAACGGCCAGCCCGTAGTCATACGGGTGCAGGCTGCAGCCTACAGTCACCGAGTGCGTTAGGAAATAGTCTAAACTGGCCACTTCCATGATTGTTGATAGGTTAGATTGCATTACATTTGACCACTTACTTTCCATCTCTCTTCTGCAGCTGCAATGCAGATTGTTGTGCATGATTTCGCAGTTTCTCATAGCAGCCCGACCGTTGTCCGGTACTCAAAACCTACGTCCAGATCTCCGAACACATGCCTACTTGACATGTGGCAGTGAATGGGGGGTCAGTGAATGGGAACCCAGTGAATGGAGGTTCCGTACTGAGTACGTACGTCTTTTAGAAATATGCCATCTCGGCCCCTTCTGCACTCGGAACTTAGCCACACGCCCAATTCGATAACAAACACTCGCATACTTGCCAGACCCAGCCTTTCCTGCCACACGACATGCCACCGTCAATGATAGAAGGGCTTCCAACGGAAGTACTGCAGGAACTTTCTGAGATTCTCGACAACATACACCCACCCAGCCTCCTGACCTTTGCACGAGCCAGCAAACGGTGTTATGCTGTCGCAAGCACTATCCTCTACCGTACGGTCAAAGTCACAGTCGCCGATGGAAAACAGCGTTTCCAACATGCGTGTTAGTTGGAAGAGAGACTTCTCCGGGACGATGCCTTTGCGCACGTTCGCCGGATCATCCTCTTTTATGACCCCGAAGGACTCCGATACCCCTATCTGTTGCTCCATCCATGTGAATGAAGCCGCGAGGATGATACAGCGTTGTGGCGCCACTTGGACGACGACAAGTGGCCTATAAGATGGCCATTACTACCAATTATCTCGATCCCTGATGACCAATGGGAACCTGTCATCCACCTGGTGGGACAGTTAACAGGTCTGGCCGATCTCTTCTGGGCATGTTTCGAGCAGCTCCCACTCTGCCTCTTGCAGGTGCTGCACGAGAGAGTAAGCCGCTGCCGGCTGCATCACCCCACATTCAACCCCAGCAGCCCAATTCCAAGCTCATTTACTTCATACGAGCGCACCCTTATCACATCTCCATGCCTTTACAGCATTGGCGGTCTGATACACAGGATCAGCCCTACAACCCTAAAGTTGGTCAGGAGCTTTCAATCCCCAGGCTTGAGGAGAACGTACTTCTGGTGGAGGCTGGGGGATCTCAAGATCGAGGCCGATGAGCGGAACACAGAAAACCCCAAGTCACTGGCAGTCCCTCGCGAACTCATTCAGGTGGATGGACCGAGGGTTCATATCCCGGTCCCAATCGCCGTCATTTACAAGGAAATGGCTGGCGACTTGTCGACCATGCGTGCTCTCAAGCTCAACGTCCCCCTCGCTCCTCAGGGACTGCCAGCACCAACCGAGTTTCCATCACTCGCCACTTTGACCTTTACGTGCGTCGTAACTGCACGCAGCACCCCACCAGAATATTGGGACGAGGTCACCGCACTCCTGCGTAACCTTCCGCATCTTACCACACTCCAAATCAAATGCTGGGACCGAGCCATATCATTCATACCCAGCCTTAGTCCCAACCTGCGGAAACTCGATTTAGGCACGCTGTTAGTCCCAGGCAGTGCTCGCCTGCGCGACGATCACATCCACCAACTCGCAGAAATCTGCCCCAACCTCCAGCATCTCACAACCGAGATCCGCCGCTCGCGCGGTGATGCCGCCGAAGTAGAACGCTACAGATCCTTGGGGCGTCTATCCCGACTCCAGGAACTTCACATATACCTTGATGCGTCCCCGCCCGAATACCTACAGCCCACTCCGGACGGCACCACAATCACGAGCCGCGATACCGCCATCGAGCCGTGGTTTGACGAGCAGGACACCATTTATCTGCCGGAACCTATTGAGGCGTTCCGCGAGGGCCACGTACGTGACGTGCTGGTTAACAGCGCCATCGACGCATCGCTCGCGCTGTATCTTCAAACTCGATGGTGCCAAGCCAAGGAGATCACCTGGTCGGGCGGCACCGTTGCCGCTGGAACAACTTGAGCTGTGTGCGAGGGGAGGTGAGAAGTTCGCCGACAGACCAATGATAGGCTCGTCTTTCACGCCGTTGAACCAGTTGTTGGCTGCTTTGAAGCGAGAGTGGCGGGTTGAGCGGAATGTCCGTGATGATTCTCCGGGGGTAATTCATGTGGAGGAGGTTGGTCGGGGAATCATGAAGGACTGGTCGCAGTCAAGGTTTCGCGACCGTGAGAATAACGGTGAATACTGGTTTCGTAACCGTGTGAATAGCGGTGAATACTGGTTTCAGCTATGGAGACGGGTATGGCCGGTTGAGAGACAGGGTGTGCATTGGTGGGATGACTGGGAGAGTCGCCCGCTTGAACTCCAAACCGATGCGAGTGTCAAAGCAGGATGAGAGGGCATTCGTTCTGCTATCTTGATCGTCTTCTGGATCTTAGGATCATGAATTTTACCAATCTCGAGGGGTAAATCCTGAATTCTGTATTAATTTTGCCACCTTCTGTCATCCTTCCGTTGATTCCACACATCATGGTGTATGCGACATGATAATCATATCCGGTCTTGCTCTGGCTCTCTCATTTATATCAAGCAACATGCTTTGTGTAACGGCCTCGCAGCCGCAGACTCGCTATTTTGTCAGATCTGCATTCCAAGTCCAGCATTAACGTCTTGCAGCATCTGGAATGCTGGTGCTGGTTCTTCGCAAAATTTCAGCCCCCTTGCCATCAACCAAATCAGGAGCCTCTTGATGATTAGCCTTGCCACCTCTTTCTTGCCCCCACTCTGCCACCAAAAAGCCTCGACCGTGGTTTTCTTCATTCTAAACGCTTGTGAAGAAACTGAGCAGATTTTGGTCTCATTTCACGAGTGGATGGTGGAGAAGGTTCGCAATTGATGTTACAATCTCGATTGAGGAAGCGTAATACCCCGTGTGACGATGCTGAGTCAAGTGAAACCACGGGTGCGATGGAGAGTAGTCTTGGTATTCCTGGGGTTCCACGAGTGCCTTATGATCTACATTGTGAACCAATACAAGCACATATATACAAGAGCTTCATCCGCTATTCAAAAAACTTGAAGCTGTAGCCAGTATTTGTTCTGTCCCCTGGAACATCTCCTCGGGTGTAGGCAGTGTTGCTCCACCAGACAAAAGAGCCGGTGAACCAGCTGCGGGCCGCCCAGCTGTACGGTGTGCCCTTCTCGACACCGTGGAACACGAATGGGATGTGGTTGGTTCCCCCAGGGCTTTGGCTCACCTCACCATCGTCAAGAGCAAAAGTGTGGTGTCCAGGCCCGTCGATGTACAGGGTCGCGTCCCAACCCTGCATCATTCTGTCCTGATGAGAACCGAACAAGCAGCCATTGGACTTGTACCAGTCCCAAACATAGGTCGGGTCACCGCCCTTACGCAGCCGGAGGTCAGCGAGACAGTATTTGCTGCCCCAGCTGCCGTTGGCTGAGTACACGATATGCAGTTGGCCGTTCGGGTCGACGATGGCTTCGGGACCTTCGTTGATGCGGGGGCTGTCGCCCTGCTCCCATGATTCGCGTGGCTGGGAGATAATAAAGCGCTGCCCGATAGGCTCGGTTGGGCTGTTCATACGACAGATGTAGAGATTCTGCTCGGAATTGTTGGCCTCGCTATCCCAGCCAGACCACACGAACCAGCCCAAACCCTCGAACACAAAGAATGTGCCATCGATAGCCCATTGATCGTCCGGCAAGTCTAGCTTCGACTCGGCCGAGTAATTGCCTAGAGGCGAGTCGGCGCTGATGACATACATGCGATGGGCTGCATCCTCGCCGGCTGAGAAGTAAATGAACGTTCGTCCGAGATCGGTGGTAATTTCCGGAGCCCAGATGGCGCCTCGGCCGGCATCGTCGGACCAGACTTTCTCGCGTCGGACATCTGCGGCTCCGAGACCTTCGAGGGTTGTTGCTTCACGAACCCAGATGCCGCCGCTCGCCGACTCTGCTGAGTAATAATTGTTTCCAACTTTCATGATCGTGGGATCGGCGCCGTTCCTGATCTTCACTGCCAGTGTGAAATCGGCAAGGCAGGAGATCACGGCGATGACCATAAACAAAATTGAGGCGGGCGACCGCCCGCATGATGTTACAATTGTGCTCAACATTTTTGAAAACTGCTGTCTCAGGGATAATCTTTGTGCTATTCTTTCTAAAACTCCATTGTCACACAACGCCTACTACTTATATGTAGTTTTGTCTGCCTGAAAAACATCCTCAATTCTTCATCAGCATTTCTCAGGCCTCCGTTTATTCTCCTTCTTTGGAAGAAGATATCTTGCTGCCTGTTGAGCCCCGATGAAAATACAATTGATGACTGTGCTGACGGCTTGGCATAACCACATTCAACCATCAATTGGCTATTGATGCAAGTTAACCACATGGTGGTGACTCCATCATCAGTCTTTTAACCCACAAAGGCGGAGATCACAATTTTTGCTAACGGAAAGCGGAATGCATTCATCTTGATTGGTGAAATTGTACGGTGTCTGCATTTGCGATGGCCCGGGTAACGGGCTAGCTGGGTGGGCGCAGCTGGTGCTGATTCTCGTCAGCCCCATCCATCGCGTTGATGACGCTGGGCATCGGGACCAGCGGTGAAAATTGTCGCCCGATACGGATGAGGTAGGGGATGGGGCTGAGAGAAATCGTCACCGAGGTTGACCGAGTTTAAGCGCGTAGCTATTGCAATCGCATTTAGCAATTGCGCCATCAGTTGACAAGTGCAACTCATTACACTGAAAGTGAATAATTGCATTGGCACATCGGTAATAGACACTAACACATCAACATCGCCTAAAGGTATTGGTTTGACTATAATACTATGTACACTCAGCGAGAGAGGAGCTCTGGTCATTTGGTAGTAGCTGAAAGAGCTACATATGTACGGAAACAGAATGCGAGCCTCGCACTCTCAAACGCTGTGCCCTCCGATCAGTGCCGAATTCGGTCAACTACAAATTACATGAAGTTATACATGGCTGCTTAGGCCTCCATCCCAGGGACATTTCAGGGGAGATCGACACAATTCCTGCATGCCAGGAACACAACACGATCATCAAGCCTCTCGGAATAGCAACATCCTCGCAGTTCAGTATCTAAAGTCCCGAGCTGGGTTGTTGAGCGTAAGAGTGCCATTGCCAAATCCGTGTTGGCTGATGGCAAAAGTATCCCGTGTCAGGGCGTTGTGTTGTGCCATGCTCCATCATTGAATGAAATGGAGATTCTAGTAATGAGATGAGGGAGTCGATAGGGGGCCGACGTGTGTATATAAAGACTCAAGAAGACGCCCGTCTGCCTCAATTATAAATTCCATTCACTCAGACATCTATCACTCAACAAAGCACTAAATCTAACACACACTCAATCCCTTCCACATTTTCCAAAATTCTTCCAAAATGCAGTTCTTCACCATTCCCGTCATCGCCATCCTCGCCACTGGCTCTCTCGCCATGCCCAACAAGCTTGAGGCCCGTAACTCGGAGCCCCACTCTCTCGAGGCCCGTGTCGACTGCGGACAGATTCTCCCTGCCTGCAACGGCGGAAGCATCTCGGGCCAGACTAACTGCCGCTGCGACGGTCAGATCGCGTCCTGCGATGTCTGGAACTGCCCCGGCAATATGGTCGTATGTCACCCCTCTTCTTCTCGTTATCTCCACCTCTATTCCTAAGCCAATCATCACCACTCACCCTCTCTTTCATCTCATTTCAAAACTTTGAGAACACATGCTGATTAACTATACTATTTGCGCAGATGGTTTGTGGCCAGGAAGGAAGTGGTTGTGTGTGGATCTAGGCGATGATACCCACCTCATCTTCGGGGCTGGTATTGCATCGAGCGTGGAGTCTGTATCACTTTCAAGATGCAGTCAGCACAGCGAGAGACAAGACGGGGAAAATGAGACGGGGGATTTGTGTGTCAAATTGTCTAAGAGTGGTTTGACTTGGTCTTGGAATTTGTGTTGTGCTTTTCTCTTTTCTCTTCTCACTTTCAGGGTCAATTGGGCAACGAAGTCACAGCGTCAGCCTCGGGAATCAGAGGCTACGCACGCAGGTAGTCTCAGCCACCAGTGAGCGACGTTGTCCACTTGGCCCTTTTTTTATGAAACAAAATACACTGTCATTTCTTTGGATTGAGCGATTAAGATGCATTGCTCTAATGTACGGGACTAATCGCTATCAATAGATTCAAACATTCGTCCAACTGAGCCGATTAACATCAAAGCCCGCCCAAGTGTGTACCTGATTTTACGTACACACCACGTACTACGGGGTTGAATTGGAGAAAATGTATGACAACCCTTTAATTGGAAAACTTGGTGTATCAATTCGACTGGGCTTGTACACTACCGTTTCTGCCATGACGTTTGCTCTGGGGGCCGAGGAGGGGCAAGGGGGTTCAGGAGACATGCCACAGTTGAACCATAAGTTACGTAAGCAAAGCTTCCACCCTGGCCGGCCACTATCACGATAATAGAGAAGGTAGCTGGAGGCGGGGCGGGGTTGGGGGCCCAGTGGATGAAGACCAGCTATAATTTGGATTCGAGTGTTTCTTGATACTGCTGGCAACGAGGAACACACGAGAACTCTAATCATGGCTCACTTGACACAAGAGTGGGTTTTCATCCAAGATTTCCTCTACTCTTCGGGCTGTTGCGCAATTGAAACACAACTGATAACCTGTCCGTTACTAAACTCTATTCCTTCCACGCTTTGGCCCACTATGTTTCGGCATGATCAAGCAGTACCTAGCGGATGTCGAATGAACAGACGTTGTAAACCAGCCCTTTCCCATTATTCGAAACAAAAACTGAAAGTACAGCTGCATAGGCAGCAGCCACAGCCATCATCTCGAAGTTCGATGCTTTCATCATCGTGGCGACCAGAAACGGAAACACCAATATGCACACAGCCACCACGACCAGCTGCACAGTGGAAGTCGACGGGGGACGTAGTACTACCAATGGAAGAACGAGGAAGAGACCCGTCATGAGCGTGGTGAACAGGCGCCCAAGCAAGTTGGCAATGGTGGCTGGATTCTGGTGCGAGGATCTGTCTGCCATGCCAAGGGCGCTCTGCGCCTCGACACCACTCGCCCCGCACCGCCTGGACAGCTTCCAATGTCGGAAGTCACGCAACAGCCTGTGTATCCAGTGCGACACAGGGTCGGCGCGGGATCGGGGTGGAAGGTCGAGCCTCAAGAGACTCGTCTCGTACATCTCGGGCAACGTGAGATCTGTGCGTGCGCTGGCTGCTTTCTCGTCATCTAACAGGGAGCACCTTTCCATGGCCATGATATTGTGGAAAGCGGATAGGGCTTCGTCTGAGTATTCGGGCAAAGAATTTTGAGTTACTAGTCATAAGAAGACTTGGAAAGGATGGGTTACGCACCATATTGTTTGAGGAGGTCACGAAGCCTCAGTACCAACTCTTCCGTGATAGTCTCACCTATTGCGGGGACATTAGCGTGTTGCCAAGGGCTTTCAGGCCTCGAACAGCTAAGGACAAAGTTGACTGCGCCGAGGGTGGGCGAGCGGATCCGTCGGACGTTGTGTAAAAGTTCAAGCAATGTGACGCTGTCAAATCACCTGCATGCTCGTCCTGTATTTGATGGACAGTGACAGTCGCATTTCAAGATTCGGTGAATTTGAGGATGAGGCATATGGGTCTCTCCTGCCGCGAGGGATGTCTGCAGCACATTTGCATTCTTTCTCGGATATTGAGGCGTTACTCGAAGCCGGTCATGCTGTGAATAATGCAATAGTTACAACGGAACGGCCACCACGAAGAAATGCACGATGCAGGACCAAATGTATATGCTCTTCCTAGAAAATGCCACGTTGTTCAGTTGGATGTTGTGTCTATCTTTGCCTCGCCATCAACAACACAGGCAACGAATTTGCGAGCCCCATAAAAATTCATCTAGTCCCTCGCCAGCCCTTTCCCAGCTCCGTACTGCTGAATTCGCACGCTATTACTCCACATGCACTCCCAAATTTCCCTTTACCTAACCGGGAAGTATAAGCTGAATGTCAAACCTGCAGCACAAGCATCGGCGTGTACGTAGGTCGAGCGATTCAAGGACCCGGAGGATATGATGCAGCGTGCTTGGTTCTAGGAGGATATCCGACAAGAAGCGCAGTCCACCACCACAAGAGGCGAACATGCTCATTCAATTATAATATACAATCCTTCTAGAGGAATACTCTGAGGCTGGAGCGACCCAAGTCGCCAGCCAGCGCCTTTGGAGCATAAAAGGTCGCGGGGATCGGCAGCTTGGGAGCGCGGCTCCCCGATGTATACTTATGCCCGAGCTTGGCTCAAGTCCTATCTGTGATATTCCATGGTTATATCAAAGGCCGATATTGAGTCGATCACCTCGTATATTAATTCGGAGGTCCTGAAGAGGATCTGGGCCATCGTGCACAGAGCTTGATCTTCATAATCCAATCGGAGGGGCTGACGTCGGATCTTGCTGCACGTGACTTTAAGGCGTACGGGAACATTGGAACCTTGCACTGGAAAACCTCGGCTCATGGCCAAGACTTGACACATATACCAACATGAAAGTTCTTGGTCGCATTTCCCATTGCCTAGTTACCTCAGCAGTCTTCTATGAATCTGATTTCTTGCTCAGAATTCCTTTGCGCAGTTGAAAAGCACTTGCCGACTGAGTTATTGCCCATTTGCGAGTGGCGCCCCAAATCGAGGCACAGTCGACTGGGCAAGTCGGCGTCTGTGGTCCCGAATCGCATCAGTCAAGAAGACTGCGAAGCCGTCCATGATTTCTGTGATGCTTGCTTCCGGGTAAATATCCGGCGAGAAAGCCATGGACAGTCCTATTTCTCTGTCGCCTTTGCGGCTGACTTCAAGCGCAGCTGCTCGCGATGTGTCGACGGCGCTGGTATCGCCCTCCTCGCAGTACCTGACAGCAACCCCGCTCGGGGCTGATGAACCAATATTCTCGTCAATCACTTGCCGAGACAGGCCAACGATATGGCCGTTTGCCGCCTCAAGTTCTCGCGCAGAGATTTTCACCACCTCGCCAATCGTCGCTGTACCCTGGGTGTTCTGTGACGTCAGGCGCAGCCGCACAGGCACCAGTTCAGCATCCGCGCCACCGGCAACCACATCGAGCAAAGTGTCGCCAGCTCGTCTGCCGTCACGGATCAACAAATATGCCCACAACGCGCCTAGGATGAATTTGAACGGTGCGGTTGGTGCTGATGCCGACACGCTGGAAGAGGCGATGGCAAGGTCGTGCTTGCATACGCGTTGCATGCGCTTGACATGGTTCGCCGGGATCGTGTAGCAGGGTGTCCTGCAAGTCCTGCCAGGACTGACCCCATTTGGCTGGGAAATGGATTCTGGCTTCTTGATGCCGAAGGCGTCTGTGGTGGGCGCGTCTGCCAGATACTGTCGCCACCACGTGAGAAGTGCGTCAGTGTCGACCACACTGTTGATCTTGGTCTCAGTCCTGCCATTTACACCGTTTGTCATCCCATTTGTCTCGGACTTCTTCGCACCAGTCGTCTTTCCTTGCTGACCGTTCGTTAGCCCATTAGAGCGCAGCGCAACGCCATTCGGAGACGACTGGGTGTCAGCCGTCACGACTATCTGCGCCGCGATGTAGGCGGCCAGATCCCATATCGCCTTCCCACCCAGCAGCTCAAACAGCGGCAGATCGACCCTCGTCTCGGTCTTGACCCATTTGCGCAGCTCGATTGCCACGATCGAGTCGAGCCCATATATCGTCGGTGGGTTTGCCGGGTCGATCAGCGACATCTCGACACCCATCACAGCCGATATCTTGTCCATGAATCGCTGGGTGATGAGCGCGCATCTCTCATCCAAATCCGCCGTCCCTGCAACAGTCTTGGCTAGGCTTTGAGTGGCCGCGGCTCCCGCTGAGGAAGAGGACTGCCCAACGTCTATGTTGGCGCAGAGCTTGCGGTACAGTGGCCTCTTCCTTGTCTCAGGATTGGAAGCAAGTCCGTCGACACTGACTCCGGTAATGAGTCTCTTCCTCTCGATCTGACGGCTGCGCTGTTCACCTTGAGCAGACGTAGAGTAGCGGCGATCGCTAAGAATGGCCTCCTCCACAAGCAACATGAGTTCCTGGGTGTTGATGGTTTCGTCAAACTTCAAACCCAGGTCGGCTGCCACACCGACGCTGGACACGGCCGCGACATTAACACTAGCGCCCACACAGCCCTGGGACCGGCGCCAGTCCATCAAGCCGTCTAAGTAGGCATTCGCAGCACTGTAATTTGCCTGACCTGGGTTGCCAACGATTGTAGAGATGGATGAGAAGCATGTGAAGAAGTCCACCGGCTGGTGCTGAGTTGCCAGGTGCAGGTTCCATGCGCCTGCACACTTGACGCGAATAACCTTTTCCCATTGCTCATAGCTCATGCCCTGCAGCGACACATCTGCGAGGACCATGGCCAGGTGGAAGACTCCCGCGACTGGTCCCATCTTTGCAAAGGCCTGCTGGACCTCTTCTAGGTTGGCCACATCTGTTCGATATATCTCAATCTCACAACCGCGCTCTTTCAGCCAGTCGACGGTGCGTCTTGCACTCTCCCTCAACTCGCCTGTCGCACTGATGGCTGACACAGTGAAGAATGCTAGCTTCCTGGCGCCCTTGAAGTACATCCACTCTGCAAGCTTCAGACCCAGACCACCCAGGCCACCAGCAACGAGATACTTCTTGTCCGGGTTGAACAACTTGGCCAAGAGATGATAGCCTCTGGGCTTGAGCCACACATCGCCATCTCCAGGCACTAAGATGACCTTGCCGATATGCTTGCCCTGTTGTATGAGCCGGAAGGCCCTTTCCACGTCCGAGAAGGGCACCTCGAGCAGACCCTCTGGCGCCTGAATTTTGCCTCCAAAGACAAGTTCACATGCCTCATCAATCAGCCGATTCGCCAGCATCTTATCCTGCTGGACGACGAGCACCATGTCAATCGACGAGAAGCTGACATTGCGCCGGAACACGTCCATGGGTAGACCCGCGTTCTCGTGGACATCCCGCTTGCCAATCTCCACGAAGCGGCCGAAAGGCGCGAGGCACCGCCACGTTGCTTCGAGCAGCCTGCCGGACAGGGAATTCAGCACCACGTCAACGCCCCGTCCGCCCGTCGCCGCCAAGACGTCCGCCCTAAAGGAGTCATCCCGCGAGGAGAATATCTGCTCGTCTGAAAATCCGAACCGCTTCTTTATGAACTCCCGCTTGCCCTGAGAGCACGTCACAAATATCCGCGCACCTCGGGCCTGCGCGAGCTGGATAGCCATCTGCCCAACGCCACCTGCAGCCGAGTGTATGAGAATGGTATCGCCGGCCTGCAGGCGGGCGACGTGGTGCAGCGCGTACAGGGCCGTCATGGTGACGGTCAGGAAACTCGCCGCGGCCGTATCGCCTACGCCGGCGGGGATCTTGCGCGCCAGCCAGGCGTCGGCGCGGGCGTAGTTCCCGATGCACTCGCCCGCGGCGACGACGATTCTGTCGCCGGGCTGGAAGTCCTTGGCGGCCTGGGGCCCGACCGCGGTCACGATGCCGGCGCACTCCTCGCCGAAGTGGTAGTCTTGGATCAGACCAACTGCGATGGCGATGTCGCGGAAATTGAGTGCCGATGCGAGGACCTTGAACTCGATCTGGCTGTCGCCGAGAGGTTCGTTGAGTATGTCCTCGTTGGGGGCAAAGTAGAGCGTGTCGAGACGGCCTATGTGGCCGATCTCGAGGTTGACTGGCGTGTCTTCCGGAAGCCGCTGACGGCTGGGCTTGCTGTCGTCAAGCTTGGAGTTGAGTTCGTCATCTACTGCAAGCCGTGGAGAAAAGGCGTCGTCGCCTCGAATTGCGACCTCTTCTTCATCTAGACTCTTGTCCAAGGCCCGCACGATCGCTGCGCTAGCATTTGACGTCGAACTCGCCGAGGTATCCGCATCGAGGTCAAGAGTGACAAGTCGAGATAGTCGGTTTTCGTTCCGGGCTGTTCTCAGGAAGCCAGCGAACTTGGCCATCTCCGGATTTGCCGCGCCTATGAAAGTGCCCTGAAGTACCCAGACCATGTTCTTTTCCTCTTCCAAGGCCAACTTCTGGAAATGCGCAAATCCTTCCAGTGAAGCCATGTCTGAGGACAGCGAGGCCAACACAATGATGTTCTGGTGCTCTTCGTCGTAAGGATGCTCTTGCCCGAGCTGCACACAGGTCAATTTCGGGATTTCGTGTTTAGCTGCAAAATCCTTGACTTGGCTCAAGACCTGGGACTCTGTCTCCGATGGGCTTGCAGAGACAACTACGGTGAGCTGCTCTGGAATAGTTGGGACGATCTCGTCAAATTCGGGCAGCTTCTCCCACTTCTGCTCAAAGTACAGCCTGCGGCCAAGCGAGCCCTGCTCCTCCTTCAAGAAGGTGCTCTCCTGGTCTTGCATGTGGATGCAGAGCCTGCCTTGCTCGTCCGAGACCAACAGCTGGGAGATGACAGTCCTCAGTCCGACACGATCTCCAAAGGTGCGGATAGTGTACTTCTGCAGGTCATTCGACCCTGAATACGAGCGCGCGAGCAGGTGGCCTGCCAGCTCGACAGATTTGTACGACCGCGGGACGCCCACGCCGTCCTCGTCGGGCCACCACTCCCACCCGTCGGAAGACCCGGACCACGTGGAGTGCATGACTGCGTCGAGAAGCGCCAACGGAACGAGCGTCACCTCCATCAGGCCGTCAATCCTGTAGATGCTAGGGTCAAACTCAAGGTTCGCGACGGTAAAGCCCTCCCCGTCGTCCATGTCGCCTTTGAGTAGCCTGAATTCATCACGGTATTGCACCCCGCGCTTTTCCAGCCGGCGGTACAGATCAGCACAGCTTGGTCGATTGGTAGAGACCTTCCTCAGCTCTTCGATTGACGGGTACCGAGGCAGCGAGCCGTCCAGCTCAACTGAGTCGGGCTCCCCGGCAATGATGGTTATCCACCCATGACAGTGCTCGGAATAGCGGCCATCCACATCGAAGCTGCTGATGTGGAACTCGAGCCACTCGTCGCTGAAGCTCTTGGCGGACGTCGTCTCAGGCTGCAGGCTCAGGATCATCTCCGTGCCGACCTCGTTGTCGCGCAGCGTCATGGCAGACTTGATATCAATATCCTTGAACCGCACCTTCGACACCACTTTCCCGTCGTTGGTGGGATACCGCACAGCCGCTTCGACGGCTAGCGAGAGGTATCCCGACCCGGGGAAGACGACCTCGCCCTCGATGGCGTGCCCGGCGAGCCAGGGTATTTCGGACACGCGGATGTAGTTGCGCCACTGCATGTGGTGCGGCGTCGAGTGCGGCACAGGCGTCCCGAGGAGTGTGTGGTTGTGCTTCCTGTGCTGCGTGTTGCGCATCGCGCGGGTCGTGGGTGTCCAGTAGTGACGGTGGCTCCAGGGGTAGGTGGGCAGATCTGTGAGCAAGTGACCCGGATGCTGTTGGTCCGCATTTACGGCTACAAGGTCGACCGGGTAGTTGGCGAGGAAGAGCTGGCCTGCCGTCTCGAGGAGACAATCGAAGGCGGGTTTGTTGCGAGTCAGAGTGGCGAGGTAGGAAATGTCGAGCTTCAGCTCTGATGCCACCTGCTGTGAGGGACCCTTGAGGGCAGGATGCGGGCCGATTTCCAACAGGATATCAACAGCCTGCTCTTCGTCATCGTCTAGCAGGACGTTGGTAAGGGCATCTGCAAAACGCACTGCCCCGACCATGTTTCGAACCCAGTAGGCGGCGTCCACATCTCCATCACGGAGGACTCTGGCTGTGACGCTGGACACCATGCGGATCTCCGGCTTCACAGTCTCAGTTTTGTACGAGTTGCACTCGTGCAAGGCTTTCTCATATGCCGGGGCCAGGGGCTCCATATGGTGCGAGTGGAAGGCCTGCTGGACAACTAGTTTCCGCGCAAACACCCCTCGCTTCGAAAAGTCCTCGTGCAGGTCCTCGATGGCATCTAGATCTCCTGAGACTGTCACGCTGGACGAGGAATTCACAGCTGCCACGCAGAGTCGGCCTTCGAATTTCGACAACTCGGAAATGGTGTCTGCTTCGCTCAGGCCCACCGCAATCATTCCACCAGCGACCTGTGTCTCGGCCCCTGCCTTTGACGTTTTCTGTTGGCCCATGTGGTATCCACGGTAATAGGCTACAACCATGGCTGCCTCCAGCGAGAGAATGTTGGCGGAATAGGCAGCTGCGACTTCACCTGACGAGTGCCCGCAGACGGCCTTCGGTGTTACACCCCATGTGCGCAACAAGTCTACCAGCGCAATCTGCAAGGCTGTGCATATTGGCTGCGAGAGTCGAGTCTCGCCGAGGCGCGAGTAAACGGGATCCTGTGGCTGGAGGAGCTCGTCCACTATGGACCAGTCTGGTCTGTCGGGTCCAGGCAAGCTTTGCAGCACAGCATCGCACCTGTCGAGTGTGGCTCGGAACGGCGGGTGAGACTCGATGAGCTGCCGGCCCATGTCCCAAGACTGCGCGCCCTGGCCTGTGAAGACAAAGCCGATCTTGGGGGTTGAATGTGATGAGTGAGTTGTGACTGTTTTCCATTCCGCTAATTCACGGGGCTTTTCCAGCTCGGCTGCGAGCTCATTATTGGAAGGTCCAATTGCGAAAGACCGTATTTTGTGGAAAGTCCGGTGGGCTGAGAGTGTGTAGGCAAGGTCGCGTAGGTGTGTTGCGCCTCTCTTGCCGTCCTCCTGCTTCGTGAGGTAATGCCGAATAGCACTTCTTAGATGCTCGCCTGTTTCAGTTGCGTGCGACGTGACTGGAATCAGAAATGGGCGTGCCGGAGTCGGAGCCACACCATTCGCCTTTAAGCTTGGGGCAGAGCCATTCGTCCCGTTGTCGAAGCTCTCCAACACCGCGTGAGCATTCGCACCACCATATCCGAAGGAATTCAGGCTCGCCCGCCTGGGCTTACCCCCGGTCTCCGGCCAGCTCAGCGTTTCTGTCGGGACCTTCAGCCTCCACTCTTCAAACTTGATGTCGGGGTTCGGCCTATCAAAGTGCATTTGAGGTGGGATGCGGCCGTTCTCGATAGCCAAGACTGCTTTGATCATGCCCGCCAGGCCCGCGGCTCCCTCAAGATGGCCGACGTTACTCTTGATGCTGCCAATAACCAGGTCCTGCTTTCTCGTCCGTGTCCCGAACACATGGCCCACAGCGCGCGTCTCATTTGGATCGCCGACCTTTGTTCCCGTGCCGTGGCACTCGAAAAAGTGGGTATCATCCGGATCAAGGTTGGCAAGCTGGTAGGTCCGGCGTATCATCTCCTCTTGCGCCTCAGACGAGGGGACCGTGATCCCCTTCTTGGTGCCGTCGTGGTTGGATCCGGTCGCGCGGACGACACTTCTTATGCGGTTGCCGTCGCGCACGGCATCGGACTGCCGCTTGATCACCACGGCGCAGACACCTTCTCCGCGGACATAGCCACTGCCGTCGGCGTCGAAAGACCTACACCGCCCGTCTGACGAGAGGAACCCCATGTCTGACAGCACGATGGCGGTGGTCGGGTCGAAGTAGAGCGCCGAACCGAGCACGATGGCGTAGTCGGACTCCCCCGTGATGATGCTCTGGTGCGCCAGGTGGAAAGCTACCAGGCTGCTCGAGCAGGCCGTATCGACTACGATACTTGGTCCCTTGAGGTTGAAGAAGTACGACACGCGGTTGGCCTGCATGGCGTCGCCTATCCCCGTAATGCTGTGCAAGGGATAGTACGCCTGGTCGCAGAGCAGGGTGCCATAGTCGTTGCTGAGACTGCCCTGAAAGACAGCCGTCTGCGTGCCGGCTATCTCGTCAAGAGTGATGCCTGCATCCTCAAGGGCCTCATACGCTACCTCTAGTAGCTGTCGCTGCTGTGGGTCGATGGACTCTGCTTCCTTTCCGGAAATCCCAAAGAAGCCTGCGTCAAACGCTGTGACGGGATGGTCAAGGAAGTAGGCGCGCTTTTGATTTATCTGTGTTGTGCAATACATTAGCCCAGTCTCTTGAAATGAGGTGTATCGGGATAGGAGTCTGAATCTCCTAACAGACCGTGCCTTTGTTAGAGTGGTTAGGGTGGTACCACGTGTCGACGTTGAATCTGTGTCGCTCATTTGGGACTTGGCGTTGGACGTCCCTCTTGTTGATGAGGTTCTCCCACAACTGGCTCGGACTGTTACCACCGCCGTCAATATTTTTGAAGTCCCAGAAGCCCACGACTCCCACTCACAGAGCCCATCACTGAGGTTGACTCACTTGTTCGCTCCGGGCACGCGGCATGCCATGCCGCATACCACAGTGTTTCGGTCCATATCTGCTATCTAGCGCTCTCTAAATTCAGCAGAATATGCTGGTGGGCCCTGAGGTGTTGTTGAATGAGCAAAAATGCTCCGAGACTTTGCACCAGGTGTAGTCGGTCATTTTTTATGGACGCATTTCATTCCCGAATTACATGCGCTACTTCGATGAGCAGGCCATGTTCGTCCCCGGAATCGCTTACTGAGATCCATTGATCGTCATACGCAAACCTAAATGTTTTCCTGGTTTGTCTCACCAGCAGGCTGAGTGGAGTGCGGCTCTGACTCGCAATTACTCGTTGACCCGACCGCCGCATGTGGTTTTGCAATGCTTCTGCTGACCAGAGATAACAAGATCGGCAACACGCGGAGCCTTCATGACTTATACCAGTCCCGAGACGCGGGGAATTGACTGGAGTACACAGGGCTGGTTTCTCCACCCCCAGCTAATTCCCCGACTCAGAAAATGGCCACTGAGTCAAGAGCCCAACGATCGAGGCAAACGAAGACAACGCGAGGCGATGGATTCCGCGAGTTATTAAGCCTGGTGGTGTTCACACAAGTCGCTTGAGCTGCACCTCCCAAGCCGCCAAGCCCGACTCGAACCAATCCTCAGGAACATGGTCTCGGCACCATCCACAAGCGACAAGCGCGGGCACCACCTCAGGGTCCTCTCGGTGGGCCTCCCGCGAACCGGTTCCAAGTCTATGTTACGCGCCCTCGAAATTCTCGGCTATCGGAACGTCCATCATCTTGGCCAGATATGGTGGAAGCCGCGGGAGTGGGCGTTCCTCGACCGTGCTGCAGATGCGAGTTTCCCTAGCCTGTCCACACACAGGCCCGACCTGAGTCCGGTGGACTGGGACGTGATGTTTGGGGAAAATGAGGCCATAACGGACGCCGCTGGTATCTTTGGCCCTCAGCTTATTGAGGCGTACCCTGATGCGAAATGCATTATGGTCATGCGGGACTTTGATGCATGGGCTCGGAGCGTCGATGAGACATTGCTGTCATACTTGTTTAGCTGGTTTAAGTGCCCTTCTTGCATTTCTCCCCGTGACCTTCTTTTGTCTATTGTCTCTCATATACGGAAGGTTGTCGGAACTCTCCAGCTAACTCATACTAGATGGCTGGCTCAGCGCTTATCTGATCGACCCTTTAGTCAGCGCATACTCAACGCGTGCTATGAGAAAGATGTTCATGGGCGCAATGCGGTGCAGAGCGGGTGATGCGAGGAAGAAAGAGGTGCTGCGCAGGTATTATGACGAGCACTATGCCACGATCCAAAAAATGGTCCCGCCCGATAGGTTGTGCGTGATGAGACTCGGTGACGGCTGGGAGCCACTGGTAAGTGACCCCTGTAGTTCCTGTCTGCCAATTTCAGTGCCAAGTTTCGCTGATGATACCTGCCAGTGCCGCTTCTTAGGTCATGAAATACCGGAGGTTGCCTTCCCACACGAGAACGACACCAAGGAGATGCACCTAGGGTGGCAGTACCTCAGGTGGGGCATTTCGAAGGTGGCCGCCAAGAGATCCATACCTTGGGTCCTTGGCGGTATTGCTTTAACGCTGGGTTCTATGAAACTCCTATGAGCAGAATACAGCATGTCGTGCGCACACGTTGTACGCAATAAGCAAAAGATCCTTTACCCAGCAACTTGACCTTGGTCAAACTGTAAATAGTTCTCATCACTTTCTGACCAACCAATAGTCACATACGATATTGATCCATATCAAACATCAGCGAATGAAGTGGAAAATCATGAATTGAATGAATAAAGGGTACAACAAATCACAAGGGTTCATTTTAGCTCTAATTGCATTCAACATCTTAACCCGAGCTGTAATTTGTAGGAAAGGAAAGTTTGTGGGATCCAGCGGTCTTGAATGTTCCCAAATATATGGAACCTAATGGCCAAGTGGAGGGAGGGCCTGGAACTCCTCCACGGGCATCATTTAGTAAAGAATTACGGAAATTCGCACCTGCGAAAACGGAGGGTGCACCGGTATATCACCACCTCACCCAACACCACACATGTAACACTCACACCCACGCTCTTACTAATGCCCACACCTGACACCCAACGCCCATACACCCAACATGTACACCGAACTAATATACCTAATTCATCTTAGGTTTATAGGTATTGGGTGTAGGTAAACGAATTAGACCTAGGCGATGTGCTCTGATTACCTATAGCTATAATACAAGTTGATATACCGGTGTACCCTCTGTTTTTGCAGGTGCGAATCTCCGTATGCTTGGCAAAGGCTGGCAAGTACTGCTGAAATGTTCACTTGGCTGAAGGAGCATCGTTGATGCAGGAGGCTTACCCCCGAAATCAGCACTACGCGCGTGGCTGTGCATCAACCGTCATCATAAATAAGTGCAGCTTTTCTGGATTCCTACCTTCACAACAGAACACGTACAACGGAAATAATGAAACGAAACGAGTTGACAGTGATGAAGACAAGGACGAGGGCGAGCACACCCAGAACGCGAAGTGGCTGCAAAACTTGTCGGCAAGTCTGATTCCATTTTCGCTGCGGGCCATGTGCATTCCTGGATATGGCTGACAGGGCCATACTAGTAGCAAGAGGCATGTGAAGTGTGACGAAGGTCGCCCGTCGTGTCTGAGGTGCACCCGAGCCGGATGGGCATGCGATGGCTACGAAGTGGATAAAGCCACTTCGAATGCCTCCGCAGGTGTGAAAAGTGCAGATGCTACCGAACCTGGATCAGTCATTTCTATCAGCAGCTACTAGTATGCGATCCCATTCAGGGTACCGGGATCTCAGAGAGACCGCCAAATTCTTCACTATTTCTGCGTGCAAGGCGCTCATGAGATCGCAAGCCGCTTCAACGTCGACTTCTGGACAAAGACTGTCCTCCAGCGAAGCCACCGGGAGTCTGTTGTTCGGCAGGCGCTGGTGGCATTGAGCTCTCTCCATCTCGACTACACAACCACGGCGGTTCGTGGGACTGGCGACACTAAGTATGGGGCACTCGCGCAGTACGGCAGGGCTATACAGGCTCTGAGAATACGGATAGAAAAGCCTAATCACCAGACTGTCAAGACTGCGCTCACATGCTGTATACTGTTCTATTGCTTTGAAGCAACGCTCGGGGACAGTGCGGCTGCAATGCGTCACTTAGACAGTGGTCTGGACTTGCTGTCGACTCATCGTCATCGCCTAGAACTCGACAATACGGATGACCTGGACAAACTCTCACCTATGTTGGAGATTTTGGACTTACAGGCAACCATCTTCGACGACAGCCGCACACCCCGCCTCTTTCTATCGACCGAGGTGCCTCAAGGCATGGCAGCATTTCCGTGTCTCGATGAAGCTAATGGGGCCTTCATCAGACTCCAGAATCGTCTCTTTCATTTTCTGACGGAACATACATCATACAAATCCTGCACAGAAGACTTGCTGCCGTCATCTGTCACAGAACAGAAGTGTCTCCTTCAGCAACATTTCGATGTCTGGTTGGCTAGATTCGAGCAGTCAAATTTTACAGGTGACCAAGACGAGACACGGAATTGCGGCAGGCACATCCTCCTAATCCAGTGGCATGTGTCAAAGATGCTACTCGAGGCGAATTACCCAACTAATGACCTGGTCTTCGGGGCGTCACCAAACTTCAGAGCTGAGAGAATCCTGGACATGGCCCACAAGGTCCTCGATCATTCTCAGGGAGGCGAGACAAGCCTGAAGCAAGACTCAGGTGGCCAGCGGCGCGTGTTCTCATCGGAAAGTGGCATTGTAGCCCCGCTCTTCGCACTGGCTGCGAAGTGTTCAGACGAGAGTGTGTGCGATCGCGCGCTTGAACTGCTGACCACATCGCGCAGACGGGAAGGTTTATATGATGCTGGGAGCATGGCCGCGGTCCTACACCAGTTCCGTACGTCAAGGCAGCAGAGGATAATGTCTAACCATGAAAGCAGTGTTCAAGACGTTACACGAATGTCACTGGAAAGTTTATTTGAACGGGAGATAAGCGGCGTTGTTGGTGGTATGGATAGGCTGGCTGATGGCCTCAAGTCGGAACCTACCACTGCATGAAAGAATATTACCGATACGCCTTCAAATGCACCACATGACCATGGGTAACAGCGAAGCAATATACCACCAAGTCATACACCATGTCCAGCGACGGCACCTGAGATTTGAGCTGGGACAGGGATGGAATTGTTTATCGGTCCTCGCAGCAAATCGTATTTCTTCCTCTCCAAAGTCCAACACAGACACCACATTTCTCAGGAATGCGTCTCCCAAGAAATTGAGCCCAATTTCATCGTTCTCTGCAGTTGGCGCGATGCTGGAGCAGCAGAACCCGCTTACATGACGGTGAATAAGATCCTCTGGACTCCGGTGCCAGAAGGTCTGTCCATCGAGGATAATGCCAAATTCCGGGGTTGTGGCGTTGCAATCGACGATATAGACACGCGAGTCCGCATCAAAGACGCCAGGAGGGTCGAACGCGTTGTTGACAGCTTCAGCAACAGCGGTGGGAATAAGGTTCGAGTGATTCCCAGTGTCGACCACGGCCTGAAACGAGGTCGAATCGGTGATGGAAGAGTTCGTGGATGAGCCACTACCCCAAGTGATGCCGTCCACAATCAAAGTCATCAGGGTGATCTGATGCTCGATTGTGATGCCGTTCAGTGTGACGTCGGCGTATCCGACTCTGCCCAACGCTATCCCGGTGCCGTATTGTACGCCGAAGGTCTGGTTGGTGACGTACTCGGTCGTGTTCGGCACCTGGTATGTGCCTCCGAAGTGACATTCCTCTTGTGAGACTTCGTTCCCACTTCCTGGTTCGACACATTGGAAGTCGGCTACCGGGACCCAAAGGTCACTGCTCCCTGTGTCGGGGATGAGGTGGAAGGTCTGGTTGTTGATTTGGACCTCGACCTGGAATATGGCTCCATTGGTGGTCGAAATAAGAGGTGAGGGATTGGATGGTTGGCCGCGATGGGGTGGGAGAATAATGCTGGAAACAAGGCCGGTGCTGCTGAGCAGGGCCAGGCGGGCTGCGGTTTTCATGATGGATCGGTTGAAGGTGAGAAGATTAAGAATTTTGTGACAAACTGAAGGGGCGTCAATCTGATTCTGTCGGGTATCTGCCCTCTTTATATAGACTCCTGAGTAGACTACTTTCTGCCCTCTATCGTCTTTCCAGCGAAGGACTCGGTCACAACTGGCGTGTTTTTTCCTGGATATCCGTTGGCTCTGTCGTCAACTCATCACCAAGAACACCAATTGACGATTCGAAGACGTTCCTCCTCAGCCTTCGACAGGCTGTCTCGGCCTCAAGCCTTGCCGTTTCAAGTAAAAGTCTGAAGCGATATCCGGATTCATTGGCCTCATCGTCTATTTCGGAGCTAAAGGACTCGTCGCAATGGGGCATTGCTGGTGCGGCGGCATTAGGGCCGCCTCCCCTTAGAGTATGACCGGCCCCTCCTACGGATCCAGAGCTCCGATTCGTTCACTCGTCTATTCTCAGGATCCTTTGCTGTGAGCTCCATCCTTGTTGTATCTATTACTTTCGTACTTTTATTATCAACGGTAATTCAGGAAACGTCTTGAATCATTGTAACGAGCATCGCTATCCTATTACTCAAACCCGAAAGGCCCAAGGCACATCCAGATCGCCTCCTCTGCTTTATGTACCCCGATAGCTCCTTCATCACCGACTTAAGTTCCGCTTCACTCATGTCGTGGATCACGTCGCCCAGGTCCTTGCCAGGAAGCTTCGTCATGACAATGTTGGCAAAAGCTTTATGTTTGGCATCGTAGTAAATCTCAAGGACTGCGCGAACACGGATCAGCAATTAGAAATGAGAACAGAGAAAGGAGAAAGGAGAGAAATGCACATATAATGTAGTTATACTTGCTCTGCATGACTTACTTTTGGGGACAGGTATCGATGTGTTGGCACGCACAAAGTTCATGGCCGCGATCTCAGTGACGGAGACATTGAGCTTAGCGATCTTGTTAAAGGGTAGCACAACCACGTTGTAGGGTCCGTGCCGTCGAGACCAGTTCAAAAGCGCGCTGGCCTTGATGCGCAGTCGTAGCCACCTAGGGAGTGGCGATGGGTCACTATCCTCCTCGCGTGGTAGTGATGGCAGTGGTGGAGGCGGCAGACATTGCGATTCCTGGGACTTTTGGCGTGGAGATGACAATTTGTCAGTAGCCCCTGCTGTGACGGAGTCTTCCCTTGACATTCCTGATGGTGAATCCATGACTGGATGACTATGCTGTGAGCTATGCTGCATAGAGTCAGATTGATGTTCGTCGAGACGAGATCTACCTTGGCAATTACTCCTCACCGCTGGTCGACGTTGGCCGACATTTGTTGGTCCTTGTTGGCATGTGCTCTATTATTAGCTTACATGCATCGACCCAGGGGGGCTAATTGGAGGGAATCGAGCCAGCTGATCGAGCGCATCCTATTGGGCAAGCTGACGCCAGGCATCACTGCCACCCATATCAATCGCGTCTGCAAGACCATGGCGCTGCCTAACACCGGAGAGGAATGCTTAGACTGAACAGGGCGTGCTATCTCTTCCATCCAAATCCAGGGCTGCCTAGCGCGTCACTCATGGAGTGGCTCGAATTGTCTTGAAGGCTAGGGCGTACCAGCAATCTTTGATGACGGCTGCCCGGGAACTTCCTTCGTCGTCCAAGGCACCGATGTAACAGGCGCTGGCCCTGGATATGCCCAAGACCAAAGGCCTCGGATCCGAGAAGTTCTTGTCCGGCTTGACTTCGTTTGTCTGTGTATCCTTTAGTAATGTGACACCAGAAGCGTCCAGCCTGAATAGGCCTTCCAGCCCGCCAGTGCTGAGTTCGATCCCGCATTTCTGAGCCAAACGATGCGCTGACAGTGAAAGATTGTCGGGGTTATCACTATCGCAGAAGCTTCCCACGAAAGCACAGGCGTCGCTCTTTGTTGGCTGTGTTGGAGATGCCAGAATCGTCCATGATTGCTTCCATTGTTGATCTGCATTCTTCGCCAAAGCGACCACTCAGCATGAGCCTTGTCAAGGGGCCCAGGTCTGGATATTCTTCAACCATATCAATTCCGTCCCCTCCATCTTTGACCGCCGCGGGATTGAAATGCTGGTTGAGATGCAGTGTGATATCCGAGACCGCGCCCCAGTTATTCCCGAGGAACAAGGACGTGTGGAAGAGCCTAAGATTCGCGTCGACCAACTGTGGGCGCTTCTCGATCATGTGTCGAGGCAAGGGGGTCGCGTCGACAATAACTGTTTTGATATCGCCTCTGGGAAGCCTTGTCAATCGTTCAATCTACTTGGTCACTATCCTCTCAATCGGGTCGACGTCCTGTCGTAGGGGACTCAAAGGGTCGCGGATGTGCTCAATCTCCATCAAAGACCAGACCAACAGACGGATCCTCTCGACCTTCTTGTGCAGGCCCAACGCCCTTACGGCCCGGATCAAATGAGGAAGTCGTCCAATGTGAGCGCATCGCGAAATGAGACAGTCAAAGGACCATGTATGTGCTCATGGCCCGGACTCGGATAGCATCGGCGCGCAGTAGCTTGCAAGTGACTAGCAGCTGGTTGACAGGGTTAGGCCACGTGTGGTGGTCAAGCCGGGCTTCTGCAGGCACACCACCAGGAATCAGCCGTATGATGTGCTGCCGAAGCTCAGCGGGGAGGTTCGTAAGCAATGCCATGATAGCGTCGCGGATTGGAATCGGCACCGGACGGCGAAATGAGGAGTTTGAATTTGTCGAGCATGAGGTGGGGAGTGGCGTTCCGCCCATTTACTTGTGTAATACAAAGAGGTTACGGACCTGGCACCACGTATCATTAAGTCATTAGTACCAGACTGCATATCTATGGCGGCTAAACAACTTCACTGCTGACGGTGGCTTGTGCCTGCCTCTGCCTTGTGCCCTGCCCGCAGGACCACAGCAGACAGGCGGGCCAGAACAGGACGGCAGAGCAGGGTGGGATGACACGCATGAAAGATCGCCCAGACACCCTTCCTGGAGCGGAGGATGGGACAGCGTGCTAGGGTTCCGAAAGTATCCCTGTCTAAACAAATATGATTGGCCCGGTTAGTTTTCGAGTATTCTTCCTCGAAGATTGTTACTAGAAGTACATTTTGATAGAACAGTGGAACTCCTCCAACATTATTAAAGATCTGTAATTGCACAGCCAAATCATATGGAAGAGCTACCCCCTCCCCAAATGATAAAGTCCATATGTATTTGCAGGCATACTTTTGGAATCCTAGCACGTTGTACCTGCGACTCGTCCTCGCGTTGATTGACGCACGGCGAGAAGGCCAATCCGGCTTGGCCTGCGGTACCGCATTCAACAGTGTTACTTTACGGGTCGCTGCTACCCACAGCCGGCCACAAGTGCGGGTCCATATGCCATCGAATTATCATTGTTATTTGTTGGTCAACCAATAGGCGCTTCATCACAGTGCTTCCGACTTTTCGTCCCTGCAGGGCAGCATGCCCGACAAAGGGGCCGAGAGGTGCATTTACCAGTGGCGTTGCACCGCAGGGACGCGGTTGGGATTTGCGGACGGGTTTCTTGGAAATAGTTGGCGCGAGACCCAGCGGTTGTCATGCAGCAGTCGAGGTTAGCGTCATACGGACGCCGACTCTTGAAAATGTCGATCACGATACCCGGTGTGCATGTGTCCTACCCTCAGGACTGGCGGCCGCTGGCTGTCTATATATGTCTTTCTACTGCCAAATACGGCCTGTAAAATGTCAGATCGCTACTGCATTCGCATCACGTCTCTTTGAAAAATTAATCATAATTGTGGTGGATCACTGCAACCACCAGGATGATACTCGACGTGTTGTTCTTGCTGGCAGTGGGCGGCCTCGTACAGGCAAAGGGAATAATTTATCCACGAAGCTCGAATGATACTTCAACTACGGGTTCAAATGGGACCTGGACAGGCGTCACTCCAGGGCTCACTTCGGCGGCCATAAATGCCATGAACACGGCATGGTACAATGAAGCCGACGGCCGTTGGAACTCGACAACAGCGTGGTGGCTGACCGGCAACGCACTCCAAGCAGTCGGCGACTACACCTATACAGCAAAGGACACGCAGTACCTCCCCCAGCTGGAGCATACGGTCCAGGAACAATCCGGGCCCTTGCCCTGGTGGCCAGAGGGCGGCGGTCTCTTCCGCGCAGACTCGACAGACGACACAGGGTGGTGGGCGCTGGCCATGGTGCGGCTGTTCGACATCACCGGGAACAGCACATACCTCGACATTGCGGAGACGGACGAGGCGTACATCTACAGCTACTGGAACGCGAGCACCTGCGGGGGAGGGGTGATTTGGGATATCCCGGACCTGAGCTACAAGAACGCCATCAGCAACGAGTTGTACATCAAGCTGGCCGCGTCCCTGCACAACCGCATTCCCGGGGACACGAAATACCTCGACCGGGCCGTGGAGGGCTGGGATTGGTTCAACCATTCGGGGATGATCAACTCGGCGCGGCTCGTCAATGACGGCCTGGCGGAAGAGTCCAACGGCACGTGCGTGAACAACGGCGACACGACGTGGACGTACAACCAGGGCGTGATACTCGGCGCCCTCTCGGAGCTGTACATTGCCACCGGCGAGGAGCGCTACCTGGACGCTGCGAGCAGCATCGCGGACGCGACCATCTCCAGCTCGCTCCTGTCCCCCGGCGGTATCCTGAAGGAGCCATGCGAGACCACGGGGGGTTGCGATAACAACCAGCAGGCGTTCAAGGGCATATTCACTCGCAATCTCGCGGAGCTGAATGTGCAGGTACAAGGTCGGCCGTATGACGAGTATCTTTCCAACAACGCCAAGTCTGTTTGGACTTCGGACCGCAACTCCCTGGATTTGTACGGGCTTTCGTGGGATGGGCCCTTCACATCCGCAAGTGTCGGCACGCAGTCATCCGTAATTAGTCTCTTTGTCGCGAATTTGTGGAAATAGGTTGGTTCCTAAATAGCAGCTATAGTGACTGTAAGTCTCGTAGCGTGTTATGAACACTCAAAGTTGTCTCTTCGTACTTCAAAGGACGAGGTACTTAGTCAATAGCGAAACAGAAGTTGCCGTTGACCGTGGCGGGCACTTGCTTCTCTGCATCAAGTATACAATACAATAGAACCCATTGCTGGATACACTCTTGCCCGCGGTCAATATGTAGAACAGTAGAGCTCCTTGTTGAATACAGTCTTATCCGAGGCCGTCGCTGTCAACAGTCGGCACAGCACGTGCCCACAGTCGCATTGTTGCGGCTACAATGCAAACGTCCCGCACCGCACAATGCACTGAACCAGCAACCCAGTGTAACAGGTTGGGATCAAGCCGCTTATAGTTCTGTAAAGGCGAGCCTTAGGCTCCACTGTAGTATCCTGCACCGCTGCATGTGTGCTGCGGCGCAGTCGAAGTCACTTTCCGACACACTCGCCTCGTATACTCCGTAGGAGAAACCCAACTGTTTGGCAAGCGGTTGGAGATACTGGATGACAATATCGTGGTTCACAGGACAGCAGGAAAACGATCTCAGAGACGCAAGGGATCCGTTCCTTTCTCAACAAACCTTCTGTTCCTCACATCTCCTAGTGCCTTTTCACATCCGGTTGCCACATACTAAATTACCTTATAGAAGACTGTCCTGCAGGAACTTGATCACGGCAGGTTAGACTATTGAGAATCCAACTGTGGGAGGCTCTCCGATCATCCTATAGCAGATTATCCTATGGCAGGTTGCCACATGGTGGTCACTGGGCACACTGACTGCAACGGCCGAAAAGCCAAAGCATCGAAAGTCCATAGCACCTACACAGCCATAATGAAGAGAGGCACACCCTACCCAGCTCGATGAAGCAGACGACTCTCTGTAAATCCTAATAATTGAGTGTATTTACCCCAGAGCCAGAAAGCAACTTTGGTAGTCTCATGTGGTCTAATGAAAACGCAAGCATGCACGTAAGAGACAAAACTAATCCAACCATCTCAGCATCCTCAAGTGACAATTAGCAGGTTTTACAGTTCTGTTCGTCCCAAGAAATGGTGGTAACCAACATCGCATTCTTACTAAATCTGGTTCAAAAAGCCGTGTGCCCATTGATATTTAAGCGCCACAAACTCCGAGTGTTGTTAAAAGCAGTCCTGCTGTACTGCGTGATCCAAGGGTAAACTAGAGAGGTATCCCAATCCTGATGCAAATGCCTCGGTCACACTTGACCAAAAAGCCTATAACCCTAAACCTTTCTTCTTCAAAAATCCGCATAGTTTGCCTCACATCCCCGGCATGTCGCACATGGGTGTCGGGTCAGCACCTCGTCGCTCGCCTGCTCTCTTGAGGCTTTGTACAATGACTCTCTCGCGGAGCCTCCCTCAGCTGTCAGCTTTGGAGGTATCGACAAGGTCCCCAACCCAGCCCATCTTCTCCCGTCTCTCATCGCTGACTCGTGCATATTCCAGCAACAGCCGCAAGACATAGATCTGCATGTCCTCCTTCCGCAGCACGCGCTCGGCCCACTCCTTGCCCGCGGCGGCAATCTTGGCGGCCTGCTCGTCGTGGCCCTTGACCTTCTTGTCGCCATCTTGGTATCCGAGGAAGTACTCCATGATGCCGAACCAGTCTGAGAATCGGTTGTCCATGGGCACAAAGTGCTTCCAGGCTATCAACCGGCTGTCGTGCCACTCTCGCCACACTGTCGCCTTGATCGGGAGACTAGTCGAACGGAGGAAACCGAGGTATCGGCCACTGAACGAGTTGCCGTCAATGTCGGGAAGGTATTTCCAGTTGAACTGCTCGGCCAGGGTCACACCCAGCTGCACCTCAAAATATGGCGAAGTGTAGTAACACTGGCCTCCTTCTTCTTCCTCGGCGCACATCAGGTCCACGAATGCCACATCCGCCCAACTGTCCACCCACGGACCAAGCTTCGTTCGTGCGGACCCGGGTGTCGTTGTTTTCTGTGAGTTGAGACCATATGTTGCAGAAGGAAGCTCAAAATTGAGCGGGAGCTCCGTCCAGTCCTCGGCTCTGCTTATCTTGGTGCCATTGTTCATGGCCACGAAGCGGTGTCGTTGAAACGCGCGCCAGTTTGTCTCCCGGTTACGACCGCCTGTCGCAACGCCTCGCCAGATCACTCCATCTGTCTTTTGTGGCCAGTCCACACCGTGTTGGTTACCACCGGTAAACCTCTCTTCTTCATTCCAGTACATGGGCGCCGGAAGGAGGATCTCGTTGTTCACGGCCAGCTTGGAACCTCCAAACATGGGGAATAGTGTCTTGGTGGCGGATACGGTCAGAGGCTCGATAAAAATGCCGTTGAGGCCTTGAAGGTCGGGCTGGTGGCAAACTTGGGTGGACATAGTGTAGTTCGAAACATAGCCCTTGTAGGTGTGAGGCTCTGCGAAAGTAGGATTGAAGGCTGGTGCGTGGTTGAAGTCGGACATCACCTCTGCTTTGCGGGCGGCGCTGTCGGGGGCGCAACCACGCTGGACCACGTTCCAGTAGGGTTCTAGAAGGAAGCATCTTTCAGCAACGGTTTCACGCAGTCTCACTCTGTTCTGCCTGGGACATCACTTACTCGTTCCTTCCCAATTCTTCTCAGGTAGCTCGATAACGCGATCAGGCCCTTCACCGGGAGGCTGAAGGTGCTCAAATTCGTTGATGGCATCCTTAGCCGGCACCATACTCCTGGAAGCGCTTGCCTTGTTCATGTACATGTTGATGTCTTCCCAGGGCACGATCATCCGAGGCTCATCCATTGCGTTAAGTGCGATGTCCATGTCCGGCAGCAGGTGCTCGATCGTCTTGATGAGGTTCAACCAGATCTGAGTCCAGAACCAGTCGCTCTTGGCTGTTGCGCTCCCATCTCTAATGTTGATGGTCATCTCGTAGTCCCAGGCGCCTTTACGGATCTCCAGTGCGGGAAGTGCCCAGAAAGGCTCGAGATCATGGTAGATCTGATCCCAGAAGGCCTCAACCATGACGGCATTTCGTTCTTTCGCGAAGGCATACCATTGATCGAAGCCGGGTGGGGGGTGTCGGCCGCGGCGCTTTCGGTAGGCGGCCGCGGCCTCGGAGAGGGTGTGCGATTCTTCAGTTATCTGGTCGGCGAACTGCTTGTTGGCGAGATCGATGAGCCGGTCGATGGGGTGGGTGCCCTTATCCGACGTTTGTGACTCGTAGTTGCTGCTACTGTCGCTGCCGCTTCCTGAGGCCGGCTTCTCGCTCTGGTCCATCTGCAGCGTCTCCTCCTCTTTCGGTTTTGTATCTACGATCGGTTCCTGGGGAGCCTGGGGCCTGGGCCGATTGGCCTCATGCTGCAGCTTCAAGCTGGGATCGGAAGACTGGTCGCCGGATTTGCCGGCAGGGCTCTCGCGGCCAGGCTGGCCGGGAGCTTGTTGTGGGTTCGAATTGGGCGGTGATACCCATGTTGTGGGAGGTTGTTGTTGTTGCTGGGCCCCGCTGAAGTAGTAGAAGAGTGTGATGATTATTATGGCGGGTACGAGGTATCGCACGATAGCGGAGGGCCTGCGTGGGGGAAATGCTGGAGAGCGCATTTTAGATGATATCATGGCCCTCCAACGCATGGGCGCATTCTTGTAGACGAGCGGCCGGGTGCGTCAGAGAGAGGGGGGAAGGACTGCAAGTACGTCGTCAGGGCAGACGGCGTGTCGCGTACGTGGTCGCAAGTCGGTCGGTGGTGGGTCAATTTGCTGTCGACGGGTGTCGCGAGAAAACGACAGGGTGGACTTGGGATGGCGGCAGGGCAAAGATCGACAGAAGGTCAAGGAGAGGAATGCCTGGTCTGGCAGGCTGGCAGGCAAGCTGGCCGGACTAAACTTTGCCTGTCTACGGGCAACGCAGGATTCGACAAAAGAGTTTGGTCCAGCTCAGGCCGTGATCGAAGAGGGATCGAAGACGAGGACGACAAAGGTGAGATTGTCAGGGTTGGCGGGAGACAGACGCGGTCAAAGGGTTCGTGGGAGGGAAGTCTGGGCACATTTCCAAGAGTGCTCCCCAACCCCAGGCCAAGCGCCAAAGCAGGGCCCTTGAAAACGCAGGCGCAGGTGCAGTCGCAGTCGCAGTCGCAGTTGGCAGCACATGGCAGGGGCAGCCACGGCCCACGGCCCAGGGCACGGTCGCGGCAGGAAGAGCAGCTCCTGCCAAAGTCTGACGTGCTGTACCTACCTTACCTTGTGCCAACCTGCCTAGCGAAGCGATTGGCGATCAAGCAGGCACAGCCCGCCTCGGAGGGGAGGGCCAAAGGCAGTGGCAGGGGTCCCGATGGGGCTCTTTTTGCAGGGATCTACCACTCCGTTTCTTCTGGCGTTTCTCGCTTCGTTTCTGCGTCGAGCTCATTCCCTATCACGATTCGGAACCTCGAGGTATCAAGCTGTGTTTCCAGCTGCGATCAGTTGACTCCCAGCAGCTTGAACTCAATCATGTGCGAATCAAAATTACCAAGCGTGCGGTCACCATGAACCCATATGCGAACCACGCAGACTCAGATTCCTGCAGGGCTGTCTCACCACAAAAACCCAACCTCCGGGATAGCGTGCACTCAGTCGGCCGGCCGGGCAGTGCCAGTCCAGCATGGCTGCACTGGAATGGCGGGGCAGACCACGTTTCACCGACCAACCTCACCTCACGATGGACTGCCTGCCTGCATTGAAGGGGCTGGTGAGACATTCAGTCACGCGCAGGGCGGAACACTTCCTGTTCCTGCCACCAGCAGTAGATCATCCAGCACGAGGGCGACCGTCCAAACGGCTCTCCCTGTCTTGCCCGCCCGAAGGCTGCTGGGCAGCCAGGAAACGGTGGCTGCAGGAAACGAAGCCTGAGAGAAACGGAGCGAGACATGAGCCAACCATCCTTTCACAACGGCCGCCTCATGCAAGCCCCTGAGGTAGATCATCATCAGCCATCAGCAGCCACAGCAGCCACTGATCGAGTCAAACCTTCCATTTCCACAGTCAGCACCCTCGTATTGCCGTCTCAATTCTTCGTAACGCCCATTCACCATGAAAATTGACATTCCACTTAGTCCATCACCGTTGCTCGTGTTGCGTGATGCTTATGTCCTGCTGCACTGACTTCAACCTTTTTAAGGTGGCCGATCCCAGGGGCCTCCCCCGACAGCTCCCCACAAGCTAAACCCATGGAACTGTGGACGGCATGATGGAAGATCGGTCCAGCCCACTGGGGGAGCGGAGCAGTCCATGGACCTTAATTTAGATCCTTGGCATCCTGTCGACCCAGACTCTGCCAGCGCCAGGTGCGCCGCTTTGCCCGATCCAGACGACGGACGCGACTCCTGAAGCTTGCATCAGACGTTCAACTGATGGATTCATACATATGGACATCAAAAAAACCTGTTGGTATCAAACCTTCCAAGGGTCGTACCCGGACAGCCGGGCAATCATTGATATAACCGTCTAGACTATAGCCAGCTAATAAGAGATCGACAACCGGCGACTAAATGGACACATTGAACGACCTCCTCAATAAATTGCCCCATGTCTTGGAGACAGACTCGCGCCTCCGAGACAAAGGAATGGAGCTTGGTAGTGGGGGATAAAGGAACAATTATCAGATCGAACACGGTCACTCCTCGTTCCGTCCGTCAGCTAATAATCTCCTCCCCAGAGTCAGGTGCGACGGCGGCCACGGCATCTCAAACATGAGACGGTCGAGTGCGTCAAGTCGCAGCTGCAACGTCAAAACTAGCCCGCGATCCCGGTGGCCTGGGAAAGGGCTGCACGCTCCCCGGCGCGTTACACACACAGCCTTGCTGCTGCGATGCGTTCTAGAGCTCGCTTCCTTGTCTTCCCGCGACGCGAAGGCGTTATCTCTGGTGACTTTACCTGATTACAACAGCCCTAAGGCTCAATTGTTCTTCCGCCACGCGGAGCTGATGCTGAAATTTCTCGCTTTTCCAGAAGGTCTAAGACACCGACTGAGCATGCTGAGCATGACGCCACGCACGCGACAGGGCAATAAGCATAAGAATGTCGCATTGCACCGGGATCCATGATCTGCCATCTTTGCGCGAGAGGCGCCCACCTTTGATGACAGTTGGAATGAAGACCATTTTTTGCAGGGTCTACCTGGGAAGCATCCCGGATTCAACTCCGGCCCAGCACCGCGGAAACTACCGCGAAGGCGTAAATTCTTTAATATCCCACTGAAGAGCACGCGCACGCGGGCCGTTCCTCGTCTCCTTGGGTCGCAAGGGACGGTGGTATTTTCAACACCGGAGATGAACCATCGCCTGTATTGTGACGTGCTGCAAAGGCTGCGATATGTGTCGCGACATCACCGGCCCCCTCAGCAGTAAGAGAGTGTAGAGTTGGGACCCCGGTCCTAATCACATGTATTCAAAAGTGGAATATATGATCTAAAATTTCCGTGGTTTCTCTATGCACGCTTCGACACACGTAATTCCATTATATGCAACCCACTCAGCAATCCATGCGACTACTAGAAGGCATCCAGGGTAGTGTTCCCCATGCCAAGGCCCCCGGGCCCTTCGTCGTCGAGCCCAGGCGAGCTGGAGTCGTCAACCAGGCTGTCGTCCTCGAGACGGCCCACGAGCTCGGCATAGCTGGGCCTGAAGGGCCACTTGATGAACTTCTCCAGCAGCTCGAGCAGCTGCGTCTCGTTGGCGGCGCGACAGCCGAACGCGGCGTCGCCGGTGAGCGGGGTGCCGCCGGGTGGCCGGGTCGCGGACGGTCTCGCACTCGGACTCGAGGCCGTCGCGGGCGCCGGGCCAGACGTGATCCATGGTGTGGACAAGCGGGACGAGCGTGTTCTGCATGATCATGCCCAGCATCAGGTCGAAGATGTCGCCCGCGTTGCTGGTGCCGGGGCCGATGTGCCGCAGCAGCGGGTGCGGCGCCTTGGGCTGGATGTCGATGAGCGCGAGCGGCGTGTTGGGGAAGAACTCGGTCGGCCGGACCCGCAGCGGCTCATACGGACGCCGGTCCCACGACATCACCGGGCCCAGATCCGCCGGCTGCCGCAGCACGTGCAGCTGGTCTCGCAGCAGGTTCAGCTGCGACCTGACGTAATCTGGCAGCTGTCTGACGGCGTTGTTGTACTGCTCGTTGAGCCGCCTGGTCTTGTGGATCAGGTTCTGCGCGCGCTCCTCGTCGCCGTCGGCCTTGGCCTGGTCTGCCTGTTTCCGCAGCTCGTTCATGGCGTCGTGCCTTATCGCGAAGTCCAGGAGCTTGACGGCGAGCCTGTCGAGCCATTTATCGTAGTGCTTGAGCATCTTGTACCGGGTTTCTAGTTTGGAACCCTTTGCAATCGTGCCTGCTTCCTCCTGCTTCCGCATGTCTTCGATCTCTGACCTGAAGGCCTTGTCGACTGAGAACACCTCATCGGCCAAGGGGAGAGGAGTGTCCAAGGGGACGTCCAATGCTTTGAATTGTTTTAGAAGTTTGGTATCCCTGCCATGTGGGGTGACATGTCCGCCGTCCCGCATGCGCACCATGGCCTGTCGCAGGCTCTCGAGGTCGAGCTGGTGCGGCCGGACTTTGGTGTTCTTGCCCTTGGCTGACTCGGTTTCCTCGTCAAGAGTGCCATCCTTGCCGCACACCTCGGCCATGTACTCTGTCACCAGCTCGGCCTCGACGGCTCCCTTTTTCCTCATTTGCACCATGCGTGGAATCATGGACGACTTTTCGTCATCGGGAATCCATACAAGCATGCGCACCTGGCCGTACTTCTGAAATTGGGTCGAGGTGCGGATGGAGGTGATGAGTTGGTACAAGACCATGCGCGACATGGAGTCGAACATATTGTATTTTTTCTTGGGGTACATCGAGAGGTTCATGTTGACGAGGAGGGTGTCGTTTCTCGGAGGTGCTTTGTCGAGATCCAACCGGTCGAATTCGACTTGGTTGGGTAGATATTCAGGAGTCAGGATCTCCTGTAGCTCTGACCAAATGATTCCGGACTTGGGTACCAGCCTCACGTTCTTCTCTTTCAGCAATGGTTTGAGAAAGGGCGTGTATAGTATTTCATCGGGCTCGAGCAATAGGTGGGATCGGGGCTGGACCGCATCGTGAAGGGACTTGGCGAAGAGGCCGGCACCGGGATAGATAGAGATCAGATCGCATCCCTTGTGTCTCTCGAGCGAGGGTCCGAGGTACGAGACGACATCATCTGAGAAGCTTGTTGATCAGTACTGCCCTGTGCTGTTGGTTTGACAAGGCCAGGATTGGGGGCGCGGGGTGAGTTGCGACCGAGGACAGTGGCATCGTACTGGCAAGTCTCTTATTGACAATGTTGACCCTGCTCCCATCACTGGACGTGGGGTCTTTCTTGCTAGCCCTCTTTTTCCGAGGGGCAAAAATACCCGTATCCTTGAGCTTGGTAGCTGCAGGATAACTGTCTTCGTAGAGCTCGGTCTTTGCCAGGGTTTGTCTCGACCACTGCCGCCGTTGTTGAAGAGTGCCATTCCATGTCCGCTTGCCAATGGCATTGGCCAGGTTCAGACGGGCGCAAGGTTGGAGAAGGGCAAGAGCTCTTCCACGGCTGCAAGCTGGATGGAACATGGATGAATGGGAGAAGACAAGTCGGGTCGTTGACAGGAGAAAAACGAGGAAGAAGCAATGCACGTTACGTGCAGAGCCTGTCGCAAAGTAGGCAAGAGGCCCAAATTTGCAAGCGCATATGGCCGGCAGAATGCTAGACTTTTCCAGGAGAAGCCCCGGCCCAGCTGACCGCCTTGCCTTACCGCCTTCTAGAATTGGTGGCAGCAGAACTTCAACAGCCATGCACCGCAAAGAAAACATTGTCCACAATGAAGGCGAGCCACACAAGCCGCCTTGAGGGGAGCAGATTTAATAGACCCTGGCAAACATTGGGCTTTTATAGGGTAATACGGGCCCTCAGGTCTCTCCAGAAGGTGCCCTTGTGGACTGGGAAAGAGATGATCCAGACGGAGGCTTTGAGCCGATCGGCACCAAGTCCTTCCCGGTGATGACTCGAATTGGTCCGTTTGAACTCGCAAGTTGTTTTGTACAGTTAAAAGGGACCTGTAAAGGTAGGAAGGTAACTTTCAAAAAATGGTGGTTGCTTTGGCAGAGGCGTTTGTATGTTTGGGGAGTATATGTATGGATGTACCCTCCGTTCTAAGTTTTTGAAGTCGATGCGAATCTCCGTATTCTTCAAAAAATGATTTAGTTGCCACCATTAAGAGATCTCTTGGGCAAGGAAATGTCTACACAGCCCCGAAGCTTGTCCGTCAATCACTCCACGTACTTGATTCATTCATTTATTACCTAAAAGTAGATCATTATCACTAAGGGATCATGTGCGAGTTCTTGGTGTTTGATTTGAAGACAATCCTTGTTTTTTCATTTTCAACTTTTTTTTTCGTTCTCAATACTATCCAATCCGACCTATCCTAGTATTTCCTGTACCGTAATCGCGCCTTGTGTTCAGTCTCAAGCAGCGCTTCAATTCCAGCCAACTACTCCCCAGATTATGGCCATATTCCCCTTATGCCCTTACTTCTACTGCTGTGGCGGCGGCGGCGGCGGCGGCGCAGGCTGAGGGGGAGGAGTGGCAGGGGGAGTCGGGTATGGGTTGGACATTGCGCTGAATGTGTTTGTTAGGAGACGCGCGGTGTGGTTGTGGCTGTATTAAGGTCAGCTGTTATCGTTTTGGTTTGCAGGTAGGATGATTGATGGTGAGAATCAAGAACGAGGAGAATTGCGAACTCCCAGCTCGCTTTTTATAGTCGAACGGGGGCAGATGAGTGGTATACTCAGGTCCATGTTTAATTACTACATGAAAGAATTTGATTGTACTACTCCATGGATCAAGAAGCGAAGCTAAGCGCGGATAAACAAAGGTATTTTGTTCACAATCCCTGGGTGAATTAACATTCTTTATTGCTATGTTCATTCTTGAATGCTTCAAAGTGTCCCGGCAAGAGCCTTTCACCGGCCAATGAGATAGAAAATGTAACCGATGGTAGACTCAATGGACAAAATACATTGATAGAACGCCGAAGTGATGTTGGCTCAGTGTGTCTTGTCTGTTCTTTCAACGTCATCACATTTCTTTTGCCTGTACCATTGTTTCGTGATTTCATCAAGGCCTTGACTCACCTAAGCCGAGCCGATTTGCCCACCAGGCAAGGCCTGACTATGGTGTCGACTGGCGTTTGCAGCCTTAGGCACCGGAAATTTAGAGTCCTGAGTTTCGTCCAAGTTTCATTGGTCCTGACTGATCGACTGTACTGAATGTGGCGCCTGGAAAGATCATTGTTGTTGTTGAACTCATTAGATCTACATATCCCGGACCACAGGGGTTTCCCGCAAGCAAAACGCTTCAGCGGTTGAGTCCAATGTGAAGTAGACTTGCCCCTGAGCTGTCGAGGAACAGAATCAGCCGTGTAGATAGCTGCACAACGTATTCTTCATATTCGGCATACTGAGCGCCCCGAATCTGGGCGACATGACATGTTTGGAATGTCACAGCAAGCTATGCGAGTACAACGGTCCTCCACTCTGGCTGCGTCTTCACCCATACATCAGGATACACGGCACCGATGGCCATGCGCTGGAATACTCCTTTCTCGTCTTCATCCGCGATCATTACCAACAAGACCCATTCGTACCACTCACAAAGTCTCGCAGTCGAAACTTTGTCCTCTCCTGTCTTACGCATCTGTCTCTTGGCTGTCCCAACACCGAGGACGAAGACGGCGTGCTGTTTCTCTGGCTCTGCGTTGAAGAGATCATCCGCCAGCCCCAGGTGCATTCGCATGGTGATTCCGACGGTCTCTCCGTCTCGTGTGTTGATAGAGTATGCTGTGCGTCTTCTTCGAGGCGGTATGAAGAACCGGGAGATCCCGGTAGGTTTAACGAGCAGACGTGCAAATGACGTGTTGAAAACCAGAGCATTCGGTATGCTGGTGGCCAAGGAACAAGCGTTCTCGTCAAGCTTGGCTAGGCGTTCCTGCTCGTCTTTAGATTCGGTGCTCAGAGGCGGCCACCAATAGACAGTCTCGTGCTCTTCCAGGACACGGAATGCAGTCTGCATACGGTCGCCCTCCGAGAGGTCGGTGAGGGACTCGGTCCGCGGCAGCAGGTGCTTGTTGGACAGCTCGCAGTGATTGCGGACGGCAATATCACGACACTGCCCGGCGACAAGATCCACTGCATCCTCTGGGACATCTTTTGATCTGTCTTCCGCGTCGATCGAGTGCGGCCACCACTTAGGGTCTGTGTTCTTGATGACGGCAAGAGCCCACCATCGGCATTGCTTTCTTACGTAACTCAGGGGCAAATCTCGGTGCACAATCTTCTCGAGTCCGGACTTTGGATCCGATATGAAGAAATCCACAACACCCGCTTTTGCGCACGAGCTACCGGCCAGGTATGTGTCGATGCCGATGGCCCGCTGCTCGGTCCATTCGACGCCGTCCTCCCACGACGCCCAGCTCCAGCTTGGTATGTCGGGTAGATGGCGCCTCTTGCCTCCATCATCGCCAGGGATCCAAATCAAGGATTCGAGGAAGAACTTCTTGGGGTGTCCACAGAGCATATCTGTGTCGAGACGGCTCTTTAGAATGTTCCCAACACCAACAAACGCGTTGAGGATGTCCTCTTGGAAGGTGAGAGAGCGCGGGGTGTACTGTTGCAGCGGACCAATGCAAACAGCAAGAGAGTCTTTCTCCTCGTCCACGAAAGTGTCGTTCAACCCTTCAGCTTGCCAGTATGCAGTCCTCATCCAGTCTTCCTCTCTGTATCCATTCGTGTTATCAGACCACCTCTCTTTGCAGCAGTTGCCGTACACTTGACCTTCATCAAAGAACAAGCGTCTTCTGGAGAGGAACCTCTCCTGGAATGTCCAGGCTCGATCGTTCCATTTTGAATTCTGGACCGCCAGCTCGACCCATGGTATGCGAGCCTCTCCCATCGGGTTGCGCATCGTCGCCAGGAGGTCCCAGGAATGATTTTCGTAGCTGTTTTGCCTAGGCCGAGAGGAGACGCCGGGCAGCCCCCGTGTGACACCATCACCTAGCGCCACGATTGTGAGGAAAGCCCGGTGATAGATGACTCCCATGGCGTCGAGTTGCTCGGCCTTGGTATCCAAGTCGTCTTGTACAATGCACAACCTGTCGATCCATAAGTACCGCTGTCCGAGTTCCGCGCACAGCTGTATGGCATCGACAATGACTTCTGGAAGCGCCTCACGTTTCAGCCCCCCTGGCCTTTCCATTTCTTGCGCATTATCCCGCTGGAGTTGCAACTTCTGTTTGTCCGCCGAGTTGGAAGCCAGAGCCCAGACGTAGCTCAAAGCGACGTAGTCGTCTGGATCGGGCATGGTCACCACACACCATTCAGTCGTGTCCACAAGCCGGAATGATGGTGGGAGGGTGATCGACGTCGGTGTCCGCAAAGCGTTGCAGTCGGGTCCGTGATCATTGGTGCATCGACTAAGCCATCGCTTGACCTGTACGTAATTCATCTTCCTCCTGTCCCAGATGGATGCAGCCGACAATGTTTGGCACCACTTCTCGTAACGAAGATCGAGCTGAATCATTCGCGGCTTGAAAGACCAGTCTATTTCTTCCTGAGGTGAAGTCGCGATAACCACAGCTAGAACGCACTTTTGCGAGGTGGGAAGCATTCCCTGCTGGACCGCCACCTCCTCAGATACCGTGCGGTGGTCTTCGCAAGGGTCGTACACGAACGGTTTCCAGACTGCAATCTTTGCTTTCGTGTCTGCCGTTATATGTGCCTTTAGTGCGTCTCGGACAGCCTCGCAGATCATACATCCCCCGCTTTCCGTGAAGTCCTCGAGCTGGCGAAATTTCATGTCCTTTGGGTGTGAATAGTTGTTCTTCTGCATCGGAGGCCACCAAGGGTTGTGCTTGTAGCAGAAGAGCACCGGATTGAGGTGTGCAAACTTGTCTTGTTTTTCGCCGCACGATGAGACGTGCTGGAGATCATCCCAGTCCTGGCAGTCCTCGCAGAGCCTCGGGTTGGACGGCCGAACATCGTCCACATCGCATACGCTGCATTTGCTCATGGTTCTAAGTTTGAGTTACCTTTTATGGCTGATCAATTCATTCCATTGAGCTACGATGTTTTTTTGCTGGGGGAGGAGAACTGGATCACGTAGAATGTTGCTTTGAGTCTTCGATAAGAAACACCGGGGATTCAATAGAGCGCGGTTCAATTGTTTGTTTTGGCAGGCCACGTAGTTGTTAGGTTCGAGTTCTTAAGTGCGAGAGCTGAGGCCCTGGCACATTTATTTATATGTGCCACGATAGGTGGACGCACTCGGTTCAGCTACCCACAGGGGTCGCAATTGATCTGTACATGATTCTTACATAAGCGAGCACGATGGCCTCCTATTACACCTACTGTATAGCTCTGATCAAGCTTTTTTTTCACAAATTCAACCTAGATGGGGCAGAAAGAGCTTCCTTTCTGGGATGGTGGAATTGAAATTAGCGTAAATCCTCGTACTGCAGATGGTGGCAGAAAGCCTGGGTGCTACGTATCGGTTCTTCTATTCCAAGCTTGACAAGGGCCAAATGCATAATCATCTATGTTCGACCAATATCAGGTGATCAGGGGCACGTCTTTTACTGCGTTCTGACCGGGATAATTTTATATATTGATATAGTGTTGCTATAACGCTTTACATACTATGCCATGCTGCCAGTGAACAAATTAACAAGGGATAGTGTCACGAGCGAAGCCAAGCGATGCGAACAGTTATCGAGGATGTCGATGAACGTACTTATAGAGTGGTAGCTACCTAAGGATGAATCTGATTGATAGGTTTTGTATCATGTATTACACACGCTGACAGGGTTCATAGGTCACAGCTGTTTTGTTCGAGTCCAATGCAGTCTTGTTGTCGCGCATGTAAAGATTGAGATGCCCCTTAGTTCCATTAGCGTGCTCAGCTGCAAGGTGCTTTGGTGGAAGGATCATAAGCCTGTCGGTTGTAATGTTAATCTCGTATTCCACGGCGTTAGTCTTAGATTTGAGGCTTGGAGTCGATAGGATTGATTCCCCTGTCATTTCCGGATTTCCTGCTAAGGCATGTATACTGTTCTGCATATTTAGCCAAGTCTTGTCGGCGTTTCTTCCAATGCAATCATCTCTTCAACCTGTGCTCGGAAGTCCATTTCTGGCTTTGCATGCCCTTCGCTTGATTTTTTGTCGCTCGTTATATTCACCAAATATGAAGCTTCCTAGCTACACTTCGCTGCCCATAGGGTTTGCGCTGACGATTTCTTCTGTACAATCCTCAGCCTTGCCGCGGGCCTTCGATATCGGAAATCAGGTCAACACGACCAGCGGAATCATCCAGGGCCATGCAGCAACAATCCGGACGGAGGTATCAGAATATCTCGGTATCCCCTTCGCCCAGCCGCCAATTGGGGACTTGCGGTTCGCCGCACCGGAGCCGTACAGGTCCAGCTCGACATTCAACGCCAGCTCATATGGGCTGATGTGCACGCGAAATGCTGCGCAGCCTGATTACAGCATCCTCACCGCCGCTGGATACCACCTGACGCCGACAGCGGAAGAATACTTGAACACCATAACAGGCCAAGGGTACGCTATGGGGGAAGACTGTTTGACACTCAACGTGTGGACCAAGCCGCAAGTAGGAGAAAGGGCAAAGGCGGTCCTGTTCTTCATCCACGGCGGCGGTAAGTGCCCCTATTGTGCTTGAACACTTAGGTAGCTCTCTTGCTGACCAGCTCCAGGGTTCCAGGGAGGCTCCTCTCACAACCCGTTCTTGACCGGCCAGTACTTTGCCGATGAGGAAGACGTCGTCATCATCTCCACCAAGTAAGCAAGCTCATTTCCGGAACATGTCTTACATCGTCACTAATACGAGCGCCACCCCTCCCAGCTACCGCACCAACGTATTTGGCTTCCCCGGCCTAGAGCCCTCAGTGGCCAACGTCGCCCCCAATGCTGGGCTCCTGGACCAGCGTCTTGCCATCGAGTGGGCCCGGGACAACGTAGCGGCCTTCGGAGGAGATCCCACACGCATCACACTGTTCGGCCAGTCAGCCGGCTCAATGTCCATCGCAACGTACGGCTACGCCTACGCCTCGGACCCTATCGCCCACGGCCTCATCACCCAGTCCGGCACAGCCGACAGCTTTGGCACCCCGGCGCCAGACTCCACGGCATCATTCCTGGCCCTCGCAACCCTCCTGGGCTGCAACACCACCTCATCCACGCCCGAAGGTATCTCGGCAGCGGTAGCCTGCATCCGCACACAGCCCACCGCCGCCGTGTCAGCCGCAGCCGCACAAGTACCATCAACAACCTCGGTCCTGGGCACCTTCGCCCCGACCGCAGACAACACGACCGCCTTCTCGGACTACGCCTCCCTGACCGAGGCCGGCGCCTTCGCCCCAATCCCCCGCCTGCACGGCAGCAACTCCGACGAGGGCGGCTCCTTCGAGCTCGACTTTGCCCAGCTGGGCCTGGTCCTGCCGCCCGCGTACTGGGACTGGCACACGCTCGCCTTCTTCGGGTGCCCGACGGCCGCCAGCGCGGAGGCGCTCGCGCAGGCCGCGCCGGACGTCCCTGCGTGGAGGTACATGTATGCCGCCGACTACCCCAACATGCGGCTCACCGAGAACCCTTCGCTCGGAGCCTACCACGGCTCGGAGCTGAACCCGCTGTTCGGCACTTCGGAGTCGCTGGGCGGGCGGGACACGCCTGCTGAGGCGGCCATGGGGAGGTACATGCGGGCTGCGTGGGCCGCGTTTGCGAAGGACCCGACGGGTGGGCTTGCTGGGGACGAGTTTGGCTGGCCGGTGCTGCCGGCTGGCGAGGCGTGCGAGGATGAGGCGCAGCTTGTGGTGTTGGGGCTGGGGAATGCCACCGAGGCGGTGTTCCAGCCGAGCTCTGCCTGGGACTCGGCGTGCCCTTCGGTCAGGGGTGTGTTGGAGGCCCTCGGGGGGATGGCCGGTCTGCTCATGCTCGCGCCGGTCTTGGGCCAGGCGCTGGACGGAATCGAGGACGGGGATGTTATTGCTGTTGGGGAGGCGTTGTTGGCTGCAGCAGCGGCAGCGACAAGCTGAGAGTGGAAGCGTGCAGGATGGGTCGAATTTTCAGATCCACGGACTCGTCGTTCTGATAATTGTTAGTAGAACATAGACACTAAATACTGCCGAGGTGCGCCCAGAGGCTGTGCAGGATGCCATGTTGTCGGTCAGGATGCTGTAGTCAGGAGCTATGATTAATCTCTGGTTTTCATTTCGGATTACTATACCAACCCAGTGCTTGCTCTCCGCCCTTTCTCGACCTCTTCAAACGCGATCTGCCTCAGCCTGAACGCAGGCGGCGGGTTAGTGAGCCCAGTACTGGACAGTGTCTTGCTCCTCCTATGTAGCCACTTGAGCCCGTCCTCCTCGCTCGAGCTGGACCCCTTCCTCGAGCTGGACCCCTTCCTCGAGCTAGGAAACATGGCCGTGCCACCTTCGACCGCGGATTCTCCCCGGCGCACCGACATGTATATAAAATCGTGCAGGAAGCTGGTCTCCAGCTTCCGCGGCTTCCTGTCGTCTGTCCAGTACCTCTCTTCACTGAGGTCCTTGGACAGGTGTTTCCTGAAGTACCTGTCCTGGCCGACCCACCATGCGCGCCAGGATACCAGGATCCCGATAGTCAAGGGGATTGTGATGGACCAGTATATCCAGAACCGCCAGCTGACTACCGAGTCCCCGCCGTTTTCTCCGTCTTCACCCCCGGGTTGCCAGTCGAATATTGACATGCCGAAGAGGGAGGACATGAACTCGCCAGGGAGGAAGATTGCAGTAATCACTGCTAATGCTTTCATAGAAGATGAGTCTCGCGAAGAGGCAACAGCCATCCGGGCATTGAGATTGTTGTCTTCTTGGGCCATTTTACTGTAAATCTGCGGGACAGTCAGTAGGAATTCGCAGAAAATCTCCGCCCAAACGATAGTGCCAACTTACAATATCCACCAACGCCTTACACCTCATCTCCAAAATTGTCCTGTCAGTCTTGAGCGACAAACATAACTGCAGCAGGCCGTCTAAATACTGCCGGATCTCATGCCAGTGTCCCGTGAGCGGGTCCTCCTGGATCCTCATCTTAAGCAGGCCCGTCCCGACCCTGCCTCGGGCGGACAACGGCGTGGGGAACGAATTCGCGGTGCTGGACGCAGGCGGACCGTCTGAGTCCTGACGCACATCGTCGAGAGCGTCACCCGCCTCGAGCAGGATCTTGATAGCGCGGTCCATCCAGTGCAGCGTGTCTAGCAGCCGGATGCTGCGCTTGAGCACGTCGTGCGCGTTCTTCATCAGCTCGGTGGATTTCTTGTAGATCTGCTGCTGCTGGCCCGACCCCGTCTGGCTGGCCGCACCGCTGCCGTTGTTGTTGTTGTGGCCGGGAGGCGCGCCGTACCTCCCCGTCGCGCCGCCCGAGGAGCTGGTCCGCCGCCGCCGCGCCGTGTCGTCGAAGGCGTCGAAGCCCGCCATGTTGCTGACGTCCCTCTCCACCGCGACGACCTCGCTGTGGTTGTCGGCCACGGCCTGCTCCGTCCACGCGAACTGGACCTGCAGGAGCATGACGGGGATGACCAGCGGGTGGGCCCAGTGCGACTTGCAGCTCTGCATGCGCTGGTCGTACTGGTCCAGGTCCTCGACGGTGTGCTGGTTCGCGTCGAAGGACTGCCTGACGAGGATGGTCGTCGTGCGGTCGGGGATGCTGTGCGTCATGGACAAAAAGTCGTAGGGCGCCCGCGGGTCCGACGGGAAGGACATGATGATGCTCAGCTTCTCGTGGTGGCGGTCCCAGAACATGGACTCGACCGTCGTGCGGCGCACGTACTGCAGCGTGGCCGGGTGCAGGCCCATCAGGTTGAAGTCCGCGCTGGTGAGGTGCAGCCCGTCCAGGTTCATGTCCTCGGAGGACTTGTAGTTCGTCCGGCGGTGGCAGATGACCTGCCTTACCCTGCCCTGCAGCAGGTGTGGTGAGCCCTTCCACTTGGGGCCCCAGTTGCCCTGGATGTCGACGGACTGGTCCTCCCTCATGGCCTGGTGGAACAGCTCGTCGCCCTTGCCATCCTCGCTGACGATGCACTGGCCGACGTGCTTGAGAAAGGGTCGGTCATTGTCCGTCTCGGACGACTGGATGGTGCTGGCATAGTCGCTGTCCTTGGCAAAGACGGCGTACTCCTGGTACCTCAAGTGGGAGACGCCATCTCGCAGCAGCACGTCGCCGTGGAGCTTGTCTGTGTCGAAGATGAAGAGGTCTGAGCGGTGAGGGTCCTTCTCGCCAAACATGTTTCTGCCCTCGTTGAGTGCTACCAACGGCTACTCGGCAAGCCAGGCACACAGCTTGACCCTCCCGCCAGCACTGCCACCTCCGCAAAAACAAGAACCTTCCCGGGTGTCGGTCGGATTGCAACGTCGATCCCCTCCATGAATCGGTACGCCGGGTTCTTTGTCTACCTCTTAGCTCCTTATCAAATCTAATCAACGAGTTGCAACCAATCTATGAGGGACAAAGAAAAGACAAGACTGCCGAGATCTATCGTGTGGCCGTCGGCGTCGTGAGCCAAAAAAAAAAAAAGGCCAGGTAAACGGCAGCATTGGGTTGCTGGAAACGACGAGAAAACTTTCTTTGCAGTCGATCGGCCACAGACCCCTGACTCGTCTAGCCCTTGGCTCAGGGTGTCCTGCAGGACGATGGTGAGCTTGTCCAGCTGGTCACCGCTTGTCAGCTCCACCGCGGGACGCGATGGAGGTGCGCATGTGGGCAAGAGGGCCTGCCTGGCCGTCTGGCTGCCTCATTGATTGGTGAGGGGCCGGCCAGCACCGAGCTCTCGGCCCCAGGACCCATGTGGTTCCGTGCTGATAAAGCCGGCGATAACTGATATAGATATGGCGGGGCTTTGTCCACGGGGAACAGGATGAGACCGATCCGCTGGTCGCCAGAAGATGCACCAACAGGAAGGCGGGCTTGTTTCTTGAGGCTTGTTTGGGCACAACGCCGGGACCTGTTGGCGGGGGATTTTCGGTGAGGAGAAAGCGCCGAGGTGTCATTATGCGCCGCATGACTGCATGCTAATTTGCCTGAGAGGATGGCCTAGCGCCTACTAGCGCTCGCGTGATACGGCTCAAGGAATATTCGGCGGCTGGTCTGGCTGATCCTCGGCCCAGCTGCGGCTCTGCGACTGTAACCACCGATTTTGCTTTTGCAAAAAGGCGGAGACCCAAGCGACTGGTCTCCCCTCTCACACTGCCGGCTGCACAGAGTCGTGAGCCGCAGTAGTCGAGATGCAACCAACGGGATCGACATGCTGATCACCAATGCTGCCGAGATGCACGACCGAAGCTTGGGTACTTGAATCGGATTACTGACATGGCACTACGTCCGCATGGCACAAAGTCCCAAATTGCAAGTAGGAATAAGTTGGTCATTGTCCCACACTCGCACAACGCAATAGCGTCCAGGCTGGAAGTACCCATCAAATTCACCAGCCCGCACTACCTATCCTCTCAGTCGTCGTGTCATCGCAGAGCTCATCACAGGCGAATAGCAAAATGGTGACGGACCAATGACTCCTGGTCTTCCGCCACCTAGCACGCCAGGCGTGGTGAAGAAACCAGGGGAAGAGGATAAGTCATTCGATGAGTGCCATACAAGCAGCTTCATCTTGCAGACGACCCTGCCGGCTCTCTCATGCGGGATAAAGTGTTTGGATACACGTGTCCTGTCTAGTTGACGCAACCTGAATCACCTGAGCAAGGCAGCATGCCACGCCTTTCCCTCAAATGCACCAGGTAGTCAGTAGGTGGTTCATTACACCCTCTGCGGTAAGGCCCTCGAGATCCGGGGGGTCCGACTCCAGAGTCGAAAGATACCACTCGAATAGCTCCGGGATATTGTCAAAAATCCGGTCGTCACCCTGCCAGCGCCGTCCAAATTTCCAATTCCAAGTACCGTCTGGCTCTTGGATATAAAGACAGCTGGACTCCCCCTCCAAAACCATGCCAGATCCCACAGGAGGGCAACCTTCTCATCTATGCTTCATGTGTACTCAAGGTTATCAGGCTTTGTTATACGGGCTGGGATCTTCGAATGATCCCAGACCCCATCATCTTTCCAGAAGGACATAGTGTGCTTGTTCCTATCATCAGGCAACATAGAACCAAGTCTCGTTGACATTATTCATCCCTAGCCCCCTTTTGCCACTGTTATGATTTCCTCTGGGATGGCGTCCGATTTGACAATTTCCAGGACAACACTTTGGAATAATGTGTCCATAGAGCGAGATTGTCTCCAGGAACGAAATATATAACCACCCAGCCTGGCCGCGGCTAAGTGGAATACCACTGGGGTTGATAAAAAGAATCCTTTTCAAATAGAAAGTTGACTACTGAAGAGCTATCCTGAGCTGATGCTATCTATTGGTAATGAATGTGGTCTTCCCGAGCCTATTTTCAGAGCCCAGCTCACAAGGCTCATCTGGCTTATTCCATGGTCCAAGGACTCAAATGATCTTTGATCAGGTAAGCCGAGCGTACTTAAGTACGTAGATCGCGGCATGAGTGCTAAATTATACTCTGCTTCCTTGCATTGTCTGTTCTCATCAGCTGGTGGGTCTGCGCCTCAGTCTCTTGGTCTTTCCTGCTCGTATTTCTCCAAGTTCGTGAGACTGAGCTTGCATAATAGCCTGATTCTGCACTTTCTTTTCAGGCTGGGTTGTATTCCAATTCAAGGATGCTTCGTGATGAGGGGGAGGTACGGTAGAAACTTAGACCTTTTCCAAAGCAACATAGCAGTGCTTGGGAACCGCACTCATTTCAAGTTTCGCGTCTTTCGAAGCCAACTTGCCCTCCATCTTCTTGAATCGAAAGTTCCACAGGAGCAGCGCCATGACGTTTCGAATCTGCGTGTATGCCAGCTTTTGACCGAAACACTTTCTTGGGCCAAGCCCGAATGCCAACGTGGGTCCCGCTCTGGGATTGAAAACCAGCTGCCCGTTCTCGTTTTCCACGAGCCATCTGTCGGGCCTGAATGTCGCGAGTATCCTCAGAGTCCCACGACGGGAGGTTGAACTTTCTGCGGCACTCCTCGCTGTGCAGCCCCTCTGGACAGGGCATCGCAGGCAGTGCGACCCCTGGGCCTCCCGTGCGGATGAGGATCTCGGTGCCTTTAGGGATCGGCACACCAAGCAGCGTCGTGTCACACATGGTATCTCGCTTGACCTGGAAAAGGGCGGCCACAAGCGAAGCGTTTCCTCCCCGAAAGTATCGAGGCGCGGGAGGTGGCTTTCGTTGATCTCGTCTGCGTTTGGCTGCCGCTTCTCCTCAACCGCGGCGGAGAACGCTGCGTCGAGTTCCTCACGAATGGTCTCCTGCCATTCGGGGTAGTCACCAAGATACCTAGTCATCCCTGTATAACAGAATGTCAGCCTGTGCCGGCCCACGGGAATCCTGGAACGCGCTGGCTCACAACTGATGCTCGTTACACTGGTTTCATGACCGGCTGTGTAGTAGCCAAATACCTGGGATAGTGTTAGTGAAGACACCAGGTACAGCCACCTTCGTGTCTTCAGGCCGGATTGTGGTGGCACACTTGCCTCATCCGTTATGCGCCCGTGAAAGTAGTCAGGCTTCTTTCCGTACTTCTCAGCATGCTGCTTTTCTCTGGAGAGTATCTGATCTAGTGCTGACATCATCACACTGTCGCCTTTTCCCTCCATCCGAGCCAGAGCCTTCTTTATTTCATTCGCAAACACATTTGTCACAACATCAAACGCATTCCTCAGAGTCGGATCTGTCAGCATCCGCAGCCTGTGCTGGATCGGGGCGTTGATAGATCGCCCCTGTTCACCTTGGTACGCTGTCAGTCGATGGAAAGCCACGAGTGTTGGCTGATCGGGCGCTCGCGGGAGATTGACGGAGCCATCTTCTCCCTCCTTTACAAACGAGGTTTTCAGTTCCGCAGCGAATCTCAAGTGGTGCCTCGTGGCACTCATGCTGTCTTCAATGGCAAAGGCAGCTCCGTTGACCATGTCGGAGACGCAGTCGAAGATATCGCTCATCGCATAGAAAGGTCGACCTATGGCATATTGCGCTTTCACTGCCCAAAATTCCATCAGCATTGAGGCATAACGATATTCTTGAGGCGCAGATACCTGGACGCGAAATTAGTGTTGGAATGGGAAGTTCTTCCAGCTGAATTTCTTTCTGGGGATTTTTATTTTGTTTTTCTTTTTGAGAATTCGGGCTGTGTGCATAACCTCGTTGAGGAATTTGGGTGTCATTAGGTCACGGATGAGCTCCTTGCTCCTCTTGTATTCCGGGGAACCTCATGGCTTGGTAATGTGGAACTCAGGGGATACCTGTCCAAACAGCCACTTGAACTCTTTTCCGCGGTTGAACTCTTTGGTTCGGGAACCATTAATTCCTCGATTTCCATATAGTCGCAGATGACAACGGCGGGTGGCTGTAAGGGCTTGATCCAGACTTGGACCATCGGGGCGTTTTTCTCGGTGAGCTTCTTGAAGAACCAGGGAACAATATTGCCGTCATTGTCCTTTGCAAATCTCAACATTTCGGGCACGTTACCCAAGACGCTCTTAGATGCGGCCTCATCGTACGGAATGCCGGGGATTGGTTTGGGCAAGGCCCAGCGGTAGGCCAGGTACAGCAGTGTTCCAATCATCACCAAGGCGGCGATGGGTACAGAGGCTGTTCGTGATAGCGCACCCGACGTGGGCACCGCCATACTGGACCCAGCAGAACTTCACTTTGGTTGGGCATGTCGTGATTCTTGGAAGTTGAGAGTAGAGATATGCAACAGTTGACTGGCTAGGAACCGTGCCGCAATGTCATTAATCTCGACTACATACACACACACGCACATATTTATGTATTTATATTCTCATAGCAAAGCCTGTGTCTAGTCTCGCATTCCGCATAGCTATACCCGAAGCCCGAGAGTGCCGCAGACAGGCGGACAGTAAGAGACATTGCCGAACTCTACTCCCTGCTCTGCGGGGCACATGAGGACTTGGCAGGGACAGCCCGGAGCGAACTCAGGCAGACTCCATCGTATTTATACGACGGTGTGCCTGCCGTCGTCACACGAATGCGTTAAGTAGCGGCCGGTCGGACCTGAACCTTAAAAGAGCCGGGATATGCCATTTCAAGGGAGCAACACAAGGCCTTCATTATTCTTTCAAGGCCAACGAGCTTTGCTCGGGTGTCTGCTACGCAGCCACGGAATCTACATGATGAATGAACGGGCCGGGGACGTTGTAGGCATCTTATAAACTCGGGTTGCCCCTGCTGCACGGAGAACAGCAGAGTCACCGTGTCCTTGCCGTCGCCTCCGCGGGTCTCGCGTTCCGTCAATCTTCCGGAGCAAATTCTTCAGAGTAAACGTGCCACTCGATCGCTGCCAGACAATTTCCAGTGATGTGCATCAGTCATTGTTTGGGAGGAAGTCTGATCCGTGCGGATGTACCGTTAGCGGTTTTCAAAAGACAAACAGAAAACCTATTGCCCTATGCGTTTACAATCAGTGTAATGTCAGGCCAGAACAGTCAACTCCGGAGTTGCTCGAGGGGGACGCTCCAGACCATTAAGTTGTAGACATAATGCAAGTTAAATAAATCTAAAGTTGAAGAATTTTCTGCCAGCTCCTATATAAGAGGGCTGGGCGGCTTTGACCTCCACATAATTGTGCATTTTAACATCCAACAGGAAGATTCTTTATCCCCCTATGTCTTGTAGGGCGGTGGAGTCACAAGAATTGATTGCTGCTATGAGTATAAACACGAAAATGGACAGAAATATGTCCCATTTCGGACTATCATTCTTGTATCAGGTTTGTATTTGCGCAATACTGTAAAGAATTGTAATGAGCAGTTATTTCAACCTGCTCGGCAGAAGACTTGACGTCTAAAAATAGTATGGTTCGCTCCGCTCACGTAAGATTGATAGGGGATGCCCAACAAAAAATACTAGTTGTTCGCGATTGTTATCGAACAGGCCCAAGACTGAGATCCAAGTCAGTGCGGGGTGTTGGATGACTGTTTACTGTCCCGGCATTGCACGAGATTTTAGCTTTGAATGTGACGTCAAGTCCTGTATTAAACCCTGTTTAGCGCATCTTATACGCTGCAGTAGGCCGCGACTGGCGAGTCTGTATGGTAGCCCTTCCACAACGGCTGCCGGGCGGATGAGATATCCGGAAGTCAATCACTAGAAGCCCCGGACTAGAGCTGCAGCTACAGAAGGTGGAAAAGTTTGATGATGACAAAGGCGGGAAAGTGATCCAATCATCCAAGTTTCCGGAGGTGATCAGTGGTCATTCGCCCAGGCAATAACTGGAAGAAGTATGCTGCAACGAACCCCACCCCTGAATTTTCCTCCCCTCTCCCACTCAAACCGTTTTCTTTTCCTCCTTTTTCTTTATGCGGATCATACAGCCCGCAGAGGAGACATTTGCGGAATGTTCACCTAGGTAGTATGGATGGAGGTCAACCACGGCAGGCATACTCACCTGATACCTTTGGAGATAATAGAAGCGGCATCATTCTTGGCATTGTGGTCATATGCTGGGTACTGGCTACTACTGTCGTCACGCTTCGTGTCTACACAAGAAAAGTCCTTCTAAATCAAATAGGCACAGACGACTACTTTGCTATTGCATCACTGGTTAGCCTTTTCTTTCCGGCTGTGAAGCCGGAGGCATTGCTGACTGTTTGAGTCCTGCAGGCGTTGGTGTATTTATTAGGCATCGGAGATCTACTCAGTCTGCTACCTCTTCTCTCAACATCTGACAATACATGAAACTGAGACTGACCAATAAACAGTGATCAAGTATGGACTTGGGAGGCACATCTGGACAATCAGCTCACCCGATTTTGTAAGATATCTCAAGGTTAGCTGCCCCGTTGTTCTCGCCTTGACTTACATTCTCACTCCAACACTCAAAGGCTAATTCTCCCATTTTGCTTACTTGCTAGTTGTTCTGGGTGACAATATTCGCATACACCTCGGCCATCTTCACAATCAAGATGACTTTCCTTTTCCAATACTACAGGATTCTTGGCCTACTTCTGCGCCGCTATGTCTACACGTCCATCGTCGTCGGCGTCGGCGCCTGGTGCGTGGCGATGATCCTACAGTGCTTTTTCCTCTGCCGACCTCTCGCCGGCTTCTGGGACAAAACCTTACCAGGAGTGAAGTGTCTACCTGAACTCTCCACCTGGTTGGGCGGAGCCATTGGCAACATTTTGACGGACTTGATGGTCTTCGCATTGCCCATCCCGATGCTGACCAAGCTGAATCTACCCGGGGTACAGAAGGCTGTGTTGCTAGGGGTATTCAGCCTGGGATTTCTGAGTGTGGCGCTAAGTGTGGTCAGGATCAAATACCTCAGGCTGAATCAAGACGATGTCAGCTGGTCGAACGTCCCCTTGACGTGTCTTTCGATGTCGGAATTGACCTTGGGCATAATATCTGCTTGCGTGCCCACTACGAGGAGGCTTTTCTTCAGGCCGGCGCAGAGAATGCTGCCTGTTTATGCATTAGCCGGTGACAGCAATGCGCATTCTCGGCGTGGCCGGACGAGCTATAGCAATAGTCAGCGGGAATGGTGGTGGCATTGGTCAAGGAGGGGACTGACTGGCATCGAAAGAAGCAGTGCTTATGGAAGTGGACAACGATCCAGCGCACCCACGGCGTCGTAGATCATCATATGAATCAAGTCTTGATTATCTTTTGGGGCTTCTCTCACAAATCTAAATCTCATCGTGTGAAGTACATTCTCATTGAAGAATTACTATGTACGGAGCGGAGTTGATCATCATAGTTTGGCCCTAGAAATGTTTCCTTCGGCGCATACCTATTGGGGCAATATCTGCTCAGGACGTTTTAGGTAGAAACGCCTCCACTTCAACCTCGACATGCAAGTCGGGTCGCAGCAGCTTAGTATACACATCCACTCCAGTAAAAGTTGGCCGATTGGCACCAAAGTGCTCTATCATGACTCGATGAAGTACACCACCAAAGCGCTCGTCCGTGTTGGCATGGAAGGTACGGACCTAAGCCCAAGTTCGTAGCTTGATCAGGGGCGGCACAGAATACCAGATGGTAAGATGATTTCACCGACCTTGTATACATACGCCCAAACTTCCTGTTTGGTGCCGGGAAGGCCGGCGGCCCGTAGAGACAGCTCGATGTGCTCGAAAGCTTCCTTGACCTCCTCCTCCAATTCTGCAGGTACAGTGAGGCCCACCTGACCACCGACGTGAATCGTAGACACGCCGGGGGGGATGACGGCGGCATGGGTCACTTTGAGGATTTCTGAAATCTCCTCTCCAGCTCCTGGCCAGTTGAAAAACCTGATATTATTGGCAGGAGCTGGTGTTTTGGGGATGAATTCAGGCATGTCATGTTGCTGTAGTGCGGATGGGTAAGAAAGGATGTTTGGTGGGTGTGAATTGAGAGAAGCTTAGTGGCTGTGTTCTGGCGCAAGACATCGTATTGAATAGATCGAAGCGCTCACATATCTGACATTATTCTACCTGTATTTCTAATCACCTATCCTTTTCATAAAATAAAGTTTCCGCTACTTGCCTGATTCATTGGTAGTGGAATGCTTGTGTTTAGAAACGCGTGCCGAGGCTTCCTCGGGAGACACATTTGTCAGCAGCAGTGCCTTAAGTCAATAACTGAAGTGGATGTTGACTGAATCTTAATACCAAACCAGATGTGAATGACTTCGTGTCATGCGTCTAGGAATCATGGTATGATTTTCATAACAATCATCCCGACTTTACATTGGAAGGGTAACTAAACGCTACAGGGTGTAACAGAGGCATTTCCAAATATAGAGCCGCCGGCTCAGTAGAGTCATCAATTCCGCCCTCCAAACAGCAGCTACACACAAAGGCAATGTGGTATACTAGAAGAGGAGAGGGCCTTGTCTGACATGTGCACCTTTTTTTTTAGAGGCTCTTTAATGCATTTGGAGGCGCTAGTCAATTTTGAATCTCAGGCCGCATGCTCCCCTTGTAGCTAGCAGGAGCAAATGCCGCTAACAGCGGGTCCGTCTCAATGCTCTCACTGTCCTTGCTCTATCGTATTCGGCTTGGAGATTAGGCTCTAGATATTCTTTGGTAATAGGCGACGCAACTCTTCTCGAATAGTTCTTATTAAGAGAGATCTAAAGAATAGAAAGTAAAATACTGATTTAATTCGTGGAGGACTGTCTTGTTTTCCTCTGGGGCGCACCGGCATTGCGACGGTTAGATGTCCATTCCGCCGCTACGTATCTACCAGCCAAGGTCCGCCCACCCAGCTTCCAGGTACCGCCCACCCAGCTCTTTGCGTACGCCCACCCAGTACAAGAAAATAGGTGCATTTACCATTAGAATGCAGGTACACCTCGGATTATGACTAAGATTACCCCGCCAGTATCTACTACTTCACTTTATGGGGAATTGTGCGAAGGACATTTCATCTAATACTACAATGGTATTATAAGAGTCTCGCTATGCTTTATCTACACCGTCCAGGGCAAAGTGGGTGGCAATATGTACACCGAAGTCATGACATCAATAAACCCTATCCCATGCACCAACAAAAGAAATAGCCCCTCCTGAGTCGTCCCAAAGAAAGGACATGCACTTTACTCGTCATCCTCCAGCTCGATCTCCTTGCCACTGCCCTCATACAGCATGAGGCTCGAGACCCAGCCGCCGACAGCGACTGCGCCGACGGCCCACCAGCTGAAGGCGACCATGCCCCAGTCCAGCCCGACGCCGTACCAGTACCCGCCGACGATGGGCCCCACGGTGCGGAAGCCCGCCGAGACGGACTGCCCGATGCCGTGGATGGTGCCCAGCACGGAGGGGTGCGGGCTGCAGTTGTTGAGCAGGATGATGCTGGCGGGCAGGGTCATGGTGCGGGCCGATGTGTGCAGGAACAGGATGAGCACGATGCCGAACCACAGCACGGTGGACGTCGTGGTGGTGCCGTCCTCGGACGTGGACTGCGGCATCACGGCCAGGAAGGGGGCCAGCAGGTACGCCACGGGGAAGATGATGAGGAAGTAGCGGAACGACCGCAGCGTGCCCAGGCGCGCGTGCACGGGCGGGTACATGACCACCTGCAGCAGCATGCCCAGGACGCCCAGGATGGAGGTGGCGTTTCCGACCGTCGACGCGGGCATGCCCAGCCCGCCGGCGAACCAGAGGAGGTTGCGCTTGCCGATGCCTGCTGTGCCGCGGGGCTCGATCTCGGCGGCGGTGGGGATGTTGGACTCGACGTGGGCGGGGATGAAGCCGGGGCGCGGGGAGGACAGGAACAGGGACCAGATGTTTGTGAAGGCGCCGAGGTGGAAGTCGTAGAAGGCCTGCGAGAGGAGAGTGCAGACGACGTTCTTTGTCCACAGGCGGCTGAAGGGCAGGACCTTGCGCTTCTTGGGCTCGACGACGGCGGGGGCGGCCCGCGGGCTCTCGGACTTCTCGTCGAGGCGCAGCTCCGAGTAGCCGGTGCGCGAGTGGTAGACGTAGTCGAGGGGCCGGCGCAGCACAAAGGCCTTTGCGCGCGCGACGGCGTACAGGCCCGGGTCGAACGAGTTCTTCTTGCCCTTGGACGTCTCCTCGAGGCCGAAGAAGACGGCGAAGAAGGTGACGAGCAGGAAGACGGCGTTCATGATGGACGGCAGGGCGAAGGGGTACGCCTCGATCATGGGCGAGTACAGCGGTCCCTCCGGGCCGAACCAGCCCGGGAGCGTCATGGCGGGGTCGGCCAGCCAGCCGCCGATGATGGGGCCGAGGATGCCGGCGACGTTGAAGCTCATGGGCAGGATGAGGAACGCCCGGGACTGGTACTTCCTCTCGACGGTGATCTCGGAGATCATGGTGCGGATGATGCCGACCAGGCCGTTGATGGAGCCCGAGAAGATGCGCCACGCCATGGCGGCGGCGAAGCTCTGCGAGAAGCCGTATCCGAAGCAGCCGATGGCCGTGCCCAGGGTTCCGATCAGGAGCACCATCTTGCGGCCTCCCCACCACTTCGACGAGTCGGCGGCCTTGCCCCAGGCGATAGCGGTCAGGACCTGGGCTCCGGTGAAGCAGCCTGTCAGGAGACCGGCTTGTGCTGATATTTGAGAGTCGGAGAGGATTGCTTCTGCAACAGGAGTCAGTAACAGGGCATTAGCTGACGAACTCAGGGTGTTGCTGGACATACCTGCGCCCCCAGTCTGGATAGTTCGCTGCTCGGCCATGTGCTTGAGCTGGTAAAAGACGTACGCCTGCAGACTTGCCACCTGCAAGAAGTCGACGAACCGGCACATGAACAAGATGAGCAGCTGGCCCTTGTGAGGCAGAGACATCCAGGTGACGTGCTCCGGCGCAGCCTTCTTTCCCTCTTCCTTCTCGATATCCCTCGACAGGAATGGGGCGTTCTCCTTTGCCATGTCGTCCTCCGAGTCGAAGTACCTCTCACGCGGACTATTTGTGGGGTCGAACACTGTGACGGATGAGGACGATGATGCAACCCCGGGCGAAACGGCTCTCTTAGCGTGTTCTTGGTTCAGGAAAGTATCGAAGTCTGCTTCGGTCCCAAACTCGCCCTTCTCGTTCACGGACGACTCTTGCATGATATCAAATTGGCCCGGTGGTGCCAGCTCGCTCTGTTGTGAGTGAGCTGGGGTTGTTTGTTGTGCCATGTTAGTCAGTGTGGGAGCCCGCTCCTCCTGCTCTGGCTGATTATGGTGTTGATTGGTATAGCGTGGGTGAGTGATCCTCTGAATTCTGAATCCTGAATTCTGAGGACTCCCCTCTTATCCTTTGAGTCTGGTCAGATTGCGTGCACTGATATTGCAAGTCCTTGGCGAGTTGCTTAGTGGTACCAGTAACAATGCTAAGAAGTAACAAAAAAAGGAAACTGGTTTGGAAAGCGTATAACAGAGGCTGAGTGAGTGTCGTAGAATGGTATGGAGTTGAAGGAATGACAAGCCGGGAATATCGACGGCAGAGATGATTTGAAGAGGCAACTCGGAATGTACAAAAGCAGGATGGCTGGAAATAGAAATGGAGGGTTGGAAGACGAATGTGCAGGCGGAGCACAAGTCGACGCCGACAAGCGGCAAAAGTTTGCGTGTGCTTGCTCGAAAAGCCACAGTCTGCGTGGAATAAATGGGCCCCCGGCTGTGGGCTGTGACGGGCAATCAATCTCAGTCAATCCCTGGCGAGACGACCGGGTGATGTTCAGGGTCACCAGATGAAAACAATCAGAAAACAATGGGAACTGGTGCAAGGAAAGCAACCAGGGCCTGGGGAGGAGGAGACAGGGAGGGAAGGTACTGTATCTGAGCGTGTGTACCCCTGACCCGGCCTTCCAAGCGTGGGAGGGTGCCTCTCTTCTCGGTCGCCGGCCCCACTGCCTCAAAGGGATCCACCGGAGAAAATGACTGCAATTCCCCACAAGACCGGGCTGCTGTCATCCACTCGCATGGCCGAGTATGGCAGTGGAGGAAACAGGACCGGGTACTCCAGATTCTGAATGGGCAACGGAACAGGACGATGATATCAACCTCGCCCGCTTCAGGACACCAGGGAGCCTGTCAAATGCCCCTCATGCCCCTCCGAGCCCTTCTCGGTGTTGCTCACGGGCCAGATCAACCAAGATCTGGCCTAGAGCGGAAGGGCATTACGCGTTGCGTGGGTTGTTGACAGGACCCTCTTTTCCCGCCCCGTTTCCTTTTTGATCCTCCATGCGCCAGGGAAAGGGAAGCAAGCAAAAAGACTCGAGAGCCCGCACAATGACGAAGCTCAGTCTCGGTACCAGCCACTACGTATTTTTACTTACACCGCGAATCGAATCTGATATCGCGCTGCTCATATTCGCGGAGCGCCACATCCCGTCGGCCCGCGAAGCCATCCCGCGTTTCGCGGCGTTGAGTCGTGAATTGTGATGTCTTGCGACCCCCTACCTAATGTGAAATTACCATGTAGGAAAAGGAAACACCACTGGCCCAAGTCCTTGGTATTGGATTATGCTGTGATACCCAGCATCGTGTCAGCATCGTGTCGTGGGCCAAGGCGGCAGCCAAGGCGGCTATTCCTGCTGCAGAGTTTCCAGTATACTATGTTGTACTGTCAGGTGGTCCAGCACGGCCGGACGACTTAGTCATGTTCAAGACGCGCCCGAAATGTGCAGGACCGGATGTCTGGAGTGTGCAGCCTGAAGCCCGTGCTGCACCTCCTCCACGCAGTCCCCCCTTTTGTTCCCACAAATGGGGGCCCCTGATTCGCGCTTACCGACCTTCCGATCAGTCTTGGAATCTTGATATGCCCTGTGGTGCCCAGTACATAGGAGTCGCTGGGGCGGCAGCCCGGGAGTCGGGTTGGCCCACTGAATCGGTATCAGGGCTGTCGGGTCGGCAGCGGCTAGACGCTTGCCGTTTCAATGTGGCGTCCTTTGGATCCTGGGCTCTGCAGGTGACAGGCGGGCCGGCGCCTACGGCCGCTGGGACCGTGGACGCGAGGCGATCAGCAGTAATCAGGAGGTCGACGATCTGATTATCTCTAGATGGGGGGGCTCATTTGGGGGCTGCGGCCGGAAGTCGGGAGGGCTCCCTCTTTGAAACATCCTCGCCAGCCAATCCATCAGTCAATGTCACAGTCCGGCCTGTTCCTCGATGGCGGAACTGGGGGCCCGCAATGTCCTGAATGTCAAGCTTTCCATGATGGGAGCTTGAGAATTTACAGTGCAGGTCAATGCAGAACCCGTCTCCTGTCGTAGTTGGCGGCCCCGTGGGATGAACGGGATGGGCGAGTCTTGGCAACACCAGTTCTCTGGGCGGCCATTGGGAAGCTGATGAAACCTAGCTAGCAGCCCTATCTTAGCATGGTTCCTCCCATGCCAGGAGGTGGTGTGCACGCCTGCTGCTGGACCATCCACCACACATGCACTATCAGGCTATCGTGACTGGCCGGCCAGACTGCAGTACCTGCGCACATGCAGACCACCCCCAACGCCGACCGTTGCACCTATCTCTCTCCAGCAGCTGGTGATCGACCGCCAAGAAACAGGGTAGGCAAGCGAGATGACAGGCTAAATATCCGCCATGTCGCAGTAAACTTCCGCAGCTTCCTCCTTGAGTCTTGCAAGCGAGCCGGGAACCGGATATGCTCGGCCGCCGGGGACGCTTCCTTGAAGAGAAACGACTGACCGCCCGTCGTATTTACGAGCAAGACGCGTGGATGACAGCGGGCGGCGGCTGCTTTGCGTCTCATGCCTATGACGACTCGTGGCAACATTCCTCTTTTTTTGGCATGTTTGTCACACACAGACACAATTGCCATGCTTATGTAGGCCTCCAGCGGGTCCTGGCTGTGTTCCCGAGGCTGCGGGATGGGCCTGTCACGGTCCGGCTTTAGGACAAGATGGGTTTGTACGCGACACCCGATGTTGACTTGGGATGAATTCAATTCATGGACAGGTTCAGCCTCAATGTTCATGCAGCAGCACTCACGCAGGGGCTGACGTAGACCCCTGGCCCTGATGTGGACCCGGCACAGGCTTTCAAGGTCCGGGGTATCAGCCTGTCTGCCGATCAAAGTCGTCCATTCCGGGTGGGTTCTTTGACGACTGGATGACGCTCACGATGCCATTTTCGATCTGACCCAACCGATGGGGTCTGAGAAAAAAGCCCAAGTTTCAACTATGGCCGAAAGTGGGTATTTGTTTCAACCTCCCGCTCACTTCTCTCGAAACATGTGTACTGACAGTCCAATTTCGAGGTCAATGGCAGGTCGGTGGGCTACCTTCTTATTCGAGGGCGGTTGCTAGTCATGATCGTCCTCATCACACACCGGAGGATTCTTTCACTCAATCACATACAGTGGACGAGGAGCCGTCTCATATATCAAAAGTCTTGGCAGCCCGGAAGCCGGTTTATGGACAAATTCGATTCCCACCACCGACCACTCTCATCAGCCCACCCCCCGACTTCCGAAATTCCAGACTAGGAAATGGTCCCCACAGCCCTAAGACCCACTTTCAAGCGACAAATCTGCAGTTGTGCCTTCTGGAACCCTTCTGCAATCAATGTGAGAGAGGGAACAGACTAGGGCTAGCCTAGCTCGTCTAGTCGTCAGCCTTCGCCGTTGACATATGGACCACGATTGCGATTGCGAGGCAACATGCACACGCCACGCCAGGTTTCAACGCGATCTCGAATCGCATCCCATCTCAGGGGGAGGCGACTGAAATTATGGGTTTGCGCCAGTCGAGGACCGGACCGTCGAGTTCAGGCGGTTCCACCGTGAAAGGTCGAGGCTCGGGGTCACATTGGTCAACAATCGCAGTCTGCGTCCAGCCACTCCAGATATCAGACGATGACGCTAGTGGCCCAAGTATTATCACAGCCATGGAATAACACCTCGTGCCATGACTTGGACACCGCCGTGTTGACGTATCTTTTCTGCGCCAATGAGGCGATCAGAGATTTCCGTCCGTCTTCGAGACGAACACCTGCCCAGGAACTGCTAATGCACTCCCATGTGTGCAGGAGATAGAGTGCCAGGATGGGAAATGGTGGCGTACCTGTCGTCGTGCTCGTCCAGGATGTTCAGCCTACTACACGGCCCTGTGGTAGCCCGAGGATGCCAGTGCCTGGGCGCAGAACGGAAATCCAATGTAAGCATGCATACACGGCAGCAGAGCCCACACCTGCCCGTACGAGGCGATACGTTGATATTCAGGGATAGACAGGGAAGCAGAGGGTGCACATTACCCGGCCTGTTGACCCTCGAGCCGCAAGGAAACAAAATGGATATGGGGACCCACTTGGCCGATCTCCATTCTCTCCTGACCCCCTTGTTCATGTCCGTTGGTGGGCCTCTCTACTTCTTAACTCTGCTGCTCCTCCTTCTCGATGCTTCACTATTTTATATCTTCTCCCAATCTCTTGGGTCTTGACGAGCCAAGGCGAACACAAATCTCCAGACGCCTTCTGTTACTGCATACACTGGTACGAAAACATCGACCAGATACACACTCGTTGTTCATAACATTCGATTCATCGTCTTCCTTCTCGACTGTTAAAGTCCAATCATCACCTCGAACTCCTTCCAAGATACCCATACAACAAGAACCATCGTCAAAATGTACACCGAGGTCCCACAGACGGAGAAGACAGGGCAGCAAGTGGCCAAGCTGCCCTGCTATGCCGACACATACTCCCGCAAGCCCATCACAGACATCTTCACAAAAGACACCGATGTCGACAAGCGGGGACGCAAGAGGACAGTGCCAATGAAGGTTCTGCTGCTGGCAGTCGGAAGAACAGGCACAGCTTGTAAGCCAAAACCCTCTCACCAGATCTGGGCTAGCGGGCCCCAATGTTCCAAACTGTGGATACTAACCGGGCTCGCACAGCTATGCGCGCGGCAATGCAGCATCTCGGCTACGTCGAGACGTACCACATGATGTGCGCCTCCATCGAGAACCCACCAGACGCCCTGCTGTGGCACGACGCCCTCGTGGCCAAGTACTTCCCCGAGCGGTCCCCGCTCCCCGAGGGGACGATCCGCACGCGCGAGTTCTGGGACCAGCTGCTGGGCAACTGCCAGGCCGTGTGCGACTGGCCGGCGTGCGCCTTCGCCGAGGAGCTGATGGAGGTGTACCCGGAGGCCAAGGTCGTTCTGACAGGCCGCGACGTCGACTCGTGGCACAAGTCGACGCTGCCCACCGTCTACTGGCGCGCGACGGACCACGAGCTGCGCATGCTCTCCAACACGTACCTCCCCTTCGGCCTCTCGGGGTCCTGGGCCGCCCAGATGTACTACCCCATGCTCAAGATGTTCTTCGACACCTTCTTCGAGGGCGACTTTGTCCACCGCGGCAAGGACGTCTACCGCCGCCACTACGAGAAGTGCGTGCGCCTCGCCACCGACGAGGGCCGCAACCCGGGCCGCCTGCTCGAGTTCCGCGTCCAGGAGGGCTGGGAGCCCCTGTGCAACTTCCTCGGCGAGCGCGTCCCCAAGGCCCAGAAGTTCCCCAACGTCAACGACGGCTCCGACTTTGTCAGCCGCAGCCGCAGGAGGAACAGGAACCAGATGATGAACGTCGCCGTGCGCCTGCTCATGTGGTGGGTCGTCGTCGGCTTCGTGTGCTACGTCCTCATGGGCATGTTGACTGCTTAGAAGAGAGATTTATTTTCGTTTCTCTCTTTCTGCAGTTGTCGCTTTTTGGGATGGCGCATCTGATACCAATGCGTGCTTCATGAGCTTTGGTTTAATGATATCACTGGGTGTACTTGGTTTACTTGATGGCGTTCGGGTTTCGGGGGCATGTCGAGGTGATGGCATCCTAAGCCAACCTGCGAACGCAAATCAGTGGTTTGATGAGAAATTTTCTCATTTGGATTCGAATTCACAGGCTCCCTGACAATTACTGGGGCAGCATTACCTGTACATAGATTATTGAACTACATCGGATTTGCACAAATTTTCCTCACTCCTCCAGAGCGATTATTAAGTGTGCTCGCTGGTAGATGACTGTCGATTTGACGACATTGAATGATTTGGCCCCCATTCAGAAGCGCTGTGACTCCTGTACTCGCGTACCGAAACATCCCCGGATCGTTGGATCCACCGGGCAGTGGAGTCGCCTAAGAGTGATCTCATTCCAGACTGCTCTAGGCGGCGGGTCATCCGGTTGTCATCCCTCGGTGAGCGCGAAGACTAGAAGAATTGGTTCAGATTAAACTCAAAGAACATCCGGTGTCAATGGTAATAGGATGGGATGAGCTGTGCAAGCCGCGTCACGGTGGTTGACTGGCCACACCTCTCGAGTGCTGCTTGCGCAATGCATGTGGGTCCCTCGAGATGCATTTCTCATGTGGGTTTCTCCCACCTTCCGGTTTTTGTGGCCAACGCAGAGCCAGCCACCAAGTAGCCATCAATATAGTCAAGGAGGCTTCACGAAAACCATTCGTGCTTGCAACATGTTTCGATACTAGAGTTGGCGTCTATCAACATCTGCCACAGGATGGCGACCAGGCCGAGGTCCGGCTCCACCCGCCGGAGTCGATCGTGTCCCGGAACGGAGAACTGGAAGAGAGTGGCAACACATAAACCGGCCTTCGTAAGAGTCTCCTTGATACAGTACTTGTAGGAGCGGTCTGTAAGCTTTCAATAATTGTCTGCATATTGGTGGATTGGTGCTTTGAATGTTTTCAGCCCATGGAGGGTCGCTGTTCTGGGGGTTTGCATCTGGACCCTCTGTTTTCTCGTTTCATCGTTGCGATCCGAAAAGCTCACTGCCTCAGGGGGCCCAACCAGTATGATGAGCACATGTATGACGTCTCGAGCTCCCGGCTTGTATCAGGTCCAAAATATTTGCTCCACGCCGCTTTAACGAAGGAGGGTAGACGCTTGGCAGGTTCGTAGTTAGACCACCCACTGCGCAGAGCACAGCCCTTTGGATGCAGGTGCCGTCCGGTGCTTGCACACGTTCGAGTGTGAAAACTGCAAGATAGTTTCGTTGCTGGACAAACCAGGGGAAAACTCTTTGTCTTTCAATTTCTTGCCCAAAATCGCTATTGCGATACGCAACGCACCCAGATGGAGAGCTCGCGTTACCAGGGATGCAGATTACACTGATTTCTTTCTTCATCCTGGTTACCTGGGAAGCTTTGGCATTGCTGTACCCATGACTGCAAGGTGATTGATTACATCTTTATCACGTAGCTAGACTTGTATGCGGTGGCAGAGGCAGGGGCAGAGTCAATGAGTCTGAATCATCATGTTTGGCTCGGCCGAGAGTAGCTTCCCCCCGAATCAACGTTGTATTCAAAGTGACAATTTGCAGTCAACCAACTTAGAAGCACCTGGAAAATCTAGGTCTAGTTTCCCACAGCAGCACTAGAGTTTCACGATTCCCCAGGATCTTTTGATGGCCGCAACATTATGGCAGCAGACCCTTGTCGTAAGGATACGACGCGTTACACTACTGTATGTGCACTGATGACGGCCATGGGGTCGACGAGGTTACGCACGGCGGCGACGTCGGAGAAGTCGAGGCCCAGGTCAACGCCCTGTGGATAGAGGTCAAACGCCAACGTGACAGGTTCGACGTTCCTGCGAGCTGGCCGCGGCCACAGAGGCAACCCTCAACCCGGCCACATGACCCAGGGCAGGGATCATTGATGATCACCCACCACCATCACCTCCATCCTCCTCAATTTGTGGACACTATAATGAGGCTCTGCTAGAACAGTCAGGATGGAATTGGGACGAAGAAAACAAATGATACCTAAACTGGCACAAATGGAGCAGGAGTGCAGTGTGAGGATAGTGAAGCGGTAGAGCCCGATGCATGGGCACGGATCGGACGCGAAGCCGCGTTCTCGCTGTTTCGGACCGATACAATTAGACTTTTGCTGTGCCTCTGTGTCTATGTTCGTTGGTAGGGTCACTTTGGACTTGCTATGTTGTTTACGTGGTTGACCACCTTCTCCCTGGGCACCTTGGAGTAGTTCTCCAAGAGGTCACGCATGGGCTGATTGATCTCGGTGAGGTCTTCCTGGTACCAGCCTTTGTTACGCTCTGGGTGTGATGTCTCGTTGGTGGCTGCCATGATTAGAAGATAGTCTAGTGGTGACCATTTCTGATGCGGTGTTATTGATGAGTGTCAGAGGCGGAGCCTGTAACTTAATAGAAGATTGCTATGCCATGTAGACAAAATCCATGCCTCGTTTGACTTTCCAATCTGATGTTGCCACATGACCCCGGGCCAAACCTTCCAAGCCACATTTGGAGTGAAGAGAACCAACAGAAATGACACATCAGTAGGATCAGAAGCGCCTCCAGTTGCATGTGTAATATACGCCCTTCCGGGTGATCAAGCACGCTAATTGATCTTTATGCCATAGCTGGACCAGGGTCGCAGATCAGCGGCAATGCTGTCAGCGCGCCAACGGATGTACCTAGAAATTTGGTTACTCAACCAACAAACCGTTTTTGGCAAATGTTGTGGGCAAACGCCGCTGGCCCCGTTCTTGGTAGTCCGGGCGATAGTGTACCTGCAGACTGTAGCCAACTTCGACACCGGATTATCCAAGGGGCAGACCTTATCACTAGACAATATACCACCAGTATGTACGTCTTGCTGTGCTGGGTTGCAAAGCTTTTGCCCCTCAATCCAAACCGTTCATTGATTAGTTTTCATTGTGTGCCTACGTATTTGTTCTGCTTTCGGCCCAATATTTCCTGTATCTCCTCTATTCTAGCTATGCGCAGACAGATATCTAAACAAGAAACTGAGCGAAAGAATCGCCATGTAGTCCAAACGATTGTACTTTACATCTGTACTAATTGCAGATGACCATTCGCCTTCCTAGGGCTTACACTATAGTATCAGAATTCACTTTGACCACCCTCATAGCCTCCATGTCACCGAGACACCTACCGCAGTGTTGCTGCATTATCCGGCTCTCGACGGTCACTGCAGCCGCCGGGTGATGGATCAAGTTCACACCGTCCAACTCGACATATTGGTGCAGCCTGCCGCCGCCATCTGCTCCAGCCGAGCCCACCGTTGTAGTGCCGCCCCAGCCTCCAGCCCTACGCAAGGTACTTGCCGTGGGCGCCGTCCTTGGAGTCCAAATGAGAAGCCTGGGACGCAGGTTGTGGAATCCAGCGTCCTGCTGGCGGTACCGCCCGTTCCTGACGCCTGTGCTGGCCTCTACGCCGGGTCTCCGCATTCGGCCCCGGAGAAGCACCCCGAGCTCCGGGAAGCTCACGCAGAGGATGCCCGTTGTCAGCTCGGCTAGCCTGGTGGATTTGGTGAGTTGCATCAGAGAGTTCCTTCTTTTTTTCTATCCAATATGTAGGTGGTTTGTCTATACACCCCCTAGGGGCTGTATAGTACTGTAGTAGGAGAGAGATGGATGGCAATCAACTTACCCCCACATAACTATCTCAGGCTGGACCCAAGTCTTGTCTGGATTGTTGGTGCTTCGTAGGCGTACTATGGAGCCCACAAGGCTAAATGCAGGAGCGCTGGCAGATGGTCAGCTGACCAGCTAGGGCTTTGCGCGGTTGACGCGAGGCCCAGAGTTGATGGATACTCACCACATGCCGAACGTGAATGCTAAAACGACGTAGGCCTTCTTTTTGAGCTTCATATTAAGGGTCCAGACCCGCCCGAGGGGCAGCATGACAATAATGAAGTCTGTCACCGTGTTGAATATACCACTGACATTGAGCAACATGTACGTGTCGATGCAGTGGCCCGGGATGGATGTGTCCCAGATCTTGGCCCGTGGGACGCACTCCCATATCTTGGTGATAGTGGTGGTAATATAGAACAGAACCGTGAGGACCATGAGCGCGATGACGGTGATGTCAAAGGGGCTTCGCGGGTATATCGAGAACATGCGCCGATACAGACATAGGATCGAAAGCTTGGCTATGCAGATCGTGAAGCCGTATAGGATCCTGGCCACGTTAAACCACTTAACAGCAATCAAGGATCAAATCAGTATCTCGTCGGCTTGTCTTCAGCAACCTTTCCTCTCCCATACACTCTGCTACAGACGAACGAGGGATTCACTCCGTTCACGTACATAATATGCCTCACCGACTTGGGCAGGGGTCATATCCCACTGATGCTCGCCGCCGTGGTGTATCATAGTGGCGGCCCCAGTGCCACAGAAGGCGACGGTACCAATCTGCACGGTTAGCCTGGAGCTTCGTGGTTACTGTTGGACTAGTCCTATATCACCACACTTAGTCTACACTTACCCAGGCAATCAAAGTGAGCCCTGATCTGTTTATCAGCCCGGCGTGTCACCCATTCCAACGAATTCTGAGTACTGCGGGGCTGGGAATATCTTACAGTCCTCGCCAATCCATTGTCGCTTGATCCAGATCCTAACATAGGTACGCAAGAGGAGGAATACAGTAGTTAGTGGAATTGCGACGCCTATAGCAATATCCATTACCCCCTTTCGCGACGCCGGCTGGTCGAAATTGGACATGGTGCCTGGAGGGGGTGGCATCGCGGGTGTGGGCGTGGCGTTGCTAGTTGTTGTCGCCATCGTTTCAGCCGTGGTTCAGCTCAAGGGACACAGTCGTTTCGTAAAAAGATTAGAGAGCGAGGAGTCAGATGAATATGTGAAGGACTGCAGATCACTTGTTCTAGTATTATCGTTGTGAGGATATATCATCACGCAGCGAAAGGACAGGCCGACATTACGCAACGCTTTACGTTCTCTCCAGTCCAAACGCGTAAGACATTCAGCACAGTAGCCTTATTACCACTATGTGAAGAAGCAGATATATTACCCTGCTGGACGGCCGACCATCTTCGGGCTGGAGGGCTTTCGCGCAGATTCCTGTTGCACAAGAGGAGGTAGTAGGCTTACTCCGGGCGAGGTCGGCGAGGTCAGCGTTGTACAGACGGTAATTTAATATGTGAAAATGTCCAGTCAGATGCCAGATCTGCCTCAAGACATGATCTCGGATGCTGCTGGTGCCCGTCAACCTTGGCTGGAGACTATCATGGGCTGATGCTATGTGAGGATGGAGCGCGGCCCATCGGACCACCCAAGACACATTCTCCTGGCTAAAACATCCCAAATAAGGACGATCGACCACACCGGATCAACTACCCAATGGTCGAGATGGCATGCAGAAGTTATAATGCAGGCAGAATGCGGTCCAAAGCATGATCCGATGTACAGACCCGGGAGCGAGGTACGCAACAGGCGCCCAATGGAAGGGATATTAAGTAGCATCATCTTATAGGTCGCTCGGTGCCTTTGCATCTTCCTCAGGCGAACAGGCAGGTCCGACGTGTTCGGTCTATGCAGGTCAGCAGAATTGGACCCCACGAAGCCATGAAGCCTAATTCTGACAGTAAAGTAATTGGTGTCACAAAATAAGACATGCTCTTGCTGTGTTGAGTATCACAGCCAAGATAGCGTTGACCCTTCTGAGGCATCATGGCTAGCGATCGACAGGATCTGCAACTTCTTGGAAAGTCCACTAAAACCCTCATTCAAAGCAGCCTGCCCTGCTCCCAAAATATTTTCAAGGTCAAGAGGTTGATGCAGACATGTTTTTCAGCCAGTTACACACTGTCAGCCGCATCACACGGCATTACCTCGTCTCACACAACCACCTGAAGGATGAGCATGAGGACATTGATGTGACAAACGTTCGACTTGGTTGAGATCACGCTGTGCCTCAGGCTAGAGCATGGGGTCTCTGCCAGAGCCTCCTTCATCCACAAGGCGAAGCTGCTTTGGAGGATTCCTTGGCCCCTGCTGCTTACACCGTTGTCGCTCACGTGGTGGCACTGCTGGATCAGCAAGCCGCTCAAAGCCGCCACCCGTCCCTCCAAAATCATCTCGTCTGACAGCTATAGCATCACATATCTATATTGACAATGCCCTCACCGTGGACCTGCCAATAGGGCTGGGCCTCGTTCGAGCCCAGTCGGACGTCGGGCTCAACATCTTCTTTGTGGTCAGACAACATGGGGGCCGATGGCGCAGATGGGCGAAATCTTAGAGCAGCGAAAGGCCTTGTGATGCGGGAATGTGCTCAAAAGAAGGGAGTAAAGGCTGCAATTTAGAGGCGAAAAGAATTCATGGACATGGAGTTGTATATAACGGAGAAAAGAATCAGAATTCAAGATCCGCGTGCCATCAAACAAAGTCTGAACGACCCAGGTCCGATCTTTACAACTTTTAGCTGTCTTCTCAAAACCTGCATCATCCCATAGACCAAATTACGTCGCGGAATTACCAAGATGAGAAGCTCTCATCTGTTCAACCTCGCCTTCTTCCTCCTTGCACAAAAGTCAGTGCTCTCCACCAAGCTGAACGTGACTGTGCTCGGTACTGCCAATGGCCAGTCGCGCTTCGAGTGCTGGGAGCTCGCCGCGCCCTTCGTCTCTTCGACACAGCCTGGCGTCATCGGCACCCATACCACAAACCTGGGGGACGTCTCCAACATCACTTACAACGTAGCCCCCGCCGGTTACGACAGCGAGGTCCACACTGCACCATTCAACCAGTAGATACCCTCTCCCCCCCACCTGTCCCCAGCCAAGAATATGGCGTGTATGTAGTTATGCTTACATCAACTGCGACAGATGGGTGCTTCTCCTTCAGGGACTCGGGGTCATCACCCTGCCGTGCGACAACTCCACCGAGGTCGTGCTAACGCCGGGCGAGGCGGGCCTGATGTTCGTCACGGATACCGCGGACGTCAGCATGGAGGGCCACGGCTCCTACTTCCCCGGAGTGACCGAGACCATTTTTCTCCAGATCCCTGCAGAGGGCAATAAGGTGCCGGACCACAGTGTTGTCTATGAACATGAGCCATGCACGCCGAACGAGTATGCGGGTCTCAGGGGTTGGGCTACCAATGCGTAGCTTGATGGGTCGGCGGGTTATGCGAGAATAGTGGTTTATATTCCCTAGGCTAGCCAGATTTTGAATTTGCTATTGATACAGCAGCAGCATTCTGGTAATCACTCCCTCCAGCTTTGATATTGCTGTGGTACACGTGTCAAAATTAAGCTACAAAGTTCGTCGACCGTCTGAGTTTACCACGTTAAGAGAAACCCAATCTTTTCGAGTCATAAACCATTAAGCAATGCCTCGATCATGAATTGTCGATTCCGAGAGGTCGCGACAAGAGCTGAAAGCCATCCATCTCCCCCTTTCTTGGAGAGCCACAATCCAGCTACTGTCAGTCTGATTGCCTAGTCCACCACCATCTTCCTCCCGTTGGGGCTCAGAACATTCAATCCAGGTATGAGGAACTTGTCACTCCCGTTCCACTTCGTGGGATTAAGCTAAAAGCGGTCTCAGATGCTTCTGCCGGTCCCTCCTCTTCACAAACTTTGACACCACCGACTCGGCTCCCACAATTTATGGGCAATGTGTTCAGGGCGCGAATTCAGTGGGAATGGAATTTACGCTTTAGAATCACCGTGACGGTCTCATCGAGGGTGGTGTTTGATACCTAGGTATATGTTTCAGTTACTCACGGAGTCGAAAGACCACGGGAAAGGATGATGGCTAATGCATTCCTGGGACTGGCGACTCAGACGGCATGATGCCTTCCGGAAGGTTTCATGGGAAGTCCAACCGGAGGACAAAGACAGACAAGTTGATAGCGAGGTTGGCATTGAAATCTCGCTGTACTCTGTTTCAGGCCTCGTAAGCAGGTTAGTCCGTTTCTCGGCAAAGTTTTCAGCAGCTCGACGCCCAAATGTTTATGGTTATTGAGAGATGTCTGAGACTAGCATCAATGCTTAAACGAGACATCTTCCGCACATACCGATTCTGAAGATGGTCAAAACTGCACATCACGGTGCTACTTGAAGATGACAGCGTGGAACACCAGAGTCATAGTGTTCCAGAAGCATCTAAAGGCTATCACTTTGTCGCCACCTTGAGCAGGTGCGACAGAGAAAGTTCACATGGCGCGGGAGAAATTTGACCGTATAACAGAAATTACAGGACGATAATAATTAAGAAAGACAATAAGCCGACAATCTCCCAAGTTAGCCTCAGATCCCTCCCTGAATTACCACAACATTCTAGCAAGGTGTTCCACTCAACCAACCATCCAGCAGCATCGTGAGAGCCAATTTTGAACGTGTATTTCATAACCCTCGTCACCGCCAGGATTCTCCTCGGGACATCCGCATCCTCACCGCTGGTTATTGGTAGGTCCAGAAGTCTGTTCCCCCCTGCACTCGACTAAGTGGCGTTGTTTAGTTGTGTGCGAACCTGGTAACCATCATCTAACCATGTCATCACCACACAGAAGACATCGTAGGATGATCTTGACTGAATCACAGACGGTGCAAGGTTTGGTCTCCGCTGGAGAGAATTAGGTACACGTAAGCATAGGGAATCATCTCGCCCTCACGAACAACCAGAATTCATAGTTTGAAGCAATCGAAGGGCCACTTCAGATGAATTGCTTCCACAATTGGGAGTCCCTCAGCATTCAAAGGACCGTCGTTGTCCATTGGAACCATTTACTTGAATCCCAAGGTGAAGTTATGGATTTCAGAAGAGAAAAATCAAACAAGAAAAGGGGGGGGGGGTTAAGCAAACCTCACATGTGGGACATCGGCAGTGTACCTTACGCGAATTGCGTTATCTCTCCAACCTCGTAAACGGTGTCGCTGCCCAGGCGCCAATCAGGTATTGATCACCATGTCAGGTCATGTCACAGCGTGAAGGATTGTGGCTGGCTTACCAGGACCGGTGTGAGGGCCCGCTGAGAATTTGTCATCCGCTGCGTCTCCCTGGCTGCCTGAATGCCAGCCCCGACGGACTTTACCATTCTTGGGTTTTGTGCAACTTCAACGCTGCACGACCCCTCAAATAAAGATGACACATTTTAGGAAGCACCTGCAGTAGACGTTGATCTAGAGACAGAGTCCGTACTACATCTAGGCAGTTTGTTGTTTACTCACTTGGGTTTCGTCTAACCTAACAGTGTGTTGCTAGTTCTGCTACACATATTCTACGTTAGAGCTCTTGATAAGTAGAGGATATATCACCCTACAGGTGCACGCAACCATGGCATCGGACCCCCAAGCCGAAGCCGCATTCGAGGCCACATTCTCCGGCTTTACACGGCGGCAACGCACCAAACCCACGCCCTTGCCCTCGGACCTGAGCATCAAAGGTCAAACAGCCATCGTCACGGGGAGCAATGTAGGCCTTGGCCTGACGGCGTCCCGGCAGCTGCTCGGGCTAGGGCTCTCACACCTGGTCATGGGCGTGCGCTCCCAAGCAAAAGGCGACGCGGCAGCGGCCCAGCTGCGCGAAGAGTTCCCGGGCTCGCAGGTCACCGTCTGGGTTCTCGACATGGAGTCGTACGACTCGATCCGAAGCTTCGCAGAACAGTGCGCGTCCCTGCCGCGCATCGACGTGGCGATCCTCAACGCTGGGGTGGTCACGGGGTCGTACAGGACCGTGCCCGGCACGGGCCACGAGTACACGATGCAGATCGACTACCTGTCCACGGCGCTGTTGGCGCTGCTGCTCGTCCCGGTCCTCAGGTCCAAGAAGGCCCCTGGCGCGACCAAGCCGCCGGTCTTGACCCTCGTCGGGTCTGATGCCGCGTACGCTGCGCCACTGAAAACGGAGGGCCCGGTGCTGGCCCAATTCGACGACCCAAAGAACTACGGGCGGCTCACCACATACGGGAGCGCGAAGCTGCTGCTCACGCTGTTCGTTGGGAGGCTGGCTGAGCTTGTCGATCCGGGCGACGTGCTGATCAACTTGTGCAATCCCGGCATGACCAAGGGGACTTCCGTCGGCCGTGAAAACTCTGCGATTCTGATATTTTTGTTCAGCATTATTCAGTACTTCTACGCAAGGTCGGTGGAGGTCGGGGCTTCAGTATATCTCGACGCGGCCTTGACACGAGGGGCTGAGAGCCACGGGAAGTTTGTCAGTGACTGGGCCATCAAGCCGTAGGTTTCCTCCGCCCCGAATATTTCTTACTTTTCTTTCCTTTCTTTTTTTTTTTTTTTTGGATTTACTAACAGAATCAGATTTCCACAGATCTGGTATACGGAAGAGGGGCGAGAACTCGGAGACAGGCTCCTGGAGGAAACTATGAAGGAGCTGGGCCCAACCGGAGCATCGCTGCCTCAAAGGTCATTGTGATGACGAGATCACATTGTAACACGCTTATTGCGAACAAACTAGGATGAATTACGTATGCATGACGCATATTTCTGTTGTAATACCTGTGATGCTGTCTGCGCTGCCGCTTTCGTGATTAATTATGTTTACCACGCTACACTAGCAGCCTCATAGATTCTAAGGAGGACCTAGTCTGCAATTCGCCTTATTGACAAAGTGTTCTTGGCCATCTGACACACATTCCACACCAGTCTCCAAGTTGGCCCCGTATACCAACGTCTTTCATCCGCTTCGCCGCATTCAGACAACCAAGCGCGTACAGAAGTATCGATACCGCCGTGGAACAGACACTCGAATGCGATATAGGATTTACTGCTTACAACTATACGAAGGCATCCTCCATCACGAACAGGTTCAGCATTGACGGTATGGAAAAGGTCCCACTTGATGAGGGTTATCTTGATATGAACGCCAGCTATGCCGAGCTGTTAGAGATGTTGAATGATGACGAGAAGGACTTGTACAGTTATATTGTCTTCAACACGACGGGCCTGCCCGAGTTTTGTGTCCGGACTCTGGACATTGGCGCCTTGATCGATTACTTTGTCTCTCAATCCTTTAGCGGTACCCTCGCCGACGGAGAAGGAGTGCCCGAATTCGCTGCAGGCATCACAACGGCTATTCGCAATCCGCAGAAGAACATCCCGGGGATTCTGGATTCCATGGCCATCATCATGACAGATCAGCTTCGCTCCAACTACAATGCTACAGCGCATGGTCTTACCGCGAGGACTGTTGTGCTAGTCCGTGTCCAGTGGGCCTGGCTGGCGCTGCCCATCTTCGTGGTCTTGGCGTCCGGCTTGTTTCTGATTGCCGAGATGGTCGAGAGCCGGAGGGCAACAGATGTTAAACTTTGGAAGTCGACTGCCACGTCGCTGCTCTTTCATTCCGTGTTGCCGGCTGAGGTAATGCGCGCCGGGATTCCGGGCCCCGAACAACTTTACAGGATGGCCAAGACAACAAAGATAAGGCTGGAGAGCCCCAACCAGGCTGACCAAGTGCCACTAACCCATGTGACACCGTATGGCCAGGGACAGCATCCAAGGACTTCGGTGGATTGAAGCAAGAGGGACCATCAACATGAAGACAATACCATCAGCTATACAAATTAAGTAATGGTCTCAAAGCGAAGTTTCTCTAGTTATCCGTCAAAGGACTGCCTGAAAGTAGAAGCAAGTATCAAGGTTAATCCAGGTGGGATGTGCTCGAAGCAGCTTGCTGAGATAAGATCACAAGAGAACGCTGGAACCCGCCGAAACAAGCACAAACAGCAGCAGTGTCCGGATTCGCTCAACGCCAGCGCCACTAAAGGGCAGCCTCACGGTAACCGCTCCCTTCCATTCCCCTACTGTATGGCCTACGTGTTATATTTCGCTCGTCCGACGACACGTCCCAGCCGTCCGCTCGCGACTACCATGTCCCTTCAAGATCATCCACATGCCAGGCTTCAGAATCCTTAACCTACTTGCTCCTTTATGTACTTCCTGGACTTGCTCTTGCTGTCCCCGCCCGTCCTTTTCACGAAAGCTACCCAGCCTGTGTCCTGTATCCTGCCATTGTACAGGCATGCATGAGGATTTGCCCGCAGCCATCTTCTTTCCGCCTCCATTGGAGCTCCAGAGCAAGAGTGGGCATATTCTTGTAAAAGGCAACGAATGGCAAAGTTCCTCTCACGAGTTGCGATTTCGATAGCGCCTTCAAAACCTGTGGAGCCCGGCTGAGAACTTTTCCCACCTGCTGCGATTAGAAAGTGGACCATATCCAACCTGGAATGCTTCGCGGCAAGATCGATTGCACGCGTGAAGCTGTGAGATGCGTTACCGAGACAATATCCGCTCAGTGCATTCACGTCGGCTCCATGATCCAGCAGCAGTGTTACTATGTTCATCAAACCGTTTCTTGCCGCGTACTGAAGCGCCGTGAATCCACCTTCTGGAGCGGGCGGAGCATTCACATCTGCTCCCTTCTCGAGAAGAAACTTGATGTGCGACAGTTGAGCGCCATTATCACAAGCAGCTTGAAGTACCGTAGGCCTTTTGTTTGATGTCAAGGGAGCATTTACGTCTGCTCCCTGGTCAACCACAAACCTGATGAACCAGAGTGGGGCGCCGGCCTCGCAGGCCAGTTGGAGTGTACTGCTGGGAAGTCCACCACTCCATGCTGGAGGACCATTGCCTTTGGCGCCCCTTTCGATCAGCGCGACTGCCAGATTCAGTCGTTCAAGGAAAACTGACCACTGCAGAGCCTGGCTGTAACCCAATGTGTTCACCTCTGCCACACTACGGATCATTGCCAGCATGAAGCTATCATTCTCGTGTCGAACGAGCTTGGCAAGGACAGGCCCTTTCAAAGGGGCTCCAAGATCCAAAAACCACTTCACTGTCACCATGGCTGCACAGTCGTTTTACCAGTGCTTCATAGTATTGAGACATAACCGGTGGCCCCGCATGTTCTTGAGAAAGCACGATAGAAGAGACGAGGCGTTGTCTTGGATATATGACTGGAGCCCTTCGACTTTTCGGGCGAGGAATTCCAATATCTCGTGACGTTCGCCGTAACGCTTTAAAGTGGCGTCCAAGAGCGCTGCAATGGTAGGTTCGGATGGTGCAGAGAGAATCCCCATGTCTCGTTCGACGAGGTAATTCAACGCATTTACGCCGCAACCTCTATTTATCGCGCGCACTAAGATATGCGGAGTGTGCCGGTCAAGATTTCCTCGGTGGTCCAAGCATGCAAAACCAAACTCAAGAAGCTGGCTCACAAATCCAAAGTCCGGAAGGTCATGGCCTCGCAGCTCACAAAGATGAGTTTGCATCGCGTAGAGCAGGATTTCGCTGCGAGTAGTTGTGGAAAGATCCAGAGTTGAGAGGACACTCAGTATTTGGTCGCGCTGGGAATTCTCCATATTTCGCAATGCGCACATATCGAGCTGTTCACGCACTTATTCTTCCAGAAGGGCAATATCGAGGCTGGGTACAGTTATGAGTATACGTAAGGTATTTAAATCTCCGTTATTGACTGCTCGAATGACAGGATGCCAGACATTCCGGCGCCGAAAATGCTGGGACTCGCGGTGGATTGTGGGCACCAGACGGAGGTTCGGGTCAACACCGAATTGCACCAAGCTTTGCACCACATTGGCATATCCTCTTCCTGAGGCCTCGGATAGGGCAATTTTTAAGACCTGATTTCTATCTTGATGGTCATACGGCTTTAAGCGGGCGTTGAGGTAGGAACGCAGCTGCTCCTGTCCGGCCTGTGCAGCCTCAAAGACACCAGGCACCGTAACAGTAGTGTGTTGACGGTCACTGTATGAATACACGAGTGACAAGAGGCAATGAACGTGTGCGGAATGCTTCGCTTTCAGAAGTAGGTAGTCCGTAGCGTGAATAGGGTCATGCGGGCCCGTCCAGCCCACGCTGCGGTCATGGGTTGGTGGCTCATCGACGACTGCGCCAGCATCCAGAAGAAGTTGCAGGAGTGCGAGATCAGCTGCCTCACGTTTGTGGCTTCTGAAACAGCGAATGAGGTTGTCCACGCTGGTTCGAAACCCCTTCAAGTTGCTCTTAAGAGTCGCGCCAGCACTGATCAACTCCTTCACTAACTCGATCGGGCCATTGTTGGATACAGCATCTCGCAGCGCTGTGTCCAATTCGCATTGGTCGGATGGATAAGCATTGATCAATGTCGCCACACGATTTGGGATCATTCTTGCAAAATTTGAAAAATCATGATGGGGCTTGCGTATCGTCCACGGTATTTGATCCATGATTGACAAGTGAACAGACAAAAGGACGTCAAAAGCTGCCGAATGTCTCCTGTTGAGAACAGTCGAATTCAACCCGTCCCACACGGCGAGAATCGTGAAAGCTTTCTGAGAAAAGAAAGTCTTCAAAGATGCGATGTCAACCGAGAATCCGATCCAGTCAAGAATCGAGGTCATTTCGCGTCTAGATATTGTCTTGTCCTGTAGGCCGTTGGAGAAGTCGAAGCCCATCTTCCCTAATATGCCAATAGTGGAGTTCGGTCCGAACAATCTGAGCTCCGCTTGGTTCAATTTACGCTCTACTCGGTCATTCTCGTATTAGTGCGACCGTAAATGACTGAAGCCATTGAGTGCGCGTTCTCGTAACTTACGGTATTCATCCAACAGGGTGAGAAGTTTGTTGATGGGACAACCCTCTCTCAACAGTTGAGCTGACAACGCTGCTGTTGCCTCGGAACCAGCGTCTGAGAAAGGAAGAACTCCCGTCAATAAGCTTAGCCTGTCAGATCCATGAGGAGAAGTCGTACGAGACTCCATAGACGATTGATATCTTTCGTGTTGTTCGATCTCGTCGGCCCCAGACTTTGTACAACATGTAGATGAGGCCACAAGTGGTGAAGATTGTGGCGAAGGGGTTCTGATAACTACTCCATAGGGCAATTCTGCAGCATGGGCTGAAGGTAGTCAGCGATGGGACGTATACAGGAAACCGTGGTCAGAAAGGTTGCTTTTCTACTTTTGGCACACCGGTGTGAACGTTTGCTCTTGAAAGACCTTCCGATCCTCCTGTCGACAGTTTGAACCTTGGACCCATGGAGAAGCACCTCACTGCGCTTGCCTGCTGCTTTTCGTCTCGCGATTCGTGGACCGATAGAGAAGCGCCACTCATCGGCACTGAGGTTTTTCCTGTATTTGAATTCTTCTCGGAGTACGTGCTCATAATCCGAACGCCTTGTTGGCATGTGTTAACTTATAGTGCGGGGCGGCTATGTATGAGATGACACTTACTTCAATGTTTTGGGAAACCCGTGGCCAATTTCCATGATTGTCTTCACGTCTTTTAAACTTTTTCCCTGGCAGAAAAAGAGGTGATAAAGAACCTCCCTCTTGCTTTGCCATCGGCTGAGGTCAATCAAAGTCTTGCCCGACATCATATCAGATGGAAAGTCTAAGAAGCGTGGAGCAGACGTAGGGGTTCTGTAGACAAGCGCAAGAATGAGAAGAATGGTGATGACTTGAGAGTGGTCAGGTGGGATGCATTGCTGAATAAGTCACAGCATACATGGTCATGAGTGGGAAAGGGAAACAAAGTCCTGTGGGAATAAGACGGTTTAGTCATCTTATAGATTTTGTTCAGAAACTAATGATGTGCAAAGAATAGCATCCTGCATGTGTACCACCACGCCTGCTGTTTGTCCAAAATCTGCCCGGCCAGAAAAGCTGTGACGGGCACAGCCTTGACAGGGGTTTACGCACTTCAGCTCTACTAGACCAAATTCTGGCCAACCAGGACACACATCGGGCATGCGGGCAATCAAAGGCTGCTGTGGCAATTTTATGTAAATCATAAGCCAGGCTGATTTTGGTTGAGAAAAACCAGAAAATGTCTCATCGAAGCCAGAGCACAGCCGTACGGCGTAGCCAGCCAAGGTAACAGTGCATTTTCTTGATTTTTTTTTTTGGATCCATGAACAAGCACTTCTACAGCCAGCGTCTCTGCTTGCCAAGAGAATGACCACCCCGGACAGCCTGCTTCCACTCGTCGCATAGTTGTTGGAGCGTTCCGAGGAGCCAAAATCTAGCCAATCAAGTCCCCGTCACGGTCCTAGAATGTTACGTAAGCGGGAATCGGGCCAGTTCAGACACATTGCGTGCGAACGCTTAAAGTGTGGTTTCACGACGTCTCGCGACAGCTCGACTCAGCCGCTCGAACAGAAAGGTAGTTCAAGGGATCGATAATGCGTATCAAGAAACCATTCCATAGGCTAGATTTTGGCTGGGGCCTCGCAGCATTTGCGGCTCAGGCCTCGTTTTGATATCAGTGGCTAGATTTCGGCTGCATAAGTTATTGGCATTTTGCAGTCTTCATAACCTCATGTTGCGATCATTGGCCACATTCTGGCCCTTACCCTGTATCCATGGTTCTGTCTAGAAAGATGAGCCTCACTCTGAGCATTGAGGGGCATGGACAGACAAATGCCTCCTGTGATCCTCCGGCTATATAACAGCGTCAGAGGGCCGCCTTTCTCTGTTCGTTGCTATGTTCCTCAGATCCAAGCACCACTTTTTCACTCTACTACACCCAAATCTCATACAGCTCATTTCAAATATGTGTGTACAAGACTTTCCCCCATTATTTCTCTTAGCAGACAGGTTCTAACAAGTGGGACACAGGCCGTCCTCATCCAACACCTCCGTTCAGGTGACATACAGCCCAAGCTCACAAGCCAGCAAGGGTCACAGCCAGAGCGACCCATCGGGCTCGAATGTCAATAATAAGCCTGGCCCCAGGAACAAGTTACAGCATGACCAGCTTTTGATGGGGATCGGAGCGCAATTCTCGGGGTGAACATTCCTTGTCCTCTTTTCTATATTTCTTGGCTGTCGAGTGAAACATACTAACCACTTGTAGCGACCATCACAACTTCAACGGATCGACGAGATGAGCAGGACAGGAGTAGCTTCCCATCCTATTAGCCGCAGAAAATGGTCACTCAAGTATGGTCACAGAAAGATGGCTGTGCTGGGCTTGGATTTAGATGGGTTAATGGCCATTCTGTATTGAGGTAGACGGACACCCGTTACGAGGATGTTCAAGCATTCCCTAGTTAATTTTAACATGGGCATCTTAATCGATTTCTATTCTGCGCCTCTCGATATCCATGTACATTCATCATCATACACCTTTTCCACGAAAAGCAGGCTCTGGCCGCGTTCCGTACGGGATGATCCTCACCATATGCCTCCTCTCTCCATCCCGAAAGTCAGGCACTGCGCTATGTGCAGCGCTCCTCTGGTCCCACACCACCACGGAACCCTTCTCCCACCGCACACGACAGCTAAAGTCGAGGCTCCGGATGTGTTCGTGCAGAAACTTTAGCAGCGCATCTGATTCCTCGGGCAGGAAGCCCTCGACGCTGCGCGCGATGGTGGGGTTCACGAACAAGCTCGGCTGGCCGGTCACCGGCTGCCTGATCACGAGCGGGTGTGTGGTCGAGACGGCCTCCCTGAGGGCGCGCACCGTACCCACGCGCGCGACCTCGCCCACGGAAGCGGAGGTGTGCAGCAGGCGCAGGCCGTGCAGGGTGCTGCGGTAGGCGGGTGAGAGGGCGGCGTAGGCGGCTGTCAGCGAGGTGAATGCCGTGTCGCCGCCGCCTGAGGCGGGCTGCTCGAGGACCCAGAAGAAGGTGGTGGATGGGGTGTTTGGGGTGAATGTCTGGTCTACGTGCCAGAGGTCGTAGTTGGTGCGAGGACCGAGAAGATTCCTCAAGTTACCCCTGGTTAAGTTGTCAGTGGTGGGCGGCTGAGATAATTGCATAATGCTGATCACAACAGTGACAACTACATGAGGGGAAATTCGAGGGTTTTACTCACGCTTTTTCGTCTGCATAGACGACATGGAACTCGGGGCCAGTCCCTTCAGGATACCCCATCGTTGGGTGCTGTAGGCCGTAATAACGTATGGTCAGCCACACGGTGCTTTGCTTTGGTGACCTTTACCGTATCCACGGGAATAATGCAACACATACTTGATGTAACGGCCCATAATGCCGCACAATCTCCTTCTGTCTCTCGAAACCAATATCCGCAAAGTCTTGGTCCCTCTCCATGATACGCGGCCAGTTAATAAGTTTTGTCAAAGACTCCGAAACATCTTCTATGCGTGATTGAAAACTCACAAACACAAGCACGCCCCGTTCGGCTGCGAGCAACGCTACCTCGTCCAGGCCGGTCTTGGACAACTGACTCAGCTGGAGGCCCCTGATCTCGGTGCCGATGCGGGGGGTGAGATTCTCGACCTTGGCTCCTGATTTAAAGATGCAGGGTTTGGAGCTGTCTGCGCGCGTGCCGGGCTCCTCGGCTTCGAAGTACGGCACATCGAGCGTGGGCTGAAAGCCGTCGGGCCTCGTGGGCAGATATGCTGGGTAGAGCGGTTGTGTGGCCATGGCGAGAGTTTTCGGGTCTGCGGCTTACGCTGCGTTGGCCGTGAGGTTGGTGATCTATGGTCGATGCTCGTGGACCCTCGTTTTCAGCCACCATAAAGTTCTCGAGTTGAGAAGTTCGTGGTATTTCTTTTTATTCAGAGACCCAGGCCGTAAGCTACGTAGGACTCGACTCGGGTAGGTAGGGATGCGGCTGATAAGTTGTCGTCGAGAGGCGATCCCGCATCGAAATATGTGTACCGCTCAAAATCTCCTGTTAATCAGGCCGAGTCCTTGTTCGTTGTTGTACTGCATCCTCCTCCGATCGGCACCTTTCGGGCGACACTCACGTCCAAATTGCCCGGCTGCAGCTCCCCGGATGTGCGAAGGCGGAGGCTCCAAACTGGGCGGGCCCCGACGTGTGACAACATTGGCTGTCTGGATGGCGAAATCAACCCTTGCAACTCGCAACATTCAACGTGTAAATACGACGATACTATTCTAGATGATTACTGCCGGGAAATTATTGAGAACGGTTTGGACGACCCGCAATCTCTAGTATGTATCGACAGGTCCAAGTTTCACGGCAAATGCTTTGCTGCCAGCTTTTGATGCTCGCAACTGTTCGAGAAACCCGGCCCCATCAACGATCCGGCTCCTCATCCGGACCATCACAACTGCACGCAGAAGCGACAAGCAAGGTACATGATGCCACCATCAAGATCCACAATGTTGCGCCAAAATTCGAATCAGTGCACCATCCGTCATTCTGCATGGCTAGGTCTGGGCATGGCTGTCACCATACCCCGGGGTGAGGGATCAATGAAGAATAATGCGGTCGATATCTAGTCATGTATTTTAGAGAAAGTCCACGATAAAGAGTTCTCAGAGCCCCCTCTCGATATCAGCATCGACAAGGTGCAATGGTGGGCTTGTCGAGGAATCGGACGCCGTCAGCGGCCACCGTTCCAGCTGCTCCAACGCCATCGATTCCATGGCTGGCCAAGATTCACCCCTACTTCCGCGATGTAGAACGTGTCCTCGTCCTTAAGCTCGATATCCTCCTCCTGTCGTGGGCCTTCGTCGCCGGCCTCATGAAGGACATGGATCAGTCCGCCACAACATCCGCCTACGTATCGGGCATGCAGGAGGCCCTCTCGCTCTACGGCAACGAGCTCGTCAAGTTCGCGACCTACTTCTCCATCGGCTACGCCTTGTTCATCGTCCCATCCCAGCTCGTCCAGACCCGCATCTGCCCGTCGCTCTGGCTGCCGTTCTGCGAGGTCGTCTGGGGTGCCCTCACCCTGGTGACGTTCGCCGCACGCAAAGCCCGGACCGTGTACATTCTACGCTTCTTCCTGGGGGTCTTTGAGGCCACTTCGTGGCCAGGCATCGTCAGCCTCATCTTCAACTGGTATACCCCTGCGGAGATGGGCAAGCGCCTCGCCATCTTCGGCGTCAGCAGCGTCGCGGGCCGCATGTTCCTCGGCATCCTGCAGGCCGCGCTGTACAGGAACCTCAACGGCGTGCACGGGCTAGAGGGCTGGCAGTGGCTGTTCGTGGTATCGGGGGCTATGACCGTGGCTTGGGGCGCCTACGGCTTCCTCGTCATCCCGGACGCGCCTACGACGACCCGCGCACTGTGGCTGACCAGTGAAGAGCGCGCTCTTGCCCAGTCGCGCATGGCACGGTCGGGGACCACCACGCAGGAGCCCGTCAAGGGCAAGGTGCTCTGGGCCCGCGTCCGTGGCTTGCTCACCTCGCCGATCGCCTACCTGTTCCTAGCGGCTTACCTCCAGTTCGCCTGGTCGCAGCGCGCCAACTCGTACTTTCTGCTGTACCTCAAGGGCCTGAAGGATACAAACGGCCAGCCTCTGTACTCGGTCTACACGGTCAACCTGATCCCGCTGGGCGGGTACAGCATCTCCATCGTCTCCAACATCGTCCTCAACGCGCTGAGCGACTTCAAGAACTGGCGCTGGCAGGTCGCCATTGGTGCTGCGTTAGTGCAGCTCGTTTCCACATCGGTGCTCGCGGCATGGCCGGGAGGCAGGGGCACTATCATGACGTTCTACTTCCTAACGTTCGCGACAGCGGCGTGGGGCTACGCTCTTCTAGCCTGGCTTGCCATCATCCTGCGGAAGGAACCCGAGGCGCGCTCCGTGATCGTCGGCCTGGCCGTAACGCTGGTCTATGTCGGGCACGCTACCATCCCGCTCCGAGCGTGGCGGACCGCAGACTCGCCCATGTATCCCGTTGGGTTTCCCCTGGCGGCTGCGTTCAGCGCCGGTGGTATCATCGCGATCTTGGGCATGTATTGGTATGTACGGAAGTATCCAGAAATAATCGAGTTTGGACTCAACTGGAAGACCACGTCGAGAGCCGGCGAGGCTTCTGCTACTAGGAGCAGAGATGGCTCTGTGGATCTCGACGATGTGGAGGTTGGCATTCAGGACAAAGACGATGCTCAAAAACGTTCCGTGGTGGACACAACGAAAACTTTGTCTTGATACGTGAATAGAAGATGATATGTATCCAAATTCGCGTTATCAAACACGTCTCAATTAACCGACGATTACTCGTGCTCCCACGTGATGTACGTAGCATATAGTAGTCAAGCAAACACCCATGATTCACATCCATTCTAGTTCTAGATCGGTTATAGATATAATCCCGGCCCACAACCATATCTGCAAAACTATCCCATTGTGGCCAATAGTACGAGAAGACTCTCTTTACTCCGGGCCGTACGTAAGCTTTTATGGTATGGGAGGGGAATTTGCTACATATTGTAGTTCAAACCTCTGGCAATCTTTTGGTAGAACCACTAGTGACATCTATGTGGTAGACCCAACGAAACCCACAAGAACGTATGAGATGAATGCTCCCGTTCAGAATGGATAACTGATGGTAGCATTAAATAGACCTCCATGCCATTGGATATATTTGACCTGCAACAGGTAATCAACCTGGCTTCCTCAGCACCGGCTGTTGAACACTTGAGTGCTATATTATTTACAAATAAGGCCGTCTTAGCTCCTGTTTTGGTCATTCCCACATCAACACCATTAGGCTCCGAAACAATCAAGAATTATGTTGGGCAGCAGAGGCGGATGGAAGGGACATTCACTGTTGCAGGGCAAGTTGACCCTGTCGATCAGGTCTCCTCAGAACCAGCTTAAAAGGAAGAAATGGCCCGAAAGTTTCCCACAACGAAGAGAACCTGTCGAGAAATGACAAAGCCGCTGAGTCTTCACGAATGTTAACATTTAATTACACTTAGGTACGCTGTCGTGTACATTGACAGATTGTGTCATGGGTAAAGCGCGCATGCTTTGCTCGTTGTCCGCGACGAACAGAACCTCCCGCCTGACGAGATGCGCAGGCGGGCCCCCCTCGACGCCTAGACACGCCGGATAGGCTGGGTGATTAGCTTGCCTAGAAGTTGCTGAGTGGAGGACAAGGCTCCTATAGCAAATCACAGACTCACATTCGCATTTTGTGTGCCTGCCTGTTTGTTGTCTGAAATCGACCAGGGTCAGGCATGGAACTATTGAGATGTCAAATTCCTCATTGGCGGGGAAACAGGCCATGGAGTCCGCAGAATTCTTTCGACCGTTTTTTTGCAGAGCCTTGTGCAGCTCTTTGTGCTCATATGATGTACGATGAACATTGTTGTATTTAGAAAGAACAAATGTTTTCGCGGAAAAGATTTGGCATGTCCGATGATCCGAGTCGGAAGTCGGACTGTATTCGTACGTCTCGACAGCGATATTAATGAAAAGACCCGCGTCGGCTCAAAACGCTCCACAGCTGAAGCACGAAACATTTTGGACAGGGCTGCAAAGGCTTCCGGACGGCCGGAAGTGTGACAGGACCAGTCTCATGACGTGCATTTGCGTGAGCCCTGCAGGCTGCGGTGGCCCCTCATTCGTTGGCACGAAGTATGCAGTCCGCCTGGTCTGCCTAAATAACCGCCATTTTTGCATAAGACGGATATCAGCGGGGTTCCAGTGGGATAATATGGCGCCCAGCGAGGTACTTATATCATGTCCGGCTGCTTCTGGATCATTTGGAGTTGGGGACTGGGTTTTCTGACTACTTTTCAGAACTTGTACTCATTTCATTCAAATAAACAGTCCTCTATTCTCTGTTCTAACTTGTCTCAAATACCTTAAGCGAATTATTCAGACAAGATGCCTCAGTGCGGTGTTAATGGCTGCCAAGGAGAGGTGGCCAGCTGGACGGTTACCGAGGCTTGTACAAAAAGAGTCGTTGATGAAAATGGCGAGGGGGGAGACTGCGGAATAACCAAGACAGGAACGGCAAAAGCTTGTCTCAAATGCAGTTCTCAGCATGGAACAAAGACGGGAAAGTGCCCAAGGCTCAAGCATTGATTTTGCGGTTTTCTGATCCCTCTGGGTCTCCAACCGGTGTGCACCAGTAATAGGTATGTCACTGGAAATCATGATCAGAAAGTACCATATACTAACATTTCACACATAGGAAGGACAACTCATTGATGGCTTGTCATTGTAGCTACTGAAGCATTTCGCTTTTAGCCTCAGTCAACATCCCACATTCTCAGGTACATAGCCAACGTCGAGGCAAAGAATCTGCTCATGTATGGACTCTTGTTAGAGCCCACAGGCTTGGCACTGTTCTGAAATTTCAATGGTTGCAAATCAATCAAATATGTGTCTTAGCAATCTTCCTCATCAAGCTGTGTGAAACAAACTTCGGGCCTCGAGAGATGTTGTATGCTATTCCCTGGCGTCCACAGTCCTTCCACAACGTGTGCAGGACCGCCAGGCCTTCACACCCTGGACTTGGTGACTGCAGAGACTGATATGTCTTGTATATCTGGGTGGTCAACTGGCTGTGTTTGCAGTAAGTCAGCAGGCATTGAAACAGAATGATCTCTTTAAAAATTGATCCAAATCATTCACAAGAAAATGAGCGACATGAAGTACCTCTAAATCAAACAAAATGTCTCCGTCTTGAACTTTCCACTCTTGATGTCCTCAACCAGCTCCCCCTTCATATAGCCTTCCACAAAGCATCCACCGACAACCTCATATGTGTCGCCTTGGGCACTGGGCCTGAGGACGACCGGCATATCGCAATTGTACAAGATGGCGATTTTGACACCGGGCACCGCATGCCTGGTGATAGACCCAATAAATCCGTTTTCCGTTTGGAAAAGCCGCCGCCACATGAGCAGCTCGCTTGCCAGAAAAATGGCTTCCTTGGTCTCGCGCGGCTTCTTGCAGTATTCGGTCCGAGACGTGAAGTAGTCCATTAATGGGATCCCCTGAAGCTCGAACGACTCATTGGCGTGGAGAACACGGCGGTAGAGATAGGGGAGGATGCTGCCTGCGGAGACCTCGGCCCAAGAAACACCGTTGCGAGATGTTTCGTGGCCATTCACAACCTTGAAGTCAAAAATACCGAACTGATCAGAAGTTCCGCGAACGTCTTCGTCGATCTTGATGTCAGGAGGGCCGACTTCAATTTTACGGAGCTCGGCTCGACTGATCCAGGGCATGTCTAAGAGTGAAGGCCCTTTCGCGAATTCGAAATTGCTGTCGTATGCCAAGACGCGTGCCAACGAAAGCCTCGAGCGCGCACCATTCCAACCAGGAGGTAGTCCTGAGTGAGCATGATTGGGAGATTGGGCCGCTGCCGTCTTTGCTGCCTGACCCTCGGGGCTTGCAATAGCGCGGACCGTGTCAACAACTGCCCCTTTGCAGAACAGATGGTTAGCGTCGACCCAATGTTGGCAAGCCTTTCCCAAATCCTTGTTGCTTTCGAATGTGTGCACAGCTCGATGTGGCATATGGCCTATATCTTCTATTTCTGGAGCAGCGATCTCCTGGCCTTCGGGCCGGATGATTGACAACGGGTATTTTGACTTTGGTGTAGACAGATCAAATATCCAAGTTGGAGTTCCAGAATCAGTTGAACTTTTTCCGGCTGATCTTGCCAACAGATTGAGGTTCCCTTCCCCCTCGTAACAGCTTTTCGCAAACATGGTCCAACAGGCTTGCCAGGTGAAGCCCGTGTCGTAGTCCGGCTGGATACGGCTCGCAATGGTTGGCGGCAGGAAAGCGAGAATACCATATACTTTGTCTCGGGGATCCGTAGCATATGAGACCTTTGCCTCGGTAATGGATTCGAGAACCGGCTTCTTACCCTTGTGGATACTGTTACCGTCGTCCCACCTGAGGGAGCCGATTCTCGCAACAAGTTTCAAAGCACGGTAAAGGGAAGCCAAAACTCTGTCATCGCCGAAGTAGCGACTAAGCTTCCCGAAAGACCCATGCTCATCCCACAGACGAGGAGCTCGGAACCCTCTCAGCTCCATTGAGGTGAAATAATGATCTCCATACCAAAATAGGAGCGAAGATCCGAGTGCAACTTCCTGGATGATCCAAAGTCGCTGCCAATAGGCTGCTTGAGCGATGCCTTCGATCGAAATCCACAGTGAGTAGGCGTTGTTCTCATCTTGAGTTATCAGTGTCAAGAAATGCTCTGACATATCCGTTTCTTGTCTCTGTTGCGTGTGGTGCAGGTTTTCCAAATTCAGGCCTGTTGGTGAACGGGCCATGGAACCAGAAAAATCATTCAACATCCTTCTCACTAAAGTCAACTCAGTACTCAGTGGAGACCTCGGGAGAGGGATTTCCTAGCCAGGCTCTTACAACGAGAGCTTCAGAATAGATCAGCTCCATCTTCTGCACTTCAGTTGCTCTCTCCTGAAGATCATCCTGGTTGATACAGATTGCATCAATCCAGACTTTCAAAGCTCGTGACTTGACTTCCAAAGAGTTCCGAAGGCTCAAAAGAGCCTCATGGAGGTTAGATCCCACTTCGAAACGCGACCCATTGAGGGAGATTGTTTTCTTGTGCGTCTGGTCCCCCCACACATAACTCAGCGCCACAAAGTCTCCCCAGTTGTACCTATCATCGAGGGCGGTGAACTGCTCTAGAGGCTTATCGCAATAGGCATGCAGAGATAGGTTCTCTTTCACGTCCATCGGCGAAAGAGGGCTGAAATTCTCCCTGAGATGTAATCCGTGACGGATGGTGTAGTTGTGGAGATCCCACAACACATGACGAATGCGACCTTCGATGAGCCTAAATTCGTTCTCCGACAGCGACAAAGAGTCACGAAAAGATTGATAGGTAGGTGTCCAGTCCGACAAATCAACTTCTTCCATGGAACATGAGACGGGCTCATCTGAAGATTCATCATCGCTCAGCGGCTGGATTGATAGCACTCGTATTTTCTTGCTCCCCTGCTCCAATGGCTTGTAGAGATTTGATGGCGTGTTGCTCTCTAGAAGAGTGTTCTCGAGTTTCTCGGTAGCGCTCATTGATGGAATATCGCTTGCTTGTGCGTTCTCTCTATTCAATGATGTCAAGGGAGGCGCATCTGGGGTTGTGGACGGTATTTCTGTCGACGGGTTGGGTAGTAATTTTTCCGATGCTGTGGATGCTGCATTATTATCATAAGCAGATATTTTGAGACGCAGTCCTCGCGGATTGTCAAGCTATGCCACTCTGGAGGTAGCATTCTGAGTATCAAAGTTCTTACCAGACTCCGAATCCCCCTCAATCTCTTATTCGGTCTCTTGCTTTTCAAGATCTCGCAATTGAGCAACTGTCCATCTCTGAATTCTAGACTCCTCAGTCTCAAAATCTTGCATCTTTTGCAAAATTGCTGGGTCATGGTCCTTGGCAAAACTTCTGATGGCAGCGATGGCAGGCTTGGTAGCGGTGGGCTTTGTCCTCTCTAGCGCTTTATCAAATAAAGAGCGAGTCAACAGTCTCTCTTCCCTTGTCCTTCATTCTCGGCCCAAGTCTTGCACATAATTGCCGCTTGAAAACACAGGTTTCGGATGTCTGAGCCGGAATAGTGATGCGTCAGAAGTGCTAAGACTTTACTGCTGACATCAGTACTAAGGACTTCCTCCCGCAGGACAATATCGAAGATCTTCTCTCTGAGAGCCGTAGAAGGGAGCCCGAGATAAAGATGGCTAGGAACCCGGCGGAGAACGGCAGGATCCAACTGGCTAGAATGATTGGTAGAAAGAAGAACGAAAGGCGTTGTTGTCGACTTTGTCATGCCATCCATCTCCGCCAGCATTAGATTGACATTGTCTCACCTCCAGCTCGGATAATCTGAGTAAGAGTCCCTGGATTGAAACAATGAGTCTGCTTCGTCTATGAAGATCACGCTTGGAGCGAGCAGTTTCCCCAGGTTGAAAAGACCACGAATGGCCTTGGGCATCTCGCCAGCCCACTTGTTCTCAATGTCGGCAGAAGACGCACAGATAACAACTGATTCCGAGACGCAAGCAAGCACACGTGCTAATTGTGTTTTACCAGTTCCTGGTGGTCCATAGAGAAGCGCTCCACCAATGTTACCTCGCTTCAAAATCCCGTAAGATGCTGCGGGCTTGGTAGAATCCATGTGCTGCTTGATCACCTCCCTGATCTCTTCTTCTGTTTCTGGGTCAATCGCAATGTCGGACCAGCCTTTTCCCACCTCTTTGGGATCGACGAGAAGATCCAGGAATCTTTGCTCCCAGTAGAAGCGGTCTCCAACATCTTCAGGATTTGCGGATTCGATCTTGTGAATCACTTCTCGTATGTGCAGAGGGAAATTTGACCATCTCTCGTCAGTAGAAGAATTATCGTCGGTATTCGAATCACTTTCTGCTGTTCTGATGGAAGGCTCAGGGACTGGAATGTTGGGGAAAAGGTGGTAGTCCACGTTCCAGGCATGCAAGGCCTTTTCTCTGGCCTCAATGCTCAGGAAGGTTCTCTTAATTCGGTTCTCATCAAAGTTGCTGCCGATCATCTGCTCGATGCCTTCGAGTTGAGCACCAGTGAGAGCAGCTTTTGCGAGAAAAGTGGCGGCGTCTGAATTGATATCCAGGAATGCCCACTCGTTGTACGGATCCAACAAAGGAAGAACGAAGTCATTTGGAACTCTCCGTCGAATAAGTCGCTGTAAAACCCTTATGTTGCGGGCTCGTAGTTCAAGCTCGCCGTCCTTTTTCATCATTGCTTCCTGCGATTTCGACCGGATTGGCGTTACCGGTATAAACGATATCATGTCGGTGTCATAGCCGGTGCGCGACCCACGAGGCGGCGGATGGTGAGGGAAGTAACCATAAGGATCAGGAGGTGACTCAGTGGAGATTATGACCATGGTGTCATATTTGGATGGTCTAATAATGTAGCTCCGCAGGTCATTCACAAGACGTTTTTCAAAGTGACAGGCCTCTAAGATCAGATGGATAATCAAAGGGGTCTTGTCTTGAGCATTGGCGGCGTCGACGCAACGTATCCGCTTGGATTCCGGCGCAGTGGTAATGGCAGAGAAGGCCGATAAAGGTGTGCAATGTTGGACGATCCATGTTAGCTGACATCATCCAAGTCAAGCGATGGAAGAAGAAGAAATAATGGCAAAAAGGCGGAAGAGCTTTCAAAGCAAGCTTACCTTAGTCCAACGTTGGCCATTTGGAATTTCGTCCGAAATCTGCAAGCTCTCACCATGTATGCCAGCGTCAGGGTACTCATCTTAGTCACGCCGTTGCTTAACGTAGGAACCTGAAGTCTCGCTACCAGGACTTGTTGGTCGCGAGTCGATAGGCCTGTTGAAAAGGAAAGACAAGTAGTCCTGGGCCGACTCTCGCACCGAGGTATCGTCTACCTCTTGCTCTTTCTCTCTCCGTTTAAAATGGTCCGCCAGATCCTCGAGGTCGTTTCGGTCCAGCGTAATGAGATCTGCCTTGGAAACTTTTGGCAAAATGCCGAACGACAGACTGGAGAAACCTGACTGTTGTTTGTGGATGAGCTGCGATGGAAGCTTGAAGTCTTATGATATCCTTTGCGAAATAACTTCCAACTCTCTTGCTCGCTTCGATGTGAGAGACAACTTCCCGAGGACCCGACCCCAGGACTCCTAGCAATGGCTCGAAGAGAATCGAAGCCATCCTGTACACTGGGGGACCTTCTTGACAGCCGTCCGGCTCCCCTCCGGCTTCAGATGTTAGCTGCTTCTTGACAGAAGGAAACGCGAACTCTTCCAAAGTCAAATCATCTGAAGAGTCCTTCAATTCCTCGCATGTAGTAACGCAACCTTCGATAAGCCATTGCGGTAATTCAGTGTTTGGTGGCTGATCTTGCAGTTAGCATTACACGCGGTTCTGCAAGCCGTCCTTCAAATAGCAGCCGAGGCTGGTTTTGGTACACTCACAGACGGGCGCTGCTTATTTTCCTGCTTCTCTGCCGTTTCGGCCTCAAATTTCGAGGGAGGGATCGGCTTTGTAGACCCCATGGTCTCGTGAGCCACCATCTCGTCCTTGACATTGGCCACTGCACCTGTGCCAGTAGGCTCTTCTCTGGTGCCACCCCCGCCCTCTGTCCCGTGCCACGAGGCCTCGCGTGTGATAATCGATGCGCTTTCTCGTGATCCAGAAGCTTCTAGCCGTAGCTGCTCAGTCTGGCTCTGGAGCGACTCGCGATGGATAGTTCCCTCAACAGAAGCGCTGTCGCACACATTCGATCCCCTTGAGGGATGAGGGCCTTCCCCCAGGAGATGTGGTTCGTGTCGAGTCTCATTTCCCTCGTTCGCGTGCCTCTTTTCGTCAGAGCAGTTGACGGGCAACCCAGTTTCGGTCTGGTCATTGGTCATTGTCTGTCATTCACGAGCTTCGATTTAGAGGTTCGAGTTGGTTTTAAAGCAAGTAAAATGAGAGAAATCTGGTCAATTGAAATTAACCGGGAAGTAAAAAGAATGGAAATCAGGCTAGATCAGGCTGGGGAGAGGCGTGGAGAGCGCATATATAATGGGGCAATGCAGCCCTGGCAGTCCAGGGACTTTCGCTTTTCATGGATGAAATCCTGATCACAGTCCTCCTCTATCCCGCTCCATGCAGGCATTTCTCATCCTCACTCTCATATCTTGAGCAAGCGGAATTTTCCAGTTCCTTCACATACGTGCTGCCTCTGGATTGGTCACTGCTGTGACTCAAAGCAGTCAAGATTGAATGTTTCTCCACGTCGTTGCTTACTGCATGATAGATTGGGCGCTTGAAAAGCGACCGATGGGACAGGCAGCCGCGTACTACCTAGCCTTGGCATGCGTTTCCTCCCTTGCTCCGTGACGGTGGGTCAGCAAGGCCCCAGCAGTTCTGTCCAGAGAGTATTGTTAGCCTACCAAACCCGTGGAAGTGAAATACTTGAAATACCCCATTACCAGCAATTATGCTGGAACAGTCTTCGCCAAGAAAGTGAATTGGATTAAACAGTCCAACGCCAATTCCCATTTACCATTTCCAAAGAATGTAGATGGTTGACATTGTGGCGGTTTCGTGGACTTCTACATCACCCGAGCTGACTGGCTGATTCCCCAGAAGCAATGTGATACAAATATGAGAATGCATAGATTCGCACTGTCAAAATAAGAGGGCACATCAGTATGTGCAGCCCATAATGCGCAACTTAACAGCTAGCAAGTAAATTTATCTTTATAGAAAACGTACAAGTCTGTAACTCCTGACCTCAATCTTCCGTTAGGTTTACTAAGCAGCTTAGTCCTGGTTGGGTAACTGTAAAATTCCTGACAAGCCTGTTGCAACAAAGTATTACTCTCTGTGAACACTTGGATCTATCTTTTCCCTTTAATCAAACCCTTCTTCGCATTAAACTACAAGCCAGGAGATTTTACGCGTTCATTTGGCTACGCCGAGTACAATAAGCATTCCTGGAATCCACGTCCCGCCAAGCTCGTCACTCCGAGCACTACTCCGAGCACTACTGTCGATGTGAAGAACGGAAGTCAGGAGGGCACATGTGACCCCTCAAGCTTACTCCGGCTCTTCCCTTTAATGGAGGAAGCCAAGAGAAACAATCAGGCCGATCCAGTCGTCCTCACGGACGCCCCCGAGAACGAGACCGACACCAACCACTGATTTGACCTTGAGAGGCTGAAAGCTGTCCCTCTCCTTCTCCCCCCCCCTCTCTCTTCTTTTCTTCTTCTTCGTTTACGGTCTGTTGGGGAGCTGCTCATACAAAATTTGGCGAGGCCGTCCTGCAGAAAATTCCCGAAGGAAGCCTAGAGCGTGCGGAATCTCGTCCCCTTTCTCGGAATAGGCAAAGAGAACCACCCAGGTCGATGAACGCTCTCGCTCTTCTCCTGGTGTGTAAACACCTTGCTCTAATCCGCCGGTGAACAGGACCCTGTGATTCGGCCGTTCTGTCATCGAATTCCGGCCCTCGCGCTGGAGCGCCCCTTCTCTCTGCGAGGACTGGCAGAGCGGGGTATATATGGCCGCTGGCTTCCAAGGTTTGATATGGTGGCCTTTTCAACCAACATTTAGAATTGGGAGCATGACCATCAGATATGTATGGTGGGTAGGGCGATTGATTGCCTTGCAACATATCCCCGTTAATGGTTGCAGGATCGGCTTTACAAACTTGGTTAGCCTACCTCTTTCCGCAGATCGTGACTAACCTGTCTACAGTAGATGGCGGGGTGGCTGGTGGCCGGTGGCTGGTCAGATCGGGAGCGCCCGCAGCGGTATCCCTGCCGACACAGGCACACAGTCCAGGTACAGCAGTACCTTCCCACGCTTTCTGCTGAACAGTCACCACGCGCCATCCTGTGTAAGCAAGTCGAATTCAGGGAAGGGACAAATGAGCTAGGAAATGTACAGCTCAGACTGCTGACTGCATAGAGCTGCATCTGCGACTGCAGGTTGGCCTTTGGCAGTAGTAGTCAACATAGAGTGTGTACAGTGCGGTGCGACAGAATGAAGGTACGATGACGTGCTGTATCGGGATGCGACACCACTACTGTGGTACGACGGTGGCCTCGTATTCTCGGAAAGCAAAGCTAGGGGAGGGCGGAATACTTCATAGCTGGACTACAGCGTGCAGTGGGAGGCGCCTGTATGGAGCAGGCGAGTGGCTGGGCGAATTGAGTTTATTTGCTTGCCTTTTTAGCTGGGCGAACAGATGACCAGCAGGAGCCAACGGCAAGCCGGTACTCGTCCCAAGTCGACGGACAATACGACGGACACAGACTCGCTGTCAAGCTCTTGCATCTGCCAACTGCATCTGCATCCCCATCCCCATCTACATCTACAGCTGTACCTTCGTCTGCATGCGAATCTGCAATGTCACGACTCCCCGTAACTAGTCCTGTATCTTGGATCTAATTCTGTACCCTGCACAATCTCTGCAGGTTGATTATGAACTGCTCGGACTGCTCGACCCGTGCTGAACCTGCTCGTCTCCCCAGCCACCCGACCTGCGACCTTGACCTCGCAAGCTTTCTTTCCCCACCACCTTCTTTTCTGCTGTGGCCGTCGTTTATCCGTGAACCTGCGTCTTTTCCTGGTTGCCAGCTTGCTTCATCAACATCGAACGGCCCCTTGTGCTACTCCTAGTTCCCCACTCGGTCGAACATACGTTTTCTATCTCTTTCTTGCTCGTCCGTTCCCACTGCGCGACTCGTTGCACCACCTTCGCTCGCTTCACGCCTGCCTGCTTCTGTCTGTCTGTTAATACATTACACACACACATACATACCACATAACCCCCGTGCATGCGACTCACGTCCATCCCATGAGGTGAGATGAGCTCCCCACCCAAGCCACGCGTCCAACGTGATCGCCAGAGGGACCAGTTCGAGCGCTCATCCCCTCCCAAGATCGACTTCGGCATCGACTCCACCGCCAGCGATTTGATGCCACCAGTCCGCGCCCCCTACATCCTGCGCAACAAGACGAGCTCCGTCTCCTCGGGCAGCACTGCCAGCTCTCCAGACCGCGAGCGCGGCCCCATTGCCTACCCAAACTACTACGACTACACCGACCCCGAGCCCCAGCACGCCGCACCCCGCTCTCACCAGAACGCCCACTCTCCACAGCGCGACAACATGGCCAACATGGCGATGCAGGTGCCCATCCAGCAGCAGCAGGGCCAGGGCAGGCTCGTGGACAATGCACGCAACAGCAGCAGCAACGGTCCAGTCACCACCCAGCAGATCGCCGCGGCCGCACGCAACGGCGCCGCCCCTCGCGGGTCCAGGCCACCCAGCTACAGCGGCTCGCAACACGGGCCTCGCTCGCCTGACGACGCTCCATTAAACAAAGTCGACATCGACGCTGCCCGCTACAGGCAGACGCAGCAGCGTCGACCGCAGCAGCCCGTGACCAAGGACGGGCGGCCACCCACGAACGGCAGCAACCGGGCGCCGTCATCTGGGGGTGGCGGCATGGTCGGCGGGCGGCCCATCAGCCCGGAGTCTCCGTTGCTCTCCCCGGCGGCGCACATCCAGCGCCTGCCGACGCCAAGCATCACGTCGAGCGTGCTGCAGCCACTGGACGCCAAGGTGACCGAGTACGGGTCGCTGATGGCCGAGGCGCAGGCGGACATGGCGGCGCTGGACGAGGAGCTGCGGCAGCTGCAGGACCGGCAGCGCGAGGCCGAGGCGCGGTTCCTCGACGCCAAGTCCAAGCACGACGACTACCGCCGGCAGTACCACGACGTGGAGCGGGCCCTGCGGGGCGACTTTGCAAGCAGCAACGGGAACAACAACGTGCCCCCCATGCCGTCCATGCTGAACCTGACGAGCAGCCGCCATGACATGATGGATAGCCCCAGGGGAGGTGGCATGCACCAAGGAGGAGGAGGCCCCATGGGGGGACAGCCGGCGATGAGGAGCCAGCGCACCGTGAGTGCCCATAGCGAACAGCCCAGTATGATGAGCCAGGAGTCGGTGCGGACGCAGAAGAGGGGCCGGTTCAGCAGGATATTCGGGGTGTGAGCCCAAGTTCAGGCGAAGGGGGGTTGTTCCTGTGGCGGTAGTCGCGGATGACGAATAACGACGTCGACGACCGACGACGAGGCGGGGAATTGCATAGTGTGATTGATTTTGATGCTGGCTTGGTGCTTTTTCTCGCGACGAAACGCAAAACGACTCAAAAACTCTCGGGGTTGGGGCTAATGATTGATGACTATCGAACAGGTCTCCTGGGCATAATGGAAATTAGGAAATCTGTGGGATTCATGTACGGTGGTTTAATCCGTGGATAATGAAGCTGGACGGACACGAGAGCGGACACCACACACATACAGTTGATCCACAACAGGCGTTTTCAGGGTCGGCAGGTCATATAAGGACGGGTGGGTTCTTGTCTATTCTGATCTGGACATTACAACCATAATCGGTCACCGGACACTTTTTTCCATGAAAATGTCAATAAACCGCTTTCATTATCCCTTTGGCCAAGAAGATAGAACCCGAAACAGGAGAGACACGAGGTGAGGGAGAGTTAAGAGGAAGAGGCGGGTATCAACCTGCTTTTAGGGAATTACACGAGTATATATGAGGGTAACTCGTCGCCAAAAGGGTCTAGTGTGGTTTTTGGGGAGGAACTTTCGACTCTAAACGCCTCGCTCCCTGGATTCTGACTTTTTCAAAAAAGGAACATGATGACCCTGGCCAGGTCTGGCTCGCACCCCCGAGTCTCGCCTGTGATGGGGCCATCATAGCATGCCTCCATATCCACCCGTCGCGGTCACGGGGACCATGTGCATCGGCGCTTCGGTCACGGGGGGCTTCCGCCTGTGTGACGACTGCTGGCGCGCGTGGTTCTGGTACTGGTCCTGTCCCGGGCTCTGCGGATATTGCGAGTACTGCTGGTACCGCTGGTATTGAGGTTGTTGTTGCTGCTGGCGCTGCTGGTGCTGCTGCCCCAGCGGCACGATCAGCTCCATCCCCTCGACGACGTTCTTGGCCTGCGCCCCGTACGTGTCGATGAACGCGCCCGTGCTATACTTCGAGCTGGACCGGTAGTTGTTGTTATTGTAGTAGCTGTCGAAGTTACTCGCGTAGTTACTGCTTCCCATCATCAGCCCGCCCGACGCGCTCGACCCCCACAGGCTGGTCTCCTCCTCCAGCGGCGTCAGCCGCTTGCCGTTCGTGCTGGGCTTGAGCGTGTCGCGCCCTGCGTCGGGGACGCCGAGGGTATTATCCCCAGGCGAATACGGGGCGTGGTCCCTGCTCGGGCTGTACACGGGCGACTGCTGGATCAGGTCCTCGGTGGACGTCTCGTGCGCCAGGCCCCTGCCCGGGTTTTCCCCGGCGCCCCCTTTCAGGATGGACGAGCTGTCGGTCCAGAAAGACTGGTTTGAAGTAGGTCGCGGCGGCCGCGGAGGTGCCGTCGAGTTGGCCGTGGTGGTGCTCGCCGCCCCGGCGTGCTGCTTGAAGATGGGAGCCCCGACCGTCGTGGGGCTGGCCCTGCTGTCGTCGGTCCGCACGATGCGGATCTTGTCGCGGGAGAAGAGCTTCTGGTGGTGGCGGCTGTGGCCACGTGATGCCCTGAGTAGGCGGAGCGTCGGGATGGACGCTATGATGATTGCGATGTTGGGCTCCATCGACGCCCAGAGGAGCACGTTGATGTTTGCTGTTTGGAAGTTGGTGTCGGTGAGGTTGTAGATTTGGACTGCTGTCACGGCGGACGTTGCGCTCGCTCTGTGTTTTTATCGTCAGTCATCTGGTTTTTCCTCTCTTCCATTCTGTCTCTTCAACTCGATTTCCAACCACCAAAATATCTGGGGGGGAAGTAAACTCACAGCACGCCCAAAGCCATCAAAGCCCCAACACCAACCTTCTCACCAACACTTAGTCCCTTCGTCCAAAGAACCTGCCACACAACAGCCACCAGCGCAAGGTCCATAGCCGCAGAGAAAGACTGCGCGCTAAGCCCCACGATGTTCTGAATATTAATGCTCCAGCACGCCCCCTCGCCGCTTCCCCAGCCCGCGGCGATCGGCCTGCACCGCAGCCAGTGCGCGATGGCCGCGCCGGCGAGGACCGTGTTGACCAAGACGACCACCGAGTACAGCGCGGCGCGGGCCAGGCGCGGCGACTGCAGGCGGAGCAGCGTGCAGGCGAGGGAGGTCTTGCTCCACGCCATGGCTGTCAGGGCCAGGCTGCGGGCGACGTTGTCCAGCAGGAGCAGCGCCGAGGGCCCCGCGGGAGGGGCTGACGTCTGGCGGCGGCCTGTGCCGAGGGCCAGCTCGAGGGATGTGATTGCTGAGTAGAAAATGACGACCACCTTTTTTTTTTTTTTGGTTTGTTGTTAGTATTTCTGTTTGATTTGCTTGCTTGCTTGCACTGGGATGGGACAGGGACTCGTGTGACTAACCCAAGATGCTATCAGGAAGCCGTCGTCTGACCACAGCTGCTGTGCCCTGAGCCACTTTGTGAACAGCCGTAGGCCCAGGAGGATGCCTGATACCAGTGCCAGGAGCCACACCACCAGGTGGGTCATGAGGACGTTCTGGTCCGCCGAGAGGGCTCGCCTCTCCATGGCGAGGTGGTAGGCGGATGGAGGCATCGCTGCTGGAGTTGAGAAAAGAGAACGCGCAATGCCAGCCCAGCCTTCCAAGGTTGGGAAATTTCCGGTGACGCGGTGGTGGGTAGGTGGTATGCTATACCACCCCTCGCCGACAGGTAATGAGCGTGATCAACCTCGATTCTTCCAGAAAGAGATGGACCTTTCTGAGTATGCTTGCGTGTACTTGCGTGTAAGATGAGATGGACCGTAGCAGTTTCCCTTTCCCAGAAGAGACAAACGGTTTCTTTCCCTCCTTTCTCCCAGGTTCGCACTAGCAAGAGAAGGGCGGATGGCATATATCAACCATCACGTTTTCTCGGGGCAGATGAGCGCGATGATCGGCCGGCGAGAATACCAGAAGGGGGTTGGAAGGACGGAATAAGATGGCGGTGATTCGCATGCAGTCCCGGACGGCACGGACGTTGTCAAGTTGTCAAGCCAGTCAAGGCAGGACGGCACACTAAAGACTGGATGAACTATGTTTTGTGGGACCCAAGGGACGGAGGTGAATGCCTAGCGAGGCCCAGAACGCTACCCCTACTTGCTCGCGGGTGCCAGTCACCAAAAGCTTCGGGAAGGAAGTGAAGGAAGGGTGTGGAACGCCGGTGGGTATTGTCGGTCAGATCCTATTGCCATGCCGTCCGCCCGTGGAGCCAGCCGCAAAGTGGCCGTGGTGGGTTTTGTGATGCTACGCGGCGCGGAGGCGTATAATCAAGTGGGGACGGCCGTTGGTGTGGGGCGGGCCAGCGAGACCGAAAAAGGGTATGTACTTGCACACTGGCACACACACTAGGGAGGAGGACCGGGGTGGCAGATCTAGATCTGTGGTGTGATGCGATGCGATGCGATGCGGATGTAATGTCAAGCAGGAGGGCGATCATGGAGGGGCCGGATGTCGGACGATAAGCCAAGAGCCTTTTCTCTTACACGCAACGACGACGACTGCATCACACAGCGGCCGCCAGCGAGGAGAGCACGTCAATGTCATGTATGCCGGGCTATATGGGCGGTGGACAATTCACGAACATGTTTGACCATGTTCGGGCCTCACACGCATCAACTCGCGACAGGGTGAAATTGCACGAATGGAAAGTACTGCTGGGAGTGTACCAAGGGCCGGTTAACCACATACCCGCAACTCTAAACAGCTGCAGCGCATGAATTCCCACTTGTCTGGCCGGGGACGGGGTCCCACCACATCACATCATGACGAACTCGGTAGACCAGGCACAAATGCACAAGAAAACGCAGGGATACTGCTGTGGGGCAGGTGGATTGGCCGCCGCGGACGGCTGGCAGTCAAGGTAGGTATCCGTAGTGCTGGCTGTCAGTCGTCAGTCAGCCTCTCGGTGCCGGGCCTCCGTCCTGGGCGCCGCGGAAACTCATCAATTATACCGCACGCATTTCCACCCTGGGGACCGGGGTCAGCCCTTCCCCGACATTGAACCTGTTGGGTTATAAGTTAGTGTCGCGGGGCTAAGGTCTGAGATTGATAGAGCATAGCTCGCGGCGCAGGGGTCTGCTGGCCCGGTCGGGTCAATATACGTGAGACGACATGGTGTCATCCAATCACTTCTTTACAGTCCTTTCTTACCACTTTTGATCCTTCAGCCGCCGACCAACACCACCAACGACCAAGGGCACCCCCCCCCCCCTCTCCTCGAGAAGCCCACTTCCCTCCACCTCATCCGATCTCTACCGCGGCAGCTCAGCGTTCCCAAATCGGACGTGGCGTCTCGCGGGCACTACACTAGCACCCACCGCAATGCACGGTCGTAGTAGATCTTCCTTCGGGGCACAGACTTAGAAACGCACGCTCACCCATTAGGGGGGGCACCACACATCAGACGACAGCCAATGGACTACCGTGCCTTTAGTGAGTGGTCTACCAAGTCCCACTGGCACTGTTGACGTGACCAGACGACAGCCAATATGATCCGGGTTAATTCTTTCGTCGTCCTATATTTTTTTCCCCACGCCTCCTCCTGGAGCCGGGAATTGAGTGCAGCTGCAATGCGTCTGCGTTTCACAGCCTGCCAAACAATTGTGGAACTGAGGGCACGAGGGCGACGTGTACCGTAGTAGTTTATGTATGCCTCTGCCCTTTTATTTATATCCATCTGATCAGACCGGTCCAAGAAAATGTGACCGCGAGCATTTAATGTGCATCGGAGGATTTTCATCTGGTGGCTGATCGGCACCACAAACCCGGCTGCCCATCAAATCTCATCTCCCATCTCTCCGAAATCCCCCGGAGGGTCAAAGTCGTGTGAGGTGGCTTGACACCCGGTTGTGTCGACAGCTTCGCCGAACTATTTGGGTACCATCGCTCTGTAATTCCTCCGTACTGTCATTTCGTGCGCGGCGTCATTTCGAACTTGTGCAATGTCTGTAGCCGCCGAGTGACTCGTCATGATGCTGCCGCAAATCCCCACCTCAACCGGGGTTCTCGTGAAATATTTTTTTTTGACTTTCCTCCCTGTGTGTGACATCCCAAGGTTTTGAACTCGTCCCAGCTCTGCCAAACCATCCTCCTCTCTCTCTGTCCGAGCCGAAAAGGCTTTTTCGCCCCAGCAACAACGGCGCAATGCTCCAACGCTGACACATGTCGCGAGGCAGAACCGAAAAAGGGCTGCGCTTCATCTCCTGATCACCTATAGGATGGCGGGTGTCCCTTGCCGACTGCCGGCCTCATCCTTGTACCCCGGGCGCACCTCGATTTGTTTCAGCCGCACTGTCGCCCCGAACTAAAAGTCGTTGCTCTCATGCACACCCACTTGTTTTCCCCGGGGGTGTTGTTGAGAACACACGGGCTGGCTGGCTGGCGGGCGGGCCAGGTCGGGCCTGGGAGCGCAGTGCGACACACCAAGACCGGGGATCGCAGACTCCGTGCTGTATACTGCAGAGAGAGAGAGAGGTGCGTAAATTCTCATCTAACAAGATGAGTGTGGGGGTCCGGGCCAGAGTTGGCAAAATAGGATTGTGACGGTGTTTTGGAAGGCGTTGGAGGTTGTCAATCCGATGATGGAGCACGAGCAATGTACTGGTCGGATGGCAGGTAGATCACTTGGGCAATCTGGTGTTGTTTTCCCCCATTTGGCTAAGTCACTGGTTTCACTCCGGTAGGGCTCGTTGACATCCGAATAAACAATGCCTGTAATGAGCAGCAGTATTGACAGGGCTGTACCGCAGATGCTTAGCACCAACTCACCAACCAGGTGCGTCCGATGTGAAACCGTCATGGGGAAGTGAGAGATGTCAGCAATCATCTTTCAGATCGCGAGTCAACGTCAGAGTAAGACATCCGCACAGACTGCAACGAGTTGCTTACGCGTGGTTATGCGAACTTGTTGGTAAGTCCACTGGCCTCGCGTCTAAAGTTCGGGCTACGATAGTCTCTTACAGTCCCTACCTCACTTGCCAGCTCAAACCGTCGTTGCTCCAAGGTGGTCGGCGATCACTTTAGCCAAGTCTTGTCGTAATATTGACACATCACATCTCACGGACAATCGTGGACCCAGCGACATTAGATTTGATGGTGAGGGAAGTCGCGTCTGTTTCAGCTTTTGGCAGGCGAGGTGATGCGTACGCTTGTCTTCATCTTATAGGCTAGAATATCTGCACGCAATTTTGCGAAACAGAACGCCGCTGATATGAAAATAACGAAACGCGATCAGTTTGATTGCGTACGTGGTGCCGCCACGGACGCAATGATTCTGTCGCGGCTAATGACAGACATTGCAGGCTTGAGCAGGATGCAGCAGGTCACTGGACCAACATGACATCGCGACATCGTGAATCCAGATACCTGCCACCAGTATGCGCATCGAGACCCGTGGAGAACAGAGACTGTAGACGGAGTTGACGGAATCGCTAAAGGAGAACGGATGTGAGCTATTCCGATTTCGTAGCAGTGTAATCCACCGCACTGTGTATCGCACGCAAGTTTTAATGTTTGAGCTCCGTTGAGAAGCTGCTGGCAGCCTCGGAAGATCATCAACAGTGGCTATCCCAGACACAATAGCATAGGTCTAAGACTGAGACTGATATGAGGGATGGAGGGCCGGAAAAGTGGTTGGTGTGTGAATAATGTGGCCAAATATAGCATGCTGCCATGCAATTTGCCTCGTGGTGTCTTACTTCGTTACCCGGGCCGGCCCTTCCCTAGCACCTCGACACCAAAAAGTCGTGATCAACATGATAAGTTTTTTACCCGGACCAGCGGCTCTTCGATGCGTCCGGCGTGTAACATCACCCAAAAACCGCAATAACAGCTCAGTCCTGGAATTTAGTCAACCGCGATTCATGTCATGTGCGATCCAAAAGACCGCACCATTACAGAGAGAATCATGTCACTTCAACATGTCCACTTCGTATATTGAAACTAGACATTTTCATAGGTTGTCAAAGTTTGATGATCCCACGAGCACTCATTGAACAGTAAACTTTCTGAAAAGAGAAGCCAGCGCTTTAATTGATCCTGGACAGGCTCAATTGCAAGGGCCGTGTATCCTACAATGTTGCATTCGAGTTATGAGGCGATTATTTCCCTCGACGGGATCTCTAATTTAGGATGAACTGGCGCTTCAATGATTGAAACGATGGAAGTCAAGGCTGACTACTCGATTGTAAGCCCCGATCTGTTGGAGGAGCTATGATTGATGTTCAACACTCCCGGTAGAACGCCGTTGTTGGACGAGCTAAACAGGAACCAGTCCCAAAGCAGGACCTTAACACGAGAGCGAAGACCAAGCCCTAGTAGTGAAGCATATACAAAGTTTCTCTCAAATCATACTCCCTATAGCGCAGTCGGATATTTCAAAAGCTGTGCCAATGTTTGGAAGAGGGCCCCGCGCTCAGGTCTGCTCGGGCGCCTACGACTCAGGCTTAATTGCTTCTTCCCAGTGCCCACCTCCTCGGCTCTTGGGGCACGCGTTCTCGCACTCCGCATTCATCACTTGTCTGTCGCGTCGCTACCCGGACTGGTCTCTTACAAAGGAAGGCATCGGGCTCGGAGCTCATAGGTTGTCGATCAGAACTGGGTGACATTGCCGAGTGTGTTGTAGTAGAGGTAAAAACAATCCAAAGTTGAACCAGTGCAGCAGTCCACTTCTATATTATAAACAGGGTACTGATATCGGTAGTATTTCCCACGGTCGGCGTAACACGTGGCTCCGGCCAAGGCAGTCCACCGCCCAGGCCGTGGAGAGTAACAAGCAGGAAAACGCGCACGCATCCAACTGCTGCGCAACCCTTCCGGATTGGAAGCATGGGCCGTGTCACGTACCGCCAGCAGAAAAGTGGCAGAGACGGCCGCGCAGCATATGCCGGCCGATGGAATCGAGATTATGGCCCCGATAAGAGTCCCACTCGGTCCTGGCCTGGGCGGCATCATGCATCCGCGGCTGGATGACGCGGACGCCGGGATGTGCCCTTGGCGCCAGCCTTGGTCCTCTCCCGTCCGCGCCCCGGCCAAGCGGGCCCCAGAAGGGCGGAGCTGGCTGGCAGGAACCTAATTGTGCTGTTGTTGGACGGGCCTCAGGGCGCCAACACCGCACCGTCGGCGCGCAAGAGTCTGGGGGGAAAGCCAGTTTGCTTTTTAAGAATGCCAACGCAGCCCATTTGGTGGCGTAGAAGTCTTGTCTGTGAGAAGACAGCATGAACGGCCAATGGAATACGGATGATTGGCAACTTGTCCAAGCCACAAAGATAGAAACGAGACACTTGGCTATAACAATGTGAAAACAATTTGATGTGCTGCAGGATGAGTTATAGATAATTGCAAGAGCCATTCCCTCCTTCCTCGCCATTTGAGTATTCGCCACGGATCAAGCGACTTGATCCTTCACAATATTCCACATTAAGTCGGCGGTGACCATCAACATGAACTTCCAAAGTAGACTCATCTTTATGGGCCTAGGTAAGCCACCGAGCTATGTCCCAACCAACCCATCCCGTCCTCCAAGCTGACCTACTCTCTCAAGCGTCCCTAGCCCTGGCCAGCTCCGACGACACCGACGACGCCCTCGAGGAGTACTGGGACGCGCGCGAGGGCTTCCTCGAGGCCGAGCGCCTCGAGTCCAACATCCAGACCGCCCACGGCGTCCTGGGCTGCCTCGCCTTCGCGCTCTTCTTCCCCATGGGCGCGGTCCTCACCCGCGTCTTCCCGCGCTGCATCACCGTCTGGCTGCACGCCGCGTGGCAGGTCTTCACCCTGTGCATCGCCCTCGCCGTCATGGCCATGGGCATCTGGATGGCCAACGGCAACGGGTACATGGAGAGCTACCACGCGCGCATCGGGCTCGTCGCCGTCTGCGGCCTGGCCCTGCAGCCGCTCACGGGGCTGCTGCACCACCTGCGGTTCAAGAGGACTGGGAGCCGGACTCTGGTCTCGTATGTCCACGTTTGGTGGGGCATCCCGTTGATCACGCTGGGGACTATCAATGGGGGCTTTGGCCTGCAGCTTGCCGGTTCGAGTCGGACGTACATGATCGTGTACGGCGTCTTTGCGGCCATCATCTGGCTCGGGTGGATGGGGCTGTCGTTCTTGTCGCAGTGCCTCAAGAGGTCCAACAAGTCACCGGCTCAAAGCGGGAGGAAGATCTCCAATGAGGAGGTGCCGGTTATGCGGGATGTCACGTGCGATGAGCCGCACGGCGGCCACAAGCAATACGCCTGAGTGAACGAGTTCAAGGCGGGAGTGAGTAATTGTAAGATCAGTGTCACCTAGCAGGCACGAGCAGTACGGAGTTTGGGAGTATCACCGCGCGGGTATGCAAATAGTGGTAGATGGAATTTCATGCACAAATATGGATATGATAATGCTACTGAAGAATAAAATATCTCAAGAGATAGGCTTCCACGGAGTACTACTCACGTCATGCTTTAATTGTGCGGTCAACGGATAGTTGAGGCGGAGGGCGGGGCTTGTACCCGTAACCACACTCACTTCTGAAGCCTCCGTCTGGGTAGGTTGGATCTCTGCCTATGCTCATCCTCCAAGCGTTGAGATGGATGTATCCGCCCCAGAATCCGCACTCACCGTCCAAGATCTCGTCAATGACTCGGTACTCAGCCACGCTGAACGGAGCGTCCCACTTGTTGTGGTAGTTACAAATGTAAAGCTGCGTACTCAGTCTATCATGCGTAGCTGCCCAAACGGACCAGGAACGTGTTGGCGCCATGGTCTGGGCAGACGCCTTGAAGAGCGTCTTGTTGATTAGCATATCAATCTCGTCCCTGCTTATCCTGGGGTCATTGTGGTTGCTACAGCTGATGTAATCCACTGGAAGCCTGTTAATTAAACCGTTCAAAGTGGCGTTAGTGGTTCCATTGAAGATGGCGTTCGGCGGAGGAGGAGGCATGGAGAAATTGGCTGGGAATGGAATGACCGTGAAGAGAGGATCAGGTGGAGAATCTGGTCCGAGGGGCCTGGCAGTACAACCAACCCCAAACACAAGGACAGCCAATATCCGTTCTAACCGCATCTTACGATCCGGATTGGGTTGTGCATATGTATGAAGTCCTGTTCGAGCCTGTTTGAAGCTTTTTATCAAAGTTCTAACTGGGCAAAGTTGTGGGATTCGTGATTGATGTAGGAAATGACAGCACGTCTGGAGTTCTCTCGTAGCACAAACCTATGGGGGGAGAGCCTTATAAGCTCTCGGATAACAATTAGTCACAAAGCTGTCAAGTTCCGATTCACTCAAAATTCAACGTCAGTCGTGTTCCTTGATCACCTGCTAATATGGTCAAGACACTGCTCCTCATCGGTCCTTCTCGCCCCGATGATACGCAGAACTAACCATGTGCGCGGAGTAGTTCCTGACGTGTCTGATTTCGTATGCAGTGGCTGTGGGCCTCATCACAGACCCTGGCACACCTGGATATGGGAGCACTTCCAGTAGCCGCAGGTAGCGGACAACTTCTTGACCCGACGCGTCATACAGTAAGGTTCCAGCTCGTCCTGCCCAACATGTCCCACCTTTCAACGGAGTACTGTAACCACCGCATCACAAGTCGATGTAATTCCCTCAATGCTCCTGGCACAGGTGCCGATTTGCCACAGGATCGGGGCCCAGTCAGTTTACAAGGTAGGTGACGATCTTGGTACCTAAGTCCACATGCCAGCTGTTTCAGAGATCAATCCGCGTTTTCCGCTGAATTTGTGTCTCTCTATCCGCCCACTTGCCATTGTTGGTGTTGAGCGGTTTTTTGAAAGACGACCTTATGAAGCGATGGACCTAGATTACAGCGTTGCAACTTACCAGCAGCCAAGAGATCAGCGTAGCAGAGGCCGAATTCCGAGACTCTTCCAATCAACATCGTATTCTGTTTTCACAAATATTGGTCAATTACAAATGCATGGATAGGACGAATTTCAAATCACTTTGAATGGAACGGACCATGAGGCGTTCAAGCTGCCAGCCCACTAAAGACATGCAACGTTGCTCAATACCAGCTCCTGAATTCAGTTGATGTCGGGAAACACTCCTATCGAACCACTACGACCTCCAAAACGAATTGAGATTCTTACGTACTCAAGGGAAAAGGCTATTTTGAATTTTGAATTTCTTCAACGTCAGCTATATCTTCTGTGATTGCTACAGACGCTAAGATCTATTCTCTTACTTCTCTGTGGTTGAATGGCAGATTTGGAGATATGGCCGGTTTCTTTTGCGGGTTGACAGTTTGGTTAATGAGAAGGAAAGTAGCAGAATTGGTGTCCCTTTTCATTATAGACTATTCCTGGCCAGTCGTTTTAGTGATCAGCGCTCGGATGCAAGGTACGTGATAGCCTCGAGATCTGCTCGTGCCTGTCCTGCCTGTTTGAGAGACCTTCGCCGCCTCTTCCCCGCCTTTCCCCAATTAGGAACTCCTCGCCTATTGCCGATCCTGTGCTGTCGGTGCAGACAAAGGTCATATTTTAACAAACTTTGAGACATTACTCTTATATGCAATTAAACGTTTCATTTTAGCGCTAGTAGCCTGCACATAATACCTTACATTAAAAATTATATGCACTTATTATGCCATGCCCTTTTTAATTATTAAGCATAATTACTTATCTTATAACCCTTATAATATTATGCTTTTTACTACGCTATATATTTTAATTATTATAAATTAATTTATAATAATTTTATAATTATATTTTATTACTTAACTTCTTTAAAGCTTTATATAATTTAAGGGCTATTAAATATTAATTAAGTAAATAATGTTATTATTATAAAGATTATAAAGTGCTTTAATTAATAAATTTAAAAGCTAAAAAAAAGGAATTTAATATTTAATATTATTATTAAGTTAAATAACTTATATAAGGCTGTTTAATTAATTAATTTTTATTATAATATATATTATTTAAATTTTAAATATTTACCCTTTTTAATATATATTTTTATTACTTAAGCCCTTTTTAATTATTTTGCTTTAAAGAATAATTTATATTAAAATAAAATATAATAATAATTATTAAATAACTTTAATTTATTTATTTCTTAAAGTATTATTAATTAAGTATTTAAAGAAGTTAAATAAAATAAAAAAATTATAAATAAAATTATTATTTAATAAAATTACTTTATTTAAGTTAATTAAATTATTAAGATTTAAGAACTTTATATAAATTAATTTATTTTTATTAATAAGTTTAATATAAATAAAAAAATAAATTATAATATATAAAATAATTATTAAAGGGCATTAAGCTAAAGAAATTTATATATAATAATAATAAAGATTATAATATATAATATTAAGTGCTTTTAATACTTATAATTATAAATATATTTAATTTATTTATATATAAGGGTAATATAAATAATTAAGGCTTTATTAACTATATTAAAAATAAAGTTTTACTTAAGATATTGCTATTTTTAAGGCTTAACTTAATGCTAGTAATAAATAACGCTAATTTTCATTTTTATAAGGACCTTTAATAAATATATAATAAGGCTAGCATTTAGCTTAAGTATTTATTTTTATACTTGCTTAATTTTAACTTAATTAAGGCATTCTTTAATAATTTAAAGAAGTATATTTATTGCTATTTTTAATACTATAAGGATTAATAATATATGCAAAAGAATTAGCAGTAGTTTTTTATTAACTTAATATATAAGGTTGCTTTAAATATAAAAGCAATTTAAGGTTACTTTTAAAAGGCTATGATTTTTAAATTAAAGCAAGCTTAAATTAATTAAATAGTTAATTAATTATATACTTTAATATATATATTAATAGCGTATATGTTTTTTAAGCTTTAATTATTATTATAAGCATTATAATATATAAGTAACTTAAGTACTTTTAATAATAAATACTATTATGTTTATTAATTAAGTTTGCTATAATGCTTTAATTATAATATAGTATATATTAATAATTATAAGGCATATATTTATAAAAAGTATATTATAAAAGAAAGCTTAATTAAATAAATTAAATAATATATTATTTATTTTTAAATGCTTATTAAAAGGTTTTTATCGTAAAGGTAATTAAATATATTTAATATATAAAATAATAATTTATTATATTAATGTACTTAGCATTTAAATAATTAACTTTATATATTTATATCTTTATTAAAAAAAGTTATATATATAATATAATTTATATATTAAATAGCTTTGTTTTTACGCTATTTAATGAGCAATATTTTATATATATATAATATTAAAAAGGTAGTTATTTTAAGTAATTAAAATAAAAAATATATATAAAAAGTGCATTAATTATAAGCTAGCTTAATACTTAATTAATATACTTATAATTGTGATGGGCTTGGGCTGTTGCCCAAGCCTTATATAGTGTGGCTAGATAATCCAAGGGAGCTTGGATTATTACATACCTTTTGGCCTAGTTAAAAGGTTGCTGCTTTGCAGCTTATGGGAGAAGGCGCTAGCTAGCCTACAGCCCCTTTAGGGCTAGCCTATAATAAATAATCCAAGCTTTAGGGTTGAGAGTTTAAGTTATGGTCTTACCCAACCATAAAGAAGATCTTTGGCTTAAAAAGGCGATATTACGGGTAAGCCTTAGGGGTAATTATACCACTATATTAAGGGGGTCTTAAGGGAAGGGGTTATGTAATGGGCTTAAGCTATTGCCTAAGCCTTATATAGTGTGGCTAGATAATCCAAGGGAGCTTAGATTATTACGTACCTTTTGGCCTAATTAAAAGGTTGCTGCTTTGCAGCTTATAGGAGAAGGCGCTAGCCAGCCTGCAGCCCCTCTAGGGCCAGCCCATAACAATAATTAAACTTATAACCTTTTTATTATATACTTAATTTAATTATAACTATTTTAATTAGCTAATAAGCTAAATTTATAATTAATGTATTTTATTAAGAAGCAGTAGCTTTATAAGTAAGGAAAGGTATGAATTAATACTTATAGTAAAGTAATTAAATAAAGGGCTAATATTAATATAAAATAATTAGCTTAAATTAACTTTAATTTAAATAAAAAGTATATTAGCTAATTATTAAATATTAGGGCTATTTATAAATTATAATTATATCTTATGGAATTGCTTTATTAAGTATTAATAATATAAAAAGGTAATAAGTAAATATTATTAAGTAGCAAAAAAGAGTTTAATAATAATAATCTTTTTAATAATTTAAAGCAATAAAATTAAACCCATAATCTTTTAATTATATAATATATTTAATTATCATTATTTTAAAGCATTAAAAGCTCTTTATTGCTAAAAAGAAGATAGTGAAAAGGGTAGTTTATATAGCTAAGAAAGGTATAAGTTAAGGTAAGTATAATATATATATATATTAACTTTAAATTGCTATAATATTATTAAAAAAAATTATAAATATAATATAATTTTTATATTAAATAATTTAACTTTTTATCTTTTTATTTATAATATTATTATTATAATTAATATAGGATTTATAAAGGAAATTAATATTTTATATTAAGGCATGGTAAATATAAATAGGTTGGGCTAATTTAAAAAACTTATTATATTATAAGCATTAATATTAACTTTACTACTTTTTACTTATTATTATTATAATAATAAAAGCAATACTTAAAATACCCTTTTATATATAATAAATAAGCCGTAATTAATTACTTTTAATAGCAGTATTATCTTTATAGCCCTTAATTGCCCTTAGGAATGCTAGCAAGCTTAATATACCCTTTTTTAATATATTGCGTTCTTATATAAAGTTTTTTATATATTAATAAAGAAAGCTTCCTAAATCTTCCTTAAATTAATAATTAATAAACTATTTATTTAGCTATATTAAAAGATTCTTAAGTATACTTAAGCCTATATCTTAAAGCTTTATAATTAAGCAACTTATTTCTTGCTTTTTTTAATAATGCCGCGCCCTTTAATAATATATATACTAAAGAAAGTTATTTAGCAGCTTATTACCCTTAAGGCTATTAAGTATTACTAAAGATAATAAAAATATTAATAAATAATATAATAAAGGCAGCATAACCCTTATTATTAACATTTTAATAAAAAAAAGGGGTTATAAGCAGTATATATATATACCTAGCTGTTTATAATATTAGCAATAATAAAGCTAATTATTAAGATATTAAACGGCCATTAAGGGTATTTATAAATATTAATATAAGCTAATTATTATTATTACCGCCTTTATTAATATTAATAATATTCCTACTACCTATATTACCCCTTTTTAGCTTAAGCATATTAGCTTTACTTAAACGCTTTAATATAACTAAGAGAATATTATTATTTAACTTAAGGATTAAAAGGATATTAAATACTTTAGCTTAGCTGCCTTATTTTTAATTAATTAAATAAAATAATGCTTAATTATATATACTTTTAAGGATATAGTTTAAAAAAGCTCTTTTTTATTTTTCTTAATTAAATTAATTTACTTAAGTAAGTCCTTATATATAAGGAGTAAATATATTTTATCCCTCTTAATAAAGCATTATAATGCTAATTTTAACTCCCTTTTATAATTAAGATAATATCCTTTATTATAACACTTTAGCTATTAACTTAATTAAGTAAATAGCTTAATTTTAATATTTTTTTAAGTAATAATAACCTTTTGCATAATATTAATTTTTATAAATTTTGCTAAGAAATTTAATTAATTGCTTAGCTAAGAAATATCGCTAATTTTAACATTAAATTGCTTAATTTAAAATAAATTGTTTTTTTTTTTACTTTTATAGCAATAGCATCTTTAATCTTATAAAACCAAATATTAATAAAGCCCTTAAAGGTTAATAATAATATGATTAAACTTTGCTAACGCCTTAAAATAATATAAAGAGTAAGAAATATTTAAAAGAAATATATAATAATTAAAGTATATATTGCCTTGCCTTTAACTTACTTTATAAAGTTATATATTAATATTTAAATAATCTTAATATTTATATTTATTACTTATTAATTAAAATATAAAAGTTTTAATATATTGCTTTTTTTAATTATATTATTATAATAAGGAATTTATACTTTATTTAATAATCCTTAAGGTTATTAAAAACTTGCTTTTTAAATTCCTTAAGCTATTTATTAAGTTAATTAATGAGAAAATTATTAAATTTATTATATTACTTTTTTAAATATTTTATTAAGGGGATAGGTAAAATAATACCCTTAAATTAATTAGCTAAATTAATTAAAAAAAAGAAAAATATAACTTTAATATTTATTTATAACTTAATTTTAATATTTTTATTAAGAAAGTTATTAATAATTTTTTTAATAATTTCCTAAATATTATTATTTTTAATAATAAAGGGGTTAACGAAAAGGTTAGCAAAGGGGTTTTTATTATTATAAGATAAGGAATTTAGCTTTTTGTTATTATCTTTAATAAAGCTGCTTTTTAATAGCAATAATAATAATAATAGCTTTAAGAATATCTTTTTTAATAATAATAGCTTTTTCTTTATTAATAGCTTTTAAGTAAGCTTTGCTAATAATAATAAAAAAGGCTTTGCCTTTAGCTTAATAATAATTTAAATTTTCTTTATAAAAAAATTATTAAATATTATAAATATAATATTTTTTTTATAAGTATTATATTTATTAGCTTTAAAGAATTGCTATTAAAGATAATATAATATTTAAGCTAAAATTATAATTAATAATAAGGGCTATAGTTTAAAAGCTTATAATTATTATATAAAATTAACTTTAAGGCATTAATAATAATAGCCTTACTTAAGGGCTTTATAGCATATAAATACTTTTATTAATTATAATTATATATAAATAAATAATGCTTAATATTAATTATACCTCTTTAAAGCTTTAATAAAGCGTTAATAGCTTTTATAAACCTTAATGATAGGTTAAAAGCCAAGAAATTATATTTAAGGATAATTATTATATATAATAATTTATATATAGGCTTTTAATAGCAATAATAATCTTAATTAATGCGTAAATTAACGATATTAAGGGTATTAATTAACGGCATAATAAGTGCATATGATTTTTAGTGTAAGGTGTTATATGCAGGTTACTAGCGCTAAAATGGAACGTTTAATTGCATATGAGAGTATTGGCCTCTGACTGCTTGAATCGCATCTTGTATCTCTAGATCCAAGATTCAAGCAATGCGCGGATGAGCTCCGGTATCTGATATGCATGTAAGTGATGGGTCACGCTTCCCCGAGGTGGAGTTCGTATATGTTTAAAAGGGCAACTGACGTTATGCAAGGCTATCATAGTAGAATCGCCAAATATTTCCCCCGGTGAAGAAAACAGGAAGGAATGCCGCGTGTGGGTTCACTTCCGCCTCACCCAAGTTTTCGAGTCGAGAACATTCATTCAAGACGTCATCCCACGGTCCAACTCCTGTGCCAGACCCACCCCCATCCTCTGCTCGAAACCCGAGGATAGATAGCTGGGTCTTGGAACCACACTGCTTTTTCGACGGGTCTCTACTTCAATCGCGTCTGTCAAAGTTCACACACTCGACTCCTCTTCGTAGTATAATCCGCCGAGGACACTCTGGATGTTGATCTCGGAAGCGGGATAAGGGCCACTTCTTATGTACGCACACACTGACCACAACGGGCAGAATACCTATTTTTGGCGCACGCACTGCCCTGGCCCCGAGTCCCGGCCGGTCGAAAGCAGCAGTCGAGACCCGTTTCAAGCCGGGTCTTCGCCGGTGGGAGTGGATATCGCCCGAAACTGCAACCGGCCGGTCGATGTCGGTCGAAGATGAGAGAATAGCAACGTAGGCACTGCCCACGCCTGTCGAGATTGGAGAGATTTCCACCTGGTCCGTGATGTGCCCAATGACGTCCGTCGCAATGCGGTCCTGTTCGTGCCGTCAGCTGGCGCGTGATGCGTGGGTCTGCCCCGGATTGCTCCACTCAGCGGTCACGATCCTTGGCTCTGTGGTATTCCCGCGCCTCATTGCTGGCGAGCTGGCATGCCGGTCGCGAATTATCACTCCAGGACGTCATTGTATAGCCCGATTTGGATGGCCGCAGGGCCATGAAACAGAAACATAAAATGAAGCCGGCGGCCGCGATGTCTGGATATTGTTTTCGTTGGCAGAAACAGTTCTCTCAGCCTTTTGGCCATCTACCCCTTCACCTACCACACTGAGACACAGTCCGTCTGGACCTCAAGACACCCGCAACCAATCCAGACTATTCCGACACTCTTCATCTGATACTCAAAAACACCAACCATAGCATGGCTAAAGCGACATCCGCGGCCACGGCCGAGAACCCTCGCCACGATGCAGTCCTACACCTCGCCCGAGATGACCATGCCATGATGAGCGCATACGGCAAGGCCAGTTTCTCAGCCGTACGGGCAAATACCTACGTGACAGCAGTAGCAGCATTTGCCGTCATTGGTGCCCTCTGTTTTGGCATAGACCAAGGTATGTCACCCAGAAAAGCGACATGTCTACTGCACAGACAGTCTCCACCTCACATCCCCTATCCGGTATAACTCGGCGCCATTAACCCTCCATAAAACAGGTCTCATGTCGGTCATCCTCGTCATGAAACAATTCCAAAAACAGTTTCCCGAGCTCGCGGACGGCGCGGCGTCGCAGGGGTTCTACAAGGGCCTCGTGACGGCGCTCCTCGAGCTGGGCGCCTTCGTGGGCGCCTTCTCGGCGCCGCACATCTCGGACCACCTCTCGCGGCGCATGGCCATGCGCGTGGGCTGCTTCTTCTTCCTCGTCGGCGCGGCGATCCAGACGGGCTCCATGAACTACGACACCGTCGTCGCGGGGCGCTTCGTCGGCGGGCTGGGCATCGGGCTGCTGTCGAGCACAATGTCCGTCTACATCAGCGAGATCGCGCCGCCCAACATGCGCGGCATGCTGCTGGACTTGAACGAGCTGTTCGTCGTCCTCGGCATAGTTATTGCGTACTGGACCTGCTTCGGCACGCGGTATCTGGCCGGCGCCGCGTCGTTCCGTGTCCCCTTCGGATTGCAGATGATCCCCGGCGTCATCCTCCTCGTCGGCTCCTTCGCCATGCCGCCCAGCCCGCGGTGGCTCGCCATGAAGGGCCGCGACGACGAGGCCCTGGCCATGCTCGCCAAGCTCCGCCAGCGCAGCACCGACGACATCCTCGTCCAGGCAGAATGGATCGGCATGCGGGCCGAGAACAGGGTCACCGGCGAGGTCCTGGTCGAGCGCCACCCCACGCTGCAGACGGGCTCCCTCAAGGACAAGGTCAAGCTCGACCTCTGGACCTGGGTCGACACCTGGCGGCCCGGCTGCTGGCGCCGCACCCTTGTGTCTGTCCTCCTGTGCTTCTTCCAGCAGATGATCGGCATCAACGCCCTAATCTACTACGCGCCCTCCATGGTCGCCGCCCTCGGCTTCTCCTACGAGGAGCAGCTCGTCCAGTCCGGCATCATCAACGTCACGCAGCTGGCCGGCACGATCATCAGCTTCTTCCTCATCGACCGCCTCGGCCGCAAGCCCCTGCTCGTCCTCGGCTCCATCGGCACGACAATCTGCATGGTGATCGTCGGCGCCCTGATTAAGCTTTTTGGCGACTCTTGGGCCGCGCACGGCGCCGAGGCCAAGTGCGCCCTTGCGTTCCTCAACCTGTACATGGTTATCTTCGGCATCAGCTGGGGCCCGGTCCCCTGGGCCATGCCGTCTGAGCTCTTCAGCTCGTCCCTGCGCGCACGGGGTGTCGCTTGGTCGGCAATGTCGATTTGGTATGTCCTACCTCACAGCCCAGTGCATCAGTCTCCACTCATTTGACATGAAACTAACATTTCGCAGGCTGTTCAACTTCATCGTCGGCCTCATCGTCCCTCCCATGCTCGAAAGCATCGGCTGGGGAACCTTTATCTTCTTCGCTGCCTTCGCCACGCTGGCTGGAATCTGGACCTTCTTCTTCGTCCCCGAGACAAAGGACAAGACCCTCGAGCAGCTCGACAGACTCTTCAACGACGCCACTGGCCAGAAGGACGAGGAGCGTCGGCAGCGCATCCTGGGCGGTCTCGCGGTGGAGATATATGGGCCCGGGGGACAGAAGCTGACGGGGGATTCTAGCTCGGACACGAGCTCTGACAAGATTCGTGTAGAGAGGCATGAAGAGGTGTGATCGTGTGAAGTAGCATTTTCTATTCTGTGTTCGGACTTGTCTTTCTTGTCGGGTTAAACTCATTAGCGACTGGCGTTGTTGATTCAAATTTCAAGATACCAATTGTTGTTCATGGCTGCAATATTACCTGTGAATATGCCTCTCTGTCCCATCTGTTCTTGGAAGTGCTGGAGTTGATGGAGATTGAAGAGAAGGATGTGTCAGTGCAGCATAGCCATGGAATGGTATCATACTAGTATTGTTCTCTGAGCCATCTGTATTTATTGATCTGAATAGCACACCAAGTAATCAAACGCTTTCAGAACGCATCCTATGCCGATGGCTGCAAAGTCTGCCTCGCTCCAAGGATATCTCCTTAGAAATACTAATATCCTTGTGGCTATCCCGATTCTCTCCCTCGAATCTTTCAACCATAAGTGCACTGCGCCTTTGCAGCGCTACTCCTCAGCAATGGCGAAACTATTCTTCCGTTTCGTGCCAAACCAATTGTTCCTCGTGATGATAGAATACTTCGTCATCCACGCTGTAGAACACGTATTCAGACCTGTCCATGGTGTTTCGTTCACCTGGCGAGGGTCCATGCTCTATCCCTCGTGCCAGAGACGCAACAACGAATCTCAATGAAAGCTGGAGGGTTGCGATGATATTACCCGAGCTTCCGTGAAGTGTTGTCACGACTCATTTCACATTGGCTGCAATCGAAGGTCGTACCGCTGGTCTAGCGGAAAGTCCACCTCCATATGCCGGTGTAGAACAAGTGCATCCATACCAACGACGGCATTCGGACCAGAGTGCGGCAGCCAAGAGCGTCTAGTATTCGGACCACGTTGTCGCGGATACCCATCGGAGGGGGAGTTAGTACGCGGTCCAGAGCGGTAGAGTAACACTTCCCCACTGAAGAACGTATGACAGTCCCATCTTTCATGGGGATCAGGAAATGAATACAAGAGTTGATATCTGGAACGACGCGGAGGATGGACCGTGGTGCTGCTGTCGTTGGGTTGGCGAGTTGACCGGCTAGGATGGTAAAACATGAGAATCTAGGTTGGTGTTGTCCTAGGGATATGAATGACTCACTATTGAATTTCATCCAGGAACCTGGCTACCCGCCAGTGGTTAACCAAATACCATGAATGCCATTCTAGGTGCATCTCAACACGACAGTTCTCCCGGACCTTAAGTCTTGTTTCCATGTGGCTGAGTATGATGTCCATGGTGTCACGATTGAGGGTTCGATCAAGGTTGTCGATCTGGATATCTAGGCGTCTCAAATTTCCCCCATGGTCGAAGGCGCCAAGGAGAGACTCAAGGCGGCGGAGGTATGTTGTGAGGCAGATCTTAGGAGGCTTCTTAGCAGGCGCAGGGCTAGCCCAGGTCTTTCTCCGTGTTCTCGTGGATGGCCTGGGAGCGTCGGTGCAAGGCGGTTCGGTCTCCTCGGTGGTTGGAGCGAATTGGCACGGGAAGGAAATTGACATGTTGAGCTCGAGTGTCTTTGCGTGAGGCAGAAGACGTGCGGCGTCGGAGGAAAGGTTCAATGGATTGGAACCAGGCCTTAGGCTTACGATAAACGTTGCATAATCGCAGAGAAGGGGTTGTGCTTCCTTGTGAACCTGTCTACATGTACCCAGGATCGACGTGAGGCCTGTAAACGTAGGGGGCCCTCGGAATCTACCGACATTTGTCGTGACCTCGTACGTTTTGTCACATATGTGGTACTCGACGATAGGATGGCGTCCGACAAGTGGTAAGAAGAGAAGTTCGTATATCACGAGACGCAATTCCGGCGGAAAGTCTAGAAAAGTCGGCTCGGACGGCGAGTCCCAGCGCTCGCCAGATTCTGGTGTTTGCATCCTGAGGGACACGAACGATCGAAGATTGTTCAATGTGACGATACTCAACCAAAAGAACGAGTGATGATAGTAGAGCCGGGCAGTATGGGAATGCTGCTTGGATGGGAAAATATGAGAAAAGCTTGGGTTTTGAAAACGTTCGGCCAGTTGGCGCTCTCCAGAGTAGACAAAACATTGCTGGCCAGCGGCATGCTCAGGGAAAGTGCCTTCGTGCACTGTTGCGGTTTGCAAGGCTAAGATTTTGGCAGTTGTCAGTTGCTCGGCAATGGGGAAGTCGCAGAGCTACTGTTGTAACGCACGACCTTGTGAAAGAGCAAGCAGGAGTCGATGTCAATGACGAATTCTGTTGTTGGTCTTGCGGTTTCCTCCCTGTCTCACATACCTCCGACCGGAAAGGCAAGCACGATGGAAGAACACAGTGTAAGCTTTGCCACCGGTGAGTGACTTATTTATGATTATTGATATGTGCATTATTTGATCTGTCATTTACGGCCTTCATTGTCCCCAAGGTCAGAGGAACTAGACGTCGCTTCCCCAATGGGAAACATGGTCTGCCTCTGCTCTGGTGGCCAGCCACGCGGGAGTGGGACGTTGTCGGGCTCATTCAGCGGCCAGTCTGGATATGAAAGCGGCATGCTGTATTCCGTTGGACTCGACATGGTGGCATACGTCTCCACAATCCTGCCTATCGTGCTGTTCCCAGTCCGCCCAGACCTCACTGTGGCGCTATCCTCCACCATCAATGTGTCGTTGGGTCTGCGGTTGATTCCCCTGCTTGTAGTTGGAGTGTCCGACATCTCCTCTAAGAACTCCCGCCTCGCCATACTTGCACTGCGGATTGGCACGCTCGTTGAGTGTTTGTGCGTTTTGTGCCTGCTCGTAAATGTCGAAACCGAGTGCACGTCCGAGTTGCTTCGGGCCAGGCCACGAAGAGCGGGCTCGGGAGCGGCGGGTCGAGGCTCAGCATCTGAAACCCTGCTTGGAGGCATTGGGAAGGCATCGACTTTCACATCGGCAATCTTCAAGCTGTTCATCCTCAAGGGTGCATCTCGACTGATGCTGATATCAGTGGATCTCTTCGGATACTTGCTTCGCCCGTATCGACTCCCGCTGTACCCGAACCTGCTGCGAATCGTCGACCCGTTCAGGACTGGCCACACTCGGACTGCCAGTAGCCTGAGGGTTGGGAGACTGGTGCAGATCATGCCGACGTTGAGCTCGATGGTCGACCAAATTGCAACCGACGTGTTGTCCCATGTCACATTCGTAGAACTGGCGTATTTCATAAGCGACTGAAGGCGCAGTATGCTGACAACAGTCACAAATGTGCCCACGAAGAACATCAACCCAACGCTGACCTTCTTCGTCCAGTGCAGCTTCAGTCCCGGCAGCTGGGACAGGGGAATCGCCAGCATCCAGACATCGAGAGCGACGCTTACCGCGGCCCTAGCAAGGCAGAGTTAGCATACTGCACACCCCCAACAACCCGGGAGGGACCTCGAGAATGACCACCGTCTCAAAGGAATAAAGACACGTACTGGATCCATGAGATGGCGTGGAGGCTCAAACATTTTCCCTTGTGCTCCCCATCCCACGACTCCCAGAAGAATGATATCGGCGTGCATTCAAATATGGAGATGAATAGGAAGGTGACAGTGTACAGCAAAATGAGTACAATTGTTCCCCACAGTACTCTGCGAACCGGCCGTGCCGGAAACACGCGGAGGTAGAAGAACAACAGCGACAGTTTGACCATCGGCAAGCCGACGACATATAAGATCTGTAGCACGTAAAAGTACTTCGCAAACAGCGTGATGTCGTTGAACGACAGAGTCCATATGTCACGCCCCAGCCCGTGACCTCCCGCCCCCAGGGTGGCAATCAAGGTAGAGGGAATACCGAGGATAAACGTCGCCAGTATGATCCAGTCGTCAGGGCCAACACTGCCAGTGTCGCCCATGAAAGTCCTGACGTAGAACCGTATGGCAATGACAACGAAGGATAGCGCAAGCAGCACGTACGAGACGACGTCGATCACGAGGCGGTCATCTCGGATGGGCGCGTCGCATGTCGTCGAGCTGATGTTGAGTGTCGTGAGGGCCTCCTTGACTGTGCAGCTTGCCAGCACGCACGACGAGACATTGGCCTGGAGGGCGCTGCTCTCACAGATGCACGTCTGGTTGGTGATGGGACATGGCGACGCCGGGCTTGTGAGTGTATCCAAGAGGCAGGACAGCTAAAGAGAGTCAGGCGACATGTCTTGTATGTGACAAGGGATTTTACTCACAGCGCAGCTCGGCACGCCGGCCAGGACCGACGCCTGGGTGAAAGCTAATTGTACCAGGCTGAGCAGGACGAGCAACTTGGCCAAGGGCGCCACCATCGTTGCGAACAGCTTGCGTGATGAGCTCGGCAGTCGTTCCTCTCAGAGAAGACAACATGCAGCACACACACAGCAAGGGGAAAAGAAACAAGGGAGACCAGGCTGTTAAGGTCATCCGGGCTCATCGGGACATGCACCTCCAAGCCCGGGGCAACGAAGAGACCCAGGCAGGGATCATATAAGGTTGCAGATAAGAAGCAACGGCACGTGGAGCACGACATAATATCGGTGCCCTGTTTCAAGGTTCCGTTCTGAGGTTCAACGCCCGCCCATGTTTCGCAGAAATCGCAGTGCACGCCGGGGCTGCGGGGCCAGCCCTTCCTCCACCCCCATCGCCCTCGTGCCAGGCGCAAAACAAGCCGATTGGTAGGAGCCGTTGTGTTCGCGAATCGTGGGTGCGAACCTTGTGGCCCCGGGCTCATCTCGCTAGGAAGGGATTGGCCGAGTGGGTGGGTGAGTTTCCGCGAGGCGGACCGAGCTCAACGCCAAGGGGAAACACCTTTCTCCCGGCGATGCACCCGCGCGCCCGGAGTGCAGGAACGGCTCGCTTGGGGGGATCCAGAATCTTGGGATGCCATGACTCGGCTGCTCCGTTTTTGCTCCATAAGTACTGGGCAGGGCCCCCGGTACCTGCAGCAGTATCTTGATAGATTGGCGTGAGCTGAGGGGAGTTGGCATTGATTTACCAACTCTTCGACTGGGCAGCCTATGGTCATGAGGCTACTCGCTGATTCAAACATGGGTTTATCAGTGGGTACGTGTACCTGAAGGAGTGTCTCCCACCGCAGATCCGGCACCATGGCTCGCGAGGTCCTCTTTTCCCGCGAGGCGTGCGGTAAATGAGAAAACCTTATTTGTCTGATGCATCATATCACTTCCCTGCGAACGGGTCTCTCGTCAAGACTGTGGATTCTTGCGAACAGACCCCGACGGGCACGCAACCACCGGGTGCCCCAAGAGCATCCCCAAACCTTGGATGGTTTTTATTCGTCATGTCAGCTGGTGCAGTTCGTCTGGACCGTTTGAATCGTAGCTGAAATACCTTTGCATGATTGGCTAAAACCAAACTATGCTCGTCGATGGTTTGGAGCGACAGCAGGTCCGATGACGAACAACCTGCCAGTGTGGCCCTGGGAAGCTTGTGTAGTATATAAATAGTTCAATCGGATGACAGAATGAGGATCAAGGTTGCCATCGATGTCGCGCGAGTACCGCGGCATGCGTTACGTAATTAATGTGAACATGTCCTTTCGAAGTGTCCATGGACCAAGCACATCGTCGACGTCACTTCAAGTCAAAGCTTTGACTCTTTACTGGAATCACGTCCACACAGCCTGCGCTGAATTGCACGCGCATCCGCCGTTGTCCTTGTCAATGTAGTGTCATTGGGCCATAATCAGGCGTCGGTGCCGGCCCGAACGCTAAACAAGCTCAAGCTCAAGGCTTTGACGGCTGCAGGCCCTGCAGTGCCGCCTCCACGTCAACAATGTTGGGAACCTCCTCCTTCAGGCTCGGAGCACTCGGGTTCCAACCGAGGTACTTGCGAGCCCTCTTTGCGTAACCACGCGAGCTCAAACCATAGGACGCGGCCTCAAATCCCGCGATCTCTTTGGCTCGGCCACTTCGAGGGGCTTCAACGGAATTAGCATGCTTTCTGCAACGGTCGGAGAAAAGGGAACGCTCGGGAAGTTTACCTCGAGGGTGGTGTCCTTGATGTAACCCTTGGCATGCGCGGCCTCAGCAACCCACTGGGCGACCTCGCCCCAGACGTGGTACCCTCCCTCAGCCAGCAGATAGCCTTCCTTGGCGCCCCAAATGTGCGCGTCTATTTCGGGCTTGGGGTTAAGCGCGGCTTCGACCTGCCTGATGTACAGGTCGGTCAAGTCGTGCACATGAACATTGTCCATGGTCGCCTTTCCTGTCCCAATGATCGGGGCTCTTCCACGCTTGAGCGTCATGTTGGCCATGACATAGACCTGTCGACTCTTCGTGTTGTCCACTCCTCTGCCCTTGCCATAGATGGTAGGCGGGCAGATGATTGCCGCCTTGATGGCCGGGTGCTCAGCAGCAGCCAGAACGATCTTGTCCACGTTGCGGTGGAAGGCGTGATCAGGGAGACCGGTGAGCGCATCAATGCCCTCGAGATCGTTGTACGGCTCATACGACAGAGGCTGACCGTACCGGTCGGCATCAGTGTCTTGGTAAGTCAAGATGCCTGTGCCACCGGTATGGATCCAGTAGCCAGGCTTCTCCTTGCTGTGCCCTGCTGCGAGGCCGGCCGCGAAGGCTTTGGCTGCTCCTTCGTGATCTGATGCATCGGCAGTGTCTACTCGATGGTCAGTGCTCGTTCATCTCAACTGATTGCGGCCCAAGTCAGAGCTTGCTCATTGCATACGGATGAGAATGTCCGTTTTTGATGCCTCCTCCTCCAGCACCTTGGAGTCGTCTAGTGTGCCGTAGACGATTCGGACATTGGGGTACTTCTTCTTGACAGGCGTAGCCTTGGACTCGTTCCTGACCAAGACAGAGTACTCGAATTCCGGGTGGGTCTTTTCTAGGACGTGGAAAATATCCCCACCGGTATACCCCGTGATTCCTGTCCTGCGAGTTGGAACACGGTCAGCTTATCCTATTTTTGATCATGGTACGCGGCTTGGAGACGACTCACAAGAAAACTTTCACCATATTCTGTTCTTTTAAGTGTCATGCACTCAATGAATGCTTCAGTTGGGAGAGATTTGGAAGCGTACAGATGTTGAAGAGGGGATCCATTATAAACAGCAGCTGATTACAAACCATTGCCGCGACGACGCCATTCTACATGACGTCCTGGAAGCCGTCACGGACGAATCTACCCTAACCCCCGCCTAAACATTTTCCCACGGGCCGTGATGTCATGACGACGCCGTAGAAACTACTCGAAGATGTTCTAAAACGCTCCAATGAGTGAGGGCCGATGTAACCAGAAACAGAGACATTTTAAGATCGGCCGGGTCAGTCTTTACGCTGAAGGAAGCGTGGCCACAGAGACCTACCATCTAGGATACTCACTCAACGCAGACACCCCACACGCGGCTTCAAGATGTCCCTTGCTGCATTCCGGCGACACCACCAACACGACGAGCTGGCTCAGCTGGCCGAGTCGCATTTCGAACATGACTTGACGACAGATGACCGCGAGGTGCTGAAAGGAGCTGCCAAGACGATCAGCTGGCACGCGTCCTTCGGGTCCATCGTCGGGCTCGGCCTCGGCTGCTTCCTGGCGTATCGAGTCCGTGGGCTCCGGAGGAATTGGTTCAACGAGTTCAGGACTTCTGATCAACCGAAGCAGGTTATCTTCCACAGCGGAAAGACATGTAAGCCGTGATTCATGGGCCTCACTTAGACTGACAACCAGTCATAAAACTGACAACACTCTCGCAGTGGATGTTCCGGACGTGACCTCAAGGCTGGCCCCGTCGCCGGTTGGGGACTTTGCAGCGTACTTGTTCCTTGGAATGGGAGGACTGTTTCTTGGGGGAGAGACCGGCTTCCTTACCGGCACCTCTATTGCGGCCAGGAGGGTGAGGGCAGATGCCGAAAGACGCAAGCGAGTTGAGGACGCTTATCGAGCATTCAAAATTGATTTACTGCGCAAGCAGGCGAAAGAACTTGAGCAGGGTGGTGCTGTTTGGTAGGTCCTAAGCTATGTGAGACTGCTGCCGCTACCACAGTCGGTTCAGGCTACGATTAGGCAGCTGCGAAAGTCACGATGCACCATCCAACTTGGAGGAGACAAGTCTACAAGTCCGTCACGGGCCATTTTTCTCGTCATTTTGAAAAGCTACCTAGGTTTTAATAATACGGAACACACATTTCGAGTCGCATCCGACCTCATGCCACAGAAAGGGACGACCCAACAAAGACAACGAGGATCGCAGCGTACGCAGCCACGGATATCGACCCCGTCCGGCCGTCCAACGCCACGCCGATTATAGCCAACGCCAAGAGCTCGGAGAAGAGCATCGTGGCCAGGCTCGTCCCGACCAGTGATACCAAGACGCTGTTGGTCAGCGCCGTGACAAGCATAGGCCCGATGATTGCCAGGCCACCGAAGACGCCCGAAGTGAAGCGTTCGAAGAAGAGGCGGACCTCGTAGCGTTTTCTCATCCCGTGCGACACTCGCCTGGAAGTATCTTGGTTTCGGGGTCCTATGCTGTCGGACCCCGCGTGTGTCGATTTGTTTATTGTTCAGTGTCTTCGGAAGTGGGCTCTAGGTCTCTGAAGCGGCCTCCCCATTCTATCAGGTTACACCTGAGCCTTTTCTCTGTTGCTATCATCATGCGGTCTGTGCGGCCAACGAACAGCCCGGCTTCGCTCCTTCTCTCTCATCAGGTCCAAATTACGTATCGCTGAGGCTGACCAGAAAGACGAGTCGCCTTTGAGGGTTTGCTGCGCGTGAGTTGCACTCGCACTCTGTCCGTATATCGTAAGGGGTCAAAGTCACGCGGGCCCCACGGGCACTTCGTGCCGAGCAAACAAGCAGCTATTTAAGGGCTTCCGCACAGCAGGGGTGCCCTTAAGGAGACTTGGACCCTTAGGTTTGATTCCATTTATGCAAATTAGTGAGCGCTTTGGCCTTAACACTCTACCTATGCCTATCGGGACCGGTTGTGGAAGGAGAAACTCCTGTTTGGGTACGCAGCAGGTCTTCCACGGTCGGACGCGCGATACCAGCATTTCAATCTGACCATAGCGAGGCAGTTTGAATCGGCGGAAGCTTCTTCGTTGACTGCGGCGTCCTGCAGATCTTCTTGCCCATATTAGCCAAGATATCCGCTGTTCGCGCCTCATCGCCAATAGTATTATCCTTTGATATCGTACCCCTGTTAGCAACGCCGGCTGGTCTCAGTGAACAGAAGAATTGGCGGCCGCGGCCGAGTCCGCCATGGCTGGCGCTCAATCCTGAATTGGATTGGGAGTGTAGCGACGTCGCCAGAGTCCTGCTTGTGTCGGGCAGGGACATGTCCCTGCTGTCGTCGCTGTCGCTGTAGCTGGAGACTTCCTCCGAATCGCTCGGTAACGCCTCTTGACCAGCCATGCTAGCGATATCCGGATGCCTTCCATTGTCCATGATTCCTATCAGAACGGCATCGCCTTGACTTGGACGTAGCCCGGGTCGACGCTTAGTTTTCCTGCTACCATGACTGGGAGGTGGGCGCTCAAGCTTCTCATAGCTTGCGGTTCGACGGGCACGGCGTTCCTCGTCGTGGTAGACTCTTGACCGCGACGGTATCTCGCTTTCCCATGATTGCGAGAATTCCTTCGCGTAAGGCTTGAAGGGGTTCGATTTTGATGTCGAGTGTTTCGACGGGCTGACTTGAACCAGCGGAATGTCTGGTGGAGGACTGATGCTTCGTCGGAAGGTTCTTCTTTTCGGGACCAGCAAGGGGCTATTCCGAGGCACCACGGCATCGGGGTCGTATCCGTTGTGGGCAGAAGCCGGAGCAGCGGCTGTAGTCATATCTTCAGTTGTGCGTCTTTTTCTGGTCACAGTGCCCAAGGGAATGCCCCAGGTTCTGCTACCTCCGTGATATGTTGTCTGAGTGGGTGCCTCGTAGTGGCGTGGGATATCCTTGTTAAAAGATGACTGTTGTCTCGTTGACCTGTGCTTTTCAACCGGTCTGTTGTACTTGTGCTCTGGCTGTATTCTCAATGCTCGACTTATGGGCACCCGAAGTGGCAAAGGGGTTGTGGCTGGGTTCTGTGTTTGAGGCATGTAGGCAGCAGGCGTGCCAGTGGTATGCGACTTCTGCAACGGAGGCGGGATCGGTTCTGAGTTTGATGACGGCGAGACCACCTTGGGGTGGGCATTATCTGGCTCAGATATGTCCATGATGATAGGGTCATCCTTGACACCCTCCCCATCGCCAGATGCGCGCCGTTTAGGTGCCCATGTCTCGATTGGACCTGGATAGGCGGCAGAATACGTAGGCAACTCCGCAGAGTGTTTCGACAGACGGGGAGTCGGGCTGCCTCTAGTCAAAGGAGATTGCGGACTTCTGTAAGGGTCGCGCTGTGGACGTGGAGGCAGGCTGGTGTATTTGCCAGGCGGCATCGGAGTCTATGGACGCGTGAGTTGGTCGCAGAGATGCGATGCGGGTGAGTCGACACAGGCTCCAGTAGCCTTGTCAAATAGCGTGCGTGCAGGTGGGAAAAAGACCAAACGAGAGCCTATTTTGTCTTGATTTCATCACAGGTTGGATGAGTGTGCCGACTCCAAAGCTCAGATGCGTTCCGTAGGCTGGAGGTAGAAGTGCTTGTCGGCTGAGCTGGTTCACCAAAGGCGCTAAAGTGATACTGGAACCCGGGTCTGAGGTGGAGTTGGGAGGCCTGGGACTGAATACGCGCTCACCACGTTGCGTTGGACGGCAGCAGAAGACCCCTCCTCTTCAAGGGTGCAGCTCAGCCACGTAGGAATAACCTGCATATGCATGTACCCACATCCAGTTTAGCTTACACAGTACTCGATTCTTTAAACCCCTGAGCACAGCACATACAAGAACATATCACAGTTCGGGCTGTCAAGCTTCGGTATCATCATTGTTGTAATGCAACCATGTAGGAATCAATGTATATAAAATATGTGTGTGATAGTACCGTGGTGTTACCAGTGTGGGTTTTGGCAGTGTGGTACGCAAACCAGTATAGCAAAACAAAGTGGATTCTGTGTGTGAGGGTGCAGATCATGCCTGCATACTACAGTATCTATGCAGTGCGATGCACGTTGAAAAGGAGGGGGAGGGTCTTGCAGGCTGCAACATGGTGTGCCCATGATCGCTCCCAAGCCTCCCTACTTCACCTCAAACCTAGGTTCAGAGTCTGGTAGCTCCTTTCGTAAATGAGATTACCCACTCCACGGATGTCCAGCCCATGAGACAAGTTCTGAGTGATAATTAGCAACCTCATCCTTTACAAAGTCATTCAACATTCTACGAACTCGGGCCCACGCTTTGCCTTTCCCCCAATACCCACGAGCACTGCCGAAACAGGGCGAAGGGAATCAGCATCGACTGCTTTGTTACCCGCATTGAATCTCTCTGACTGTCACACGCGTCCATGCCCTCCGATGGCGCATGAGGATGAATACATGACCCTGCCTGCAGGTAAGAGGCACAAGCCGACGAGGGGACAGATGTCCCTCGAGGACGAAGATGAGAAGGTGCGGAGAGAGATAAAATTCAGGGAGAGTTTGGCTTTCGCGGCGAGCTACATGCAGAAAATAAGAAGCAAACAAGCCGCCACGTCCTCCAGCTCGCACATCACCCCCGTCTCAACGAGAGCCTCCTCCCACAATGAAAGCAGGACGCCGGCAACGTCGCTACTCTCCACCACCGACGCGGGCCGACCCGCCAGCGGTCGTATCAGCCGCGGCCGCCTCTCCTTCCGACCATCAAATGCCAGTGGCCTCGCCGACCTTGCCAACAAGAATACGATATCAAGGGACAATACCACCGGCGACGAGGAGCGGGAGGCGAAGCTCTTGGCTAAAATGGGCAAGAAGATCTGCAACACGTCGCAGCAGGCAACAAAGTCCGAGGCGGGTCACGGCGAGTGGCGTAACAGGGGCAGCAGAGTGCGCAGAGGCCTAAGTGAAGCCCTGGACGAAGACCTCGCCCAGCTGGAGGAGGATCCGTTCGAGGGCTGGGGTGAACCCTTGCCCCTACGCATGCCGTCCCCTCCCTCCTCAATTGTGGATCCGGAGGGTTTTCAGAAGGAGATTCCGGACTCATGAGCGCTGTGTCATTGGACAAGGAGGCCAGGCAGTAGCTAGGCAAAATAAGGAACAAGACAGAGTTTAAAATAGCTCATAAATGATAAAGGTCGAGGCCGGGCTGTAGCTATATGCTGTATGACCGCTTTGAAATTGTTCTCTTTGACGCAATGAGTCAAATTGGCCGAAAACCAAGGGGACTAATGAGGGGAGGATTCAATAGAGGCTGCTTGCTGAAATATTGCAACGGAATCACAATCTTTTCAAACAATTATTTGCCTTGCAGGAAATTCTTTCAAGGTGGACACTAAAAATGGGTTGGGAGCGTTGAAAGAAAAATCTTACAAACTCGGCAAATGCTTCGGACCAAACCTCTCATCTCGCGTCGTAAAACTTGCATTTCCATTTCTTCAAGACCACAATACATAACTGCCTACATTCAGCCATGAATATCCCACCTAGGTACCATCTGATCGTATCTAGCTGATGAATTCAAGTAGAGTAGTCAAGAAAGCCAGCAGACACAACTCTACCTCTCTTTCTTATCCCTCTGGATCTGGTCTGCCGTATAGTACTCATTAAGCTCCAGAAGGTACTCGTCGAACTTCTCTGCCTCCTTAATCACGGTTTTAAGGTGTTCATAGCCCATAGGCTCGCGTTGGTACGTGGCCAACTCCCGCGCGGTAGAAATGGCGTTGCGGATCTGGCGGCCATTTAGCTCAGCCTTGGCCAGCACCTCAATCTCGTTGCTGATCTCCTTGAACTTGATGCCGTATCCGATATCCGGCCCTGGATACACGTGGCCAACATCTCTGAGCTTCTCTTGCTCCAGACGCTGGAGTCGTTCCAAGAAGTTCTTCCAGATCTGTAACCGCTGGTCCCACTCCAGGGTCTTGTACCGCAGGTTGAGCTGGATGCGTGACTTGAAAGCCTCATCGAGAATGCCCACGCGGTTGCTTGTTAGGATCAGAATCCCTGTTATTCGTGTTAGCAGTTTTTAGGTGATTGTTATCTGACACGACATGTAAAGTGAAAAGAGCCGTGTAATACCATCATAATATTCAAGCACCCTCAAAAACAGTCACGAGTGCATTTCGTTCGAGATTGGAAACGGACCGCTGCTCTAGGAAGACGTCCGCCTCATCCAAGAGGACAACTGCAATCAATGAGCAATGCTTCCCAGGAGATTGAGCCAAACGGCCAGAACTCACCACAGTCCCACTTCTTTCCTAAGAGCAAGACAGCCTCGAGGTACTGCATAGAGTCAGACATTATCTTCATGAGAGCAGATAGAGTGAGCACTCATGTACTCTACTTAACACTTACATTCTCTACATCTTCAGCCTTTGTACCGATATCTCCGCAGGTCACCCTGTAGAGAGGTCTCCGCGCAATCTCGGCAACACTTGAGCTATGGTTAGCTTCTATACGAGAGGGAATTGTATGCAGTCAATCAAAACTCAAATACCTTTCCGCGGTTAAAGTCTTGCCGGTTCCAGGTCCCCTTTGTCACATTTTCGACAGTTAGTGGAGTGTTGGTGCGAAGCGGTTGGGAAGAACATCTTACCCATGTAAAAGAATGAAAAGCCCATTGCCTTTCCCAGTGATGAGATCCGTGTTCTCTGAGGCGCGCACCCGGTTTGTGACGACAGCCTGGATGAGGAGCTTGGTCTCTTCTTCGATGACGAGGAATTCAAAGGCTTCGGTATTCCATACCACGTCTCTTACATAATGGACGTCAAGATTGACTATAAATCGTGAGCACCTCGCAGTCTTGTCAGATTTCGTGCTTGAATACTAACCCCATTCCTTCTTCTGCATATTGAAACCCGGTATTGACGTAGGAAGACACATAAAGAACTCGTCTCCGAGGTCTGGGTCGTCCTGCAACATGTATTCGGCTTCCAACTCATCCTCCTCGGGCGTCGCGCGCGCTCGGTCCAACTTGTCGCCACGATGCATTTGCTTATGAGTGGCGATATCGACCATGAAGCGAGCAGACATCTGAAATCATTAATGAGCGGATCACGCCGTAGACAAGGTCGCTTTGCAAGCACAAGGAAATGAGAGCTCACCGGATTCTGCATGCCATCCTCTGATTCAGTGTGGAGCGAGACATAATTCCTTGTGCGGCACCTCCAGAACATGTGTCCACGCTTGCGAAGTGCCTCGATTTCATCCTCGCTGGCGAACTCCATCGGATACAGGCGTAGATCCAGGATATTAAATGGTTCCTCAAGAGATGGAATGTCATATATATCGATATCTTTATGTGTTTTGCTGAAGTTTCCGTCAAAAGCCCACGTGTATGTAGAGACTGACGCCGAGAACGAGTCTGGAGATTGTCTCACGTGGAGCCAATCTTCTGCGACAGATGCTGTTCGCTGTGACAGGGCGCTGTTGTTTCCTTGTGATATGATGATTTGGCCTGGAACCTAGACACTTGCTGTAAGTTCATGTTGGAGCGAACAGGTTTCGGCCATCTCCGGCATGCCGTTGGCTGTAAGAGATGACGGGCTTGCTTACTATGAGGTATTTCATGTACTGAGCGGAGATCTTCCCTTCCCCCATAAGACTTTTGACACTTTGCCATTCTTCTTCCATGCGAGACTCAACATAATCCCGGAAACAGTCCACGTACACCCGGGTTGCTTGGGGCAGCTTGTCGATTTCGTCATGGATTTCCACGCGTCTGTGGAAGTACCAAATGTAAGGATACAGAATCTCGTCATCCTCTCCGTCGTTATTCGCTTCATTGAAATCTGGATGAGGAATCCCTTCAAGAGCTACGTCCGCGATCCAGGCTAATGCTTCCCTTAGTTCGGGAGCGATGAGGGAGATCTCTTCTCCCTTCAGAAGAAATGAGGCATCTATCCCCAGGCCAATATCACCTTGATTCCGGGGCGGATTCTTCACCGGTTTATCACAGCACTGGTAATCCTTGTACACGATAAGTGCGATCTCTTTGTTCCTCTCAAGATAGAGCTCAAAGTTGTTGATGGGTTGGCTCCCTCTTAGGTGCGCATCGAACGGGCCGCTTTCGACTACCCAAGGCTCGTCGAGGAAGTACTTGTGATCGCTCCTCCACTTGTGGCACTCCACCCTGTGGACTATTTGCGCTCTGGGAGGGCCCTGCTGCTTCTTAGCTGTAGCCCTCAGCCGATCGATCTCCTTCACCTTCTCAGAGACCTCGTCTATGGCCTTGCTGAGGTCCTGGTCAGAAATCTCGGGCGAGATTTCCAGGCAGTGACATATAAGTGCTCGCCAGTCCACGAGGGTGGGCATAGGGCGAGCACTTGGTTGAGATCCCTGTTCTCGCCTTGGAGGAGGCTGCGGAGGAAGCGGCGGTCGTCCTGAAGCCTCTGGGGTTGGATGTTAGTCTCAACAACTCCAGAAACATATTAAAAGTCAAAGGGCCTAACCGGAGGCCGTCTCGGCAACGTCAGAAGAGACGTCGGAAACGGAGCGAGCATTAGGCCTAGAGTCAGACGAAGCGTCGCGGCTGTCTGCTGGTCTTCTATGCAAGCGGTAGCTCGTACGGGCCTCCCCGGCCAAGGCGCGCTGCCCCACCGGCTGGTATCGTGAAGCTTTGCGTCTCTCTGGCATCACGTCTTGTCTCTCTTGACCATTGGGTCACTTTTGAGCTGATTTCGGAGATGGTGGCGGGGCAGCCTGGTCATCAGCAGATGCATGTGCAGATCGTCCAACTGGTGGGGGCCAGCTGCACCTACCATTGGTTCGTCGTATGTTCTGTGCAGCCACAGAATCAGTAAGCATACTCCGGAGAAACTACATCCGAGAGGCGCATAACCGTCTTCGATTCCTGCAGTCGAATGAAGCTGAAGATGCTCACCATGGGACCGCTACCGGTCGACCATTAAAAGGCTACTCCTATGCCAATCATTGGGTCCTCTAGTGTCCGCAGTATTGAGCCAACCACTTTTTGGTGTCCTGTTTTACCTCGCAAAGTGTCCAATGCTGGGTCAGAAAGTCCTCAACGTTGGAAAAGGCAAGAACCAAGAGCGGCGGTCGAAGTTCTCAAAACTAACATCATGGACGCTCTGCTTGAAGAGATCAACTTACAATTGCGCCTCCTGCCGGATCGTCTCAAAGATCCGAGAATGTCTTGTCCTTCTTAGTTTGCTTATCGCCTGGATCTTTTGATGACCTCTTCTTTGGTCCAGGCTTCTTGGTACTGTCCTGTTTAATGATTTTGGCCAGGATCGCCCATGATGCTTGACTCTAATATCCAAGACGTGAGCCAACTGTCTTGCAGCCGGCTGGCCAGAACATGCCAGTAAGGGTGATTCGAATCATAGAGATAAACTTCGACAGATTTAAACTCTCCCATTCCAGTGATTGGAGGTGGAGGTGCCATGCTCCTTTAACTACCGAGGTGCTCCGCTATCGACAAGTGAGGGTTTTTGAGACATAGATTGAATGACCCTTTTCATTCTGTCCCTTGGCAAATACCGACTAGGATTCATCTGTTGACCATGAACACCAATACTACAGCACAACCCAAAGCCGCGTGCGTGAACTCACCAGAGACCTGTTAATGGAGGAAATAAAACCAAGCCCAAGCCTAAAGCAATCGATCCATGGTCACATGCGCGCAAGAGCAGAGGCGAATCGGTCAAGACGGGGGGTATATAATTTTCCGAGTCAAACGCCAGCTGCTAACAAAGACGGGCCGCTGAGTGTGCTCTCCAGGTCCGTCTCAACTTTCCCTCTTCACATCGAACGACGTCGCATGAAACGACGATACGTTTCCCTTACTGATCCCCGTCCCTCTCTTCCAGAACCTCCTTGCTCAGACGAAGCACAGTCCTTGCACTTAGGCGTGCCTCCTGGCCCTCCTCTTCTTGGAGGCACACTTGCTCTTGACCTTGCCGTTGGTCTCGACAGCGGCACCTACCTGTGCCGGGGAAGACTGTCCGGACGAGCCTGCGCGAGGGATCTCGGTCAGCTTCACGGGGCTGTCATAGCCGCCACTCCAGCCGATGACCTCGGGGCACTCCCCCTCGTACTTGGACTTGGCGACGAGCTCATTTCCAAGGGGGGCGCCGGCTGCGGTGGGCGTGGCGGTGGGCACGAGGAGAGTAGAGTTGCCACGCACCGTAACGGTCGCCGTGACGGTCGCCGTCGGGGCCGCGCAGGTCGGGGCCGCGGTCACGGCCGGCTCGTCGGTGCAGGCGGCCCCGGCGATGGAGAACTTGGGCGTCTGGGCGTAGATGATGTAGACGTTGGTGCCGTTGATGGCGTTGCTGGGGGGGGGTTCCAAGGTCAGCGATGTGGTCAAAGCATCAGTAATGAGATGAGGGCGTAATGTTGACTTACAACTGGTAACCGTACGTGGGGTCAACGTCGCAGGGGACCTTGACAGTGGTCTCGCCAGTGGTGGCGTCGACGCCGTAGGAGACGGGGGCGTAGTACGGGGGCCAGTTGACAAAGTTGACCAGGTAGACGCTGAAGTTCTCGGGGTCGGTATCGACCGAGGACCACTGCAGATCAAAGGTGGAACCGCGGGTCAGGGTCGAGTTGACAGTCGGGTTCGAGAACTGGATGGCCGACGCCAGGGGCGCGGCCAGAGCGAGCAGCGACAGGAATTGCATCACGACGACAGACGAATTATTATCGGATTATTTTTCAATTTAAAAGAATGTGTTTTGGGCCTTGCGGGTCAGGCCTTGTCGGTCTGTGTATTCAAAGAATGACTTGGGTGAGTGAGCCCTGGGGTTGAAGGAAAAAAGAGGAGAGAGAGCAAGATCGCTCCGATGCCATCTCAGGGGACTGATGCCGCTTTTAATCCCCGAAGACAGGGAAATTGCTTGTTAGCTCTCATCTCGCTGCCTTGACACCTGCCATCTCGTTTGGGGAAAGCCAAGAGGGCCTGCATGCAACGCTACCATGCATGCGAGCTTGATAAGGGGCAATCTCCAGGGGTCCCACTCAGCTTTGAGTTATGCTCGGTCTTGTTCCTGACACGACGTTTGATTCCCCAGATCAGCTTCAGCCCTACATCTATCTCCCTTACTGCACGGACGATGGGTTCGGTGGAACGTGCTGACGTCTCATGAGAAGAGCTGAGGCATTTTAGGCATTTTGTACGACGACGACGACGACGACGACGACGAGAACAGCGACGACAACCTCACACACTGGAGAACCGGCCCGGGACAACAGACTCCCGCCGAGAAGCAATTTTGCACTAGACCCACAGGAGCGGCTTATCCTATACGAGCTGACATCCTGCGGCTCTTTTTTGACGCTTGGTCGTATGGTTCGCGAATCCGTTTGGGCACTTGGCCTGAACAAGCCTGGGCTGGCTCCTGGAAGCGCTTGACAACCGCGGGGCGAGGACGTGCACGACGATGTAATTTGGCCCGGTGCCTGCCAAGCCTGCAGGCCATCACACGTGCAATTTAACCGTAATGACCAAAGCGCTCGGTGCCAAACAATCTTGATGAACAGTGACCAACAATCTGCAAGTCTCGGCTGACCACAACCGAGAGTGTCTTAGCAAAATCAACCCTTTACATGGGTAGATGTATATCCCCCTATCAAAACTGTGTGCATGTCTTCAGGTGATACTCAAGGACAATTCTAGTCCACAAGAACGACGAGTTTCCTTGCTGACACAGAGCCCGACTTCAGCTCTCGAAGCCCCTCCAATATGGAGCTAAAACCACGGCCAACAACCTGCACGGAATGGGTTCCCAATTTTCGCTCGTCAAGTAGACGCTAAAATACGACAGTGCAGTCGCAGGCTACAGCATGCAACGCCAGGTTGGCGAAAATGTTGACAATGAAGTACTAGATGTATCTGAGCAGCATGATAGAAGAGAGGAAACAAAACAGAAGCACGAAAACCAGCATTATGCACTGAAATCGGGCTATTTGTCATTCCTGACCACCGGCCGAAACCGTGCACGAATCCTAGGCTTCTCCCACATCGCACAAGTGCGAAAGTCGCGATCAAAAATGACCTCCTCGCCAGGGACCAACTCCACGTCAAAGTTCCAGAGCACTCCGGCAATGAAGAGCCGGGTCTGGCGCCACGCCGATCCCATGCCGGGGCAGCTTCGCGGTCCGCGGCTGAAAGGCCAGAAGGCGTCCCTCGCGCCGTTCGCAAATGAGGCATCCCAATACTTGTGGTCATGCGGGAGCCATCGCTGCGGCTTGAACTGGTCCGGGTCTTTGAAGAACCGAGTGCTTCGCGTGAATGCGAAGTGGGCGTACTGGACGGTGATCCCCTTTTCGATGTAGTGACCATTTACAACTGCACCAGGCGAGATACGGGGCAGCCCGTTCGCACCGATGACTGTCATGCGAAGTGTCTCCATGAGACAAGCATTGAGAAGTCGGAGATGGGCCACTGCTTCAGTGTCGATCTCGTTACTGCTCTTAAACGCTCGAATCTCCTCGACAAGGCGCTGGTAATTGACTGGATCCTGGATTAGAAATTCGAGCGTGTACAGGAACTGGCTTGAGATTGGTTCATAGCCCGCACTCAGAAGTTGACCAGCCACGATCTCCATGTGTTTGAGCTCATTCTTGTTAGGTTCAGGGACTTCCGGAGGGCATAGATGTTCGAAATAGTCGAGATGTGTAGTATTGCCTCGGCGATTAATCCGTGCAACAACTTCTTCGTGGTTCAGGCCCAAAGTTCGTGGAAGTGTAGCCAGTTACGAGGGAGGAACGAAGAGAAATTTCAGTGGTGCCAGAAGACGGAACTTCTTCGTAACGGCATTGACAGCGAGGAAGAAGTTGACCGCCCAGAGTGCATCAAGTAGAGATGTATTTTTCACTGCCTGTTGTTAGTACAAGAATGTGTGTGAGGAAAATGCGATTCAATCGCGAGGTTCACTTGCTTGTCTGCATCTGCTTCATCTCTCTACTGTACGCCATATCTGCCGATATATCGAGGGCGAGCCAGTTAGTCCACTTCAACTTAGAAGTCAGCATCTCACACAAAGCTGTCACTGATCTGTGATTTGCTGATAAATACCTGTAAAAGGTCCACACCATTCTTTTCGTTCCCAAATTCTTTCATCCTGTCTAGGAAATAGTCAAGATGCTTGTGCAACGCAGGCTCCTTAGCCTGAAGAGATTTAACGCTGAAGGCCCGTGAGAGGTTCTTCCGAACCACGCGATGTCTGACTGGGTCTCTTTCCCAGATGATTCCGTCTTCGCCTTTACCCAAGTCCAGCCAATCTGTCCTGGTGAAGTGCTCCAAATGCTTCGTATGAGAGTCGTAAATATCTGGTACGTGTTGTGAGCTTTCTCGGTGCTCTCTTGAGGCCTGCGTCCAAAATTGTGACATACCTTCCGATGCTTTTGGAGTATTGAAAACGACTTCATTGGGGCCGATTCGGACAACATCGCCTGTATAGGACATGTCAGTGTCTGACTCAAGTCTATGATTCCGAGACTCACCATATTGATCCAGTACCCGTGAAACTGCCCACGGATATCGTCCCCCAAGCCTCGTGCCGTTAGCTCACAACTTTTCGACAGCCAAAATTGGGTTTAGAAGCTTACCAATGATACGCCAACCACACGTTTGAAACAGCAGCAAGACGTGGCCCGGGGTATTTCGACAAAGGGTGGAAATGCAGGAGGTAGATACATCGAGTTGCAGCATACAGTGCCCCCTTGGGACTGCCAGCACGTTTCTACAAAGTCACATTAAGGCCTGAAAGCTTTTGACTTACGACTGCAAAAGCTAACCCTGCCCATTGGCCTCGCGTGAAGCCAAGTTCTGCGACTAGGCTAAAAGGAGAGCTTGATGTCATTGCTGATGTCTTGGTAAACTCAACACCTTTGCGAATATTTGTGGGATGAGAGCTGTGAGGCCAAGATGGAGTCTGAAATCAATGGCCACGAATGGCTGGCAGCGGATGGAGCCGAGCCTCCAAAAGTGGGACAGATTCGGGACAGTGGAAGTGATCGGTCTGGCTCCACGGAGCACGGCTTCGGATCACGGAGTGGATGCTAAGTCAACCCACAACGGCTCGATATTCTTGCGCTTACCCCTCAATCGAAATTGGTGTTGGTTTCAGTGCCCAGTGAGGTCGCTTGCACGCGTGCCAACGAAAAATGGCGCTCTTTGTTCTGCAAGATTGCGGCGCAGCGACGGCCGGAGCTGGCGGGTGGTGGTTACGTACGGGCAGAATCCGAGGCTGGATGGCACAGCGCACACCACACGGATGGTAATTTCGATGGCGAGGGCGCTCTTGTAGAGATGGCGCTCGACCATTGGACGACCCGGGCAGCGGATATGGGCATGGGTCCCGATGTGGTAGCGTTGGTTGCTAGCGTCGCAGGGCAATGAAATCTACGCTTTCCAATGCTGGTGGACTGATGCGCGATCGTCGTCGTGGTGAAGAGCTTTGTTATGGAAGAGTGAGACCGTTCCATCTGCAGAATTGAGTTTAGTCGGGCGGCTTGCCAGCGTGGGCATCATGGTCGAACATATCAAATCAACCAATCTCATTTGCATGGGCGGGTATCCTCCTATCAAAAACCGGTGCATCCAAAGACGCACAGACAACCTGAAAAGACCCAACCAAAAGTGAAACACCCAGCGAACACCCCATACCCATCGCCATCGCTATCAACATCACCAAAACCCGCTTCCCTCCCAGAGCTATCTAAGCAGCCGATGCCTCGTTGTTCAACTCGTCAAAGCACACGCACAGCGCGGCCATGAGGGCAAAGTCGACGCCCGGGGCGACGGCCAGGCCGTACTCGTTCTGGCCCGTGGCGAAGGTGGTGAAGCTCTTGAACATGGACTTGCGGGTGATGCGGGCGACGACGGCGTTCCTGGTCTCGTCGACGATGTCGGCAGTCGAGTCGCGCCAGTTGCCCTTCATCGAGAGCGTCTCCTCCTTCCCTCCTGCGGCCGAGGTGAAGGTTGCTGTGGCCTTGGAGCCGACGACTGAGAGGCGTTGTTAGCAGCTTCTCAGTAGGATGGGAATGATAAGACGGGTGATGGATGAATCGTCACGAGCAGGCAACGAAGTGGAGGTACTCACGAGAAAACCCGCTCTTAACCTCAAAGAACTTCGTTCCGTTCGGGTCAACCGCCTTGAAGTAGTTGTGAACAAGATGAAAGTGCTCCTTCTTGACGTCAAACAGGTGGTTGCCATTGACGTCGTGGAAGGACTTGCGGCTGGTGATCCAGCTCGGGTCGACCTTGAAGACGGGATGGGGCGGCTGGCCGTTCTGGGGGTCGAGCTTGATGTCGAAGGCGTCGCCGGTGATGGACATGACCTTTTCCTTGATGATGAGCTTGGTCTCCTGGTGCGGGTTGATGAACTGCGGAAAGCACCCGATGGCCGGGTTTATGGGCTGAAGTTGACTCATGGTGGCGATCTTGTTTGGTGTCTTATGTCGTCTATGGGAATAAAGGTGGTGGATTTTCGTACAGCATGGAACTTGGATTTGATCATGGGAGATGAAAACAATGTATCAGAAGATCCTGGGTCCAGAGTTTGAGGCCTCACATGTAAGCTGACGGTCGGCGTTCAGCTGGAGCCAGCCGCAAGGGATCAGGGTCAGGGACAGACGTTGTTGTACGGCGGCCGGAGTGGGGGCTAGATAGTGGCTTATCATCCAAGGTTCAAGCTGCGCCACAAACACTGTGCCACAGACAGGTGGAGCATTCGCGTTTGCTGCTCAAGGATCCTCCTCCTCCAACTGAGACCTCTCCCGCCACATGCAGCCCCAAGGAATGCATGCACATGTGTGAGACGAAACAAGACATAGGCAGTGTGGCGGACTGATGTATCATGCTGCGACATGACGAAGATCTCGAGGATCTAGCCATTGACCACACGTGACATCTAGGTACGTCTGGAATGCATCGGCATCACAGCGACTGCATCGAGGACAAGCTTTCGTTAGACAATACTTTCATACAGGATTCTCTAGGGTATCCACAACTCAATCACACACCAAACCTTCCTTTGCCCTCCCGTCACACGCACTACCTTTAGACACGAACGTCGAGCAGGGTGAGCAGCCACCGAAGCTGAACATCCCCGAGAGTGATGGCGATCAGCCGCAGGAGCTCATCCTCAATCCTTCACACTCTTCCTCATCCAGCCTATCGCACGTGTCCTTTGAGCAGTCTATCCCAGATAGGCGCATAAGACCGGGGCAGGCTAGCCACACCATTGAGGTTGTACGCTCCGTTGTACAAGCTGAGCACCTCCCGACCACCGCACGCCCGTGTCGCGTCACCTGTGCAGTTCATGTTGCATCGCGAAGGGTCCACGAGGGTCGCCGCCGTCGACAGCCAGTTGCCGCACCAGCACTCCTCGCCGTACTCGAGCCCGGCGTAGAGCCAGCCGCTCGTACCACAGATGTTGAAGCATGACTCCGGCGTCATGTCAAGGGCCGCCGTGCGGGACTTGTTCAGCGCCCGCGACCCATCGCCAGGCTCTGCGTAACACCCGGCAGCACTGTACGTGATGTTGTTTGAAGGGTGTGGGGGAGGCGGTGGCGGAGACAGGTAGACCGAAAGCGTGTTGTCGCTGCCACAGATCTGCTGCGCGTTGCCTGCGCACACCGTATCGCACTGTCCATTGTCGACCGGGAAGGCCCCGTTCTGAATGGCGTTGCTGCACCAGCACTGCGAGCCATATTCAAGGCCGAGGAAGGTGTAGTTGGTGCACAATCCCGCACACTTGTCTATGGTCATCAGTAGATCGTCCTCGAGGAAGAAGTCCGGCAGGGCCCGGCCATTTGGGCCCTCGTTGTAGCATCCCAAGGGAAGAGCCGGCGGGAATGGTGAAGGGGTTCCGCAGGCAGCAGAAGTCGTGGACCATTTCGTCTTTGTGACAGTGGCAAAAGCTGTGACGACGAGAACAGAAGTCCAGGTTGTGCTCGTTGTTGAGGAGTTGCTTGAAAATGTCGAGGTGACAGTTGGGACGGGTGTCGGAATGACTGTTTTCGAAGCACCTGGACTTGTTAGACTCAATGAAGATTTGGGTGTTGAGCTTGGAATTGACTTGCTCTGTGTTGAGGAGCTGCTCGAGGACGTCTGAGTGACTGTAGGTCCGACGGTGCCGGTCCCCGACGGGCTCTGCGTTGAAGAAGTCGTGGTTGGGCTTGGCGTTCCCGTGCCACCAGGAGAAGTCGAACTTGAGCTAGTTGAAGTGCTGCTAGATGATGTTGAGGGTACTGGAGTGTTTGTCGAAGGGACTGTGGTGCTGCAACCACTTGTAGTGCCACTGCCTGTCGCGGTGCCACTCCCTGTTGTGGTTTGTGCAATGGTTGAGACGAAGTTGGAGCCGAATAGGACGAGCGCGAGGCTTAGGCAAAGATTCTTGGGCGCCATGGCCACCACGCGAGGGCTTAGCAGGATGGATAGATGCTAGCTGTTCTAATCAGTAACATGCAGGCCAATGGATGCTTCGACGACGATATCGATGCAACCTCAGCGACGGAGAGAGGAAGAAGCCTGAACGAGCAACGATGGGTCTTGCGGGCGTAAAGATGGCGAGAAGCATCTGAGAACCGGAGGTCTCTGTTTACGACGAACGACAGGCGGCGGTGCACTTGTAGCTCGAGGTGAGTTGCTCTTGCCAATCCATCTTGGAGTGGTCAAAGGGAAGGTACTGATGATATCGAGAGCATCACCTCGATGTTTTGGAATAGAACAGCACTGGGTCCAATAGATGCACATACATACCAGCCAATTCGCACATCCACAAGAAGTCATTTGTGTATTCAATCGGATGTCAAAGCTAAGAAGTATCAACTTGACCCAGCGATATAATCGTGGGAGGCCTGCGCCGTCCTGTCCGTTGAATCCGATGACTCTTGATCCCAGGCACTCCTTCTTTCATGGGACGGTAGAGCTGTATGATCCAACTGGGTCATCTCATGGGCCAGCGCTGGCCCGGCGGAACCGCCTGAGTGGTCCGCTGGTGGGCCAGCAGTGTGACGCTCCTGCTTCGCCTGTCCGAACTTCCTTGGCCAGACGAGGCCGAGGAAGCCACGCATTAGCGGGAGGCAGGCACCCATGTACACAACCACCAGCTCAATTCCAGACCAGGCGCCCATGCTTGCGTACTGCCATGTTGGATCGATGATATCGCGATTCTCAATGATGGAGGCGAGGCGAGCTATGGCGGCGAGGCAGCCACTTCCAACACCTCAAATTAGCATTCCAACCCTGGCAGATTATCAGTTGACAAGGAAGTACTTACAGAGCTCCCAGACAAAATAGGCCCATGACAAGCATCTTCTGTCGTGTCTTCATCTGTAGTCTCCGGACTTGAACGGCCGGAAGGACAACTACAGCCACGTCTTGTACAACTCCCACTATTGCGCCCATTCCACTGGGATATGTCTCAGATATACAATATCCTGGCTTGATATTCTTATTCCAAGAGTATTCAACTGGGCTGCAGGTGAATATGGCGAAAAGCTCCATGCCAAGGCCAGAAAAACAGATGAAGCTCACGACCGCCCATGCCGACGTCTGGAAACCCTGGGATGGGAAGATATCGAGGTAGAGCAAAACGATGGAAATCTTGATCAAGGCCATGAGAACAGGAAAGATTGCTGTCGCGATAAACAGGGCCTCGAGGACATGAAGGACCTGCCCGTCTTGTAGATTCCACATGTGCTGGCCCAAACCGCAGTATGACACTGCGGACGTTAATGTACTCAGTCTATGCTCCAAGAAATAGACTGTGGGGCTGAACCTACTGTAGATCGATAACCCAATGGTAACCAGTGCAAGAACGAAGCTGATAGAAACAAATGCGTCGTCAAGTCCCCAACTCCGGACTGCTCGTTTGCCAGCAATTCGAACGACTGTCAATGCGGACAGGAAAACGGCGCTCACAATACCAGCTACGACGGCCGTCATTGATGAGTCCTCGGAGGACAGATCACAGGCACTGGCTTGAGCTTTGAATAGTCCTTGCATGATGCATTAGTCCGGTTTTGCTTCTTTGCATAGAGTGTTGAAGACGGAGAACGTACGGAGAGTATCAGCCATGGTGCAATTGGAATTCGAACAACTGCTTGCTATGACCATTGTCTTGCGCTCACATCGGCAGGAACCCGTCGAGGAACCACAGCCCATTTCGGAAATAGCCTGGTCGAGGCATTGTTCCTGGATGAAAGTCAATATTCTGCTACCTAAGTGTTGTATTGATCATTTTGTTTTCTGAGCTTTCTTACCCCACAAGTTGTAAGGCTGTAATCGCTGGTTCCCTGGCCCAGGACAGAGACAATTAAGCATAACCAAAGGAGTACGCACCCCCGAATGACAATTGAGGAGGATGCTGTCATGTCGATTGGAATGGGGGCAGTGTGTCAGTCGATGTCAACGTTGCAGGACCTAGGGGTTATGTGTTTTGTTGGACATCCACCTCGTGGCTTTGACCACCGACTACGCGTACATGTGAGGATATTCCCCGCTTCATACCAGAGCTGAAAATAATTTTCATCACTATATTGCGTACCCACCTCCGACGCTTCGTACTGTTGACGAACCCCCTTGTCCTTACAATAGAGTGGCTGACTCAATGCGACCGAGTCCCAAGCGAAGACAACACGTAGCATTGGGTGCTTCCGCGGGAGATCTACAATATCAGACCCAGGATCTGCCCGTCAGATCTCGGGGCGGCCCACTTTAACATTCTTTTTCCACCCCGAAATCCGTCCTCAGGAGATGAGCTTTGTTTTCAAGTCCCCATAGATTGCGTCGTGGGCTATCGCCTGCGGGAACCATATCCCCACTTGCACTGACCCGACAGGCTGTGCAGCCGACTGCGGCTTGCTCTGTGGTTCGCGAGCTTTTGCGTCAAAACCTAGATTTCTCAAGACACAATTACGGAACTCCCGGAGCCGAATCTTAATACCGATCCCAGAGTGGTCACCTAATGCTTCCGTCCCAGGCATTTGCTGAGATATATATGAGACTCGGAATGTCAAAATTTCGATCTCGGCCCCCACGTATGAGTAACATCCGAACTTGAAGGCAACTCCACCTCGTTATTATTTCGCGAAAGAAGTTTTCACTTCTAAAAGGGGCTAATAGATAAACTTGTGAATAACCTCTTGTGGCTTGAACGGTTTGTTTCAACGCCCGCTTTGACAACAACGTCGCCAATTGGGTCGTTGTTTATGGATCATCGCGCATCTGTTCGCAGCCACGTTGATCTGCAACGAACCATTGACATTAAAGTTGGCGATCCATTCATCAGTGACCTGAATTCCCTAATCATCAAGCAAAAACAACTACGACTTAGAGGGGGAGAATCTCGCCTCGTGTTCGGGAGCTTTATCACAAAGTAGCGGAAGACAGGGGCTCGCTCTCGGGTGTCTGCAGTCTTTCTACCCATACAAGGACGATGTCATTTCTCTAAACTACATTTCCAATGCAGTTAGGCCTTAAGGCGACGCTGAAGTTAAGGAAGCAATGTGAAGCAGCCGGGTAGCGGTTCAGAGATCGGCTCAATCCTATCAGGCGTTTCATCTGAAGTGGAGTGTAACTAGGGGCTAGAATCCAATGCTCCCGCAGGTCAGTCATGGAGAACCTCCTACTAGTACTGCAATCCTGCTTCATGTCCTGGCAGCCGATTGGTTCATAGTAGCGCGCGGGCCTGTCGACTTTAAGCTTGTATCAAGCGGGCGAAGCATCCCAAGACAAGGGAGTACCCGCGAGCCCCTTTTCATGCTATTGCCTGTCGTCGGAACACGATGCACACGGTGGCTCTTATTATCTCAAGGGTAAGCACTAGTGTTGCATTCCAGTTTTCTTATCCAACTCGTGCAATGTCTACAGGCAACAGCGAGTGACATTGTCCGTCAGCAGACCGCGCGTCGACGCGCTGATCGTAATCACTCTTTACATTCACGTTCTCTTACTTCACGATGCGCCCGTCTATTAAAGTCGTCTTCTATGCAGTTGTGGGCAGAGCTTTGGGTCAGTTCGTGGCGGCACCCACAGACCTCAAGACAGCAAATGGGACGAGTGGTATACCAGTCCGATTCAAAGAGGTCCCAAACGGGATCTGCGAGACCAACGCCAATGTCAGAAGCTTCGCCGGTTATGTCGACGTCAGTGAGACGCAGCATATGTACTTTTGGATGTTCGAGGCCAGAAATGGAAACCCCACAGCCGCACCGTTAACGGTGAGGCTCGACGGAGGACCAGGTGCATCCTCGATGAACGGCTTATTCAGTGAAATGGGGCCATGTTCCATTGACGCCGCGGGGAACGTCGTCAACAATCCACTGTCATTTACGCAGAACAGCAATGTTGTCTTTATAGACCAACCGGCGACGGTGGGCTTCTCGTTCACGACACTCAACAAAGCTTCGCAAAACCCAGACACCTTTGTGATCACGCCCACTGATAACTGCACAACCGCCGACCCCGGGTGTGGGACGTTCTCGTCACCTGATCTGACGTTGACGTCCAACTCGACCGTGGATGCTGCTGCTGTCTTCTACAAGACGATGCAAGGGTTCATGGGTGCGTTCCCTCAGTACAGCGCCAATGGAGTTCACATAAACGGACAGTCATACGGAGGGCACTATGTGCCTGTCTTCGCCGACCACATCGTTCAGCAGAATAAGGTCAACAACTCGGGTGCGATTCAGATCCCAATCAAGTCCGTGACGATCGAGGATGGCTTCTTCGATACGCGCGTGCAATTTGCAGCGTACTTCAATTATACCGTTACACCAGGAAATCCATACGACCTGGCTTCGTTTAATGATACTGCCGAAACTCAACTCTTCAACAATGTGTGGGGCCCAAGTGGATGCCAGGAACAACAAGCAGCTTGCAATGCCAACCCACCACCTGCTAACATCAATGAAGTCTGCTCTGCAGCAGACGACTTCTGTGTGACCAATGTAGAGCAGTTCTTCGACGTCAATGCCCAGCGCTCGGAGGACGACATCCGACAGCTACTCCCAAGCCCATTTCCACCCATGTTCTACGTGTCATACCTCAACCAGGCGAACGTCCAGGCCGCCATCGGGGCATCCACAAACTTCACCCCAGCGTCCGTCCAGGTGGGCACCGCCTTCGCAGGGACAGGCGACGACTCCCGCACGGGCAAGCTCATCACGGACGCCACGTCGCGGCTCCTCAGCGAGGGCGTGACGGTGGCCTTCTTCACGGGCGACGCCGACTACGACAGCAACATGATCGGCGCGCAGATCGTCGCCGACAACGTCGCGGCGCAGACGCCCGAGGTGGCCGCGTCCTGGGCTAAGGCCGGCTTCGTCGACATGTCGGCGCTGCTCGACGGGCAGGTCCCCGGGCAGACGCGGCAGGCGGACCACTTCAGCTTCACGAGGGTCTTCTTCGCGGGCCACTTCTCGGCGTTCAACGCGCCCGAGGCGGCGCTGCTGGTCCAGCAGCGCGCCACGGCAGGGATGGACATCGCCACGGGGACGGTGCTGATGGCCAAGGATGGGAACAAGGTCACGTTGGGCACGCCGACGAGTGAGTTCCGCGAGGGGCCTGGTACGGTGCAAAACACTGTCACGCCGCAGGGGGCTATCTATAACACCACGACGCATGTCCCGGACGTGCCTTTGGGGGCTCAGACTGCGGGCAAGGCTGTTGCTGGTGCGGATGTTGGTGGCTCTGTGGCTCTCCACCCGTTCGCGGGTATGACGAGTAGGAAGATGAATAGGGTACTGGCTGCCCAACGCCAGCAGAAGAGGAAGCGAGACTTGGAACAGATTGCCAGGCGGCCATTTTAGGGTCTTCAATTCTTTTATATATACTTATATACATATATTGCAGTGGAAAACGTGGGACGAAATACCGCTCCGATTCGAAAACCAAGGAAGACGACACTTGCAGTGTTTCTTGCCGCAGTACAAACTAGATTGTCCCCTTCCGCGCTCAGGTTTGTCTTCCAAGCTCAAGTCATCCAAGCTCAAATCATAACTCGGACTTGACGACTCTTATGCCCAATCCATCATTCAGGCAAAGTAAGATGCCGTAACTTGCAGCGGCCAGGCTGCTCCAAGGTGCCCAGAGATAGCCATATACGTCTTGCATTCCCTGCTCCAGCAAGACGAGGTTAGCAAAATACACCAGCCTAAACGTCCGGTACATGCCACCAGCGCCCATTGTCCAAGGGCAGAAGGTTGAGCATCTAAAGAGTAATATTGAGGAGACTAAGACGGGCTATAATTCATGGGAGGAATTCGCGTGGGCGCTAAGACCAATAAAACCACGGTGAGAGCATGGTTCCATCATCGGCCTATGATGGACCATATAGTAACCCGAACCAACAACGCCTGCCTAACACAGACAACTGTCTGCGCCGCTTCCTTTTTCAAGCACGGTAGGACGTTTCCCCTGTGTTCCTCCGTTCCAACCCCCTACTATGAGCTTTAATTTAAGATGACCAGCAACGAGAGCCAAGCCTACGAGCACCCGCTAGCAAGGGAGCACCTATCAGCCCTGAAGGCCCTCCAGGCCGAGGGCCAGACCGTGGGCGCCCGGGGCTACCACATGCTGATGACAGGCTTCTTCCACTGGGGCTTTGTCATCTACCGCTGCGACTACTCGGACGACGCCCTCTTCGACGGGTTCATCGCCTACCTCCGAGAGCAGGCCGAACGCTACCACCGGGCCTGCAAACAGGACCGCACCACGGGCCTGTACCTCCGGTGGACCATCGCGCAGGGCCGCGAGGCTCTCGACGAGCTCACCAAGGACTCGGTGCGGCGACGCTTCGTCGAGTGGCGCGACGGCCTGTGGGTCGAGCGCGACGGGCCCGGCGCCGACCACTGCGTCACGCCCTACCTGCCCCGCTCCGAGTACTGCGTGCACGTCGGCAGGGGCAGCCTCGACAGCCTCGGGGCGCACGAGGAGGCCCTGCGGGCCGGGCAGGAGGAGCACGCGGCGCCCCCGGTGTTCTTTGCCATTGTGCGGGCCGAGCAGAGACTGACTGGGTTGCCGGAGGGCTATGATCCTGACGAGAACGAGGACGAGGACGAGTATGGCGAGGATCCTGAGAGCGCCCTGCGTGCGATCGAGGGCTGCACGGATGAGGATGTGGGGTGGAGGTATGTCCCCGCGGACAACTGGGTCACTCTTTATGAGGAGCTGCATGATGACCAGGCGTGGTATTACCTGTACGCGCGGCCTCCAGGAATCGTCAAGTTTTGAAGACGGTGCGCGGCGATTGCTGCACAGCCAATGTGTTAACGATGGAATATAATGGACGTTAGAGCTTTCGAGACCCATGTGATCCCACCTGTGCCCCAAGCGGTAAATGTAAATCTTTTGAGTCGGTCAAGACATGCGATGAGATGGTGCAAAAGAATGAGTCAGAGAACTGGCGATGTGAAGATAATGCTATGCATCCCTGAGACCGTACCAGAATAAAGCTTTGCGCGTATTCCAGAGATTCCTTACCCTGTAGCTTCATCCACCATCCAAAGGGCTACCGGGCCTTTTACTCCAGGAACAAGAATCCTAGGCCTCAAGTAACTACCTACCTAGATGCACCTGCCCTCACAGCTTGATCGACTTGAACTTCTCGGCAGCATCCACCAGCGCTGACTCAATCGCTACCTCATGAGCACTGTGACCAGCATCGCCGATGACCTTGTATTCGACATTCTTGTTATCCTTCCCGCCGAGAGCCTTATACAGATCCCAGCTTGTCTTGGCAGGGCACACGACATCGTATCGTCCCTCTAGTACCTGTTAGTCACCTGCTACGGGTCCCAAAGTCATACATTCTGGAACATTCTAAAGCACAAAGATCGGGCAAGTGTAGCAGGAGAAGAATGGTACTGACGGATGATGACGATCGGTAGGTGCTTGATCTTGTGTGCATCCTCGATCAATTGGCCATCCTTCATGAATCCGCCATTGACAAAGTAGTGAGACTCGATCCTCGCGAAAGCGAGAGCCCTACGCCAGTCAGAGACGAAACGCCATTTGATGTAGAGGGATACTAACCACTTCGGATCGTCTGACCTGGCGATGTAGGCCGGGTCTACCATCAACTTGCTTGTGGAATTCTCCCAGCGACTCCAGGCGTCGGCACTGTGTGCTTTGTCAACTGCGTGGTCGGATGTATCTGAGAGTTCTGGAGCGCATTAACACACCATCTGAGCCTCTCCTCCTCGTTGTCTCCGGTCAGTCGCTTGTAGTATGCCTGCATCATATCACCTCTCTCGTTCTCAGGAATGACGGCCTCGTAGTCATCAAAGAAGTCGGCAAACAGGAAGTCCGCTCCCTTCTGGTAGAACCACAGCAGCTCCTCCCTTCGCAGCGTGAAGATGCCTCTGAGGATCAGCCCAAGGCAGCGCTCAGGGTGCGTCTCCGAGTAGGCGAGCGAGAGTGTCGAGCCCCATGATCCTCCAAAGACGACCCACTTGTCGATGCCGAGGTGCTCTCGCAGCTTCTCCATGTCCTCTACGAGGTGCCAGGTCGTGTTCTCCTCGAGCGAGGCGTGCGGGGTAGACTTTCCCGAGCCCCGCTGGTCGAACAGGACGCTGCGGTAGTGGGAGGGATCAAAGTACTGTCTGTCATCGCCCTTAATTGTCATGATCTTTGGCACCAGAGCTCGGATGCTCACCTATCTGATTCATCGATCCCTGCCCCAGGGCCCCCGTGGAGATAAACGACAGGTGTGCCAGTCGGTAAGCCACATTCTTCCCAGTAGATGGAATGGACAGAGGACACTTGGAGGTGACCAGAGCGATTCGGATCCGTCTTGGGGTAAATTGGGGCCATATTGTTGTGATGTTTTTGCCAAAGGTGATTGGGTTATGAGTTGTCAAATGAGGACAGCGAATCCCTAACAACAGGGTGCGTGTGGGTGCAGGAGTGTATTGCAGCCTGCTTACATAAGCGGATGACTAAGCTCCCACTACACGCCCTTTGGGTGCCTTCTTCTGCAGCGCCCCTGGGCCCTCTGATGCCCTCCGTTTTGCTTAGGGAGATAGAGTCCGCTTAACTTGAATTGACGTATTTGAGGCCAGCTGCTGCTGTCTCTGAGTCCTCCTCATCACAATCCACAATTTACAGCTGCCCACCTGCTCTTTCAAAATTCACAACGACTAAGCTTCACCCTTACTGGCCAGTCTCTAATTTTGAACGTGAATATTCGGGCCCCAAAAACGGGATGCCATGCCCAATTTTATAACGAATCACTCCACACCATGTGCCCAAATTTAAGTTCACTACAGTTCTATCATAAGAAAATAAATGTTACTGTATTAACTACTATGTTATATTACAGCTTGGTAAGCACCACATGGGGTGCCCGAGCACCTGCACATGTGCCCTTACCCGTTAATTATTGCCATTTGCATGAGGTGCATATCTCATCCTGCATAGTAAATAAGTCCTGTTGGGCCTCAGCTGTGACGTGTACTGCCATGTCTCGATTCTCGCTGCCTGGAGTGGAGCACAGTTGCCGAACACGGGACTTCCAAGGTTGGCAAGGCTGCATATAGCAAGGAGCGCAATCTGCAATCAGACACAGCTGCTCCCACACTCTGCCACACATTCCTCTATGATACGTGTTATTTATAGAATATAGGCCCCAGTGTTTAGGTTTCAACATTTTGGACTCGTGTGCGATGCATCTCGTGATACTTCACAGTAAGCATGATGACGTTGTGGGGTGGCCGTTCTCGTATTCCCCCACAAAGCGCTGCAGTGTCATCCAAGTACCCATTGATGCTTAGCGAGGAATGAAGCCATGAAGTTTCCACACGTTTAGTATTTATTGTCAAAACGTCCGAGATATCACAATAACCTGAACCAGTTACGTACAGCGCAAGACAGAAACATCCAACAGCCTGGCGCCAATGAGACCATGTCCCAGCACAACGATCTGTCACCAAGTCCAGGGGGCTCAAGCTTCCAACGAATACTTCAACAGCTTGGAATTGGAGACGATGAATCACTTCGATCCAGAGCAACTTGCCTGCGCACCTTGTATCTGACCGACCCCCAGCACGACCGAGAGGAACTCTTGCGTGTCAAGGGTTCAATTACCCAGGGCACTTGCAGCTCGATACTTTCTACGGACGAGTACAGACAATGGCAAAAGCGAGATCTTGGTTCGAAAGATCATCTCTGGATTTACGGTGGCCCGGGTTCTGGGAAAACGATGTTTTCGATCTTCTTGTCCAAATACCTGGAAGATGCCGCCAGATCGCAAGGCGCCGCACAGTCCCACCTGACGAGCAAGGATTTGGTGCTTTACTTTTTCTGCAATGGGTCTGAGACAACCAAGAACTCCGAGGATGGGATACTTCGAGGCCTCTTGCTCGAGGCTATCCGCCAACGGCCGTTTTTGATGGGCCTCGTCCAGCAAATACACGAAAATCAATACTGCGATCCTTGCCAAAACTGGTCTTTTGATATGCTTTGGATGGTTTTACGATCCTTCATTCGCAAACAATATACACGACAACCCTGAGTCTAAAGCAGAAGACAAGACAAATCATCAAAATTCAGTGACCTATATCATCGTGGACGGTCTGGACGAGTGCGAACCGGCCTCAATACGCAGGTTGGTACGCGCGCTGTCCAGACTTGACGATGACAAAGAGCTCGGGGGGCGAGTGAAAGTAACGGTCATCAGCAGGGAGAGGCCAGCCCTTCGAGACGCCTTTGCTAGACGTTATATACAACTCAATCTCGAAGAACCGCGGAATGCACAAGCTGTCTGCGCAGACGTCCAAAGGCACATAGTCCAGCGAGTGGATAGCATAGCTAGCCCTGACAGGAAAGATTACTCGACCGAACTCTGCACTTCGGTCAAGGATTGCCTCGCCCAGAACTCGCAGGCAAACTTCCTCTGGGTCTCCATGGCCATAAGCGAGCTGGAGTCGACATCTCGAATCGAGGCGTGGGAACATTTGAGTCGCCTTCCATCAACCCTGGATGCCATGTACGAATGGATGGTTATGCAGATTCCCCATGAATGGCGAGAGGTGTCAACCAAGCTCCTTCTCTGGGTGACGCTCGCCCTCCGCCCGTTGTCGATAGCGGAGCTCGTCGTGGCACTGGACGAAAGACGTCTCGGGTTGGTAGATCACGAGACAATCCGAGCTTGTATCAATCGCTGCGGCCAAATTCTGAGGATAGCTGTTGACGACACAGTCCATCTGATGCATCACAGCGCTCGGGAGTACCTCTGGGGTCGGCTCGAGTCATCTCCTTCATTCTTCAAGGACTGCGTCGAGCTAAATCCGTTTAATCTCAGAGAAGGCCACAAGCTCATTGCAAGCCTCTGTATCAGGAATCTGAAAGACGCCACTCAGCCTAGAATTCGAGATCTTCGTGAACAGAAGAGAGGTACAAAGATCATGGACAGTACTACGTTCAGCACGAGCACACCAACGGCACTTTCGGGCTACGCCAAGGCTTTCTGGACGGACCATGTCAGGAATGCCGGTGAATTGGTGCTGGAAATAGCCGACAACAATGCTCAACTTTTCGAAGAGCACTCACCAATACGCGGTATCCTGGCCTGTGAAGTCTCAAAGGGCCTGTTGACCGAGGATATATCCGTCCTCCATCATGCGGCTTACTACGGATTCGCGCCCCTCGTCGGGCGACTCCTGAAGAAGGGTTGGTGGAACAAGCTCAGGAGACGGCGTCTGCTGGGGGAAAGAGACGGTCTTGGTCGCACCGCGTTACACCTGGCTATCCACCGCCACGACAATGATCCCATCGTGGAGCTCTTGCTGGACCGTGGCGCTGATGTCTCATGCGAAGACCACACGGGCGCCACGGCACTCGACCATGCGATCAAGTGTGGCACTCCCGAGATGGTCAGCATTCTTGCGGCTTATGGGCAGCGAGGCTGACATTAACGTGGAAGAGTGGTGCCGTGTTGGAAGTCGGTCATGTGTAGCTGGTTAATGACACTTGAGCGTTGATATGGGGCTGAATGCTGATATAAGCACAAATCTTCATGATGAGCCATTATTCACTTCAGATCTGAATGGTATCCCTTGAACTTATACTACGCTCATGTGCGTTTTCATGAGCACCTGGCCCATTGGAGACATAATTAGGACTACACTGCAAAACGTTACATGTGGATCATCAATATGAGCATGGAATGAATCTTGTTCACCAATTGACTAATTGAACGAATGTTAACGACATGAGCTGTCAAGCAAGTAAGCTGCCCTCTTCGAACACCTATACACACTGATTACTAAGACTGCCAGCGTCTTACAAGTAAGTTCAGCCTTCTAAAGTTCACTTCCTCGCCGTATCCACACTGACAGGCCCCGGACTAACCATACCTCTGGGCCGCCATGACAACATATCGCATGAGTACACTCACATGGTTGTCAGGCATTTTAACCAGATTGCCCTCAGTGGACTTGGTCGACTCTGTGCACAGCACCACATCCACGAGACAATTATTCCCCGCCTTCAGGTCCGATGGGGGCTCCATGGCCATGAGATGGTCATAATCGTAGAACACAACCACCGGGGCCCCAAATTTCACGCGGTACTTCAGTCCTTGCTTAAGCAACGCCCGGGTGAATTGATTGACGTTCTTGTCATAGCAAAGGCTCTTTGCTGCATCTCCAGGGTTCTTGGCGGGTCTGCCCTTCTTCTTGGCGTCTGAAGCTTCGCCCTGGGACTGTTGGAGCCTCTTGAGTGCGTCGCTTACGGAAGGAGCAGAGCATAGCTCAAGCTCTTTCCTGTAGATACAGTTGGGGCCTTTGTAGTCCAGTGCCAGTATGACCTTTCCGTTATACTTCATGATAACGTCTGGCCTTGATTTGTCGTTGGTGGCCTCTCTGTGAAGGGTAAATTTTCCCTTGAGCCCCAGGCTGGCAAGATAAATCGGTGCCAAGTCTTGGACGACTTTCAGGAAGTATGGACCGGCGTCTTGGTTATTGGCGAACACATACTTAGCTGTGAATCAGAATTAAAAGAAAACAAGAGCGGGCTTAATTACATCACGTCGGCCTCAGTTTCCATTATAACCTGGTGCCCTGGGTCGCTTATGTTCGCCACATAATATCCCATCATGCGCTTCCCCTCTTCCGTACCAGTAATTGGGGGAAGTGCAATACGAGGCGGGGGCTGTAGTCTTAATCCCATTGGGAGTGGCATCTTCATTGTCTCAGAGGTTGCCTCCGTATTGACCTGAGTTCTGGCAGTCTTCTTCTTCAGAGAAGGACCAGCAATACTGAGAGCCTGGCTGTAGGGGTACTGCCACTTTCGCACGCTGCTTGTGGAAAAGGCTCGAGAGGGCCCTCCTAGAGGTGGTGGGACCATGATTAATGATGGTGAAGACGATATAGCCGATAGAAAGTATTCGTTCCAAACGAATTAGTGATAAGTAGGGAAGCAAGTAAATCCTAGGATAATTGATACAACTATGTTCGAGAACTTGAATTATACTCGAACACTGGCACTGCTCTTATATATATTCTTTTGCTGTGTCTTGCATCCTTCAGGTTTCGATGCGTGTAAGCTGATCTATTTAAGGTTACAGATACAGAGCGTCTATTCCTGGGTTTGGCCGCCCCCAAACCATCAGCCGCCGCTCATGTCCTGTTATGTGGCCATAGTCGGTCTGCTGCTGAAACGAAACACAATGGAAAATTTGCTAATCTGACATCATGCCATTGCGGTGCACGCGTGAAGATCTGACAGCTCTACGAGCTCTACTCAGACTGTCGGAACACAAGGGGCCATACCGGTCGCCCGAATTGCAAAGCGGCCATTTTGAAACGCTTTTGATGATTCGTATGACGATGTGAGAATGTGGCTACTTGGCTACTGGACTCAGACATGTGTAGAGAGAACAATGTATTTAGACGATGAACTCAGAGTCGTATGAGACTCTCAGTCGCTGATCTCGCGACGAAGCCAGTCCTCCCAAGGCCAATCGACCAGCCAGCCAAGCTCATGGTTATTTGCGAAGTCCTCGTAGCCCGACCAGCGTTCAAAGATCCTTGACGGTGTCTCAGGTTCAGGTTCGACATCAGAGTCGGAGTCGTGAGTACAGAATGCGTAGTCGAAATCGATGAGACGTATGCGCAGCCCGTCCCCGGCTTGGTCGTTAGGGGGAGTGACGATAATGTTGCGTGGCATGAGGTCCGACTGTTCGATACCCACTTGTCGTACCTTGCTGTCGGCCATGATGACCTGCCTCATAATCTCCATCCGCTGGTCCTGGCTCCATTTGTCCACTTCTGGTATGATGTCGGCTAGGGTGACTCCCGGAATGTGTTCGTAAAGAATAGCGTTTACGAGACGCGTTCTGTCGTTCCGCTCAGGCACAGGGACTTCAACTGTGAAAGAGCCATAGAAGCATGGGATAACGGAACCCCAAAGTGGTTTCATTTCTTCGTAAACGAAGGACTCCTGTGCAAAACAGAAATCGGCATGCATGAAAGGGTCCATGCGATCGTCCAAGTCCATATAAAGTGGGTCATACAACTTCGCGGTAATGCCTGTGGATGTCGATGTCCGCGGCAACTTGATTTCCCTTTCCTCAGGTGAAGCTTCTCTGATTTCGACTTTGGAAATTTGAGAAGGACAACCGTCACGCACTCTGACATGGTCCACGATCTGGAAGCGTATTGCGTCTGCGTCAGGGCTGGCGTGGGTCGAAGGGGTATGTCGGAGACACATTTCTAGAGGATGAACTTTCTGCATATCGTCTGCAGTCTGGCCTGTTGCGCTCTCCGGATGCGTTACGAGTGCCTCGGAAAGATCACAGGCGCGAGCTGTGAACTGTGCGCCGATTTTGTACGGAAGTGGAGGTTTGGCCTCGTCAGGATGAGTCGCCAGGTAGCTCCACTCCATGGCAGTGGACATCTCTGCCGGTGACGAGCTGTGAAAGGAGTGACGTGAAAGTCTAAGCTGTGGACGCACGGCCAGCGATGTTGGAATGGTGCATGTGGGTCGCGAGATGGGTAGCCGAGATGAAGGTGAGAACCTGCTTGCTCTAGGATGAATGCTTCGCAGTCGTCGTGCGATATGCATCTTGAGCCTTCTCAAAGAAGGAGCTGATAAACTAGGAGGTCAGATGCGGCTTCGACGCGCAGAGGAGATCAAAAACAGCGTTGAAATGGGCCGGATGTTTAGCTTCACTACCTCGCGTAAGACTGAGGCCGGGTCACAAACCAAAAATAGCAGCCGTGGGGGTGGGTGGACGACTAACTTAGCGGCTGAGCAAGGGTTAGGGCTATTGGATTTGGAGGGGGGCCTGTGCGCCATACGGGAAGGAGCAGTTAGTGAGTGTTGACTTAGAAAATGCACCCACGCCCCTAGTGAGCGATCCCATATCTGGGAGAACGAGTCTCCCATCCCAGTTTTCCGTGTTAACTTCATGGTGATTAAGACCAGGACCGAACTGCGATTGAGCGCACCAACCAGGACAGCAGACCCTTTGTCCAGGAAATCGGAGACTCGTACCTGCGAAAACGGAGGGTACACCGGCCGGTACATCAATTAGCTGTAGCCAATCAGAGCGCATCACCCAGGCATAATTCGCCCACCCACGCCCAACACTCACAAGCCCAACTCGAATCAGACGTGCAAATTTGGGTTTGGGCTTTAGGTGTGGATTTTGGGTGTGTGAATTCTCTCATGGTTTAGAGATGGCGATGTACTGGTGTGCCCTGCTTTTTTGCACCAGTCGAGAGTGACCTTGAGGGAGGAAGCTTGAGGGAGTGGTCTTGTGTCATCTTGTACTCAGAACAGGTCTCTGTCATTTGCAGATAAAGTCAAGAAGATTACAAGCTCCCTGTATCTAACCATGGACAACACTGTCAAATATATTGCTATTTACTGCACTGAATACTTACGATGAAATAATTAACTAGAGGCCAGGTGCGGTTCCCCAAAATCAATACTATACGGCCCTTCGCACACTATAGGGATAATATTAATTTTGCCTAGCCTTTAAATTACCAGCCAGGGGGGGGGGTTGTAATTATATTGCCAGCCAGGGGGGCCTCCAAAGAATCACACCAAGGGACAAAATTATGAAAATGTATTTTGTATTTAGTTGTATTTTTAACGTTAATTATTTTATCTTATTTATTAAGATTTTATTCCTTTATATTTCGTTTAAACTTTTTGTATAAATAATTAATACGGATATAATAATATAGTTTTCTTAGCATTAAGGTTAAAATAATACCTTTAAATATAATTATATATAAAAAATGATATTTTTAATTTTTAAAGGTATATTTTAAACTTTAATCTTAAATTATAGCTTAATTAATAACCCTAAACCCTTAAAAGATATATTAATTTAAACTTTATAATAAAAGTTATTATTTAAATTTAAAAAATAATTTTAATTTAAATTTCTCTTTTTTTAAAAAAAGGTTTAAAACAACTATATTGAAAATACATTCACAAGTCTGCCGAGGGATAAGCATAGCTAGGAGTAACCCGTGCTATATAGGGCGCCAAAGGGCCAAAGGGCGGCGAATAGGCAGAGGGCGCACGGCCCCCTTGCCCCACAGGTACATCGCGGCACATTAATCAACCAAACCCTGCACGAGAAACATTTTACAGATTTACGGTACTAAACCCAACCACAGCCGGGAGCGCCCCTTATAAGCTCGGGTCACTCCCAGCTACGCTTAATTACAAATTTGGTTCCAGATTCATGGTGACTTCAGTCAACTTCATATAGAAATATGAAGTGGTCCCTCGCAAAGAGAGTTCTGCCAACACTAAAAAGAGATGGAAACGATCTCGGCGATGTGCATTCATACAAGTGAACGTCTTCGACAACGCTTTAACTACAGCTCCAAGATTCCACTCTGTCCGTCAACCACCCGCTGACGGACTCAAGCTTATCCTTCCTATATCGCATCCCTTCAGGGTATCCATGTCCCAGGAACACTCTGTCGTCCATCTTGCAATCATCGCCGTAATAATACCACTGAACACACTGGGACCAGCCTTCGCATGCTGCCTCACAGCTGTCGACAGAGACCCATGCCTTTGCCCACAATTTTGCATCGAAGTTCCCTTTAGGCCGTGGGGCTGATTCTGGTGACGTCGAATGTACCTCGTATCTGCTGGAGAGGTTCTCCCACCATCCCTTCCGCTTCGACAAGGACGGGGCGATTATGGCCTTGTAAAAGTCACCATAATTGAGCGGCTTCTGTGGTCCAGACAAGCGTTAGCACCGGTCTGACGTGGGCTAAAGGCTGTTCAGAAATTCAATCAACGTACACTAAAGTCCCACGATCTTTCCAGCTCATAATAACGAGCAATATCGCGATTGTGTGCATGGTGCCACGTGAGCACAGGCTTGCACCAGTTCTCCCGCGAGAACTCGATCTTCCAGTGCGGCAGCCCGTTGAACCCCCACGAGCCACCGTCGGCCCTGTCGTCCTTGCCGTCCCCGAACCAGACGTCGTGGTCGTTGAGCACCTTGCCGAGCGCGTAGTCGCCGCAACAGGCCTCGTCCACGAACCCCTGGTACTTGGTGACCAGGTCCCCGCCCCGGCCGAACGACCTCTCCCACGCGCCGCGGGAGAGCGCGAACCCGGAGCCGCCGTGGGCGAAGGTCGTGCCTAGCTTCTCGCCCAGCCCGCCGATGTAATGGCTCTTGCGGTGGTCGTACTCGGACAGGTAGAGCAGGATGTTGGGCAGGAAGAGGTAGGTGTCGTCCTCTGTGTAGATGTACCACTTCACTTGTGGCCATTCTTTCCCGGCGTGCTGCATCAGCGGGAGGAATTTGTACTTGTCCAGTCGCCAGCCGCCAGGGGGGCCTTCGTAGAAGTCGACGTCGCCAGGTAGGCCGGTCTGCTCTAAGTAGTAGTTGGTTTCGTCCCAGTCCCGGATAGCTCGGTACAGCTCAAAAGCCGGCGATTCCTTGACCGATTTTGGTAGCTGCGCCAGGATGTCGATGACGGTATGTTTGCCGACTTTGACTTCGGCATCCGAGTAGATGACGGTGCCGTTCGTCTTGACACGGTCAGGTGCGAGGGTCGTAGAGAGGTGGATGGGCAACCTCCTCCAAAGCACTGTTGATCCTGTTTTCATGATGAGCAGGACATCATCACCAGTCAAAGCTGTTGCTTTGTCATTGCTTGGACTTTTAGAAAGTATGATGTCCTCTTGTGCTGTATGCGGGTCTTCCTGTGTAGGCGCATGATTGCTTCCACTTCCAACCGGCGGTGCCGTGCCGGTTCGCAGCGGTAAGCTATTCCTGGCGGAAGGGTCTATAAACCACCAAAGCAGGCATATTGTGAGTAGCCCGATGACTGGCGGTACCTTGCGGTTGTCCCTGTACACCCTCCTAAAAGACATTGTAGTCGTTTCGTGAAGCAATAGATTGCAGAAACATTTTACAGGAGTCAGTACAATCGCATTCATTGACCGACGCGTTGATGGCCAAGTCGTGGGTGGTTACGATCCGGGTGGGGCGGCGGGGACATCGTAATGCCCGAGACACATGCCATGACTCGAATCTGGACTGACAAGTACGTTGTGAAACCACGAACATGTTGTCTTATGCAGAAAGTTTGATGCCACGAGGGTGTTGGAGTCAGAGTCAAAGGGCGGATTTAGCTGGGTAGCGGTTCGTGCAAAGTCAGTGGAGATCGTGGGGGGTTTCGTGAGGTTTGCTTGCGAAACAGCCATATACCCGGTTAACGAGAATACATGATGCCTGCTGAAAGAGGTAATTTACACCCCTTAAGCATCGTATCCAAGTGATGTCCATCATTATGGTGGAGAAGTATGGGTCATATATAGTAGAATGCTGGGAGAACCCGTCGAGAGTCGTCGTCAGAGAAAACGTCTTACCACACGCCCGTGGAGCACGCTTCTTTTTTGGAGTGCCAGCAGCTCGGAGTTTGTCCTTTCGATCGCTCCAGTTCATTCCCTATTTGAGTTCATGTCAAAGTTAATTCTGTACCCAAAGTGTCTTTTCAGGGACCCCTCAACTTAAAATTTTATTTCGTCATGGACGCATACCACCCGCGCGTCCATTGGAGTCGCCAAGGCCTCAACCTCGTCGGCTGCGCTGTCATTTTCCTTCTCTACCGCGCCGCGGCCGTCAACACATACTACCCAGCGACAGTAGATCTTCTGATCAGCATTCTTCTCGCTGAGTTCTGCCGCTTCAACAACGAAGGCCGAAGAATAGCATTTCGACAGGCCGCGTCGCATCCTAAAGACAAAGAAGATGTTGAGAAGCACGCCTTGACCGCTGCTGGCCGGCGCGAGGCAGCGAGCAGTGAGGCTATCGCCGCCATCGTCGGCTGGCGCGAGGACCCAGCACTGTGGGCGCGGTGTCTGGACAGCTACAAGGCGGCCATCGGGTGCAAATTCCTGCTCGCCGGAATCGACGGCCATGACTCGGATGACATGGAAATGATCGACATTTTCAAAAAGGTGCGACAATCTCCAAGACAGACACCCGTACCCAGCCGGGATCGTCCGTTTGTGAGCCCAAATCAAGTATTCGATAGCGATGCTGAAATCTGGACGACCAGGTCTATCCCGCGCAATCATGCGTGATTCACGTCGACAAGCCCCTCGGCGAGATCGCCAACGCGGTCCGGGCATCGGAGAAGACAGCCCGGCGGAAGCTGGGCAAGGTCATCGACGAAGATGAGATCAACCAGATCGCGATGGAGCGCTGCAAGCAGGTGGCGCGACGCGCGCTGGAGGGACACCTCGGAGACAGGCCGCTGAGCGGGCCAGAGGGCATAAAGCAACTGCTGGTGTACCAGCGGCACTTGCACAAGAAGGGCATCATGTTCACCGTGCTGGTCTTCTCCATCGTTTTGGCGGACCTGCTGGGCGTCGAGTTCGTGTGGTCGTCTGACTCGGACACGATCGTGCTGCCAGAGTCGCTCGACGGGACCATCAGCACCGTCGCGGGGGACCACACGATCGGGGGCGCCAGCTCGGGCCTGGTCGTGCACAACGCAGCTGATACAGTCGTCACGAAGCTCGCTTCTACGATCTACTGGTGCGAGCTGTACCTTACGAGGTCCATGCCGGGGTCTATGGCTGTCAGCGACTGCCAGAGCGGACCCAGTGCGGTGTTCAGACTGTCTGCGATCAGTCCGATCCTGATCCGTTGGTACAACCAGCGGGTGTTCGGGAAGAGAATGGTACGTTTTTGCATTTACCTCGGATGGATTATTCGCTGGTTTATCTCCCTGCATCGCACTCCGCGGGGACTATCGAGGCGGGACTAATCAATGTCTTCCCATCAAGATTGTCAACGAAGACCGTCATCTCACTACACTCCTCCTTCTCCAAGGTTGGCGTGTCATATACGCCGGGGACATCATGACAGAGACAGAAAGCCCAGTAACGCTCGTGCGCTGGATACGGCAACAGGTACGTGATCTTCCAAAATAGGAAAGTCAACAAAACGGAAAAGACCACATGCAACGCACCCCTTGAGTTTCATGTTGGCTGACATCCGAGCAAGGTCCGCTGGGCTCGAGCACAACACATAGAGTCGCTGCTGCTGCCGAGCGTCTACGCCAAGTCGCACCCCTTCCTCTTCATGTCGGCGCTGCGGCGAGAGGTCGCCCACCTGATCGTCTTCGTGCAGTGCCTGCTGTACCTATTCACCGAGCACAACCTGCTGTACTTCAACATGCCCGACTTCGGGCTGCGCATCGTTGGTATCGCCATGTATAACTTCCTGCGCAACCCCGACCGCCAGTCTACGGCTGCCGTGTTGTGGATGCTTCCTGGTCTGTTGTTCTACAACGTGCCCCTGCCTGCCGTGCAGGCGTGGAGCTTGGTCACGCTCACGGCCGATACGTGGGGAAATAGCATGAGATCGAGCACCGAGCGCGCCAAGAAGGAGAGCCTGAGAAAGAAGTGGTTCGAGTCTGGATTCTTTGTGATTTGGATGGGGGGTGTCGGGGCCATGTTGGCGAAATGGTTTTCTACGCGGATGGAGCTAATGCCTGGCCAGATGGTTGTTGTCATGCTTTTAGCGGCAACAATTTTTTCAATTGTTTTCTGGAAGATCACTATACAGTCTGTCTAGACAGATGGGACGTTGACGGCAATAATAGAATAGAACTGTACATAGAATGTAGACGGAGGTTAGAGAAAATGCACCTCCTCCAGACGTAGAAGCTTGGGGTTGGATAATGCCCTGAGATTAGGATACCACCGAGGGGAGTACCCGTATTAATGCCATCATTCAGTAAGCGCAATGGTTCGTACACTACAAAATCTGTTTCTTTCACAGGGATGGTATCGATCGTATGCAAATTTGAGGGCAGCGTAACTGATAAAACACTGTCAACTCAGCCCCTATGGTGATTATCAGCTACAGTAGATAGTAGACTTGATAGCGGAAACCAGGAAGTCTCTTTCGTCGGATTCCTGGCCCATCATTGTCGTTCGGGACTTTTTCACCATCTGTCTTCTGAACCCCATCATGACACACATAGCGGTGGAGAGTCGACCAGGGCGATTTGCTGCGCAGAAGCTCTATGAATCCGACTAAAATTTACACCGCCATTCTTCTTGAAGAAATTTCTTCTATAGGTTACTGATAATGATACCTATTGTGGACGTTTGCAGGATAGTTCAATGGCTGCCTCGGACAGCTGTGCCCGAGTGGTCAGTAAGAAGTGGAGGACTCGGCCAAAACTTCCCAGCCAGTCGGACAAAAATAGCCGAGCAAGGGCACAGGTCATATACCAAAGAATTATTTCCAAACCTGCCAGATCAAGAATCAAAATGCGCATTCCAATCGCTTGTTGACTTGGATTACAAATACCATTCTTATTTGAATTATTGGATTTGATCATAAACAATTCCCGTATTCCGTCCACTCCAACTGCCACACTGCTTTGCATCACTGTACGCAACCCCTTGATTTATTCAAAATATTCACGCTTCCCCTCTGAGAAAGACTGCTATTGAAATTGAAGAATCTTGGGATATGTTGGAAGAAACGATGGACACGGAAAACACCTTGGTTGTAGACGATGAGCAGTCGAAAAAGATTGTCAACGACCCGCAGCACAGCACGCGTACGCCAGAGACCAAGGAGTCCCCAAGGACTATCACAGGTTGGGAGGTGAGTATTCCGCTCAACGCTTATCTCACGTTCTATAGAAAGCTCGCTAACCATCATTTTGGAACAGTGGGCTCTGGCCTATGCCTCCCTCATGTCAACCGTCCTGCTCTTGACCCTCGACAACACCATTGTGAGTACATTGGCACTCAGATAGGTCGCCACATGGCTTCTGACAGTCCTTCGCGAAGGTTGCCACCATCCAGCCCACAATCGTTGAGACTTTCGGCCACCAAGAGGATCTGGCCTGGATAGGAGTTAGCTTCGGTGGCACTCTCTTTGCCTGGGACGGCGGCTCGGAGATCACCCTTTGGGTAATGACCCTCGTTCTTTTCGTCGCGGTTGTCCTCGTCACCATCTTCCACCCATTTGTCCCACCCGAGGGTAGGATGATGCCTGTGCAGTTCATGAAGACGAAGGATCTCATCATTTTGCCCCTCCAGGCTTTCCTTGTTGCTGGATCCATGATGATGTCCATCTTTTACACTCCTCTGATCTTTCAGTTCACCAAAGGCGACAATGCCCTTCAAGGTGGAGTTCGTATCCTGCCTCTCATCTGTATGATCGTCTTCGGTTGTCTCCTCAATGGCGTTCTCATGCCTAGGCTCGGCTACTATATCCCTTGGTATGTGGTTGGCAACGCCTTATTGGTGACTGGTGCTGCACTGATGAGTAAGTCGTATCACAAAACACAGCCAAATATGGGAGAACCTGGTTGCTGATTCCATGTAGCTACTATCGACGCAGACATATCCAATTCTCGCCTCTATGGATACACAGTCCTCATTGGCCTTGGGATAGGCTGCTTCCAGAGCGCTGGAATTGCAGTGGTGTCGGCCCTCGTCCCTGCATCTGATGTCAACAATGCAGTTTCCATCATGACAATTTGTATGTATCCCTACGAATCTGGTATCCAGAAATGCATTAACACGATTGGTAAACAGCACAAGTGCTCGGCATCATTGTTGCCCTTTCCATCTCCGGGTCCGTCTTCTAGAATATGGCCATAAGGTATCTTGCCTCGGCCTTGCCAGAAGCTTCCATGTCAGAGCTTGGACAGCTGGTGACTGGGACCAGCGGTGCATTTTACAAGAGTCTGGGCGCTGGGGAGAAATACCTGGTTGTACAACAAGTGACGGCGGCCATCAGGGATAGCTTCTACTATCTATGCGGTGTTACTGCCATTGGTTTCATCACGTCTGTCTTCCTCAGCGTAAGTGGTGCCAAATCAACAACTTATCCTGTTCATAATCTTCTTGGCCTAACGTTTGCTTTGCTACCACAGCGAAATAAACTTTTCATCGAAAATGGCGTGGCTACCCACTAGCCTCATTCACGTTCACCCTGATCGTCTGACTTAAGGCAGGGGCTGGAGCAGATCCAGTGAGACCAACAAGAGTCGACCAATTAATGCCTGAGGGTTTGACAAAGATGGATTAGACAATGGGAGTCTTTAGCATATGCATTTTTGTGTACGAGTAATAAGGGAATAAATTTGACAACCCTGTAATCTTGATTCTGTCAGGTGCTTTGTCGCTCTGTTACTTGGACCTGTGGCTTGTGTATAGTTGGTGGTGATTTTCCACTAGACAGTTTGGTTTTTATTTTGTGTTTGAACTAATTCAAATTCTACCGGGGAGAATGAGAAGCATTAAGATTGTGTGGTAGAAGCACCAAACAATACATCCAATGCAAGTCTACGTGCTTTCCTTGACTTGAACGTTCATTTGTCCTGTCGCAGCGCACTTGTCTCATACCATTGTATTCTCAGTGAACTTGGGTAAATTTTCATTGTGAAGTGTTACGGGACTGTTCCGAAAGGAGTACACAAGGGTTTTATCGAGAACGAAACACCTCAGCCCGCTTCTGTGCTTCTTTCTGGAGATCCTCCTCCAGGCTGCCCAGCCTCGCGGCCATTGCACCTTCTGGGGGCGCTAGAGCCTCGAGAGCCACCACCAGTTGTTTCAACGCGCCAGTGCTTCTCGATTTACACATCTCGCAGAGCTCACGGAGGATCAAGGTTATCGAGCATGCCCAGATACACTGGGCTCTCAGCTCCGGCTGGTATCCCGCCGCCAGGAGGTGCCTTGCGAAGCCAGGCGATGTAGTCGGCCACCACTGATGCCATCACCAATGTCTCGGCCTGGGTCTGGAAGATGGCTGACGAGAATTTCGTCACTGGCTCGAGGATGGCTGCGCCTGTCGCTTCGTCGAATCCCCTCTGTGGGCCAAGTCCATTCTGCGGGTAGAAATCGAGACTGGACGAGTCGATATTAATGTACTCATCGATAGGGAATAAATTTTGCAGGTCGGCTAGGGGTTGAGATTGTTCCCGCGGTCCCGGTCCAGATGTATGTAGATCTTGCTGGTTATGTAACAAATCCAAGATATTGCCAACATTGACAGAGTTGCTGGCAGGCCCATCGTGAACGTCAGAAGATACATGACCGATTTGCTGCAGCTGGTTGTCGGTAATCACATTTGGTGGCGTTTCAAAATTAAGAGCGGACGGCGAGGTGAGTGTGGTGCAGTTCGATGAAGTTTTGAGCCGAACAATATACGCCTCTGCCTCATCTTGCACATGGCCCAACGTCAGCGAGTTAGTCAACAAAAACTCCCTCTGGGCGGCCTAGTGATTTGATGATCGGGCGGCACTTATGTGCACAATGACCTTACCTAGTCGCTTCTGCAATGTCTCAACCGTTTGTGCCAGTTCAGCCTTGGACGGCTTCTGCGTCGGGATGTAGACACACTCCTCTCCTGCCCGTTTGCACTTCTCACATGCTGGCTGCTCGCCGCCGCAGCGCACCTTGCGATCCCGACACAGCTTCACACACGTTAGAAGAGTCTTGTCTAGATAAGCGACAGAGGTATACCTTCCATGCAATGCGCCGCGAAAGCCCCCCAATTGTCATGGCAATCTCTGGCGTCGCCATTGTCCAATTTCCGTAGATTTTATGCGAGCGGGGCCGTGGGTCTCCTGAGGCTGGGGGCTTCGACGGCAACGGCGAACGAGCGGAGATGCGGTGAAGAGGAAAAGAGAGCGCAATGTCTCAGTTATCCGAGTGCAGCTATACGTAGTATGATTGCTCACGTCAGTTTGACGGAGCAAGCCTTACATACAGTGGAGAGATTCCCGCATAATTGGACCAGGTGAGTTTCGTGCGAAGCGTCAGCTGTTGTTGATTGATATGCTCTACACTTCAACCTGATTGGTCTGTTGAACGCTCTGCTTACAAATGCCTAATGAGCCTCCCGGCCATGCTTCAATTAATTGACAGGCAGGTAGGTCTATGATTTTAGTGCTGGCACGCGGAAATAATGCCAATGAGATACGCAGGGACGCCATTTAGATCCAGATTTGGTGTACTCCGTGCCTGGACTTTCGTTTATTTCAGGGTACTTACGGAAAGGATATGAAGAATGCTGGACCTCGTTCGACGTCTGACAGGAAACCGCAAGACGCGTATTTTTACACTAGCTCTATATGCATTTGTGGCCACTAATAAGTATCAAAGCCACGGGAAGTATGGTAACAATTAGGCATTGTAATGACCAGGCTAATTCTAGTCTCGGAAATTAGTTTGGTCATCTATCTGGACATCCACAGGATTGGAGTCAGTCACGCAGCCTTTCTTGCGGTATCAACTCACATGTGAGCGCGTTTACTCTCCATTGGCACTCTGAGGTAACGTTTCTCCACATATACACATTTGCTAGGGAACTTGAATCCTCAAGTTTGAAAGTGAGCACCAGGAGCTGCTAGAAGGTCTTAGAAAGTAGGTGTTGTGCTCCATGCAGGTACAGATTCAAAGCTCCACCAAATCCTCAATTTCAAGTTGGGGACTATGTTATGCAACGCAGGTGACAAATGTTTGATGCTGAAATGATCATAGGAAGAGAAATATCGCCTACTTGCGGGTCAGCCGGCTTACAGCAGTGCTTAGTTGCGGCCGGCCTGATATTTCCGACCTCCGTATCACTCTAGGCCCCAGGAAAACTTGTATTCGCTAGTCTCGGTATAACACCAAAGACCGGAAAGGATTAATGAATTCGGACCGAGCTGACCGTTGACCGAAAACAGAGATATTAGGTTCTCGTAACAACCACGTGGCCAACAGACGTGTAGGTAAAGCTGCTGTGAATGCGTCGCTCTGCCATTCTGCTTTGAATGGGGGCCGCTTGATCATTGGTGGGCCCTCCGCTGAGCTGGACGTTATGTATTGGCAACCGTTTCTCTATTTTCTTTCCCTTCTAAATCCTGGGGACACAACTAAACGCTATGTAGTTGAACAGACAACATGAATCGGAAAACCTGTGCAAGGGTCTATACTCAAGTAGAAATTAGACGCAACATCTGAGATACTCAGAGTGAGCTATCATTCTCATCAATATACCCATCCTTGATGCCCTGCTTGACAATCGGCCACGCAGCAAGCGCATAGTTGCTATCCCGCGCCAACACGTACGGCACGGAGACTCCAGTGAAACCCCTCGGGTTCTCCACATCGTTGAAGTAATTATGGAAAAAAAAGGCGTCGCTGAAATCATGGGCCCATGTTTTCTTCTCAGCCGCCCGGTGCTTCTCCCACACTGCCATAGGGTCTACCGCCACCAACACGCCCCGACCCGCCAGGGTATCTTGCCGCTGGACGGGAGGCGCGTCGCCCTCGTGCCTTTCCAGAGCCGCGTTGACGCTCTCTTGGGTCCATGTGAAGGGAGCGAACGCTCCGGGGTCCATGATGAGCACCTCCCGCGGGATGCCGGCGACGGCCTGCGCGACGCTCGTGATCAGACCAACGCTGTGCGAGACCCAGTCGCCGTTGACGGCCTTCGGGGTCTCTTGCTTCATGATGCGCGTCAGGGCCGCGTCCCTGGCGGCCAGGATGATGCCGTTCGTGACGGTTGCGTCGGACTGGCGGCCCACGACGGCCTTGAAGCCCGAATCGATCAGGGGGTCCAGGGACCTGAGGGTGAGCACATCCCAGTCGAGATAAATACCGCCGTGGAGGGTGAGCTGGTCCAGGCGCACGAAGTCGGACTTGTGCTCGATGCGCTTGATGTCGAGGTCGTTCGCCTTGGTTGGGGCGGTCACCTTGTTCAGACGCACGGTGTCTGGAAAGGCAGTCAGGACTTTTCGCGTCCAGGAGGAGCCATTTCGAGCTGCACTGACTACCTCCTGAGGGGTGTAGTCGGTATGAATATATATCACAGATGGCTGGACGAAGAGATAGGCGGAGTAGATGGCGAGGAATGACTCGAAGGAGAAGTGCAGGCTGCTAGACTCGTCCCTTTTGAGCTGGACAAAATGAACGACCGGTGGAATGCATGATCCCAGACCAGATGCGAGGTACCGGTGGCACCGAGCGACCGAGGTGGACGGGGTGGAATAGTGAGTGAGTGTGAAGAAGCTGAAAAAAGAGCCCAGTACGAAGCCAACGGCTACGGGAAGCACGAGGTGGCCGCCGGGACGCCCGGGGAGAATACGGACCATAGCCCGGGAAGGACAAAGCTAAGGCGATGTGACGCAGGGCTTAGACCTAAACCTGGAAAGTCTAGATGCTAGAAGCAGTAAGGCGTGAGAGCAAATTGGGATGCAAGATGCGATTCAACGTTCAAGTGCGATACATGGTCAGATGGTGTAGCATCAGCCTGTGTTAATAATACCGTTGCACACGTATGTGACAAGACAGTCTAAACCCAATCTGCGGCAGCGTCGAATGATCTACGGGCACCCACTGGAGATGGATCCTGCGCTGTTGCGTGCGATTCATACGTACAGTTCCAGAGTTCCGGGTCATTACTATGTAGACGTGGATTTGCGATGACAAGCGTCGTGGGGAGCGGAGCCACCCAGCTGCGATAAGGCACAGCCCGTGCAGGATGTAGGCGAGGGTGACAAGACTAAAGACATGCATATCCAAGTAGCATCTGCGATATTCAACGACGATGGAATGTGTGTTTTTTCTTCTGCTCTCATCGTGTTGTGATGAAATGTCACAGGCTGGTTGGTCAACAGAGGACGTGACAGAATTTGGTCAGTCCAGTCCACTGGAAGCTTCAACATTGGGTCCTTGGAATAGGGGTCTCGGGCAGGGGTAGAACGGCAGACAGGCAGGGGGTTCCCTACCGTTCGGGAGCTTTGGCCCCAGCAACCATTCCGTAAAGGGAGCTGGGTCGCAGCTGCCGCAGGAGCCCAAGCGCGTCGAGTGCAGGTGGCCTCGCCCAATGACACGGTACGGCGTGACTTTCAACCCCAACCCCGATGTCCACACGCTGTCTGCACCGGCACCCACCCCTCCCCTCCACCCCTACTCTGGGCCGTTCAACTCACAGTCACACAGCTCGGGCCTGCCGTCGACATTGGACTCGCTTCGCTTCGGTTGGATTGATTGTCTGGTGCCAGCATTGCATTGGGTGCATGCCTTATCCAGCAACGCCCAAAGCCCACAAACCGCGAGACGGGAACTTCTCTCCATGTCTCCATCTCTGGCTGCAGATCCTTCTCCTTCCCTCCTTGCTTCATCTCAGAAAGCCACAAGATTGCGATATTTACAGGCAAACTCTCCCCGCGCCGACCGGGCAACGACCAAGACATCGACCCCAACGCCAGCACCTGGATGATAATACCCCAATACGCTTCCCCGTCGAGCCCCCCTGAATCGCGTCTCCGAGTCCCGACGAGCTCAAAGCACACAGCACTGCACCACAACACAACACAAAACAAGACAGACAGCGACAGCAACAGCATTCTTGGTATTCTAAAAAGTCCACCACCACGTCCGCCACGCGCTGCTGCTAGCACCCTGCATTCCAAGCAGAACCACGACCTGCTGTGGCGGATGACCTGATCCCTCCCAATTTGGCTGCCAAGGGAGGCTGTCTCGGGCGCCCCATGCGCAGGGCATTATGGACGACATGGACAAGACAGACACTGGCACAATGGACGACTCCGAGAGTACTATCGACCTTGCCGCACGCAGGCCTCTGCCGCCTCCTTCGTCCTCCACTCCGACCTTGGAGGTAGACAGTCCCGAACACCACCAAGATATCTCTCGGCCTTCGACCGCATACCGAGTCCCTGGCACACCCAGTCACCCGGACGATGATCACGACCGCGACCGCGACCACGGAGAGAGCCAGGACCGATCTCGCGACAACAACGAGCCGACGCCTACGCGCCCAACATCGTCCGCGCCACGCACCGTCCTAAGAGCCGATGATATCCCTAACCTCCGCCCTCCAAGCGGCTTGCGACAACAGGGCGAACCGCGACAGAGTACGCAAGAACAACATGTCGGCAGCGCAGGCGACCACAGCTTTGCTGAAGGCCACAGCGGCTTGCCCGACCCTGAACACAACGACTCCTCCATGGCGCAAATGCTCCGAAGGCAGCTGCAAGATATCGAGTCTAGCTTCACCACCCCGATCTCTCCTCTACCTACCGTAAACTCCCTCGGCCTGGACGACACCTTTGTATTCGACTCGCCCTCAAAACCTCCCAAGCCAGGTGCTCCCGCTCCTGCTGCCACTCCAGCTTCCTCACAACCACCTGCTCCCCAGCACGCGGTCCAAGATGAGCCTTCCTTGCCTCATATCCCTCCGCCATCCGATTCCGACCAGCCGAGCCCACAACCCAAGAGAGAACCAGCATCTGACCAGCTCCACGTCCCAGAAGGCACTTCCGCCCTCGAAGCGTTCTCGTCGTCCCCAACTGGTGCCACCACTGCGCGCACCATTTCAAGAGCAATGTCCCGGATCAGCAATGGACACAACAACAGCGCGCGTGCCGATGACAGCCAGACTGCCCAAGAAGAAGGCGACAGCATTGTGCAACACAATTCTTCGATGGATGACTCGCTGCTCCGACCAGCCAATACCTCGGGTACATCAGGAGCTTCAGGGACTTCGGCGGCCTCATCACAACGACGTTCAGACATGGGAATACCGAAAATCAGCGTGGACGCGGGGAACACACCCGGCCACAGCTTGAAGAGCGGGAAGCGCCCGAAATACCTGCGCAGCCGCATGGCAAGCCATCATTCCTCCTCGTCCTCCTTCAACGACGATATCGAAAGCGACGTGACGGCAGGCACAGCGGGAGGGCTCGGCGCGGACTACGCTTTGCAGTCCGGCGGTGCCATACCAGCATTGGGCACTTCACGGAACAGCAGTATGAGCAACATTGTCACGCGGCAGATAAGCATGGGCAGCATGGCGTCTGACTTTCGCGAGGACTCTACAGGGCGCATTGGTGTCGAGCCACTTGAGCCTCTGGATGAATACGAGGGCATGTCATCCGATAATCCCAACGACGATAGACTCAAGACACCGAAGGCTCCAAGGCAGCCTTTGACCGAACCGACTGATACGGCCATCGCCCGACACGTTAGGAATGTACAGGTCCCCGAGTCTCTGGCGAGGGAATACAGGAGCAAAAGTGGATTTGTCACACCCAGGAGGAAGTTGTCTGAGGTGAATCTTGGCGCGAGTGCGAGCACCACTCGCACCGGCAAGAACCTTACTCTGAAGGAGCAGAGCAGTACCATAGAACGGCTGTCCAAGGAGAACTTTGACCTCAAGCTCAAGGTCATGTTCCTGAGCGACCGGCTCGACAAGCTCTCCGAAGAAGGTATTAAGGAGATGATCTCGGAGAATGTGGAGCTCAAGACCAGCGTGGCTGTCATGCAGCGCGACAACAAGGTCCTCCGCCGCCGTGTTAAGGAGCTCGAGAAGAAGCTCAAGGATGAGGACGAGCGACCCGACACCGCTAAGAGTGGTGGGTCCTCAGGTCCCGTGCCTGACGACTATGACGCCCATGCCAACGAGGAGGAGCTCATCTACTTGCGCGAGCGCGTCGACGAGTTCGTCACCGAAATCGAACGGCTCAAGGAAGAGAGCATGAGCAAGGAAGCAGAAAAGAGGCGCATGGCCGAGATGGTCAAGAATCTGCAGTCCATTAATGAGAACCGCGTGGGAGAATCTCTCGGCCAAGATGATGAGACGGCAATATGGAAGGAACTCTACGACCAGGAACAAGCACGGCGAGAGCAGGCAGACGAAGATAATAAGAGGATGGGCGAAGAGAACCGCACCCTGCGCGATGAGATCTTCCGTTTGAAACAGGATTTGGCAAACAGCACGAACAACCTCGGAGGCCGGCCGTCATCCCATGCCTCGCATCCGTCAGGCATGAGTCACACTACTAATATCTACAACATCACCAAGAAGGGCCGGGCGCAGTCACCTTCGAGGCCGCAAACACGAATGTCAGAAGCCGACACGATGAACGGAGCAATGAGCGTCAGCGTATCTCTGGTCGAGGAGCTCCGTCGCGAGAGCGAGCAGCTGAGGCATGAAAATGCCGAGCTCAGGCGCGAGGTCGGCGCGCAAACGTCGATGCTGACGTCAAGGAACCGTGAGAAGGAGAGGCTCTACCAGGAGATCGAGGATCTGAAGATGGCTGCCCGCCGAGGTGGGCCCACGCCATCTACGATCGACAGCCTTCTTGACAGGTCCGCATCCCGGGCTGGTGCCCACGACCGGCCACAGTCCCGTGGGAGCGGCATGACTCGTACCGCGACGCTGGATGAGGACCCCGAACGCGAGGAGCTCGAGAACAAGTTGGCTGAGCTCCGAGACAAACTCAACGGGGTCAAGATGCAGAATCAGGACCTGCAGCAGGAGCTCGGCAATTACATGCAGGAGTACGAGGCTGAACTGGAGGGCAGGAAGCAGGCCGAGACAGCGGCCCAGCAGCTGCAAGAAGAGCTCGAAGCCACCCAGAACGACCTACTTACGTTGCAGCAGGAGCGTGACGACCTTCTCCAGGAGAACTCCGGGTTAGACCATGAGTTCAACGCATTGCGTGAGGAAGCACAGGACGAAATAGACCACCTGGAGGGCGAGAATGAGCAGCGAGAGCAAGAGATTGCGCGGCTCAGCCAAGAACTGGCGGAGCGTAATGAAAACCAAGAGGCTCTGCAAGAAGAGATGCGCAGGCTGAGTGAGGACATGATTCGCTTTGAAGACACTCAAGAAACGCAGTTCCAACGCATCCAGGAGCTGGAGACGGAGCTAGCCGAAGCGAACAAGGAGCTTGAGGATCTGGAGGCGAAACTTCTCGAATCCAACGACAAAGCGCAAAGGCTTGGTATCCAGCTCGAATCCACCCAGGGCGAGATTGCCTTCCTCCGCGAAGAGCAGGAGAGCGACAAGCTGCGCATCGGCGACCTGGTCGGCCAGTTGGCAAACACCGAGCTTGCCCTCCGCGAGGAGAAGGAAAGAGTTAAGGAGCTTGAGAACCAACTCCAATCGGAGCGACACCAGCGCGAAATTGTGGCGAACCAGGAGAAGGAGGACGTGCAGCAGGTGGTCAACAACCTAAACAGGGAGATGTCCACTGCCAAGGACGAAGCCAGGAAGCTGCGTAAGAGCCTTTCTAGGCAGGAGACCGAGGCGGCGGACTGGAAGGCGCGGCTGGTGGACCTTGAGAACAATTTGAGGGAGGCGCTAGGGGATCTCAACGGCACGAGATCCAGCTTCCTCAGAGTGAGTTTCCTTTCTCCTTCTGCATCCATCAGGCTTGTATGAGAAGCACAGTTCTAATTTCACCGTTACAGGACATCACCAAGCTTCAGAACGATCTTGATACCACGTGCCGGGAGCTGGACGCCACTCGGGCCTCACTCAACGAGAAGGATCATCTCATCAAGCAGCGGGACGAACTTCTCGAGAGCCACGCGCTCGAATCCCGTCGACTTGGTGACACCCTCGCCAAGGAACAACAGGCGCACCGCAACACGAAGCACCAGTTCGAGACATACCAAAAGACACAGCAGCACGTTCACGGTACAATGTCTTCTGCCGAGCTCCGCATCAAGGAGCTGGAGGCCGCCAAGAGCCAAGACAAGCAACGGCTCTCCAAGCTCGAAACATCACTCAAGGAACAACTCAACGAGCGCAACAGTCTCCTTCTCGTCCTCTGGACACGCCTCTCAAGCCTCTGCGGCACAGATTGGGCGCATGATAACAGCCTCATTAGCGGCCGCGCCCTCCCATCACTCGAGTCAGTTGCTACGATGCTGCCCGGCTTCAGCAAGAACCTCCTCGCTGCCGTCAGGACCATTGAGTCCATCGTCAGCAAGTTCCAAGACCGTGTCAAGTCGGTCGAGCGCGAGCTCTGGCGTGAATATCAGCACCTCGAGGACAGCCTTGATAAGCGTATCAAGAAGCTCGATAAGATCGAGTCGATCGTGCGCAATGGAGTGGCCACAGGATCGATCGGAATCGCGGGGCAAATGAGCCAGGCCCTTCTCGAGGAGCAGAAGCAGCGCATGGCGAAACTCGAGGACGCGTATCGCCAGCTCAAGGTGGAGAACGCGACTCTCCGCACGGCGAACGAGGTCCGCCATGCTATGCTTGACCCTCGCGCAGAGAGGGGCACGGATGATGACGGCAGTCCCAGCCCGAGCATTCCAACCGGGCCAACAGCACGGGCTACGTCGGGCGAGAGGGGAAGCCAGCGCAGTGAGCGCAGCCGTCAGAGCTCGCGGCACGTCAGCGGTGGCGCGCCGACGACATCGAGTGGATCATCAACGCACCGGGCAACGAGCCGAGCTTCTACCATGACCCGGGAGACTATGACCAGAGAGACCATGACGAGAGAAAGGTCGCACCGGTCTGACAACGAGATTGCGGCCGCGCAGGACGTGATCAATGAGTACAGTCCACGCCACAGCAGCCTGAGCAACCACAAGAACAGCAATCATAACCATAACACGCGTGATGTGACCTCGGCGGCCGGCTCCCATGGGCCAATGTCGCCCGGCGCGCCGCTGGACGCGGAGCTCAAGTGGATGCACCGCCTGAAAGACATGGAGAACAAGCTCAAGGCCGAGAGAGAGGGACGGCTGCTGGACCGTAACGAGGCCAGCCGCAAGATCATCAGCCTCGAGGAGGTTGCTCTGCAGGCGCAGGCGCGGGAGGCCAAGATCGAGAGGAGACGGCGGATGGAGGCCGCGCTGTCTATAGCAGGTAGCGGTGACAAGAGCGGCGGCGGTGGCGCGAAAAGGAGTCCTAGTGCGGGCGGGGTTTAGGAAATGAGCCTCGGCGATGATGACCGCCGTGGTCGAGGGCCGGGTAATGGGTGCAGTGGGAGTGCCGCTGGAGACTTCTCGCTTGTCTCTGAATGGAACGGGGCGGTGTTTCTTTTGTGATCTATTCCTGCGGACATGCCTTTGATGAGGGTATATACGGCAGGGCATGACAGGGCACGGCGTTGAGGGATGCATTGAGGGCGAGCTTGGAAGGCAAATGGGAAAGGTAAACAGGGGGAGGGGTGTATGATACCTGAGTCGAGGGCACCGAGGAGTCTCTTTTTTTTTCCTTCTCCTTGTTCGGTGCTGTGGATACGTTTACATTACCTTGACATAGTTTTCTTGGGTTGGCTGCATAGATACCGTCGCTCGCAGTTCATCTACATGTATACCTAAGTACCTAGCGTGCCTGTAAATGGCCTGACTTGAATGGATGATGATGGGGGTTTCCGAGTTCAGAGGTTGATGATCAAGCATCCGTTACATATGTCTTTCGTGGGTGGGATCACGACCGTGTGCAGTCCCTTAGCTCACGCCTCAGGGGACACGCATCCTGACAGACGCAGAGCACACTGACCGGCTGCTTATGCTTTCTTCCATGGTCTGTTGACCCCCTCTCACTCAAGCAGCGTCTTCCTCGGCTCGACATCTACAGGCAGTTTCGACCACCTACTCGCATACACCCTGCCCTCCTTGATCACCCCGAGCAAATGCTTCTCCGGCTTCTCGAAAATCGTCACGTCCTCGAGCGGGTTCCGATTCAGAACCAGGAGATCCGCCACAAACCCCTCCCTGACCTGGCCCAACTTGTCCTCCTGCCCCAGCATCCGCGCCGGGTTGACGGTGGCATGCCGCAGGACCTCGTCGGAGCCCAAGACCCTCGCCCGCAGGCCAAACTCCCCGAGCTGCTCCGCGCCCAGGAACGACAGCAGGTCGCTCCCGAGGCACATCCTCACGCCGGCCTCGTGCGCCAGCCGCACCGACTCGAGCCCTCGCTCCAGCACCTCGGCGTTCTTGGCCCGGTTGGCCCCGGGGAGGAACCCGGCGTACTTTGGGTCCGCCATCGCCGCGTACGTGACCAGGGTGGGTGTGAGGTAGACTCTGCTGTCGGCGAGCAGCCGCGCCGTGGCGCTGTCCATCAGGTTGCCGTGCTCGATGCCGCGGGCGCCGGCCTCGACTGCGCGGCGGACGGCGCCGGGGGTGTAGGCGTGTGCGGTGGCGAAGGTCCCTGCGTCGGAGGCGGCGGTGGTGATGGCGCGCATCTCTTCTGGGGTGAATTGGATGCTTCCCAGGGGGTCTGTGGGGGAGGCTACGCCGCCGCCTGCCATGAACTTTATGAAGTCGGCGCCGCCTTTTTGGATGCTCGATGTCAGGGACTTGTGATTTAGTGGTGTTGGGAGATTACGGTCAAGGGGGAAAGAGGTCTGTCGCACATCTCCTGACGATGCTTGGGAACGAGTATCACTTACGTCGGAGTTGTGTTCGTGCAGCGGCCAGGACGCCCGGCACGCCGTCGACAACCACACTCAGTCCACCGTCCAGCTCGCCGCCGCCGCCGCCACAGCACCCCACTGCACCATCACCCTCGTGCGCCCCTCGCCGGTCGCCGTGCCCGCCCGTCTGGCTTAGGGCGTGACCCGCGATGAAGAGCCGGGGGCCCGGGAACACCCCCTCCGCGATGGCCTCCTTGAGCGCGAGGCTTGCGCCACCACAGTCCCGGACGGATGTGAAGCCGCGTTCCAGCATCGCTTTGCACTGGTAGGGCTGCCTCAGGGCCGAGACTGGTCCGGGGGTGCCCATGGCGGACTGCAGGTCGGGCGTGCCGGGGACCGAGGTGAGGTGGACGTGGTTGTCGATCAGGCCTGGGGATAGGTATTTCCCTGCCGAGTCGATATAGATGGCGTCGTCGTTGGGGCCAGGGTCGTACCATGGTTGGCCTAATTCGTCGTTCTCATCAGATGAGGGCGTGATGGATTTGATTCTGCCGTCTTGGATGCGCACGATGCGGCCGGGCTGGATCTTGCCGGCGATGGTGTCGACGACGTTGATGTTGACAAAGACATAGGCCTGTTGTTGAGGCAACTTCCAAGGCTTGTAGACTTCCTCCGGTATGGGTGAAGCATGGCGACGTGGCGGGTGGTCCTGCACAGGAACCGTCCGCCGTGCCGTGTAGTTGTCCTCGTCAGGTCTTGTCCTCATGGCGGGAGAGGGTCGTCTGCCTGTCGGTATAGAGGGAGCAAACCTTAGACTATCCTGAGCATAAGACTAGCTACCAGATCCCACGGCTGTGTACAGAGAGTTCGAACAAATTGAATTGGACACTATAATGACACGGCCATGTACAACATATTAGAGGGGAGATGGGATGATGTCCTAGATGAATTCCCCGCTCAGGCACTGCCGAAACCAAGTTCCATCGGCCGGCTCTCCAGTCCGGTGATAAGCGGCCCACTCCGTGCCGGGTGCATATTCAGCGTCGTTGCATCCAGCCTCTTCATGGAGACATGGAAACGCAAAGACGATAACAATCGTATGAAAAAGCCTTTAACTCAGAGTTATAGTCCTTGGCTATTACGCCATTCAGGCCTGTGCCGGAGGTCACTTGACGCCTAACGATATCTCTAGGTATTTATTAAGCGCGATTGTCTTTTTGCGCGATTGTATTCAGGATGTAGAGCTACACACTTTTCACTCCAACACGAAACAATGCGTATTGCAATTCGGACCTTTTCACAACTATATTCTGTTGACTTCCACAAGATTACATATACTTGCACAATGGTCATGATCCTGTGTTACTGCCACCCTGTAGAAAACGCTGCAGGGTATCAGGCACACCCAACAATGGTGATTGAGCAAGAGGAGAGGCCCTACATCAAGCCCGTAATGCACCGTCATCCTGGGGTTGCAGTGTATATTGAAGTCGAGTAGACAACTCGTCGAAAAGCAAATTCATATGTGACATTCTGGTAAAACATACTTACCTAGCTACTGGGCAGTTCGTCCTCGTCTTAGCACTCATATAGTGCTCTCAACCCTTCCACAGCCTTCCTCCCAAGAGCCTCTAATGTACCCATCCCGAGCATCTCAAGCACGGTAATGTCAAATCCAAAAGCAACCTTCCACCATGATCGTAGCTCGATTGCCACAAGTGAGTCTAAGCCCAGCTCCAAGAGAGACTCTGATATGACGACTTCTTCCCCACTGCGAAGCAGTAGTCCAAGTAGACGCTCGCCAATCACGAAGGCCAGCCGGGCTGCAGCTTGATCTGCCCCTTGCCCTAAGACTGTTACCGGGTCCGCTCTTGCATGCACAAGGAAGTCTGCAAGCGTGTTGTCCTTGTTTTTCGCAGCCCCCCTAGTGCTACCTCTTTGGTCGTTGTGATAGACGGACAGACGGATGTCTTGCCTGAGACGCACGCTGCTGTCGGGGCTGCTCAGAGGAATTGTAGGTGTGATCCCGAGGAGAAAACGATTCTTGTCGACGACAATGCCATCAGTGCTGGACTTAGTGGGATATGAGCTGCTCAAAGCGAATTCCAGGGCTGCCAATAGTTCGATCTCTCGAACAGGCCGCCAGCCCATCCCTTTCATTTTGCGCAGCAGGTCTTGGTTGGAAGTGAGATAGCCGGCATCCTCAACGGCACCAAGATCAATAGCCGTGCAAGCTAAGCCCATTCCCTTCCGGTATTGGACGAATGCATCCAGAAAGCTGTTTGCACTGGCGTAATTCGTTTGCGTGGGTTGGCCAAGGATTCCGGAGAGGGAGCTAAACAAAAGGAAGAAATCTAGTTGGAGCTCGCTTGTGATGGACGAATTGTGAAGGTTCCACGTGCCTTGTACCTTAGAATTCCTGGCGGACTCCCAGTCTTCGAGTGTCATTTTTTGGAAAGCTTGATCCCGCAGAACCATTGACATCTGAATGATGCCTTTCAATGGGGCGCGAGACTGCGCATTGCTGATAGCCTGGTTGACGTCGTTCGGGTCAAGGACGCTGCCCCGGATCAACTGCACAGAGCAGCCCATGCTCTCTATCTCCTGGGCGAATTCTTGGTCGTGCACACCAGAGCCAGCGTTTCGGCTCAGGAAAGCCAGGTGCCGAGCACCATTCTGCGCAAGCCAGACTGAAACAGCTCTTCCGAGGCCACCGAGTCCACCAACTATAAGATAGGAACCATTCCTATCCAAGATGAAGGTAGTTTTGTGGGGAACTCTGGTCAATTTGCCGACTTGTGAGCGTCCCTCGGAATCTCGCATCTCGACGACGACTTTCCCGATATGTTGCCCGCGTTGCAAGGACCGGAACGACTGAATGACATCAACTGCCTTCATGATCTCGGCGATCCGGATGGGTTTTATCATTCCACGGCGGAAATAATCCATCGTAGCCACCAACAGCCTTCAAAGCTTGAATCAGCATCGCATCCAAGTTTCCGACTCGGAGAATTTGTTGAGTCCAGCCGGGAACCATGGCGGTGAACACTTACCTCTTCATAATGTCCGGACGTTCGATACCCATCTGGTACATGTCCACACAGCGATAGCTTCGATTCGCAAGAAACACGTCCATGTCTAACTTCCCAACCTCTATCAAGTCTCGCTTCCCAATTTCCACCATGGTGCCCCACCTGGCAACGCATCGACGCCATGTTGTATGAAGCAGTTCTCCGCCCAAAGAATTGAGCACTAAATCAGCCCCTCGGCCTCCGGTTTCTCTCAGTAGGTCATCGGCAAACGACACAGTTCGTGAGTTGAAAATACAATGACGAGGAATTCCGAATGTTTCCATCAGATAGTTGACCTTGTTGTCGGTGCTCACCGTGGTGTACACTTCAGCTCCAATCATTTTGGCCACCTGGATGGCCGCGAGCCCGACACCACCAGCGCCACTGTGAATGAGGACAGTCTGTATACCTCGTCAGAGTCTGTCTGATGGTCTTTCTGTAAATGGCTGCGGAGTCATCATACCTGTCCATTCTTCAAGTTCCCAATATCAACCAAACAATAGATGGCGGTAGTGAAGGCAACCGGCATGGAAACCCCGTCCCGGAAACTCAGCTCATCCGGCAACCTCTCGCAGGTTTCTTCGTTGACTGTGTCGACAGTGGCAAAACCCTGGAAAGAAGTCGAGAGAACACGATCTCCGACACACACCGTTGTCACGTCGGTGCCAACGCGGCGTACGATGCCTGCTATCTCGAGGCCGAATGATGATTGAGGGGCCTGTAGTAGACCCATCGCCAAGAGGACATCCTAGAAGCCGTTAGTCGCAGCAAAATACCATCAATCAGTGCCAAGGTCCCATACTCGAAAATTGAGTCCAGTCGCATGGACTTCGATCTCTACCTCCTTTGCTTGCGGTGATGCTGCAGGCATGGCACACCAGTTCAACGTATCCAGACGGCCAGCCCGGCCAACTCGGAGTACCGCTTCTTCATCCTGCTGCGTAATCGTAGCTTCAGCGTCCATTGTGAAAGGGAATATCCGATTCACACGGACGACCCTGTCATGGATGGAATACTCGAAGTCTGGTCCCATGCCAGCGTTCGCCTCTCTCTGTCGATCGTTGAACTTGGTAAAAGCAGCTAGGATGAGATCGGCAGATTCGCTCGTGTCATCTACTTCACAAACGGCGAAGTCGACGGACGTCTCCTGCCTCAACGCTCGGGCAAACCCAAGAACAGATCCATGTTCCGGCTGACTGCAACATACCGAGGACTCCTTTGTCACCCAGAAAAGTCCAATTCTTCTGTGATTCGCTGCTTCCACCATGGCTTTGAGCCAATCGAATCGACTTGAGTCTATGCCGTCAAAAAAGGACGACTCTTCATCAAGGAGAATCATCGCGTCTCGTCCTTCTGGGGCTATTTCCAGGGAGGAACAGTTTGCAACTGTGACCCCGCTAGCCCCTAAGAGCGAGGCAAAGTGTGACTGTCTGTGTTCGTCACTAGTGACCAGAGTCACATGCTTCATCGGGGACGAGTTCAGCTGAGGCCTCGCCACGATGACGTTTCCGAAGGAACGATATCCGCTGGAGGAATTTGCCGCGTCTATGGCACTCTGGAAGCCGGCGGCGCTCAGTAGTGCGGCCCATCTCTCCTCGGTCAGTGATGGCTCGTCTGGGCGACCATCGTTCACACCGCGCCACCACCAGGCTTGCGTACCAAGCACATACCGGGACCATTTCAGACCCGGCCGCGGGGTATGCAGGAGAAGTCGGCCGTCTGGAGCCATAAGCTTGAGAATGTGTAAAAGACTACGTTCCAGTGATGGTGAACGATAAATTTGGGGAGCAATGACAAGATCGAATTGGCGGCCTTTGAACCCCTGCGAGGATGGGTCCTGGTTGATATTCAGCAGGGTTGCTTCGAAGTTGGCGATTCCTTTGAATTGATGCTGTGACTTGGCAGTATTTTGAGTGGATGGGCTAGTCAACACGTAGCTTGAAAAAAGGGTCTGGCCATCTTCACGCCTGAGTTGACGCAAGTAGCCGTCGGTTGTCGATCCTGAGGCGTCGAGTTCCAGGACTCTCAGGTTAGGCTTGCTGTGTGCTAGGATTCTCAGAAACCGCGAATAGTCGAATCCATGCAGTAGCTCATTGATTGTTACAAGCAGGTCATCCCGACCCAGAATGTCGGAAGTCGTCACATCACCCAGAGCGATGTCTGTAGTGTTCTCGCAGACACGACGGACAGCTTCAGCCACAGGTGCTCCCGGGGAACCGAGAATAGATTGAGCTATGGAGCTCATCTGGGTCCTCAAAGCTGAGTCTTCTTGATTCTTGAGGGATCCAGAGCTCGTTTGAATGAGCATCTGGCGATACAGTTCCATGTGGGACGAATGGGGTGTTGTGCCTCCCAAGAAGCGCAACGAGATCTCAGTCGCGATGTCGACGATTCGGTCTAGAGCGAGCTCGACATCGGAGGTGATGGGTTCAGTGTGCGGTTCAAAGAGGGTATAAATCGGCCGGAAGTCAACGTGTGGTACCCATTCGGAACGCGCAGTTGTTTGCACTTGCTCCTCTTGGTCCTTGTTATCAGCACTCAGATGCTCAAGATGAACATTAGAGAAGGTGACGACTGGCGTGCGAGAGGCATCGTCAAGGACATCCCCACTGCCAAGAATACCACTTTCCACGTCATCCGCATCTGTCGAAAACACGAAGCCGTCGGCGATTGAACGCGTCATGATGATTGAACCGACCCGAGTGGGCACGAATCTGTGGCCTTCGTGAGCAAGGCCGTCGACGGCGGTGATTGTCAAGAGCTGGAAAAATGCGTCCAGCACTATCGGATGCAGGTGATAATTGCAATCCTTGTCGTGCCATCTATTCTGAACGAACGCGGTACCTCGATGCGGAATTGTCGTAGATGTCATAGCTTGGTCAAACACTCGAAAACTTGGACCATAGTCGAGTCCTCCACGCCTCGAGGCCTCGTATATCTTGACTGAATTGACTCGGCGGGGAAGATCGAGGCTCAGATCTTTACAGCGGACGTGTAGTGAGTCATCTGCAGACGCAACCTGCCCGGTGCAGTGTTTTGTCCACGTATGCCCATTGTGTGAGGAGACAGCAAATTCCCACCATTGACTTTCAGTTGCTTTAGTCAGGTGATGTCGGTGGAAGGACGTAACCAATTCAAGCGGGCTGCCCTCAGGGACCAACAGGGCTGTAGTAACAGCAACTTCCCGTAGCCTAACACCATCCTGAACTCCTGTGACCTGTCGAATAGCCTCCGAGGCCATAGAAACGAAGCCAGCAAACGGGAAAATAATCGTCCCGTTCACCTTGTGATCACGCACCCACGGGGCGTTGTCAACGTGGAACAAGTTGCGCCAGATCGGTTCCAAATCTGTACTTTCGGCCACCTTGACCCCGAGAAGGTCATGGTATACATTTTGTCGCAAACGACGCTCCTTAGTTACTCGAGTCTCATGCCAGTAATTGCGTGAATGGTCCCATGGATACCGAGGTAGATCAGGAACACAAGATCCACCTTTAACAAGAGAAGTCAAGTCCATGTCCACGTGAAGCGTGAAAAGTTTGCCGATTGCACATAAGAAGTCCTCATCACTGTTTGACCGCCGAGTCAAAGCTGTGATGTAAGGTGCTTGGCTCAGTGCCTCTGTCAGTGTCTGTCGCACTGGCCCAGCAAGTGCCGAATGTGGACCAATCTCGAGGAAGACGGGATTCATAGAGGCATGGTGCTGAAGAAGATCCATCAGTGCCCCACGGAATAGGACCGGAGATTCCAGATTTTTCCGCCAATAATTTGGTCCGAGAGCTTCAGCACCGTCATTTCCTGGCTGAAAGAGGCGGCCGGAGACACTGGAGAAGAATAGCTTTGATGGCAGTGCGGCCGTGATTTTGCAATCAACCATAGCTTGGTAGTAGTTGGCGCTGAGCTCAATCATGTGGTGGCTATGATAAGCTTTCTCAACTTTTAATGTCGTCACTGGTACACCGGGCTGTGCATTCTTGATAGAAGCTGCTACTTCCTGAAGTGGTTGCACGTCACCAGAAATAGTGACACTGCGTGGTGAGTTGTCACAGGCCAGAACAGCTCCAGGTACCAGATAACAAGCGGCGTCATCCCAGGACAGCCCCACAGCAGCCATAGAGCCTTTCTTGGTCTGCAGCGCCACAGCGGCCCCGCGTAGGAAAGCAACAGCAATTGCATCTCTCGCAGTGAGCACTCCGGATGCGTAGGCCGCGGCGATCTCTCCACTGGAGTGTCCTACGACGGCTGCTGGCACTATTCCAATCGCCGCGAATGAGTCCACCAAGGCAATCTGGACTGCAGTGCAGAGTGGCTGCGAGAATTCCGCTTGGTTGATGCGACTCGTTCGGGGGGGTCTGAGCAGCTCTGCTTCAATCTTCCAGCCTGGGCTGTCAGCGCCCAAGATTCCTTCAAGATGCCTGTCAAGGCTTTGAATCGTTGCTTGGAAAAATGGGTTGGATTGGATAAGCCGTCGACCCATCTGAGGCCACTGCGCACCCTGTCCTGTGAACACCATCACAAGGTAAGATCTCTGATCAGGTCTCCCGGAGCTAGGCACAGAAGGGACTCCTGGCTTGACTCTGCTTGCCACACTGAAGGAGCGGAAGGGTAGATTCTCTCTTCGCATGGCAAGAGTGTATGCAACGTCTGGAAGCGAAACATTAGACTTTTCAAGAAACTCTTGGTACTGGTGTGTCATTCTTTTCAGGGAGTCGAGGTTATTTGCGGAAAACAGTAGAAGTTGCGGAGCATCTTGTTCTGCTGCGGATCGTTGAGGGCCATCTAATTCGGGGGCCTCGTTATGGGTTGCTGCTGACTCCACGACAATGTGCGCATTGCTTCCCCCGACGCCGAAGGAGTTGATACTGACGCGCTCGTCACATCCGGCTGGCCAGGGTATCGGATCACTTGGGACAACGAGGCCTTTCTCAGCGAATGGAATCTCGGCATTCAGCGGCCAGGCCTTGATCTGGGGCGGAATAGTTCTGGTTTCCAACGCAAATACTGCTTTGAGCAGGGACGTGAGACCAGACGCCCCTTCAGAGTGACCGAGATTGGCCTTGACGGAACTGATATACGTGGGTGTTGTTCTCATACCGAAAACACGTCCGACCGCTTCGAGTTCAACGGGGTCACCAACTTTGGTTCCAGTCCCGTGGCATTCAATGAAGCCTGTGCGGGAAAAGGTGGACAAGCCGGCTACCTCGTAGGCGCGTCTCATCAAAGCCTCTTGAGCGTCGGAACTTGGCTGGGTAATCCCACGGGTCTTTCCATCGCAATTCACAGCGGCTCCTGTGATTACTGCCCGGATCGGACTTCGATCACGCTCAGCCATGCTCAAAGCTTTGACGAAGATGGAAACAATCGCCTCTCCTCGTGCATACCCATTCGCGCGGTCGGAAAATGTATTACACGATGCTTCTGGGCTCAATACACCCTGTTCCGACTCAGCCAGAATTGTAGACGGTGACATGACCAAGTTGGAGCCGCAAACGATTGCGGACTCGCAATCACCCCGTGCGATGGCAAGACAAGCCTCATTGAGCCCTGTCAATCCGGCCGAGCATGCCGTGCGGACAGTGACGCTGGGCCCACGTAGGTCCATTTCGTATGAGAGCCGATTCGAAAGAACGAAATCATGCGTTCCTGAGACCTGGTACATCCCGTAGGACTGAGGTTCGCTGAATGTCAAGTCGTACCAGTCTTGTGCGAAGCTCCCCACATACACTCCAATGTTCCGGCCCCTCCAGTTGATTTCTCCGGCATCCTCGAGTGCCTCGCGAGACACCTCGAGCAGGAGGCGTTGCTGTGGGTCCAAACGCTCGACCTCCACTTTTGGCATAGAGAAGAAAGAAGTATCAAGTGCGCCGAGGTCATTGGTCTCATCCAAAAAGTATCCATATTCGGCCACCGTCATACCAGGCTTCGAGATTGTGGTGTGGTAAGCATCAATGTTGAACCGTGTGGGGGGCACACGCGTACGTGCGTCTTGTTTAGCCATGAGAAAATCCCACAGCTCAGGTGGCGACGAGATACCACCCGGGAGGCGGCAAGCCATACCACAGACCGCGATGGGGGTGAAATGGTGGTGCTCTTGGCGTCTATCGGGTTCGTTGGTGCATGGAGGATGAAGAGACCCATCGAAGCTATCAGCAATCGCGATCGGAATCCCATTATTCATGGGTTGATGTAAGTTTGGTGGCGGCATTTCTGTATCATGGTGTGCCACCTCTTGCCGCGGTTCTTCGTGCGTGGTGTTCCTCTTGGAGATCACTGGAGGAATTTCATCTTCACATTGGTGAAGGCCCACAGCATCCCCATTGCTGCGGCGAGATGGGCTTTCCGAACTTTCCATGGTGAAGCTACGAGTGGTAAGTTTTCGCTCTGGATGTTGGCAAGTTGTGTTCACGGACAGGTAAGGATAGCACAGAGGACTTGCTGTTCAACAAAAAAGAGGTCAAAGATAGGATATCCACACCTGTCCTCGTTCGCTACTTAATGGTATAAGTGTGGGGGCCGAATCTGCCGCCTTGGACCAATTCGAAGATATCGCTATGCAAGTCTCTTGGTATGATCATGCTGAGGGCAAGGACATGACTGATTGTTCCTCGACCTAATGGCTCATATCTTGGCGTCGACAGCGAGCCTTACCAGTCAACGCTCGGATATCAGATATTACCGATGTATCTATTATTTGAGCCTCAAATAGGCAGGCAAAAGGAAATACGAGGTGACCTTTCATTGGCAAAGTTGTCGTGGTGGTCACACTATGGGTCTCACCGTGGTTGCGTGCAGTAAGTAGGCTGGCGATGGATGCGTGATCTACACCTCAGTCATGCAGTTGCTTCTCGCGTGCAGCCTGATATGTACTCAGTACGTCCAGTGACAGAGCTCGATGCGCTCTTAATGCAAGGAGAATATGCACGGCACATTTTGACGATTCTTGAGCTTGAAAATTGTTGATCACGAGGCAGCATGACGCCGGTGCACTTCAATCTATGCATGCAACCTCCTGTCTTGCTGCGGAGAGGATCAACGGCCCTCAACTGAAGTGGGGATTCTGGATTCCCTGTCAACACCCCCCCCCTGGGGCTGGGACAAAAAAGAGTGCGCATGCATTACATCACCTCCGCAACACATTCCTTATCCCTATTCCAACTCCCAGCTTGACCCTCCTATACCTTTAAAAAATTATAAATGTTGTTATTATTCATTTAATATTTTTTACAGTTTTTTTTAAGATAATTATATTGAAAATGATAAAACTTAATTTTTATTTTATTTCTTTTAAGAAAGATTTTTAACAGGTTTTTAAGGGAATTTTTTTTATTAAAAAAACGTAAATTTAAACATAATGCTTTTATTATAATTAAGCTTATATGGATATTTTTGAGATATTTTTCAGAAAACATTAAATATAAAAAGTTATTCTACTTTTTAGCATTTAAATCTTTATAAAAAATTATTCTACTTTTTAGCATTTAAATCTTTATAAAGAATTATATTAAAAAAAACTTTTGTGCTAATACGGCGCTCATATACTGCTGGGTGAGACGGTCCTCACGTTGAAATGGCAACGAGGCCACAATGCGACAGTAAAGAATGGTTGATTTACAACTAGGTTTGCCTAAGAAAAAAGAAAGGAAAAGGAAGAATTGCCGAAAGGGCAAATCAGAGTGGTTTTGGAGGCCAGTTGGGCTGATAAAATAAGCCAACCAGGCGGGCCCAGAGGGCCCCTGCGCACAATCAGCCCCACGGCCCTGACACTGGGTGTATTTCCAAGGGATTAGAAATTACTGGTCTTTTGGCGGAGCAGTCTACTATGTCAGTATTTACCAGATTCGTCTCAATTTTGTGAATGGTGTGTAGTGAAAGATATTTTAGATTATAGTTGTAGGCCTACGTTTGGCTGGTTTTAGTATGTAGTGGTTCTTTTGTCTCCCCACTGTTGGAGGCAATGTACACATCCACAAGTCCTTACTTCCGTTTTTCAGTCAAAGCCAATGCGTGAATGCGATGGCCAGCCATCCTTATGCAATTGCTACTGCAACTCCATGCTCAAATGGTGTCATTTCGGACAAATCGCGCCATATCTGTCCACGCAAAATCTCAATTTCACATGACATAATCATTTCCTTTGTTTTCCATCCACTGCAGCACACATGTACTGAAGAGTTTCACAGTGCTGGATCAGGCTGGACTTGGTGCTTTGGAGCTTCAAAGCGCTGCCTTCCCAGTTCTTCTTTCTCGAGATTGAGCTCCTTGAGCAACAGGGAAGACATCAGGCCCAAGCCTGCAAAAGAGGCCAAGACTATCCAAATCGCCCGAAAAGAGATCCTGTAAGCATAAATAAGATTATTCATGGTGGCTTCGGGAAGGTCCAGCGACCTCAGGGTAGGTATCAAGCTAACAGCTTGCCGTGGATCAGACAGTCCACTGAGTTCAGCCGGCAACGGACTTATTGAAGCAGTCTGGGACCTGAATACGGTATTGAAAGCAGACGATCCAGCAGCCAGACCGATGAGACCACCGAAGATGCGAAAAACCACGGACAGTCCGGCAGCCAGGCCTGCATCATCAACATGCTTGACGCTGGCCTGTATGGGGATGAGATTGGTGGTGTAGATCTAGATATTGCGTTTTTCAGTAAAACGCGACCAATGATAATAATTAAAATGCAAAGAAGGGTACAACGACGGAAAAGACACGCACAATTCCAATCCCGGAGCCCAAGAGCGCAAGGAAGGCGTCATATTCGCTCTGAGATGTGCCTTGGTCGACAACACACCAAAGACCGAGGAATAGAGTCATAAGAAACCAGCCGATCCACAATTGAACTCGGTATCGTCTCGTAATTCCAACGGCGATGGGTGAGATAATGCTGAGACCCACGCCAAGACAACAGGCAGGCAGAATCGAGATGGCGGACTTGAGAGGAGTTTGCAAAAAGACCACCTGGAAGAAGAGGGGAAGGTAAAGAAGAATCGCGTAGAGAATGGCGCCGTGAAGCGTACTCGCTATCAGAACCATGATGGCTGTTCGGTTGCTTATGAGGCGGTATGGGATCATTGGCTGTGCCGGCCACCTCTCGTACCAGCCAAAGCCGATAAAGATCAAAATGCCGAAGAGGAGTGGAAACAAAGTCCTCCAAGAAGTCCAAGAATAAAGTGAGTCAGCCCAACTTAGTGGCAACGAGACGCAGACAGTGGCTGTACTAAATAGAAACATGCCAAACCAGTCCAAAGCCCGCATCTTTGAGGCAAAGCTGTTGTCAATGGGCCTTAAGTGAAGGCAGAAAAACGCTAGTACAAATGACACAGCGAGGAAAGGCAGGTTTATCCACCCGATCCATCGCCATGACACATACTCGCTAAACAAGGCTCCGATAATGGGACCCAGAACGGAGCCAGTCGCTGTTGGAATAGCCATGAGTGCGAGATATAACGGACGCTCTTTGAGGGTAGTCATATCGACGACAATCATCTCCTGGAGGACGTCGAGACCGCCGCCCCCGAGGCCTTGGATCACACGGCCGGCGATAATTGTCATCATATCCCTGGCAACAGCGAAGAGGATAGAGCCGACGGTAAAGAGAAAAATGCTAAAGTATAGTGGGCCTTTCCGTCCGGTAACATCGGAAATGCTTGCAAAAAGTGGTTGTGTGACTGCTACGCCCAGCATATAGGCAATGCTGGCCCAGAATGACTGCAGTGTGGTGGCGTCTAGTTGTTGTGCGATGATGGGAGTCGCCACAGAAAGAACGCAAGCATCCCATGAAACGATAAGCACCAGCAGACTGAGGCAGACGAACGACAGGTGGAATGCGAGGGATTTTTTCGACTTTGAGTTCATGTCGGCGGCAGTGCGTTGGTCTTGGCCTTCAATTTCTGGGGCCCCATCTCCTGAACAAGGATCAGTTGCATCTTTGGTGCTCTTTTCCGTCTGCGTTTTGGTTTGTTTGAAATTGCTGGCATTTTCGAGCGTGTTGTCATCGTTGGGTCTCGGCATTTTGGAAGTGCGGTGAACTGTTAGGGTTCTTTTCCTTTGTCGCTGGAATACCAAAGAAAGGACAAATTGGAGGACTTGACTCGTAAGGAAAGAAGTTGCGAGTAGGAGATAGAAGTTGTTGAGAACGTGAAGCATGCAAATTTCGGGAATAAAACCCGTGGAATGTTCAGTGCACAGGCAGCCGAATCGAGCCTGGTTACAAACGAGTTTCAGCAACGCAAGACTGGCATCGCTTTAACCCAGGGGCAGTAGATGGGCTAGGCTCGGCCCGTGGATCGCAAAGCTGAGCTATGACGAGGGGTCAGTTCGATTTCTCATTAAAAGGTACCTTCATGGAATCCTTTTGCCAGCCATGGGAGAGAGTGCTTGGCACCCGGAAGCCCGGTTCAAATTAGGCCTTGCTCTCTGCTCGGTGGTGGTGGGCTCTCAAGTGTTGTGCAACGGATCACAATCCTAATGGAACGCATCTTTGCCCCTCAAGGCCCAGGTTCACAGCTTCATCAGCGCCCCTCGGCTGAGAATGTTGTGCAAAATTGAACAACACACACGATGAAGGCACAGCGCAGAGTTCTGGGGGCCGGAGAGACCACTGAGACAGTCTCTTCAAAGGCAAATGTGACAAGTCGTTCGAATAGAACGGCTGAGTTTTCCCCTTGCACATGCGGCGACACAAACCTGGGTCTTAGCCGGCAGACTGCATCACAAGACCTCGTTCGTTAGAGCCAACAACTCTAGCTCTCGCGGTGATAGGTTGCCAGGTTGGGTGGTTGGTTGCACTTTCAACCTTGATAGGGTCTTTGAAAGCACCATGCATATCCCTACTAGTGGAGCCCAATCCCGTCTTGGCTCATTTCTGGGGTGACAAGTGCAAGTTTTGTAAAGACTGCTACGGGTTTCACCACTTGCTGCATACTTGTGTCACTTGCCACTTACACGTAGCTCTGCAGATCTCCTGGCACTCTTGCTATCATCTAAGCACGCGGCTTACTATGTCGCATCAATCTTCGCCGTCATCCAAAAGGGGCTGGAGCAGAGCCTCAAAAAACACGCCACTCTGTGTCCGTGGGGTTTTCGATTGCGTTGGGCTAGATGCTGTCGTAGCACTAGACCCTAAGAATGCAACCTCGGAATCACACCTCGGCCTGCCTACAAGTACCTACCCTTACATCCCGGTAAATTGTCAGGTAAGAAAATGTAAATGATAGGTTGATCGACAGAGTCTGCTTCTGTGGCTGGGTGGGTGCGACGAAATTGGGTTTTTGAATGCAGGCTCAGATAAACGCAAGACGCGGCTGAGTGTGCAGCGGCGTTCGCTGTATCTGGTACCAACCGTGACGAGTGCTCGCCTTCCAACTCATCCGACATCCTCTCAACTATTGATATCTCACAGGTCAAGTGGTCGGCAATTATATCAAGGGCGCCCGTGCGTTTTTAAATGTACCGATACTTGGTCAAGCAACCCGTATGTACGTTGGCTGGAAGAATGATGGCACCCGGGGCAATCGATTGTTCCCATGAAATGATGCTGACCTCTGCTCACAGCATGCCCTGATCGACAATTCTAGCGGGCTTTGAAGCTGCTCAAGACTGGATCCAGGGTTCGCTTGCCATGTCTGGGGCTCGATCACATCGGGAAGAGTGGCTAGGACAACGTAGATGTGGGTGAACAACATCGTGAGAGGAACCACTCTACCTGCCCCGGAAAGCAAATCAAACCCCGAAAACAAAGTGGGACACGGGAAGCCAGAGACAGGACCTGGGCGTGCAAGAATCTTCAGTCTTTGTCAAAAATTGATCACCTTGGAAAATGCATCACGCCCCCCCCCCCCAACCAACCAAAAAAGCAAGGGAAGAAAAGAGGGAAGAAAAGCATGGATATTTGGGACTTGTAATCTAGATACTAGATAGAACTACCAATTATTCAACTCCATAGATTGTGTGAGCTTCCCTGGCGGCTATTGGGATCCTTGAAGCTGGCTTCCCCCTTGACTCAATCTCGAGCATCTCCTTTGCCCAGTCACATATCGCCCCAGCGACTCGTTCTACTTCTTCGTTGGAGTTGTGTGCATGGAAGAGCAATCTGACGCGTTCTGTACCCTTGGGAACAACTGGGAACCCTACCGGAACGGCATGGGTCTTTGCAACTAGGAGAAGGTGCAAATAGAGGTAGTTGTTGTAGCGTGCACGTGTATGAATCGGCACGATATGTGTGAGAAAAGGCATTGATTCCCAATCGTCCGCAGAGGGAACTTTCAGTATTCCTGTGTCAACAACGTCTTCGTAGGTTGGGTTCGCCGTGATGGTAGTGTAGAAATGCCTAACCACCGTTTGAATTCGTTGCTGCTCGCTCTGTGTCTGGTCGCTATGAAGCAGCTGATAACCAACACGAACCGAGGCCACTGTGAGGGTCGACGGCGCAGAACTGAAGACGCAGCAACGAGCGCTGTTTAGCAAGGCAGATATGATGCTCTTGCTGCTGAGGACCACACCACCGGTCGATCCCAAGGCCTTGCTACCTGTCTGCACACGGATAGCAACTTCGCTCTCAAGTCCAAGCATACGGACTAGTCCCGTGCCATGCGGCCCGACAAGTCCAACACAGTGGGCCTCATCAACCATAAGCTGCGCGTTTCCCAGTGGGAAAACTTCGCGGACAACATGCAACATCTCCGAAAGTGGACACACGTCTCCATCCATGCTGTACACTGACTCAACTAGCACCAAGACCGATCGAGCTCCCTCACGGAATTCCCGATGTGCATTGCGCAGTGCCAGAAGGACATCCCGCAGAGCGTCTGGGTCATTATGAGAAAATGACATAGAGTGCGCTGCCCGACTCAACAGCATGCCCTCGTGCATACTCGCATGAACTAGTGCGTCGAAGACAATGGCATCGCCGGGTTGCGGGACCGCCGAAAGCACGGCCAAGTTGGCTAGAAAACCCGAGTGTACGATGTAGGCAGCTTCGGCGCCTGCGATGCGAGCAATCTCCGCCTCGGACTCGTACATGTAGCTGGAGCCACCAATCGCCACTCGCGATCCGCTAGGACCCAGAGTCAATGTCGGCTGTTTGGTCAACTCGGCCAGAACGGCCTCCCGGATACGCCCACTTCGGCCGAGAGAGAGCGAATCCGATGACGCAAAATCTGCCAAGTCATCGTCCAAGTCCGGTTTGTCTATGTAGAGGTTTTGGTCCCGGCGGCGGACATCTAGGGCCAGTTCGAGATTGCGGTAAAATGCTGGGCCCTGGTTCATGCCTGGTGCTTGTGGCATCTGAGCCTCATTGAAGCTCGTCAGAAGATGTTTGGCGTACATACTAAGAATGCGAAGGATACGAGGTCGATGTTATGCCAGGAGATGGAGAATGCTCGCTCCGCCACTTGAGCATCACCATTGTTGTGCACTTATGTGCCTCGACACTTTCGCATCCTGTTCTGTCTCCGAGCCTGAATTTCACTGAAGGTCTCTTGACGGGTACGCATTCGGGCTTGTACAGGTACATTCGGTAAGCCTTCACATGTTCGGATAATGTAGCTGCCCGAGAGGATCGCCTAATTCAGCTGCAGGCAAAATGTGAAACTAATGTCGTGTGTATTACAATTGCGACGGTAGCCTAGGTCACAGGGTAGCCAAGAACTCGGTCGGGTGAGAGGGTGTGTGGGTGCAATGCAGCCTGCTGCTGACTTGAGCCCCCACACCACACACACTCCGGGGCCTTCTTCTACAGCTCCCTACGGCCCTCTGAATTACTTCATTTTTGCCTAGAGAGAGCACCCGATTAGCTTGAATTGACGCATTTGAGGTCCGCTGATATGTCTGTGGAGCCCACTCATGAGTTGACATGCGAGCAGGAGGCTCAGACGGCTGCAATACCAAGCATCAAATAGTTCCGTGAGCATATGATAAGCACTCCTTGTGGACGTTGTGTTCCCCAGCTTCCTGAACTGCGGTCAAGTCTACCTAGGAACCTGCCACTCCACCAATAGCCCGGCTTTCGGAATCGCGTGGACATGCAACAAATTTGCCACGACATGTGCAGGTGCAGCGAACGGAATATACCGTAATATGCAACAGAGGGGAATCTTTGTCCAGATGGCTTGGCATTCTGATCCGTCAAATTACGCCACAACGTTGCCAAACTGTGGCCATCAAAAGAATGTTTCCCATCACGGAACATCACATTTCGTACCTACTAAAAGAATAGCTACACGAGTACAAGCCCTGTTACATGCAAGCAGGGGCTTGCCCGTTGAGCCGCCCTGATGCATATCTCGGCAAGCAAGACTACTGCATGTACAACAGTCGGTAAGCGGCGTGCAGGACACCTGGGAGCGGGCTGAGCCCATGTTGTACAGGAATAACACTAGAGAATTCCTGGACGCACTAAACCCACATGCACGACCCGCCGCTGTAGTGGAGTACACTAAGTCTAGGGGTCCACATTTGGGCCACCCCCCCATTTAGGCCACTCCACACCCGCATACACGTTAAGCCTACCCCCTTATATATACCGCGTTTTCTTTACAAGGAAATTTCCTCTTTTCTTTAAACTTTTAATATATTATTATTTACTCTTTATAAAGCAATATATTAAAAATAATATAGCAATAGCACTTAATGCCTTAGCAACTAATATTAATACTTAAAAGGTTACCTTATAAACCAGTATTTTAAAGAGCACATTTTATAATTATCTTTATAGTTCCTAAAGCTACTTTAATGCTATAAAATCTTAATTAAGACTTTTAAGAATTTAAGAAATATACCTATTTAATTAATTAATTAATTAAGTAATATTAAGGCTGCTAATAACCCATTTTAAAATAAGGTTTTTTACAACTTAAATAGCCGCTTTTTAACTTTATTTCTAATTATATAACTATTATTAATTAAGGAAATTCCTTATTAAAAATTTAAAGATTTAAAATATATAAAGCTATTAAATAACTTTAAGTTAAGCAAATAAAGTAAAAATAAGTATAATTAAGAAGTAATTTAACTTCTTTTAGCTATTAATAATTATAAATATTAAATTAATTAATTAATATAATGTTAATAAAGGGAGTATAGCTAAAAGAAAGAAAAAAAATGACATTATTTTCAGACTTAAGAAAAGAAAGGTTATTACTTAAAAAAGCCACAAAATATATATATAAACCTTTTTCCTTAAGTATATTTTTATAATAAGTAAATCATACCTTTTCCTTATTATCTTTAAAAGAAAGTTAATTTAATAGCAATAATTTAAAACCCTTAAGGATTATAAGAATTAAAAGTTTATAATAATGCTAAATAATTAAATAAATAACATTATAACACTTAAATAGCTATAGAAAATCTTTATCCTTTTAATAAAGTTAAATAACCTTAAGAAGTAATGTTTATTAATAATAAATAAGCATAAAAGCTATTACATTTTTAAGTTTATATAAAAATGCTTTTTATATAAGATTTATTATCTTTATTTATTATTATATACCTTATATATATTATAACTTCTTAATTTAAGAATATTTTTAGCCTTAAAGCAATATATTAAAAAAAAGCTAATTTTTTAATTTTTATATTAATAATATTTATATAAAAAAGTAATTATTTCTTTATTATTATTAAAAGGTAAGATTTAAAATATTTTAAAAAATATATATATTAATTAAGTAATGTTGGTACTTGCTATAGGTTGGGAGTAAAGTTGATTCTTTTCTAGAGAGGTATTGGAGAAAGTACCACCATGATATGGTGGTTTATACCACCAAAGTATGGTGGGGAAATCTCCGTGCTTTCTCCAAACCAGCTATCCACCATGCTATGGTGGACCACCACACTACGGTGGTGTGCTATGGGCCTAACAAGTAATAAGGGATTAATTTATAATTAATTAATATAACTAAATTATTAATAAGTATAATTATGCTTAAAAAATTTAATAAAGTAATATTTATAATTCTTTTTAATAACGTTATAAGAATTAAAAGATTTAAATTAATTATTTTAATACTTATTAAGCTATAAAAAATACTTTCTTTAATTCTTAAAGTATTTTAAAAGATATAAATTATTTTTATTAATTATAACTTATATAAATACTTATTTATAATATAATAATTATTTTTTTTAAAAAGGTTTAAAAAGCATATAATAAGAAAGATTAATAATTAATAATGCTTTTTTAAGAAAATTAAATTCTTAAAAATAAATTAATAGCTATAATACCTTAAAAAGAAAGGAAAGTTAAAATAAGCTTAAATTTTATATTTATTAAAATTAAACATATATATAAGACATAAATTAATATTAATGTAATTAAGGATAACTTAGTAAAAATAAATGCTTTTAAAGATATTATAAATATAAAGGAATGCATCGTTATGGATGGTAATAAGGATTTAGAGTAACTTTAATTAAAGGGGTAGTATAGCGAAGAGGACTTTTTTGGTGGCTTAAATGGGGGGGTCGCCTGAATGTGAACCCCTAGACTTACCGAATGGCGGAAAAATCCTTGCCAGAAGATGCGACCACGGATTTCCACTCCGACTCAGAACAGGGTTTCATTTCAGAGAACAGAAGGAAAGCACGGCCAGACCGGAGAGTACCACGTACATGTACAAGTTGTAGACCGCTCAGGAGGTTTGAATCATTGCAACCAACGCCTGCCTTGAGCCGTGCCGCGTCGGGCAGGAGGAACATTGTCGTGGGCCCCTACTTCCAAGGTTGGTAGCCATCATAGCCAAGTTTTTGTGTCTCATATCTCCTTATCCGCAGTCGCGTCCGAAACCAATTTCCGGCCTGACATTTGACTGGAAGAGTCGATCCCGCCCGTCAACCCTATCATATGCACGCAGAGCACTGCCGTCCCAGCCTGTGCTAGGAAGCCAAGCAAGATAGCTCACATCGCCACCCGACCCCACATAAAGAAGTGCAACATTTTAATTGCCATGCATCACTACGACATGAAGGCACATGTCCCCAGTATCTTTGCGAAATTAGCCCGGCAGATACGGCTCAAATGTTGCCTGAAAAGTTTGATAGGTCATTCAATCTACATAATTTGGTGTGCGAGCCCCATGGATATCTAGCACCAGGCTCGGAGCCTTGCTTTCTGAACTGTCAATCCAGTGTCATCTAGCAGACAAGCCCAGGTTCATAGACCGAAGATGGGTCAGGTGAAGATTCGCCTCGAGCTGCGGGTACCTAGGTAGTGCTTCTCCTCATCCCTCACGGACGCTCACGGTCGACTTTCGCGACAAGCTGACGACGTCTACATTGATGTGACTCTTCGCCCTCAAGGGCGCCATGACATCGACCAAATCAAGATCCCCTCGCCAGCCTTCTTTGGCAGACCATCCCGCCCAACCTTTCCCTTCCCTAGTGATATCTCTCCATGGTCTTCAAAGCCGTGCTTGAGGTATAGACTTCGAGAGGTCTCCGTTGTTGCCTCCAACCAAATCGGACAACCATTGCTCCTAGCCTGCGCTTGTATGTCCTTGATTAACATACTAGCAAGGCCTTGACGTTGATGATCGACTGATGTTCCCATGATAAATATGTACCAGTGATTCTTCTGCTCTTCTTTCGAAAACACCTTCTCTTTTATATGCTCAGTAGCAGGGGCGTACTCAAGCATAGCTCGCTGCAAGGGAGGCACCTCTTAGTAATGTGCTTAACAAGTGGAGGTGAAAATAAGCGGCAAGTAATGGAGAGGAGAGATAAGTATGTGAAATTGAATGCAAGTACCTTGAAAGTGCCTAAGCCAATGCTCCAGAGCGCAGGCAAGAGCCCTGCTTTCAGTAGTGTCCACGGATTCTCGGCTGTTGTACCTGGCGGCATGAAAACACCGCAGGATCCATAATCGCCGACCTCGATGAACAGGCCGTTGTTTAGCGCGCATTGGGTAAAGAAACCACGGAAAAGCTTTTCGCGCATTGAATGATGCTCAGATGAGTCGAGGGTGTGCAGAAGCCATGTGTAGACTGGGTCGCCACGAAAGGCAGGCATTAAGGTTTGAATGGTCCTTTCTAATCGTTCTATTGGGAAAGGACTTTTAGCATTTTCTCGGGTCAAGACGGCCTCAGGAAAAGGGAGACAGACCTTTGCCACCAGATGTGACTTGGGACGACAGCTGAGTAGCCATGCTGCAAGAGGTTTTGGGAAGCGGCGGCCAGCTCAGGATCCTATCGCAAAGAAGAGGAGACACGTCAAACTAACCCGCTGGGAGGAGCAGGAGTTGGAGGAAAAGGATTCAGAGAGACGCGTTTTGTCAGTGAAACATGGAACATCCGGTGAGTCAACCCCAGGTTTTGATTGGTCATCTCATTATTGGGGCGGCTACATACATCAAAGTACGTAACTCCCAGGAATTCGTTGTTTCGTTGCCGGCCGTGCCAGCTGAAAGTCAGATGCGGCCCGTATCAGCCGATTTATTCCATGTCCTGTAACATTGCACAACACCACTAGGCATTTACGTAGTTGTATCGACTTCCTGGTCTTCTTTTATTTGCATGCGTTTGCAGATGCAAGGTGACCAACTCGCTCTGCCTGCATAGTCCCTTCTGAGACGACAAGGCTGCTGATGATCTCTGCTCGAATGGGGCATCTGCAGGAAGACGTAGCCAACATGTTCATGCAGAGACCAGGTTCGGTTGGGCCAACAGTTAATATCGCCTGAAGGTGCTGCCTCTGGTTACAGTTCAAGTCGACGCACCCCGGCGCACCCCGGCGCATCCCATCAAGCCGAACCAAGGTGGTCATCTGTTGGCCCCACGGGAGCTTGGTCTGCGTGAGTCTCTTACTCAGAGCTGTTCAAACCAGCCAAATTCCATTCGGCAGATTGAGTTCAACTTTATCATCACCCTTCAATCCATTTTTCTCTATTTTCGTCAGACAAACTGCCCGACCTCGATATCCCGGAGGCAGTATGTCCTCAAGTGCGAATCTCAGCGCCCCAGCTCTCGACCCGCCTGATGGCGCCGTGTCCGATTTCAATAAGGGAGGTCGCCATACGATTGGTTACGTCATCTCGATCCTCGGTATTCTCATCTCAACCGCTTCAGTCCTCTCTCACCTCGCCAACAGGGCCATGTCGAGAAAATTCGGCCTGATTGAGCTCTTACTGATCGCAGCATGGGTATATGTGGCAGCCCTTGGACCTCCGATCCTTCTTCCTTTTACCTCCCCATACTGAGACTATCGCAGGGTCAATACCTGGGATTGCAAGTTGTTATTTGGAGGTCCGCCGTCTTTGGGATCGAGCGTCATCAGTGGAATGTCCCGCTCGGGGACCTTTCGTGGTACCTTTACGTAAGTGGCTCCAAACCAGTCCCATTGGAGCAGCACTGAGAAAACGAAGAACATATACATAGCCACACTTCTCTACGGAACGGCCATGATGTGCCTCAAGTTGGCGATACTTTACAGTTGGCTTGATATCTTCGTGCCCACTGGAACGCGCAACCGCTTGTATTGGGCAATCCAAGTTTTGATCTGGAGCAACGTCATCTTTTTCATGGTCACTGAATTCGCTGATATTTTCCAATGCACTCCGATAGAGATGAATTGGAACATCTTTTACGAAGGAGGAAGCTGCCATTTGGACGCTGGTGCCATCAACCTCGCCGGAGTCATCATTAATCTTGCATCCGACCTCGCCATTCTGATACTGCCTCAGTGGACTCTCTGGCACCTGAACCTGCCATGGCGTAAAAGATTAGGAGTATCTCTTTTATTCGCCGTAGGACTTGGGTGAGTTCCCCTCAGTGAAATCGACATCCTGTTCGAAGTCACGATTGACCACTGATTTCTTTTTAGAGTCTGCATTCTGGGGGCTCTGCGCTTGATATCTCTCATCCCTCTAATATACTCAGAGGATCAAACGTTCTGGATGTCAGTACTAGGCCTCTATGCCTCCGCAGAGATAGGACTTGGTTTTCTCGTCATGGGCATCCCGTCTTTGCCGAGAATATACAACAGCCTTCCAGTCTCTGAGTCACTGTCCAACCTGATCCGGTCACTCAAAAGTTCTAGCGGTCGTATGACAAGTGGAGACCACGAACTCGCTCGCTCGGGACAAGGGGTCCCGAAAAGGAGACGTCGTGGCTTTTGGACCATCACGGAGCTGGAGGAGACAGTGCCGCAGTCGCATTCCATGCAGTCAATGAATCGCGAACCTGAACAAGATCTGCACAATAATCACCAAAAGACCTATTCACTGCAGGTTATTGACCCAAAATCTAAAACGAGTGGCTCAAGCATGGTGTAGCAATTCAGATGATTTCGATGAAGGGGAGCTCACTGGACATGTTCCTAGTTACATTTGCGCAGCGCGACGTTTGTGCTCCAGACTTACTTCTGGGTGCGGTACTGTACTATTGGAGATCTCAAGTTGTAGTAAAAAATCATGAATACAGGGATGTCAAACGTATCCATCAATATATGGTTCTCTTTCCAATGCGGCGTACCGAGGTACATCGTGGGACACAGTGAGCACTTCTCAGACCGACAAAATACCAACAGGGGCTTCAAAGGTTTCACCCCAGAAGACTGAGCTCTGCCACGCGAACTCTGTTGTGCTGGCCCATCTACGTTATCAGGAATGCTTACTACTTCAGTACATAGGCCTTTGCGCGCGAGAAATGGATCCAGAAGTCCATTATGCCTGGCGAGTAAATATCCTAGCATTAAACAGCTACTTAAAAGACCTTATATTACTTATAAATCATTACCGTTTTAAATTTAAGTCCTTATTAACTTATTAACGTTATCTTTAAAAACAAATAAATTAATTTAAAATTAAATTACTTAAATAAATTTAATAATATCTTAATTATTATTTATATTTTATATTTTTAAGCATAAATAAAAGTAACCCAAGCTTGCAAAGGGCGCTCTTAGCTGCGGTTAAGTTTAATGTTATAAATTTATAAAATATTTCTTGTATAGGGATTGGTTAATTAATGTACCGCTTTGTACCTATGGGGTAAGGGGGCCGTGCGCCATTTTCTATTTATTTAAAATAATTTATAAGCAAAAAATTTAATACGTTAAATTAAACTTAAACTTTAAAAGCTAATTAGCTAGATAAGGTAATATTGTTAAACTAAACTTAAAGCTTAAAAGCTAATTAACTAAGCAATTTCCTAAGCAATATTGCTAAACTAAATTAAAAGCTTGGCAGTTTATTAGTTAAGTAACATTACTAGCAGCAAAATAAGGATTAAATAAAGCATATATAACTTATATAAAGCATATATAACTTATATAAAGCATATATAACTTATGTAAAGCATATATAACTTATATAAAATATAAAATATAATATTAAAAATAATATAAAAATAAATAAAAAACTAAATAAAAATATATAAATATATAAAAAGAATTTATAAAGGGAATATATAAAGGGAATGAAATAAAGGGAATGAAATAAGGGTAATTAAACAAGGAAAGTTAAATAAGTGGAATATATAAAAGGAATTAAATAAGGGGAATATATAATAGGAATATATAATAGGAATATATAAAGGGAATATATAAAGGGAATATATAAAGGGAATATATAAAGGGAATATATAAAGGGAATATATAAAGGGAATATATAAAGGGGATATATAAGGAGAAATGAATAAAGAAATAAATAAAGAAATACATAAAGAAATACATAAAGAAATACATAAAGAAATACATTAAGAAATACATCAAGAAATAAATAAGCAAAACCAAGCAAAACCTTAAAGAAAAAGTATAAGGAAAATAAATAAATAAAGAAATTAATAAAAATAAATAAAGGAATTATTAAAGAAATTAATAAAAAGATAAAGAAAGAAAGAAAAAAGGGAAATAATAAAGAAATTAATAAGAAAATTCATAAGAAAATTAATAAGAAAATCAATAAGAAAATCAATAAGAAAATTAATAAGGGAATTAATAAGGGAATTAATAAGGGAATTAATAACCTTATGTAGACGAATAGCTCCCAGGGCCCCGGAAGGGGCTTCCACCTGGTTTGGCCCTCTGCGCCCTTTGCGCCCCATTCGCCCATTTGCAGCCCTCTGGCCCTCTAGCCTCCCATTCGCTCAATTTGCCCATTCGCCCTCTAGCCCTTTAGCGCCCCATTTGCTTTTAAATAGCCTCTCGCATAGCAGCGGGTCACTCCCCAGCTATGCTTATTCCTTGGTGCGGTTCCTCGGAGGCCCCCTTGGCTGGCAATATAACCACGACCCCCCCGGCTGGCTTTTTAAAAGCCGGGCAAAATTGGTACTGTTCCCATAGCATGCGGAGGGCCGTATAATATCGATTTTAGGGAACCGCACCCGGCTTCTAGTTAGTACCTTATTTAAATATATCCTAATTATCTTATGTGTTAATTGTTGTGCTTGGTATTGCTGAGATTAGGAAGTTAAATATCCTTACGAGCTCAGATCTCTCTAACATTTCATTCTGGGACTTAAGGCAGTGCGTTGCCTTGCTGCCGGCTCAGCCGTTCCAGGAGGAGCTCGCCAAAAGCGATTCAAGAATTAATGCAACGATGGGTCTTGGCTGTGCACGGAAACCCCGGCTGGGACATCTAGACATTGCAAACATTGCAGTTTAGATGGAACGTTGCTGACTGCGCCACGCCGTGCTCACCAAACTATGGACCATTTAATCAAAAACTTCAAAGGAATTACACCGCTTGTCGTATGAATTTTTAAGCGTAGCTGAGAGTGACCCGAGCTTGCCGAGCTTGCGAGGGGCGCTCCCGGCTGCGGTTGAGTTCAGTACCGTAAATCTGCAAAATGTTTCTCATGCGGGGATTGGTCGATTAATGTACCGCTTTGTACCTATGGGGCGAGGGGGCCGTGCGCCCTTTGGCCCTTTGGCGCCCTATTCGCCCATTTGCAGCCCTTTGGCGCCTTATTCGCCCATTTGCCCTCTGCCCTTCCCTAGCTACGCTTATCCCTTGGTGCGGTTCCTCGAAGGCCCCCTTAGCTGGCAATATAATTATAACCCCCCCCCCCGGCTGGTAATCTAGAGGCCAGCCCAAATTGATACTATCCCTATAGTGTGCGAAGGGCCGTATAGTATCAAATTTGGGGAACCGCACCTGGCCTCTAGTTACTTTTTCTGCGGGTGTCAGTTCGTCTGACAGCTCAGCTGTGTTCTCACTACGGCCGGGCCGATGACCGTATTCCTGGATACGAACCGTAGGAAGCCCGTACCCGCCTAGTGCTCACTGCTGACACGATAGCAACCGTGCCTTCCATACTACCTTGGTGTATAGCAGTCAAACAAAAAAAATGGTAAATTTAGGACACCCGCAAAAGACTCTAGTAGATGCTGTGATATAAAAGTCTCGATAGTCCTTACTTTCATTCGGATTAAACTCATGCTCATCATCACTCTACTCCCCAACATTTTCCACCAAAGCTATCAATCGCCCGCCAAAGTAAAACCAAACTTCAATATGCTCCTGACATCCGTCGTTGCCGGCTTCCTAGCCACTGCCGCCTCAGCGGCCTCCATCCCTCGTCAAGCCGAGCCCTCGTCCTGGAGCATCAGCGACTTCTACGCAGGCAGCTCCCGCTTCAGCGTCATCACCACGTATAGGTTCGATATCACCGACGGCAACTCCTCCGCCTACTGCGTCTCGCAAGTCTCAACCCAGCCCGAGATCGGGTATGCACCACTTACGGAGTGCAGCGACCCGACCTACTCGTTTTCCTTCGGCTCGGGCTCCAACACCGAGGAGCCTGGCTACAACCTGCAGATCTGGCAGGGCAACCCGGAGGACACTAGCTGCGGGGCGCCGTCGACCAACTGTGTTTACACGGGGATTCGGTTCTTCCCGGCGAGTGACGTCGAGACGGTTGTTGACCCGAGTGGAAACCCGTTTGCCAACTACGATCGGTTGAATGCGCCAGCTGAGTTCACAGTTTCCCGTACTGGGGTGCACATTTGAGATGATATTGAAGTGGGAAATATGGAAATTAGTTTAATACTAGCGGGGGACGGTAACAAAATGCACTACGTCTAGAGAGGATGTATATCAAGATGGCGATTCCAGCTTTAAATATTTACCTCTGTTCCGATACAGAACTACAACCAACGTTTTGCTGGCTTTGACCGAGGTTTCCGCCCCAGAATGTTGAAAATGGGATTAGTAGGTCCAAAGATGATATAAGCATGATCCAAGACAAATGCCAACAACGCGACCCATCCGAAATTCAATTGACCACGGGCGTGAAATAGTCGTTTAACCATCAGTTATATTCCATATGATGCTCGTCAATTGATGACAAAGTTGTGAAAGCCATATTCCTCATACACGTGCCCCAACTTGTGCCCCCCAACGTGGCACGTCCCGATCATCTCGTATGTAGGTTCTTGCGTTCGTTCCTTTTTGCCGAGTTCTTTCATGAAAGTCGAAAGAGAGGAAGCTCTTCGCAGAACAAAAGTCATCCCGACTCCAAATAGTGCCGCCACGATGTCTCCCTTTGCCACCCTCCCTATTACTAGGCCCAGCTTTCCTGTGTCCGTGAAGAACAAGGTGGCTTTTCGACATGTCTCATAGAACTGGAGCCTGAGGAACCTCAGATCGGCCTGGCTCAGACGATCTTGCAGTCCTTGTGGATCCCGGTGTTCTTGCCCGCACATTATAGTAACAGCCTGATGAAGTTTTGCGTCGCTTCGAAGCAGCTCCATCTGACCATCGTCCCAAGTTGCATCGCGCTCCGTAAGCAAGTTCATCACACGACTACCTATCAAGGTTTCCCACACCGTTCTCAGGGGGATGCCCTTTTCATCAATCAAGGACTTGAGCTCATCCTTTAGGGTGAACCTCTCGTCAGGGTCGGTCAACTCCGGATCCTCCATGACCGGCGTTTCAATGACTACCGATACGCGGCCGAGCTCGGCACCCCCAACTGTGAGCGTCTGGTAGTCATTTGAGAACGTTGCAGGCGTAATGTTCGCACGTGCCGAGCGCATCGCAGTTTCAACCGCACGATAGGTTGGTAAGATATCCGCGCCGCGCAGGGTCTTGCCGCCTATCTCAGGCACCCAAGACGGCAGGCCCTTCTTTTTGGAATCGACGATGGACAGCCTGGTATAGCTGAGATCCAGGCTGTCCCTAATTATGGTGGCCATGGCTTCTGAATATACTTGCCTCTTATTTTTGTCGTAGTCGGCCTTGATCGGCTCGCCCAGAAATTTGGCCAGCCCCAAGATACCGAACACCTTGTCCCGGTCGTCTGTGGCATCCAGGTGCGAAACTGTGCCTAGGAGCTGTGCAAACTCTGTTGGGTCATCGCGACCAACGTAGGACTTGATATAGTCTCTCATGGCCTCCTCGCCCATTCCCATTTCTTTGAACAACTTCTTCAGCTCGTCAGCGCTAAGAGGTGGTTTGTTGGTACCGCTCACCGATGCTATGGCCTGAGGGTCCTTTTGTGCTTTGACGTAGGCCGTGATCTCAAACATCTTGTCATTATAAGTCCCCGACGCCATCTCAACTCTCGCTCGGAGGGACGCGAGATTCTCCAGCGTGAGCAGAGCTTTCTGGATGGCCATCGCCCTTTTGTTGTTTTCGATATGCTTCAAAAGCTTTTGGTGTTTCTCTTCCGCGACTTCCTCATTGTCGGACTCGAGTGGCTGGATGGCAACACCCTCCATCGCCTGTCGATGCATTACCTCTCGGAATGCGTCCTCGAGCGCGAACAGGAATCTCAGCGTATAGAGACACCAGTCCGCCCAAGACAAGGCATGTCTACCACAACGCATTGTTGGGTCACGCGCGGCCAGTGCGATCTCCTGCTGGACCCAGATGCGCGTGAACCATGGCTGGCCCATCAGGGCGAGCGAGGCGTTCTGGAGCGTCGGGTCTGCTATCTCCTCTTCGGTCAAACCTTGAGACATACGCTCCAAAAGCTCGTCGCTGCCGTCGGCGGCTGGGCCTAGCCATACGAGGACCTGGGCTGCCTTGGAGTAGATCTGTCCCATCATCTGCACCTGTGGGCCTTTCTCCATGTTATCCTTTTGGTTGATGCACACCGCGTCCACCCACAGTGTCTTCTCGTCATGTTGATGCCGGAAGTAGCGCAGTGCAATGTCCAGGTTCGAGGTAACGGTGACCGGTCTGCCGTTGACGAAAGCTGGGGTCTGGCATTGCTCTTGACCCCAGACGTAGGATAGGGCGTCATACTGTGGTTTTGGATTGCTCGCGAGAGAGACCGTTGCCAGCTCCAGGTTTATCGTGTCGTCAAAGTCACCGGGGAGAAGGTGTATGATCCTGATCTCCTCCTTTGAAGAGTCGATAGGCTCATAAGGACCTGGGTCAGTGGCTGTAGCCTGCTTGCGCCGAAATGGCAGAACCTCACGAAATTTGTTCTTCATAGCAAAGAAGGGCCGTGTCCAAATAGGCTCCTTCCAATTCTCAGTGAAGATTTAAGGTGAAGGTCTTCCCAAATCCTGTATTGTGTGGAAGTGTTGCAGGCTGAGTGTTGTCAGGCGAAACAGGCATCAATGCAGTGAAGGATTCGGTAGCTGACATCTGCGACTGCCAAGAATCACAGGACTGGCGCCAAACTGCCCAGCTACGTCAGCTCGGCTGGTCCTTTCCGGGGCCGGGGCTGGGGTTTACAAATGTCGGTATCCGGCAATCATTGTTTAACTCAAGGCGAAGGTTACATGGAGTACAAATATCTCCTTGAAGGAAAAAAAAAAAGAGAGGAAAAAAGGAAAGAAAATCCATAGAATCTCGTTATCGTCTACAACCAAGTACTAACCCACAATCTAAACAATGCTGGACATGCTGTCCCCTGTACTTAAAGGTGATATATTGATGTTAACCGCCGCAGCATATATTTTTCGGACCCATCTTAAAATGCAACCACCATTCTAGAATAACTACTCGTAACAACGGCTTTGATCACGACTCCATAGCTTAGCTCTTTAGTCCCGCTTGGCGCCCACCTTGCCGGCTCGCCGCAAGCCACACGTGCTCACAAAGGCGCAGGACACCATGAGCGCAAACATAGTCCAAAAGGTCGCTCGATAGCCAGCCATGAGATGCTCAGGGGAACCAGTCGCACCAGGCTGGCCCTTGGCTGTCAGCGTGGACACGACCTGCATTACAGTCAGGCCGAGAGAGCTGCCAAACTGTGCAGCGGTGTTGAACACGGCCCCGGCCAGCGACTGCGTGTCCTCGGGGAAGACGTTGGAGACGACAATGAGTCCGATGGTAAAGAGCACATCGCCGCTGATAGGCATCAGGATCTGGGCAAAGAATGCGTTGTACCAATATGGCCACTGTGGCTGGACGAGGGCCATGAGGAGAGGGGCGATGGCACACAAGACCGACGAGCCAACGACGAGCCACAGTGCGGAAATCTTGTCGACGATGAGTCCTGTAGACAAATTCAATGCGACGCCTACTATCAGGCTCGGAAGTATCCTGATGGATGCTTGAAGAGCTGGCAATTGCTGGACTTCTTGGAAGCTGGTTGTAGAGTCTATCAGTCCTGTGCTCATATTTGAAGGGAAGTTGGGAAAAAAACTAAAGAGATAGCTTACAATAAACTGCTATATTGCTCCATGGAGTTTAGGACACCGAAGGATATAAATATGGCCAGGCATACAGTGGAAAATGCCTTGTTTTTCCAGATTTTATTTGGCATTAGGGCCGGCTTCCCGACTTTGACTCGATAGTGGACCCAAGTCAAAAAGGCTGGTAGAGCTGCAGCAGCTATAGAAATGAGGACAATGGTTTCGGTGTCATGGATTCTGTAGACATCGGTGCTTATGATTCTGTGACCCTGTGAGTTTCTCTCCTGTGGTCAGAAGTAGATGGAGGCGGGAATCGCTCAGCACTCACGCCAATAAATAGGACAAGCAGGCGAAGAACGCCGAGGCGATGATTGCACCGACCCAATCTACTTTGGTGGCCAGTTGAGCCATGATGCCCTGGGCGTTCCGCTTGCTCTTGGGCAGAACCCGTAACCCAATCATAAAAAGCAGCAGCATCGCGTCGCCGTCAATGAACCAGCCCGCACGCCAACCGATAGTATCGACTAGAACGCCACCAATAACCAGTCCGAGCGAGAATCCGAGCGGTTGACTGAGGCCGATACAGGAGAAGGCAAATGTTCCTACTTCGACCCTGCGGCATGTTGCCGGCCACAATGGCCACGGAAGACGATAGGTGCAGGCTCATAGCGACCCCCTGGATGACTCTCAGGACGATGAACTCCACGCCTGTCCGCACGAAGCCGCTCCCGAGTATGCTGGCCGCGAGCGCGAAGCAGCCGGACAAGTCCACAGCCCGGGTGCCCAGAATATCGGCAACGGAACCGGCCAGAAGGAGGGTAGACGCTATGGCAAGCCCATACACGGAGGCCGGCCAGAAGAAGAGTTCCTCGGGCAGACTGAGGTCGGCGGCGATGCGAGGGAGGCCGACTGTGATGTATCCATTTACCACGGAGCTCAGCAGGTTTACTCCCGCAAGCTGGGCGGTAAGAAGGACCGGGTGAAGCTTTGGTGGTTGCGCCTGAGCTGCAGGAGCATCGTCCGCTTGTTGGGCGACAAGGGAAGCCGAGGTGTCGTCATCGATGGCGCCGAGGCTGCGCAGGGCAATGGCATCTTGTTGTTCTTCTGTGACAACGACTGAGGTCGCCATCTTGTTCAGTCCCCTCGATTGAGGTCTGCTAAACTGGTGGTGTTTGTTTTCGAGGTTTGCGTGTGGTTGACTAGAAGAATCGTGTCTACAGAGCACCAGAGAGACGGCTTCGGTTGACAGCTAGACGCGTAGGCGACCCGTGCGTATTCCCCCTCTTCCGCTATTACATCTAAGGTTACTTGTGAACAAAGAATAATGGTGGCAGGAGACAGGATTGACTTCAAGCTAGAGACCTCGGGACGAGCAAACTTTTCGGCCCGTTCTGGCTTCGATTCTCCTCCCTTCCAACTACGAAAGATCGGGGCTCCGAAGGCCGGAGCTTGGAGATGGCTTGCGGCCCGGCGCGGAAGCCAGCGCGGAACGGCTCGATGCACGACTGGAAGCTTTATATTTATAAATACACACCCCCGACCAAGATATTAAGACCAACTAATGATATAATTTCCATGATACCTTAAACTAGTGATAAATGCCCATGAAAATGCTACACTGCCGATGATTGTGTGCCACTAAGGCATAGATAGTAGTGACCCCTCTGGATAGCCTACATCTGTGAAATTGACGTCTCCGCCGTGTAGAGCACTACACCTCCACTCTTGCTTTGTTTAAGTGTTTCATGTCTGTGGAGACACGGACTAGAAAAGCCAAGTTCCACTGTACACATTTAGCAACGATTCTTCTCAATAATTCAAGTCGTGATTACTGGTCTACGACCATTTGAGTGCTGAACCCGTTGTGTGCTTACTGGTTGAGCGGGTAGAAATCAGTCATAGACGAGACTGCTTAGCTCGCAAATACTTTTCGGTCTGCAAACGCTCCAGGATCAGCGATTCGCCAAACTACAAGGGTAACGAAATCAGTGACCGACCGCTTCAATCGCATCGATTCCTTGTGCCCATTTAAGGAAGGAGGCCGAGCCGAGCCTGGCATTCATGTCGCCCTTTGTGTTCTTCAGCGACCTGTACTGCCACGAACCGGAATCCGAGGTCTTCATCTGGGGCGGTGGCCTTGAGAATATTTCTATGTTGTACTTTGACCAGGCTTTGATTCGTTCGCATCTGGTCTTTCTCAAATTTTGCCAGTCCTCGCTAATCCCCTTCAAGTTGGCTTCCGGGTTTTGAGTTTTGGATGCAAGATAGTCGAGAACACCGATATCTTCCACAACCAGTGAATACCCTTGCGCAGCGCTGGGGTACATGGCGTGCTGGCATTGTCAGTCACTCTAGGTGCTTTCGATCAGCAATGTCGAGTAGGGTTCTGCTAACTTACCGCAGAATCCCCGAGCAAAAGGATTCGCCCCTTTTCGCTGGCCCAGCGAGGGAGGTCTGGGAGCTCAGCCAGCTTCCATCTATCACAAGTCTGGGCTATGTCAAGTACTTTCACAATCTCGTCGCAGGAGCCCCGGAATGCCTTCCGAACATATTGGATGTCGCCTTCTTCGTCCCACAGTCCCTTCTGGTCGGTGTCGCCTTTGATACAGAACAACGCTTGGAATTTCCCGAGTTTGTGATTGTACCTGCTCGTCACGTTCACCAAGCCGTTCTCGCCCATGTACACGTTGATGTATGAGTTATCCATCAGGGGGCTCAATGCCGGTTCGCCAATCATCTGCTCCCTATTCAAGCAGATGCCATAGAGTGTGTAGTCGCTGACAACAGGCTCGATTGGTCCCAAACACCCCTGCAGAGCGTGTTTCCGAATTGTGGACTTGACTCCATCTGCCGCCAGAACCAGATCTGCTTGCAGAACTGTGCCGTCTCCAAGCCATACTTGAGCTTCTTGAGAACTCTCCGTGACTTGGGAGACTGTGGTGCTAAACAGGAGTATAGCACCAGCTTCGCGGGCACTCTTATGCAAAAGCGATATCAGTATGTCTCTGTTCGTCCCCAGGTCTGGGGAATCGGAGATATCGGTTGCAATGGTACGAGTAGCGACCTGCCCAGTCTTGAGGCTTCGAAGGGCATTGGCGGTTGTGATGTCGCAGATCTGCTCCAGCCCTTCAGCCAAACCCCAACTCCGAAGAAGCCGACTAGCTCCTGGACGGATGTTGATGCCGCCGCCGACAGGGGTTGGATCCGGGCGCTGCTCGAGAACCTGAACTTTGTGGCCGTTGCGAGCAAAACAAAGCGCCGCGGTAAGGCCACCTAGGCCTGCTCCGACGATGATAATTCTCATAGTGGACAAGAACGAAGATGTGAAGAGATAAGTAGACGTGATCGGCAGGATTTGACGTTTATGCCTTTCTTACGGTAGGATTCAGCCGAGGCTCCGCAGTGCCTCCACCAGACCAAAAAAGATCCATGCTAGCATCTAGTCTACATATACTTTTGGACCTCAATGCCAGGGTGGTCTCCACGCACGTGCGGCATGTTGGAAGCGGGGGTTGTCAGCCATTCAGAGTCTTGGCCAAACTTTAACGCCCATCTGCCGTGACACACTTTGAGGCTCTGCATCGCATCCGCAATGATCGTTGTCCTTAAGAGACAGAGTTGTTCGGTTCCAGGGAGGGCGTTACAAACTTGGTGCGCTCTCATATTTCTGGACTCGTTAGGTAATACAGTAGACTCAGGGTGATCCCCAAAGTGCCGAGAATTTTCACCAACTTGGGCGGACGCATGCGTCCGGAAGACGCACCAATTCGCCCATCGAGGACATATGACCAATATTTCTCGGTGGATGCAGTCTAATGCCTTCGATGAGACCCGCGAAAATGTATGTAGAGCTAACTGGTGGTTATTCAACCCCTCACCATAACAAGCGCGCTTCTACACTGGTACTGTGCTCCTTGTGAAGCTTGCTGGTCCGCATGAGAATATCCATTACGACTACTTCAGGGAACCTGCCTGGTTTCCGCTCAAGATAGTATTCTTCATTATGCGATGTCTATCTCCGCATATTTCAGACATTGGCTCCATCTTTCTGATCTCGCTTGTGGCATTTGGAGCTTATCCGGAGGCGGCACTTGGGAACAGCTCCACGGCAAGAACGTCGCCGAAGTCGCTTCTGAGGCAGGAGTCAATCACTTAATCTACTCTTCGCTCCTTCATGTCACGGAGACGACCAACGGCCACATCAAGCATGTCGTGCACCTCGACGACAAGGCCGAGGTTGAGCGCTACATCCGCTCCAGTGATTACTCGCTGCAGGTTGGCCTCCTTATCCCATGTGGAGTAAGGGGATGGTGATTGATGATGGGTCGCGTGTGACGCTCCGCTGTGATCACTCGCTGCGCTCGCTTAGAGAATGGCTGTGGGTGGTGACGCTCCGCTCCGCTTCGCTGTGGTTGATCGCGCTCCGCGCTCAGAGATTGGTGGGTGACCCGGCATGAAGAATGTTGTGATTACGGGAGCACTCGTCTCGGACACGATCGGAGGCCGGCGCTAGTAAGAGGCGGCACGGAAGAGGCTCCACTCGGCAGTCGCTCAGCCGGTCGAACCCACAACTTCTCACAGCCCCGGAATTCTGGTAGCCACACAAATAGCAGCAGCTGTCAGATTGTACGTAATCACCGATATTGTTGATAATTAAATGGGTCTTAATGATAACTTAATTATATATTGTTTTGCTCTTAGCAAACCCCCTTCTTTCCAATGGTTGGGCCTTTTTTATTAAAGCTAGTGTAATTACCTAAGGCACCCTTATTTTAATGCTCCCCTAGGGTTAATCCGCAGCAAACCGCTTAATTTAATATACCTCCTTAAACTTATAAGTATTAAAAAGCTAAATATAGAATTAGCCTTAGTTTTTTACTGCTTTATGCCTATTTCTTATAAGGTCTTCCTTTAAAGTATTTTCCTTTCTTAGTTCCTCCATACTTTTTAGCTTAAGCTAATAAAGAAATCCTATCCACTTCTTAGCTAATAAGGCTTTTATTAACTTATTTATCATTATTTTTGCCGTTAATATATATTTTATTAATATTTAATTGCTTTAAACTTCTTATTAAAGCTAATAATTATAAATATTTATATATTAAAGTTTTATTTTAAAAGTAATAACTTTCTTATTAATTAAATTAATAGTTTAGGTATTATTATACTTAATTTAAATAATGCTATTATTTAATTCCATTAATAGTTCTTTAAGTAGCTTATTTATAAAAAGTATTTCCTTTACGGCTTATATAAATATTAAAAGCTTAGCTTTTATTATTAACATAGTAACCATATCTTGCTTATTTACCCTTTAATTAATAAAACCTTTAAATAATTACATTATAAATATCTAAAAGCTCTTTTAATTAAAGGAATTATTTATAAATAATGCATTGCTTATAATTATAAGGTTATTAAAATTTTTAAAGTAAAAAGTAATATACTTAATATTATTAAGATAAAAAAGGACTTAATTAATGGCATTTTAATGCTTTAAACTTAAATTTATTAAAAATTAAATAAGTTATAAGATAATAAATGCAATATTTAATTAAGTGGATATTATAGCAAATAATAATAAATTAATCTTTTATTAATAGCTATATATTTTAGCTAATAAGGCAGCATCTTCTTATAATAATAGCTTTTTAGCTATTATAAGGATTATAAGTAAGAAGTTCTTCTTATTAGCTAATTTAATAATTTTCTTAATATATAAAATTTAAGCTAACTAAATTCTTTTATTTAAATAGTTTTAAATAATCTTTATGCTAAGGAATTATTATATTAAATCTCCTTTATTAATCTTATACTTTTCTTAAAGTTATTAAGTAAAAGCATTAACTTAATTTTATTTATTCTTTTAATAGGCTATAATAATATTATTAATATAAAAGAATATAAGAACTTTATCTTTAATATAATAATAAAGTTTATATAAAACTTATTTATAATTATAGGCTAAGAATATTTTTATAAACTCTTTTTATTATAATAGCGGTAAAATCCGTAATTTATAAAGTGCTTTATTAAGTAATAAGATTATTTTCTTCTTTTTATATTTATAAAGCATTTTTATAAAAATATCTTGATTTATTAAAGCATAAATAAATATATAAATAATATTATATTAAATTAATTTAAGGTTAAACTTAAATATAATGGTAATAAGCATTTAAAATAATTATTTAGCAAAAATAGCAATATAAGTATTTTATATTTATTCTTATGCTTGCTAATCTCTCCTAATAATAAGTTATACTTTGCATTTTTAAAATATATTATATTTATTAAACTTATAAATATATATTTATATGCAATTTAAGATTTATTTTCCTATTATATAAGTATCCTTTTTATTAATTTTGGTTTATAACTTTATATTTTTATAGCTTTATAAATAATTAGCTTTTGCCTTTTTAAATAATACTTTAAATAAGTAATTTTTTAAATTATTATATTATTTTAGTAAATTTAAAAGGTTGCTTTTATGCATTTTCACCCCTTAATATAAATATTTTTTAATATAAGCTTTATTAAGGATCTTTTTATTTAACTTTGCTATTAAGGCGGCTTTTATGCCTATAAGAAATGCGGCTTGCTATATAAGAATTTAGTAAACTTCTTTATTAAATAAAATTTTATTATTAATCTTTATTTAAATTATATAAATTAAAAGTATAAATAGCGATAATTATAAAGGTATGGGTAAAAGGGTAAATTTTGCATTTATATAGGCATTATTTTATTAATTTACTTTAAAGCATTCTTTTTCTTTGGCTTTTATATCTTTCTTTAAAATACTATTAATATTGCTTTCTTTTTTGGTTTTAAACTAAATTTCATTTCCTTAAGTACCTGCTTTAATTAAATTTTCCCCTTTTAATTTAAATATTTTATCTTTATTTAAAAGGAAGTATTTCTTTGCTTATTTTGCTAAATAGTTAATATTTATAATTAAGAGTTTATCTTTAAACCTTTCCTAATTTTCATTAAATACTTAATATTTATTAAAAATAATATCTTTTATATTAATTACCTTTTTAATAAAAGGAATTTATATTTAATAAATATTTAAAGATTAATATTTAATAAAATATTTAATTTATATTTATAGTTTTAAATGCTTATATTTTCTTTTCTTAAGTTATGCATTTAAAGTTATTATATATGCCTTATAGCCAAAGACTTATAGGTATGCTTAATTTAGTTTTAAATTTAGCTATAATATATTAAGGCATTTTATAATTGCTAATTAAAATTTATAATATAATGTTTTCCATTTAAAGCCATAGCTTAGCATTTTATTATTAAGATATATAGTTATATATTTAATTTCCAGCTAAAGCAAGTATAAAAGTCTTAAGCTTATTTACATTACTTATATTTTTTCTTTAATTATACCCCTTAAGCATTTAACATTATTATTGTAAGCTTATATATTTAATATTAAGGGCTTAATTTTAATATATCTTAATTTAAGAAAGCTTTTAACTACTTATTATCTTATAAAGATTTTATTATTATATTTAATAACCTTAATAATAATTTTATATTATATTTTTATTATATTAAGAAATAATATAAATACTTTAAGAATTATTTCGCTTTTTTAATTTTTAAGGTAATAATTTTAAATATATTTTAAGACTTTGCATATAAGCAGTAATTATAATATATAATTATAAATTTTAAGTTTATAATTATAAAAATTTAATGCAATTCTTTTGCTTTTTTATTTAAGGATCTTTCTTAATGCTTAATAAATTTACCTTATAATTTTAATTAAAGCATATGCTTTATATTTAATTATTATTAATCCTTAAATACGCACCCCTTAAAATAAGGATATAAGGTATTTAAGTATGCATAGGTTTAAATGCCTTATTTAATTATACTAAAGAATGGTTTTACTAGTAAGTAGTTTCTATTTAATATAAAATATATACTTTTTCCACTAAATATTAAATATACTTTAAGTTTTAATAATTTAATATTTAATAATATATTAATTATAAATATTTTAAAGTTAATATAAAGTTAATTTATTATATTACTTAAGGGTTATTAAGTTATATTTATTATTTTAATAAATACTTTTCTTTTAAAGCTATCTTAAAAATATTATAATTATTAGCAATCTTAAGTAAAAAGTAATATTTTTAAGGTATAAAATTATTAATTTATAATAAATCGCTATAATATTATATCTTAAAATAAGGAGTTAATAATTATTTAATTATAAGTAATTAATATGCATAGCTAGTTTTATATTAAATAATTTATAGCTATTATTTATAATTAAGATTATATTTATTAAGTTAAGTATTATTAAGTATTAAAAAGGGTATTTTTTTATATTTATTATAAAAGCTTCCCTAGCTTTTATATTAATTATATAATACCCTAAAAGTTAATCTTTAACTTTTTTAATTATTTTTATTTTAATTAATCTTAAAGTTCTTAACTTTAATTTAAACCTTAATCCCTTAATAGCTTAAACTTATGCTTATAAATTAATATTATTTTTAAAAGCTTATTTTATTCTTTTTTAAATTTCTTTTTATAGCTTTTACTTTAAGTAAGCCTTTTTAAGAAAGATATAATAGCATTTTATAAGAGTATAAAGCATATTATATGCAAGGCACCTTTTATTTAAAATGTTTTCTTTTTTAAGTTAATAACGCTTCTTTTTATTACAGCCTTTATATAATTTAATCATGCCTTTTTATAATAATACTCCTTAATGTTTAATAATTTAAGCATTTCTATTCTTATTATTATAATTTTCATTATTATTATAAGTAATTATAAACGCTTTTTTTAAGGCTTTAATAGTTTTTTATAAGTTATAAGCTATTAACTCCTTATAAAAGTTATTCTTAACTTTATAAAATATAAGGTTTTTATTTATAATATCTTATTATTTAAATTATTTAAAGGATATTATTTATATAAGCAGTAACCCTTATATTACTTGCAATAAGTTTAATACTTATAATATTATATCTTTAGCATTAAAGAATTCTTTTTAAAAATCTTTTATTATAAGTACTTCTTATTTATTAATTTATATATATACCTCCTTAATATTTTATAGCAATTTAAGGGCATTTTTATATACTATTCTTAATTTTATCTTTTTATTAATTAATAATATTTTATATATTTCTTTTAAGTTTTAATGCTATTTCTAAATAAATTAATTTATAATGCAATAAGTACTTTTATAAATTAAGGAAATTATTTAAAGCATTTACTTAATAAGTTCTTTTATAAATTAATATTCTTCCTTATAAGTTATATTAAGTTGCTTAAACCATAATAAGTTTAAGTTAAATATCTTTTAACCGCTTTTAATAAAGTTTAACATTATTTAATTACCCATAACCCTTTCTTAAATTATATCTTTATCCCCTTCTTTATTATTTATTATTTAAAATCATGCAATTTGCAATATATACGGTTTCTTAATATATTTCTTTTATTAAATATTAAGCATTTTAGGATATAAAAGAAAGGGTTTCTTATTTATAATATAAATATTTAGTCCTTATATTTAAACTTAAAGTTTAAATTTATAATTCTAATCATTCCAATCTTTAAGTTTTATTAAAAAGGCATTTAAGGTTTTAATATTAATTTAATTTATTATAATATAATTAATTTAAGGTAATAAAACTCTTAATTATTAAATTATATATAATTACCAATATTATTAATAATTAAATGGGTTTTAATAATAACTTAATTATGTATTGTTTTGCTCTCAGCGGACCCCTTTCTTTCTAATGATTAGGCCTTTTTTACCGAAGCTAGTGTAGTTGCCTAAGGCACCCTTATTTTGGTGCTCCCCTGGGGTCGGTCCGCAGCGAACCGCCCAATCTGACAGCAGCTTAGGCTGTCCTTCGCGCACCAGTCCGGCCACGGTAGGATCATTTGGTGCACCTTGACGTCGGAGAACCCGTGGTGGGGGCGTCGGGATTAAGCATAGCTAGAGCACCCTGGCAAATAATCTCTCCTCTCGTGCCTCTGATTGGGCTGAAGATTAGACTTTCTTAACAGGAGCTATACGTGTACAGTAAGCATTGCTAAACGCGAGGGCGAACAGCATTCCAAACGTCGGACGGACTTTTTCCTTTTCCACACGCGAGTCTTGGCCGGCAGCTTCCGTGCATCCACTATCCATCCACCTTTTCCACTTCCCCACCAGACCACTGCACAACATTTCGCTGTCAAGAGAGCCCGAACGCATGTTCTATTGTGCAGGGCATGTTTGAGTATCATTACGTAGTGATGTAATGATGGAATCCCAGCAAACACCTCAGGCGCCGGAGATGGCCGAGTCTCACAGGACGGCTGCAAGGCTTCCGTCTCTCTCATGTTCGTCCTGCAGACGTCGCAAGGTTTGAGACCATCCCTTATCTCTCGGCCGATACGTCCAGATGCCAAAACAATAAGCAGGTAAAATGCGACCACCGGAAACCCATATGCTCCGCCTGCGAGAAATATGGGCAGGAATGCGTCTGGCCCGGGAGAAAGAAGAACAATCCCCGGAAAGAACACAAGTCAGCCCCCTCCTACCTTGCTTCCCCCGTGTTTTATGTGTAGGGATGGGTGACCAACCTTAGCCGGATTTTCTCAACCCAACTTGAAGACTCTATGATAATGTCACCGCAAGACTAGGCCAGATAGAGCGTTTGGTCAAAGATCTGCGGGAGCAAAAGCCGACCTCACGGGCGCAAGAGACTCATCCTCGGTCGATGAGCGACACCTCGTCCAATGGTAACTCTAGTTATCAACCCACAAGGTTGGATACATCGCCGGCAGTGGATCCGCCGCCGCCGGACCTGACATCTCCGTCTGACACCAGTTCGTCGGGGCCGAAGCTATTCCATTCCGAGACTATGCCCGAAGCCACCATCTGCGCCGGCGGTATGTGTCAAATGCAAGAGAATAAATCGGTGCACAGAAGAACCATTGGTTAATCCATCAAACAGGCTCTTGTTCGCTTTTTTCGGCCAAAGGCATGGAGAAGATTGACATCTTGGTTGGGGACAAGCGGTTCTCCGGCGTTGCCCGCAGGTTACTGCAACAGATTAACAATATTCCGCGACAGAGAACCCTCAACTACATTTCCACTCCCGCCGACTCTTTCCCATCTGCTTTTGTGATTGCGGAATACATGAATGGTACATGCACTCGCCATTGGCAGGTATCCAACCACACCCCACGTATTGGCTAATCAATCTACTTACCAGACTTTTTCATGACCCTCAACCGATACATCAAGTTCTTCGATGAAGCTGTCGTCCGCGCTGCGGTACAGTCATACCTCCATGGGCAACCACCAAGCGGCATCGGCTGGAAAATAGCCTTGTTCACCATCCTCTTGCACCCGCACAGGAAACGAGATCTGCTGCATGGTACGCGTGAGCACGAGAAGTATCTGCACAGCGCCATGGCCCTCGTACCCACCGTCATGTTGCAACCACCGTCTCCCATGATGATAGGGGCTCTACTCTCGCTGGTAAGCCTCTCATAGTGACAGCTATTCTGTCGTATCGAGAACAACTGCTGAACAAGGAAGACCGTCCACTTTATCTTCACGGCCGAAAATAATATTGCCGTCTCATTCCTGGCTCTGGCAACACAGTCTCTTATTCTGGGCGGCTACTACCATAGTAACCACCCCGGCCTAAGCGATTCGGAAATCCAGCATCGTCGTCGCCTGTTCTGGCAAGCATACATTTTTGACCGTGACCTGATGTTAAGGATCGGAAAGCCACCTCTGATCACCGACAACTTTCTGCTCGACTTTCCAGAAGAATTCCCTCTGGATTGCTACGGCCTCTTCTACTATCCCGGTGACATCGTTCTTAACTACTTCCGACAAGAGGTCAGGCTGGCGCAGATCCAGGGCCGCATCTATGCAAGGCTGCACCTCAACACCCCGACGTCAGCCGCGGCTCTGGAATCCGAAATCAGCCTTTTGGATAGGGAGCTTCAGCAATGGCGGGAAAGCATTCCGGAGATGATTCGCCCGCAGCAGTCAGGTGCTCCTCTGGATGACGATAACCATGCTAGGCTGATCGCGCTGAGTTCCCTGCACTACATCTACTTCCAGTTGGTTGTCGCTGTTCACTCTGCGGCTCTCAGAATGTCCTCGACAGGTCAGGACATGGACTTCCTCCGACCCAGCGCTGCCATTTGCGTCAATGCTGCCCGTGGGGCAGTATCGCTCTTGAACTACCACCACTTCGATCATCCATTCACTGTGTAAGAAGCTTCCCGTGCCTCATGATCAGATGACCTGACTGAGAATACTCACTTTGGCCAGATACCTTCTCTACCAGGTTGCCTGGAGCGTCGATATCCTATTCATCAACATTATCGAGAATAAGACTTCGGCTATTGCAGGGCAGGACATCGAGCTCATCAAACTTGTCCTCTCGTTTTATGAGAGATACGATGTGAACCACAAGAACATCACCTCGTACTACATCATCAAGGCGCTCTACGATGTAGCTGTGTCGGTCATCCTGGATCCTCAAAATTCACTCCAGGATCCCCTTGGTTCGGCTCTAGACGTTCTGACTTTGGGCGTGGGGAGACCAAACGAGGTTGCGGGGTATCTGCCTGTTCTTCCTGTTCCCGGCGCAACAGAGCAGGACAACTGGGAAGGCATATCTCACAACAGCCACAACTGGCTCTCTGCCGGGGTCCTGCAAATGGTTGATTGGAGCCTACCACCGAACGCTGATGAGTAACGAAATGTGAGTCGTTTGTTCGGTCCCATGAGGATATCTGTGTAAATACTATAGTAGAGCTATGAACCTGTCTCAAAGATCGAACTGCGATCCTTCAACCACAACCCAATTTGCCCGCGTGTTCATGCAATTACGCTGTCAGCGAACTCAAAGCCTTCATATGCGAGCCCAATCCTAGCCTGCGCAAGCCGCCTTGACAGACGGTCGAGCGTTCAGGCGTTCATGCCACGCCAAGAAGTTGGGAAATCGTTCCCCGGTGTGGTGCTTGTCCCAGAGCTTCGTCCCTGAAGAACGGGGCATCGAGAGCTACTCGGTTCCATGGGATGAAGGAGAGATCGGCATAGGTGCTACATCTGTCAGCAAGTTTTCCCATGAGATCATAACGGGTACACTCACAGTTTGTCTCCAACAAGGAACTCTCGATCCTTGAGGATGCCGTCCAAGACCCCGAACACCCTCACGATCTGCTCAATGTACCTGCTGTTGGCTGTTGGGATGTCTTCTGTCTGCTTGTAGAACCACACAGCCTGTCCGTAATAAGGTCCCTGTCCTGACATCTGAAAATGCAGGTACTGTCGGAGCAGCCATCTGCTCTCTGTCCTCCAAGGTCAAGGCGCCGAGTGCATCGTATGTCTCGACGAGGTACTCGATGATGGCGCCAGACTCCCAAAGAGTAAAATTGTCGTTGTTTGGATCAACTATGACCGGTGTGCGACCATTGGGGTTAAGCTTGAGGAAACCCGCGCTCTTGACGTCTTCAACCTCAACTTTTCCATACGGAATGCCAAGCTCTTCCAGCGTGATCAAGACCTTGAAAGGGTTTGGACCGCCACCTGTGAGTTGTTAGCCTGATATCTTTCTGTGAGTCTATTCATGGCGTACCGAGGACGTAGACAGTGATAGGTTCAATGGCAGGCATATTCACCAGAATAGGCGCCTGGATAGCAAGTGGCTGAAGTGATAATGGTACTGTTTGCTCCACGCTAAGTGTCGATAATGCAGACCTCGAATAGAAATATGTCACGCCCATATCGGCACAAGTTAAATATATCCAGTTGCGCCACAATCACCGCTTGATCTCTCGCGGCATTGCTCATCTTCTCTTCATACTCGGAAAAAAAGACACCAGAAGTCCGTGTCCGTGTAAATCCCTTTCTACTCTGGGCTCCCACCACCCGCGTCCTCCGGCTGAGAAATATGTCCATACTCTTTCATTGGTTTCCAGCTATAGTCCGCTCTCCAGTCATCCGAATAGTATCTCTGCCCAGCGGTGAGCAAATCTGGGACGGAACTATGTCAGCTTAACGACGCGGAGAGGAACACGGAGCCGGTGATGCTCGGCCTCAGCTGCGCCACGGAGGTAGGTACATCACGAATGATTGTCTGGTCGCAACATTGATTCGTTTATTGGTTTAATGGGCATTGTTAGTATCATATTGCTTAAGAAGCACATGTATACAGATTAAAAACGAGACCACTTAGTATCATGTAAATTGTTTTGCGGCACACAGTAGTAACTTTGCGCTTGTTGTGGGTTTGGTCAGTCTCGACCAATGAAGCCCAGAATAAGTGTCGCGCTCGCGCGTTTTGAGTTTTCCGAAATGTCCGAAAATTGCGCCCAATCGGGCAGCCCCATATACTCCCGATGTGAGCATGTTGATCTGTGGGGTGAAATGAATTATCTCCGCATCTTTTGGAGTGAACAAGAAGTATTCATCACATGAGAACAAGATACCTAGGTTCTCTCAACGAGCTATAAAACGCCTTTCCAGTGTTGCACCACGATGCATATGAGTATGGGATCAGATTACCCGTCAGCAATTCTTTCCATGTCGACCATTTTCATACCCTACGCCAACTCTTTCCAGTTCTAGTTCTCAAAAAGAAAAGAAAATCACAATCATGGTCCAATTCATCCAAGCTGTTTGCCTCGCTGCTGGATGTGTTTCGATGGTACCAAATGCTACCGAACCAAGCCCGGCACCCAAGATAACCTTTCCTACCGATGCCACCTGTGGCGAGGTTAACGTTTTTTATACGTGAGTTTGTGGAAGTCGCGGGCAGCCGTTCAGTTCTCTAATCCGAGCAAATAGTGGACTTGCGGCGTATCATCCTCTCGTCACTTCTCGAGGTTTTAATCCAGCCCGAACTGATATTTCGCTGCGCAACGACACCGCAAACCTTGTTAAAGCGGGCTTTAATGTCTACGGTAGGCTACATTGAACCAAATGAGATGCTTTTCTATCCTTTTTACAGCCCCTCGGCTAAGTGTTTGAATGCAGTGCTGTTCCAAGGAACGGATCAACCGGCTTCCAACATTGCGGACCGTATGGAGGGCAGGAGCTGGGGCGTGACAGGTGTAGGATGGGGTATTAGGAATTCGACTCTCTTCGAGCTCGTCGAGCGATTTGAAGGTATTGTGATGATATTATAGACGATACCGTTCTATGATGACTGACAAAACTACATAGAGAACATTAATCAGTATCGTCAGGCCGCGCCGCTTACTCCCATGGTCTTTAACTGGGGTCCTACCACGCTGGCTGAGTCCGTTATCAGGCACGTGCCTTTTTGAGGGAGGACTGCACCGAAAAGCCTGGAACTCTATACGTAAGCTCATACACCGACTGTAAGCCACAGTGTGCTAATGGGGAATATGACAGGCTTACGAGGAAAACTGCCCACCCGAGCTATGCGAGAAAGTGACTGTGGTTACTTCAGGCAGCCTTGATGAGCTTCTTCATGGTATCCCTCAGTGATCACTGGATCGAGACCTTGAGAACTCCTTATTCGTGTTCATCAGTTGAGCTGTCACAGAAAAAAAAGCTATTCCTGGACCATTTGGAATGATGGAAATTGTATAACTATCATAGACTGGGACAAACTCCACTTTATTTAAGATTTTGAACCTTATCTTCGTACTCGTATCTTCCACCGTTGAATAAAGACAATGATTTCATCCTGCAGAGGGTAAATAGACTCATTTCAATTGTGTCGATATACATCTTACCAAATCATAGAGACTGCAGTTGTCCAAGTTCCCACGATTTGTATAAACGTGCTGCCAGCAACGACGCACGTTGAGCCACAACCCGGGCTGGTTATCGTTTGGGGCACCTCGGTCTCGCAATTGGATGCAACTGGCCTGAGGCTCAACAGGCGTGGGGCTAATGCTTGAAAACGCATGGCTCGCACTTCGTCGGAGACCGTCTTATGCACACGTCGAATGAGATTTTATCTTGGCACATTACTCATGGGTAGTAAACTGGATTGAGTATTCACAATGTTGTTCTATGGTGTCCGCAACGATTCCAACGTCGAAGAAACCACATCTGAAGCAAAATCTCGAGCATTCATCATTGACGGTCCATCATCTCGGACATGGATTCACCAAGCAGTCAGCCAAATGACGGACCAGCAATCAAAGACGTTGGCGAACAAATGTCGGCTATCTCGTTCTCATGCCACCCATGTCGGCTGAGAAAGCTGAAATGCGATCGAATCCAGCCTCGTTGCAGCCGATGCATCAGGCTCGGGGATACTTGCGAATACCCAAAGGAAAGACGGTCGAACGTGGGTAGACGAAAAAGAGTTCTGAGCTGGAAACGAAAGTAGGTCAGTTACAATGCTTGCAGTGGCTGTCCGACTTGGTATGGGGAAACTGCGGGATATCCTCTAAAGGATACCCTACTATAGGACAGTCTCATGCTGGACATTTCCCTGTGGTGTTCACCTTGCCCAATCAGTAGCCTTTACCGGTCTCGTCTTGTTCCGAATGGGCTAACATTCACACCGCAGATGAGCTCGAACGATTGGCGAGGGGTGGGAATAATGCTCCGGCAGCTGAGGAAAATCAGATTCAACAGCCATTGCCGCAGGGCCCCGACGATTTCGATCTCCCCAACGAGCATTACACACCACAATCTTCAGTTGCAAATCATAGCCAAGGACAGCCACAACCAAACACTTCATTCGCAGACTTGGTTTCAGTCGGGCTGTTTGAGCAGCGTCCTGCACAGGAAATCGCCCTTTTTCTGTATGACATTTCTCTGCGTTACCAATGATCACATCTGACAGACGTAGGACGAATGTTTATTTCGACAAGTGGTACTTTGCCTCCCCCATGTTTCAGCGCGCTCGTTATATGGTGTCGTTGCATCTGCCACCTCACATGCGTCCGCCCATGGGTCTTCAATACATTATACTGGCCCTTGGTGCCGACATCACGAAGACACACAGGAAACTAGCAATGCCATTTTACCAGCGTGCCAGGTCATATATGCAATCAGACGAGATGCGAGTGGGTTACCAAATTGTATCATTCCTGCAAGGAACAAATCGCTGAGAACCATAGGGGGAGGGCCAACATTTCACCACAATCGCCCACGCACAGGCCTGGAGTTTGATAGCCAACTTTGAAGCACAACAGCTCCGATTTGCACAGGCGTCAATGAGCCTCGGCAGAGCAGTCAGAACTGCGCAGATGCTCGGACTGCATCTCATGGATGGACAGAGCGTGGATGACACTCCATTGCCATCCCCATCTCGAGAATGGGCGAAGGCAGAAGAAATGCGCAGGACATGGTGGGTGATTTACTGCCCTGACCGACTAGTATGTGGTAGTACTGGTTGGCCAGCGATGATAAATGAGCAAGATGTAAGTCGTCAAACTCTGTTAATCGCACAACCCTTTCTACAGACATGCTGATCTGATCGGAGATCGACACTCATCTTCCCGCTTCCGAAGAATCCTTCCAAGCAGGCCTGAAAGAGCACACGAGCCCCTTGAGAAGCATGTTGAACCTAGAAGGCCAGAAGTTTGCTGCTTTCGCAGCACGAGTCCTCGCCGCATCCCACTTCCACCAAGCTTGCCAACACTCCGCCAAGACCTCTTCAGAGCAAGACACATGGCATATCCAATCAAGTTTATACTGGAAGCGCCATCGCGAGATTGACAACGATTTGTCTATTCTCCTTCACTGCCTTCCAGAGGATATCAAACTACCCAACAACATACGTTGTCAAAACGCGACTTTTGTCAACATCATCATCCACACTTCTGTAATCTGCCTTCCCAGGGCAGCCATATCGAGGACGCAAAAGGTCGGAAGTTGGGAGGGAACAGTCCGTCAAAGCAGATTCCGACTCATTGCTGCGGCGGAGGAGATCCTCAATATTCTCAGCATGATGCCAGACGTCAACGACGTGCTTCAGAACCCGATGCTAGTGTTTCTTGATCAGCCTGAATCGGCTGAACCTGACTATCAGCGGCAGGGGAATCTTGACTTAACTCTCCGCTTCGTGATTCTGGCAGTCACAACTTGAGGCAACCCGGTAACGAGATCTATGGCTATACAGTTGGCTGTGGACATGCGGAGACCTGGTCTTGACTCCCCGGCTGTCCAAAAGGTCAGTTGCAAGCATCTTCCGGCTCAGTGATTTCAGACTAATATTGTCATAGGCAACCGAGCTGCCACTAGGGACAGGCTCAGTTCCAATTCTTGCGAAAGGAGGCGACGGCTCTTCGAATCCACTGTTTCACCCTAACAATTGTAATAGCTCACCAGACAGTACCACGGATCCCTGAAGATATTGAATTTCGCTTCCGATTACAGGCTCAATATTAACATGTACCCCTTCGTACACAATAGCTCTAAAAGTCCGTCTATAATCTCTAATCTTTCTCAGCAGCAGTGAAAGCACTCAGAACGCTCGACAACTTCACATCCATCTCCGTAAATTCACCCTCATCAGTGCTCTGTATTGTCACCGCGCCACCCGCTCCGATGCGATAGGTATCACCAGAATGCGAGCTGTGATCAGCCCCAGTCCCGCTTTGTGTGCCAAAGTGGGACTTGTCAGCGTCACCGGTAGTGTCCACGTTGACAGCGGTGCGAATCACGACGGACAAATCGCCGCCGCCGCCGACATCCAAGTAGCCCAGGACGCCGGAGTAGATGCCCCGATTCCTCGGCTCCAGATCTCTCAATATCTCACATGAGCGCTTCTTTGGGGCACCAGTCATGGATCCAGGAGGAAGCGATGCTCGTAACACGTCGAGGCCGCGGGGGCCGGTCCAAGGTGTGCTCGAGGCGGGGTTGCTCGGGATGCACTGTCCCTCGATCACTGAGACCAGCTGGTATACTGTTGCGTACTCCTCAACTACCATGAGCTTAGACACCCAGGTATTACTCGCGCCGACTACACCGCCTAGGTCACTGCATGACAAGTCAGCATTCGTATCAACGTGTCGTATGAGCACGGGAACTACACACTGTCGGATCAGATCGACGATCATGAGGTTTTCAGCTTGCTCCTTTGAGCTTCCAAGTATTTCGTATGCTTCTTTTCGTGTGAAGTCGGACTTCTTGACGGTGCCTTTGATAGGTCGAAATTGGCAGTGGCCGGTTCTATCCCAGCTGAGAAAACGTTCGGGGCTAGAAGAAACCGTTGTCAGCGTCACGAAGTCAGGATTAGGGCATGGAAGGCTATGTATGTACTGACCTGCTTCCGACTACTGTGACTCCATTCAAGCTGAGAAAGGTGCCAAATGGTGCTGGGTTCACTACGTTTATCATAGTCAGTAATTAGTCACTGAGACCCAAAAGAGAGACCAAGTTGGACCTACTTTGCCGCAAGCGCTTGTACATATTCCAGCAACTTGGGGGCTTTCCACTGCTCGGTTTGCTGGTTAGTGTCGTCCATCATCTGTGGCAAAAGAAATAAGTAACGATGGCGTACTTAACAGCGGGGAGTCGAATTTCTGTCTGGTCAGTAAGACAAAGCTCATAAGAATCCCCGGACCTCAAGAACTCTTGGCAATCCAAGACCTTTTGCTTATACTCCACTCCCTGTGGCTTGGTGACTTGTGCATTTCTGATGGCATGTTGCAATATCTGATCCTCTTCGACTGGACGTCTGTCTCCAACCTCAAGCTGTTGGATGATCCCACCGATTTCTGCAACCCAGTCCGAATCATCACGGTGGAGAGACTGAACATATACCAGGCCCTGGCAAATTGGATTGTTAGAAAAAGATTCTTTCAACATTTCGATTCGATGAATTGCTTACCTGTTCGTGGTTCATAACAATGCTGCGTTGGATGAACGCAAAGTTGATATCAGGGATCTCAGATGGCCGATGAGAGTCTACTTGGATGGTCTCCAACCCAGCCTCGTATGATACATACCCTGCAAAGCCGCCCCAGAATGGGATCTCTGCGGGCAAGGTCTGGCTAGTGGTACTGTGAGCTCTTGGGTTGTGAGCATCCAGCACCTTCTGCAACACTGGCCAGACTTGGTCGATGGAATCCAATTGCAGCTCAGCCAGGCCGTTGGCTCCAGGGTTGGTTCCCCAGCGTATGCGCCTATCGTCAACCTTGTAGGTGACCTTGAGGGTTTCCTGTGGATGCACGAGTCCGAGGATGCTGAATGTTCCTCTTTCTCCTTGGTGGCCTTGGGAATCAAGCAGGACCACCTCAGTCTCATCGTTGTTTAGTCGTAAGGCTTCACACAGAGCATCAGGGGATACATTCTTTGACTGGTATGCCTTCCAAGTCAATACTGGAGTCGAATCCGGCTGGGAACCGCCAGTAATGGCCAGCATTTTGTCAACCAATGAAGAAAGTGTGTCCTATATTGAGAAGTCTCTTAGCCATAAACTCGATGGTGTAAGGAAGATAGCAAGGCCGAATGAGCCCAGGCGAGAAATGTGTTTCGTACCTTGGCATCACTGTTATTTTGATGGGCTAGATCTTCGAGATCATTTGTACATGAACCTTTGGGCGCCCTGTCGTGCGAGTCGTTCCATTTCTGGGCTCGGTACCACCAATTTGACACTATTGTTTGAGCGCCTTTCCTGGTTGTGCAAATTGATTCTGGGTGAAACTGAATAGACCAGAAAGGCTTCTCAGTGTGCCTGACTCCCATCAACACTGGCCTGCCCTGATCTTCCGGGCCCCACGCAAGTGGGCAAATAGAAGGGCAGGCAGTTGTTGGACTCCAGAAAATGTTGTGGCCAGGGTGGCCGAGGTCTACTTGGAGTGAGTGGTATTGTGTTGCCAACAGCTCCCCCACTCCTTCGAATATATCGCTCCCATTGTGAACTATCTTGCTGACGATGCCGTGTCGTGGCTCACTCAGCCTGGTGACATTCGCGCCGTGATTGAGGCATAGGGACTGGTGTCCCAGGCATATGCCCAAGACTGGCAAAATCAATTTGTCTGAGAGGTTCCACAAGCGGTCGATGAACCCAACGTCTTGAGGATTGGCTGGGTTTCCCGGGCCAGGGCCGATGACTACGGCGTCGAAGGCTGGTAGAAAGGTCTCCAGGCCATTTGCGAACTTCTGGTTGTTGATTCGCACGACTGTTACGTCTGCTTGGATTGATTGTTCTAGAAGACCAATGACGTTGTTGGTGAATGAGTCAAACGCATCAATGAACAAAATCCGGGGTGGAGAGTAGGAGCCCATGTCGGCAAATGCAGCTGTATGCACTGGTTCGAAGGCCGAGGTTAGGGTTGAAAATCAGAAAGCGAAAAAAGGGTGGTAACAGGCCACCAGTGCAGCCGCAAGGAAAGGTTGAGAGAAAGGGACAAATAAATGAAAAGAAGCGGGTCAAAATAAAGTTGATGACAATTCCCCAACTGACTCAGACATGCATATCCCCTACGGTATGGCGGAATCTCCATCAAACCTGATACCCGTAGGGGCCGCAAGAGTTGTAGACTTAAAGCCTTTTCATACACACCCTTGGTGTCTGATCAAATTCTATTTATATTGTGTGTAATGACATGCTGCAACCTATCAGAAGCTTGATATATATAATGACATCACGTGATTTCTCGAACACCCCTTAAAGAAGTCGAGGAAAATTTGGGCAACTAAGATACATTCAAAGGTAATTTGTACGTAGCACGCAGATGTCCTGGAAATCTGATGAAAGCTGCTGATTGGATTTATGGTGTCCGGCAACTTTCTGGTCTCATCAAGAAATAAGTCAACCTAAGAATGATACGGGAATTGATCGCTTCACCGTATGGGATGATCACACTGACTGTCTATGTACACGCAACCAACTCTAATTGTATGTGTGCTTTGAGAAGCCCCGAATCTTCTTTCCAGACACATAGTACACGACAGGTAGCGGGGCTAAAGCTAAAGAGATGAAGCCCAACGTACTTGTCGCCCACGGAACGCCCAAGTTGTTGTACATATAAGGCGTGAATACCGGAAATCCGGCTCCGAAGAAGCTGCGAACGAACATGTTTCCTGCAATCGCACTGCTGGCCACAGGCAGGTAGACGTCCACAATATACTTGAAGCCCTGGAGGAAAGTCACATAGAGGGAGATCCCAACGAATATGTATGCCAACATTTGCACCGGCCAGGCGATATTCGGGTCGGAAGTCCATGCCGCCCAAAACAGGCCTGGGGGGAGAATCAGGCCAGTAAGTATCATGGGTGGTAGACGGCGCTCAGGAACGACAATCCCAGGTGTCGACTGGAGCTGCCTGGCGTATATCGTGGTGGAGTACCAGAAGACAAAGGCGAAGCCGATTATGCCTCCAATGACAAGGCTCAGAAAAGCCAGTGATGCATTCTCAGGCGTCCATCCGTGGACCCCGATAAAGTTCGCTGGGAACCCCTGGAGAAGAATGAATTCAAGTGCGTAGATGAAAGCCCTGCATGGTTCGTATCAGTATTAGAATTTTAGAGGCAGATGCAGGCGATCTTTGACCCATAAAGCTGAGCTGTCCAGTGTACCTACATATAGACGGTAGTCAACAGATAAATAGGCTCTGTCGCTAGCAGAACTGCTGTCGCGTTAACAAAGACATTTTAACCAAGTCAAAAATCCGTTGGTTGTTGACTTACCCATCGGTCTTACAAGATAAGTTCGTGCAAACGTTGATAGGGTGATGGACTCCTCCATATCATGTTTGCTATGCAATGCCCAGTTCTTTGACCTTAACCGCAGTCTTTTGGCTTTCTGGCTGAGCAGCACCGGGGCAAAAGTCTCAGGCACACAGCAGTAAAACAAAATAGAAAAGGCGTATGCGGCAATCATGGTCACCCACAATGCCCATCGCCAGCCAAGGGAGCTGTTAGTTATGTAGGTGCCAATAATTGGGCCTAGTGCAGGTCCGAGGTAGCCCGTCATGACCAGCACGTCCAGACCGACACCTCGTGCCACAGGACTAGGCCAGATGTCACCGATGGCGCCGCCGGTGACAGCCACTTTATTGTTTTCGCGTCAGCTCTCGAGTCTCCAGAATAAAGAAGATAATTTTGAGCAGGCATTTAACTTACTTGACGCAGCACCAAATGTTCCACTCAAGAATCGGCATATCAATATTGTATAAAAGTTCTGAGCCAAGGCTATTGGAAGAGAGAATGATGCAAATCCAATTATACCAACTTGGTGGAGGTCAGCCAACCGACGGTGAAAAAGTGGTTTGCAAAATACTAACCCATAATTGGAATCTTTCTTCCAATACGCTCAGACAGAGGTCCAAACACCAAAGGACCGACTGCATAGCCCTATCGATTAGACAACACATTAGCTTTCTCCAACTTGTAGTGGTTGGACTTCGGATTCCATACCAGTAGAAACATGGTTACGATCAACACTACCGTGGTCCGGGGAACATGGAAGTCCTCGGCGAGCTGCGTGCTAGAGCCCGACAGGACCCCAGCAGACACATTGACCACGAAAGGCAGTGTATTCAATACAAGCGAGATGAACAACTTTCTCCTTGTCGACCAGTTGTGTGGATTGGCTGCGTCGCGAGGTTCCCACTCAACGAGATCTCTATCGAACTCCATACTGGCGAGCGGTGAAGAGGTCCTGTGGAAAGGAAGTCAACGCAAGTGTGAGAGTAATGCTGCCCTCAATTTCTCCAAGGCCGGTGTACCATCTGCCTTGCAACTACGAGCTGCTTTTGCCATATCACTATTTGCTGCCATGATTCAGGGCGCTCCCCGCCGCACTGGACAGAAATAACTCCACCCACTCAGGGGTAGCATAGTTTACCTATCGCCGGGGTTGTTTGACGATGGAATCGGGCTCTAATAGAACCCCATACTCCGTAGCCATTCCTTCCTGTAACTATACTCCAGACTTCATGCATTTTTCACTCACAAGTGGTGATCCCTCGACGCACTCATTATGCCACTAGGTTGGGTCGTTGTGAGACATGCACTTTGACCTGAGTCATATCGAACAAGGATACAGAAAATATGTTGCATGAACAGTGGTGCCTTATGAAGTTCGTTCAGCCTTGCGAAGGACATGTGTCAAGACTGTTGCACGGTCGTCGATCAGTAAATCTCCAACACCGCCAATCCTTCCTTTCACATCACCCTGATTATCATAACTATTTTAGAATAAGTCAGCAAAGGTGAAGATGTACATGACTCTTGGCACCCAATTCAGAGTCATTGGAAGCCGGTAAATTTAGATGAGATCCGACGTGGATGGGATTGTTGTATGAACGGAGTCCAAATTAGCTTTACACAGTGCGGGTCACGCGCGCCCCCGCGCCCTGTCGCAATGGCCGTGCCTTTTACTCAGCCTATTACTTGTGGGCTCCTCTAACCACTATAATCAGTGAAACAATGTCAGGTCCCATTGGGATGGGCAATTCCACACAAGCCCCTGCTTTGGATTGATTCAGTGGCCTTGACGAGGCGAGGCGCTGGATTCTTACCCGAGAAAACGAATACGGGAAACCTCCACGCCGCACGAGTTTTCGGTAAAACGACCGAGATATCGGGTTGATGGACATAGTTGTGCTTGTTGGCAACTCGCTACATCTGCAATCGCCCGTATACGTTCAACACCAATTGCCAGGAACAGACGGCACAACATGCCACATTCAGAGCTTGAGCACAGCGAAGTCCACGGCCCGCCTCTTCCAACACAGGTCCGCTCCGCTTGGGACCTTTTTGAGCAGACGGTGCGGGAGCATCCGGACAATCTTGCACTTGCAAGTGTTGGCCAACCACATGATTTGTTTGATATCCAGAGCATCCCACTCTGCGCAAGTGAAAAACAGGCGCAATATTTGAGATGGACATTCAAGGATTTGAGGGCCGGAATTGCTCGTCTCGTTGCGGGCTTGAACGCCTCGGGCGTTAAGCACGGCGATCTCATTTTCACCTTCCTGCAAAATGGTGCGGAATTCGTTCTCACAAAGTATGCACTTGGACGAGAAATTCCATAAAATTCAGTTTTCATGTTGACGAAATCATTAGATGGGCCGCGTATGAGATGGGATGCGTCCTCGTCCCCCTCAATCCTCGCAACTTGGACAACGAGATTGAGTTGAGGTCGATGGTCCAGACTGCATTCTTGGCCGGGCAATCCAAAGCATCCGTCGTAATAGCCGGAACACAGGACATAAGTAAAAGAATCGATTCTTTAGAGTATTTGAGCCAGGCCATCAAAGTCGTCGTGGGCAATTCGGCAGTGAACGGCGGTTGGGTTACATTCTCGAGCCTGATGAAAGTGCGAAGTCAGAAAACGAACGGTCGCTGGCAAGATAATGGGATGGCTTGGAAAAATAGCGGTACGGTGTTGTTCACGAGCGGAACGACAAGTCTTCCCAAAGGTGTCCTCCATCGCTACTCTGATTATTCCCACCACCTTGAGGGCATCAAAATGCTTCCAGATCAAGGGGGACTTCCGCCTAACTCCAAGTGCTGCTGCGTGCTTCCGAACAACCATCTCCTAGCATTTTACAGCCACTGGAACGCCTACGCCTGGGGAGCAGCGTGGATATTCCCCGGCCCGGTATTTCAGCCTGATGAGATGCTCACGACATTGCGCAGGGAGCGAATTACGCATATTGATCTGGTACCCACTATGCTGCACGCACTACTTGGTGCAGAAGGCTTACAGGAGGGCCCACTGGAGGACCTGGACTCTGTCGTCTACGCTGGGGCGGTCGTGTCTCCTGACACGATCAGACTTACCACGGATATTCTGGGAGCCAACAGCGCTGAGGCGCTCTTCGGCAGTGAGTATTTCGCAGCGTGATCTCATTAGATCATATGCCTTAAGTCCCCAGAACTGATCAAATTTACTCAGTGACGGAAGGTCCGGTAATCAGGGGCGTCCCTTCGGACAAGATCAACGCATCTCGCGTCTCTGATGGAGGAGTTGTCCCCGTCGGCTGGGCTGGGCCGGGCCACGCATTTCGAGTCGCTGACCCCGAGACCAACGAAGTTGTGCCTGTGCGGCAATTGGGAGAGCTCCAGGCCTCTGGTCCTGCCATCGCGCACTATGTCGGCGACACCGGTCAGAGCAGCTTCTACATCGACTCTAAAGGCCGCAGGTGGCTGAAGACAGGGGACCAAGCCAAGGTCAACGAGGAAGGTTGCATTTTCATTACAGGTCGATACAAAGACATGTGCGTATATTGGGCAATCCCCAAGGTTCATTGCATCGATATTGAAGGCTGACGGAATATGAACCATCCAGGATTATTCGTGGCGGGGAAAACATCTCCCCGACAGCTATCGAAACAACTATCCGCAGAAACCCAAAGCTTGCGCGCCTTGATCCTCAAGTCGTTGGATTTCCAGATCAAATAGCCGGCGAGGTCCCCGTGGTTGTGGTCAGCTGCAGAGAGCTCAACGCAGACACCCGTGAACTTATTCGGGCGACAGTGGCTAACGATATGGGGACAATGTATGCCCCGGCCGAGGTGTTATCGTTGGGCCAGCTTGGCGTAACTGACTATCCGCGGACTATGTCCGGGAAGATCCAAAAGGTGAAGCTAGCAAGCCTGGTGCGAAAGCATCTCGAGCACCTAGAGCTTCCAGAGACACACTCGAAGACTGATGATGGCGATGCAGCTCTGGCTGCAGCTGTAAAGGAGATTTGGGCGAGGGCCACCGGACAGGATGTCTCCCGCATCCCCTTGGATGCTCCCATTTCCACCTTCGCGGACAGTATCCTCATCATAAGGGTGCGTGGGAAAATCAGAACCAAGACAGGGAGGACTTTGTCCATGGCAGAGATGAACAGTGCCAGTACCATCGCTGGGCAGATCGAACTGCTCAAAACCAAACATTCTGTCAACGCTCCAAGCCCTATTGCAGTTGCTGGCAGAAAGAGGAAGCGGGTTGAGCCTCCGAAGATAGAAGACATGGTACACGTCGCCAAGGACCCAAGCCTTTTCACAGCTACCAAGGAGCTGGTATCCAAAACCTTGGCTCCCCACGGATTGGATTGGGATGACGTGGAAGCAGTGTTCCCGTGCCACGATCACTTGAATGTTTTCCAGAGGGTCATCGATCCCTTGGGCATCAACACTGGACTTTTGGCCCACAAGGCCAGCAAGGCTGTAAGACATCGAGCACTCTAACTTTTGTGACGTCCTTGGCGCTGACATCTACAAGCAACTGCGAGCAGCCATTGAGAAGACATTGGCAAACAACCGCTTGATTGGTTCGTTTGTGATGCCGACTGTTGCGCCTTCTGGTGCCTCTAAAGACGAATATCTACACGTCGTGATCCGTCCCGGCCAAAAGCTCTTCAACCTGATTTTCGAAGACGGCGGGAATGTAAAGACCAGAAATGACCTGAGGGAACAAATCCCAATCTACCCAAACAATACCAGATGTCAGCGCCCTGGCCCCCTGGCCAAAGTCAGGCTCTTTTCCATCGATGACACCGGCACGGGCGGAGCCATCCTTGCCACGCACCACACCATCGTCGACGCGTTCATGGTCCAGCTGCTCTGCGACGACCTCGAGAAGTGCCTCGCCTCAGCAGACCAGCCCCTCCGGCAACACGTCGACTTCAAGCTCTGGTCCGACAGCTACTACAGCCTGCGCACCTCGCCCGAGGCGTCAGCAGCAGTTGAATGGCACGCCTCGCGCCTGCGCAGCCTCCCCTCACTGGAAGCCACCATCTGGCCCGGCATGCCGCCCCAGGAGGTAACCGAGGGCGGGGCCATGGTGCGGCGGGTCTTCGACGCCCCCGGGATCAAGCGCCTGCGCACCGACCACGGGCTCATGCCTGCCACGGTGCTCAAGACGGCGCAGGCGCTGCTCAACGTCCACCGCACGGGCAGGGCGCACGCCGTCTTCTCCAACTTCGAGGCGTGCCGCGGCGGGTTCCCGTTCCTGCCGCGGAGCATGGAGGCCCTGGGCCACTTCGACGCCGCGGACGTGTCCGGCCCCACGTTCACGAGCGTGATCAACGTGCTCGAGGTGCTCAAGCCCGGCGAGGGCGCGCTTGGGCTGTTGCGGCGCGTGCAGGAGGACCAGGAGGAGCTGACTAGGTATGCTGCGGCTCCGGCGCAGTTGATCAGGGATGCGCTGGGGCCGAAGCGTCATCTGATGGAGGAGATTGTGCGGAGCCAGTGGTTTAACTGGTCTCCTGGTGTCGGGGCGTCGATTGGTGACCCGTATGAGAATATCGAGGTGCTCAACCACAACCCGACCGAGAGCTCGGCCAGGGGGGTGGGCTTGGGGGTGAGGGCGGGTGTGGGAGGTCCGGACGGCATTACATATGTGGTCATAGTCCGGACGGCGATTCTGGACGAGAAAGAAGCAGGGCGCATAGCAGAAGAGTTGGAAAGGCTTACACTGTGGCTAGTTAGTCCGGAAAACGAAGACAAGCCAGTGGAACAGGTTCTCAAAACTCTTTAAGGAGGTAAGCGGTTGGAAATTTACGGGGTTCTGCATGTACAGTCATTTTGTATTTTGTTTGTAATATCTTGTTTAAGACTCAATTTTACCAGCCAATTGTCCTCAAAATGCCTACTCTGGTATGTGCGAACTATTTTCGTTGAATCAATAACACCTTTGAGTATCACAACATGGCGTGCAGGTAGCCCGGATTGCCTCCTCAATGAGAGAGACTTTGACGATGGGAACGACTGGCCCGGATTGTGGTTGTCAAACACTCTAATTCGACATACTCTTGTCTAAGCATGACTGCTGCCTTCGTTTCGTAACCAAACAAAGCATGGGATATGTTCATGCGACAACCTGAACACCTTTATGAGATGCTCCAGAAACCTGATGAATACCTACGTAGAAAGTCAAGACGCGACCAACTTGTGTGGACCGATTTCATCCACTTGGAAAGCTCCTCATTATTGTTCTCCCCCTGATGGCAAATTCGAAGGCATCTCAAAATTCCATCGAAAAGGTATAGGATATTATGTGTCACGACATCATCACGGCAATAGCGCATGTATCATGTCTTGTGCCAGTATTATTGACAGCTAAAAATACCCTTGTCTGACTTGCTGTAGTGCTGACTCGCAGACAAATTGTGATATTCTCTCGCCAGGAGACGCAGGGTAGGGCATGACTCTCTAACTGGTTGAGAGCGATGTTGAAAGGCCCGGGCTTTTCCTAATAATATTCTGGGCGCTCATACTGTGTGCCCGGGGTCCGAAACCCCGTACTAGGAAATCCCTCCCAGCATATCATTATCCCTAGAAACCTTATTCACATTTCGGTGGACAGGCTGGATGTCACCACTATAATTGCTGGGAACGCGATTGCAGAACGTAACCCTCACCCTCAATCGTGGGATCCGATGCTGCCGCGGAAAACTACAGCCTCCACTAAACTGTATCAGGCGCACTCTTCGACCCCCATCTCCCCGGTTCTCTTTGTGCTTCGAGGCACAAGCAAGTCTGTCAGTGTATCTCTAAAATGGCGGTGATGCACTTGGTGGCCGAGAGCTTTCCATCAGCCGGTTTCGTGATCTTCGCCCTAGTGACGTTGGGTGCCTTCCTATACACCAAGGTATTCCTGGACCCCCTGGCTAAGGTCCCAGGGCCGTGGTATTCAAAGTACACCGACGTCGTCTTGAAGCGCCTGTGGCTTGGCGGGAGCAAGACGCAGTACGTGCACGACTTGCACAAGAAATATGGTGAGTCGATCCTGTACCCTGGTATGCAAACATGAGCGCTCATTCCAGTTGCCTGTTAGGTCCCGTCGTCCGCATAAGCCCTCACGAGGTCGACGTGTTGGACGTCCCGGCTGCCAAGGAAATACATTCGGTCAAGGCGACATATGCAAAGGCACCATGGTACAGGACATTTGCCACCCCTGGCACCGAGAACGTGTTCAGCACTACTGATATCGATTTCCACCGCCGCCACCGTCGACTGCTCCAGGGGCCGTTGTCTGAGACGAACCTGAAGGTATTTCACCCGGTTGTCGAACAGCGGGTCGACCTGGCAATTCAGAGGATGAAAGAAGAAACGAAAACTCGAGGGGCCACAGACGTTCTCAAGTGGTTCTTGTTTCTGGCCACGGATACCGTTGGGGAACTCACTTTTGGTGAATCATTTCGAACATTAGAGTCTGGCGAGGTGTGTCTTATTAAACCACTTTCGAGGAATCGTTTCGGTGATCTAACTACCAGTAGAAAAATGAGTATACCAAGAACCTGGAGACTCATATCAGAACCGGCGCCAAGAGAACCACGTTTCCCTTGATAGCCAAGATCGGGCTGTACATCCCGATCCCAGGCTTTCGGGACACCACCGACGTCGTCCGGAAGAACATCCAGTTTGCCGAGGATTCCTTGAAGCGATACCAGATCCTGGTAGAGAAAGACCCGGAGAACCCGCCCCCAACGCTCTTCACCAAGCTCTTCAAAGGCGAGGAGGACGACATCCTGACCATGAAGGAGATCCGGGACGAGGCGATGGTCTACATCCTCGCCGGGAGCGACACCACCGCGCTGACGCTGACGTACCTCGTCTGGGCCGTGTGCCGCGACGCCGCCATCCGCACGAGGCTCGTCGACGAGCTGGCGGGCCTCCACGGGAGCTTCGACGACGCGGAGCTCCGGCGGCTCCCGTACCTCAACCAGGTCATCGACGAGGCGCTGCGGCTCTACGCCTCAGCCCCGGCAGGACTCCCCCGCGTGGTGCCCCCCGGGGGCGCAACGCTCGCCGGGTACTCGCTCCCTGCCGGCACGGTCGTGTCGACCCAGGCGTACAGCATGCACCGGATCGAGGAGATATTCCCCGACCCGGAGACTTTCAACCCGTCGCGGTGGGAGGGGGCCACGAAGGATATGCGGGATGCGTCTATGCCGTGGGGCGGTGGCTCGCGCAGTAAGTCTCCTGATGCGCGATGGGGCTAGCACCTAGTAGCGTGCGCGATGATTTCAATGGACTGGCTGACTGACCTGCTCACAGTATGCCTCGGGATCCACCTGGCCAGGCTGGAGCTGAGGCTCGCTGTCGCGCGGTTCTTCACCGAGTTCCCGGGGGCGAAGGTATCCAGGCTCGACGGCATGTGCGACGACGACATGGAGCCTAAGATCTTCTTCATGATGGCGCCCAAGAACAAGCGCTGTCTGATCGAGTGCCGCTGAGTGTGCGGCAAGCCCGGATGAGAGCACTGCGAACACCAGGACCGTGTACGGTTCCTGACAGTCGTGCACCACCTGCGGCAGAGGTATTGGACAAATCTTTGGAAAACTAAATGTATGGAAGGTTGAACTGTGGTCTTGGCTTGGGCTCCGCGGGCATCCATACCTATTGGACCCCGAGATGTGCCTGCTACGCAACGTCACGTATTATAGCCATATCCGCAAGGTATTATACGTCGTTCGGCCTGGATTAAATGACATTTCTTGGCTTAAACCTTTTCCCCGCTACGTTCACTTCCAAACATTTCCGCGAAGTTCAATTCTTTGCCCCGAATCCTGCAGGGTCTAAAGAGGGATGGTGAGGATTCTTGTCCACAAGTGCCAATCGATCATTTATCTTCTCGTGGTGACTACTCTAGAGACTCTCGATATCCTTTCCAGGCATACAAATACGACCACAGCGATCGCGGCATGTCGCCACTTGAACTTTCTTCCTTTGCCGAAGAAGACATCGTGACAATTTTAGATCTCCCAAGCAGCCCTGCGCATAATACAAGAACGCTGCCTATACCAGGCCCTCCATAAGAACGAGGCCAATTATCTCCCCGAATAGCGAGTGGGACTCGCCATGCAACAACTTCAAATAGGCCCGGAAAGGTCGAGTTGGTTCGAGAACGGAATGCAAACCTACAGTTCAGTGCTCATATCGTCTAAATAGATCTATTGTTCTCAATAGTGAAATAGTCTACATAGCGCCTGCCGAGGGCAGTCACCGATGACAGGTATTGAATGATGCTGCTCATTGTACCTAGGTCTTTCTGTGTTTATCTCATAAAAATGGAAGTGACCCTAAGGCCTGAAAAGACTGATCATAGATACAGAGTCCCAATGATCCTACAAGCACTGCTACGCCACGGGAAAGTATCAATACAAGTCCTTGAACCACTCGTGCTGGAGCAAGTCTCTCGTTGACGGCCGTGACTCAGGATCCCATTGCAGCATCGCCTGGATCAGCCCCACAAAGACTTCCATCTCACGGTCCGACATGTCCCAAGGTTTCCGAATCTTGGCGTGGTGCCAAATATCGCCGTACTCGAAGTCATCCGGCTCGTACACCTGTTGGTCATGTTCCTGTATGTCCAACGCGTTGCCCTCCGTGTCCACGAACTCCGCCGCATCGCGCCACCGGGCCCGTACAGAGGCCGTGACCGGACCGAGGCGCTGGGCCAGGTCACGCATGAGCCGGTTCTTTTGGTAAATGCGCTCCGGGTCGTCCGCGGCAAACCGCGTCTCGACGAGTCGGCGGAGCATGACGACCTCCCAGAACAGCAGGCCCAGGGAAAAGATGTCGGCCGCGTGTGTTGCTGGCACACCGATCAAGGTCTCCGGTGGTCGAAAGTCTGACAGGTTGCGCAGCGGCAGTTTCTCGCATTCTGAAAAGGCACAGGCGAAGCCGAGATCAACCAGGACGAGCCTGAATGGCTCGTCCGCCCGCGTGGCTTGTTCGACATCTGATGCGTCTTCGAGAGGCGTTGCAGCTACCGTATAGTGCATTTCACCTGGCCCCAGAGGCCTGCCGTCACTCCGGTGTAAGAGTTCGATATTATGCCGTGTGTTGAAGAAGTTTGCCTTGTCCCACTCAGCAGAGTGGGGCTCGGCGAGCGGGTCGCCCACCTCGGTCGCTTTCCATTGCTCCTCGTCGGCTCTCTTGTGTTCTTCAAATTTTCTCCGCCAGTCTTCCTCCCCTCCCTCTGAAGTATCATCAGAATCCGAGTCATCATCCGAATCTTGGTCCGACTGGTCCTCGTTATCTTGGGTGGCCTTGTTATCCGCTGCCGAGTCTACGTCAGCCGGCCAGACAGCTTTCTGAATCTCGTTTTCGCTGAGCGAGTTGAGGCTGTACCGCAAAGCTACACAGACGTTTGCTGGCTGAATGTCTCGGTGTGCGACGTGTTGGCTGTGCAGGTAATCAAGACCTAGCAGGATCTGCCAGCAGGCTCTTTTGGCGAAGCTGGCTGACCACAGGTCGCCCTCCGAAGCCTTGCCCAGCCAGGATTCCGGCTCGTTGAGTCTCGCGCGCCTTTCAAAAGCAATCTCGAGGACGGAAGCCAGCGAGGGGCCTAACGGCTCAAGCACCTTGCAGAAATGATCCCCATTTGGGCCGTGAACCACGAATGAGTCAAGTGCCATTTCTACGTGTTTCTTTCCAGTTCGGTCGCAGGGCCGCAAGAGCTCGGCGAGCTTGAGTTCGGTCTCACTTGTTCTCGCGCCGAAGACTTTGATCGCTACGAAGCGTTGATCTGATGCACTGGAAAGGGCAGCGGCTGAGGTTAAAAAGGGTCCAAGAAGTTCAGTCACCAAGCAGACTTACTGCTTGTCCCTCGCTAGCCAAATGGTGGACTGTGATCCCGTGCCCAGCTTTCGAAAGACAACGTAGCGACCACCGAGGACATCTCCCAGGTGTACCGCATAGAACTTGCCAGACACGTAGTTGCTTGGGGCTTCCTAGAATGAAACAGCGAATTAGTTGAATATCACATTCTAAATGTCGCTGCGACACCTACACCCATGATTCGAGTATTGCTGTAGATTGCGTCGGAAGCCATTTGGAAGAAGAAAAGAAGTTGACGAACAGCTCGTAGTCTTCAAGTCCACATGTTCAAACAGTAGAGTTTAAAAGCACAAACGGGGAAGTCACGACATCGATGATGCTAATCTCGTTGCCAGAGGCAAATCATCAGCTGGACTCAAATAATGCTGACAGGTCCGAGTGTCTGAGACCCTTACTGTATGTATACTGTGCATATTTGTTATGTGAATTCGTGACGTCATAGAATAATATTTATCTAAAAGCTGTGCTTTTGACTATTACTCAATCGCCCTTTGTAGATCAGCTCGTTGAGCCGGACTCCTAGTGGGTTCGTACTGCTGTCAATGCTTTAGGGTGTTCAGAAGATACTAATTACGCCGAATCCCAGTCTCCCGACACATGACGACAGATCTTTGCTTGACAAGATTGAGCAAGGCAGGAATGAGACACAGTCGACATGAGACACGGCTGACAATGCTCTACTGAAACCCTTTCGCTTTGGCTACTTGTAGGTATGACTTAAAGAGCTGAAAACTTGTATTAGTCTGCACTGTTCGCGCAACATCTAAGTAGGTAGCTTTTTGGTTACGGTACGCAACTGGTCAAGATGGTTGCTAACAAGCGCAAGCAAGACAAAGAGAAGATACAAAGTCTGGGTCTTTTTGCTTTCAGCCCCCTTGACCGGCCCACACAGGCGCTCTCAGGCATGTATTGACATCGGCAAGATCATCAACGGCACACTGAATGTCTCTCTCATGACAAAGAGGCCGCAGCCCCGTACGAAATGTTGTGTCAAGAGTCTTAGAGATGTGAAGGCAGAGAGTCAGCACGGCTCATTAGACTCAGCAGGATTTAGCTATCAGCGAGAGCCTTGAGACTGCCATTTACCAGGAGTCAGAAGCAACGCATATAGAGTTGAATCCTGAGAGATGGACATAAAGATGTGACAATCGCCGTGGCATCTGACCCAAATTCTGAAGTACATCACCGCTACTAAATCTGCATCGATACACAAAATCAACCCCTTAAATCCCACCTTTAAGTTGACCATATCACTTGTCAAAACTCCCATCCCTAAAACACTCTCCTGGACCCATTCCACCAAGCGATCAGAATGCGTTTCAATACCTTCACATCTTTCGCCCTCATCCTTGCCGGCGTCGTCAGCGCGCTGCCAACCTCCTCAGGCGCTCAGGGGCTCGAGGTACGCGAGGCGGCTCTCGGTAACTCCGAAGATGCCTCCGACGTCTACGCCCGCGACACCTCCGATGACGTCTATGTCCGTGAGGCTGCCGCCGCCGCTGCTGGCGTAGTCGACACCGGCCTGGCTCTCGACGCGCGAGCCAAGTACAAAGCTAGCAAGATCGACCTAGACTTCCCTAAGAAGCTGGATCGTGGTTCGATCGCGCAGAATCAGCGCGAGACGGCGACCGACTTGGCCAAGAAGGCCTTGTTCCAGGCTGATTGCACGGCTGGTAAAGTCATTTATGGGTGGCACGATGAGAACACGGAGGACCCCGTTGAGCACTTCACTGTCAAGCCTACCAAAGGCGACGGCGTGGGGAAAGGCAATATCCATGTCCACCGCGACGGTAGCTGGACCCAGGGCGCTGGTGGTAAGGCCAACCACGGTGACGGGAAGGTCTAGGCCTGTCATGATATGGCCCTGAGATGAGGTGTTTTTGTAGTCTGGGAGCTGAAGTTGCTTAGAGTCAGAGGACTATGATAACTAGAAATGTCTAGTTAGTTCACCTAACCAATCTACTGAAATTTCACATGTGAATCCGATTCGTCTCATTCATTGCGCAAAAGAAGGGTCACGAGTCGATAGAGCTGTCACTAAGGCAGACTGAGTCTGGGATTGTTGTAGGGCTGTGATACTGATGTGCATGCATGCTGCTCGCCATCCATGTTGGCCAATGTCAACTGGTGACCCATTTGTTTCACATCTCTGGCTTGTTACCGTGTGCAAACCAAGGTAGCGTCGAAGTTACACTGCAACGCGCGCGCGCCATCCTGCCCTGGGCCCCTCATACATGTACAGTAGCAACTACCACGCTGCAGGCGGGGGTTCCGGCCCCTTGGTTCATTGTCGGCAGGTACAACCAGACCACCTGGGCACGGCATTTAGTCTTTTTCACGAGAGCCATAGCACCCAACTTAACAAAAACCAACCACCACAAAAAATACACACAATATGCTTATCACCTTATTCGTACGTACGGAGACCTACCAACATTCATGATCTCTTGGGGGCGGAAATAAGTGCCAAGCCAAGTCAGTGCTTCAGACCCAACTTCAAATATTGTCAATTCCATGGAAAGGGTGCCTGCACATGTGTCGAAATAACTGCCGCTGGATTGGGCATGGTAGATTTGGTATGGGTGGCCATGAGAACCAAAACAATCGCACCAGACTGTTCTTCTACTGGTCTCTGCGGACAGGGGGCGCAATCTTAAGCCCGACAGCGACGGCACTATCGAAAAATGTCCTGCTTCCAGCGAGGTATCACAAGACGTGACGTCTCTGGGGGCGAATTGCCCTGGAGCCGCTGGTGCGGGGGACGTCTGGGAGATTATGGGAGATGGAACACGACGTGACTGAAGATCCTGGCAGCTAGATCTGGGCCCGGTGGCGTGGATTCGGCGCCCTGTTGGTTATCTGACCTGGGGTAGGGTCACAGTCGGTGACCATGTGGAGGTGACGCCCCGAGCTGCAGGCTTTCGTCTTGCATACGGTACACTACGAGCGGCGCGGGCCACATGGGCCAGGAAACCTTATGCCCGGTCTAGTGCCGGCATATCAGCTCCAACATCAGATGCTTTGTTATCTACTGTACGTACCTGTCTGACAGCCTGACAGCCCAGAAACATGCTCATGATGGAATTGCGGTTACATCAATGGCAGTGGCAAGTCTGGTAATGTCGTCATCCAGGTAATCCACCCGTCGATCTGAGTTGCGTTGGGGTGGGCGATTATAATTAAGCCTTATCACTAATCAAGTAGGCTCGAGGTAGGATGGCAAAGCTTGCCAGGTAGGTGCCATGAGGTTGATGGGGACGGGTTGCATGCAGGAGCAACGAACGCCGTTGCTGGTTGCGCACCTACCGGCAATTCGATGGGCCAGTCAATCATGCAAGTGCTCGGGATTGCTACAGGGTCTCAATGTCTCAGCAACAGGAGAAGGCGACCTGCGCTCGAGCTGCGCCACAGTGATAAGCCAAGCAAGGCAAAGATAGAAGAGAAGAAGCATACTCGTTACCCTCCCAACTTGTGTGTGCGCATGTCCACCTGGGGTGAGGGAGATTGTGGGGGTGGCAATTCGAGGTCGGGCAGGGATGCAGACTGGGAGATTTGATAATTCACACAATTCAAGCAGCCCAAGTTTTGCTAGGAGAGAACACTACAGTACACACTGTACAGCAAGCATGCCAGGGAGACAGACAGGCCAAAAGAACAAACAGAGGCGTCACATCGAGGACACGAAAGCTCGAGGGCCCCATGTCCCTGATCAGCCCTATCACGTCTCACGCTTTGCTCAGAGCCCCACCTTCCCACGGACGCTCTCGTGCGACGCCTTGGATTGGTCTCCGATTGGGTTCGCATGAGTCGAACAGTGAGAACAGTCGGTCCATGGGGTAGGTGCGCCTGTCTGGCTTCTTGCCTGGAGGTGCGGGCTTTGCCGCAGACTTGGAGAGGCAGAGAGGCAAGTCCCTGTGTCCGTTTTGCCCCCGCGCCTTCCCGACTTCCCGCGCTTCCACCCTGCCCACCCTGTCGCCCAAGTCTCCAATCCTCTGTGAGCTGCGTGAGGCAAGCTGCTTTTTGGCTCACTCAGGCTGCAGGGTGGATCATGGACATGGACATGGACCAGGACCAGGACCAGGCCAATGCTGAGGACCACATGCCAGATCCCGAACCCGATATTTGCCTGTCTGCTCGTCAATCTGCTCAGTCGCTCGGTTAGTCAGTCACAGTCTTTCTGTCTGTCGTGCTGCAGCTCCCATCAAACTCGACATGTGTTATGCTGAATGCGACAGGCCTGCCCACGAGCTGATCTGATCTCATCCGATCCCAATCCTGCCTCACATTGCGCAATTCTCTTTATACACTTTGGCCAACCCGTTGCGCGGGCTTCTCAATGTGCCGTCCTGCCGATACTTTTCGCCGCTACCCTGGTTTCTGACCTCGAACCCCATCCCTGCCGACCCTTGGCCTCGCCAGCTGCGACTTTAAGCTCGAAACCTGCGAGTTGTCCACTCCAGAAGCCGGCTGGAGAAGCAGAGTCCAGAGTCAGAGCTGAGCTGAGCTGCGCCCTTTGCTGCACTTCCGCGCCTGCTGCAGTCCCCGACCAGCCTCTGAGCTGCCCGCGACGAGTCTGAGTGGCAGATTAAGGTCCTTATCGCCGTCGTGCCCCGGCCGATCCTCCGCTCGCACCTGGCTTCAGGATCCATCCTGTCCTTGTCCTACCCTATCCCGTCCCACCATATCCCATCGCATCCCATCATAGTCTATCGCACCGCATCCCATCATAATCCCAATCCCCCCTACCCTGCCGGCGTCTGCTTCTCCTTGACTCCACGAGCATACGCCGAACGAATGATCTCGGTCCACCCCAATCCTGTCCACGACAGCCACCGTCTCTTCATGGACACCAAGGACCCAGCAAACCCCGTCATGGCGGAGCATCCTGCACCCGTCGCCGCCCATTCCGCCGCTGCGCCGAGCGCCAGCGCGAGTGGCGTGACCAAGAAGAAGTTCGCCGCGCCCCCGGTCAAATCGGCCTGCCTGGCTTGGTACGTCACGCCATCCTTTTTTTACGCGCCCGCTTCCCCCGGCCGCGAACCCGCCCACACCTCCTTCTCACGCGCCCCTGCCCGGCGAATGAGTCCCTTCATCATGCACGTCTCACCTCGAGCTCCTCCGTGACGGCCCGGAGCGGCGCAGTCGGGATTGGTCGGGTCGGACTTCTTTGCTTGCTTGCTTGCTGTTGGCCCTTGACTGTTGACAGGTGACCGGTGACCTTTGGCTGACCATGATTGCAGCCGGGCTGCGAGGACTCGTTGTGACGGCGGCCGGCCGTGTGCAACTGTATGCGCCCCCTCCTCTTGAATCCCCAGAGTCCCGCTCGTGATCGTGACCCAGACTCATCTAAATGCCTCGTCCTTGCAGTGTCAGAGTAGAAGTCGAGACTGTGTGTACACTCCTAGCCGCCGAGGCGGACCTCGTTGCCGCAAGAAGCCCCGGCCCGGCCGCAGCGATGAGCCCAAGCAGCTGCCCGACGATGTCTTTGCGTTGCTCTCGCAAGAGCCCGCCGACGTGCCCCGTGATCGTGAGTTGGACCGGCCCCTGCTGGTGTTGAGACACTGAGCTGGTGCTGACCAGTGGATGTGCAGCCATATCGATCCGAAATTACATAGACCCGGGTGCCGGGCTCAAGCACCTCGAGGACTGGGTCCAAGATAGCGATCTCATCTTTGACAGCCTTTTCATGAACAGCACAGGTCCCGCGTTAGGGAACGGGTTCAACTCCGATGTCTCCGGCACAGGCACGCCAGCACATGTGGTGCCCATGGTCAGATCATATCAGAGCGATGCCGCCATGTAAAGTCCCCAGGACCACCTGGTCGCCCCAGACGAACCCATGATTTCACTAACAGCCCGCCCCAGACTTGACGCGTACTACGTCTTCATACATCCATTCCTCCCCATCCTGCCTGCCCCAGATCATATCCCCGTGGACCGGCCCATCCCGCGCCTGCAGAACCAGATCGACGTCTTCGAGGAGGGCTTCGAGCCCACCTCGCCCATCAGCCTGGCCATCTCAGCCATACTGGCCCTGATCCCATGCCCAGAGGACGCCAACCACGCCTCGCGTGACTCGCAGCTCTTCCGGCGCAAGTACGCGCAGTATTTCGCCCAGACGGCCTTCGAGACGATGGAAAACGACGAGGAGATCCCAGACAGCGCCATCGACCCGTCGCGGCCGCTGAGCGAGGACCACAACCACGCCTTCCGCAGCCCCTTCCACTCGCGCGTGCCAGTTGAGCTCGAGGGCATCGTTGCCCTGGATATCCTGAGCGTGTACGAGTACGCCCAGCGAGGGAACATCAAGAAGATGCAGAACCGGGCCGGCCAGGCGCTTATGGCCGCCATGGATATGTCGCTTCACTCGTGTGCTACTGAGGATGAGTACTCCGAGGCGAGGAGGAGGATTTGGTGGATGACCGTACGGGCTCTCTAGTTGACCCTGTTAAGCACTTTGATCTGGCTTACTGATGTTTTCTCACCCTGCAGTACATCTGTGTAGCGCAAGGCGCAATTGTAAGCAATACGGTAAGGATACCTTGGATAGGACTGTGTCGCTAATTCATCTCTAAGACTTCTAACGTCATTCAGAAGCCGAGTTTTGCGTCCTTCTCACCGAGTTACACGGCCAAGTTCCCAACATTCGCTGCGGACCCAGAGGTATGACAAACACAATTCCCATGCCCCCGTCCCTCCACAAAGAAAACTTATCATCCGCACAGAGTAGGCCCGACTGACTTGTCGTACCCAGGCATTTGCTGTCTACATCCAGGCACAGCGGGCCATCATGGCAGCAACGCAATTCGTAATCGAACTAAATAAGGCGGTGCGCGACAACGCGGACATGAACCCGATCTATGAGCGGATGAAGGAGCTCGAAGCGCTGCTGGAGCCGCTCCTGTCGCACAGTGAGACGTGGCTGCTGACGTCGACGACGAACTCGCCCGTGGCGCCGGGAGAGGCGGTGGTGGCTCGGTCACTGCGGTGCATGGCCAGCATCAAGCTAAACAGCGCACGCATCAAGTTGCACCGGTACTGCGCCTTCTTCGATATCCCAGTCTTCTCGCGCAAGCACTGCGATCTCAAGTCACTACACGACGCCGACAACAACCCAGGAGGCGGCGACGAGCCCCGCCGCTGGCCCACATGCAGCTGCAGCTCGTTCACGAACCCCTTCACCAGCATATCCGCCACGCCCGGGAGCAGCACCGGCGGCGGCGGGGGGGCCTCGTCGTCGATCCGGTCGCCCTCATCGGACGGCGCCGGGCCCATGCAGACAAATTTCCCCGTGGCGGCGGCGGCGCCGTTTGGGCAGGCTCAGGCGACAATGGTGACGGCGCAACAACAACAACAACTTCAGCATCAGCAGCAGGTGGCCAGCTTCCCATTCAGCAGCCACCAGAGCGCCAAGATCTGCCTCAAGTCTGCGCTGAACATTGCGCACAGCTTCGACGAGCTACCATTCCCGAACCCGACAGGCGTGGCACCACATGCGCAACAATCGCTAGCACAACATCCACAGGGAGGAGCAGGCGTCGTAGGAGTAGGACCAGGAGGGGTAGCGGGTGGATCCGCTGCGTGCTTCCTCTCGCCAACAAGCGGGACAGTGTGTCCGCGGACGATGCCGTCGTTCGCGTGCTGCGCGATGCAGTGCGCGTACGCGCTGTTGATGGTGCACCAGAAGACCAAAAGCATGTACCCGTACAGCGCTGAGGTGGCGAGCATCGCAGGCGGCGCGGGCGGTGGCGCCGTGCCCAACAGCAACAACGGCCACAACGGGGGCGGTGTCATTGATAGCAATGGCAGTGGCAATGGCGCTGGCGCGCCTCGACCCCTCGTGGTCAACAGCCTGCTGGTCAGGCTCCAGCAGGGCCTGACCAGCATCTATGCGACGCTCTCTAATTATTCTACCGCGTTTGAAGCCTTGGGCGGGATGAGAGGTGAGTCTGGTTTGTGTGATTTTGCTTGCAAAGCCTACCATGCTAACCGTCTTTATTAGACCAAATTCGAAGTGCTATTGAGGAGTCGCAAGCGTTTACGGTTGCCATGTAACACTAACAAAAGAGAAACCGGAAAAAGATACCCTCGGCAAGTGGGGGTTCTGGCGTGGGACTGGACTGGGCTGGATAGGATTGGATCTGGATATGGATATGAATTGGGGTTGGGACCGGGATTGGAACTGGTGTTCGAACTGGTTTTGATTGTGACTGGCTTGGTGATGATTGGCAACAAAACAATCAGCCCGTGAGGGTCTCAACTTGAGGGGGCGTTTCTTCGGAGCTTGGGATTGGGACGATGTCGCCCTGGGTGACGGACAGATCACAGGGAACTGATCCGCGTCCATGATTTACGTTATTGAAGCCGCATTTAGGGATTCTCTCCTCACCGAACGGAATGGCAGCCTGGGCTAATGAGATATACCCTGAGTAAGTAAGCACGTTGCTGGATTGCTGCTGCCGATGAAGCGGCCGGTGCATTTCAATCTACTTGTGAACACATTTCCAAGAAGATTTCTCAAGAAAATTTCTCAGAGGCCTTGGTTTGGTTGATTATCTCTGTACTTAGTATCTGACGACGATATTCCACGGGATGTTATCTGTTTCCCAGAACAACCGCCGTCTCATGTTAGTGTCCTGCCGTTGTGGATGCAGTGCTCATGTCGTCGCAATCGGCAATGACGTCACTGCTGAGGAATCAGGTTCAGGGGCCCCAGTCCAGGAACCTTGGACCGACGACGAGGGGGAAAGCTCGAGGCCGCCCGTGTCGCTTTTAATCCCCCTCTCTATCTCTGTGTTCCTTGAACCTGCCGGCTTTTCCATCGTCGGACCAGCAGAACATTGGACGATCACATCATACTGTAGGCCGTCTCCGTGGTTTTGGGTCAAAGCCTGATCTACCCCTCCAGATGGGGAAGCTGGCGGTGTAGATCTCCGTTGTGACCATCTTTAGAAACTAACTGCAAGGGTTTACGTCGTCTAATCCAGTATGGTGTAACGGGATTGAGGCCTGCTACTAGTAGGTATTATGTGTCAGGCCCTCGTTTGTATCTGCTCGATATCTGGTGTACCCGTCCCTGCCCCTCTTGCGTGTGTTCCAGGCCTCCAAGCTTGTGACTGCCGGTGATGTAATCGCCCGACCTGACCCTGCCTCTACCTCTGCCTCCTTCCTGCCCCCGCCGACGGGCAACCTGGATATTGGTTCCAGGACCAAGGTAAGGGAGCTAGGTTGACCTCATCTCACCTCACATGCTTGCTTCCACATTACGCTTTACGCTACTCCCCTTGCGTTCAAGCTCAAGCTAGCAATCACCTGAAAGAGCTGCTATAAAGGCAGCCCCCTTCTTGGCCGTCCCCGAGACAAAGGGTCCCTGAGTTTTCCCCTCATCTTATCCTCATCATCATAAAACCAAATCTTCTATACAGAATCGCAGATCTTCCCTAACAACACCTCTCCACTACCAAAAATATCACCCAGCATGGACGCCTTCACCAACAAGACCTCTCAGCAGCCCGCCGCTGGTGGTGCCCCAGCTGGCCAGAAGGACGACTACGTTGACAAGGGTAGGTTCCCTTCTCTCCTCCTAGTCATGGCCCCGAGCCATGTACTCTTCCCCTCCGCCATAGGATCCAAGAATCAACCAAACTAACATCCCCCTTTCAGCCTTCGCTTTCGGCGCCAAGAAGTCGGGCCACAACGTCAACCACAACACGGCCGAGAAGATCACCGACGGTGCCAGGAACCTGTACGAGAAGGCCACCGGCAAGAAGGTCGACCCCAAGATCTCCAACTAGACCTTGTCACCCTTTTTTATGTGGGAAATATGAATGCTTTCACGAGAAATAAGAGACTGCGGGCGGTGCTAGCTTGAGCACCTGGCGTTGGGACAGTAAAGGATGGCTCTTCCTACAACAGAGTTGACGATACTACGTATTTTAATTGCCACGAGATAATTGGCTATCAATAACAGTTCGTGTACAAATATCGGACCATGTAACGGTCATTTTTCCATGTGACTTGTGAAATGTTCCCAATTTCACCAGAGATCTTTCATTCCATGATTGCCACTGTTTGCCAAGGTGTCGTAAGGGTCAATATATTGTTATTTACCCATGTCTGCCTCCTCTGGCACGTGTAATACAATATCTCATAAAGCCAACGTCCTTGCCCGTGGGCAATCCCAAGCCTTGCGCCACTCCGGACTCCAACAATGCAAACCTAAATCCGTCCAATGTCGACGGGTGTACCCTCGACGGGTGACACCCGTCACATTGGCGCCCTCTTCCATGCGTTCGTTCCTGTACTGTTCTGTGCAGCCTGTCCCGCACGAGACCAGACAGATGCATATCCTAGATGACATCTGTACACGAAAGAAACAGAAAAGAAAAGAAAGCAGAAACGTCAAACCCGTATATCCATATCTGCATACCACATTAGCCACATAAAAGCATCACCACGCTGCCCCTCCCAGGTCAAAGCCGCGCCCCCCCCCCCCCGCTAAGCATTATCCGCAAAGACCTGGTACGCCATGATCATGATCCACAGCAGGAATATGGCGCCGACGAGCCCGAGGGCAAACACGGCCTGCCAGCCCTGGCAGATGCTGCGCTGCTGCAGCCAGGCGAGGGCCTCGAGGGTCTGGCCCGTGGGGTTGCGGTCGAAGACGGCGGCGTTGCAGTTGGACGAGACGCTGCCCGAGGGCCCCCAGAGCTGGACGCTCGTGACGATGAGGCCGACGAGCCAAAGCACGAAGAGCATGAAGCCGCCGATCATGACGATGGAGGGGAGGAGGCGCCGCTGGAAGATGAGCCATAGCAGGATCACGATGAAGACTATCACGAGGGCGGAGACGGTTATGTAGTAGGGGAAGTACCTGTGCGCGGCGATGACGGTCAGTGGGCATATCCACATGTGGGGGTTGTGGAAGGAGACCAAGAGGCTCGCGGGAGGGGGGCAAAATGTCGTCGCGTGGCAGGAAAGGCGCAAGAAGGGTCGAAGCTCACCATGGCACGCCCAGCCCGAGCTGGCCCTGGATCTGGACAAAGTTGGCGAAGATGCCGAGGATAGCGGACGACGCGACGAGCATGAACAGCATCCACAGGTTGAGCTGGATGGCGGGCCAGTGGTACTTGTGCAGGCGCTCGACGCGCCGCTCGTAGACGACGGACGAGTCCGTCACCGAGGACGCCATCGTATGTTTATTTTGAAAAGTGACGATCGCTTATACGCGCTTGGGTGTGTGCGCGCGTGGAAGAGAGAGTGGGCTTGCTGGTGGTTCGGTCTTGGTCGTCGGGCAGACGGCGTTCGTTCGTCGTGGGGTTTTTGTTTGCGCAGTGGTGGGAGATGCGCCTCTTCGCGTCTTGTCGTCCTTTTCCCTCCTGCTAATATTCCTCTCTTGCCCTTCTACTGAACCTTCGGTCTGCGTATGTATATATGCACGTGTATACGTCTTCTCACGGCCTGGTGTCCGACCGACAGTTGTCAACGTCCAACGCAAGGCTCGCCCGGCGCAACGGTTGCTGACAGGCTCCGGCGCGTAGTGGGCCCAGCGGATCGGGTCGGATTGCAGTCAACCGTGTTGCAGCACGGCAATAGGCCCGGGACGAGGTGCCACGTCCAAGAGCAAGAGCAATTTGTCGTCAAGAGACCGGGGCGGTTGAATTGGGCCGCGATGCACGCTGGTGGCGGCGGACGGGTCCCGATTGGCGGCGGCGGGCGCGGAGCTGCAGGTTGTTTGTTCGGTTCCAGTCGTTGGAGGTGAGGCAAGATGTGCGCGTGTCTGCAGCTCTTGTTTGCATGCTGGGAGGGAGGGGTCGATGTGATCGTCACCGCATTGCGAGGTGCTTGAAGCGAGGCTGTCGGTGTTGAAGCGAAGGTGATGCTTGGTTAGAGGAAGAGGCAGCGCAGAGGGGCATCGGCGTTGTTGTCATTGCAACGCGACGGTAGCAACGGGAAATCGAGAGGGACTGGCAGGATTGGAGGGATCGATGAGCAGCAGCAGCAAGGATGCCGCTGGTCCAGGATTCGCGCCTGCTGGGCTCTGGCTGGTGGTGTCTTCCCGGATCCTCGGTGCTGGGTGGCAGGGTGGGATGGTGGCAGGCGGGCATGCTGGTTGGGTTGGCTGGTTGGCTGGTGGCTGGGAGCCAGTTTTAGTGCTCGCTCCAGGATCCCTATCTGCCAACGGCTCTTTCCCTTTCCCCCATCCATCCATCTACCGCAGCCTTGCAAGAGACGAAGAACCCCTTCTAGAATCCCCCGGTGGCTCGGCAATTTGACGCTTCAATCTCCCAAGCTCTGGTACCTGCTTTGACAGCGTGACGAGTGGATGTGACTGTCCAGCTTCTTTGTCTGTCCGCCTGTCTGTCTACGATCCTGTGGGGCTCCAGCTCCAGGACCCCAAACTCCATACACACATGGCTGTAGGCGAATGTGGGGTGGCTGGGAGGCACGAGGCACCTTTTGCTTTTACTGTGTGTTCAACTCTACGCCCACTAGTCCAGACTGTACAGACGCGGCAGCTCCCGTTCGACCTCATCATCGCACAAGAGCTCGACCTGTGTGTGGATGTCAGATCAGCGTGGATGCTGTGCGACCCGAAAAGATCAACTGCGACATGGGTCGCATCCTGAAGTCTGGGTTTGCATGATTGAGCACTCGTCAATGAATAGTCGACAGATATGCTTGACCATTTACCGGCCGATGCAGGCCATGCCCATCTCAGGGAAACGTGGATCGCACATGCCTCACTCGTACATCAACTTGTTCCACACTCACTCTCCTTGTGCGAGGTGGTGTCAAACCAACCCTTGATGGCGTTTCTCTGGTGTCACCAGCACTGAGGTGTTGCTCATTGCCTACCTGGATGGGTAGGGTACGAAAGAGTGAGCTTCATCTGGTCTCACATTGCGCTGACTGAGCAAGCAGAGCAGGAAACCGGACGCCCATTCAGCCCCCATTTCCAGGTCTTGCCGCACCACACTACCTCTGCTTGTGTCCCTAGGGCTTTCCATCGTAGATATACGAGATATGAAGCAGACCGTAGAGTGCACACCAATGCATGAGCGTCCCTACGCTGTCGCCTATTGGGCGCTGGGCCAACAACTCTGCTAGGCCCAACCAACAACTGTGACGAAGGAACAAGACCTGCTTCGCAGGATTCCCAGGCCGGCGTGGTAGGATTTGATATGCCCCGTCAAGCACATGCTGCATTTATCGAGGACCCTTTGGCCGCTATGGCGCCTTGATATCGGAACATTAGAACGGTATCCACTAAAGTCTGACAGCAGCGGACGCCAGCGCTGACTTCGTTTGCCGAACGTGTATGCATAGTGATCGGGCAGCGTGTGCCCCGGAGTCAGAGCTACTCCGCCGTCTGCCTGACTCTCAATTCACCTCTCACAAACCAGCATGTTTTTTTCCTTCCATGATCTTCTAGATCCCTCGTCAGCCTCAACACCTAACCGACTTTTTGTAGCAACTCTGCGGTACCCCTTTCGCCCACACATACCCAGCCTTGTCGGCGCATCAACAGGTTGAGCAGCCACACAAAGTATCTAGAAGACCCTTGCACCAACCGACGACAACCCGCCGAGCCAAACAGCCCGACTGGTGGGACCGTGACCCCCGAAGACCTGCTCCCGTGTCAACCTCGGCGCTGCCCCGTGGACCATAGGGACACCGTCCCCATTCGCCCACCCTACAGAGAGGTCCGCGCAAACAGACACATCAATCACCAAGCAGCCAACCATGGAACTAGGAGACCTCCCTCCCCCGGACCACTCAACGCTGCACCTGCCGCGGCTCCTCATGCTCCACGGCGGCGGCACCAACTCGCGCATCTTCCACATGCAGTGCCGCAGCCTCGACTACCACCTCAAGGCACACTTCCGCACCATCTACGTCGAGGCGCCCCTCCCCTCCACCGCGGGCCCGGACGTGCTCACCGTCTACGCCGAGTGCGGGCCCTTCAAGCGCTGGGTGCTGACCACCGAGCCCAACGCCGTCGAGCGCCAGCCCAAGGAGACCTGGGCCCTGGACGAGCGCGCCATCGCCGACGCCATGGACGCCGACGACCGCCGGGGCGCCACGGGCCGCTGGGTAGGGATCCTGGGCTTCAGCCAGGGCGCCAAGATGGCCGCCAGCGTGCTGCTGCGCCAGCAGGAGAACCGGCCCGCGCTCGGCCGCGTCGGGGACCGCCACCAGCACGGCTCCGGCCCCGCCGCCGACTTTCGTTTTGGCGTCCTCCTGGCCGGCCGGGGCCCGCTCATCCAGCCCGACCCGGATGCTGACTGGCTGGGGGCTGAGGAGAAGTTCGACTACGCGAGCAACGCCGCTGCGGAACGGGTGCTGCGCGTGCCGACCATCCATGTCCACGGGCTGCAGGACCCCGGGCTGGACTACCACCGGAAGCTGCTGTCGGAGTGGTGCGAGCCCGGCACCACGCAGCTGATTCAGTGGGAGGGGAACCACAGGCTGCCGTTTAAGACGCCTGATGTTAGTAAAGTGGTGAATGCTATTTTGGACCTGGCGCGGAAGGAGGGCGTTTTTCGTTGAGTCGCTGAGCCTTTGATTTGGGTTGGATTTGGAAGGCTGAGATTTTGGTCTGTCGGAAGGAGGAAATTCCCCTTGGGTTGTATTTCATCAGTTTATAGAGTCTCCAGGCAAGAGTCATAGATGGCAATAGAGGTACATGTTGTGTCTGATGGGGCATTTTATGAGACGCGTGAGAAGTCTAAAGTGGACCAAAGAGGAGAACCGGTTACTGTGTGAGAGGTGTCTTTTCTTACTCCCTAAATGAAATGTCGATAATGCCCACCATGTCAGGACACATTCACACGACCTATCATTCACAAGGGGCAAAACATCGTACATATTCTGAGGCTTTACACGGGGTATGCTGCCACTGTATTATACCTCGCTGGCGCGAATACGGCCGTCATTGTGATACAACCCAACCTCCTCATCGCTGATATTGTCATAGTCCACACGGATAGACCGCTGCTGTATTATACCTGTCGTGCTTGCGCCCTCGCTGGCCTTGGAATCGTCCGCGCCAACAACGACGTTGTTCCTCTGCATATACCCACCGCCTATCGTGCGCAGCATGATGCCGTTGTCGCTGAGCTTCTCAAAGTCGTTCTTCTTGCTTCGCTCGACGGTGCTCTTGGACCGCGAGAAGGACATCATCTTGGGTATGATCTTGGCGAAGAACCGGCGCATCAGGGGGAGGTTGGCGTTGATGATGGCGAGCTCCGGCTCGAGGACGGTCCATAGCAGGCCCATTGGCAGTGTCCACGTCGGGTCCTCGAAGGAGATGGTCGTGAGTGACTTGAGTCTGACGATGGAAATGGCGGTGATACTGCACAATGTTAGATCACAAGAGAGAGAAAGGGGGTATGGACTTTTACTCACAGAATTCCCATACAAAATACGAGAAGTAACCCGAACTTTTGGCCTGTAGGCATTTGCAGCTTCAAAATGCAAGGCACGGGGAGAAGCAGGACCATGAAGTCCGTGACCATATTCGTGACCCCGGCAATGACAAACACAGCATTGCGGTCCCCACAGGCGCCGCCGGGGATGGTCGTGTCCCAGTTGAAAGCGAGCGGCCGGCAGAGGAGGAAAGTCTCAAGGACGACCGAGGCCATCCACATGATCACCGCCGCAGCGGTCACCCTCACGCTCCAGGTGACCCACGCGCTCGGCGCAAAGATCCTGCTGTAGAAGCGCAGGACGGCCAGCTTGACGAACATGAGCGTGAGACCGTAGAGGGCCTCGAAGGGGAGGATAAGCTTGAGGGTCAGTGCGACATCCGGGCATGTCGACGTCACCTACGTGCCTCCCTGTCCCACCGCGTAGGACACAGGCCCATTGGATCCCCAGGGAGACATAAGTTAGGAAGAGGGCCGCTGCGATGTAGTACTCCTCCTCGCGGAAGCTGTGGTTTCGCAGGTGGAGGGCATATATCCGGCCTATGCAGCTCAGGAGCGCCACCACCCCGAAGACAGTCGTGACGATTAAGGGGTTGAGCGTCTCTGGTGTGTCCGCTGGGTAGATAGTCATAGTATCGGCTGTGGCCTGTCGTGGACAGATGAAGAGTAAGAGACGAACTCGAACATCCGGAACAATTGTATGCACCTTCTCGCCCGGGGGGGGGGGGGGGTTGTCCATATGTGAAAGAGAGGCCTAGAACGGGGGAGTGTGACCTCGGCTCTGGGACAGAGCGAGAACCCCTAGGTTACGTTCATGACATTTCAGAGGAACCGACCCTGGATGCAGGATGTGCGATCAACGAGTAATACTTTCTGAAATGTGATAGGTCTTGCAGGCTGTCAGGCATCAGTCGGCAAATGCCACCCACGTTTATGGCCAGGCATCTGCATAACTACAGTCATGCTGGTGCACGCGTGTATTTTTCATACTCGCCGTTCTTTTCGGTGTCACCCTATCAATCATCTCAAGCTTGAAGACTTCCAATGCTGTCCATTCTGTGGTCAGAGACGCGACGATCGGTATCATGGAGAGCCACACTCACTGCAGCAGAGTCTCCACCAAAGGATTGTACGGGTGAGTGGGTTGGCTCCACTGAGGTCGCACTCCTCTCAGAAACCCGGGTCCGGAGATGACGGCCGGCCTGCGATATCCTCATCGATTCGTCCTCAGGTTAGCGACTCGAGTCATTACCACCCATCTATCATATGAGTCTCAAACAACATTCCCGGATATCTCTCATCCACGGAAACGTTCAAGTTGCGTCTGTGCGTGGCGGCGACTCCAGCGAGCGCGGTGGCCTGTATCCGGCTCGTCCCTTTCAAATTGGAGCCTGGGCCCCAATCGTGGGTTCAGGATGCGCAGAGCCTCAGAGCCTATAGACTGCCAGGTCGTTGATACTCCTCGCTTTGAACGGCGGAGTGGTGCCTGTTACGGACTGAAGAACCATGATCTCCATGTGGCTTCCTGTCAGGTCTTTCCGATACATCATTTTTCGACCAGCAGGCGCATGCATGATAACGAGACTCTTTCAGGAGCTCCCGCCTCCCCGACCAGTGCCGGTGGAGAAGAACCAAAACCTTGCATTCCTGTGTCTTGCGCGGAAGGCGTACCGCCGTGCCTGGATCACTTTCGAGCAGTCCACATGGCTACGAATGTGTGCTGCAATCTCGCGGCACAGCACCGGCATTGCAGCCAGTGAGGGATGATCGCTCACTGGCAATGGTGGATCGTCACCACCTACTTGTCAGAAACGGTATCCTAAGACATGTTGGCTTGTTCGAATTCGTCTCATCACCCTTGAGTCTCCACTCAGAATCCTACAATGGCAGAAAATGTGGCGGGGAGAATCATCCCCCGCGAACGGGATGTTGGGAATGTCCAACTACACATGAGCGTCTCCGATGCATAACTTGAAGTAAGCATCCGCTCTTTCACTCGGATTTTGCCTGTCGTTTCTTTGAAGGCTTAAACCACATCCTTGCAGTAACTGCTTTCCTGCCACCACTTTGATATCATGGCTTCACCAAATGTGGACATGTCTTCCGCTGCGGACCTCGAGACGTCCCAGTTCGACTTTGTAGTCGTGGGCGGCGGCACTGCAGGACTGGTCGTTGCCTCCAGACTGACTGAGAATCCCGACATCAAAGTACTGGTCCTCGAGGCTGGCGCGGATCGCAGACAGGACCCAAGGGTCAAGATTCAAGGTCTCGCGCTGAGCACTTATTTCGACCCCGATTTCGACTGGTGCCTATCTACTGAGCCTCAGGTACATCCGCTATGGTCTTTACGATTGAAATCAATACAACGAATGTGTTAACTGATAGTCTCTGTTCAGCCTGGACTCAATAATCGACGACTCGGTCAGCCACAAGGAAAGATACTTGGAGGCTCATCTGCGTGAGTGTTGTCTTCATCACGATTAAATTCAGGCAGGATGCTGACTTAAAGTGTCAGAATCAACCTGGGTATGGTGATATATCCGTCCCGTTCAGGCTTTGACTCGTGGGAGAAGCTGGGCAATGCCGGTTGGGGGTGGCAGTCAATGGCGCCTTACTTCCGCAAGTTTCACACGTACACCGCTCCTGAGTCCAAAACTCAGGAGGACCTCATGCTAGACTATGTGGTGAAAGATGCCCAGGGAACCAGTGGCCCCCTCCAGATCTCATATGGGAGCGGCGCTGGGTATCCTCCCTTTAACAGCGCCTGGCCGCGAGCATGGTCAAACCTCAACAAGAAGTTGATCGGGGATCCTATCAGCGGAATTGCGGTGGGCTCGTTCAACAATCCTGCCACGATTGACCCGGTCAGCAAGGAGAGATCTCACGCGGGAAACGCATACCTTTCAGAAGAGGTCTCGAGCAGGAAAAACCTTCGCGTGGTCACTGAAGCTCTCGTCTCCAAGGTGGTCTTGGAGAAAGGCCCGGATGGTAAAGTCAAAGCAACCGGCGTCGAGTTCAAAGCAAAGGATGGGCAGACGCGCCGGGTGACAGCCGGTCATGAAGTTATCCTGGCCGCAGGCGCCATCAAGACGCCTCAGGTGCTCGAGCTTTCCGGGATTGGGGGCGCGAAAGTCCTTCGAGACAATGGCGTCGAGTGCCTCGTCGAGAACCCCAACGTAGGCGAGAATCTGCAGGACCACGGTTTCGTGCCCTTTTCGTGGGAAGTTGCAGACCCAGCTACATCAGCCGACCAGATGCGCAACCCAGAGGTGGTCCAGATGGCGCTGGGTGCTTACACCACCGCCAAGGCCGGACCGTTGAGCACTCACGCCCTCGCCTCGGCCTTTCTGCCGCTACAGAACCAGGATCTCAGCCCAGCATCCGTGGATGAGCTCCTCCCGGCCCACTTTGACGTCCACCCCGTCCCGGCCGCGCTGAAGAAGCAGTACGAAGTCCTCCGCGAGCAGATCCGGGCGCCGGACGACTGCTCAGCCCAATACACCCTCGCGCCCTTCCAGATCACGCCCAGCGCAGACCCGTCGCCGCAGGCGACCTTCGGGATGAAGGAGGACGGCTTCTACGCGTCCATGGTGGCCGTGCTCAACCACCCCTTCAGCCGCGGCTCGGTGCACATCCGGTCGCCCGACCCGGAGGCGGCGCCCGCCGTGGACCCGCGCACCATGTCGCACCCGCTGGACCTGGAGCTGCACGCGCGGCACGCCCTCGTGCTCGAGACGCTGCGCGACACGAGCCCCCTGCGCGAGCTGTTCAAGGAGGGCGGGCGGCGCATCCACAATGCCGGCAGGAGGGTGCAGACGCTGGAGGAGGCCAGGGAGGCTGTGCGGAACGGCTTCACGCCGCATTACCACGTCTGCGGCACCGCGGCGATGCTGCCCCGGGAGGAGGGTGGTGTTGTAGACCCCAAGCTGAGGGTTTATGGTGTGGACGGCTTGCGTGTGGTGGACGCTAGTGTGTTCCCGTTGATTCCTAGGGGGAATATCCAGTCTAATGTGTATGCTGTGGCCGAGAGGGCGGCGGAGATTCTGTTGGAGGGATGGCAACAGAGGTCGTCATAATTGGTCACGTGCCAGTATAGCTAGCTGTGTTCTTTCGTCCCTAATTTCTGGGTCATGTAGCTTTACGCCCTTCTGGGTGCACTGCCGATTTGGTGTCTGCTTAATGCTAGTGGCTCGCTCCTCTTATAAATCATGCCGAGGTGTGGATAGGCAACTTCCCCTCACCTTGTCAAGAGTATAATCACCATACAAGACTTCTTGCCATCGCAACATTGCTCTTCGTTGCGTGTCTCTCGTTCATGCTAGCGGTTAGAGCGTCAAATTAAGCTTTAACAGAGGCTCTGGACCTCTGATAGCATGGCCAATCTAGCACCACTTCCTTTGCCAAATGGCATCACTCAACGCCACATCGACCTGACCAGCGTGGCCACCTGCGGTCTGAAAGTCTTCGTCCTTGAGGCTGGTGACCCCAAAAGTCCGTTGATTCTCCTCTTCCACGGCTATCCAGAGCTGGCGTATACATGGCGCAAGGTCATCCTCCCTCTCGCTTCCAAGGGCTACCACGTCGTCGCCCCAGATACCCGCGGCTACGGACGGACCACAGGATGGGACACAAGCAGCTATGCGCACACAAACCTGTCGCAGTTCACCCAAACCCAGCTGGTCCTGGACAACATCGCCCTGCTGAGAGCACTGGGCCACGAGACGGCTGCGTGCGTGGTGGGCCACGACTTTGGAGCGAGCGCAGCGGGTGTGTGTGCGCTCACACGGCCGGACCTGTTCAAGGCGGCCGTCTTCATGGGCCACGTGCCACCAGGGCCGGCAGCACTTCCCGCGCTTGGTCTGGCGTCTGAGTCTGAAGGCCCGAAGGAGGGAGTAAAGCTGGCCAGGGATCCAGACATCCTCACGAGCCTTGCTCAGAGGAATCCGCCACTGAAGCATTATCAATGGTACAACAGCACCCCCTCAGCCGCGCATGACTGGGAGAACCCGCCGCAGGGACTCAGGGCATTCCTCCGTGGTTACGTGCACCTTAAAAGCAACGCATGGAACGGCCATGGTGATATAGGCCGTCTGACTGGATGGACTGCTGATCAGCTCGCGCGTATGCCGGAGTACTACATCATGCCAATCAGCTCCACGATGCCCGGCATAGTCGAGCAGAACATGGGCACAGAGGACGACAGCCTGACAAAGGCCTTCGTGACGGATGAAGAGCTAGATGTGTATGTCTCAGAGTTCGAGCGGACAGGCTTCCAGGGCATGCTTAATTGGTATCGGAGCTCGACTAACCCACATCTGGACTCTGCCATGGCCGTCTTTGCGGGCCGGAAATTTGAGGTGCCCACGACTTATATCAGCGGTGCTGCAGATTGGGGGAATTATCAGCGCCCCGGTGCGCTTGAGGGCTTTGAGACGGGGAGGACGGCGAGTGATTATAGAGGCACAAAAATATTTGACGGTGCTGGACATTGGCCGCAGACTGAGATCCCGGAGTTGGTTTGCAAGGAGGTTGTGAAATTTCTTGGAGGCAAGTGAGAAAAGCATCTCTTGAATAATCACGATGACAGTGAGACAGCGGGACAGTTCACTTGTTGGAACCATAATAACGTGGTTATATGACCTTAAACTCGCGGCACCGCGCGCTGTTCATCCACTTTCCATCAGTATCACCGTCTCCGAACCTCCAAGTGCCAAGGCCTAGTCTCTCATGTGAGTCTTCGTGAGCCCGCGATTGGCCAAGCACAATGAAAGCACAGCAGTGACTAAACCACTTGCCCTCTAACTCCCGAACGTCTGCCAGTATCAACGCGTCAACGTGTGTTTCAAAGCCAGTAGAGAAACGCGGATCAAGCACCGTCCTGGAACGATTGACGGACTTGATGTAGTCTTGACAAGAGTCTTCGGCTGCTTGAAAGGTGACCTCCTTTAAAGCGCAATCCGGGTGGAACACAAGTGACCCTCCAGTATAGGGCACTCCTCCGGCCTCCTCAGGGTGTGATAAGGAATTACTTCCATCTTTGAAGCGCATCGTGAATCGGATTGACAGGCCTCTCAGTCGCATATTACGGCCAACCGTCAAATAACCTAGAGGACTGGCGCCACTGGGCTCAATGTCGCCGTAAACAGATTTCCGTTCCTCCTTTCGTTCTCCATTCCCTGAAGGTCTCTCGTATAAAGTTATATCGGACCTCCCTGTTCACGGAAGATTAAATGAAAGAATGCGTGATATAATCGTCTGGGACCGGCGCTAACCGTTTAGAAGGCGGAACAGACCACATCAGACCGCATCTAGGTCCCCGCATCATATTTTCGTTAGATACCCCTGGTCTTATCTGCTAAATTAAGGAAGCAATGTCCTCTGCAGCAGAAACTCAGTCCTCCGGCTTCCACAACCGGGACGATGAATTCCGCCCCCCCTGGTAAAGAAGATGTGATGGTTTTTCCAGGAATGGCTAGCGGTCCCACCTTTTTATCTTAGCGCTCCTTAGCACTCCTTGGCATTTAAAGTTACTTATCAAAACGTATCTCGCTTATTTTAAGGAACATAAAGAGTACTAGGTTGGGCCTTAAGTGGTGCTTGGCAATGCCTCCCGGCACCGTCCGTCCTTGCCCCAGCCGGGCCTTTCTTAATTTAATTGCCAGCCTGGGAAAGTGATTTTAATCCAGAGGGTTTGAAGGGTGTGATATAAATGCCCTGAGATGTTAATTTTCGGAGTGGGTTGCGCTAGCCATTCCTGGAAAAATCATCACATCGTCTTTACCAGGGGGGGCGGAATTCATCATTCCGTTCCACAACCTCCTCGCCATGTGCATCGGCACGGTGGGGTGTATCGACTCGTCAAGTACGGATTCCGTGCCCACAAAGAGACTGTGAGGCTTTTCTCTAAGAACGACCCAAGTTTCACCTCTAGAGAGGCGCGTCCGGTTGATTAATTGAAGTCGTCATCCGTGTTGCCATTTTTCTTCGGGGGAAATGGGAAACACTCTGTCACTCAGGTTCCCTAGTAAAAAGTTCCAACTCAACATACGCCGTCGCCGCCTCGCCATCCTCCTCCCACCGGAGCCAGTTATACCCCCGTGGATCCGTCCCGTGGTCGTTCTCGCCAGCTTCACACCGCTCGAGGCTCTCTGGAATTTCCAGCTCGTCCACAACCAGAGTCTCCATCCACCAGTCCTGCAGCATTACCAACAGGCCGTGCGTGTCGAGCCTTCTCAAGCGTGCCAGATCGCGGCGGCGTATCCGGTCCAGGCCCGGGTGATACATGGTCCATGCCCGGCTTAAGTCAACCAGCCTACCGCCGATGTAGTTGCCCATGTGGATGTCCCGGACCAGGATCCCGAGGGCATGCAGGTCCTCTAGGTCCCGCCACATGGTTGACGCGGAGATCCGGCCTGTTTTGAACGCCTCTTCGAAGTCATCATCCTCCACGAGCTCCTTGACGATCGCGCGGATGGGCTGTCCCCGTTGTTCTTCCCATCGGCCCCAGGTCTTTTCTCCGTTCAGTGTACCCAAGGGTTCTTCGTCGTCTGGCTCATGCTCCAGGTCTCCCGTGATCATCGCAGTGACTTGCCCCTCCTGCTGCGGTGTGAGGAGGAGGTATCCGTGAGCCGGGACTGCGAGATCCAGCCGATTTTCCTGTGCGAGCCTGCCGTAGGCGCGACACTCACAGTTGAAGGGGTCGTGGTAGTCCTCATATGCCTGCGGCGAGGACAGAGGCTGGGCGAGTTCCCTGGCTATCGCGTTCTTCAAATATCCCGGGCTGCAAAAGTCGAACTTGAATTACTGCGCGTTAGCCTTGACCGTCGTCATGAAGATGGAGGCGACTTACCATCTTGAGGGCGTAGACTGTCCCGTTGATCTCTACTTTCCAGACCTCACTGTCTAGGTCGTCCGAGCTACCCAGCGCTTCCATAAACTTGATCTCGGCATGCGCATCGGGGGTGAAAGGGCCAAGCTTAGGACCTGGCACCCGAGGAAGGGGCAGGGCAGCAGGTGACGTAGAGTACTGGGAGGACATGATGATGCAGGGCTGGGCCCAAGAATTGTGGATTTGACGAGCAACAATCAAGGAAGAGACTAGCTGAGGCAAAATATCATGCAGTCGAAGATAAGACACCCAACATCTGGAACCAATGTGGGCACAAAAGCCTCAGAGCATGGCTCGAAAGGTAAAGTTGGGTACGCGGGCAGTGGACGAAGATGTGGCACATTAAAGGCAGCTGGCATCTGGAGGCTGTTTGCGGTTTCAGTTGTGACTAATCAGATGTGGTGGGGGCGCCAAAAGCACTGCTATTTTGTGCCGTGAAACTACAGAAGTAAGCGGCTTGGGCCACCCTCCATGTTTAAATAAATTCTGGGCGGTCAGAAGAAATCCTAAAATTTATTTTTACTCGAGTTCCTTTTTGTGACGAATATTTCTAATGCACGGTATTTTTGTGCCAGTTCAATCCTAACTTATCCCAGTTTCATACCGCCTCACTTGCTCAAGTGTGCAAGTGACCACTACCTACCTGATTACATACTTTCTCAATGAGAGGCTCAAGCGGAAATGAAATAAGTGCAGGGGCTATAATGTAGCCTGGTGGTAGTTGTGTATGGGGGCCGTGGTTGGTTTTGATGGCAGGAACGGACTCCTCAGTGCTGTGCCGCCAGGCTCTCAAGCCACGACCACATGCTGACCACATGCTGGCCACATGCTGGCTTGGAGACTCGAGACACTGCTCACGCGCGGCCCTCAAATACAAATATTCATGTCAGAGCCCACTCTTCTTCTAGTAACATCTTTCTTGTCTCACGGCCGCCGTGGGGGTGACCGAGGTTTGATCCGGCCCTCCCAAGCTGCCCATCAGCAGTGGCCAACCGGTCGAGTTTCGCTTTCCTGAAAACACTCAGCTCCATTAATAGCATCTCAAAATTGGATGTCAATATAATAGGATGTTCTCGTGCTTGAAAGAATTGCTATAAAGACTCGATTGCAATCAACTAATTGAATTCCTTTCGACCAGACTTTCCCAATATCAACTGCTTGTGGCACTTCAGAACCATTTACAACTCTTACCCCCGCTGACATTAGAAAGCGAACAATTCTCTTCTGAACATTATCAGCTGGAAATATTCCTCAATGCCAACTGGCCGCAGGGTCTTTTCTATGAAAATGCCGAGCATTCAAAGTCATGCCAAGCGTGAAAAGTGCTTCTCCATTCCTACTTGATTTGAATCCCGCGACGGCTACCTAGGTTTGCTTCTTAGAGTTCAGAAACTCTGCTAGCAGCCCTGTACGCATGGGTCAAAGCGGTGGCCGCTGAGACATGTAGTAGAAGGATTCATGAGTTCTACGTCTTTAAGCATGTAATGTCTCATTAAGCGTAACTGGGAGTAACCCAAGCTTGCAAGGGGCGCTCCCGGCTGCAGTTAAGTTTAGTATGGTAAATTTATAAAATGTTTTTTATATGGGGATTAGTTAATTAATATACCGCTTTATACCTATAAGGCAAGGGGGTTATGCGCCCTTTAGCCCTTTAGCGCTTTATTTACCTATTTACTTATTTACCCTTTAGCCCTTTAACCCTTTACGCCCCATTTACCCAATTCGCTCTTTAGCCCTCTGCGCCTTATTCGCTTATTTACAGCCCTCTGCCCTTTAGCGCCCATAGCTAAGCATAGTAAAGGGGGGTCCAAGGGGTCCCCCCTAAGAATTAAAATAGCTTTTAAGGCTTTATAGCAGCTATAAGCCATCCCTTGCAATCACCTTAAATTTTCTCCTAGCTATGCTTATCCTTAGTGCAATTTCTTTAGGCCCCCTAGCTGGCAATATAATTACAACCCCCCGGCTAGCTTTCTAAAAGCCAGGCAAAATTAATGCTGTTCCCATAGCCTTGCAAAGGGCCGTATAGTATTAATTTTGGGGAACCGCACCCGGCTTCTAGTTAAAGTGCATGAGAAAAGATTTGCTTCATTTCCTCTTGGGTCGGGGAATTGCGCGGGACTGCCATGATGCCTTAATCATATGAACAATGTTGAAGTCAAAGACTTGGGCTCGCCCGTGCGTGGTAGGATTCTAACCCCTGCAGAGCTGCATAACAAGTTCAGCTGACCAGACTGCAGGCCGCCGGGGCTTAAGTAGGAACAAAATTGTTGCCTGCCACCGGGCGTAATCGGTGGTCGAGACTGAGCCACGCCACCACCATCCTTGACACTCAGCCCCTCCCTCCTGGAAGTTGTGGACGTTTATCCAAGGCGAGGGCAAACCTCCAGATCCACCACTTGCAATCACCCCTCAAACCATACCTCATTTCCTGTCCACACGATGGAAGCGATCGGCCTGGCTTCTTCCATCATAACCTTCATTGATGTAGCGTACAAGATCGTGAGTGGGGCCCACGAGGTGTACGTCTCCCAGGATGGGGCAACCAAGAGTAATGACCACACCGGCGTGGTAGTCAGCGATCTGCAGCGTGTCACGGCGGACCTGCGAGCTCACCAACTGAGTTCTACTGACCAAGAACTCATCGCATTGTCGAACAAGTGCCACCATCTCGCTGGCGAGCTTTTACAACTGCTGCACAAGTTTCTACCAAAGACTCCGGGGAAATGGCAAAGCTTTGTCGCAGCATGCCGGATTCTGAGGAAGCAGAAAGAGGCCGCCTCCATGGAAGCAAGCCTGGACAGATACCGTCAGCAGATAGCCGAACGCCTACTTTGGCTCCTATTGTGTGTGCCCCACCACACGTCGTGAAATATGGTACATCGCCGGCTAACGAAAGAAATAGCAAACAGCAATCCCCGATCAAGAAGTCCTTGGATGATATGCTGCACCACGCGAACACTCTCCACAACTCAAATGCACGGAAGATGGAAGACGTGCAGTGCCAACTATCACAAACCCTCGAACACCTTGAACACTTTGCTCAGACGAGTGATCGTGACGGGGAACAAATACAAGACCTTCTCACTCAGACCAACGATAAACTTGATCAACTTCAACTTTCCATGGAGAATCCGTCCGCTATCACTTCCACATTATCTCATACTTTGAACGATCTTGTTAGGCAGGCTCAACATTTGAACGCTCTTGTTCAGGCTATGCCGTCCCAGAATCAAACTCTGCGCCGTCTCTTCTATCGCTCCATATTCCGCAGGGAGGACGAGGTGATTACTGCAGAAGCGGATACTTTCAGGTGGATATTCAATACCGCCTCAGAACAGACGAGAATCGCCGCGCATCCCACGTCGCAACAAGATACCATCACCTCAAATGAGCCTCTCGAAGAACCATCAGAGGAGAATCTAAGGAGCCAAACGTCAATAGTCTTCGTCGACTTTGTTCGATATTCTGGTCGTACATTATTTGTCCAGGGCAAAGCAGGTTGTGGAAAATCCACATTCATGAAGTATGTGGCTCACCACGAACTTACGGATTCAAACCTGAAAGTCTGGGCTGGGACAAAAAGACTAGTTAAGATCAAAGTCTTCTTTTGGCAGTCTGATGATCCACTTCAGGAGTCGATTGAAGGCTTTCTGCGTTCCATACTCTTTCAAGTGCTGAGCCAATGTCCGGAGCTCATCGACGCCATCTTCCCTCATCGTCCAACAGGCGAGTTCGACGCTGTCGAATATCGACTCGGGGAGCTTGAAGATGCCTTTGCGAGACTGTTGAATATTCATACGGAGGACAACTATTGTTTCTTCTGCTTCATCGATGGCCTTGATGAACACCAGGGGGACAATCTGAGCCACGAAAACCTCGCCAACCAGCTGGTCTCTTGGGCGTCGCTGACCAATGTCAAGATCATGTGCTCGGCCCGACCATATACTGTCTTCCTCGAAGCCTTTCGGGAGTCGGGGGATGTTATCGAATTCCACAAGCTTACTCGCAGTGATATCTCGAACTTTGCCGAGTCAAAGTTTACGGAGTCGCTGGCAAAGCCGAAGTTGCAAGAAGCTCAAAGAAACTGTCTTGCGATTGTGCAAGACATCACAGAGAATGCCCAAGGGATATTTCTCTGGGCAGTAATGGTCGTCCGGACACTTATAAATCAGGTCCTCGACCAGGACGGCAGCGAGAAAGCCCTTCGAGAGAGGCTCCACGAATGCATTGAGCGCGACAGCTTGGACAGTCTGTTCGAGCTGATCTTACAGAGAGTCGACAGAGCGCCATATGTTCAAATGCGATCAAACATGGTGCTTTACCTCGCTGCAAACAATCCTTTCGAATCACCTCTCAACGCACTCATATTTTCCTGGCTCGACGAACTGGAGTGGTTCCAAGGTTCTTTCGACGTGAATACTGCGCCTGATGACTGCGAACAAGACTACAGCGGAGAGTATATCTCTCCTAGGATACACCGAGTCACCAGCTTGCTTCACCAGCTCACACAAGGTCTTTTGGAAGTCGTCAACACTCGCGACCCTGCTCCTTACTTCCGGCACCGTGTTGACTTTTATCACCGTTCCGTCCGAGACTTTCTGAGGGAGCACTGGCAAACTGGTGCTAGGCAAAGCCCATTCTCGAACCCAGCGGAAGAGGTGCAGGCTTTCTGTCGACTGCGAAGCCTGGAAGCAATACGCAGAACACGCCGACGTTTCATACATGCCGACCAACTCAGTGGGCTTGGAGAGGATGCAGATGCCAGCGTAATGAGCAACCTGAGATCGCTGTTCGAGTACACATTTGTCTGGTTGGAATCGTGCTCCAGGATCAGCAATCTGCCTCCCAATGTATGCTTGAAAGCTTTCGAGAAGGCACTGCTCCAATCGGAAGACTCATTTCCGCCATTTCTTCTCGGCAGATTGCTTATCAACGAAGAAGTATCGTGGAGATATCATTCACGCAACGCGCTTGAACATGCTTCATTTCTTCACTGGGCGGCATACTGGGCTCAAGGAGAATTTGTTAGAGCTGAGCTATCAACTGGTAAATGGAGTGGGAACAGGACTACCCCCTCTCCCTCTGAGCCCAACTTGCTTCTGTCCTCGTCAACCGCAGCAGATGTGGAGACAACGCGATACCTTCTCAGCGAAGGCCACCGGCCAGAGGAGCCGATGAAGATATATGACCTCGAGCTGGAGCCGGACCAAAGCTGGCAAATTCATCAAGCGGAAATAGACAACTTGCGCGACACACCGCCAACCTGGGAATCCATCCACCATTACATGGGGAATCAGTCCAAAGGACTCGACACCCTCACAACTGTTTGGTTGATGTTACTGCGGGATTTCGTCAGTAACGTAAAACTGTATTGCTGGAAGAGAAAGGTTGCATCGTCATGGCCTCTTCACCTCGACCGGGGCTGGCTGGAGCGGCTATCCAAGATCATCGAGGCCTATCTAGACGCCGGGGCCAACCCCTACATTTACTTTCTTCTGTTTCACAAGGACCCGAGCAGTAAGTACAAGGCGACTCTTTACCAGCTACTGGATGTGTTCAAACCGGAGAACCTCTCATCGTTCGACGACTTACTGAAGAAGCCATGGTGGAAAGATATCCTTTCTGGGGGTGGACTTTTGTCAAGACCACCGACGTATCAACCTGTGACCGCGGACTTGCTATTGGGTGGCGACTGGAAGGTATTGGGCGTAGGATTGGACAATGGACAGGAGCTTCTGGGGTCATTCAAAGTTCGAGTGTTCTGAATAAAAGCCCTCGCCCTTGCAGCGGCAAATGGTAGTATCAAAATGTTCGTCCATATTATGACACGGCCGGTTCCCAATACACTAGACCCTTCGACCGAGATTTTGCAAAACATTACCATAGATACATGCGATTCGAGGGCTTCTCATGAACGCCATGCCCTAAGCGATTGGCTCAAGTTAAATCATTGTGTTAAGCTCGTTTCACCTTCCCATGCTTCGGGCATAACGGAGCCCAATGATTCCCGTCTTGATTGCTTTCCTGTGCTTGACTCAACGGCGGTCAAGATTGTACCAAGGGATATTCATTTGTGCCAAATGTGGCATTCAACGTCACTGACCCCGTGACTCTCCCATCTGCAAGGCGATTCCACGTCTCAATCGAGCTTCCGAGTGACCCAAGGCTCACAAGAATCTGACGAGAGCCCCTCGTCCACTTTCCATACCCTCCGTACCCCGTATGCCTGCTCAAGCAGAGGTCCAATCCATTGCCAGTCAGCTTCATCCCACTAAGCTTCTTGTCCCACTTGAAACACCAGTCGTTGCCGTGCTGGTGACCGCTGAAGGCAGCTGTCAGATTCTTGGTGTCCAATAAAGCCTGCATGAATGGCCCGTCATTGCTCGTGCCTTGCCCGGGGAACGAACCTTCTGCATCGATTCCCGGCGATGTGTTCGAATTAATCGCGGATGGTTGGAAAATTGCCGAAGCGCTGAGAGGGATGTGGAAAAAGGCAAGCGATGGAAGCGATGCCCCGTAAGTACTGGCGAGATTGTCTCTGGTCTCCTTGAACCAAGACACGACGCTTCCGTCCACCCAATCAGGCTGGTCCGCGGCTGATCCATCCTGGTCTTGCACTCGGCTGCGCCAGTATGGTGTGTCAGCACAACGGACTTCTGAATTCGACGAGTAACCCTCATGTACTCACCCGCCTCGACTATCGAAGAACCAAAGGAGCATTGCAGGGATCGTGGAGGTGTCGTTGGGATAGACAGGGAGGTAGTAATTGGAGACACCAGCACCGTTCTGGTTGACCTCGAATCCTGTCAAGCTGTTGGCGTATGTCTTCTCTCGAGCATAGATGGCTTCCCTGGTTAGGTTGACATCGGAGTCATGATCTAGTCAACAAAAGTCGTCAGTCAGCTGGACCTACGCAAGAGGATACGGGGGCCACTCACTGCCGTAAGTGGATGCCCATGGCAATCCAGCTCCCACAATAGGCGCCACAATCTTGTCCATGTAGTCTGTCGCATTTTGTTTGAAGGTGTTCTCGCCTGTGATCAAGTCCCCGTTGAGCACCACGAGCTCTGGGGACTCGTCCTCCAGCACATATCGCATGAGATCCAGGGTCTTCGCATGGTGAGAAGGGCCCCAATCAGTGTCCGGTCCTTCACCGAAATGCAGGTCCTCGAAAATTGTGATATGGAAGGTTTTGTTGTTTGTGAAGTGGAGGGAAGGCCAGGCGGTGGAGAGCACCGCCAGGCAGAGCGCGACGAGTATAGGGGCAAAGTTCATATTGACGTCGAAGAAGTGACAGAATTCGTTCACTTAGTTGATTCAGGGAGATGCGATGCTGAAATAATAAGCAGAAATGAGAGCATAAAGAAGTTTATTGACGGTTACCAAACGACTGAATTGCAAACAGCGGACAATGCAGTGTTGTCATTGCTCGTTTGTGTGGGGCCACACAGCGTTGGGCTCAGCACTGGGTGGACCATATTACACGGACACTAAGAACACCGTTGAAAGACGCTTTTGCCACCTTTGAGCAGTACTTAGGATTTATGAATCACCTACCACTTCCAGTCATTCTTCTGTGTCATTCTGTTTAGTTACAGGCAGTCTTGGCTTGAGTCCAGCAGCTCAGCGTCCTCATGGTGGGATCTCTGACTCTTCCTCCAGAGGCTTGCGGTTCATCCTAAGGATTTGAATACTATTATGTAACTTGACTGTTCGTTGATAGTTTCGAGAATAGCTCATTCAGCTGTGCGGCGTAAGTAGGACAGGCCTCATTGATTGCCGTGTTATGGACATCAACTTGTCTAGGATTCCGATCATGTCTTCTTCGCCAGCACGAATTGCAATGTCGAAGATAGGAGCTACTGCTCTGGAATATATGGCCACGGATTTCACAGCTTTGCATGATGTGGAATTCAAGCAGAGTTATGAAGCCTGAATCTTTGCAGGACATATTTGCACTGGGCCTCGGACCCCACCCTACTTTCCTGTGCGCCAAACGCGACAGTGGCAATCCTGCAGTGAGGGGATACCATCCCAGATTCTACCATACGAGCTCAGGTCTGGAACTGAAGCATGCTTCTGCCTCCAATTTCGAGCAAAACGCTGCCTCCTCGTCGAGCTTACTCGTCCTTGTCTCGCCAGTAAGCTGCGGTACCGCTGGCCAGATCTCACGCCCGCCTTTTTATTCCTCCTTTTTCCGATGCTCGGTAATGTCCTTACGAAGTATTGCTTGAAAATGCAGCGGGACCTGTGGGTTAAAATGTTAGAATCTTGTTGTAGAGTCACAGCCCAAGGATGCCCCGCTTACCTTCTCCTTTTCAGGGTGATACTCTCCGTTGACATATACACCCCCGTTGATATTTCTCTGCGAGCCATCGCAGAGGTCTTTGTCCTCGGCAAGAACTTGATGATAAAAGGCATTGATCTTCGCGAACTCTTCATCCGTTGCATTCTTGTGCCGGTAAACCTCATTCTCGACCTTGCTCGTTGTTGCTGTCACTGGTATCATGCGCTGTATATAGAACATGTTTTCGCTGTACTTTGATGTCAATCAAACTGCAAAAGTTGTTATCAAGAGATGACTTACGTGATTGTGACAGAGGTGCTTGGATAGAAATACGTGATCGACCTTCGGAACTGCTTGGCCTCTTGATCCCTGTTGACGATCTCGTGCTCGAGGATGCCATCCCCGTTCGGCTCAACGCGATACTTCGACACATCCGAGACGCCAGCAATCAATGGATGAGATGTAGGGCAGTGATAGCATTCGTTATAGTTCTCACTAAGCCCTTTCCAATTGGCGTCGACGTCCATGTCCCACTCGTGGTCGTAGTCAAACTCCTCGACGAAGTTGAACTTGTTCATTCTTTCGCTTTCGTCTACTCCATGGAACTGGCCTTGCCATGTTAAACTGGGATTTTGCCCATGACCCGTGGCCTCCAGGTTGACCCACATAAAACCCGTTTTATCAACATGGACATGAATAGGTAATAACCCGTGTTGGCTCTTGTCGAAACCTTCGACTGTGTCGAAACGGGGAGCTTTTGCGAGGTTCCCTTTCAGGCCGTAGGACGAGCCGTGATACTTGCAGCTCAAAATGCTGGCGGTACCGCATTTCTTCTCGATGACTTGCCGGCAAATGTTGTGGAAGCCGTTGATATTGCCGCTGCGGTCACGGATGAGGAAAAAGGAATAATTGGCGTGTGTGAACGAGACAAACTTCCCAGGCTCGTTTAGCCGTAACGAATGTGTGACGAGGATCCATCTCTGAGAGAATATTGCGCGGCGCTCAAGCTGGTACATGGCTGTCCGGCAGCCCCCTTGTCGGCTCTGGCTTGGCTGGCTCGTTGTTCTGAGAAATTCCTAAGAGCCGCCACATGATGCAGAAAAGACTAAGATTAACGTTTGGATAACCAAAGACGAGATGATGCTCTCCAGCGCGAGTCTCTTAGCAGTCCTACTCGCCTTGTTCGCCGCTTACATGTAGGTAGGCTTGAGGCTCTCGCCATAGCCAACATGGAGGCACCGTGATTGCCAAGCGATTGGAGCCCCGGTCCTGGTTCGGCACGGCTGCCGGAGTGATAGAGGTGGAATAAGAGTGGGGAAACTGTCGGCATGTTTGGGGCGTACAGATAACGAGCGAAGCAAAGCTCATCTCTCTCGCTATTCCACTGGAGGAACCTTGGTCGGACCCCTCCGTGCCGGTGGGCGGCCCAGTCTCGGGAGTCGGGGAGTCGCTGTGAGCACGATGACCAACTGTCGGGAAAGCCTTGGCTGCGATTAAATCCGATCCAGTGACTTTCCCCATCTTACGTAGGTAGTAACGTTCTACAGATCGCAGCTTGCCGGCTTGTACAAGTGATCTACCTGTTTTCACCAGCGCACACGTGAGTCTCGTGAAACGTCTGGCTACATTTGAAGCGTGTCAGTCTTCGTATCCATCAGACACTTCAGTGGCAAAATATCTGCCTCGAAGAAAATAATTGCAACGACTGCAATCGATTCTTGCACGCCATACTATCCCTCAGTGTATTGACCCGCTCGATTGTGACAAGATGTCCAATGAAATCCCCCTCATTGACTTCGCCGGTATGCAGCCCCGGTTATGGGATAAAAGTATCCTTGATCTTGATAACTGACTGTGTTATGCTGTATAGAGTTCTACTCGCCTGACCCAGCAGTCAAGGCAAAGGTCGTTGATCAAATCCGCGAAAGTTGCTTGTACAATGGCTTCTTCCAGATCAGGAACCACTCTGTCCCACTAGGCCAGCAGAGCGCCGTCATGAACGGTGCAAAGAAGTTCTTCTCCCTAGATCTGGAGGAAAAGCAAAAGGTGTCTAAGAACAACAACACTTGGAACCGCGGTTACGAGATGCTTCGATCACAGATCCTGGAAGAGGGTACTCAGCCTGAGCTGAAGGAGGGGTTTTACATCGGTGATGACATCTCGCCTGAGCACCCCTACTTCGTGAACAAGAAACTCAACAGCGGGCCGAACCAGTGGCCAGAGCCCCTGGGACACACATTCCAGGAATCAGCCATGACATACTACAAGTCAACGGTATTCTTGGCTGCTGATCTATTGAAGGCCCTGGCACTTTCTTTGGACCTCGAGGAAGAATACTTCTCTAAGTTCATGGACGGCGCCGTGGCAACGATGCGTTTGCTCCACTACCCGAGCCAACCGGCTGACGCGGATGAGAAACTGTCGCGTGGCATCGGAGCTCACACCGACTTCGGTGCTATCACCCTACTCTTGCAGGACGAGGTTGATGGGCTACAGGTCTGGGACAAGCGGTCGGAAACATGGATCGATGTGAGTTCGCCTCATTGGCCAACCCCAGCAATGTCATCTTTATTGACCTCTAGACTAGGTCGAGCCCACCAAAGGGGCCTTTGTTGTCAACCTAGGCAACCTGATGTCACGATGGACAAACGAGAAATACAAGAGCAACGTCCACCGTGTCATCAATAAGTCGGGCAAGGAGCGCTACTCCATCCCCTTGTTCGTATCCGGCAACCCCGACTACCTCGTCGAGTGTATTCCGACCTGCAAGGCGCCGGGTGATCCAGCGAAGTTCCCTCCTATTACGGTCCAGGAAGCCGTATCTGCGGCTTATGCCGAGTCCTACGGGAGGGCCCAGCTTTTCAAGCAGGGCTTGGAGAAGGTGGTTGGGAGCACTCCGGCACAAGCTCCGTCTCCAGCAGCTAATACACCGATTGCTGCTGCTTGAGAACTAGAGAAGCAGGCTTTCTGATGGAATCTGTGGAACGCTGTTTGGTTATGTTCGATCGTGTAGCGTATAACGAATTTTTCATCAGTATAGAATCATTCGGAACTAGTGTGTTGCATGATCAGTCAAAAATTCGAATTACCGGACGAACTACGGATAATAATGGGCTTCATTCTGTCCCATGCTTCAATGCTCCATGCCATTTTGACTCCTCCTGATACTTACGGTCGGAAATATGATTGATGACTAGAACGGGGGACAATCCCAAGCGAGTAGCAAGGTATTGCTGGCGGATAGAAAATTAATCCCAATACATAAACATCGGGTTGAATCCTCTTGATGCTACCCTTAGCAAAATGCACCAATCAGCCTATCAGGTAAACTCTCCCACTCTTGATTCCGGCCATGCAGCTTGTTGTTGCCGCATGTGACAATTTGCCTATCAAGCAGTGACGCACTTGCCCTGCTTTGGTCTCACAATCAGCCAATTATCATCTCGACCACGATAGGTCTTAGCGGAGACGGATTCCTAGTGGATGTTGTGACGGAGTACAAATCAATAGAGAAGAACAGGCGTACACAAGTACGTTCGACCCACGCCAAACAACGTGGTTTTGTACTAGCAAAGGACACAAGCTCGATCACAAAGTCAAAAATGGCAGAGTCTAGTGAATTCGAGAAGAATGGTGCAGCCGTGGACGGGGCGTCAGCGGACGACCGCTCGACAGCGGAGGGTCAAGTGTATCGTTCCGAGGCTCACGCGGATCTAACCAGCGAGCGGAAATATGGTGAGTCTGAACGCAGTTTGCATGAATACTGAATATGGAGTGAGCAATGGTGCTTACTTTCTGCTCCAGTGCGAAAGCTAGATTTGTGGCTCCTGCCCTTCCTCAGCATGATGTACTTCTTCAACTCCATCGACCGAGTAAGTCATACAAATATCCCCAAGCACAATGAGTACTTCAACACTGACAGTAGACCCTCTTGTAGAGTAACCTGGGAAATGCCGAAACAGACGGGATGGGTGACGACCTGCACTTCGTGGGGCAGGAGTACTCCTTGCTTGTCCTCCTGTTTTACATACCAAATGGTCTCTGCGATCTGCCCCTCAACATGTTGACGAAGCGGTTCTCGGGCAAGATTATGCTTCCGCTCCTCATGACTGGCTGGGGTGCAATGTCCATGCTTCAAGCCGCTTGCACCAGTTTCGCCGGCATCTTGGTTGTTCGTCTGATCTTGGCGTTAGTATTTACTCGCGACCTGTTCAATATTCTTACTCGTGGTCGCTGATTTGAACCACAGTGCCCTCGAAGCCGGGTTCTTTGCCGGTGCTGTGTTCTATCTCACGCTTTTTTACACCCGCGGGGAGCTCGGGTTCCGCATCGCTTTGTTTTTCGGCAGCGCACTGCTGGCCGCATTTTCTGGTCTACTTGCATTTGGCGTGTTCCAGATCAGAGAGTCTCATGTTAAAGGGTGGATGTGGCTCTTTATTATCGAAGGTGGTATGACGGTCATCATGGGGATCGTCGCATTCTGGTGGCTGCCAGCGACGCCCGCGACTGCTTGGTTCCTTACTGAGGAAGAGAAAGCCATGGCGAAAATGAGACAGCTGCGAGATGGCTCCGGCCAAGTTGGCGAAACCTTCACCCTCAAAGACTGTTTCCGCAGCTGGAATGACCGCAAGTTCGCAGTGTGGTGCATCATCAGCTTCACATATCCCGTGGCATTTGCGACAACGGCAAACTTCTTGCCCCTGATCCTCAAACGGCTCGGATACACCACTGTGATCACAAACCTCCTCACCGTTCCGCCCAATGTGGTTGGGTTCTTGGTCCTCCTGGCTGTGACGCGCAGCTCGGATAAGAACCGCGAACGCTCATTCCATATCATCGGTGCATTGCTCCTCAGCCTGGTTGGGCTCATCATCTTGGCAGCGGTCCCGTCGGACACCAGCACCGTGAGCATCGGGGTTGCATACTTCGCTTGCTTCCTGCTATGCAGCGGGGCTTACATCCCGAGTTGTCTCGTCCACAGCTGGCACAACAATAATAATCTCAGCGAAACGTCACGGGCGGCGACAACAGGCCTTCTGGTAGGTCTTGGGAACTTGGGAGGCATATTATCAGGGGCCACGTTCCGAACTACTTACGCTCCGCGTTACATCCCAACTCTCGGCGCCACCGCGGCGTGTAATATGGTCTGCATCTGCTTCACCCTAGGCTTGGGTCTTTGGATGCGCAGGGAAAATTCAAGGAAGGATCAAGAACAAGGATCTGTCTTAAGAGCTGGTGACGTTGAAACGAGGGAAGTAGGTGGCTTGGGAACTAAAGACCCGAGGTGGAGATATTTCGTGTGAAGTCTGAGGTACACCGATGAATGTCCAATGTCATCTCACAATATGGCATGCCATCCCTTATTTTGAGCATTACGAGGATTCGTGAATACCACTTCAAGATTGGACACCATGTCACAGAATCTACATGAAAGAAATGGCGAAGATCTCATTGACATGTTGGGGTGCCCAAAACGACCTTGTGAGTAGCAGTGCCGTAGCACTGAGGGAATTGGATAAGAATTAAGACTTTCATTGGAAGGTTTATCTTGTATAGAAATCACGCCTGCTTGTTCTTGAACTCATGATACCTACGCATGACCTCTTGTGCATCTGCAGGCATCAGGGCTCCAGGTGCTGGGGTATTCTTGCTCTTGAAGTGGTCGCTCATCTTTGCCCAGTAGTCAGTATCTTGAGCGTATCATATCAACGTGCAATATCGCTTACCTCGGCCATCGTCACCCATCTCACACCCTCATGCTTGTTGATGTGCTCAATTATGCGCTCATGCATGAGCAGGACGTGTGGACGACCCGACACATCTGGGTGGATAGTCATGGGAAAGATGAATTCGTCTAGGGTACGCAATGTTAGTGGATGCTGGCATTGAATGAATTGTGCCACGACTTGCCGTATTCCCGGTAGAAGTAATCGAAGTGGTCCTTCCAAATATCTTCGACGTCTCTGTCAACAGTCAGCACTCCGTTTCCTGTCAACAGAATTTTAAGAGAGGCAAACTACCTTGGGTTCACCCATCCGTGAGAGTTGGCGCTGTTCTTGATGAACATCATTGGAGGCAGATCATCGATGTACCACGAACCGGGTATCTCAACGAGCCCCGTTTCTTGACCCTTTTCCAGTGGCTTCATCCACTCCTCTGCTTTCTTCGAATAGTCAATCTTCGTCCAAGAGTCTCCTGTACGGAGCCAGTACGCCTGACAATCATGGTGCGACATTGAGTGATCATATTCGATGCCGTAACTCAGCATGAGCTCTGTGCCTTCCTTGCTAGTTTCCCACCAGGGAGCAACAGATCCCCGAGGAGGCTTTCCACAGAAGTCCGTCAGCATCTTCCAGGTCTTATCCAGCACATCTCTCTGCTGCTCGATGCTCATATCACTGGGATTTTCATGACTGTAGCCGTGGAGCCCAATCTCGTGTCCCGCATCGCGGACCATAGCACACTCCTCTGGAAACGTCTCCAAGGAATGGCCCGGGATGAACCAGGACGCTTTGATGTTGTACTTGTCGAACAGCTTCAGAAGTCTGCGGGTCCCAATTGTGCCGGCCCAAATCCCTGCGTCCAGTCAGGATTTCCAGTGGTAAAAAGTCTCATGAGTCATCATCAGACTTACCTCGACTGATATCGCTGGTGCTGTCCTCACCCCCATAGGATCCAAGCCAACCTGCCACTGCGTCGATGTCCACTCCATAGCTGCTATGATATCAGCATCTTCAGTCTGGCCCGAAACCTGTCCACCTCGGAAGTACTCACCAGACCAAAACTTCTTTCTTGCCCATTATGATGATGCGGTTGTTACAATTTTCTCTGACATGCAAATCCTCAGGTGATGACACACGACGATGTTGAGTCTCGCGCGCTGATGTACTCGTCCAGCGCTGGTTGCGTAACTGGTACAAGAGGGGGGCCAGCACGGTGGAGTTGTGTTTGGAGTGGGGTTCGCTTCCAACTGCGAACTGAACGAATTGGGGCTTTCGCTAATCACGCGCTATCACTCAGTGGAACACAAGACGCTGTATTGGCGCCGTCGGTACCAACGGCACCAGCAGCAGGGGCGGCAAAACAACGGGCAGCAGATAGCGATGGCCTGCCAAGCCTGCATGCTGCTTGTATGCAGGACTGGAGCTTCCCCTCCCTTTCCCACTCTTGACATCGCAGGCCGGGATGCCCAACCCCACTACTCAACACCACTTCTTTACGTATTTCGAGTACCTCGTTATCTCAATTTCAGCCAGTCCACCCCTACCGTAGGACCATCAATATCTCGTTGAAGATGCGACTGAGCCATGACAGCGAGAAATGCCGTCTGAGATCGGGGTGGTGCGCACGCACTGCGGATATCTCGCACGAGGCAAACATACCTAGGTCTTATGCTACCCTGGGAAAATTCAAATCTTATACATCTGCTGTGCGGCTGCTTTGACACTCGAAGAGGACCCTACACTATAGCATAGGCGTGCGAAAGAGTGCTCCGTAGCAGAGAATCATGTCTAAGGTATGCACAAGATCAATAATGGACAAGATATGCACTTAGAGATAAATATGGACTTATTTACTAATCTGCATCTGTACAGTTCTCGTTGAAGGGCAGGGTTGCTCTGGTCACCGGAGGAGCTAGAGGCTGCGGATTTGCCTTCGCTCAAGGCCTGGCTGAAGCAGGCGCAGATGTGGCCATCTTCGACGTGATCCCTCCTTCACCGGCTCTGGCCCAGCTCACAGTCGACCACGGCGTTCGAACCAACGCATACACCGTCGACGTCACATCCATCGCAAGCCTCAAGTCTGGTTTCGAGGCATTCAAGGCGGACTTTGGAGGAAAGTTTGACATTGTCGTTGCGTGCGCGGGCGTTAACAAAAATGTCGAGCTCCTGGATACCACCGAGGAAGACTTTGACAGGTTATTCGGCGTCAACTGCAAAGGGGTCTACTTCACTGCTCAGATGGCGGCCAAACAGATGATCGAAAATGTCACGAAGTGCGGCAGTATCATTCTTGTCGCCAGCATGGCTTCCTACATCGCCATCCGCTCCCAGCGCTCGAGTGCGTACTGCGGGACCAAGGGTGCGGTGAAGGCAATGGTGGCGCCAATGGCTGCGGAGATGAATAAGTATGGGATCCGGGTAAACTCAGTGAGCCCTGGGTATGTCAGGACTGAGATGACTAGCCCGTTTCCTCATTTGTTGGAAAGTTGGAAAGATGAGATCATGCTTGGTCGGGTTGCAGAGCCAGACGATATTAAGGGTGCATGTGTATTCTTGGCAGGCGACGCCAGCAGATATTGTACTGGGACAGACATCGTGGTGGACGGAGGTGTGACTAAGTGGTGAGATTTTGCGGTCCGTTGTGCAATTGCAAGGGTGACGACCAAGATAGAGTCACTGATTCCACGAAGACATCACAATACTACTGTTTACAGTTTCCACAGAAGGTTCTTGTTTGTTCAATTCCCGTTCGTCTCAACCTTGCCAGACGTATGATGACATACGATGTTCGAGCATTGAAGTTCTTATTTCTATCTGCCGTATGAGACGATTGTAATCACAGATGATACCACCTGAAATGTATTCGGTGAACTCTCCACCGTTCTTTGTCCAGGTCTAAGCTCCATTGCGAGCTCTAAGCAGATCTTCCACCATTTTCCCAACACCAAGAACCTTCTCTTCCTCTAGTTTGCGTCCCACGATCTGCAGCCCAACAGGTAACTTAAGTCGGGCCATTTCGTCCCTGTTGTCTTTCCACAAGTCCAAACTCCATTCGTCCACCTCTCCTCGCGGTTCGAAATCCCACTGTGCCCCAACGTCTTCTTCGCGAGCTGAACCACCCGGTATGACCAGAGCGGTATAATCGAGAACATTCCAAATCTTCGTGTATCCTACCCATCTGCAGCCTTTGTGTGGTACGGCAGTGTGAGGCATCGGAGGCGTGAGAAGCGCATCGACGTTCCTCCCATCACTCGTGCGTATGGAATTCCACTTCTCCAGGTAGGCCTGCTGCAAAGCCCACTTTCGCCGGTTGAGATTCCAGTACTCAAACACTGAGATTGCTTTGCCCCGGTTGACAAGCTTCTCCACGTGCGGAATGAAGGGTTCGCCGCCGGCTGCGATGGCGGTACGGATATCTTCACCGCCGTCTGCGGTGTAGAACTCGTCCAGGACCTGGATACACTCCGGGTGGAGGTCGGCATTCCACTCGATGACTGTGTGTCCTGCACGGCGGAGGGCTTCCACGGCTTCCTCGAGCACGCGCGAGATTGGTGGATGTGGCCGGGCAACACCATCGTCCCGAAGCACGCCGATGACAAGGGGCCGCGAAATGACATCTTGGTACGACTCTTGTCGCCACGGAATTGGTGCACATCTGGAATCAAGCTGCCAAGGCTTTGAGTCAATGAGTGACTTCATTGCCAACTGGATCATGCCCAGGCTTCGGGCCATAGGTCCAACTGAAGATGGCACATGCTCCTGGCCTTCCGTAGAGACTGGTACTCCATTGTAAGGTAGCCTCGCGCTCTGGAAGACGGACTTCTTAGCAAAATACCCCGCAAAAATTGGTAGTGTCGGATAGGGATCGACAAGACTCACACTTGGCTTGAAGCCGTAAATGCCCATCATGTGCGAAGGAATGCGGATACTCCCGCCTATGTCAGTTCCCATTCCGAGCATACTGGCACCACCGGCAACCAGGACAGCCTCGCCTCCAGTAGAGCCGCCTGGTGTGTAGTCGGGGTTATAAGGGTTATTCGTCAAGCCCCAGAGAGGATTGTCCGTCTCACACCACATAATGCTCTGGGGCAGGTTGGTCTTCGCCACGATGACAGCTCCTAGTGACTTCAACATCTTGACCACGGTGGCATCTTGCTCGGCAGGAGAAAATGATCGTCCGACGTATCCTAGTGTTGTGTCATAGCCTTTGACATTAAATTGATCCTTCAAGGTCGTCACCACACCGTGTAGTGGCCCTATGGGTTCATGATGTTCGGCCAGATACTTGTCGAGGTTTTTGGCAGCCTCTAAAGCGTCTTTGAAGCAGACCTCCGTTAAACTGCAATGAATTGTTAGGGGCCTGGGAGTCGTGTTGGGTGATATTATACGTACCAGTTTGTCTAATGGGGAAAAAGATTTAAGCTTGGTAAGCATTTTACTCCTTCACTTGTTCGTTGGAATGCAGACTACTAGTTCCTCGGGGTTACTGCAATATAGGAGCGTGCTAACCGATTTGTGTATCGTGCAGATCCTGCGTCCAGCTTTCAGTTCTTTTTGCCCTTTCACAAGTTTCAACCATGGTCCGATGCCACTCACTTTCTAACTCGACTTGCGGTGAGGGCTTCACTGGAAATCTCCTCGCATGCAATTTTGCGAACAATTTCTCCATCATCGACAGACTTTAACAGATTAACACTGCAATCTAGCTTCTCGGACTCAGTGTGCCAGCGCGAGGCTGTGAACTGTATGATTGCCTTCACCTGGACACGTCGTTTCTCAGCGACGATATCTTGCCAAGCCATATTGTTGGTGTCACCACAATATCCTCTTTGGTTGCTTGTCCCAAACACTCTGTGTTCTTTCTGCGAAAATTCTTCGTCTCACGAAATGACTCTGCAAAGCCGAGCTGGCAGTGCCGGTCTCGAGTATCCGGCCCGGTCGCGGAAGTCATGACTACCTATCGAGATACCCTAGCACATTGAGACGTGGTACAGTCAATCCCTCGTACTGCATGACTCCCGGGTGACAGTAAGCCCCGTTTGTTGCGTAGCGTCATGCGAGACAATGGATGGCATGCCCTTGATTGGACCGTCACTTGCCTGTATCTTATTCAGGATTAAACTACCCTTATCTGTCTCAGCGCGGAGCTGATTACGACGTCGCTAGCTTCAAAAGCCTAAAACCTACAACGCCCATGCAGCAGGGATCGACGCGTTGGGCAAGAGTGGGGATGCTGTGCCCGTCCTCCAAGTCCGAATGTTTTCCGCCGGCATGAACCGAATGCAGACAGACGGGCAGGGTTTTGCACAGCGCTTGGCCGATCGTCAGGGGTAGGACAATCGTAGTCAGCAGACTCACGACATGCCATGAGCTGATGGGCTACTCGAATGGGCCGATCAGATGCCATTCTGGTTAAGCAACAAGAAGGCATCGCTCTTTTATGAAAGTTGAGCCCTCGGTCGCCTTATTGCCGGCAAAGTTGGGCCTCAGGTAAAAACTGTTTACTCAGAGAGAGACAGCTTAACATGACACTCAACAAGACAAACAGGGTAGTTGATCAAGGAAACATGGCTGTTGAACCGACAAGATGTGATGTATGTGTGGTCGGCGCTGGACCTGCCGGCATCATGTTGGCGTAAGTAATCTCAATCCCACCAACAGACAATCTGCTGACTTGAGACTGCCAGGGCTCTACTGGCAAGGTTTGGCATCAAAGTCGAAATTCTAGATGAAAGGCCAGACCAGACGACAGTTGGCAGAGCTGATGGCCTTCAGCCGAAGACCATAGAGACGTTTCAGATGCTACGTCTTGGGGGTGAGCTTCTAGACACAGGAGTCAAAGTGTTCGATATCTGCATGTGGCGATCCCAGGTCGACGGTAATGGGGCCCCGGCCCTGCTCCGCGTTGGGCGTGAAATTCACTACCCGCCTGATGCGGTCGATGTGCTGCACCCTTTCATACTGTTATGCCATCAAGGCATGGTGGAGGGCATGTTCGTCGAGGATTTGCGGCACAGTGGATTCGAGGTCCAGCGAGGATGCAGATTCGAGACTTTCGGATACGGCCAGGGTGATGGAGGGTCACCGATCCAAGTCACATACAAGCATGAGGGTTCAGAAAGGAGTCTACAGTCTAACTACCTTGTTGGCTGCGACGGCGCTCGCTCGCGGGTTCGCCAAGGGATACCCGGAACATATGCGGAAGGGAACCCCCACGATTCCTACTGGGGCGTGCTGGATGGCGAACTCGAGTCCGACTTTCCCGACATCTGGAGCAAGACAGTAGTTTACTCCGAGGAGCACGGCTCAGTCTTGATCATTCCACGAGAACGCAACCTCACGCGATTCTACATCGAAGTCAAGAATCAACAGGACTCAATTGACGAGACGTTCGTCATGGATCAAGCCAGGAAGATCATGTCACCATACAGCCTGGAGTGGCTCTCAGTCGAGTGGTTCGGAAACTACCGCGTCACGCAACGAGTAGCAGCCCGCTTCTCCGACTCTACAGGCCAACCCCCGCGCGTCTTTATCGCCGGCGATGCCAGCCACACGCATAGCCCCAAAGCAGCCCAGGGGATGAACACCAGTATGCACGATTCGTGGAACCTCGGCTGGAAGTTGAATCTCGCCGTACGCGGTCTGGCCAAGAAGGACATCCTGCTCGGGACCTACGAGGAGGAGAGGAAGAAGATCGCCCACGATCTGATCGACTTTGACTACGAGCACGCCAACAGCATCGCCGGTGGTGACGCCAAGGCGTTGGCTGAGAACTTTCGCACAAACATAGGGTTCATATCCGGCGCCGGGGTGGAATACGGGCGCAACATCCTCAACGACCTCGGTGCGCCCGCAAAGAGTCTTCAAAACGGGCATGTGCTGCAAGGTGCCGCATGTCCTGGGCGGAACCTGCCACCAGCCAAAGTGACCCGCTACATCGACGACAACCCTGTTGATGTCCAGCTGGATGTACCAATTCTGGGCCAGTTCCGCGTTTTCGTCATTGTGCCTGACGTGATTGGAGCGTCTAGTTTCCTGAGCAGGCTCAGCGGGTCGATTCTGTCGGAGACATCGCTCGTGTCGCAGCTATCAGCCGCGGCCAACAAGTCGTACCAGGAGTCGCCTAGACCATGCAAGCCAAAGGACGTATACTACCGGCCAGAAAGGTACACACCACTGAGCCAGCTGTTCACATATGCCCTTATAAGTAAGTGCCCTGTGTCCCGCCCGCGCTGACCTTGACTGACCTTCACCTAGCAAAAACGGAAAAGGGGAAGTTTGAGCTCGCATCTTTGCCGCCTCTTCTAAGCAGGAGCAAGTGGACCGTGTACCTTGACAATGTCCCACATCTTGACACGCAGAGCCAGAGATGTGCGGATAAGTGGCTCGGAAGCATTGAATCTGGACAGGCGGCTATCGTTAATGTGCGGCCTGATGGCTACGTTGGCTCTGTCACGAAGTTCAGCACTGCTGGAGAGGATGCTGGTTTAGAAGCAGCCCGCTCTCTAGATGACTATTACGGCGGCTTTTTGCAGACGCCAGGAGCTTGATGTCGCATTCTCATAATACGAGCAGTAGACCATAATCGGACTGCATTACCTTCGATCATCTCTACGTGATATTGTAGGCTGCTACATGAGCGATGACTTTGTTCAAAACACGCCTATGCAGTCATGGGTAGCGGTGCATTTCCTGGCAACTTTCTCACGTAATCTGTGTCCCCATAATACCTGTGGCAAGCACGTGAAACCCCTGCAAGCCGCATCTTCATGACAGGAAGTTAGGTGGCTTATCGGAGCAAGTGATATAGCCACGCACATTTAAAGTTCGTTCCAGTGGAGCGAGCGCGGCTGTATCATTTGTTATCGTAAATGGGGAATGTTGAATTTGGCAGGGGAAACCCTACGGAGGTGGGACTCCTGGGCCTTGGACTCGTGCCTCGCATGGGGAGCTGACACTTGGGGAAGCACCTGCCAGGATTACCAAGTCGATAGATTGCAGCTATCTGATTGGCCAGCCGGAGAGGGCACCAAAGTGCCGATTATCAGGGCGTCCAGGTGGCTTACCACAGCACCAGTCGCTTCTTGGTGATTACTCCTGTCACATTCGGGCTGGAGAGATGCAGGCTGCCGTAATGCAAAGGTTGCTGTCTCAGCGCTTTGGAATTTAATGGCCCCGACATTTGTAAAGGATGTCGAGTTACACCGAAATAGTTTCAGAGGGTGTCAGAAACAATCACAGACTTTTACATCCATCCCACCATGTCATCCGAAAAGAGTGAGGAGTCCAAGGGCAAGGAAGTGCTCACCCGAGAGCCTTCAGTAGGTCATGGCGAGCTTGGTGTCGTGGACGACCAAGAGGTTTCCGACTTCTACGGCAGCTCGGTGAGCGACAGTTACCGGCTGAAGTCAGAGTTGGTAGCACATCATTTGGCTGAGATAGGAATGGGAAAGTAAGTCCAAACCCGGTCAGAAACTCCGTTGATGCCACCTAACGTTTGTGCGTTTTCCAGGTTCCAATGGTACCTCTTCGTGGTCAATGGCTTCGGCTGGGTCGTTGACAATTTCTGGAGCCAAGGCATAACAGCCGTCAGACCGCCCGTCGCAAACGAGTTCACCGACATCACATATCTCAGCTTCAGTTCCGTCGCCTACTACGTTGGGCTGATCATCGGAGCATCGTTCTGGGGCGTTACTGCGGACTTGATCGGTCGCAAGCCAGCTTTCAATGCCACGATTCTCATCGGTGGTATTTTCGCCTGTGCTGTGGCCGGGTCGCAGAACTTCGTCACATTCTGCTCACTTTGGGCTGTCGTTGGCACTGCCGCTGGTGGCAATGTTCCCGTCGATAGCATCATCTTCTTGGAGTTCATGCCGCAAGAGCGTCAGTGGCTGCTGACGAGCTTATCGGCATGGTGGAATCTTGGGCAGGTGATTGTCTCACTGGTGGCTTGGGTATTCCTAGCAAACTATGCCTGTGAGAGCTCCGAGGCTCCGTGCCCGAGGAGTTCTAACATGGGCTGGTAAGTAGCCGCCATCCTAACGTGTCTGTTGCCTCTTCTTACTGACCAGAAATCTTTCAGGCGCTATGTCATGATCACTCTTGGTGCACTAGCCATTGCCTTTGCCCTTATTCGAATTTTCGTCTTTAGAATGCCCGAGTCACCGCGATACCTGCTGTCCAGAGGACGCGACGCCGAGGCTGTCGAGGCCGTGAACTACGTTGCTCGATACAACGGAAAGCCCGAAACATTGACCCTGGACATGCTGAAGGCCATTGATGAGGCCCAGTCCGGGTCCCTGACCCAAGTCGTCCAGAGAGGACACAATACAGCTGGAGAAACGAAGGCGCCCCTGTCCTACAAACAGATCATCATGGAAAACTTCAAAGACTACAGCAGTCATAGCTACCGCAAGCTGTTCGCGGGCCGCAAGATGGCTCGGCATAGCTCGGTGATCTTCTTGATCTGGCTGACCATTGGCGTGGCGTACCCGCTCTACTTCGCATTCATCACATCGTACCTCCAAACAAAGTCGACGTACTCCGTCACCAACTCACTTAATCACACTTACATGGTCTACTGCATCGTATCTGTGGTTGGTGTTGTTGGCCCGATCGCGGCAGGTTTCTCCGTTGAGACGCGTCTGGGGCGGCGGTGGATGATGGCCATATCAGCTGTGCTGAGTGGTGTCTTCTTATTTGCATACACAAGTGTCGGTACAGAAGCTGCAGATATTGGATTCCAGTGTGCTACTGCCATCCTTGGAAATTTCGGTGAGTTTACTCGCAGCTGTGACCACTGGCACATATCCTTAATATCATAGACTGATCCTGAAATTTGCAGAGTACGCGATCATGTTTGCATTCACGCCAGAGTCGTTCCCAGCGCCAGTACGGGGGACTGGAACAGGTATTGCTGCAACCCTGCTGCGGGTTGGTGGGCTGGTAGCGTCTTTCATTTCGACCTACTCCGGATACTCGGTGGTTCCTATCTATGCGAGCGCTGCGCTTTGGATTGTGGCTGGCTTTTTCTGCTTGGGCTTGCCATTCGAGACTCACGGCCATGCCTCCATCTGAGATCGTCCAGCACATGCTTGTTTTCTATTGGCAGTTACTTGGATGTTGTGTATTTTGAATTTTGTATAGGCAAAAAACTGTAGAAATACTCATTCGTTCCGCTTCTTGCTTCGTACTCAGCTTATTCCTTGTATTGCTTCACAGTCACAAATTTACATACTCAATAATCTCTCCTACCGCATCTTTTCATAGTTGCCTTGCGTCAATGTGAATCTAATTACTTCATACCGTGAACGTCTCTCGCGATATTTGGAGGATGGCCTGCCATTCTCATCAAGCCCAGAATAGCATCAAATCGTGGCACTGACACTTGACCCGGATCGGGGACACAGGTCCTCGACTGGCAGACAACACGGAGCCGTCCCCAAGAGTTTCCCAATCAAAAATATGAGGTAATTCATGAAGCCAAGGTACACAAATTTAGCCCTGGTACACGGGAGTGCATGTCATCACCAGTGTTGTTAGCGGAATTTCCCCGGTGCCGCTGCCTTTTCCAGGGTAGACACCCCTGTCGTTCACCCCCATTTTCGACCAGATACCTCCAGTGGAGAAACTCTCCACTTCCAGTACCCGAGACAGAGACGGCACAACATGGCGGCGGCATCAGCGTTGCTCCCTGGAAAGATCAGTCAGCCCAAAATGGCGAAAGTACCACCCTGGGAGGTCAGTCCAAAAATGGTCAGGATATTTCAATGTCTATGCCCAGAAGGCCGTCTCTGCTCTCACAGGTGAAACGAATACTGCCTCTCTTACACTTGCCTAGGGTCTTAGAACATCGTCCTGTCCTAACACAACTCTATCACTCTCGTCAAGACAAAATGGGATCTGCTTCACCTCCTACTCCTTTCACCCCCCTTGGAGAGACGTCTCTTTTCAAGCCCCTGGACTTGGGAAAATGGCACTTGCAGCATCGCATCGTCCAGGTAGGTGCAGCTAAGCATGCCCAGAGAATCCTCTTCTCCGGACCTGGTTGGCTTACAAATTCGCTTAGGCACCTCTCACACGCATGAGGAATGACTTCTCGTCCCGAGGAGTTTACATCCCAGGTCCCAGAGTCGTCAAGTACTACTCAGACCGTTCAACCCCCGGCGGCCTTCAACTCACCGAGGCAACGGACATTTGCCTGGATGCCAGCGCATATCCAGGGTGCCCTGGAGTCTTCACCCCTGAGCAGCTCGAAGGGTGGCGCAACGTCACTGATGCCGTGCACGCCAAGGGGGGCCTCATCTTGAGCCAGCTATGGCACACGGGGCGGGCCTCGTCGCCCGGCATGCGAGGAGGCAACCAGTGTGTGTCATCGAGTGACATCCCCATGTCGGGATCATACCTTGACGGAAGCTCGTGTGCTGAAAACCCGCCCCGGCCTTTGACGGTGGACGAGATCCACACATTGACTGCCGAATGGGCGGCAGCTGCAAAGAGGGCTGTCAATGAGGCTGGCTTCGATGGTGTCGAAATTCATGGCGCAAATGGATATCTCCTGGACCAATTCCTGCACGACAATGTCAACAAGAGGACAGATGAGTATGGAGGCTCCATTGAGAACCGTTCGACGTTCGTGCTGGAAGTCATTCAAGCAGTCTGTGAGGCAGTTGGGGCGGAGCGGGTCGGCATTCGTCTTTCGCCTTACAACTACTTCCAAGACACCCGAGACAGTGATCCCAACGCACATTGGTCGTATCTGTGTGAGAAGATCGCTGGCCTTCCCACCACTCAGCGACCTGCTTATATTCACATGTGAGCAATTTCTCCTCATTCGTTTAGTCAAGATCCCATGGCTGACAGTCTACATCACTAAAGGGTTGAACCTCGTTTCGACGAGGTTCTCGACGAGCAGCAGAAGATGGAGTCTCTCGCCGAGTACACCGCCAGCACTGGATCGGAGGCAGCCCCCATCAAGAAGAACTCTTTGACTCCATTCCGGAACATTCTGAAGTCTGGTGGTATTCATTTCTTCGCCGCAGGAAGCTTCAACCGTGAAAACGCCGCGCCGAAGGTGGAGAGCGACAGCGCTGATCTGATCGTGTTCGGTCGACACTTTATCGCGAATCCGGATCTGGTTAAGCGGTTGCGAAGTGGACTCCCGTTGAACCCATACGATAGGACAACGTTCTATGGGGCCGATCCACCTGAAAGAGGCTACACTGACTACCCATTTTACGAGGAGCTCAAGAACTAGAAGTTTGCTCGCTGGATTAAGGTTACATCATCCTTCGAGAAGCTGGTCACGGGCAAGCGCGGGCAAATACGCGGACGTACACAAATGCATACAGAGAGATAGAAAAGAATTGATTGCTCAAACTGATGTGAATATACACCTCAACAGTCTGATTTTCATGTCCTTTGTCCTTATATTCTCATCAACTTTAAACGATGATTAGGCAATCATGCATGCATAACTTCTGCCTCCATGCTCTCCACCCAACTACCCACCTAGGCATCCTTCTGATTCAAGCATCGCCAGATAAAGGTCTACGAGTGTGCACTATGGGCTTACCACCAAACGAAGAGTCGTCAGGCTCTTCAAGTATCCGTTCTTCTTCTGCATCGAACTCTATGCCAGCTGGTGGCCTTCCTCGTCTTCCCCCTCCACCGCCACCGCTGCCGCCTTTGGGAGATTTGCTCCCTCTCCCTCCCACCAAGAAAGCACTAAAACACAGCAAAATCAGGTATCGACGTTTATACATGGATGTGTGGGAATAATGGGTGTCGTTTGTATGGAGGACTGTTTGGGACTAGGCAGCTTTGGCCCGTTAGGATGCCTAGCAGGCAGCAGCCTTAGCGCTGCATATAAAATAGCTAGCATAATTAAGCCTTTTGCCTTCTTTCCTTTTATAATTAATAATAATTAACTACTATACTAATTAAATATTATATTGCAATATATAACTTAGCTAATATTAATTAATAATTATAAGGGCAACTATAAATTAATAAAGCTTAAAGAAATAACCTTTTAGTTATGCTAATTAATATTATTAATATTATAAATTTATATAATGCAATTTATAATAATAATAATACTTAATATATAAAGAGATAATTATTATAATAAGAAATTATAATAAACTCCCCTACTCTTAATATATATACATTTATTACATTTTAAACAATCCTAATAATAACTTTTAAATTTAATAGCTGTTATGGGCTGGCCTTAAACTCACAGAATAAAGGTGCCTAAATGAAGTTAATATTCAAAGTGCAAAAGAGAAGGTTTACTCCCCGTCTATACCCACGTCGAAGCCTATTCTTATAGGGCCAAAGCCCATTAACTAATCACTATGGGCATAAGCTTAAACCATAACATATCCCCTTTCCCTAGGTTAGAGCCGCAAAGGGGCCTTCCTAAGGGGTTAATTATGTAATAAAAAATAAAGAAGGCACTGCTTTAATCGTGAATTAAACATTGCCTTTTACTTAGCCATTTAATTAACTTGCAGCGCTTTAATTATGCCATTAGGCCAACCTATATTATATATATATTTTTATCCTTTCTATACCTTATAATTTAATATGCTAGCTAAAGCAAGCTAATGAAAGATAATTATTTAAGCGTAAGCTAGTGATTAAGCTAGCAGCATTTTTAAGATCCTTTAATTTATGTCTTTTATATAAGCTTCCTTATTTAAAGCCTTAAGATCGTGGATTTATTATATAACCTATAATTAATTAGCGTTTAATTATAAATAATCTGCTTTATTAGCGGAAAGTTCTTAAGCTTTAAGAGTTTTATAATATTAAATTAATTAGCATTAGCTAGCTTGCTTTAAGCTTAGGCTAGTATTAAGCTAGCATTACTTTAAGCCTTATCTTATAAAAAAAAATTTATGCATTAAAAACAACCTTAATTAAGCGCCTTCCCCTTGCTAAGCTTAATTAATAATAGCTATATATAGGTTTTCCTATAGTAATTTAAGTAATTATGCTTATAATAACTAAGCTAGCTATAAGCATAATACTTAACTCCTTTTACCAAGATTACTATAATATTAATATTTATTACTTTGCTATTTTAAGGTTAAGTATTATTTTTTGCTATTATAACGTTAAAAATGCCCTTATATTACCATAAGGTAAAGCAAAATGCCTTAAATATCTTTAGCCATTCTTTATAATTAAGTCTTAACTTTATTAAAGCGATAAGTTTATTAATTATAAATAATATTTTATAATTATTTAGCTAAGCTTAAGCCTTAATTATATAAGAAAGCTAATTAAAGTAAGTAAGAAAATCTATTATTTCCTTTTTATGGTGTTACTATAGCGTAATTAAGCTAAGCCTAGCATGCCTTTGCTTAAAAAGATCCCTAAACGCAAGGCAAACCCTTTTTAAAAAGCTTTTTAGCTGCCCCTTAAATATCTTTATAAAATTAATATAGGGTAGAAATTAATTGCAAAAAGTTTTTAATTAGCTAAATATATAAAAGAATTAAGCCTCTTTAATGCTAATTACCTCTTTATTCATTATAAACTTAGCTTTCATCTTTACTAGCTAAGTTACTAAATTTTCCCAAGATAAAAGCTTCTTAGGATAGGAAAGGGCTTAACGGGCTGCCATTATTCCTTTTAAGTCTTATCATACTAAGTTTCATATAATTATATTATAAGTTTGTAATGCAAAAGGACTTTAAATATATATTATGAGCTAGCCTTAAACTTATAGAATAAAGGTGCCTAAATAAAGTTAATATTTAAAGTACAAAAGAAAAGGTTTACTCCCCGTTTATACCTGCGCTAAAGCTTATTCTTATAGGGCCAGAGCCCGCTAACTAATCACTATAAGCACAAGCCTAAACCATAACAATAGCTATAATTAAAAAAATTAAATTAATGTTTATTTTTATTAATAATATATTTACTTATATTTTATTATATAAATAAATATAAAGAAAGAAACTAATTTGCCTTTTAATAGCTAAGTTATAAAAGTAACCCTTAATTTCTTTATTTTTCCTTAATACTACTTATTTCCCCTTCTTATTACCCCCTTTTTTAAATTAAATATACTCTTATTATTACTTTATTAAAATAATAAGAAATAATAATAATATAATAAATATAATAAGCAATATTGCTAGTTAAAATAGTTTATTAATATTAATTATAATGAATTATACTTTTATACTTAAAAGTATTATTAAAATATTTAATCTTTTAATATAAATAAATTCCTTAGGATTTCTTAGCAGCAAATAATACTTAAATACCTATATTTAGGGCTAAATTTAAGCTATGGCATATATATTAAATAATAAGGCCTATAAAGCATTTATTAAGGATTTCCATAGCTAAATTAAGTTAATATTTATATAAGTTAATAAAAACTTATTATGCATTATTAAGAAAACTCTTTAAATTAAGGGCATTTATACTTAAAAAGCAAATACCTTAAGGGAATTAATATATATCCTTAAAGCATTAAATTATCTTAAATAACTAATAAATTAAAAGCAAGAATATTATATTATATTTAAGATTAATTAAATTTAAAGCTATAATTTAAGTATTTATATTATTTTTAACTTTAATTATATCTTAATAAAAGCTAAGAAACTATTTAATAATAATAATTCTTTTAATTTTAAATTACTTAAATCGCTTAACTTACTTAGCAATAACGGTAAAGGCAATAATAACCCTTCGGAACCTTTTAATTCATTAAGAAAAGGCGGCAATCTTTCTCTAGCTAATAACTTTTATATAATATATAATTATTATGCTCTTTTACCTTTAATAAAAATAAAGAACTTCCTACTTAACTTAAATATAATAGCTAACTTAAGTAAATATTATTATAAAAATAAAATATTTATTAAAGAATTATATAATATTCTTAATAATAAGATCTTCTTTTTTTATAAAGCTTATAGCAACCTATAAATTTAATCCTAATAGTTTAAAGCAGCTCTTTTATATATACTTAAGAAATTAATAAAGATATATTATATTTAAGTTATTAATTAAAAGGACTTATTTACTTAAGTATATAAGAAATTTAAAAATTAATTTAATATAAATAATAATTACCATAATTATTTTATAAATTAAAATACTTTAACTTTCTTTACTCTTTAATAAAGAAACTTAAATAAAAGTTATATAAATATTTTTTAAATGCTTATTAATAAAATATAGCTTTACTATAAAGCATTTAAGTATATTACTTATAAGGATAACTTTTTATAAGATATAATTTTATAAGTAATATAAGGCATTTTTAAATTTCATTATATTATTTTAATAGTATTAATAAATATTAAGCAACTTTACTTTATTTTATAATAATATATTAAGGCATTAAAGGCTTAAAACCTTATATTATAATATATAATTATAAAAAATAATTAATAAGCTTATAAATAAGGCTATATTAATAATTATAATAATTAAAATAATAATAATTTAATTATTATAGATATTAAAAAGTAATATTATCTTAATAGGCAATATAATAATAATAATTAATGCCTAAGGTACCCTTAACCTTCTTTTAAAGGTAACGGCTTTTAATTAAACTTCCAATTAAGCTAGCCCTATTAATTTAAAGATAGCAGCTATAATAAAGGATATTATAAAGATAGCTATAATAGCGAATATTAGCTTAATAAAGGCAATAATAGCAATATATAATATAAAAAAAAAGAAATATTTTATGTGCTATAAAGAGAAATATTAATTAATAAATTATTTATTTAAAGATTAATAATATATTAAAGCTATATATATTTATATATATAAGGATATTAAATAATAAATTAATAATAATAAGTTTAATACATTCCTTATTAATTTTAAAGATTTTAACTTTAAAGCTATTAGCATTATAATAACTTTAGCTATTAATAATAATAAGAAAGGGCGTATTTATTATACCTTTTTAATAAACTAAGCCTTTCTTTATAACTTTTTTAATAATATAAGCAGCTTTAATATTTATATTAATTTTAAAAATTATTTATTAATAAAGATATTTATTATTTAAAATTAATACTTTTATTAATAATATTAAGACATTATATTAAATATAAATAGCAATATTTTTAATAATTAAATATAAGCAATTTTAAGCTTTGTAATATTAAGCATTTTCTATATATTTAAATATTATATAAGTTAGTAAAGTATAAATATAATTTAGCTTAAGCTTATTTATTAAGTTACTTAATATAATATAAG